AGCATGGACCCAAGAAATGAACGTGCTCGCTAAAGGCGGATGAGACTTAGGCGAATGACACACCATATGAGTCATCCAATTAGCAGGCATGCGTGAAATAATATAATCTTACCAGCGGCGAGATTTCGGGTATATGTATGACATGTCGATTCATTTCCACACATATGTAGAATTTGCTACAATTTTGGCACAGAAATTCAGAATCCTAGGGTTTCGGACACACTAGTTTAATGCATCCAACTTCACCGGAGGAGCAGAAGTACATTGAAGGGCCAAATCAGTCTGACATTCTGTTTCTTTCATATTACTTATCAAATATTCAGGGCTGAGTATTGATATGAACTATACATAGGCTCCATAGTCTTATACTTATTAGCCTAAGAAGCAAATATCTAGACCTCCAAAATAGCAGCAAAATATGCAGCCACATCTATACAGGTACTGATTGCTTTGCCTTAGGGAGCATTAGAAAGCAACCATAGCTTGGAATCTCTATGATACCCTACTACTATACCGGCTGAGACGATTTTAACCTCTGTTTACAATGCCCGGGAAATATTGCTGAAACGAAGCAGAACACATGACCTCTGATGATTTGGTCGGACAATACGTAAGGAAATTCTATCTATCTACGGAGTATCTAACTAGTTTCAAGCAGTAGGTAAATTAATATGGGATAAGTGGCAAGTTTTTCAAGCTGTTGGTCACTAGGCACGTATCTACTTAGTCCTTTAGATATAAAAGCATTGCCTCTAAGACCATGGCGGTTCCCACTGATTCTATCTTTGGAAAAATTTCTCCCGTAAAATCTCCACCTCTGTTATCATCAATTCCCTCTAGTTCTTGCTAAACCCTATATGAAATATCCATCCCAACATTTGGCAAGCACCAGAGACTCAAAGCCCTAGTACAGGTCAAATGCCGTTGAGGGTTCGCGAATGAGTGTTACCAAGTACTTATATCGGCATTGAATCGTTCCCTACAGGAATTAGAGGCAGGAAGGCAACATCAAGGCTCGGTTATTTCGAGGGCTGAGGCAGTGTAGAAGAAAACCCTACGGGACAGATTGCTGGGGCTTTTAGGCCGCATCTCCATCCAAGGTGTATCATGGGAAGATGCAATGGGCTATAGCCGCACCGCCATCGAATCCACTCAAGACTCGGAGCAGCGCCAGATCATGTTCCAAACTCCCTCGCATTCTCGAAAGATATGGTCCAGTAATTATAGCAGCCGCTCATAGTGGTTTTATACAATTCATCAATGACCACTACAACAGATATGCCCTTAGTGTCAACCATGTTGACAATATGCACTTCACATCGATCAGGTACAGGGCCTATATGTGCGCTACAGTTCGGAGCGAGCCATGCGCACAATGCGAGCTTCTTTTGAAAGATACCACCACCCAGGCTGGATTCAATGTGCACCAGCTCCTCCTCCAAGCAATTTTGTCGCCGCAGAATATTTTAGAAAACTTGGAAGGATGGTCGTAAGTCGGTTCGACAAGCTTCCCCTTGCTTGCTATCGCTTGAGTTGGCCTCAGCATCTTGTTGTCCAATGCTAGATCCGGCGTTCGATGCTCTCGTTAAAATTGATCGTGTGGACTCTGGCGCAGAATGGGTGTGATTCAAGGGGCTGTCTCTAAGTGACTTGTTTTAAGCACTTGCTCTGACATATATATGGGTTCCGCTCTAGTAATGACTCTAATGTAAAAGTATAGATATGCGACGTGGTTACTATATATTCAATACGACGAAGTGAACAAGAGCTATTAAAAAGTACTGTTATCATCGCCCCTCAACGGCCTTCCAGAATGCTACTATTGAACAGAGACTAACCAGAGGTCCATAATATTTGTTGGCCTGCAGTGGGTGCGTGACTGACTCAAGAATTAACAGGATGTTTAGTACACTGTCGCAGTACTCATTCTGTTCGTCGTTTCGATGGAGCTGCTTGTGGTGATAAACTGCAGTGATCTGAAAGATGTCACTGAATAGCATATCTTATTCGAGACACATTGTACATTACATTTAGCCTTGGAGATAGGGACCCTTCATGCTGTGCATCCAGTTACCCTCAAAATCATACTATGCGTAAGTAGGCCTTTCAACGATTTAGACAAGCAGGTCGGGAAAATTCGGTCTTTCCCATAAGATGCGTTCTGATGAATAATGTATGTCGAAGCTCAACATTCCCGAGTCACATTCTTAAGAATATTTATCAATACACTATCCTTTGCCGACAGTGTAAATGCGACAAGTTCAATTATTATCTACCTGAAGCGGATATATATATATGCCCATGAATATCAAATTTTTTTCTCTTCGAACTGGATAGCAAGCAGGCATGTTCAATACGCTTTATTGCAAGGCAAGTGCTACTAAGGATTTACATGTCCGGCTACCAAGCCATTGCCTTAAAGCTTTGATCATAATGACAACAGGTCCAACAATAAGGCCACTATCTGTCAGAATATATCCGCTGCTGCATTGAGAAGATAGAACATACCTGTTTTGGGGCTCCTGGGATCATATTAGTTGATTATAGATCAAAGGGTTTTTAGAACTACTTACCCAGCCTCTGGGACACCGAATTCGTCCTCGAAGCAAGTGTCTTAGCAGATATTAAATCGTCCTTCATGTAACGCCGACTGTGCACTAGATGCAGACAAAAGAGTTGCATTCGTAGTGAAACAGAGGGCTGAGAATTGTATTTTTGACATATGCCCACTGGTATGTATATATGGTGGAAAGAAACAGTTGTTAAATGGAACTGGAAGAGCTAGGGGTGTTGAATCATCGAGACAATCAGACAAAATATATACCTACTCCTTCCCAGTGAGTCCAACATAATACATCATAATGAATCGTTACAACAGCTCCAGATCACAGTCAAGGGATCAGCCCTAACCGCTAGCCTGGCCTCGACCTATCATGGAACATTAACGGAAGAGGCGGGTTATATCTAACACTGATACTCAACAACACCATCAACCAAATACATCGAAGTTTAATGCAAATGGTTACTGGAGAACTTTTGGTTATAGTTAATTTAAGTTGTACGTGATGCAATGGGCAGGCTCTGCAAGATTTAAACTTAACCGACCTTATTTAAAAAGCGATGCTTCCGGCACTAACAGAGTGGCTGTATGGCATTATTACATAGTACACTCCACTAGAAATCTCTAAAATCGTAGGAAGATGATATTCATGTGCTCGAAGAGACCGCCGGTTTTGTCTACTTGGAGAGAAGATCTGGTTCCGCTCATTCCTAATATCCTTCACAACTTGGGAGAGTAAAGTCAACAGTACAATTCTCCACGCCTTGCCAGAACCAATTAACTCTAAAATCTCTAGTCAATTAACCACTACGGCCACCTGATTGTCGGTCCCAAAAAAAAAGGTGGCAGGCAATGTTTCGGTGAAAGTGCCAGCTTTAAGTTAGGATTAAAGAATCCTGCTTCTAGAGCCGCCTTTCCTAATAGACTGACAGTTGTTTTCAGTAGAGCCCTGGAACTTGGCCCCTGCAGCTATACTGATTTTCTCTCTAGTAAGGGATATGTTCTCAGTCTAAATGCATAGTTAAATTATAATTGCTAACATTATTGAATAGGCCATCATTTTCTGCCTTTCCAAATGTATCGATAACGTTTACTTTCGTCCTCTCGGTCGCTTCCCGGTTATCCGAGTGGCCGCCCACCTACCTGAAATACCGCACAACACTTTCGAGGACGTGGCAATGACGCCGTTAGTGCTCTTCACCAGCAATACAGAAAGGTTTTTCGAGTTGCAACGTGCAGGCTCTCATTTACGACCCGTAAGGCCTAGCGGACATCTATCTTGCTTTAATACGCTCTAACTAGTTAGTTAAGTATCTGTCGATAGGGATTATGTAAAAAGACTGCGTGCGATATCTTAAAGCAGTACGGATTACGGAGTAGATATGTATGCACACTTTGATAGAGTAGTAGTAAGAATTATCTCTTGTGCTATATATAGATAGGGCAACAAACTCTATTCCGCGGATGACCTCATGGTTGGTCGCCATGATACTATATCCACGGAACATATACTGAGGATCTATCGGAAATCAACGGCCACGGGTTTTCTCTAAATATTAAATAACACCTCCAAGTACGGAGTACTCTATGCCCTTGACATTCAGAGCTATGTAACCCGCGAGAAGAATCAGGGAATCTCTTTTTCCTCATGCAGACTCCACTCGGTAGCCGACTGGCGATTGCTTCTTTTGGTGACAGGGCTAGCGGACGAACAGTTGGCCTCTTGGCTCCGCATATTGTCTAACACCTTGTTTTGGCCCCTTTCCGTTCTCCACCATCACTCGTCGGAATACGCCGATAATCCGTCGTCGATAGTGCAGTCCGCCCGAAGGCGGATAATCTCTCCCTGGTTGCCGGGACATCATGCCCATCGACCACCCACAGACTCTCCAAATCTTAAGGCATTAATCTGTCACTTAACACCCAGCACAGAGTAACTTGCCGTACTAATAGGAGGGGGCCCGGCTTAGCGAGTGTTTGTGTGGGTTTTAGACCAATGATATGCCCACCCCTAATCCGATTTAGGCGATCAACATTCCCCACATGGAACCGTCGACGAATCCAGACAGCCCAATCAGTCCAATCCCCAGAATTGTGCCGCTCTCAGTTGCCCCTTACGCGAGGCCCTGTCGTTGTTGGGCCCACACAAATCTTGGCGAGCCCTGTTCTTTTTCTTTTTTTTCTTCTTTTTCTCTCCCCATTCCCATGCCCTGACCATTCTCCCAATGAGGCTGATCAAGTTTCCGTTCTTATTATTCATTCGTGCGCCAGCAAAATGACCGATATCGCAGGCTGACTTGCCATCCTTTTTTTCCCATGCATCGTCGATTGTACTTTCCATAACACCCATCCCTCCAGCCTCCTTGACGTTTCTTTCTTCCCTTTCCCCTTATATCACATCTTCCACCGCTTCTCCGCGAGAGCGCTTGCCGCCGTTACCATGTCGAAACGGCGGGTACTCCGTTGGCCTGCCCGCCGTACAGCTGGGCTAGGGTGTCTGGCCCTGGTTCTTACGTCGCTCCTCTCTCTGATGATGTACACGAATCGGGCAATGGAACCAGAACCTAGTAGTACGTTGGCCTACCTGGCGCGATGTCCTATAACATGCTGATAGGAATAGGCCCGGAACCAGTCTACGGCGAGGTCATGCGACAACTTTCTGAAATCACCAACAACTACGCCAATTCTACGAAAATCGGACTCGTGTTGGCCGCGACGCAGACAGAGGATTTGAATTGGCTACTCAACTACTGCAGGGACCAGTGAGACCCACTTTTCTCCCTACCCCTGAGATTATAAGTCTGGGATAGGTAGATAGACACAAGACTGACATCTCATACCTAGTGGAACAACCCCCTTCGTCTACACCACCGACGCCACGCCCGAACCTCACCTACTCGTCCCGCGGACCACGCGCGGTCGCGAAGCCACCGCATACCTTTCCTTCGTGGTTGACTACTACGACCATCTCCCGGACTACTCGATCTTCATCCACTCGAATCGTGACCAGTGGCATAATGACCTGTTTGGACCTCGCACGAGTTCCGCACTACCCCATCTACGTCTCGAGGCAGTGGACGCGCAAGGTTACGTCAACCTGCGCTGCGAACACGAGCCCGGCTGTCCGACTAACGTGCACCCGTGGAGTCCAACCAAGATTGATATTGAAAAGGACGATATCCGTGCGTACTTCCCGCAGGTGTACCAGACACTGTTCAACGTGGGCAAGGAGAAAGTGCCGGAGCATATTGGGAATGTCTGCTGTGGACAGTTTGCCGTGAGTCGGCAGCGTATCCGACAGCGGCCGCGGTATGACTACGAGCGCATGTTGAAGTGGGCGGCCGAGACGGAGTTGACGGATAGTTTTGGAGTGGGGTGGGTATTTGAAAAAGTGTGGCATGTCGTTTTTGGGATGGAGGATATCTAGTAAGTCTTGTTTATTGCCTCTTTCTATTCAACAAGATTAACGTGATTAGCTGCCCCCGCTACGAGCAATGCCGTTGTGATACATACGGATGGTGTGGACCGTTGCCATCGGGCGAAACACTGCAGGCAGTGCGGGCCCCCACCGGCAAGCATCAGTGGAGTTAATAGGTATAAATTGTTTAATGATTGTCGATGTATATTATCATATCATATATCCTTCATGGCATGGTATTGGGACGGGAAGGAACATACACCGTGGTTACGAGACAGCACTGTTCTACCCATAACCGATTTGGTTCAGATACGACTGGTAGCATAGCAAAGCAAGCCTCTTGGTATCATATCATCCAACGTAACTAAGGTAGTCATGCATGTATCATATCAAAATTTACTCAGTCGTGATGAATCGCTTGTTGATGGGTTCCTCGCACAGGACCCGCGTCCAATTCATACGGCGCATCCTGTTCCCGGGCCGACTGCACCGGCGCCTCATGCACATCCCCACTATCCAACATGGGCACATCCGACTCGGACGGCTGTCTCCTCGGCATGGGTCTCAAAAACAACGATGGATCCGACTGCGCGTTCGTCCCCGCTCCCATCGACGCCCTCTGATCCCCCACCACCAACGCCGACGGCAGCGACGTTGAGCCTCCCCCAGCCTCAGTCTCTAGCGGCGGCGGCGACAGCGGTTTCCGCGGAATAGAATTAACAGCCTGCATCTGGGACGAATCTTCAGGCAGACTCGGCGTCCCCGATACCCTGTGCTCGGCTTTCTCCTCGTCTACGATGGTCCTGGCGGCACCCGCGGCCGCGATGTTATCAATGGCTTCCTTCTGGGCGCGACGTTGTCGTCTTTGTCGTCGTGCACACATCCAAACCAACAGGACGATAAGGAGCACGCCCAGGATCACGCCAATGGCGATACCGGCTTTCGCTCCGGCGCTTAATCCGGATGAGCCGCTTTTGCTATTAGAGCAGGAGTACGAGCCTTGAAATGCGCCTTGGTCGCGTAGTCTATCCAGAACTGAACATGATAAGTTTCCGCTGTTTTGAATGTTGGACTCGCCATGGACATTTTCGAGATTGGAGAAGGAGAGGCTTTTCCCGTTAGCTAATATTACAAATGCATAGTGGATCGGGAATGGGGATAGGAATGCAAAAAGAACCGACCTAGTAAAATCCCCCGAGAGCTTCAACCCCCTATTAACAGTTTCCAATCCGTCGAGTTTAAGCTCCTTGAGATTATCATTGTCCTGCACCTTGAGCTCTCCATCAACGGTACCCAAGTCATTGAATTCCAGACTCGTCAAGGCCTTGTTTCCCGTAACTGTGACGGTACCCGATACGGACTCGAGATCCTTTGCCGTGACGGCGTTGAGATTTTGCGTGTCTTTGATGGTCAACGGACCCTTGATTCCCTCTATGTTAGGGAGGGAGATGGCCCCGCGCGCAGAGGAGGTAATGGTTAATGGGCCGTAAATCGTATCGCAGTTAGAGAGGGCGTCTGCGTCGGATTGTGTCGAGATGGTGATATCTCCTGCGCCTGGTACAGGTTATAATATTAGTATTCGTATTAGTGAGGGAGGTACAGTATTGTGGGTATATACATCTTGAATCCGAACTGGCTGCGACGAGCGCAGCCAGGGACAGACATAGGAACGAAGACGAGAGCATTCGTCAGAGTTGAGGACAGGAGGAAAAAGGGACCGAGAAAGGGGATATTCGAGCAATATGAACCATCGCGGGGGGGCGGGTCTAATAGCTGGGTAGATCCTGGTAAATTATAAATACATATTGGGGTTGTGGCGGAGCATAAACCCGGTTGCTTCGGGGCGGGAATTAGTTGAAATAGCGTCTGGTTTGATCGTCGGTCAATATAAGTCTAGTACTTTATGGAATCATGAAGTGGTGGTTTCTCGTCCTGAAAGGTTGCCTAGATGGTATTCAACCCCGTGGATTTCTCCATAGACTCAGCCCTATGTCACCCAGAGTTATCTACCCGTGTTGATGGTCTTATCCAGTGGCACGGAGGACTCCGTGCTCCGGATCTCATTGGAAAAAACTCAGTGCCAAGTGCCAAGATGCCAGATATCCTCCGACGCATCTCCCTCGCACATCGACACAGGACAAAAGATCAATGGAACAATAAAATAAAAGGCTTAAATATATTAAATAACACTACTGGCAGGTGTTACTCCGCAGTACTACGTCTAATAATAACTGAGGCAACAACAATCTATAACAATCGTGACTACAAACACGCCCCTCATTGGCAGGACCCGAACATGGATAATGGCATGATCAGGACTTCGTATTCAATTACAGAGGACAACAAGAAAATAGATGCCTAAGAACAATCCCCGCTCATGGCCTATTCAGTACTGTCCGTCGCCGTCTATTTTTAACTGCCAAATCGGGGACCAAATGGATGAGGATGGAAAGGAATGCCAAGACCGAACTACCCACTTCATCAGGCATCGACAATTCGGATGGCCGAATCGGGCAGTTGAGCTGCGGGTCTGAGACTGAATTGTCATGGATTACTGCTTTGGGGAAGGTGCTGATTTCTGCAGATGTAGTAAGAATTGTAGGTGACCTGCAGAATCAAGGTTTGTACTCATATGCTATTCGGCCTGGCTCTTTGTCTGCTGTATTTGGCAGTATATATTTATTCAGTAGGGATTGATCGTAATTTTTGATATTAAATATGCATATTGATCTGCTACTGTGAATGGCAGAGATTGGTTTTCTTTTTTCCCAAAAGTTAGAATCGTGACCTGTCAATCAGCACAGTTCATCATTTGCACCTTGAAATTTGTCTGATCAACTCGTACGGAGCACTCCTACGAGTCATCAACTGAGGAATAATTCCGAAAACTTTGTACAAAGACTTCCAAATTGGATATCATATCGTTACCTAACTGCCTGATCTATTACATCCCAAACTCGTCAATAACGCTCCTCGATTCGACAAAATCGTCATCCACGCCCATCACCGGCATTGCCAAACCAAATCCTACTGGACCTCCCACTTTCAGCCCCCTTTCGGTCTTCCAGAGCGGATGAGCCGGCAAGGCAATGACACTGACTCGCAGTCCGTACCGCAAGTCCTGGGAGCCGATCGCTTCGCCGTCCTGGCCCAGAATGGATATTAAGTCGGGAACGGTACAGACAACCTCCTGAGACTTCTCCGACCCAACAGAATCACTGAGAGCGGCGTATAGATATTCGTTTTGGAATGGAATGATCATGTGGCTGTTCGAAGATGGAGTTGAGCTCCCATCGGAATCGTCATTGTCAGGGCCAATAATGACGGCTCCCATTGTGTACCCATCACCGATATGTCGACGGACGTCGACAATCTTGCCGGTGAAGAGGAGTTTGCCTGCGCAGACGTCGAACTAGAGCTGGGGTCAGTATCGGTCTCGGTCATTTCATCAGCGGTGTGGAATCGGACGTACAATCGCATCGATGTAACTGCTCTTCTGCCGCCGAGCCATATGAATTGCTCTTCCAAGATACCACGCGAGGGAGATGGTGTTGGGAACGCCGTGTGACTTGACGGCGGATCCCGACAGCGGGTTGGCACACACTGCACATCCAAGTCCGAGCTCGATGGCGGTAGTCCGAAGGAGTTTCTCAAGTCGCTCAGGGGAGTCGGCGTTCTAGAGGTGTCAGTCAAATAGATGTATTTGAGCAGCATTGCTTCGCCTTACCATCACAAGGGAGACGTTGCCTTTGGCATCAGCCAACGCGCAAGGAACCAGTGAGTGACCGTAGATACTGAATGTGACTGGTGATAATGGTTAGTGGGTAGGTAGATAGACATCGTCGGCTCATGCTTACCATGATACATGGTCGGAAATGCTCGTCCCATCGCGTCGCCATCTACCACGGGAATATCAAGATGGACACCGGTAGGGAACGCGCTCATTCCATTTCCGCCACCGCTGGATCAGATGATCAGTCATGAATTACCACATCCAGGGAGAGCTTTCATCTCACATTTCATCAATGAAGACCCCGTCAAAGGAGGTATTTGGCAAGACCTTGCTAAGGGCTTCAATCCCCGTGGAAATCTCATTTCCTCCCGCAATACGTTCATTGATCACACTCGGGCTGCCATACCAGGAGCCGAAGCAGACCATATCGGTATCCCTGAGGGATTTTGGTGAAACAATGCGCATCCTTCCCTTCTCGCTGCTTCGGAGTGCATGAAGACTCTTGAGATACTCGTAATGTGTTGGTCCGCCGCCTCCTGTTCCCAGAACGCCACACCCGGTCGCGATCAGCTCGAGATCGATCTCAGACACGTACCATATACCGTTACACACCTCCGGTCGATATGTTTCTAGGTTTGTTTTCAGAGATGGCTTGATGGTCGACTCGAGTGCATCACGGACGGCGATCTTTTCGCCCTCGTCCTTCTCGTCGAACGCGGCTTCGGCGTCCAGGGAAACTAAAGGGGGAGGAATCAGTTCACCGGGGATGGCCAATTCTCCTACTGCGCGGATCTGAAGCCTGATGGCTCCATTGCTCGCGTACTGTAGAGGCATTTTGTTCACCTCGACAATCTGCACCTTGTCCCGGGACGCCCCCTTCAAGACTGCCAGATCGATGGCCTTCTCGCATGCGGCCTGGACGACAGCCTTTTCGCAACGGCCTTCAAGCAGTTCCACAACATCAATATTGCCAGAGACCTTGGCGATTGCAGCACCTACCGCGTTGGCCGCGCCTTGGTGCACCGGATGGATGCATTGGGCCACGTTCCGTGGACTTTCCGTGACAAGGAGTGAGCCTCCTCCTACCAGGAGAAGATGGACTGGAGCCGATGATACTTTCATGCGCTCGACGACACTTTCGAGCGTGTTCCTTATATCGTTACAGCCCCCCTCAATGATTGCTTGTGGTACGTCTTGCACGAGTGCCCGATCTCCGACTTGAGCTTTCCCCATCGCCACGACAATATCGGTTGCTGTTAAAGTTTGACCGCCAAACACTTTTGCTTCTTGCTGAATGAGGTGTCCTACTGATGCAGGACCGACGGCCACTTCGTCACACAGCGAAGAATTCGTGACGACCTTGCTGCCACCACCCAGTCCGATGGACGCCACCTCAGGCATAGAGAATGCCGTTCGGACCCCTCCAACCTCTACAAACCCTGGCGCCTGGCGAGGAAAACCAGAAGATAGGAGCGCACATACATCCGTCGTCGTTCCCCCGATGTCCATTACCAGTATCTGGGGTTCCTCTACGTCGACCTCATTGGATTCCGGTGTCGAGCTGACGCCTTTTACTTGGTCTAGGCCTGCCAAGAACGCCGCGCCGGTCATGCTGTTGGTTGGTCCACTGGCAAATGTCTTGATGGGGTATTCTGCGGCAGCGTCCGCTTCAATCAATGTCCCATCATTCTGAGACAGATATAGGGGGCATGAGAGTTTCAGGCGTGTCATCGCGCGGCGGAAGCTCTTAGTCACCCGGTCGGCTGTTCTGAGGATGGCCGCATTGAGAATGGTGGCATTTTCCCTCTCCAGAAAGCCAGTTGGACCGATATCGTGAGAGCAGACCACTCGTAGCTCGGGCGCTTCCTGGGATAATATTTTCTTGCATCGCTCCTCATGGATTCCTGCATGGTCGAGCGGCGAGAAAACTCCGATTAAGGCAACGGAACGGATACCCGAGGCCACAATATCTTTTGCTGTGGTTCTGATCTGCACCTCGTCTAACGTGGCAATCTCCCGGCTGTCAATCTCTAGACCTCCATCGAGGTAGTAGACCCCTCCGTCCAGAATGCTTCGGAGGCCAACTGGAAAGTCGGAGAAGGGTGGAATCTGTCTCGTGAAGGGGCCACAGAGTCTTACCACTGCGACCCGATCCAGTCTTCTTGCATCGGCTTCCACGAGAGCATTGATGAAATGGGTTGTGCCAATGGTGACGCTCAACACGCGGTCCTGGTCTACCGCTGATGCCTCAAGGACCGCCCGGATTGCACCCTCGATCCCGCTGGTGATGTCTGCCGTAGTTGGGGTCTTGTATGAAGCCAGTACGCCGCGTCCAGTGGTGTGTGAAGCCCTCAGATCTAGGATGACGGCATCGGTGTTGGTCCCGCCGACGTCAACTCCGATGCGATACAAGGACATGATTAAATGTTTTGTCCTCGTAGAAGTTGTCGGGTGATCCGGGATGCCCCTTGTTTTAAGTTCACTTTCCCACAAGGGCCATTCTTATGGCACTTTCGCGGCACGATCCCGCAGTATAGATCTCCTCGCTTGTGGTGTTTTTCCGGCGGTCGGGGAACTTTTGCGCTAACGGGAAAACTAATGCTCCTCAACGGGCGCACAAACCAATAATAAGAACACGATTCTTACATCTGTCTCGGTCAACTTTGCAGATTAACCGATGGGTTGCCGTCACCAAAAATCAAGCTGAGGGGAATTTTTACTAGCGATGTCGTCGGTCCGTCAGGAATCCCGCGGCCAACCTTATTGAAACTTCTACCTCCACTACTCCTGGGGCAGAGATTTCTTTTAAGGACGTAATAGTCTGATCGTGGATCCAACTCCATTTGAAAACCACTCCACTGGGTTCCTGAATATTGCGGAAGCTGGAGCCGTACAGTGGGTCACAATGGGACTGGCTACATTAATCAAGCGCATTGAGCTATCTCACGGCTCTCGATGGATAGTACGTTGCTACGCTGACACATTTGATCCTTCGATTTATGACTGATCTTTTTGGTCTACACAGAATGAAGATGTTCGCCCCGTCGAGTCGAAACGGCGCACCTGGACGTTTCTCACATTCCAGAATTATTGTACGACGAATACACCGAATATAGAAGATGGAATCATTGACGGTGGATAGGGCTCCTGATCAACTGCAACATCGCGACGTATCTGACCGGCAGTGCGCTTATCCCGATGGGCCTCACTTGGTGGCAGGCATTGATCGGTAATACTTTCAAATCTGGGACAGGACATTGAATCAGGCTTATTTCTTATTTCTCATTTCAGCGATCATCATTGGCAACATCCTGGCCACGGCTGCAATCATAGTGAGCTCTCTGGCTGGCGCACACTACCACAGTATACGACCTACCTGTCCTGCAACCTGACCGTTACAATTACTGATCAATGATTTAGTCGGCTTTCCGGTCTTCAGTCGTGCGGTATGGGGAATGTGGGGATCGCAGTTTGTCATTTGGAATCGAATCTTCCTTTCCCTAGGTAAGTGTCACGTATACTCGTCTGTCTATTACCTACTGATTGTGTACAGTTTGGTACGTTCCCACGGTCTCGAGATTAGACTATTTTTTCAAAAAAGAAAAGAAAAACGTTTAAAACACTAACACATTCATAGGTACGGATTTCAGGCCTGGGTGGGTGGTCAGTGCTTCTACCTGATCCTCCTCTCGTGGGACCCCAAATATGAACAGCACATCCCGAATACCATCCCAGCCTCGACAGGCATGACGTCCGCGCAATTCCTCTCATACTTCATTTTCTGCATCGTGAGTCTGCCGGCCTTGCTGATCCGGCCGCACCGTCTGGACAAATTCTTCTACGCCGCCAGCACCATCACGCTGGTCTTCTTCGTGGTTCTGCTGATCTGGGGGCTGGCGACCATGGGGCCTGGGGGATTTGGCGACACACTAAGCAGCAATAGGACAGTACCCCTGACAGGTGGACCGAATAGCATCGCCTGGATGATGGTCAGCGGGATCATGTCGACGATTGGAAGTATCGCGGCTGGGATTCTAAACCAGAACGACTATGCTCGTCTGGCGCGACGTCCCAGTGATGCCATATGGGGCCAAGCCTTTGCCTATCCGCTCTATAGCATCTTCACATCCGTCATCGGCATCCTCGTCACCGCCGCAACTCAGAAACGACTAGGCGGCGTGCCGGAGTGGAATCCGCCTACTCTTTTCGTTCGTCTTCTAGAGATAGACAATAGTCCGGGCACTCGTGCAGCGCTCTTCTTCGCGGGTCTCGCGTTGGTGATCTCCCAGATCGGAAGTAGTATTCCCGGCAATGCTCTCTCAGGCGGGATCGATCTGGCCTCGGTGTTTCCTCGATACATAAACATCCGTCGCGGCGCGTATATCATCGCTGCTTTCAGTCCAATCGTCAATCCGTGGCGGTTAGTCAACACGGCCACGACCTTCCTGACGGTGCTGTCTAGCTACGGTGTATTCCTAGCCCCTATGACCGGCCTCATGGCCGCGCATTATCTCCTCGTCGCCAGACAGAAGATTAACATCGACCATCTGTACGTGGGCTCCGACAGCAGTATATACTGGTACACATGGGGAATCAACTATCGGGCTTTCATCGCCGTAAGTATTATCCGCCCGATCAATAGAGTAAGTCACGTGATATTAACCTTTCTTGGCAGTGGCTTGTCGGTGTTATACCCTGTCTACCCGGTTTCATCGCGGCAGTCAATACGTCAGTCAAAGTCTCCGATGGTGCAACCGAGCTGTACTTTCTCAACTACCTGTACGGGTTCCTCTCCAGCGGAGTTGTGTATACAGTGCTACATTTCGTTTTTCCCGCGAGCCGCGTTCAGGAATTCGTATCGAGCTATGTCACCTCCAAGGAAGTCCGGAGATACTATGAAGATAAATGGGAGACGATTTCCCCGGCACAGGGGTTGGATATCTCCGAGTATGCCTATCCTGCCTCCCGTGTGGAGGAGTCTATCAAGGGGGCTGGAACTACTGCGGTGGCGATGTGATGTGATATACCTAGCTTTTGTTATTTTGTTCACTATATATGTACAAAGTCGATGTATATAACTCCTGAGATAATAAAGCAGAACGATAGAAATTCAAAAAGACATGTATGTTGTATGTACGTGCGTATGTATGTAACCTTGAACAAAAGCCATACATAACTATAATGTAGCCAAATTCTTCAACGGAAGGAAAAACCAGGCCTCCTGCAGGATGCTACCTAGCATGTCAGCTCTCATAGAAATCGTCGGCGAATCTCTGCCCGCTAAGCCCGTGCCCGCTGGTATGTTAAATTCTGACATGCGCAAGAACTAACTATAGCACATGACTAACTAAGAGCATGGGGTAACCAAGTTAGTCACATCGTGTAGTCTACAGTACTGGGTAAATGGATTGTCTCACGTGATATCGAATTCATTTACATAGGCGTCATCGGGGTATTCACATTCACACCGATCGAGGTTGAGCTCGAACTCGCCCCCTTGAGTAAATCCGAAGCTTGCGCGAAAAAAGAGTTAATCCGTAGCGTGACTGGGCGGAGAACTAATCTCCCATCGATACTTTCTGCGGTCTCCAGACGTTGTAGGGACTGTTGGAAGCTCTCTAGTAATCGATATGCGGCTTCGATGTCGTGCGGGGTGTACGCGAGTAGGAACATGTAGATGAGGAAATTTCCACAGAGTATTAATTGCGATCGCGTATCTAAATAACATAATTAGTATAGATAGGGTAAAGAGGAGGAATAACTTACGTCGCGGCCAGAAACATCCCAGATCATCCCCGCAGAGAGAATCCATAAAAGTAGTGAAAGACTTGAACTCGTCTAGCGCTGCAGAGAACCATTGTCGTAGGTTGGATTCCGGGTCTACCCGTGCCTCTTTGGTGGCTGGATGCATTAGGGCTCGGAAGAGGAGAACTTGAGCTGCGTAGTATGATAGATGGAGGGGGACTATAAAAAAATCAACATCACGATAGTCTTTGCTGAATTAGATCCGTTCAAACTCACTATTATTGTGGAGGTTCAAAGGCCCCCCTGCTGATCCAACCCCCAAGGCTTGCGGTAGAAGATTGAGCCAATCTACTAATGTATGTCTTGCCCGGATCAGCTGTGCTTTTGGGGATGGTATTGTAGGGTCCCGAGTTGGTTTTATCTGGCTGTTTGACAATTAGTTCTTAATTTTGTAAGTAAAAGCGAGTAGGGTTGACTCACAATGAGCAATCTAAAACAGTCCGTAGACATTGAGCAATTTCGACCGTTTTCATGAATCGAGCACCATCGACCACCCGGAAGCTTGTATCTGAGGAATCCACGAGAGATGACAGGTCGTCTGGGACATCTTCGTCGAACCGTACGTCCTCCATATCTAAAGGAGAAGTATCGAAGGAGTCTGCGCTGATATGTGGTGGATTTCCATGACTTATAGAGGACCAGCAGTCGGTAACGTACGTTGCCCACCAAAGCTTCTTACGAAGCTTCTTCTCCGATGAGACGATATTCCATGGTCGGGGATCTCGATGGAGACCCATCATCTGCGCACAGGCGACGGCCTGCGAGGTCAAGATCCACGTGCTTGGTGTCTCGACGCTGTCGATTTCCGGAGGTCGTAAGTGAAGTAGCAGTAGACAGGCTTGCAGCTTGAACAGACTGGGTGACTCCAACTCACGCCGAAGAGCGGAATGTGCATGGTCTAGAAGCTCGTGTTGCACAAATGACCGACGATTGCGTAGTGAAGGATCGCAATTCCAGAAGACACATGCCAGCGCGTATATGGCTCCTCGCAGGGAAGTGGGTATCTCCTCCTTGGCACGGATATATTGGCGAAGAAAGCGCACCTTGGACACAATGGGATACACGGGATGGATGTGCCGGAAGAAAAGCCGCACCAGATCTGGGCCATAAGGCCATACGGTGGATTCGATGCCATGCGACGCTGCTTCCATGGCGCGGTTAGTATGTTCGGGGAACTCGTCTTGCAGTAATAGGAAATGAACGGGATCCTCGTTGGAGCCACGGTCGCCTGAGTATACTTGGATAATGTCAGCATCGACTTCTTCTTCGCTCATGATCACGGAGCGGAAGGCGTCTAAGAGATAAGTGTCCTGCTCGGCTGTTGGACCCATGCAATGGGCTGTTTTAGTCGGTATGTCTTCTAGAGTGTAGGTCGCAGGGACCGCAGCAGGGTCTCGCGGCGAGATACCCTGCGTAGGAGCTAACAACCCATCTGCGGTCACTGACGCCGAGCCAGGGTCCAGATTCTGATTCAGGATTCTGGAAATCGGCAGCACAGGGGTTGAACTAGCCTGGTTGACGCTGAATAGAGGCTGAGAATCTGATGCACTCGCATCTGATCCAGGGTGGGGGCTACTGGCAGTTGGACCAGCGCCAGACGAAGAGATGCAATCAAATCCCCTGCTCTTACAGGATAGACCTTCGCCCACTGGTCAGCCGCAGGAGACCAGCATGATCGGCTCCAAAACTTACATGGTGGCTTGTCCGGAATAATGCACGCGGTTTTCCGCCTCCGGCAGGCGTCGCACGGTCGATTTTTGCGACTCCTGGGAGTCCTAGGGTGGCCGAACTGACTTTGGATGTAGAACTTGCGGGGTTTAGGGGGAAAGGACTCTGACGATGTACTTTGGTTCCGCATCGCCGATTCCCCGACACAGGATGAGTGGAGTCTCGACTGTTGGGCCTCGAGGGAGCTAGGTACAGAATATGGGGGGTTTCAACTGGACTTGCAGTCGTGAAGTGAATCCACTTCCCCGTCGGGTCGGACCGGAGTCGGTCGTCCTCCGGGGAACTTTGCTTAGCTCAGCAGCTGCACAGCGTAGTTAGTGTCAGATATACGGCTAGTCCCGAAGAGGAAATAGAATACGATTGGTAAAAAGGTCTTATTTGAATGAATTGAGCTGGTTGGGCTCTTCTTGATTATTGTTCTTGGTTATTCTTGATTGATTATTTTGTTGTGTGCTCCGCGGGGGTTTTACCCGTGTTCGCGAGGCACAATTCTCTTCAATTCGGGGGCTCGGGCGAGCTGACTATCTAGGTGGGTGACTAAGTGAGGCCACGTGACCATACCAAATATGGTAGGTCCCTAACACCCCGATCTGGTCACATGATTCTGGTCCACCAACGGCCATATTATTTGACAGGTAGTTGACTAAACGTATTTGCCAAGCGAACGCCGCACCACTGTATTCCATATAAAATAGCACTTTTTAGTGCTTTAATATCTCAGCAGCAAAGCCTCTAGAGCGTATAGAATTTAGTATATAGAATAACATAGTATTCTATTTTTGTACGTCAGATAGAGAGGCTTTTATTGTTAATTACAGCTGTGTTTTTGGTATTTTAAAATACTCTAGTGTAGTGGAGGAACGGGATTGGCATGTGACATTTGTATGGATAACTATTAAGTCCTCGTTCGAAGAGGTAATAGACAGTCAACAACCTTCTTACAGACCACGGAGCGCACCTGCGTAAGGGGAATGTTGTCTTCTCTCCTGTCAGGAACTTGTGTGGTCAGGGCCCACAACTTCTGAGCTGTCTGAGTGTCTCCTTTCCCCACTCCTTCGGAGTTCTACCACTTCCCTCTCATTCACTAGTACTAAGGGCCAGAAAAATTGTATAAAAATTTTAGAAAATAAGATTTGTTCTTATATAATATATGTCTATGTTCTTATTAACGGGTATAACTCTATAATTTCTGGTTGTGGAGATATAAAAGTACTAAAAGGTTCTATTTTATATGGAATACAGAGGGGGCCGCTCAGTTGAGGGGCAGCTGCCACGGGCTAGATGACATTGCGTCCTGTCGAGCAAGATATGTACACGAAGGAATCATTGGGGAAGGAAAATAAGAAGGTGAGCCTTTCTTATGAAGAGTTTAACCCTTTGTGCCCTCTCTTCCTTGGCCAATAATGGCTTTTAGGCCATTTCCAAGCCTACGCGAGGGCCAGTAGCCCCAGCCTGATCTGGGGTATCAAGCTCTGTTCGCTTGGCAAATACGTTAACTATGCATAACATACATAACGCACCGATGTCGCAGCAACTGTATTACAGTATCTTTCGATTCATTCCTTTTAAATTTTAAGTATTCCATAGTGTTTGAGGTACCTGCTCAGTTTCTTTGCCACTTTGCCTCTTCTTTGTCTTTTTTATTGTCTTTTTATTCTCTCCTTTACGTTCTTCCTCCTTCCCTTTCTAGGGAAAAGTATCATTAGCCTTGGCACAGCCTAGACTAACGCTGCTGGTGGGGGTCGCTATTCACAAGAACCAAGTGACGCAGATATGTTATCAATTCGGGGGTGGGTACAGTCGCTGATGTTGACGGTGATGATGACGCAAACGTTGGATTGTCAGGGTATGCTGGTCTGATTAGGAGAGAGGTGAGATTGTAGAGAGAAGCTCTTCTGTATGACCGATACTGGGCTGAGGGTGTAGGGAGACTGGAGGGGGTCTGGTTTGTGAGGAGAGGATGGGAGGTGGGGGTAATAGGTATTTGCTTTAGGATGAAGGATTTGTTGTACTGGGTAAGTGTACATTTTATATTTAGTTAAAGTTTATCTTGTTTATAGAATGATGTATGTAATCCTATAGGAATAAGTGGTCCACTCTAACATTCATTAGAAATAGTAGAAGTGTGGATGCATCAGCAAGGGTATAATATAATCAGCTATGTACAATATATTCAGTGTAGTGTTACCTCTAATACTTTGACAGCTAAAATTTGAAGGATAGCATGGATACAGACTCTCACACTAAGAATCAATCGACCCAAGCCCTCTTTCAAGAGCCAGTCTTTCTTTTAGCCAAACCTTGAGGGATAACTAACTCCCGATACTAATCATCCGTCTTTCCGTACCACCACTTTGACCGAGCGCTGTCTCTTTAGACACCAATGTCCGCTTGCGTCTGGTGGCACCCCCAGGGAGTTCTGTTATGGCAGGCTCTGTATTGAGATCGACCTTACTGCTCGTTGGTCATATTGTGACATTTGGGCGCAGGTTGGGATAGAACAACCGTCATCTGGTTTGTGGTCCAATCTCGCTTCAGAGTCCTCGGTAGGCAGGAGTTCCTCAGGCCCATGACGGAGGGCATGCGATTCGCTTTCTCAGCTGTCTTCGAACAAATATGCAAAAAAATGACCAGAGTATATGCAACAAATAAGTTCGCAATTCCAACGTTGCCTTGGTATTGCATGTCTGTGTTGCAACAATAAAATAGTAACACCATGATCACAATGCTGATTCATAATGTGGAGGCATAATATATGCATCTTCATATATTGGAAGAGGATCACCCGCGCTGAAGACACCTTCTGGTATATCATCACCCACAACCATTGGATCTATGTAAATAGGATAGAACGCGCGAAAGGTCTTCCACAGAGGCTTTCGATCCACGAGTTTGCCAGTCGTCCGATCAAAAGTATCCTCTCCCGTGATGATATCAAGCTTTAGCCGGTGGTTGACTTTGATTGCTGTTCTTTCATTGCGTCCATCTATTTGAAGACATTCCTGTCCATCAAAACCATGTAAAGAAAGGAGGTCCTGACCCCCTGCTGTCTTGGCTACCTGCGGAATACTGATATTGAAATGAACCTCAATCATGTCTTTGTGTTTCTCTTGCACATCCCTGCCGGCAATCCAACGGCCCTTCAATTTCCCTCCGCACAGGGAATGTAGATGCTTGCCTTTGCAAGTCACTGTTCTTTCTTCCGAGTTGGCGTCATATGGGACCGCCATTATGCTGACTGTCTCTTCTACTTGCCACTTGATCTTTTTAATCACGGCATATTTGATATCAGTCTTTCTTTTGCCCTGTGATATCGTCTGCAGAGCAAGCAATCTAGCACAGTATGCCGCCTGTACTGTCTCATCCAGAGACATAGTCGGTGTTAGATGCAATTCTGTTATCATTTTGGCGTCCTGGTAGTGTCGAAAATAATCTATTGGTTCAGAGTGTCGAAGGACAAGGCGATGTAGTAGTTTTATCTCTTGCATGGTGTCCACAGTCCTTCCAGATGCCAAAGTGACCGTCGCTTTGATTGCGTAAGAGACACTCCCTAGCTCCATTTCCATTGATCCGGGTAGAACAAGTGGCATTGGAAGTAAAAAAGGATACCCCAGTACCGCTCTTCCATGACCTTGCTCCAGATGAATTGGAGAATGGTTAAGGTTGTGTTGTATCACTGTTGCAACACTTGCGCAATTGTCATGTTCAAACACCACTCTGGAATGATCTTGAGTCGAGGCACGTCTTGTAAGTCGCTGTATGCAGCTTCTAGTATCACGACGCGCCAGTGAGTTTCGTTTTCCGAGCCCTAAAAATCGGACAAGGTAAATATTGACCCTGGGACAATCCCTTGAATCCAGAATTGAAGAAGTTGCGAATGAAACGAAGCCCGATACTGCAGGGGAGTAGACCTCTCCATGAGATGTCAAAAATGTATAATGCACCTTGGGGACTAAGAGCTGTAAATGGCATATATCCATGGCCCCGCGATTGGATTGCATTGGGCTTTCAGCATCAATCGGAGGTGAGCAGTAGGTGGTAGTCTATGGTGAATTGGAGGGAAACAGATCATTAAAACAACAATGTGTTGCGGGGACCGTGAAGGAAGAAAGTCTATCACCGCAAGGGTATTCCTTGCTTCTGTTAGCTGACGAGTATTGTATATACAATAGTCATGCCAAGAACTAAAAGAGGAAGCCAAGCCGGAAGTTCGAGCTTTAAAATACCTCTAGGCTGAGCCTAGTTTTCGAATTTTAGCATTTTATGGCGTGACGCAATAAGAGGAGAGATTGTCGTACTAATAATGAGCAATCTGACAATCTGATTAAGGCTAAGATTTTCCTTTAGCTCAGTGCGCTACACAAAGTATTCTGAACTATATATTCTCTAAACCTTTGCATTCAATTTGTTCTACTTTATTAAAATATAACACCAACTTAGCTCCCTGCAATTCAATATGCAGAGAGGGATTGTACGACCAAAAGTAACATATATGTTGGAAATATTATCCGATCAACCTGAAGACCAGAAATGCACTGCCCACGCATTCTCAGAATAAGGATGAACTGTGGCAAACTCCGAGTGTCGCACTAACAATATCATAACCAAATGCAAATACGAGCAGGGTGGGGTTGAAACCACGAATTGTTACACTTCTTGAGATTACCGAATGCTGCCTCGCAGAAAAAAAAAATCCGTAACAAAACAGTGAAGGATGGGATATATTATATAGATAATCTCAGCGAAAATGGAAGCTGTAGGGGCATCCACTCTGTGTGTAAGCGAGAATTGCAGTCTACATTTTTCCATAGGGCTATACATACCTAGTCATCCTTCTTTTTTCTCATTCCCTCTATTTTTCCCTTTCTGTTACCCGAAGAGAGGGAGATGAAAAATAAAATAAAATAAAACTCCAGCAAGTCAACAAAAGACACATAGCCCCGGGCGAAAAAACCCGGATCAGCTAGGAACCGGAATTGGCTACGACAATCATATTATGTCCTCCGCATCCCCGCTTCGCTGCATGTTGTCTTCTATGGAAGTCGTATATGCAATCTTTTATACGAAACCATCCATACCAGGTTCGAATCATATCCCACCGGATAAAATATCTCTCCACAAGCCTTCAGCCAAACCCAAGTTAAGCTTGGCTTTGACATACATTATGGCCAAACACTTGGATAACTCTTCCTCTTTACTTCTGAACTTCTATATTGGAGAACATAGCAATATTTCTGGCACCCAGGACCTATTACGGTATTGCCCATGTAGTCAGATTGCATCATGGATCCATGAAGAACGGCTAGCACAGATATACTGCCAGAGACCAATCAGAGTGTAGCTGCATTTTGTTCACTTTGATTGGCCATATACACGGGCCATCTTCTGTCTGCGTCTTGGCTTCCATTTTGGGACTAGTGATGCGAATCTATATGCTTCTTTTTTATTTCTCATGAGAACAACCGGTTCTCCGTGCATGCATACATGCCACACTCCGCACAATGGGTCTCCATATATTCGTCATATTAAAGACCCATCTTGCAATCTATTTTACCAGCGTTGGATTTTGTTTTTGTCTCTATGTCTTTGTTCCTTTTTTCTCTTCTCAACATTGTTCTCTTCCCACTAGATATCCTCATGTAGTTAACAGCTTCAACCTGCAGACTATGACGATAGACTCCCCTTCGCCGTTCTTTTCCCTTCAGTGAGCACACAGACTTGGGAATACTGGGCTGGAGTTCTTGCCACTATAGCGCGGCTACAAAAACAGGACAAGCCCAAAGAAATTCGTAAATCCGTTACGTTTCCTAATTTCTCGATCGTCTAAAAGCTGACACGTTTTGTCGCCAAGGAGCCGTAGACGTTCTCCTATATCATACTTGCCCAAATCCCTGGGTTTCATAGCCGAGCAAACTTTACGACGTGGAAGAAATCAAGTTAGGGAGTGTTCCGATGTATTTTGTGAGTAAAAAGTAGCGAGGCTTGAGCACTACAGAAGTATGATGCAGTCAAGTACAGGACCTCGAATTCTATTCGATTATGCCGAGTCCCCTCCCCACAAGTCTAAGTCCCGTAGCTCGCCCCATTGCTTTTTTAATTCTCGCACCGCATTTGCCGTACGCCAACCTATTACCTTCTCAACCCTCTTTAGAAACTCTAACGTCCCACGTTGCACGACAGGATGGCGGAGACAGTATCCATCTAGACAAATTAGTCAAGGCCGAGGAAAGGGAGATAGACATACATCGAACGAGTAAATGACATGCCATGAAATATGCGTTCTCAACAGTCTCGTTGGAGATGGATAGTCCTATGACCTGAATAATGTGTGAGGCGATGGTGTTCTATTGCGTTTTTATTAGTGCTTCTTCAACACGAAGAAAACAAATAGAGGCAATAAACGAACCTCTTCTACCCGTCGTAGTCGCGCCAGATCATAATTGCTCACTGTTCCCCAGTGTCGATCAGCCGATGTGAGAAGAATGCAGCAGGTATGATAATATTGCAGTCCCACCGCTGTCATAATTAGCATGCGTACACGGACCTCTACTTCCAGCCAACGTACCAGCAGGTGCAGACATCATCCACAGTTCAGGAAATGGCCGATTATCTTCCGGGCTTGCGGCCTTATATTGCAACGGCTGCCAGCTGGTCGGCCTCGTGCGATACCATTCTTCCACGCTCTCTGACAAAATATGCCATTCGTCCTCATCGACCAGACAACCCGGTCCACAGGAATATAGTTGGATAATACGCGCACAAAAAAAAACAATCACATTGGCGTAGGCGGCATCGTCCTTACGCTGAAAGACAGCCGATCGCTCATAGTTGCCAAGATCTAACTGCATGGGCTGGCACTGGACAATAGACGCAAAGATCGCTTGTCGTAGAAACTGCCAGCTGACAGCTTCTGCAAGCCCCCCGGAGGATGCTGATTTGGTCATGGTATTGAGCAGTCTGTTTGACCCAAGGAAGTGGCAATTTTCACCATTCTCCCATTCAAACTCCTCGTAGATACGCAGAATGACTACCGTAATCAGTAGGTTATCGTCGTATGTATCCTCCGGTTTCGCAAGGGTATCAATTAACAGCTCCAAACATTGCCCATGATACTCAGTTGCTTCCCAGTCGCTTGTGTCGGACAAGATGGCATCCAGGCGTGCGGAGAGAGCCAGCACGGATTTGAGGACCATCGGCACCTGAAGAGCTCTACGCGGCACCTCAGCACTAAAATGTGAACGCAAGTCGCATATATCGGTCTGTATGGTCAGACATGCTAGGTGGAAAAATGGCCGGCGGCAAACGTACCCAAGGTGCGATCTTCTGAATAAAAAGGCGCAGTAGAAATGCCTCGCGGAAGCTAAGGGAGATTGCAGTGGTTGAACGTGGAGTTGAAGGACTCGTCGGTGAGGTTATCCCGGTCAATGTACTTGTTGACGCGGGGGGAGAGATAATGCTGGTAATGGTTTGTGGGGACATAGCAGATGACGCTGCTGGTTGCTCACCTGTTCCCGAGTTTTCAGCTGCGATGATTCCAGTCACCTCGGGAGGACCCGCAAGACTAGAGAGAGGCAAGTGGCTTGATCTCGGTAGAGCACCGAATGAAGGTTCCAAAGCACTCTTATGTGGGGGATGCTCCTCGTCCTCAGATTCGGCAGCGCCGCCGACACCGTCAATCGACTCTTCTGTGGACTCTTGCACAAATGTCACTGTAGGGATCAGTTTTATGCACTGGTATGAATAGAAAAACATCCACTTACAGGACTGCGGAACCTTTACCCAGGTCTGTGCCGAGTCCCAGTCCAGTTCAAACCTCGCCGCAGCCCCTTGGCTCTTCTGGTATACATGACGGACCGATTTGAAACGGAAGAGCGGATCAAGTCGACATATCCGTCCCAGTCGCGCACATGAATCACACGAGGACGCTCCTGATCGGATATTGCATCGAATATGACGAAGGCGACAATGTTCACATCCACGTCCGATTCTCATGGCAATTTGCGGGGCAGGTGACCCTGAGCGTTGAGCGCTGGGGAAAATAGTCGATAACGCACGATTGCATGGGTGGACTAGATAGTGTGATTGCTTTTCAGGACCTGAACTTTAGGTGGCGATGTGGGATATTATAGTGGGAGCCGGAGGAAGGTCGTGGGTGTAGCACCAGATAGAACAAGTATGGGGAAATTTGGAAAGGTGGAGGATTTCCCCGCAGCGCACCGTGCGGGGATTGGATGCGGCGGTTCTAGTCTTGTAATTTAATCGTGCCAACTCAAAGTCAATGGTGCTAGAAGGAGGTTAAGAATATGGACCAGTGATATATCTTGATTGCTCCACTTTCTTTATTGTCTCTTTCATTACGTGGATAGCTACCTCTCTACAGGCATTTAATCACAGCAATATCAGCGGCAATTGACCGTCAGTTGCCGATGAGGATGATCGCCGTCAGGGGCCCTATCTAGACTTAGTGCCACAGATCGGGCCCAGAACCTGTAGAGAAACGGTACGGAGAAAAAACAATAAGGATTGCCATATTTTCGCTATGCCACTGAGATTTACACAAGTACAGAACTGTTCGCAGCTCTTAATTCTTACTGGCCATGGCTCCCATGTTAATATGAGGTTTGTCAACTTCTGACACAAATAAGACACATCTAACCACCTCACTTAACCCGTTGTTGGTAACATCATATTTAATATAATGAACATTGATACACTGGTCTATGTATGTCTAATAATGGAAGCCATCATGTTGGCCATTTCTTTCTTACCTACAAAAATTGCTCAATTAACGTTAGTATTACCAACGCTTGTTTACAGATACATCCAAGACAATGAATGACAATAAACTTGGAGGGGAGGCAATCAAACTTCGCATCGTATTATTATCTTCTGTTTGTCTACATGTCATTCTAGAACATTCTCTTATGCGTGGCGGCATATGCCACCGAAATTGGGAAGGGATAGAGAGAGAAAGAATTTAAGGAGTCCCTACTTGGTCTTGCAAGCAGGCGCATGAGGCTGACAAGACAAGGACAGCCCGAATTGGAGGCACAGAGAATGCGATGCTAGCCATCAGTTAGTAGCTTAAACAGGAGAATAACTCGAGAACAATAATATCCATTGTAGTAGAATCATTGGATGGAATGCACGAAAAGATGGCTCCCAACTATAATCCAAAAACACACCACTCCCCTAGATCAAATTAAACAGGACTAGTCGTAAGGGACATTCAGCTCGTGCGAATGTTGCTCCTGTGATATTTTCGTGAACTGAATCCTAATATCGTCCGGAGGCGGCGACTCGCCGCAACGCTTCATGCCCATGTAGAGCTGGTGCTCAAACTTTCGCCCAGGATTAAAGCCTGCCACCCAGTCGTACTCAACATCTATATACTGCCCGTCATATAAGCTCCTGAAACGGCTCCCTTACGTCGTCCAGCTTGAAAATTCAAGTGTCGTCATCAGCCAGCATATCATCCAGATAGGTGAGCTCTATTTGCTAATGGGTCGCCATCTCTTGCCCGATGGTATTCCGAAGTTTAACCTCTTAATAAATAAATAGTAACAACATTCTAAAAATAGGAGGGTTATATTTTAAATGGGATTTCTCTTATGTATCGCAGATTTGGATCTTTCTTTCTCTCTGTGGACGTTCCCCGTCTGGTACCATAATTGACTGAATCCCCCCCCGTACGGCTCCAAAAGAGTATTAGTGACCACTTATCCTTGGATGAACTGGCGACAAACAGGAGTTAAGTTTTGTGACAATAAAGACAAAACGGCTTGGAAGTTGAATTTCCTGGCAAAGCCCTGCCATATACTTGTCTAATGTTCATTTCCAAGTCAAGATCAAACGAAAGACAAAGAGAATAAACACTTCAAACACTTCAAACCCCGTGCAAGCACCGTAATCCCCAAAACAACTTCTCCTCCATTCTGAGATTTCAGCCTCGGAAATCCTTCTCACAAGCGGAGAGGAATCATCCCATAAAGTTGATTCCCTTACCCACGGTGGCAAGTGCAAACACTAAACAGGAGTTCATCAGCATAACCCTTCATCTTTAATGGACCAACTAGAGAAGGGCGAGGTCTCACTTCTCGCCATTGCAGAATCCGCCAGAATGCCCCTCGAGGACACACTAAGTACAGTAAAGTCAGTCATGAACGTTGGTCTTCGCAAAGCAAGGACTACAGTTTGCATACCTTCGCCTGGCACGCTTTGTTGCCACCAAAAGCACAGGTCCAACCAGCGCGAGCGACCAGCCCTTCGGTGCGGCGCTCTAGCTCTGCAATGCGGCCCTCAAGAGGGTCAGGGTTTGGGGCAGCGATAGCCACAGAAGACAGGGTGAAGAGGAGCCCTGAAGTGATGATCTTGGAGAAATGCATTTTGGTAGTATGCTTGGAGGTTAGGAAGAATTAATTGATTGATTTAGTAAGTGGGTGAGTGAGTGTCTCTTCGTTGTCGTTGTTTGAATGCTTGATCTTTGCTGTTGATGTAGACGAAAACAGGAGGTTCGAGGAGGTATTTATGTCTTCGGGGCCCTGCTCATCTCGATTTCCGTCTGGAGTATCTTGTTTTTGCGAGATAACCCTCAGGTTACTCCAATTAACCATTCTCCATGCCTGCGCTCGCCATGCTGCAGGACGCAGATACGAGTTAGTAGCCCTCTCTGGCCCCGAGTTCGGACAGGTAATTTCAGTTTTTACCAAAAATATCGACCCACTTTCATGGTTCAAACTGAGGATACGAGGTTCAGCTTGGTAGATGTGCACCTTAAGCCTCGCAAGAATGGCTGAGAGCAAATCATGGAGCACATACGGGCCGATCCCAAGGGAATGTATCCTTGGGCAGAAAAAGCAACATGGCTGTCGTAGGGCCTTAAGGAGTGACTCAAAGTTTACTTGCGTGAAAATGGCAAATAGTTAAATGCAAGGAAATTTTACAATACGTGGCTAATGTTTTGTTAAATTCCTGAATCTTAGAGTATGTAAGTTGTTTCCATTATTATTATAATAGTGTTTTGCTATTTATAGTGTTAAACCACAAACTATAATAAACACTATATTATTCCATTTTCGATAATAGATAATAGTAGTTGAAATACCCCCTACAGTCTGATTGAAATAAAATCATTTGTAAGCGGCCGCATGGCGATTCAGAAGCCTGCATATCACCGAGGCCAGGGCAAAAAAGCAAGGGGAGTGTTCGATTAGCGCCCCCTAGGTTCAACAACACCCCCAGCTTCCAACAATAGCTAGCACCGTGACTAACTTTAGCATTGTAAACCTAGTTAAGTCACAAGAATGTAAAATTAACCAGTATGAGTAAATTACGTAACAAAATAATTTCTACCTTAGGCTGCCTGTAAGATCTATCTATACCTGCCTGGTCTGTAAGTTATATCTGTATGGTTTGCTGCAAGCTTCTCTCTTTCCGCCCTAATAGGCGGTGGGCAGGTTTATATAAAATTTAGCTAGATTAGACTAGATAGAGTAGCCTGATTAAAGGTACAGTAGAAGTAAGTGTGCTTACGAAGAATATAGCCACGATTTATGCTTCAATAGGAAGTTAGGGGTGTCTCCTGAACAAAGGGGGTGTCGACGGATTATTCTCCGACTGCAACCAACCAACCAACAGGAGCTATCCCCTTCGTGCTCCATTCTTTCTCTGAGAGCCTCAACCCTTTAGCTCCGGTGATCACATCTCCAGCTGAATGGAAATACGAAGTCTCGCAAAATAGAATTGACCCTAAGTCCGTCAATCATCTTAGGGAAAGTACCTTGGAGTCGGCTGTGATCATGTTGGCGGTGGAACACATTACCATATTCTGGAAAAACTACAGAGTAGGGGAGAAAGATTGGTTGACCTGGGGGCACTTTCTCAGCGCCAAAGAATGTGGCGGCCGCCTCGAGTAGAACCTGCATGGTTGGTTGTGTGGGACGAATTGTGTTCATACGAGACATCATAGAGAGGGAAAGACAAGTCGGCCATAGTGGTGCTTAAGCCTTTTTAGGGCGCAAAGCCAAGTTGAGCTATTCTGACAGCTACAAGTGGCACTCCTCTTATAATCTCAATTCAGCTAGTCTCCAAAATTGCTGAATCTCGAAGTATTCACACATACTTGTGTAAGGCGAGGCAATGAAGCCAATCGGAAACTTATCCTCTGTTACCAAGGTCTGGAGGTTGCTGTATGCTAAAGACCAATGCATCACAGAAGTTACAGTGGACCAGATAAATAAGAAGTCTTAGAGAATATCCACCCGGTTCAACAGGACACCCTGCAAGGCTGAGGCTGATTATTCTTGCCCCTCAACACAGCTATCCGTATAGGCGAAATCAGTCAAAGTAGCTACACTCTTACAACTTGGCCTAAAAAACAAAAAGTAATTTTCTAATACCCACTTGCTATACCATCTTCAGCGAAATTCTACTGAGTTATTCAACTTTAACCCCCTTCTCACCAACTCCTAGGATGGTGGGAACCCTGCAGATGATGGGGAAGAAATCTCAGCAGAAGAGATCTGTATTCTCCTCTTACAAATAGTTGGGTACACTCCTGGAGCCTTATTCAAGATTGAACTACAACAGGCATCTTACAGCACTTATAGTTGCCATGCTGTACTCATTGTCGCTTACTAGTCTCAGTTTCATTGCTTGGGCCCCAACCACATTCGCTCGGTAAATACTATAATCTCACTGGGAGAAGGCAACATATAGAACATACACATGGCCCCAAGTTGAGGAGTTTACGCTCAGTGGAGGAGAGGGAGTGAGACAAGATGACCTATTGAGACCGTAGGTTTAATTCTTTTTCTATTATTTCTTTCTATGTCCAAATACAGGATAAATGGGTTTAGAAGGTACTTGATAAGATAATATGCTACGCATATCCTCTAGTGGGAGTTTACCTCGTTTCTCGGATATAGAGAGTTGCTGTAACTCTGGCGATTAACTCTTATACATGCGTCAGACATTAAAATCTTCTCAGCTTCTTCTAACAGTATGTCTATAGTTGCTGCTTGGATATTGCTCCTTTGTTCTATCATAAGACATGCTACCTTCAGTCATTCTTCAAGCATTATCAGATCTAGAAGCTAATAAAACAAATAATGTCCTTCTACGATGTTGACTGCAGAGATACCACAAGCCTTCTCTATAACGGTTCTCATTTAGGGTAGCGATAAGGACAAATGGGGTGCCCCAGTAAAAGTAGCCGGAGAAATTGGAGAGTGTGTACTGGCGAAATGCGAGGTAAAAAAAATCGGAAATAGCAAGGTGGAAGGTCTTTGCAGCTGACATGGAATAATAACCTGAAGGACGCCCTCTTTCTCCTGTTACTCCTGCATAGTAGACTTGAATAATATTTAGTTTCTAAAGTTAAAACAAATATAATTGGAAATTAGTATATATTTTTTTATAGCTCTATCCCTGTGCGGTTTCGTGGTGGATTACGTTAGTTGCTCAGGCTGCGACTTAAATGGAAAGGAAAAATATTCGACGTGCCTAGAAACTCAAGTACATATGCATAGCTGTATATTAGAGCGGCTGGGTCGGACATTAAATTGATCTAAAAAAAAAAGAAAGAAAAGGAAGGAAAAGAAAAAGAAAAAAAGTAATTATATCGTTCCCTTTTTTACGGGTCCTCTTCGGCCGTGCTCATGCGTCCGGCACCTCGACCGAGCTGCTGCATGTATCGCCGCTTGCCCGATTTGACTCATCCAGGATGACCTTCTGTCACTACTGCCACTTTTCTCGTCTTCTAGCTCTCCCTCCTCTTCATTTCGCACGAATCGTTCGTCACTGCATCCAGGCCGAACTTCTGGATATCCTCTGGACCCGAGCTGACCTATCATGGCCCCACTTAAAATCGTCCGCAGTTGTTTCCTCATCATGCCTCGTACCTTGTATTTTTCCAACTCTGATCCTTGGCGGTATTTGCTTCTCAACGCACATCCTCCTTCACAGTGTCGGAATGCTTAACTAGAAAGCCTCCCGGACAATCCACCCAGTCAACACAATAGGAAAAGAGGAGCAAGCCTGGCCTCAATCGCATCGAGCTCGTGCTGCCCAATGGCGGTGCTAAGGCGTGGGCCTGTGTTGCGGGCTCATTTCTGCTGCAGTTTTGTTCCTTCGGTTACGTCAACGCGTAAGTATTCTCTCACCTCATTCTGCCCTGCATCCTATAACAACGGGCTGATCCTTCAAGAATAGGTGCGGAGTGTTCCAACTGTACTATAAGGAAACCATGCTCAAGGACCAAAGCTCGTCTGCCTTGGCCTGGATCACCGCCCTGCAGATCTTCCTGCTCTTCATGTTCGGTCCCGCCGTTGGGAAAATGATTGATGTTTGTGGATGCCGCAAGACGCTCCCACCATTCAGCATTATGGCAGTATTTTCAGTGTGCATGCTGAGCTTGTGCCCCGAGTTCTGAATGCTGGCACGGGGAGTCGCCTTCGGACTGGCTGTCGCTGGGCTATCTCTTCCCGCTATGGCAAAGGCGACACAGTGGTTTTCGACTAACAAGGGTTTGGCAGTCGGAATTGTGTTTGCGGGTAGCAGTCTAGGTGAGGATACACACGTCGGAAACAAGCTAACTCATAGATGGCGAATGTTAGACACAGGCGGAGTCATTTACCCACGTATACTTCCTCAACTGATCCAAGAGGTCGGCTTCGCGTCAGCTATTCGTTGGACCGCACTAATGCAAGGTATTCTTTTGCTTATTGCTAATCCTCTCTGTTCGTCTCCTTTCCCCCGGCTGGGTAAAGGATCCCACGTAGAGAGAGATGCCGCTCCCAGCAGTGGTATCCGTCCGTGGATTAAGAATTGGCCTTGAGCTTTCTTCGTTTTGGTTCGTATCTTTACCATGTGGGGCCTCTTTGCGCCCCTTAATTACCTCCCGGAGATGGCTTCGCTTCATGGATTTGGGGACTTTGCGCTGTACACCTTGGCTATCGCCAATGCAGGATCTATGGCTGGTTGAATTGTGCCTGGCTGGGCTAGTGACGCCATCGGACAATTCAACGCCATATGCATCGTGACAACTCTATCCGGTGTCTTGGTGTTGGCCTTCTGGCTGCCACTGGACTTTCAAACGTACCTGGCCGGTATTATCGTGTTCTCCTTACTCTTTGGTTTTATCAGTGGCGGCTTCGTGAGCGCTCTGCTTGGTCATCGCGCTAGGGGATTGACCGGCCTTCCTATCGAAGGAGCAATTAAAGACCGCGAAGGCAACAAGCTCACGGGCTTGATGTACTTTGCAGGAGCAACTATGATTCTTAGGAGAATATGCACCGGGGCCGCTTGAGTGATCAAGGGCGGACCACAACTCTCGAAGAAAGCATGATAAAAGGACCTTAATTAACATTGTAGAATGGGTGGCGATGTTGCTCATTGTAATATGAGATAATAGCTTAATCCAAAAGTGCCATTCTGTAAGAAGATCTCTAGCTGTAGAAATTGGAATTTTGACCAGTATGTTGGTGAAGAGATATACAAAAAAAGTGCATACGTAGTCAGGGGAATAAAGAAGGTCTAACTAATCTTCCCTACATCAACTCCGACTCCCATTCCAATCCTCTTACGCCATTGCCACTACAACTAGTATGCGGCGACACTACACTACACGTCCTCGGTGGAGCAAAATAACTTGTGTTAGACATCCTCGAGGGGAGACTACCCTGTTCAGCCACAATCCAGCTTCTTCCACCAGCTTGCGGTACCCCCTCCAGAGTCCGTTCTTTGTTTCTACACTGAGTCGGCATGCGGATATCTACGTACCGAGCCCCACGGCCCAGACGTCCGTCAAACAAGACCAACTCAACAATCAAGACTCGGCTTACCCCTGACTTGATATTCATGGTCTCCCGAATCCACCAAAGCAGCTCAATGCAATCCTTATTGCTCCAGCTGTGCAAGATCCAATGGAGAAAATAAATAGGTGACTTAGGATTGGTTCCTGGAAGAAGTCTCATCCAGTGATGGAAACAATTCTACTGGTCAGGGGGTCCTCGGCAGGAAATTGCTGCTAGAGAATCTCTGCAGTTGAAGGAAGCTCTAATGGAGCGACCGTAGCGTCGGAAAACTTCTCCAGGTAGCAGCGAATAAAGTCTCCTACTCCTACCCCAATATCGACCACAGTATCCGACGTTACATCGTCCCATGTGTAGGAGGCCAGGAGGCTCGACGACACTACCTGTACGGGTGACTTTGTGGAATCCAGCAGCTCTACCCGTTTCGGCCAGATACTGGTAGATGGGCTTGTCGGTATTGCAAAAAAGCTCTGTAGCAGTTTACGGTTGATCACCTTTCGGCTGATCTGGGAGACGGGAGAGAACATCGTAGTACTCGCGAGAGAAAGAGTCAACCCGATTGGGCCAGGTGGCCCTGTGGTCTCAGCGGAGGAGGTTTGATAGCCGGTTGTTGGACAACTGGCCGCTTTTAGGCTCCTGAGAAAAGTAGCCCATCTCGCGAAGATGCCGAACAATCTGAAAGAGGCCTTGCTCATGCAGTCCGGCGGCTTTGGTTAGCTCAGAAATGCTGCAAGTCTGAAGCTTCTGGACATGATCTGCCAGCGCGTATTCGCACGCATATAACAGGACTTTGCTGTTTGTAAAAGCTAATCTCAAATCAGACTGATTCCTTTATGCAAAATGTATGGTTCTTTGAAAGGTTTACAAAAAATCCCATCTACCAAAGTCAAATGGGGCGGAGTCAGGGTGACAAGAAGCTTGTCCAACACCTGCACTATCTCTAGGAACTTTTGGTAGACTAAGCTTGACGAATCTAGCCACGTCGGAGATACTTCGAGACAAGAGTTGAGCTCCTGCGACAAGGACGCTCAAGCAGCGACAATGCATGCTCAAGTTCATTTTTCATTTTGAAGTTCTACGGCTTGATAATACTAACTGGAAGATTGCTTTAATGAACAACACTATCATCAACACCACTATAGAGCTATCTTCTACAACGGCCCACCAAACTCCCACTCTCCAGACCACTTCTTCATCCAGCTGCAAAATCGGCTGTCATCAATTGCACTTGAAGATGGAACACAGTCTGCAAACTAGAGGGCCTGGTCAAGGGTCGCATATGCTCAACTCAATGCTCTGTCCAACATATGGAGCAAACGGCTTCTCCTGACCGGTGTGGGTGCAGACTGTACAGTTCATCTTCTATCCAAAAAGTCAATCGCAATGGTAGCAGCAACATTGGCTGTCTTTAAGCTTCGCGGGGCTTATGTGCCCATTGGCACTAATTCGTGGCGAAGTGATCGAATAGACACTGTTCTCGAAACCATCAACCCGCAAATCATCGTATCAACATCGGCGTGTCCGAAGGATTGCTACCCATACCCAGCTGTGGCATCGGAATGTATCGCTCAGTGAGATAGCAACGAGTAACGTGACCCATTAGTCACGAAAAAATAAAGACCTTGGTGATAGAGGAGACGATATTGCATATATTACCTTCACATCCGGTGCGACAGGAAAACTGAAAGGAGTGAAGATAGACCGGAGATCAATTTCTGGTTGCGTGAAAGAAGGAGGCAATTTACCGTTTAATTCCAACCCCAAACATGGCACAAGTGTGTTGCTTATCTGTTCAGTTGCCTTCGACCTTGAGTATACCTTGCCATCATGTGAGCATTCCCCTAATTTAAATCATGTAGTATGTGCCATAGTCATATTTAACACTCTCTGCAATGGTGAAACCCTGATTCTAGCAGCTCCGTCTACCTTTGAAGCCGCGACCAAAACATGCCATATTCTGCCATTGACTCCAAGAATTCTAGGTACGTTAGACCCCCAAGTGGGCTTCGATACAGTGTAAAGATTTTCCTCGGTGGCGAAAGCCCAAGCCCATCCTTGATCGAGGCATAGTCCCCTCTCCGTCGACGGCTATACAACTCGTACGGGCCTAGTGAGTCAACATGTATAGCGCTTGCGGGAGAACTCTTGCCTGGATCTCCTGTCACAATTGGCTTCCCAATATTCTATGGTACTGTTATCTTACTTGACGAGGCTTGTCTGGAATCCGCAGAAGGGGAAATCTGCATCTCTGCCCTAGGTCTCGCACTGGGATATTTCCATGAGTCAGATCTCACCGACAGCAATTTTGTTAAAAGGAACGGGACTCTGATTTACAGAACCGGAGACTATGGCAAGCATACCAAGCATGGATTACAGTTCTGCGGCCGCAGGGACAGTGTGGTCAAGAATAGGGGCTTCTTAATCAACCTCGAATCAGATGTCGAGCCTGCTATACTGTCCTTTGGCAAAGTTGACGGCGCATCAGCCTTCATGTCTCATGGACAACTTGTTGCTTTTGTCACATCCATATCTGTCAAAGACGGACTTCGTAAATATCTCGCGGGTACGGTATCCTCGTTCTTGGTCCCCGATATTGTGATTTATTCACTGGACGAGTTCCCCACACAGACAACGGGAATGTCGACCGACAGAGCCTAGTACGCATGAATGAGCAAGAGCAAGGATTGGATAGGGGCAACATCGAGAAATCAAACTTCATTATTTGATTCGATATATGTTGTATTTCAGCGCTCCACCGTAGTCAATATGTACTTTCACAAGTTGTCCGGTGCCGCCTCACAAATCATACCGAAGAGAGAGTTACATAAAACCAGACATGGCCACTTTATCATTACTGGAAAGTCCGAAAGGGTTTCCTGGAAACAGGAGTATTTCTTGGGGTGCTAGATGAAGTTCGAGTAGTCCCGGCAGTGCATAGTCTAGATTATACTGAAACAGGACATGATAGACTAGATTTCTCAAACGCAAATTCCTTGATTCGCCTTGCATAGCTGCTTATTTTACAGGACATTTTTTGACGGACGTAGAAGACCCCCGAGCTAGGCAGCCATGATCATTAAAAGCTAAAAGACTGATATAATGGAAATTGTATAGATATTAACCAAGAATCTTATATAATATGCTTCTCTATATTGTTGTTCTAATTCTCTTCTGTAAACCTGAGGGATATATACTTGATGAGTATCATTATCGGGTAATATCCTATTAATCCGATTCAATACGGATTATATTCCGAAAGTAAGGCTCTTCTCCTAGATCGAGCCATGGTTCACAACAGTAGCAAACACAAATCTACTTCTCTCAGTCGGCTTTTCGATGCGGCGGCTACCTATGTGTTTAGCTCGAATGCCAATAGTTAGGCTAGAAAAAATAAATGGAGGGAAAGCAAGTGAATCATGGCATTGTGTTCCCAATTTGAACCAGCACAGTTTATTAACTGGCGAACTCCTTGTCTCACAGAACCCTCTAGCCATTGACGCCCCGCTAATCCCTCTTTGTTCACCGGCTACCATTTGTGCTTTCCATGAATTGAAGGCGCTGATCGATTCCGCCCCAGTTCGCATGTATATAATCCAGAAAATAATTACGGCGAGCTGCCAAGGATGTCGGTCCCCAGCCCGAGGCAAGTTCTTTTCAGCAGCACTTATATATGTTCCCAAGTTCATGATCATTATTGAGACCAAGTGGCTTTTTCTATCTACACGCTGATTGTCTTAAAAATACTATAAATGTCAGTTAGCATTAAATGGATAGATATCAACAACAATATTTGCTGGAAAGGGGAAGAGAACCTACCCAAACCCGGCAGCTCCAGTAGCCATTACAGTACCAGGCATCTGAGCTTGCCAATGCACCTCCTTGACCGATTCGGCATAGTGAACGAACAGCAACTGTGGTGGTACGTCCGACATGCCAGCCTGTCGGCTCTCCTCCTCGTCTAACTCAACAGCCAAATCCCACAATGTAACCGTGTTATCTGCAGACCCAACAGCAACCACGCTATCATCGGACGGGTGCCATTCAATACTCGTAATGGGCTCCCGATGGAAGTCGAACGCCGCTACGGGGGACGCCTTGATCTGTGAGGAGGGTGCCGAAGCATCCGGCTTCCAGTGTCTCAAATCCCACACCGCCCATTGCCCATCATCGGCACCGGTGGCGAGAAGATGGAATGTTTGATTAGACCAGGTCATCACGTTCACATCAGTGGTGGACACCTGAACATCCACAGCGGGCTTCCGAGACTTGGATCGCACATCCCAAACCTTGACGCTGCCATCACTGCTAGCGGAGGCAAAGACGTTCTTCTCATTGGGAGACCACTGTAGCTCCTCAACGGAGGACATATGGCCAGTGAACGGTCGGGTATCGGTCACCCATCCGCCTCCTTCAGTGCGCGTCGTGACATAAATTAATCCATCATTATCGCCCGTTAGCAGCTTCCCCAATGGCTGTAACGGAGACCAGTCGAGCGCATAACCTTCCGACTTGTGCATCCGGAGTGTCGATACTGGTTTCGACGCGGAAGGGGGTATCACGGTGCCAGGGACGTCGAAACTGGCAAGATGTTGGGTGACGTCGTGGATCACAACCTGTGAGTTCTCAAGCATGGTGGCGGTGAGGGTTTGAGGGGGTTTGTTATAATCTCCCGATTGGGATGGGGTCTGGTGTGCCCGAATTCGGTTTGTCGTGGAGCCCAGCGGGATACTCTTGGACTCAAGGATGGGTTCACCGAGGTCATCGTCGTCCGAGTCGCTCTCTGAGTCCGTTTCATTTCCCTTGTCCATCTTGCTCAATCCGCTCATCTTCAGTATCATCAATTCATTCTCCTTTGATCGTCCACCCTCGGCCTGCGTACCAGCGACCGCGTAAACTGTTGCGGGGTATGTCCTGCGGTTGTCGCCCAAGGAATCACGCACAATGTCAAACGAGAGACAGGGCCATGGGGTGCTGAGTGTGTGTAGCATATCATATGTCGATGGATCAGGAGATAGAACTTCTCCGGGGCCGAGTTTCGTCCTTCCAGGAATAAATGTCTGTTGATCTAACTCCATTGCCTCTGCATCTAGGGTCGCAGTCGGGGTTAGCAAGAAAAGCCTGTACAATCCGTTTGTAGAATCTACGTACCCTTCTGCTCCTCTTCCAGCTCTGCATCGGGACGTCCATCGACACCGGCTTCCAGGATCTCATCCTCACTCTCGAATTCATCCTCAAACTCATCTTCAAACTCCCCCACCTCGTCTGGAGGGGCGTCGGTGAAAGGGCGTTCTCCGGCCTTAAGAGCGGCAGATTGCTCGTCCGAATTATCAGCGGCTCGTTTGGACATGATGAATGAATGTAAGATGTGCAAAACTCTTCCTCCAGGGCCGTCGACGAGCCAGTCGTGCAGCAAGAAAATGGGTGGAGGACTGCTCCACGGGAAAAAAATTGCTGCTTAGGGTTCAGGAACTTTTTTTTTTTTTCTTTTCTCCGAGGCAGGCAGGCATCAACGCTAAACCTATCGTGGCATAGAGCCGATCCGGTCAATTCCCTCACCCACTTTTGGAGGTGCGGCTGTGTTGACCTCAGGCTCTCTCTCCAAAGGGGCTGCTGAGCTTCGTCCATCTTCGCTGCTCTATCACTCGCTCTGTCCAACGGTTGAGGAGTGCGGGTTTATTCATTTATATCGTGGTGTCCTCTTCAGTGGATCCATCACTCGGCCGTCACACGTCACATTTTGTTGGCTGCAAGGTGCATACAAACAAATCTTCCTCATTGCCTCCCGACACGGTGGCTATTGTGGACGACCCCCATCGTTGTTGAAGTACGCATGCTAACTGTCGAGTCTCGCTGCAGAAATTATTTCTTTCCTTAATATCGAACTTAATAAACAACGCTTTATGAAGTTTGTTGAGCCGTTGCTCTGACCCAGATCCTGGAATTCGGTTGGCTCGGCCTCCCCGCTCCACCGTACCACCGGGAGCTGACCATGTTTACATTCCACAGGCCCCGAACGAGATTCTTTCCTTCATTTAAAACACCCCCGTCAGCATGGACGCAGATGCGACACATATTCCCCCCACTGGCCCTCCCGACGCCCCGGAACGCCCCCAAGAACATCAGGAGACGCACGAAATCCCCGGTCCCGCAACCGAAATGATGGCTCCAGGCGAGACTCGCGCCAGACCGGCATACAATAACAACGGGTACAGCAGCGACTCGCGCGCCCACTATTCATCCCACAGCTATGAATTCCACTCCCCGGGACGCGACGTCCAGTCCGTCGATGGTGATCAGTCCCGACCGAACCTCTCTTCGTCTCTAAGCCATCAGCCACTTCCATCATCATCATCACGACCGAGTTCGGATCTCTCCCATAGTCACGAAAGACAGGGCCAATCGCAGCCCACCCAAGAGTCGAGTCAGAAACAATCATCCCAACAGACGAAAAACAGCGTGGTGATTAAAGTTGGAATGGTTGGCGATGCGCAGATCGGGAAGACTAGTTTGATGGTCAAATACGTGGAAGGGAGTTGGGATGAAGACTACATTCAAACGCTAGGTATGTGGAATCTCGCCAACCCCATGTTAAGAGCTAGGCAACGGGGCCCTTTGGCTGACCTATTGAGTTAGGCGTCAACTTTATGGAGAAGACAATTTCTATCCGCAATACGGAGATCACGTTTTCGATCTGGGATCTTGGTGGTCAGCGCGAATTCGTTAATATGCTTCCCCTCGTGTGCAACGATGCTGTGGCGATCCTGTTCATGTTCGATCTTACGCGCAAGAGTACCCTTAACTCCATCAAGGAATGGTACCGCCAGGGTCGTGGGTTTAACAAGACGGCTATCCCATTCCTGATTGGAACGAAATATGACCACTTTGTCAACTTTCCACGTGAGGATCAGGAGGAGATATCCATTCAGGTAGGTGGTGTTTGATGGTGATCGAGTGTTGCAACTAACCAGGATCAGGCAAGGAGATTCGCCCGGGCAATGAAGGCGAGCTTAATCTTCAGCAGTACCAGTCACAGTATCAATGTGCAAAAGGTTTGCATTGTCTCTAGTTGTCCGACATAGTCCGCTAATCGCGTACAGATCTTCAAAATTGTCCTGGCGAAAGCCTTCGACCTGAAGTGTACTATCCCCGAAATCGAAAACGTTGGCGAGCCACTGCTACTGTACAAGAATGTCTAATTATGACGGCAATGGGGAGGTGGGTAACGATTATGATGTACATTTGGACGAAGGCATGTTGACGATGGATCCAACTTCTCATACTCTTCAGACCAGTGGGATGACCATGGTGGATTGGCCACAACTTGGGTGCTCACCCTACAATTTCATTCTGTCTCTTCTTTCTTTCCTTAGCATTGGGATGCGTCCAGGGTTCCTTCATGTTTATTACTGACTTTCTTTTTCTCTTTTCTTCTGTTCAATTCCCCACTTGTGTTTCTAGTTTCTGTTCATCCTCTTGGTGCCCTTTTTCAATGTCCCGGTCATGGATGGCAGGGCAAGCCGGAGGGCATGCCAAGTGGGCCAACCTGTCTAACCCTTTTCCTTCAACGTGTGAAAATATCTAGCTCACATTGACGAACCAAATGTCAGAATTATTCCTACAGTCCCACCTGCACCTGTGAGTGAATGCAGGCCTCTATCCCTGGAGTCGGAACAACCTTGCATCCGCTCTGCTTTGGGAAATATGTCAATATGTAGCTCTAGGTGGGCGCTGTCCCTCACAACACGCCCACTTTGTTGCTAGACAAATAAAAGTCTCTTTTTGTGCTTCAGTTCACTTTACCTGCAGCAGGGTAGCGTTGATTCTATGTTTATATTTCTTTATCTTGTTCCTTCTGTTTATTCAGGGTTCCCGCTCATTTCGCATCCTCACTTCTCTCACCTAGCTGTCTCTAACGCTAGAAAATGGCAGGCTGGAATGACCTTCCTACTGAGCTTCGGTTGGCCATTCTGGAGCTCCTGGCGGAAGATCCTGGTCTCCAGGATCCCGCCGCTGGAAAAAGGCCATTGTCCTGCTACGTATGTGTGTGTCGGGAATGGCAGGACGTTTTCGAAAAGAGAAACTTTGCCCATATTAGACTGTCACCTGCGTGTTTGAGAGCCTTCAGCCGACTCGTTCGTCCCAGGAGCATGATCCGTCACATCTGGCTTTGCATCAACCTAAAGACTTACAACTGCGTGAAGTGCTATGTTTCGCACGAGATTTCTGATATTTACAGCAGCAAGGTCCTCGTCGGAGAAACCATCTCGAATCTGTTTTACATCCTCAGTCGCTGGTGCCTGACTGACACCGAGAACGGTAACGGGATCAGCTTAGAAATCAGTGCCCACGCTCCTGGCGACTATCGCGATGCGTTTGGCTCCCGGGCTTTCCAAGTTGCCTACACAGCTCCTTATGACCCTATCGAGCAGTGCAACTGCCTCGATCCCCATGTCACAGACACGCGGAGCATTTCCATTATCCGTCTCTTTACCTTGCCAATGACCCTGCTTCCTGAGCTGACCTTGCCCATGGTGGGTGTGGTCACCACACTGATCGTGCGTCGTCAGACGCATCGCCAGTTTTCCGCAGAATCATACAGTCGGATCGTCTGCCATTTACCCAATCTTCGCTATATCCGCCACGAGACCTGGAGGGAGCTCTCGAGATCATCTCAGCCTGTGATGGATGCAGGTGTGTACAAGAAGCTCTGACCATGCACATGCCACCATGCTAACCTCTGTCACGATGAATAGATAATAGAAAACTTCTGTGGACCGTCTTCCCTCAGACCCTGAAAAGCCTCTCCCTCTTCAAGGATTTCAATGAACACTTCATCTACGAGTTCCACGGACCGGCCGAGTTCCACGACGAACTCTTTCGCGATATCGACCCATCCGTCGGTTTCGCTCTCGCAGCAAAGAGTCAGCGTCTGGAACATCTATCTGCGGGGTTCATCGTGGATGCCACGTCATTCTTCATCGGGATTCGCCGCAACTGGGGCTGGGATAATCTTCTCACACTGGCTTTGACATCCAATCTCTTCCAACCTGACATGGACCTAGAGGGTGTCAACGAATTGCTGTTTCTCGCCGGAAAAGCCGCGCTCAAGATGCCGCAGCTTCGCGTCATGGAGCTCTGGAACGGCGGACACGGGTTTGGATCCATCTTCCGCTACGACAGAAGAGACGATTTTGCTTCGGTTACGTGGCTGAGCAGCGTCTTGAAGCTGCAGTTCCGCGTTGGAGTGGTTGACGTTTGGAACGAGGTGGCGCATCATCACGACCGGCCGGGAGTTCGCTTTTTTGTCGAGACATTGGATAGAAACGGGCTTTTGTCCCATGGGGATACGATCAATATGCTTGTCCTCAGATATGAGGTGCTGGATCCTATGTCGTTATATCAGATTGTTATGGAGGGGAGATATTACAGCTGATTTTGACCTGTTGATGATCGTTGGATTGTTCATACGTGATTATCGGTGGACATATTGAGTTGGTAATATGTTGATGTAGTGGACATATTACATTTCATTTTGTCAATGATGAGCCTGCGAGAGCATCGGGAGATTCACCCCATGACGAAATACGTCTCTGATGTCCTGTACTTAATGATGAGAATGTGAAATACACTCACGGAAAACTAATAAAAACTAAAGCAATTAAAGCAACGTAGGCTCGAAACTGAATTTCTGGAGAAGTATTTGAGATGTTCAACTTTTTATTCACCTTCGCCTTATTTCACTCCTATCAACCTCACAAACAATGAACGACAGAAACTTCATGTATCAGACTACTAAATAGAATACCACTAGCGGCAAATAGATATAGAACATCTACAAACAAACCCATTTACAAATCGGGGCGTATATATCACAGAGATAAATCTCAAGCACATGTATTCTGTCTACTCTGGCCTGAACCTCTCAAAGGAAGACAATCCTCCATAGACAGCTGGATGTACACAATATTCACAGATCGCATAGGTAATATAGTAGACTGAGCAAGTCTCGCCTAACCCACAGCGTATAATAACTAAACTACCGTCCCTTCCATGAGGATTCAATAACCTCTTGCGCAGTGGTCAACTTAATATCTGGAAAGTAATTATTCAAAGGATCTTCCGTCGGGACCAGTGCCGCATTAGACGCAGCCAGGTAATGAATCCCCGCAACTGCTGCCTCAAATTCATCCTGGGATAACCCATAGTCCGGTTCCGGAAATTCTGGGAACGAGATCTTTCCTCCGGCAAGGTGTTCCAAGCTGTCAAAAATGACGCGAAATTTCTCCCCTGTTTTATCAACATTAACGATATCCTTGATCCAAAACAGGTGAAAGAACATACCTCGAACTTTCTCTGCTATCTCGACAAGTTCTACGAACGTGAGAGCCTCCCCAACGATAGAGCTCAGTTTAGGCCACTTGGACAGATCCATCAAACGGGCCACAAACTTCGCTGTATCTTGAGTAGTGATGAAATTTGCCTTTGATGTCCCATCGCCTGGAATCACGGCCCATTTGCCAGCTACTGATATAGAGGTGATCCACGGCTTTAGATGGGAAGGCCAGTGTGGAACACCGTAATAGTCTAGGAAAAAACCGTTGACAACACGAGTGTATTCAAGATCTGTCTTCTCCAGAGCGCTGATAGCGGCATATTGCCATTTCGCTTGGGGGACCAACTCAACAAATCTGGATCTGTCAGACACATTACACAGATGTTGAGGAGGGGGAAGTAACTGACTCTTCAGTGAGATACATATCGAAAGCGCTAATCACAAAGCGTCGTGTCGATTTTGACTTGTTAGCTGCTTGGATCAGGTTCAGTTGTGCCTCGTTGGACTGTTCGGTAATCATGCTCAATGCAGATATCACAGTGTCGACGGCCGCGGACTCCAATACTGCAGATGCGGCGTCGACATCTTCGTAGTTGACTTGGAGATAGGTGATGTCCTTATTGGAAGCCCTCTCCTGCAGAAAAGATTAATAGTTGCTTTGGAAATTATTAGGATGTAGTGACTCACAGCGCGGGTCAGGACAATCACTTTATGTTTCTGTGTAGCGACAAGAGCTTCCACGATTGTCCTACCAACGCTTCCAGTGCCTCCAGAGACGGCTATAACACCCATGATTACTTATGAGGAATGAGGTTTCTCTAGGGAGTTTAGATGGGCATGACCAAAGGCGCGAGTTGTTGTCATTTATAGGTATATTGTCTGATATAGTTACCTGGCTGCGCATCTCGTAATGGCAGCCCCACTGTAAATCCTACATGTGCTGTTCGAGCAGGTGGTGAATGTGGAGTAGTATGGCACATTCCAATTTCTTCGGAGTTCTGGACACTATTTGTCAGGATCTATATATTATTTGTCAGTTTTTAAGTCTTATTTGTCAGGCTTTAAGCTTCCCAAGGCAGTAATTTGTATGAGTTTGTCTTCGGCGGACTCCGCGGATCCCGAGGCCGTGAGTTAGATGGTGGAGAGCGGAGGACGGAAGAATTTAGTGCTTGGCTTGCTATGTTATCAGGTTTATAAATATTCACGGGCAGGACCAATTCGAGGACAGGTGGTACTTCTGAAGGATATATATAGTAACATACCATGTATCAACGTATGCGGCCCGTTAGATGAGGGCTGCGCAAGTGAAAGAAATAAGACAGGTGATCTGGATGAATTTTAAAATTCTGCAGATTTATATGCGATTTGCTAGGTCTTGGTTGTTTTCACACAATAGCCCAATCCCCAACATGTTAGTTCCAAGTAACTCTAAAAGGTGCATACATGCATCTGGACTGTATCTTACTGCGGAGTGTATCCACTTGTATCCATGTAATGCCACCAGACCATTTAATAACATGCTAACTACTAGTGTTGCCTAACACGTCGCACTTAACAATATGTGGTCACTGGGTAGCATCTCACCTTCACTCGGAATCTAAGTCATGCAAACAAGGTCGTAGATATTACCAGCTCTCCTCTGTAATCAAGCTTTGTTTCCATTTCCTTCTCCTTATCACACCTGTCCAAACTGTTTCCTTGTCTATCAGAATATATACCTGGCCTATCCAAGGTTGGTATCCTTTTTACTCTAGTGTAATACTGCTCTTCACTTCTTTAGGGGCATTCAGATGATAAAACCATCAATGTCTTTGGTTCCATACGTTATGGTTTTAAGCACGTCAAACCCAGAAAGGCCAACAAAAGTGTTATGATTATTCGCTCATGGGAAGGAATGGATGGCAGAAGAACACTATACGAGCTACACGCCGGCAGCCTACTAAGGGGTCTTTTCACAGTAGTAACAACTAACTGTATTTAATCACCATCGCCGCCGCTCGCCAAGGTTTTAGGAGTAATCGGATACTTACCGAATCCCAAATATTTCTCTATCAAAAAATAAAATAAAATAAAATAAATTAAATTAATACACAAAACCATTCGACAAAAACTTGGACTCTTAGTGAGTGTCATGGACGCCGGGGGAATTGTGTTACAACAGTAAATACTGCGCATGTCACTGTAGGGAAAATAAGACTTTTGGACTTTTGCCTCGAAGACCACCCAACCGCTGGATGGCTATTGCAGAGTTAACTGCGCCAATTTATCAATAAGCTACAGACCCTTCCTTCGCGAGTTTTTGCTCGACTTTGAGCACTATAGCACCTGCGCAGACGGTTGGCACAGACAATCTACTACCTCCTATTTGGACTCAACGGAAGAAGGGCAATTATGTATAAGCCTCTGAAGACCCACGGGTTATTCAATTTTAATCTTTTTGCACAAGATCCTCGTTAGTTTGACCCAACAGGAAAATGCAAACAGCGTAGATCAAGGTTTCAGGAAATGCTCTAATTCTATCTAGACCAGGTTCTCACAGTTATAGTAGAAGTTTAGTCTTTTTTCACTGTATCTTTTTTTTATACCTTGCCTTTGCTACTTCACTTTGCCTTTCTTTTTGCTCATTATAATATCTGTTTATATTCCCTCTTTGTCTACTCACATTTTGTTCACTTTTTCTTTACTTTTTCTTTGCTTTAGTTTCCCTGCGAACCACTTGCATAAATTCAGAATTATATTGTGGAGTAACGTGACTTATATATAGTATACATTATGGAATGCACCTCTGGCATGGTTTGGCTGCTGAGATATCTTGCGTGACCGGTTAAGTACCGATTAAATAAGCAATGGTAAACCCCCGTATATACGAATTCCGGCTATCAATCCTACCAAGTAAGTCAATTTATGCGCTGCATATCACAACTGCTATGGCGACTCGTCTCGCCGCTCAGTGGACATGTTAATAGTTCTCTGTACGTTAATGTCACAATGAACTAGCCCGTCATCCGCAACACTCTCTTCATTCCAACTCGGATTCCGGGAATTTTGGCTCGTGACGATCGTCGAGATTGCATGTTGTTCTGCAGATCCCATGCCCGGAAGCCAGGCAGGTCCACCAGTATTCAGTTTAGCATGGGATCCCCGAGTTCTGCTGCTGCTAGACTGGCCCCTGCTACTAGACTGGCCCCTGCTACCTGACCTATTTGGGCTGAAGAAATGGAACAGAGGGCGGAGAGTCACCAGACTCCCAGCTGTGATACCTAGGCCGGCTTCAATATTCGATGTGATGGAAATACTGTATGTGGTATCTGCGAACCTGTTAATAGTAATGTCCGCAATGTATCCGTATAGAGTTATTTGATTCACATACAAAGAAAATCGGTACGTTTATAAAACTTGAGAAAGGGGATGCGGATAACAACGGCGGCGCTTGCACTGTAGAAGCTATTAGAGCAAAACAACAGGATAGGAACAGCTGTGGTTTATCCGCGTACATGCATCCTAGGCCAAGGATTCCAGTCAATGCCCATTTTGAGCGCCTACTCATCTGTAGATCCTTGAGAAGGTATATCGGATACAGGCCGAGGGTGAAATCGCATAGACAGGCTACTGCGCTGAAGAGGTAGGTCACATCGATGACATAATCAGTGTGCATGCAGTGACCCTGGCCCGTCCGTTCCCAAAACTCTCGTACTGGAGAGCATTGCAGTATCAACACAAACCAGAAGGGAAGGTCGATAAGTATCGTCAGCGCCATTACCACGTATGTAACCACGGCATCACGTCGTCGAACAGTTATCCGGAGGAGGAGCATGGCAATGGATAGTCTCGCAAACGAGACTACCCAAGGGTAGGCACACTGGCCAAGCCACCACCACTAATTCAGAGCTATCAGCGACGAGTTTTTTTTTTTCTTGGGTCGGGTGTGAAAGCTAATAACATACTAATAGAGCTCTTTGAATATCTTCGCGTTGATCAAAATCTGAAAATCTCCTCCCTAGTCCTGCCACTGATCCGGCGATTCCACAAACCGCGAACCAGATGTTTAACACCTAGTGAGTTAAATATTTAACCCAGCTCATTGATTTTATAGGAGAGTAGTATGATCTACATACCATTGCACACACCATTAGGATGTCATCCCACCCAAAGACTTTGACGAACTTCAATCGTACGTAGCATCGTAGAGAAACCGTAATGAACGAAATGCACAGGAAGACAGTGGTGACCACAAAAATTGCTTTGCTTCTACCCTCCAATTCCATCGTAGCAATTGCAGGGCTGGCAAGAATACCAGCAGAAACGTTTAGTACCACAAAGATATCTCAGATCATCGCGCCATTTACCACCTTTGTATCGGAAGATGGGAGACGCGAATTGTAGCTTCTAAAGAGTAACAAGCCACGGATATCTCAACAGGCGAAGGAATATGTTCAGTACTTTGTATTTCTAAAAATTGAAGTCGCTATTGAATCGATGTGAGAAAATTTTCAACGGTAGCGGTTCTAAAGAATATTCGAAAGGAACCGCGGGGTTCGCTCTCATCCACACGAGGTTACATTATTGCCGCAAGATCCATGGAACTTCAACTACATCACCGAATCCGAAGAGTATCACGGGAGACATACTTTTTTCTGCTGGCTGACGACCATGGCAGATCAGACCCACCCTGCCCATGATTTATTATGGGCAATTAAACTCCTCGTCTTGGCATTGGCTACTAGGCGACCCACAGAACCAAATCTAATGTCGATCTGCTGAATGTTCCGTAAGAAAGACTGATTGATTTGGCATGGCCATTATGATTCATACCAGAGTGGGGGATTTACAGTTCCATGAAACAGCGGGCGACTCAATTTAGCTTTAAGGTTCCAAACTGTTAAAGCTCACCTGTCGGAGCCAACCGCGCAGTTCTGCCCTCTTGGTATGCAGTACTCATATAGCTGGCCATGTAGTATAAGAACTTCAAGAGATTTAAGATAGTAAAATTTTCGGAATCATTTACAAGTAGCGGGAATGGCTGACTGATAGATCATGGTGCTTAGCGACTTCAAGAAATAGAGGTTGTGAAGACAAAAATAGAAGGCGGCTTTTTGATCCTCCCATTTTCTGCCTATAGTTTCCGCCATACTGCTCCACAAATACTAATTATCTCATGTTCGTCTGCATGCCGGCGAGGCGAACTGCATGACGTATGATCTGTTTGCTCTTACATATGACCTGTTAGCAAACCTTTCGGTTACAAATTTAAAGGAGCTGGTGTGTTTATTTCATTGTAAGTATATATTTCTTATTCCTCTTAGCTGCAACGGTTGCATGTGCTCACAACAGGTAAGTTCTCTTCCGGTATTATTATGCACTTAATTTTAATTGGCAACTCCTTTCAGGAAGATGGTATACAATTACATTAATACCACAGATACCACAACAAACAAATAAAATCAGGCCTGGATTAATTGCCAGCGTTGCAACGAAGTGAACACTGCTGAAGGTCCAAGAAACAGTACAAGATCGAAGTTAGGAGGGAAAATAACTGTCAGAGGAGCACAATAGAACTATATTTAGAATAGTTTTGTTATTGAAAGTATCAGATGCTCAGTCTGAGCATACTTCCATCTTTCTGTACGAAATAAAGGACCAATATAGTATTGTTCCTACCTCAATCTCATGGATCGAAACTACCCGGAAGTTTAAGATCTCGTAGTGATAACTGGAGGTTATCAATGACCCCGTTCTCGGAATCAACACTTCCCTTTAGCGTACTAGCATTACTATTCGATCGTTTAGATAGCCAGTCGTCCCTTAATGCGCGTGCCTTCTTATGACTTTCATGCCACTCGGCCATTGAAGCTGTTGGCGTGAAAGACGTCTCTTCCAGGGATTCATCGCCTGAGTGTTCACTTTCGGCAACTACCGGGCTTATCAACTCGAGCTTCGGAAGTTCAGGGATGCCGTCCTCTGCCAGGATGCTGTTCGAAACATCAAGTGGCTGTTGGAGAATAGTGGTAAAAGTGCCTCGTGCGACTGGATTTTTTATGGGCAAGTAGTTCGTCAGAGTCTCCGGAAGCTGCCCTGAGTAACAAATGCGCCGTTCATTTGCATCGCTTGGTACAAATAAATCCAGTTGCTCGTTGGAGTACTCCACGTGTAGTCTGCTGTATGCATCCACAGAAACGTGCTCACCCGATTGTAGCTGCAAGCTGTAGATTGCAGCAATATAGGCGCTCTTATAAACCCTTGCATTTCGATATATATTGTATATCTCCTCAGCGGCTATACTTTTCACACCGCTATAGTACACGGCACACCTGCTATGGATCAGCCTGAATTGGAGACAATAGTAATGGGAGGGCAAGTTGCATACCGACATAACAATCTAGCCTTTTCTCTGAATTCACGAGTAAGCCCCGGAGCGCTTTCAGTGGGTCTAGGATAGACTGCTGTTTTCTTCACTGCAGCTGTGGATATGAATCGTTTGTCTAGACCTAGGCTGTTTAGAAATGGCCTTATTCCCCGAATCTCATCCAGCGACATAGAAAGTGTAGGGACTTTCTCATAGAACAGAGCCGGCCAGCCGTCACGATCTACGATAAAGAACTCTTCTGCGGTGGATACATAGCTAACCTCAAGAGACTGATTGTGTCGATTAACGGGAAGAAACTGGACAGCTTTCAGAGGTTCCAGGTCGAGCTCGGTGGGATTAAAGTCGTTTATATTCCGAATGGCGGTAATAACGTCATCGTACTTGACGCTGTTCTCAGTAGATAAGGATTTCAACTGAGAGAAGTAGGTGTCAAGAGATGGTGGTTTAATAAGAAGCCTGTCGACAAAAAACTCTTCCAAGTCTGGGTAAATTTCGCTGAGGCCAATTTGATTGCCAATCCGTGTCGGAGCCCAAATACATTGGCCTCGAGGATACCGCTTCTCCGAATGTGGATCGTATATTAATTTATCGTTGTCAATGTTGGCGCTGAGAAGCGTAAGAACATGAACATATCGGTTGTTTTCTTCACAGATGTGTCTTACCGGAGGCTCATCAAGCTTTCAGTGTCTTCGACATCCTGAAACATGCCCCTGTATATTTGGTGGATATGTTGAACGTTAACTTTTGTAACACCCAAGTTCAACTCTATGCAATATGTTGAATGGTTCGCTTTTATAGTATATAGTGTATTTTGGAAAAGACGCTTCAGCTTCGAGTTCTGGGCATACTCATTGTATGAAGAGAGGACATGGATGTATTTTAGCCATCGGGGGCCATCCCAGACACACAGGCTCGTATCAGTAATGCACCCAGTGTCCTTCGGGATAAATACAGTTGGTCCTGACTTAAAAAAGGAACTATGAAGATTAGCATCTTCTACGCTTCGCTGTCGTTCGGATTATACCATACCGTATCTCATCCACAGGCCTCTCTGCCAGTAGCTCGTACATTACAAAGATCTTGGAACTCTTAATGCTCATTGGCATGGCATGCAGCTGTTCAAATACTCCTCGAAAGAATACGTCCGTCGCATCGCAGGTAACGCCAAATATTTTCAGGAAACTCAAGTCTATCTTGATATCCAGACCCATACTTTCCAGGCCAGTAAGAAAAGGCAATAACTTGGTTGACTGGAGAAGTTGTTCGCAAATTTTCAGAAGTTTAGGTGATGGGTAATAAGTCTGATCGAGCCTCGTACTGCCACTGAGGGTTGGGACAACTGCTTGTTTGATTGCAGACTTAACCGCGGGTGTCATTTCGTTCTCATAAACCGCCCAGTGCCTCTTGAGAACACCAAGGAGGATGCCCGGACAACGATCTCTAATTTCCTGAAATAGAGGGGAAAGTTGATCGTGGTCATGGATATGTCTGATCCTAGGAACCGTGCGAATAGAAAGTCTCTCTTCGAGCCATAGCTTCCATTTGTCTGCGCTTAATGGTATCTTAGATAGCATTGGATTGTAGTATTCTGGGTGCAAAATATGAATCGATGGTCGTCTGAAAAAAGGATTTCTAAGTAGATTTGCAATTTCCTGCGTTCCGTAGGCTCCAGTTGTTTTGAAATAAATATCGTTTGGCTCCTTCGCCGAAGGACAATGAGGACGACATATTGTCATACTACTTCCAGATTCCTTCATGAGGAGCAAACAAGGAATTTCCAAGCCAGGATTCTGTAAACAAGCATGATAGATATATCTGAGAGTACACAAAGACTCCCGCATGGATTGCCAGTAAAATTCTCTATGGACCGACGAACTAATCTCCTCGAATATAAGCAGTGGGGAGGCGGATATAACACCAAGTTCGCGGAACAACTGTCGGCGCTCTTTATTTACTGTAGCCAGCGGTTCGATGGTACGTAAGTGTGAGAGCGGAGGAATGGTGGCACCACTGGTGTCAGTATGGAAGATAATCATCCTTGGTTCCTTAGCAGCGGATACGTCCGCTGCTCGCATTAAGGTCCCATCTGATAAAGGAAGAAGTGGGAGTTTGCGAATTTCGTCTGCCAAGGAAGACCTTGACTCAGTCTTCAGCCATGATACGATTAATTCAGCCACACGGCTGTGCCAATCATCAGAAAGCATGAGTTGCAGAATTCGGGGACTCGGACCAGCCCAGTAAGGCTTTAGCCTATCCAGCAGTTGTTTATCTGAGATTTGCCGTGCACCAAGAGGCTTCAGGTAGTCAATGTATTCTGTATATCTGGTTGAGAGGTACACATCATCTTGCAGATCTTCAAACAAAGGCCGGTTGTGCTGGTCACAATGACAAGGTAACAAGTAGACAAGTGAGGATAGAATCTTCCTTGTTCCATTCTGGGATTGAAATAAAGGAGCCATTTTAAGTCCCTTGTATAGGTATTGTGCTACTTTTTGAGAATCTTGATTTGTTGTACTGGGCCTCGGAATATACTGAACCCACTCATACTCCATGGAAGATCGCAGAAAACTGGAACTGATTGCCTGATACAAAGCGTCTGCTATCCTTTCAAAGATATCATGGGCAGAATAGTTTATGTTTGAATTTGCTTCTGTCTTCGATTCCTCTGGCCTAAACTGTGCGCAAATAGCAACCTAGGGAATTAGTTAGTTGAATTATATTTAATATGACAGTGGAATACATAACTCACATTAAGGTCTAATTGACTGTTAGGAAACGCACACGTCGCGGTCAATTGATAAGTTTTTTGAGTCTGGAGCAAAGGCCTTAAGGTCCCCGGATATACTGGGAAACACAGATATATTGTATCAACCTGGGACATGGCTGGGTACTTGAAAACTATATATTGATCCTTAACCACCTTTCCGTTGCACGTACTGGTAAGAAGTAAACAGTTATATTTGCCCCCCTCGATTGTGAGAGCTGTATGGCTTGGCTCACCGTTTGGTGGGTTGATATTGAACGAGAAGTTATTGCACTGGGACTCAAAAAGCATGAATCCGCGGTTTGATATCTCCTCGATGTGTTTGGATAGAATAGCAAATTTCTGGGACTGAGTGAGGAAAAGAGTGATCCGTGTTCGGACACTTTCCGGGAGTGACTCTTTTGTTTCGTTTTTTGGCGTTATCATCCCTAGTCTGCCATCGCCTTCTTTCTGTTGAAAAGAGAAGGAAAACTCTCCGGACTGGATGTGCACTTTACTGGCAATCTTGACTGTCTTTCGTAGAGAATCGGCACTGATCCAGCTTGTCTTCTTGGATGACGACGGCTTAATTTCACAGAGTAGCCTGACATCGCTTTCAGTGCATCCATCGTCGTTCGATTCAATCACTAGTCGGTCTGCAAGCAGGGTAAATGTGAGAAATGGCTTCGCCCCTTTTTCGAGAGCCCAGCTATAGCTGAACAAGGATGTAGCGCCAATTATGTCGAATATAAACTCTGTGTCTGGCGACAAACCGTCACGAGGGAGTAGATATTTTGATAGCTGTTGTTGGATGTTCTTCAATGCTGTTAGCACACCAGGCGGAGTTGCCTGTCTCTCTTCATCAGTGATGCCGCCATTCTTTAACCGGATATCGTCCACAACCTTGGACGCTTGGTCGGGTGTTATTCCCGCCATTGGATAAGGGTTCAGTGAAACGGCGCAGGAGCCGCGTATCCACGGGGAAACGGCGAAGAAGAGGAGAGCTGTCATCAAGAGTCGGTTCGATGCGTGGAGTCTCCCCAAATATTGGACCTGAGGAGGTGATGCATTAGCGTAGAAAAGGGCGGCTTGACCGTCTATCCTATAGGCTCCTGCCCCCGCTCCAAGTAGCATCCTTGTCATTTTGCCTAGTAGGAGCTGCTTCAGCTACGTCGCGCTCGCTCACATCATCCAGCCTGGCCGCTTTTTGAAACAGGCAACAGCGTTTGCTGTACACCTCGAACCGATAGAGGATCGAGAAAATGCATCCTAGAAAATCGGGAAAGAGGGCACTCTGAAGCAAAAATTATATTGTAGAGAAATCAAAAAGGCAGTAATTTTATGGTCTGGAGTAGCTGCTTGCCGATAAATTTGATGTTAAAGTGCACTGGGGTATCTCCTGAGGAATGCATTAAGAGTCGCACGCTCACGTCTGCCAAGTCCCGGACCTTCACATACATTCCATTTTATTCCCTCCCTCACCTTTAGGGCTGGTTAGATCAAGACCTTGAGGGTTCTGGGTGGAAGAAAAATGCGAGATTAGATTTGTACATTCTTGCTATAAGTGGTAATCAGGAGGGAATTGACTTATTGGAGACGAGCTATAATTACTTATGCTGAAACAAATAGAACAAATGGCAATTATCTTTTAGTAAAATAATAGATATTATGTGTTCAATGGACATAAGTGCCGAATAAACGGTGTCCCATCTTGCGCCATCGTTTGCTCTTCTGTCGTCGCAGCTATAAAATTTAAAGCCAAAGATTTAACACAATAATACGTAGTTATTATTAACCGCCTGCTAATTAACTTTAAATACTTTAGAAGTTGCGTATTTATACACCTACTATATTTAAAAATTATATGAGTATGAAATAATTGATCATCAATGTTCAATCCTTTCAGCTACATCTTCGAGTGAACAGTAGCGATTCCAAGCACTTGATTCGACAGAATCTCTTTCAGCATTTCTCGCTATACCTGAGTAGAGACGCAGATTCCTTTTTTTCTTTGAGCTTGTAGCACAGGTGCTAAATGTACACATAGAGAACAAAAATAAAGAGAAGTGGGTATAATATGTAAGGAACGGAAATTCTTGGTCTATCTGATGCTTCGAAAGGAAACAAGAAGCTAGTGCTCCTGCTTTTACATAAATTATTTAATCTTTTGCTTGAAGCTCCAGATTTCATCTTGGAATCTAACTCTAAACGTAACAGAAGCGAGGCTTTCCTTTGTAGCCCATTCATTAAACCAGGGTATAGCCGCGTGAAGCGTTTCTGCCATGGATACCCATTTACCGAGGCCTAAACTGTAATAAGAAGGATATGCTACAGATCCCTGCGCAGAAACTAGATGACGGGTCTCACATAAGGCAGAGACGATAGACTGACTGTGAACAAAGGTGGTTAACTACATTAAAAAACAACGGGCACGAAGTACAGAGAACTTATTACTGATCACCGGACAATCACAACACTCCCTGCGGAGAAAGGCTAGGAGACTAATCGTCAACTTAATTGGATGTTCCATGTTAAATGTTATATATAATCTTGTGATCTTGTTAACATATATATAAGCACAATAAACTCACGCGACTAAAAATCAGCCCAACACGACATACAGCAATGTTGTTCACTGTCACATTATCTTGTGTATAGATTCAACTCTCTCCCACAATCCTAATTTTTTAAATATTTTTGAATATTTAGAACACTTGCAGCATTGTTTAACAACTTTGTGCAGACTTGGTGCACCACCAGCATATTTTATTCCTTTGTATGCGGAAGTTCTATTTGGGGGTCTAGCCAACAACCGCTCTACACTATACTTTTTCATGCGAAAGGTATTTACTCCTTTTGTAGTCCTTTTTCTACTAACCTATTGTATTAATACAGCTGGCGTACCAGACTCTCTTTTCTCTTATGCCTGAGAACAGTCTGGCTAAAAATAATGCGAGGTGAATAACCACTCGTACCTCCGTTAGGCTGAAGAAAATACTAAAAAGCCCGCATTTACTAGAGAATGAAGATCTCTTGACATGGTATCTTTCTGCTTGGTGGTGTCTGAGTACTTGAATCAGCCAGAGGTGTTGAATGACCTGCGCGATACGTTCAGTTTGATCTGGTACTACTGGGTGGAGGCAGAGATATTGTGAAAGAGTTGTGAACGGCGTAGGGCAAAGGGAGCGTGAGTATCATGGCGCAGTGGACCGAGTATATCGAAGCCAAGTATGAAATGATTACTGGACGGGCGCATCACTGGGTATAATGCATTGCTGTAAATTTCCGCCCTCGTGGACTATATGATTCTCCTTCCGATGGAAGGATATAAGGGGTGGACGGGAGCCTTGCCGACCGGTCAGCGGAGGAGTATCGAGCAGCGTTGCGAATGGTATATAGACCAATGAAGGCTCACACCCGTCAGGAAATACTATAGACATCTCGAAGGGAGAGGAGCAGGACGCGAGAAGGGGAATTCGCAGTCGCTGTATAAGACGTGCATGGACCAAATCGAGTGTTAGAAGCGACTCCATATTGAGGTTTGGAGATAGGCGGCGACAATGCCCAAAAGAGCCGTGGATGGCGAGTCCCCTGGCGAGGCGGAAAGAGGAATGGGGCCGCAAAGCGTGGGTTTGGTGATTTATCGACTCACATACTCACATACGGACACGGAATGAGCCGAGTTCCTGCAGAGGTTCTAGGCACATGTCAATGGCTGGGGGCGGGGAAACACTGGAAATGGTGAGCTGAAGTCATACTTGCGTCTTCCTTGGTTTGATGGAATGTTATTGGATATTCCAGAGGGGACATCAACGCCGCGAATTATGTCCACTTCCTGCGGTGCGGAGTAGATCGGATGCTAACCCATTAGACATTTCCACGACCTTGCTCTACCTTTATTTGACGAGAAGAAACAGGTCAACCAGAAAGTATTCCTCGCGGTCGACTCTCCCAGCTTTGCGCACTGTACCGGGAACTCGTATACGGTCCATCTTCATTTTCTTTCGTTGGTGACTTCATCAACTTCGTGCCGGCTGTCAACGCTGATTACGATCCTAGTGAGCCACTCGAGCGTGACGATGAATCACCAGGTTACTACGGCCAGGTGCACATCCTAGGCAGTTTGAAATGAGGAGAGCTCTTCGCAATGCTCTCTTTGCAGTCTGAATTGCTCGAAGATCTCTCACCCTTGCCCTCGGCCACCCAAATCAAGTATATGTTGGCCCAGCTGTACCGATGCAGGTGAGAGGCTGGCAACTGCGAAATGAGATATGATGTGTTCTTAAGTGACAGATGATAGAATACGCATGAGATTCCTATCTCGCAACGAACATGTACACTGACGCGTCAATATTATCCGCAAAGCATTCTCTTCTCTACCAGGAGGAGAGTACTCTTGCTCCTTTAGTTGCACCTGTGGAGTAGGTAACTCCTGTGCTGTCCCATTGAACTTTGCCTTGATGCGGGAGGCGATTCTGGCTGAGGAGGCAATCCGGACGCTGCCTGGTTAAGGGCCAGATATGGAGCGGTTGGGACCACGTATGGCTGCCTTGGAGGCGGGGATGAAGAAGAGGTGAATAAAAGGAGAGATGAAGATTCCGAGGACCCATGTGCAATACAATGATCAACCTGGTTTTTTCTATACGCCCTACTTCTTGTTCGCATGTTAATGTATCTCTATTGGGTATCCTTAACGTATCCACTATGTATCCTCCTCCTACTGTACCATATGAAGACCTAATTATAATATAAACCAGCTGCCCTTACATGTGTCACAGACGTTGGAATCAACCAGTAAACTACTTCCTTGGCCGTGAAGTATCGTCCATCTGTCCTACAAGAGGTACCTATTTGGTGCAACCAATTCACATGCATTTACATCCACAGTGATATTCTGCCGTTCAATTCTCAATGTAACATGCCATTCTATCTAAACAACTCCCTTCTTGGCGGCAAAAGACGCCTAAATCTAAGCCTCTTAGGACTATTTTATTCACAAGTGCAGTCCTTTCCTGAAGAGAAATTAGATTATATTTCGACAGTTTATTTTTACTTGACTTAGCCACAACTCCGTGTCTCAACCTCCTACTCACAGCCAAATAGGCTACAAAATATACGCCTGTAGAACATGGGGGTGGGGGGACTTCAGAATTCCATTTTGGTAAGAATGGATTGGTCAGGGAAGCCCCGGAGGTGGTGGCTATGAGGTGGTGGCGGGAGTGGCTGCAGTGGTTGAGAGGCTGAACCGCCTAGAATATATTTTTAAATTTACAATTTACTTCCTACTGGAGCAAGTAGCAATTTCCTGAATAGGTTTCTGTTCTTAACTTGGTTAAGAGAGGGGTCTCTCTACCAAAGAATATATCGGTCCGCAAAGAGTCCTTCTATATTTGGTCTCGAGTCGTACCATATGTAGATATTTGTAGACAGCTCCCATACAATTCTAGAACATGGCACAACATTATATCTCCCAGCCACTGGCCATAGTAGAGTCGCCTCAGATCAATATCACCTCGACCGACATCCCCGAAATCCCCGATATCTTGTGCATAGTAGTCTATAGGCTCATACAAGCCAAAATACCATCAACCTTCAACGGTATCATGGGAACAGAGAAACAGGTACGATCCCCAAACAGGTACTAGTACTTGACATCGCTAATATGTTAGAACCCCGAGCCCTCCGACCTGGCCTGCACCAGATGTCGCGAACGCAAGATCAGATGTGGCCGCGAGCGCCCGCACTGCCGCAGCTGCGAACGCGAAGATGTTCCCTGTGTGTACCAGAACCCGGTGAAACGAGTCAACCACTTAAAACTCCTGTAAGAGGTGCTGAAATATAGGTGGTATTCCATGCTTACCCGTGTTACTCAGGTGTGACAGTGTCGACCGACTGCAGGACCGACTGACCTCGATTGAATCGCATCTGAGTCGGCTGCATAATCCAGAGGTATCTGTTTCAGCGCGACAATCGCCACGGGTAGACATGGGCTCAGAGACGATCCCTGAATCCCGCTGGAAGAGTCTCCCGTCATTGCCGTCCCTTTGCCGAGGGTTTCAAGGCCGCGTGCGCGAAGCTGGACGGACCACGGCGGCTATCGATAGTTCACTGGAATCGGTCTGCGTGCATGCATCTACAACAGAACCATTTCCGCCATATAGCGATGTGACGGTACCTCTCCTGCCCAAACCGCAGGTGAGCGCTGCAATCGAGCATTTCCTCCACAATGTCGACGTTCAGACAGATGTGTTTGAGCAGGAACATCTGCGTGCGCAGCTAGACCGTGTGTATAAGCAACCGGATGACGCGTGGGCGATCTGCTTCAAGACTATCACGTTATTAGTGTTGGGTCTGGAGATTGCTCGCGCGGGAGTCTTGTTTGGTGATTTTGCGCGCTCGATGCTACCGAGCCGCGCGTCGCTGGTTAGCTCGAGATTGTTAACGAAGGAGAGATTGGTCAATGTGCAGACCCTTATTCTGCTTGTATGTTTATATCTTGTCTGTCTGTGATTCTTGAGGTAACTGGCGCAGAGCGTTGCAGCACAGCAGTTGGATCCGCCGGACTGGACGGAGCTGATCTTCGCAAATGCATGCCTATTGGCGCGCAGCATGCGTCTTCATGGCACGTTGGACGAGAACTCGCATGAGACGACCAAAGTGCTGCAGGCTCTGTATGCACGCGATCGCAGTCTGTGCATTGCTCGTGGATCACTCTGCTGGTTGCCAAGGGAGGATTTTAACCTCACCGGACAGATGGCTGCCATGTCGCGTGAGAGCTTATACGCACAGCAATTGCGACTGGCCGTCATCCAGGATGAAATCTACCGAGTAGCTCATACGAGTTCGTCGATGCAGCCTGTTGAGACACAGCTGGATCAGTATGCTGTTGAGAGTGGAGTCTTATGCGGCCCAACACCTACAATAGTGTGTCGAGTAGTGTCGGTCTTGGAGTTTCTATCTGCGCGGATTCTGACGTTCTGCTCGCAGTCCCAGTCTCCACAGGCCCATATGGACGCTCGTACCAGCTGTCTATTACTTCTTATAGCATATGGGGACCAGAGTCGCGAGGTCCAAGACGCTTTGCGGGCTATACTCCCCGGGACAGAAACATCAGGGCCAGAACCACCATGCAGCCCGTTCTTCACTCCGCTAGATACCTTCTCCTTACCAGGGCTTTTCCTCCTCCTAGAAGACCAACTAGTCACACAGGATACTACTACCCAATCGCTGTCCAACAGGGACCTCCTTGGCCGCGTGTCAACCTGCTACACGGAGCAAACATCTCGCCTCCCACCATCCCACCACCACCGCAGAGTTTCCTCAATCCTGACCCAACTCCTCCACGTCATCGACAAGATCCGTACTTCCCGAGAAACATCATCCGCGCCCATAAACCAATCGAGTGGGGAGTCCATCGACTCTGAACTCCCAGAAATCTGGCCACCACCGCCTCCTCCGTCAAGCGCTTCCTTGACATGGGACAGCTGGTTGTCTGTCTCATCACCATTGGGGGCACCGTCTCTTGGACCTCCTACTCCGCTTCCGTCTATGCGTGTTGCATCGCCGGATTTGTTAACTCAAATGCTAATATCATCACAGGGGTTGGAGGATACGGATGCGTTGTCTTGGTCGATTCTTGAGGAACCGGGAAGGAAAAGAAGGAGAGAGGATGGGGGAATGTAACCTACGATGAAAATATCGTTTTCATGTACATTGTTGAGTCTTATTGCATAAATTTGTGACAGATACCATACAACTACTCATTTCATTCGTTAATTATCTAATCTACTCAGTTTCATAGCCCTATTAGGCGATTGCTGCTAGATCGGACCTCGGATTCCGAGCTTTATGGACATAATCCCAGACAACACTAGATAAACCGCGAACTAACTATACATCCATGTTCAATCAACCACAAAAATGGCTCCTCTATCCGGTATCTGGCTGCCAACTCCTCTGCCTCGTCTTCACTACGGACCCAACTGCGTATCTCAACACTTACTTTCCGCCCTCCCAACACCCACATCCAAAGCATTCATCATAACAGGCCAATCTCTGAGCAAAACCCCATTACTTCCAAACCTCGAAAAACTTCTGGACAAACACCACGCAGGCACAATATCCTGTATCCGCCAACACACCCCCGTCAGCGACATCGACCACACAGCAGAGCAAATCCTCCCTCAGAAAGGCAACATCGACACCCTAATCTCCCTCGGCGGGGGATCAGTCATTGACGCAACGAAAATCATTTCCCATCGATACCACGAAGCACACAACGTATGGCTAACCCACATTACTATCCCGACAACTCTGAGCGCAGCAGAATGTACCCCCGGCGGGGGCTACACGTCCAATGGGACTAAAAAGGCAATCATAGATGCGGGGATGGGAGTATCTAGTATATTCTACGACCCGGGGTATAAGAAATACACACCTGTGGATTTGTGGCTGCGGACAGGGATGCGTGCCCTTGACCACGCAGTGGAATGCATGTATAATCCGATTGCAAGCGAAATACCCTGGAAGGTTCTGGCGCTGTGGGCTGCGGCTGAGTTATGGGAGGGTCTGCCGCAAGCGAAGACGCACCCAGTAGATGAGGAGGTGACAGTGCGGTTGATGTTAGCGGCGTATGCTAGTTCGGGACTCAAGGGGGCTGGGATTAGGGGGATGGGGCTGTCGCATCGATTGGGACATGCGCTTGGTGCGCCGTATGGGATTCCACATGGAACGACATCGTGTTTGACGTTAGGAAAGGTGGTATTGCTGAAGGCAAGGGAGAAGAACTGTGCAGAGCACATTGCTAGGTTGGCTCCATGTTTTGGAGGGGTCAGGACAGGGGACGATACTGCTGATGCGATGTTTGTTGGAGAGAGGATTTTGAAGCTGGTGAGGGAGTTGGAATTGGACGGGAAGTTGGGAGATTGGGGAGTGGGGACAGAGGAAAAGAGTGTGATTGTGAAGAGGGCAATGGGGGATGATGTACGGGTTGAGGAGATGGAAAAATTGGTCGATGAATTGTTTTAGCTTGCTTGATTTTAAAGATAGCCTTAATAATGAATACTTGCAATAACCAGGTAGTACGGGTCTACTGGATTTTTATTAAATTAATCTTACCATCCAGGTGACAATCACACAACTCGTTCTTTATAGGAGCATACTACATTACCTTAAAATCTGTCAGATTTTTGACTATAAAAGCATAGCCTGGAAATCCGTCATATCGCGTTATTTACTGCAAAATGATAAATTTGAGTCTCGTGATACAACATATGGCAGTAGACACTTCGCATCCCGGACGCCGAACCCAGCTCAAATACCCCAGAACAACCCACCATCCACAGTACAAAAAACTCACCGACAAAATGGACCGAGTCGACAAAGAACTTGCCAGATCGCTAACTATCCACCATTACCGTCCAGAACAAACCCCCTGGCGTCGTCTTGGCCAATGTGAGTTCCTTCCTGGTAGAAACCCCAAGATTAATCTAATCTGTACAGACCTATACCGAGTCGTCGAAGATGGATCTCACACACAATACCGCCTCTCAGCGATCGAAAGTCTGATCCCACCACATAGCGAAGGGCCCGTGTTCCATTTTCATGAGATGCACGATGAGGGATTCTATGTCACAGTATACGCTTCACTTTCTTTCTGATTCAGTAAATGGCTAAGGTTCATTAGAAAGGAAAAGTGCGCTTCCATTCGCCCGGACGGGATGATGTAGATGCATCGGCCGGGGAGTTCGTCGTGATTCCAATCCGGTTGCCTCATAGATTTAGCAATCCGTTTGACGAGGACGCGATATTCATGAATACGATTACCCCCGGGTTCTTCGTACGGTATTTCGAGTGTCTGGAGGAGTTGATTGGCAATGGGACGGTGTTGACTCCGGAGATTAATAAGGAGGCGTTGAGGAGGTTTGCAACGGTACCGTTGTTGCGGGAAGATATTGATGAGATGGAGATGGAAAAGACGGATGGGGAAAGGTATATTGATCAGCTGCAGAAGGGATAGATCAATCTGGTCTTAGTACTACAGTTTGGATGTGCGTTTTATTTCTGGATATAACTATCGAAAATTGAATTATTTTTTAGTCCTGCATTTGCCTCCAGTAGTTTTGAAGATTAAACACTAGGTACCTGGTGAAATATATTCTCTCCTTATCCTGCTCAGTGTTAACAGCAACAACTTAAATACATCCATCCCTGTTGTGCAACTCCACCCATAGAGGTTCCTTGACCCAAAAGCCCCAGATCTTCTGGTCATCCCACTTTTCACATCCGATCATATTCAAATCAAACCGATACAGTAATCTCGCCGTAATCAGCCGCAGCTCTGCCCAAGCCAAATTCCGTCCCAAGCAGTTTCGAGGTCCGAAGGAAAATGGCTGAAAGCTCTCCTTCTCATCTTTCTCGAACACAGGATCACTTCCAGTCCATCTCTCAGGAAGAAAGTCGTTCGGACAATGGAAGTTTCTCGAATCATGGTACGCCGCGAAATGATTAACCCCCACTGTGGTACCGCCCGGTACGAAGCAGTTATCAATAATGGCACCCGCAGCAGGAGTCACCCTTGGAAGGGTGATAGCAACAGGGGGATGGATCCTGAGGACCTCATTCTGGACGGCATTTAAATAAGGGAGATTAGCCACCGCTGACAGGACGATCTCTTTTTCCGATGCGAACGTCTCCCTTATCTCAGTGACTAACGTGTTGTACACATCAGGATGAGTACAGATATAGAACGTGAATGCGCTGAGTGTTGTAGAAGATGACTCCGACCCGGCAATGCTGAATGAGAATGCATTGACCTCCATTTCCTCCCTCGACATGCCTTTGTCTGTCTCCATGGCTGCAAGGATATAATGCAGAAAGTCCTTCCGGTCTGTATTCCGTTCTGTCCTTCGCGTGACTGTTTCCACCACCCGGGCCATGTTTTGCGCTCTAGCCCCGGATATTGACTTCGGCATGAACAGTCGTCGGATTTTATCGACACCATAGAATCTGAATATTTGGATAAAGGTCAGCTCCTTTGAGATGGCGGGTATCGAACTGACGAATAGATCTGCCTTTCCATTATCAAGACAGGTGAAGTGTTCACCAAACGAGAGATCACGGAGTATGTCGTATACTATCATATTAGACTGGTTTTTACGACGATGCTAGAGAGTATTTACCGGTGTATGTAAGCCATGCGACGATGTTGACCGGCCGAGAAGACCGCAGCGAAAGCTGCTCCATCAATTGATCCACATATCCCTCGATAATATCATGCTGCTCTCGCAAGGCGTTTTCCGAAAAGGCATGGGAAAGGAGCCGTCTCTGTCTTGTATGCGTTGCTCGATCAGCAGTTAAAATGTCTACGGATTAGTATATCAGCCACCTAGTGTAAAAGGGAACCCTACTTTGCACGCCGGTAGGTGTGAGGAGAGAAAACACCGGGTCTTTTGACATTTCGTCCGGGCGTGGCCCGTAGATAGCTTTCCATGCAGAGCCAGATGTAAACGAGAGCTCGTTCGGGGCCACGCGCACGATCTTTCCGTATTTCTCATGAAGATGCAGTATTTCATGATGAAGTTGGCCGTGGAATTGGTGCCAACACCATGGGAGTCGAGTGGCAGCCCAGAGGGTTGGGCCGGGATATTTTCGTAGGGGATGCAGGAAGATGTTATAGAGGGGATATAGGGCTAGTAGGAGCAGCTGGATACTTGTTAGATTGGTGTGTACAGTGATAGATCACATACTGTTGTGGTGCTTGCTAGAAAGATAATTCTCCAAATTTCGTCCATTGCAACCTTCTTTCTCTCTTGAGTTGGTGCCGAATCTTGATGATTGTTTGATTAAAGGCATACAGTAGTTCTGCTAGATTTCAAAGCCTATCCGGGCTCCTGACCCAGGCCCCGTCCCCCGGACTCCGATGTCCGGGAGAGGGTTAGAACAGAACCAATTTATTCACCAGAAAAACACAACAACACCGAAAAACACAGGACACTTTATTCCGGTAACAAATATGGCTCTCCAAAACCCAGATATCCATATCATTATCATTGGTGCAGGAATCACCGGCCTCATTCTGGCCCAGTCGCTCAAAAAGGTCCGTTATCTTCAATCCAAAAGACCCTACTAACGAAAAAAGGCCGGTATCCGCTACACCATCTTCGAAAAGGAAGTCTCGCTCAACTATCGTAGCAATGAATGGACCATGGCAATCCACTGGTCTCTTGACCGTCTCGAGGCTCTCCTTCCAGCTGACCGCTTCGCCGCCATGACGCAGGTGTCATGCAACCCTGCTATCCCCATCGACGCCGGGGGCAAATACCCCATTATCCATGGAGAAACGGGTAACCTTCTGGCTGGAGTCCCCTATGCTAAAGGTCTCCGTGTACCGCGGAGCAAAATGCGGGAGCTGTGTGCAGGGGGCATCGACGTCCAGTACGGGAAGAAACTTGTAGATGTGGCGTTCTCAGAAAACGGCCAAGTCGTGGCAATGTTTGAAGACAGAAGCATCGTCACTGGGTCGATCCTCATTGGAGCTGATGGTCCTCGATCGACTGTGCGCGAGTTCGCCATGGGAAGTGTCGAGAAAGCAGCCGTGAGTCGGTTTCCGATCTTCCATACCAACATGACGGTGTCCTACGATGCGGACAGAGCGAGATATCTACGCCAGCGCTTTCCAACTAGTTATCTGGCCTTGAGTGATCGGTCGTTCCATGCTTTTCAGTCCAGTGAGTCTTTATCCCGGTTGCATAGGTGCGGGTCTAACGGTCGTAGTATCGAGTATGCCAGACGGAGTAGACCACCCAGAAACATGGGTCTTTCATCTAGCGATGGCGTGGTTCACAGACACCGAAGAACCGGCTGACTATAAGGAAAGGTTGGGTTTGATCCGTAAGAAAGCCGAAACTTTGGCTGAGCCAGCCCGGTCGGCGTTTACGTGGATTCCAGAAGACACTCAGGTTCATAAAGCGGATATCAGCTTCTGGATCACTCAGCCATGGGATAATCGAGAGGGAAGAATTACCTTGGTTGGGGATGCGGCACATCCCATGCCTCCTTGTAAGTTCCTTACTAGAGCTACGAAACTTGCTGACCAAATAGACCGTGGACAAGGTTTGAATCACTGTATTTGTGATGTGTCGCATTTGCTGGACGGTATCAAAAAGGTTGCGAGCGGAGAATCAACGCTGGCAAAGGAAATTATAGCATATGAGGAAGAAATGGTGCCGCGTGGTAGGGACGAGGTGACTTGTTCAATAGAGAATGGATATATGTTGCATGATTGGGAGAAGGTGCGAGAGAGCCCTGTGTTTAAGCAGGGGTTTAGGCCTATGGAGGGACATGATACTGAGCGCCATGAGAGGATGAAGCCGGAGGCTACTACTGTTGGTACTTAATGCTGGTTCTATTCTACACGAAATTGAATGTTTTTGAAAAGTTCAACAATAATATTGCCATAATGAAGTTGAGAAAAATCTGAAAGTATTGGATAAATTTTACTGCATATAAAGTGCGTGTGTAATGCTACTGCTAACTATCATCTATGACTCCATATTTTCATATGCACAAATAATATACTACCTAAGTTACAAACCCTACAAAGGTTTTCGGCGTCCGGGCCCCGTGAGCCCATCCAGGACATAAAAGTGCACGAAGATTTTCTACTTTCTCATACACCTCAAATATCACCCCAAATTCCATAATGGCCCGTCTCTATGCCTGGGTAATCTGCGCGTACCGCAGAAAAGACCTCTCCGAAGAGGCCTACCATGAATACCTCAGCAATCACCACTCCAACGTCGTCAAACACCATTTAGCGAAGTCGGGAATGGTTAGCTACAGCATTGTAAGTCTACCATCACCTATCTGACGAGACTATACATAATAGAAACTAACAATGACGAGACCCATAATACATCCGAAACAAAAGCCATGACTGCACGCGTGCTCGGTGATAACCCCCAGACGCAAAAGTCCACAGCAGACTGTGACTGTCTCGTGCAAATCACTTTCCATGATATAGAGGACTATCTGAAGGCGAGGAATGATCCGTACTATCGGGATGTGATTGTTCCTGATCATCAGCATTTTGCGGATAGTGAGAAGACAGTGTTCTTTACTGGTTGGGTGGAGACTTTTGTAGTTAATGGACGGGTGGTCTAGCAATCTATGTGTTGGGGTTATTGATATGTGTAGCTACATGATATAATCAGTTTACTTATAGTTCAGGGTTTGTCCTTATTGCAAGAGATTTAGTCATCATGAGTTATATTATTCTTGGTGTAGTCAACTATAGAGATGATGAATAAGGGTCTTACAAACATCTACTTGTCTTTGATAGCAAGGGACACAAAACATCTTGGGGTTATATAAGAGTAAAGCTATTGTAGGGCAATATGCGGTATCGCTCTGTCAACATTTTTGTCTAGCATCACCCAGTTGACTTACGACCACTACCATTAAAATAGCCTCTACTGAACCCTTCGGCATACACCTGCCTTCAATATACACTCTGCATACATTTGTATTTCCAAAAATCCGAATCTGGCATGTCATCTGATACCATAACCTCGTCGGACCCTGTGGCCCCGAACTACAAACCCTATCCCCTGCCACTGAAAAACCTTGACAACAAGCAGATATTCTCGGGACCCGATGTCCTGCAAAAAATGTGTAGCATGCTTAACAATATAGTGAGTTATGCCATTTATACCGTGGATAAATTCAGACGACAACTTACAATCAACATCCACTTCAGTACAGTACATTTACACGTGAAGAACAAAATAGACCTCAATGTCTCCTAAATCAGCGGACGTCTTTATCTTCGGTGACCAAACTGTGCCTTTCGAAACGACCCTGCATACTCTTCTGCAGGTCAAAGATGACCCTATACTGACGGCCTTTTTTGACCGGGTTGGGTACCACCTTCGACGATATGTTGGCACTCTGCCAATCCATCAGCAAAACTGGTTTCCATGCTTCACAACATTGGTCGATTTATTTGCGCAGCATGAAAAGAGCCATGCCTGTCCAGCGTTGAAGTTTTCGCTCCTTTGCACAACCCAGATCGCGCAGTATATGAGGTATAATCCATAAACACTCCTCTGTATGAAGCGGAACTAAGAATGTAGGTATTATGGTCAGGCTTCAAGGCCCTTCCCTACCACGGACAGCACCTATCTTGTTGGCGCTTGTACAGGCTCCTTCGCTGCTTCGGCCATCAGCATCTCGCCCACGCCTTCGGAGTTGCTCCCCGTTGCCGTAGAGTCCGTTCTGGTGGCATTGAAGACTGCAATGCTTGCTTTGATAGTCCGCGAGGACTTGTGTATCCCTGATGAGGACCAGAAGGCGTGGTGCGCCGTCGTTGGGATCGAGAAAGCCGTAGCGGAGGATCTTATAGAGAAGTTCAACACCGAAAAGGTTTGCATAACTCTCTAAATGGGTGGATAAAGCTAATTCAAACAGCATCTTCCCCGTGTGTATCAGCTGTATATCAGTTCCCTCAGCACCGGCAGCGTCTCCATAAGTGGACCACCTGGACTCTTACCTCAGTTTCTCATGTCATCGGCATTAAAACACTCACTATTGCCCATTGAGTTGCCATACCACGCCCCGCACCTGTTTCCTAGCCAAGACATTATCGGGGAATTACATGATCCTTCACTGTATGAGCAGGTGCAGCGCGTCAAAATCATATCTGCCGCGTCGGGGGAGGTCCATACCTCCTTCACCTTTGAAGATCTTCTTCGCCGTGCGGTTGCAGAGACATTGACCAGGCCCCTACAATGCAACCTTGTAGTCGACTGCTTAGCTACAGAACTAGCCCACCATGCTTTCACAAGTTGCAAAATTTGGCATATCTCATACCGCGGCTCTTTCATCTCAAACGCTCTATCCCAGATCTCCCCTGGCCTAACAGTTGTCACAGACTTTTCGATCGAAAACCCAGCAATAATCACGACTCCCACATCAGGAAATTTTTCCCATTCCAAAATTGCGGTAATAGGGTACTCAGGCCGGTTCCCCGATGCTGCCTCAAATGAAGAATTCTGGGACCTCCTGCTCGCAGGTCGGGATGTACATCGCACCATTCCACCGGATAGATTCAACTGGGAACGGCACTACGATGCGACCGGAAAAACGAAGAACACAAGCCGTATCAAATATGGCTGCTTCATCAAGGAGCCGGGTGTTTTTGATGCCAGATTTTTCAATATGTCTCCCAGAGAAGCAGAAAACACCGACCCCGCTCAACGGTTAGGTATTATGTCAGCTTATGAAGCTATTGAAATGGCCGGTTTAGTTCCAAACTCTACCGCAAGTACGCAGCAAGACCGTATTGGCGTGTTTTATGGCGTGACCAGTGATGACTGGAGAGAGGTAAACAGTGGCCAGAATGTTGATACATATTTTATCCCGGGGGGGAATAGGGCATTCATTCCGGGTCGGATGAGGTATGTTCTTGTTATCACGGAGCTTTGACTTCGCTGACGAACGGCGGAATAGTTACTTTTTTCGATTCTGTGGTCCGAGCTTGAGTATTGACACGGCATGCTCGTCGAGTTTTGCAGCAATTCAGACAGCTTGTGCTTATCTCTGGCGGGGAGAATGCGATACTGCTCTGGCTGGTGGCGTGAATGTCTTGACTAACCCAGATAACTTTTGTGGACTGGATCGTGGGCATTTTCTTACCGCAAAGGGTACTCATTCCTTCTTTCCAATACTTAACAGGATGGAAACTTATTGAATTAACAGGTAACTGTAACGCCTTCGACGATGCTGCAGACGGGTACTGCCGGTCCGACTCCATTGGTAGCGTCCTCCTGAAACGACTTGAAGACGCACTGTACGACAATGATCCTATCTTTGGCGTTATCCGCGGTGCATATACAAATCACTGCGGTAGGACTGATTCTATCACACGCCCATTTGAGGGAGATCAAGTTGCTGTGTTCAATCGTATTACTCGATATTCCGGAATAGATCCCCTGGATGTAGGGTATGTTGAGATGCATGGTACAGGCACACAGGCCGGAGATGCCACGGAGATGAAGTCGGTGCTGTCGGTGTTTGCGCCAGAGTCTAAAAGGAATCTTCCACTTCATTTAGGCACTGCAAAGGCAAATATTGGGCATGCAGAATCAGCAAGCGGTGTGGCTTCTATGGTCAAGGTTTTAATGATGTTGAAACACAGTACCATCCCACCCCATTGTGGGATTAAAACGAAAATCAACCACACATATCCGGATGACCTACTAGACAGGAACATTCATATTATATTTCAACCAAAGGAGTGGAAACGAGATCCGGGCAAGAAACGTTTGGCTTTTCTGAACAATTTCAGTGCTGCCGGTGGGAACACCGCAGTGCTGTTGGAGGACGCACCAGAGAAGCTCAGGTCAGATGTACCGGATCCACGGACTCGATATACTGTTGCCGTCACAGCAAAGACAGTCAAGTCTCTCGAAAGAAATATAAAGAATCTGGTTCAGTATCTGACAGACAATCCTGATACATCGTTGTCATCCCTGTCGTATACCACCACAGCCAGACGTATGCACCAGACTTACCGAGTCATTGTGTCCGGAGCGGATATTTGCTCCATCCAAAATAACCTCGAAAAGAATCTAACCAAAACACATAAGGAGGCTAGTAACCGACCAGTTGTCATGGTGTTCAGCGGCCAGGGCACCCTCTACTCTGGCATGGGAAAACAGCTATTTGATGCAATCCCGCCTTTCAGGGACAATCTCCTGCGATTCAATAGCATTGCCGAAAGACAGGGGTTCCCAGGTTTCCTTTCCCTCATATATGGATCCACAGAGGATAATGTCGATCAAATGAGGGACCACCTTGCCTTGGTTTGCCTCCAAATGGCTCTGTACACTTTTTGGACATCCCTAGGAGTCAAACCCATTGCCACCATTGGACACAGTCTAGGCGAATATCCAGCGATGTATGCTTCCGGAGTTCTTTCCGCTGCGGACGTAATATACCTTGTCGGTAAACGAGCTGAACTACTGGCCGAGAAAGTTAGGCCCAGGACGCATGGTATGTTGGCTGTGAGGGACTCAATCGTCAACATCCAAGGAGAGTTGGACAGCGCCTGCGCTGTTGCCTGTTTCAATCAACCCAACAATAACGTTATTAGCGGACCAATTCGCCAGTTATCTTCTCTAAAGGAGAGATTGGCAGTCCGCGGAATCGGATGCACCATGCTAGACGTGCCTTTCGCATTTCACTCGGCGCAGGTTGATACCATACTCGAGGATTTTAAAACCATGGCCCAAAATATACGCTACCGTGCCCCACAGATCACCTACATCTCGCCTTTACTAGATGCAGCTGTCCCGGCAGGTGATGGCCATACCCTGACAGCGGAGTACCTGACCAAGGCATGTCGACGACCTGTGAATTTCCAGGGTGCAATCGAGGCAGTACAAGCAACAAACCTGATAAGTTCAAAAACCATGTGGTTAGAAATAGGATCTCATCCGGTTTGCTCTGGCATGGTCAAAGGAATCCTAGGCCAGGACGCAACCACCGTCGCATCACTGCGTAAGAATGTCGATACATGGGAGGTGCTGACCGCAGGGCTAGAACAACTGTTTTTAAACGGCCTAGATATCAACTGGACAGAGTATCATCGTCCATGGATGACCCAGCAGGAGGTTCTTCCACTCCCATTATATTCATGGGACTTGAAAAATTATTGGATCCAGTATCAGAATGATTTCTGTCTTACGAAAGGCGAATGTCGGGCTCCTGCCAAAGACAGCCAAACTTCCCTTTTCCTGTCCCCTTCTGTTCAGCAGATCCTGAAGCAGGAGCATGGAACTACGACTTCCACATTGTCGGCTGTGTCTGACATTAACGATCCAAGTCTATCGCCAATTTTGAAGGGGCATGTTGTGCACGGAGCTGTTCTTTGTCCGTCGGTAAGTCAAAACACACTCACTGTTGTTCTGTGCTAACCAATCAGTCCCTTTACGCCGACGTGGCCCTCACAATCGCTACATATATGATCCAAGAGTCGAATATGTCATACGAATCTGTTGGTCTTGACGTAGCAGATATGCAAGTACAGAATCCACTGGTTTCACAGGGCAAATCTGCAAATCTATATCACGTCTCTGCCACTGCAGATTGGACCGCCAACCTCATTTCCTTCCGCCTGTTCAGTGGTCCCGAAGGCAATACAACAGAACATGCTACATTTTCCGTCCGGATTACACCGCGACAGACTTGGCTTGCTGACTGGAAACGAAACACATACTTAATTCTCTCGCGAATTGCGTCCCTTCGGGCCAGCACACTTCATGGCAACGCACATGTTCTAAAAAAACGTCTAGCGTACCAACTCTTCGCAACAACGGTTGAATACGGTTCGGACTACCAGGGCATGCAAGAAGTCGTTCTCGACTCAGATGAACATGAAGCTACAGCGACGGTATGTTTCCAGACTGACGAGAACGGGTTCACTTTCAACCCTTGCTGGATAGATAGTCTGGGTCATATCGCTGGGCTTAATATGAACAGCGATATTTCTCCAGGCAACACACAGGTGTTTGTTAATCAGGGATGGCATCGTATGCGTTGTGCAGTGCCCCTAACTCGGGGGAAGACATATCAAGTATACAACCGGATGCAATTAGAGGAAGGGTCGACATACCTTGGCGACACATATATCCTGGAAGGTGATACTGTTGTTGCTTTATACGAAGGAGTTCAGGTGAGAAAAATTATCAGTCTAAAGGACGCAGGCTGACTGGCGTAGTTCCAAGGAGTTCCTCGACGACTGCTTGATCGGTTGCTCTCCGGTCCCAAAGCCGCCGGCCAAAAAGTGCCGCAAACAAATGAGGCCATCCCGAGACAGCCGCAAGCAAATTCCATCGCTCCAAAGACGGACAATACTACAGCTCGAATAATGAGTATCATCTCAAGCGAAGCCGGCGTTGATGCAAATGACATGGACCCAAACGACAGTTTCGCGAACTATGGAATTGACTCACTGTTATCGCTAACAATAAGTGGCCGAATCCAGGAAGAAACAGGAACCGAAGTTCCATCGTCCCTATTCGCTGAATACCCTACTCCGAACGACCTTCTTAACTTCCTTGGTGCTTCAAATACGGTCTCTTCAGCAACAAGTGACAGTGTATCTGGCCACGAAACTGGCATCATGACCGAATCGGCTTCAAGTGACTCCATCCTGGACACCATTCGATCGACCATCGCATCAGAGACAGGAGTCGCGATCAGCGATATAAAACCAGCCACTCCGTTCACTGATCTAGGTGTTGACTCACTGCTAGGTCTCACTATCACCAGCACGCTTTCTGAAACCTTGGGAGTAGACATCCCATCCACGATTCTCGCCGACTATCCCAATCTCTCGGAAGTTGGCAAGTCACTCGGTCTTGACAAAAGCACACCCCCACCACCACCAGCAAAACCTGTATCTCCGTCCTCGGACGCCACAACAGGTCCCCAATCAACCTCAGTTCTTCTCTGGGGCAACACAAAAACCGCATCGAAGACAATATTCTTTTTCCCAGATGGGTCTGGCTCCGCAACATCTTACGCTCACCTTCCCAAAATCCCCGACACAGCTGCCTACGGCCTCAATTGTCCATACATGAAGACACCTCATGACATGAATTGTTCCCTAGAAGAGCTCACTGCAAAGTACATCCTGCAGATCCGTCGACGCCAACCTACTGGGCCCTACTACCTCGCCGGATGGTCTGCAGGCGGCATATGTGCGTACGAAGCCGCAAGACAACTATCTGACGCAGGGGAGAGTACGGCTCGGTTGGTATTAATCGATGCTCCGAATCCAATAGGGCTTGAGAATCCTCCACAGCGAATGTACGATTTCTTTGATGAAATTGGTGTTTTCGGGGCGAATGGAACTGCGCCGAGCTGGCTGCGTCCGCATTTTGATGCGTTCATCCGGCTCCTGGACGCATATAAGATTAGTCCATTTAATCTCACTGTCCGGACACATCTTATCTACGCAACCCTTGGAGTGTGTCATGACGGTCCTAAAATGGAGATTCGACCAGACGATCCCCGTGAGATGGTCTGGTTGTTGAATGACCGGAAAGATTTCAGTGGTGATGGGTGGGCTTCCCTTGTTGGCAGGCCAAACTTACATATAACGGTTCTGGATGGGGTGAACCATTTCTCAATGATGGAGAGGGGAGAGCATATGTCTGCTTTTGGGCAATTTCTCCAACGTGCGATGAATTGATGGGATATTAGTCGATCCTTTATATTGCTCTTGGATAAATAAAAGTACTTAATTTATTCATGCCATAAATATCATACGTAGGCCATTTCCATATCATGCCGCCAGTACGGAGTAGAATATATCACAAACTCAGCGGATGCGCCCTCAAATACTCCTCAAACGTCACCAACTTTCCCCGCGCCTGCTGCGCCCCCCAAGCTACCTTCTCCTGGGTCCCATTACCGAAATATCCATAATCCTGAATAAACTGAAACATATCACTCAAATGAGGACCCATCTCCTCAGGCAAAAATTCCTCCCACACCTCCTTCGGCATCTGATTATAAACCACCGTCTTTCCTACCACCCTACCAATCGTCTCCGCGATCTCCAGTATCGTATACATCCTCGTCGCAGCACAGATCACCTTTCCTTCATATTTCTCGAAATCCGCCAGCACCGCAGCAACCCACTTCCCCATATCCCCCTCCGTATCAAGCAACGGAAGCTGCGTATCTGGACGGACAAACAACGACAATGCATAGGTCCCATCGTCCCGCATCCTCGGGGCCAACGACCGACTAAAATTCGACATGAAGCAACCCGGCGCGATGAACGCGCTCCGAATCGGCAACGTCCGAATATACCTCTCTACCTCTTCCTTTCCATCGAAGTGGACCCCGTTCGTGAGTGCGCCGTTCGACTCAGCCAGGATACTCGGCAACGTGGAGAAGATGTAATATGGGACGTTCATGTCCACAGCCGCGTCAACGAGGGCTCTGCCCTGCACCACTTCATGCTCGTAGGTGTTCCCGTTGTAGGTGGTGATTGTGCATGCGAATATGACGTGTGCATTGGTGAATGCTGCGCGGAGGGAGGCTGTATCTGTGACATCTGCGTGGACCATCTCCACGCCTTGTGTTGATAGGGTCTTGGCGGCGGGTTGCGTCGGATCGCGTGAAGTTCCGCGCAGTATGTACTGGTTGCGAAGGACCGGGTCTGATTGGATGGCGGAGATCACGGAGCGGCCTTGTTGACTTGTTGCGTTCGTGATGACGACGAGGTTGGACATTTTGGATGGTGGCTGCTTTTTGGGGAGTTACTTCGCTGATATTGAGGTTGGTCGGTAGGTAGAGAATAGGTGGGAGGGCGAGAGGTGTAGATACGTATTAAATTGTATACTCGCAGGTCGGAGTCCGAGATGGAGGGAGTGACAATGGATAAAGCTCGTTCGGGGCTTGTCTCCGGTTGGTGACCACGGTAGGAATGTGTTTATTATTGGGGGGGTCTGAAGTGGTTGTATTCAGAAGGATTGTCAGCACCCCTCTATGAGGAGTATTGGGTAAGTATATTCACATGATGTCTCAATATGGACTAGCTTTATTCTGACAGAATGCTGAACGAGCGGGGGATGCTTGTGTAAATGACATAGATGTGATATAGGTGTGGTTCGAAAATGGTCTGGACTAGTCCTTCTCTTGGTGGTGTTTGGATCTGCAACAGGTGACCTACACATGTGATACCAGATTCAAGGTCCAATTTGGAATATGAAAAATAGTGTAATTTGTATTATATGCAGTTCCACTGTTATGAGTCGCACTTCACTAGTATAGTAACACATGCAAATGTAGGCATGTACATCGACTGCTACATGAAATATCTATTCCTCACCAGGCACATTTCGCCAATATCCCGTTCGGCCATCTTCTCACTCCCGCTTTTCTCATCTCATCAAGACAAAGAATCCCGAGACCAAAAGCAGCCGGAAGGAAGTAATGTTCGGCAGGGACGTTGGTCGTATTCAGAACCTCCTGCAACGATGGTATGTACAGCCAAAACACGGCCATCACGAGGGCAAATAGAATCGCAGGGAAAAGGAGCAGATTCTGCGTCTGTTTATCCAATGCGGGTGGATGTTGAAAGATCGATAGACGGCGAGTTCGGACGGCCATCAGGTTGAACCATTGCCTAACATGCGTTAGTTTAGTGACAATGGGCCGGGATGGAGCATGAGTTACATGACAACCAGGTTGATAAAGTACACCGAGCTGGCTTCGTTCATCTTTGCATTGTAGTAGTCTTGATCAATGCCTTCGGGGAGCGCTCCGAATTTAAACCATAATGCGGAGAAGGGAATCCTGTTACGCTCAAGATACCAGAAGGCCATGGAGAAAGACGCAACGGTTTCTAGCATTCCGTAGATACCGTACGCGTGTAAGATCAGTTTCCAGTTGACGAGACGGTCACGCTTGGGTTTGCGAGGTGGGCGCAATAGGACGTCCGCTTCGGGTTTCTCGTATGCAAGAACGGTCGCAGCAGCGCAGTCTGTGAAACAGCTATTTCATTGGTTAGTATCCTAGTATTTATAACTGTGGCTGGAGATTTCTCACCAAATGATAATCATAAGGAAGGAAGATAGAACCTGTGGCAAACCAAAGACCACACTGGCCATCACGGGCCAGAACTCGGAGAAGGATCCGGCAGGAAGAAGATACACAATTGTCTTTTTCAAGTTATCGAATACCACACGGCCGTACTGGACGGCTTCAACGATGGCGGAAAGCGAGTCCAATAATACCATGTCGGACGCTTCAATAGCAATGTCCGACCCACTTCCAAGGGCAATACCGATGTCTGCTGCTTTTAGTGATGGGGCATCATTGACTCCATCGCCGGTCATGCCAACAATTTCGTCTCTTGCACGGAATTCCCGCACAATACGAAGCTTTTGCTCCGGGGTTGTGCGTGAGAAGACAATTTCTTGATATCTACAGAGTTGATCCCATTGATGATCATTTAGACTCGTAAGGTCTGCACCCGTTATAACGATTGCCGAAGATACAGTTCCTTCTTTTTCAATGGACCTAGGATTGGGAAATCGTTGTAGAGCGTTGATATCGTCGACACGCGCCGCTGTTACAATTCTGCATTGTTGCGCAATTGATAAAGCTGTAAGCCCGAAATCGCCGGTCACCTGAACATGGTTAATCTAAGAAAGTATAAAGTGGGTGTATATTTTACCATGAATATCCTAATCCCTGCACACCTCAAGGTATTCACCACATCAGGGATCTCCCCCCTAGGTGGATCGACAATACCCAGAAGACCAACCAGGATCAAATCACTGCCTGCCTGGCGAAGGACCTCAGAATCAAACTGCTGCGATGATGATATGATGCCGACTTCGGATCCACGAAGAACCTTGCGTGCAAGAAGGATCACACGCTTCCCTTCACTAGACCAGCGATCTTTAAGCTCTTTGACAGTTGCAAGGGTCGAGCTGTCCAAAGCTGATAAGCTTCCGTCAACACCGGTGGTCTTACTACAACGTTCGATCAAAATGTCAGGAGCACCTTTAATGGTGAGTAATCTGGCAGTTTAGTCAGTTTACAAGTTTGTATATTTGACATAATTGGGGCCCGCTCCGTGGGGGGTGTTAATTACCTGTCCTCTTGCTTAAATTCCGATGCTTCGGCAGCAGACAAGGCGAGCGGGATAACTTCCGGATCGGTCGGTGTTAAGGTGCGCACCATAAATTTATTCTTACTGTTAAATGGCAATTCGTGTGTCTTTTTCCACTTGCGACGGAGTTCATCAGTAGGACCAAGACTTTCAGAGAATCGTAAGACAGCCTGGTCAGTTGCATCACCGTAGATACGTCTCGAGGAAAGGTCAATATTAGCAGAGGAGGCATCAAATTCAGCTGCATTACAAAGGGCGGCAATAGACCGTAGATGTTGGACACCCAGCATGTCCTCTTTGATCGCGGCTGGGTCGAAAGACGAAGAGCCAACCGCACTGTCGGTGGCAAACATTTGATTCTATTACATGTCAGCTGCGCCCCACGTATTTGACTATATTAGGATTCGTACCCTAGTCAACGTGCCTGTCTTATCAGAGCAGATCACCGACACAGCTCCCAGAGTCTCCACTGTCTTGAGCGACTTGCAAAGGATTTTGTTCTTGCTCATGAGGGCTGCGGTGATAGTCAAGCTTGCTGTGAGAGCAATTGGGAGGCCCTCTGGAATAAAGGCGATAGCAATACTGACACAATCAACAATCAAAGTAGGAACATTGATCCAGCCAGGATGATCTTTCCGGAGCCATGTAGCCCTACGGGTGGATTAGTTATTTCTACGGAGCTTAGGAGGAGGGATTAGAAAATACCAAACAATAATAACGATAATCACCATCATCAACATGATGAGGACAATGAGGATAACAAAGCGGAGAATTTCCTTTTCCAGAGTTGACAATCCCGTCTTGGGCTCATTTGTCAATTTTGCAATCCTACCGAAAACTGTTGAATCACCAGTAGAGACGACTATGCCAAGGATATTTCCTGACACACAGTGAGTGCCTTGAAGGCCGATACAACGTGTCTCAAGATAATTGTTGTCTGTGGAATCCACCGTCGCGTTAATTGGGAGTGACTCGCCTGAGACTGTTAGACTATTCTTGGAACGTATGGCAGGCTACGCACCTGTCAAGATAGAACGATCCAGGCAGGCATCATTTGAAACTTCAAGGAAGCGGATATCCGCCGGCAGTTTATTACCCGCCTTGAGGTAAACAATATCACCGGGTACAACCTCTGAAGCAGGCACCATGCTTTGGGAACCATCTCGCAAGACAAGGCAGCTTTCTGGGAGCATAGCTGTGATAGATGCCATGACTCTGGAAGATGACCAGTCCTGCCACGCGTTAAAAGCAGCCTGTATAAAGAACACTGCCAACAGAACGATGGCCAGTGCCAAGTTGGCTACTGCCGGTGGTTGGCCTAGTGGCTTCCACGAGATAAACACCAGGATGCAGCCGATCAGTAGGATTGCCCCAAACCCTTTGAAAAAGTATCCCAATATTTGTGAAACCCAAGGATGTGGCATATGCGAAATAGCATTTTTTCCATATTGGCTGATATGTTGCTTGGCCTGTTCGGTAGATAATCCTTGTGATGCATCGACTTGCCATTGTTTCTGAAGTTCTATCGCGGATAGGATATGCCATTCGAGATTTGAAAGATCTACACATCAGTTGTCAGCTTAATCTCACTTCCTAAAGATGTATGGACATACCATCAGCGATGGCATCTTTAGCTTCGGCGGCCTCAGCTCGCTTCCGTTCCTTGCCTTCGTCGATCTCAAAGGAGCTGTAAGATAGGTCAGACACCAATGGCAACTATATATAGTAAACCACAGACATGGTACGATAATGGATTGGAAGCGTCAGCGACGGATCAACTGTGGTCCTGCGGTTCATACTGCGAATCGAGAACTGTGATGCTATCGAGGCAGTTGAGTTCTTTCGAGTGAGATTAGCGGTCCTCGAGGAAGCTCTATTTCCCGTTTCCTCGTCGGCATCCTGCCAGCGAAGCCGCGCTGGGTCCGCTTTGCCATCGGTATCCATCCTCTGAATCGCCAGCTGAGATCCAAGGACTGGAAGAAAAATTTTCGTAAGTTGGAGGACATTGGTTCTTAGTTTTTGAGCTTTATAGGTTTTACACATATGCGGTGTAAATTAGACTGACACATGGCGTCGCGTGGATGATGGGTGCGCGAATTACGACACCCAGAGCTTAGGGCGGCACCTGATGCGGCATTTCCTGCTCAACGCGGATGTCCACTCGTACGGGCAAAATCCCTCACAATATAGTCTCAGCTCCATCTGAGCTCTACTCGAGAGAGGATAATGCTCCCGGTACTCGCATGCAACCTTGGACATTATTCCCTCAGAGCTAAGAGCTGTGAGCTTATCGTCTAATATTCCAACCTAATGGAGGCAAGGGGAAAAAATAATTAGGCACCACCATAAACAAGAAAATATCAGCGGCAAATTTAAGATCAAATTGACAGTCCTCTAAATTATAGGAACAAGCAAAATTATGTTAAGCTTTGCTGCCTCCACCTCTAATAGCAGCTGCGTGCTGTGTGGGGCCAACGTGACTTTGCTAGATCTGACCTAACTTGGCCTGTGCATATTAATGTTCCCATTGGCTAATTCCCGATTGGCAGCATGCGGGTGTGTCTCGACTGCAGCCACTAAGCCTGACATGTTCTACACAGTGTGAAGGGGTATCGTGATAGGGTGGCCCACTTATTGAGCAGCAAGCAGTGCTAAACGCGAATTTCTTGGTATGGGTCCTTAGCTCCGAGTGATTATCCTAAGAGTTGTCATTAATTTGCATTCTTCCCAGCTATGGGTCTTACATTTGACAGGTAGGTGAATCAGAGGAACTTGGTTACGTACTATTAAGAAGATATATTGTATTCTCTTAGTTTTGTAGCTAGATGTCGCCTGCTTACGTGCTACTAAAATAGATATTGTATATTCCAACATAACCAGCTCCAGTTCAGGGTGCTAAGTGAAAGAGAAGTAGAGGGAAATGATATGAAAAATATATGGACCCGACCCGAGCGCCTAAGTTAGCACCTCGGCACCCTGAGTGCTATTTCCCCTGAGAACCTGGCCCTATTGCTGGATAAGAGTATGTGTTCATCAAATAGTATTCAAGGCAAGATAGATATCAAATATGGTCCTTAGTACGTTACGTGCGTGTAGCTGATATGGTGTTCCTCTGTCCCCACTTTCCCCTGAATTATAGTGATCGTGTCGAGATCGCTTCAGTTTACTCAATCTGTTGTAAATCAGAGGATTGATTGTTATTATTCTTATCCGTAAAATTGAGGGTTTCTATATACAAGATGAACATCGGATTGATTAGAAATCAATATGATTCTATGCGGAATAAATTCCGTATATACATATGACCTATGGTAGATGCTAGTTTTAGCATTGAGGCGATGGTAAGAACTCAATAGGGTGAATCATCATATAACTGGGGGTGTACGCATTGAATTGTTATCTTCGAGTCTATAAATTGAACGTTCAACTTAAGACGTAGATCTTGTTTAGAAAGCCATAGAAGACAAAGAAGACCTTGCTTTTGGAATATAAAAAAGCCCGCCCCAGTCGAAGGGGTGGTGGGATCAAATGTACCCGCTGCTACTCCAGTAAGTAGTCCGATGCCTCAAAGAACAGAATAATGTCAAGGAATCTCCGAATAAATAATATTATTAAAACATCATAGCTCAAAACTGGTTGTCGGTCGTAGTCTCATCCCAGCCTTTTCGTAGGTTCGATCAATAGCCTCCATCTGCCTGATGCTATCATCTCCATCAACCCAGACGCCCGAACCCTTGCGCCCCTTGATCTTGTTCACAAACTCATTCAGTTGATAGAGATAGCTTGGCCACCACTCTTTCCCGACAATCGCTCGTTCATCATCAGATGGCCAACTATACGCCTTGAGTCGTTTGGATTCCTTCCATGTGTTCAGAACCAGGCCCGCACGCCGGATTGTAATCGTATCATCCACATCAATCCGGTGATACACACTCGGCATGAGATGATTCCAGATAGTTACCTTCCGCTTGACGGAGCGGATTTTACCGTCCGGGCCCTTCACTTCCTTTTCTTCCAACTCAGCCTCGCACTTAGGCCAGCCGAAACCCGGTAGCCATTTCGTCCACGAAGCCGGAAGTAAGGGCCAGCCTCCCGACGCAGCCAGATCAGCCACCAGCTTTCCCGTTGCACCGCTCTCTGTTCTGTATGTCGCCGTCATTGCCTGGTCAATTTGCTTGTCGTAGTCCAACCCACAGCTGGAAGGCACACGCCTCCCTTCTGCCTCAACTACCTCTTTCGGTTCCTCCCGCAGAATTTGACGTAGACAGTTCATAGGATACGTCCCAAAATCCATCATCGCGCCACCGGAAAGATCATACCGCCAGCGAATGTCGGTAATCGGGACTCCTCCCTTGGGAAGATACTGCTGTGCAAGAGCATGTTTCACTGGCCCCACGGTAGGATCCCCGTGGATGTAGGACAGAAATACCTGCCATGCGGGATGGAAGCGATAGTGGAATGCTTCCAGGACAATAGGGGCACCAGGCGCTTCGATCAAGGGGTGGTTGAATAGTGCATGGGCTTCTTCGCCGTTCGAACAAGATGGCTTCTCCAGGAGGACGTGTTTGCCGGCGCGGACGGCGCGCAGGGCCCATTCAAAGTGGAGACTGTTGGGTAAGGCGATGTAGATGGCGTCGATTGAAGGGTCGCTGAGAAGATCTGTAGTTATTGAACAAATGTTGCTTGTAAGGGAAGTTATATTAGGGTGCCATATATTGCTTACCTTCGTAGGAGGAATGGACGATAGGAATGTCATGTTTCTTGGCGTATGCCTCTGCGCGACTGTGATCTCGGGCTGCAACTGCAGCGATGATCACATCTGGATGTGCTTTGGCTGGGACAATCAGGGCTATTGGGCTATCTTCATGTCAATACCGGACTTGGGAAATAGAATAAGATGGACTTACGCGATATTCGACGCTCCGAGGAGCCCGAATCGTATGGGATCACGCTGCTTCCGGACCGGTGGAGGACTAATAAAACCTGTGTAGATACGATACAGCACGCCGAAAACCATCGCGATATCTCCCTCTAGATTTTATATGACTCTTTAAATCAAATCAGATCATGTAGGTTGCAATTATGGCAGTGGGATTTAAGCTGTCGTTCGCACTCTGATAATGATGACGTCATGTAATCACGCGTTGGATCGATCGCGTCAGCCCCAACTGAGTCAGATAAACTTTTCTGAGGGTCGCATTGATATCACATGGATGATAAAGAGAAATATCGCCCCTTTACAGTGTTTCCTGTTTTTTATGTCTAAGCGACATAGAGATTGGCCTCCAGTGAGGTGCTGACGGATTGGGCGATCCTTGCAAGGCTATTCCTGATTAGGGACGTCCAAGTCTAGCCCCTTCCCAAATGGGAGATTTCATGGATCAGATTTTTGCCGGAGAGCAAGTCGACGGTGGGCTACTCATGATTTAATATGGATTTATGTTTGATATGAGAATTGAAATTTCGTCCTCGTAACTTATATAACTGGTTGTATCTTCATCTTCGGATATGAATGATTGTCATAATAATCAAGGGATATACAAGCCGAGGACAGTATAGAGTGAATTATCAAAATAGACAGAGAAGGTATATGAAATCTACTCCTGATAATCCTTTTACTGGGTAAATTCTCTGACAAACTTCTAGCATTCTATCTTCCTCTCGTGGCTTGTATACTAGCATCGCCCTACCAATAGAGCTCAGCAAATATCTGTACCACTATGCTTTCTGACCTCATCACCACTAACCCCTTTAGTATGTATTTTACATTAACCGTATCATGGATACGTGTATCAACACCTCACCGTCTCACATTCGCCGTTCGTAACCTGCAAGGATACGCGGCTTGGATCGAATAAACATGCTGTCTTAAAAGGCACCTTCATGCCTCTGACACTTTAAAGTCCTTGCATGCCACATGGCTGTGTCTCTTGCTGAATTATTAACGACGTACATAGTCTCCACCATCTCTACGCACATTTGCTCCAGTGCATTATGGGAGCTGCAGCATGAGGTTCGAGCTCTATTCAGGAGATGCTTGTTCATGTCAGTGCCAATCACTGACTCCCTTAAAGAACGACATGACATCATTCACATGGGCAACAATGTCCATGATGCATGGAACCAACGACACATATGTGGCAAGTGTCCGTTTTCTTCCGCAAGCTGTTCAGGAAACATGAAATGGGGTATACTTGTCAAGGGCTAAACCTCTATAACCTAATAACTAGGGTGGATACAAAAGGAATCGTCGAAGAGGAAAGAGAAGAGGAAACAGCGATGAGACGATTGCGAAGTAAGGGGGGGGAAGTCACATGATAGAGTGTACTAATCAATATACTAATCATGTGGCAGGCGAGGAGAAAGGAAACACGAGGGCTGAGGGCCCGAGTAGGCTGAGGGGCTCTAGCCCCTTACAATACTTCCCCAATTCCAGTTTTGTCGCGTAACGCTCCGTGTGAAAATTTCGCTGGAAGCTTCAGGCTAGTAGCAACACTTGATTCAAATTTTTTTCCTAGCATGAAGTCCATTTGGTCTTTAACATTGACGCTAGTTGAATATGGGCCGCAGAATGATTCCATTTCTGTAATGAGAGCTCTAGCCACAGCTTGACAACGGTGTCATTGCACTCCACTTTATGCAGTCCATTGTGGGCACCAGACGAGCAGTACCGTCGCGCTGTCGGCACTGCCGTTGCGCCGCCCTTGTAGCTGGTTAGCGATATTGTGTGATCGGTACCATCTCTTCCGCTATAACTACCTTTACAGCGACAGCGACCCCTACTACCTCTACTACTAGCTCTGAGCCTATTACTGCGACTCTAACTACGACCCTGTAACAACAACGACTACAATATTATTGTTCCCCTTCCCTACCTAGCCGGGACTCGCTCCTAACTGTGATAATGTTATGATCATTAGCTCATGGTCGGGTGTGGTGGGCAAATAACAGTATACCAGCTATCCCAGTAGCCTACTTAGGATCTTTATCACAGTAGTAACAATAATCAACTAATTCAGCCATCGTAGCCAATGTGCTCTCTCTCACCAATGACTATCTAAAGGAATGGGAGCGATTCAGGGGGATGACGCTAAGTGCTCACCAAAGCGCTTGGGGTTATCGGATCCCGAACCCCGATAAGTCTCTACCAAAGAGGATCAAATTATTTCCAATCATCTGTCAATGAGCTCCTCTGATTTGAAGTCCAAAGCTCAGTACTGGACAGACTTAGTGGTGAATTTATATAGTAATCAACTATCCTTATTATTGTGAACATTGAATCTATTATGAGATTTTTGTAAGTAAAGGCAAGGTAGATTGGTTAAAAGTTCCTACTAGTTAGTACGTGCTCTCCTCATATAGTATAGGCCAGACTCGACCTAGTAATATTGGATGAAAGGTCTAGGACTCATTAAAAGACTATTGTGTTTGCATTGCCCAAGTTCCCCGCAGGGGATTATAAATATCTGCGTTGCTCTGCAGCTGATTCTTATAACATCTCTTTTTGGTCTATTGAAGTACCATCAAAACTTTTCGATTATATTCAAGCTAGACACCATCGGCATGTAAGAAAAAACACCATGTCTTTTCCCGAAGAACTCACCACCAAATACCCATCTCTACGCAAGTTCGCCAATGATGACTACGTGGATTTGCATGATGGGCGCGAAAGCGCCCTTCTGGCCCTACCGTCATTTCACCCGAAACGAGCTGCGAGGCTCTCCCTTGGCCATCCTCCGCGTGATGGACGAGTTCGCAGCACAGAACGACTTTCTCATCAACACCGATAGCAACAAAGCTGACAAAGTCCGCGAGATAATGGAAAAGGAGAAACCAAATGTTCTGGTCGAGCTAGGTGGATACGTCGGTGATTCTGCCATCTCCTTTGGTGAGGCTATGGCCATGCTGCTAGAGACAAGCAGCACCATCTTAGACTCTGGAGCTTGGAATTCAACCCGCTAATTGCATCGTTTGTCATGAACCTGACTGATGTGGCCAGCTTGAGTGATATTGTCAGGGTAGTGGTGGGGTCTGCGGCGGATTTTCTGAAGAGGCTCCATGCTGAAGGGAAGCTTACTACTATCGATTGCCTGTTCCTGGATCAAGACCTGTATATTCGCGCTTTGAAAATTTGCGACGAAGTGGGCCTCCTCAAGTCGGACAGCTTAATCGTGTCCGATAATGTGGTCAGCCTGGTGCTCCGCGGTATCGCAAGTACGTCCGCCAGAGTACTAGAATGGAGAGCTGGGGCGTCAAGGGGCTTATTATGCCTGGTGGATTTGAGATGAGCGCCCACAGCCCGGAGAATACTCTTAAAAGACTGATCAAGACCCTCAAAGGATGAACTCGACGAGACTCGAATTAAGTAGAATGCTCCCTTTTTCAATGACGAACGAAGCTTGTAGTATATTCTTACAATTAGATAGAACCCCAAGTTCCGATTTTGCAAAGTTGTATAAGAAACATCTCTTTTTTACGATCCACTGCCACACTATCACCTAGACATTATTTTACGTAAATAGTAAATTCAACAGAACTTATCTTACACCAGGAGCTTCTTTAACAATAAATATTACTACTTCTTATTTACTCAATAAAGAACATTAGTGTAAAGCTAACCATGCTTTATATGCCCCTTCCAGTATCGGTAGGTGGCTAATATAAAAGTATCATGGAAGTTGCCGATGGGTCAGCTCATATGCTCCTAAATCCTAATATTCTTGACCATTGGGTCATGGTAACAAGGCATAATATGCAATGTACATGTATTTTGCTAGTTATAGCCTTCTTCCCCGCTCATAGCTCATGCGCTATTTTCCAAGGACAATGACAATGCACCATGTGTTACATTCCAGCATCCAGAGGCAGGGATGTGGGCGCTCCCAGCGCATAGAAAATAATACTAAGCACTATCTAGGAGGCCTGTTTCTTCTGCTGCCTCTTATTGCTCTGTACTTTTGAGATTAAAACTCCAATCTTCCAGGCCTCCACATATTGCTTTCCTGAAGGATCTATTAAGCACTTTGTAAGATCCCTGGTGTCATTCAGAACTCTCCATTTTTCGGGTTAGATAAACAGTATGTGATGAATTTATAATAATAACCCTGTTGATATCGATGTTAGCATCACAAATCATGAACCCAGATTTCCTTGCTTATTACCATTCCTCCATGAGTTTCTTGGTCCAGATCTTTAAGAATGAAATAAAGCAAATTTAAAATAGCTTAGATCCGTCCAAGGCCTTGTCTAAAAGCTCTATAGGAGTACATATCTATCATCATCGCGCAAATAACCAAAAAATTTTGGCGCATGCGGCGAACAGACTCACTACAGCCACATGTAGCCCTGGACAAGCACGTCCTCCAGTGCCGAAGGCAAGATGAGACTTGGAGAGATTCAACGTTTACCGCCATTGAGGGGTACCAGAGGAGCAGCCAGGAAAAAATCGGTTATGGCCAGAGGGTGGTAGTCTGGATTGCTGGTCTATCCTAAAATCTGGTATGAAAGGAACCGAAAAAGCTAATAAAATCATCCTAATTAGAGTGATGAGAAAGGAGGCCTTAGCGGGGAAGATGAGTGTCCGACTTGAAGCATAATTGGTATACTAATATACCGGGGGTAATAGTGTTTTATTATTTAATGGCTTTGTCAATCTCTTTTCTATTACTCGCATCCACCAAGTCTTTTCAAGCAAAGGGTAGTCTCGAGCCATATTCTTACGCCCTATGGCTCACATTTCTTTAAATTCCGTAATCCAATGCGTAGAGGCAATTTCCAATATATATTATTAAGGACTGTAATTCATTGATTTTATGATTAAATAGCAAACTACTGTAGGAGCTGTATTAATTATATATGATATAGTAATTTAAATACAGCCTAATATCGACCGTTGCTCCCATCGTGTCCAATGCTTGCTCCACCTCTTTTTAGAAGTATAGGGCCTGCAGGCACCTTGACTATTGAGCTTGTGGTCTCCATAGCCTGCATGGCCATCGACTTCAAAATCGTTCACGATTTCACTTGTAGGGATTGTAGGATTTGTAAGGATCGTATTTAGGATAGCTACCCACTCCGGAGTCTGCTTCAGCCTCACCCTGTTCCACATCCCGTTTGTAGGGAGTGTAGGATTTGTAAGGGTTATATTTAGGATAGCTAGCTACCCCAGAGTCTTCTGCTCTCTTTTGGTCAACAGGAAGTGCGTTTGCGCCAAGGAGCAGAACAGCTAGCAGCGTGATATTTCCAAGAAAGCGCATGGTTGCAAATAAATTGCGGCCTATATAAAGGCGGTTCTAATAATCCGAAGAAGATATCGATGGTATAATAGATTTAGATTTCATCTGACTGCTGAAATGCAAACAGTATCAACGTATATGGCCCTATAAATAGCTATGGAGTAGATTGGAGAGGCCACGGGTGCGTCATGATGATCACTATATTCTATTCTAAATTTAAACTGCATTATCTCTTAACACAAGCCTATTGGGTTCTATTATTATCCATTTATTTTTAGTTTGGTACAGTAAATTCAATTGTGTCCTTGTATTACCTTTTGTGTCAGGAAATCGGGGTCTCTGTCAAAGTTGGAGTATGCGGAATAAGAATCCATGACGACAAGACTCAGGTCAGCCAACACACACGTCTTTATGAAGATGTTTTCAGCAGGCTTGATTTCGGAACCAGCCACAATATGCATTTTATTTGATCGAAATAAAAAGTTTATCTGGGTTCGGAAATAGCACTTACAAAAAACCCTGCTGTATGATGTAAGAGTGTGGATAAACTTTCCGACAATTCCTTCCTACATAGATGCCTATCACGTACTCGAGCTACAAATTTAATAAATTATTTATCTACCAGTGCATTGTTTGACTAAAGATAGCTCATGTGAAACCTGTTTACGTGCATATCAGACAAGGAGTTCGGAATTTCCCAAAATGATCTCATCGTCTCCAGATGTCGACCCTACTGAAGGGCTGCTTTCCGATGAAGAGTCGCGCCCACGGATGCCAAAAGAGAAAGGCAAGACAAGGAATGGCCCTCTATGGGTAACGGCCCTTCTGTACTTCGTAGCCATTTCCTTGATCTTTATATTCGGAAGTGTAGCTGGCTATCACTGGCAAAACCTGGATAGTCGTTGCACTCAGCACATTTCTCAGTACTGTGGGTTGTCCGATAATTCTTTCGCAACGTGATCACTGATGTCCAATCCCTTGTAGCCCCCTTGATGAAAGACCAAGATATTACCTACCATATTCAGCAATTCAACGGCTCATTTCTCAAAGAGAATATTTTTCGAGGCAATGCTAGTCCTGAGGTTGATGCAGCATGGGAATCTTTGGGAGTTGAATGTGAGTATATCTATAGACCAATGCATAAGACAGCAGATCCTAACAATGTACCAAGATCGCCCCTTGCGGGTTCCTCCAGAGGACGCAGAAAAGGCTGGAATCTCCCCAGATCAAGTTAAGATAAACGATCAATATGGGGGTGGGTATCCTGCAAACCTAGAAGGTTTACACCACCTACACTGTTTGGTAGGTCTATACACGATGTTAGTACGCACTTATGGAAGCTAATTTCTTAACAAGAACCTCCTTCGTAAATCACTCTATTACAATTACGAATACTATCATTCCCGGGGCGAAGGCGCTTTCTCGAACAATGACTACATTGTTCGTCGGCATGTCTGTGAGTGTCCTCCCCAGCATAAGTTAACTCTCACGGAGACTAACTAGCCCGACAGCGCATTGCTTAGACATTCTTCGCCAGCAGCTCATGTGCACGGTTGATGTTGGAGTCCTAGGTCAAGTTTGGGTTTGGCCTGAGGACCCACGACCTTTCGTTGACTTTAATACCCGCCATCGATGTAGGGATTTCGATCAGATTCGACAATGGGCTCAAGATCATCAGCTGCCTCAAATTCCTCCTCCGGATTTTTTGCAGGAGAAACCGGAGAGTGGGGATAGGGTCTATCCGGAGATTCCTTAATTAACCCAGGGCCTAGGAACGGTGTTGGTTTCGTTTCAAGAAGCGACCTACTTCCTGAAGAGTATAGTGGTAAGCGCTATTAATCAATTTATGCAAAATATTATTCTCACGCAAATATAATTATCGGATTATTAGTAATTAGTTTGGCTACCCAAGCCAACTCGCGGTTAAGAGTAAATACTAAATGTTTGGTATTACTCTACAGTAACATTAAATTTGCTCTTTTAGAATTAGCCTACAAATGATCTTGTTTACATTTATTATTCATTTCTAATCTATATGTAAAAAAAAGGGGTAAGGCAGGCCAACATTAGATATATTTTTAGACTATAGTATACAAATATAAGGACTACTAAACGCCCAATATATAAGACAGCCAAGCTACACTCGCAGCAGACCTCTGTATGATGAAGGTTAGCGCTAACAATAGCTATGTTACCTAACTGATCATTCCCTGTATTTCCTTTTGTAGTCACGTCCCCCAATCTGGTAACGCTCAGATCAGATATCATTGAAAGGGCGAAGGTTTTCAAGGGGATCAACCAAAAGGCATATACACACGGGATTGGAGTACACCTAGCATATTTCTAGGGCACAATAACTGACCTGACAGTCACTAGACGAGATGTCTATGACAAGACGTCTACCGATCAGAATTTTACTCTCCACCCCCAACCACCAGCAACACCTCTAGCAACTACAAACGCCACAGACGCGGCCAGATACAACATCCCCGCAAATATAATCAGTCCCCAATAATCCCCGCCATTAGACTCCTGGATTGCACCAGCCAGTGGAATCCCAATCAGAGTACCAATACTGACCAGTGTAAACGCCGTGCCGTTCCGCTTCCCAATATCCTCAGTCCGGCACACCTGCGAGATACAAACAGGAGTTAGACTGATAGCCGCACCGCTCCAAAACCCAAATAGCACCACATAAGCTATCATTGCTGCACTGCTACTGACAGCTTTATACCATAGCGCTAAGGTAAGGATCGCGCAAATTATAGCCGTCAAGGACATGACGTTGAATCTACCCATTCGATCGGCGAGAAGACCAGGGAACGCTCGGCCTGGTATAGCCCCCGCACTTAAGAACACTGTTAGTAGATAGGCTAGAGTCGGTTCCATTCCAACGTGGAGACCATAAGATACAATGTAGGCATATGGGACAAACACCGCGAACTCGACGAGCCAGACGGCAAGCGTCGTCAGGGCATATTTTGGATCCAAAAGGGCTTTCAGATCGATGGCCATGCCTCGTTTATGATCGGGTGGGAGACGGGTCTTGAGTAGTATGCAGGCGGAACCGCATAGGATGAAGCAGAGGATGCCGATGATTCGCATTGCCCATGGGAAACCGAGCTTGGGGCTCACATATATGATGATTAGCGGAAAGAGCATGCCGCCGAGGCCACCGGCTGTGCAGGCGATGCCGGTTGCGAGTCCACGGCGGAGGTTAAACCAGTGGCCGACGGCGGATACGGCAGGGGTGAAGAGGCAGCATGAGGAAATGCCACCAAGGACGCTGAAGGATAGAAATATCTGGTAGTATTCTGATCGAGTTAGCAAATGGACTAGGTCGGTGTTGAACGAAGGTGATGGCTACCTGTGCTTTCGCCGAAGAAAAACACGGCTAAGACCAAGCCAATGGATCCTGGCAGTACCACAGGCAGCACCCCACGGCTATCGAAGATAGGACCTGTAAAAAATTGATGGTTTAGATTTCAGAAAATCATTGAAAGATATTGTTGGCACATATTACGTACCAACCTGGGCGCCACCGAAATAAAGGAAAAAGCTGAAAGCGCCGAAGATCCATCCAAGCTTGGACGACGAGTAATCTGAGAGTTGATGACTTGCTGTCCAGGCATGCAGAACACCAATGGTATTCAAAAGCCCCATAGAAGGCATCATCGCACACCATGAGCCCAGAACAACAAGCCATGCTCGCTGGCCGCCCTCAGGGTATTTTCCTTCATGTTCACTTCGTTCCTCAGTTCTTACTCCGGAGACAGGTTCCTGAAGGAATGTGGAGGGTCTTCTCTCAACAGAATCATTTGTTGACTGCAGGTTATTCGAGACAGGCTGGGGTGCTTCTAAATCTATGTTCGCCATTAACCCGCCTTGGTCTAATAGCGAAGATGCTTGGGACAATACGATGGAAGTCTAAGAAATCGTGGATATCAATAAATGGGGGAAATATTATCAGTCAAAAGCACAAATGCAACGACAAAGCAATCATCAACACCAGTGACCCAAAATAGTACACTATTTACAACTAATATGAAACGGGCTGCCGTGGTGGAGGGGTTTTCACAGACACGTGATGGTGCTTCTGTGCGAGGATGGCCGATGGACGCTTGTCCATTGCCGGAACAAGATCCGAAAACTGCTCAAGCCCGAATTTGGGGTCGAAATTATTGTTGATACGGTGTATCTATTATATAACAGCAAACCCTGATTGTATACATATTAGTAATAGCACATATGGTAAGGTAAGCATAGGTATTAACTAGTAAATAGTAGATATAGAACGTAACCAGTAAGCGAGCGTCCGCTGCGTTCCATGTAGACGAGCGACGTCTCATATAAAAGTCTTTTTTATAACCTGAATATCTCAACAGCAATAGGGGTTTTATTGTTTAATTCTTTTATGGTCATAATATATACTCCTTTCTAAGGTATCATAAATGTAATAGATTTTTTACATAAGATTTAGGACCTTGTATCCTAGTAGTAATTAATAAAATACACAAAAATACGACGGTATTTGCTATATTAGAAGAATTATAGAAATTGAGAGGCCCAATACATAATATATTGATTTGTAATATAATATAATACTAATAACAAAACTACAGCTTTTCTAGGTTTGTCATTGCTGAGATATCTAAGGTTTAAAACTGGCCATTTTATATGGATGCAGAGCAGGAAGGCTATTATATGTGGGGTCGGTAACGAACTGAATGGTGCGCTATGGTGCGAAAGGGAGTAGCTATATGGGAGGGAAGACCACGTATATTGCAAAACTAATCGCTGGCCTTCAAGAGTTCAGGCCGGAGGATGCGAATATAAACACTTTGCACCCGACTAAACATCTTAGCTAAGGATTTGGCTATCGCGCTTCCGAGCGCTCCGAACAAAGGCTCGCCTATATAGAATGCTCGATTACCGGTTACGTTAGCAAGTGTACTATATGTTAGTAAGAAATATTTATGTTTAAATATTACTTTCGTAGAGTATGTATATAATTACTATAAAAATATCATATTCTATCTTGGAGGTATGTGTTCTCTTTCCTGAAAATGAAGAAATCCACGAAATGAAGAACTTAAGCTCAGGCTCTTTATCTTACCGGTATTTTCATACATACCTTGTATACTATGGAATTTAAAATCCCTGGTATTTCCACAGTGTATGAAATAGTTATACAAGATTTACCGTGATTTCAAACCCCTAATTCCGGTTAGAGTACGGTACTATAACGGTTTAGCGAGGGACGCAAAGTGACATGGTTTCTGGCCGGCTTCTAACATTCCGACGAGACAGGATACATTTGAAAGCATCAAAGTGGGGGACTAGAGATATCTATTGTCCATATGGAGTATTATATTGAGTGAGCTGTTCTATTTCAGAGGTAGAGTTAATTTTGTTTTTCTGCTCATCCGAAAGTTAAAGGTATATGCGGAATGATGAACGCAGGGTTAACTTTCAATTAAGCCGATTCCGATCGTGAGCCTCTCTTCTTCTATTTCACCGAGCCTCGATCAGTAGTGGCTGTATGATGCAATAATATCTGGGCTGATTACGGTCTGTACTGTATCTACCTTCTTGGCGTAGATAGTCCAGGAGCTTGAAAGGACCGAGGATAGAGTCGGCAAAAGGGATTAGTTACTAACACAAAAATGAGTAATTAAGATAAAAATACAAGCTTCGCTCGGCATAGCCCTGATGGGCAATGCTCTGTTGCAAGGCGGTAAATCTGTTTAGGCGCAGGCACGTGAGAGTGCAAGAACATCGGGTTATCCCTCTGCTCAGATTGCAGGTCGGATAGACATTCGGAATCGGCCGGGAGACCCATTGTAGTCACTGCTCCAGCTTTGGGTTACCGTGTACCCGGCTTATCGATAAAGATTCAGGACCCGAACATGACCGATTCCCAGCCTATCCTTGACAGCAGGACAGTAAACAGGATAAATAAAGGAATATATCCCTTCATTTTTATTACACATAAAACTAAAACCAGTATAAAATGTCTTTCCTGTTAAGAATATACCTATAATATTAAGAAGATGCATCCTAAAATGATTGGTTTTATATGTATAATCCATACAAAGAATGTATGGATTTGACTATAATCGTTCAAGGCAGACTTTGAAAAAGAGACCTAAGTCACATGACATTGAAACATGTGACTGAACGCCAACGAGAGTCGAGGCTTGGCGCGAGAAATCAAGGTGAGAACACGGCAGATTTTTGCGGCTAGGGCTCGTGGGCAGGACACAGGTGACCTGACTCCGGGCCGGAGCTCTGTTCATCTCTCACCTCGTTCGTTTCAGGGCAAAAAGGGTCGATCGGCATAGCCGCTAAACCGAATGAGCTTGTTGTAGCCTCCGTTTCCCGTTTTTGGTCCTTGAAGTGATTTAGCTTCGCCGAATCCCAAAAGGGAAATTGGTCTGTACCCCATACCCCGTATTCCACCCCCAGACGGCGGAGAAATTTTCCAACATTTAGTCAGACCATTCCATCTGTATGACTCGAGTGGTACTGCCCAGTGCACCCAGGACCACCATTGGTTCTGGACGATAGGTAGTCATAATGCTGGTGGTCAGCACCTTCTTTGTGGTTATGTAGCCTATGCCTCCCTAAACAGGCATAGAATGATACAGTCTCTACTCCTCTTAAGAAACGGCTCGGTAAATGTACGGTAGAACGCTTCAATTTACATTGAGAATCGGGATATATTTAGGAGTGCCTGATTCCCTTGTAAATTGTTTTTTTCCCCGATTATGAGGACAGAAAACCGACTCTAATCGTAGTACATATATTACTAAAATGAATGCTACTGTCCAGGCCGCGACTCGAGTCATCATTGACACGGATGTCGGTGAGTTCCCTAAGGTAATACGCTTGATTGTTCATAGCTCATATGCAAATAGGCGGAGATGACATGACAGCTATGCTACTAGCAATGGCTGCCCTGCCGGCAGTGATGGAGGTTGTGTTACTTACTGCAGTTTGGGGCAATGTAAATGTGGAAAAGGGATTGAAAAATATTATCTCAATGTTTCATATCCTGTCCCTGGAAATGGACTGGCGCAAGAAACAGGGTCTGCCTCTCGGCTTTGAAGCCTTTCGATCCTTCAAACCTCTTGTTAGTCTTGGCTCAGGACATGCTCTGGGAAAACCTGTGGTAATAGAAAAAGATGGATTCCGTGAGTTTAGCATCCCCAAATACCTTCTGTGCTGGAAGAAATCGAATCTGACTTACATGCTGCAAGATGGACCCGATGGGCTACAGAACTTCTACAAATTGGTATGATAGAGCTCATTTATGATTCCTTGGCCTTTCAATGGGACTTTTAAAACGGAGAGAGCCTAACACCAACGCAGCATCCTGATCTTGCACCAGACGACTCTTGGAAATCGCTTTTCGAAGATGACGTGCCCAGCCCGAAGGAGAGACCTGAATATTTCAACTATTTTAACGCCTCAAGACTTCCAGCTCACAAAGAGATAATACGTGTTCTGAAAGAAAACCCGCCGAACACGATCACGGTTTTTGCCCTTGGTCCCATGACGAACATTGCGCTGGCTGCAGCAGAAGACCCTGAAGCACTCCTTCGAATGAAAGAACTTCTTGTAATGGGCGGAGCCATTGACAGTCCCGGGAATATGTCTCCAGTGGCTGAATTCAACACATTTTACGACCCAGTTGCATGCGCAAGGTCATTTGCCCTATCATCTCGCGACCCAGCATCTACCATGCCTCCAGCGAACTATTGCAAGATCCCTCTTGGGCCGTATCCCGAGAAACTATCAAAACAACTCACCGTAAAGCTGTTCCCTTTGGATATCACGCTTACTAACTGTGTGGATTATGATCGCTTTTCCAAATCGATCAAGCCAAAGCTCGATGCTGGTAGTCCACTTGTGACTTTGGTTAATACGTATCTCACTGGGCTTTATAAGAAAAATACATCGGATCCTTGTGTTGTCCTACATGATCCGCTGCCTATGTGGTATGCGTTGACTGAGAATAACACGGCATGGAACTTAAGTAGTCCACGGGACATAAGAGTCGAAACGGAGGGGCAATGGACATACGGAATGGATGTGGTTGATAGACGTGGTGAGAAAAGGGCGAATGGTGTGAATGAAACAGAGGTTGATGATGATACTCTGGGATGGCTGAGTGCAGTTCGCGGGAACAGGATTATCCAAGCTATGGAGAGTCCTGGGGCAGATGCATTCTATGAGAGGGTTATGAAACTTTTGGGCCTTTGAGGCTAGCGGGACAAGTTCTAGGATATAGAGTCCAAGCAGGTTATATCCACGGTATAGATCTTGTAATCTAGCTCTATAGATAAATAGAAAATCTAATTTTGTTTTGGAGTATGGAAGGTGAATGACTTTATAAAAGATGCAGCGATTGAAGACAATGAGTACATAGGCCAACGAATGCCGAAAGGAATGGCGACTGTCCGAATCATTGGTTGCTCGAGTTCGACTCAGGTGTGATACGTAGGTAACTATTGGGAGTTTAACCTATATGGTGAATATACAACCCCGACTTGCCTTCCTGTGCATTTGCTTTGGTCAGGGCTTTAATCATTTCACATATATTCTAAGCATTCAATTTCCATTTCGGTGACAACAGATGGGAATGATCAACAACCCCCTTTTTACTCAGTACAGGGCATCAGTTCACGGCCAAAGCCCTTTCTGGCTCTCTTCTAACCTCACAGTGAAAGGCATCTCAGGATTATTGAAAGTAAATGGCAGAACTGCGAGGAGAAAGATACGATTAGTTAGATATAGTATTGATTCAAAAATTATCACTCAGCCACCTACAAACCCATAGTCTCTAGGAGAGGCATAAGAGTGGTATTTAAGGTATTTTCAATATTGACGAATAGTTTGCCACTACACAGGGTGACGAACAAATTGACAACTCAAAGTTATCTTCAGACATTGTGGCTTTCACTTGGACACCATTCGTTATATGGTTACAGTCCAGCTGTCAATTATCATGTAGCTATAGTTGACTATCTAGCAGCCTGACATCAGCAGTGACAGTGCCTAGATATACTAGATGGACTTTTGCTTGTTTGAGGTCCTCTTGAATCTCAGTGATCACCTGACTGGCCGTGTCGAGAGACTGATTGCGCATCTTTTGCCATGTTGATCGCCGATAAGTAAAAGGAATGCTTCACTTAATCTAAGGAAAATAATTGCGTGGCCGAGTATTTGGGCATTCAAGAATAAATCAAAATAGAGAATACATAACGCTGTGAAATGATGGAAGGACATAAAGGAGGGGGGGTGGCAGACGACCAAGAATTATGAATTCTCAGGAACAAAACAAGCCTAGTATCATGGATATCCCACGACGGAGACACTTAGGAACTAGTGTTTTCTAGGTCGGATATTCGCAGGAATCAAGAGTTCTCAGGTGGCAGACGATCCAGAATTATGGATTCCCAGGAACCACACAATCCTAGTTCCATGGGTATCCAACGACGGAGACACCCAGGAGCCAGTGTTTTCCAGGTCAGATATTCCCAGGAATAAGGGCATCCTAGTATCATGCTAATCCCGAATAAGAAAATCCCAGGATTTTGGGCATTCTGGGAGCCATTAAATAAATCCCAGTGGCCAAGACTCTATGGGTCGTCCACATAGCTAGAACCAAGACAGGACTCCTATCGACTGGGAGATGGGGATAAAAACAGTTGGTTAACCACTAAATACGGTACAAATATTTATTTTGTTACAGTTCTTCCAGTGGCCCTACGTTGTTAAACTACCTCACTGTAACTTATAACAAAACTAATACAGGCAAATAATTTCGTAGCATTTTCTTTTTTACGGCCTGTTCAGATACATTCAATGTGTCCCTTGGTGAGAAAATATCTCACACTAAGCTACTTCAGCCACTTTGGGAAGTTATATAACCTGTCCTTAATCCCATTAATTTCTCGTTCCTAGCCTTGTTTGGTCTTGTGTATTGTACCATACATGTAGCGAGCCCATAACGCTGGTATCTCTAGGTACACTGCATTTTGAGTCTCGAGCTTTCTCTAACCTTGTGCGTTTTAATGGCATCCGGCAGCACCCACCCTGCTCCGACGTGCAGATCAAGGATCCGCCATATTAGCCTCGCTTAATTGATATAACTCCCTCCCCAAATCCCCAGTAACGCGGTACCTATCACCCATGGTCCCCTCCTCCCACAAGTCCGGGGGTAGATTCAACTGATCCCAGTCCATAATAACGTCCGTGATAGTCTGCGCATCGGCCTCGACGCGGGTCTCCCGGATAACATTCTGCTTACCGTCCACATAAACCAGACGCAATTGGCCGCCGGTCTCGAAGGACTCCTGATCCGCAACGAGAATGTACGCTGCTGCCACTGTGCGGAGGAGGTCGGCCGCCTCGAGTTCGATAAAGCGATGCGGATCCTCCCTCCACCGATCGGGCTCATTCTGCTTTGTCTTGCTGAGGGAGGTCTTAAATTGTGTTCGTGACATCTCCACAATTTCTGGTGACAGGTATCGCTGATACCCGGCACCGCTCACCGGACCCGCAACCTCGGGCATGATGTCGTATACGCGCTGCCAGTCAGAGCCAAAGTTGAAGAGAGTTGCATCGTTCAGACACGCCCACCAGGCTTGGTTCTCAAATTCCTCCGATGCACCGACCCATTCCTCCATCTTCTCGTCGTCCTCCGGGTCATAGTGCGTCCGGAGAAAGATCGGTGCGGCGTTGCCTGATTCCAGTACTTGCCATGCTTTCTGGCGCAGTTCGTCCGACCGCCAGGGACGGAGGACCGTGTCGATCTCCTCCGCCGTGGGCATGCGTGGCGGTGGTGCGCCGTAATTGACGGGATCCCATTCGCGGGGTATCTCAGCCAGATCGATAAATTGCCGGATGAGCCGGAGGCGCTGTTGGTCGGGAGACTCTGTCGCTGCGAAGTCCCAGTATCTCTGCGGAACTTAGCGAACTTTCTGAGCAGTATAGCCTGTAAGGGAAACCTGCAATTAGGTATTGCTCGACAGGCAACTCGCCCCATTTTGGGATATATCCTCGGTCGTCGTTCGACATGGTGAGAAGAAGTGGTGTCTTGGAAGTGGGACTGTAAAAGTAGTAGGGGAAATTATTGTGGTATGTGATAATAGTGGTAGAGAATAGGGAGAAGTATTAATATAAACTAAACCTAATAGGACAAAGCAGCATGCCAGCATCCAGTAAGATTTAAGAGCGGACTCTGGAATGCTGCAGAATTTAATTATAATACTAGAAAAAAGAAATATTACACAGTGTTAAAAATACTAAAAAAGTTTAGGCTTTATCTATTTAGAGTGTATTTTACTTTAAAGGTAAATATAGCTATTTTTATTATATAGTTAAATCACACTGCCACAGACCTCCTAGGGTTTTTAGTAGCAAGATAGATTGCATGGATTTAAATATTTAATTTTTTAGCTATATATATGTAAAGGGCTAGAGCCCGTTTGACCTCTCGGGCCAATGTCCCTACTGTCCCCGTTGTCCCTATTGTCCCTATTGTCCCCGTTGTCCCTATTGTCCCTATTGTCCCTATTGTCCCTACTGTCCCTACTGTCCCTACTGTCCCTACTGTCCCTACTGACCCTTTTGGCCCATTGGCCCTCGATCGATGTCACGTGACTCCCCACCTTGTTTGTTTACCGCTTGTTTCCTCTTCCTTTCTTCCTTTCTTCCCTTCTTCAACGATTCCTTCTTGTACATAACCTATCTTGTAGGTTCTATGCAGGCTGGTTTTCCATTACATAATACCCGCTTCAATCCATTCTCGGAATGGATTAGTATGGACACTCCATATCCATTCTTATCCATCCTTATCCATCCCGAGGTCCATAATGCTTGGCATTATTACAGCCGGTGCATTACTCTCCATATTAAAGTTATTAAACGTATTATTATATATAATAATAAAAGCAGACTTAAAGAAAGAAGGTATTAAATTAATTTCTCCTTTAAACATGTTCTTCTGAAGCACATTTTGTTCCCAATGCTTTAAACATTCTACTTTTTCAAGAGTATCAGCCCAATTTGCGCCCTTTCCCATGAGATTGTACGAGTGCTCCCGAAAAAACTCGCTCTGGTTCATCACTATGGCTGGAATAGATAAAATATCTATTGCCATGGATAATAATCTAGGCCAGCGTTTTCTTTGCTGATCTTAACACCACTATTTAAGCGCAGATATTTTACTAATATTATATGGATCTCCATTACTATAGTCCTTATATTTATCCTCACTTGCTGGTCGAGTATACTTTCCTAAATTTTGAGCAATCCGATCAAAAGCATCAAGATCTTGATATTAAGATGCTTTCCTTTCGTACAAAGGAAGAAGTGGGAGGAGGAACCCTCTCCTAATAAGATATCCAAAGCTTTTTGACTTTTTTTTTAACATAGGCTTTTGCTATTTTGTTTTCCAATTAGCACGAATATACTTTGTACGGCGGTTTGGATGTAGGATAAGGGCCGCTGTATAAAAAGGCAAGTTGTCTGTTTTACTATAGTATTTATTAAAAATCTCCCACCTCTTTTGAATCCAAGACGAGAACTCCTTATCAGACGTATGATCAGACTATTAGAAAGTATTAGTAAATATTAATTCTATTAAAAGTCAGATGCATACTTACAAGGGAACTTTTAAAATACTAAATAAGAATATCTATAGTAAAGAGAACGCGATTAATTGTTGCATTATTTCCTTGTGTTTCTAAAGTTGCTCGATGGAATGGTTGAAGGAAAGACTTGATTATACAGAGTCGTTCCCAGTCATTTGGAGAAAGATAGTCAGCCTGGAGTGTGGTAAAGTGATTTTTTGTGTAGGTATTAATAAATCCAGCCTTTTCATCAGCCACAACAAGTATCTAATACCAGCTATTCTATCTTGTACAATTATCAAGTGGAATCATTCTTCCTGCTAGATCCTTAAACTCCTTTGTACGACTTGCCGAACCACGGATATGTGAGATAATATTATAAAGCTTGCCCAGCGGCCCTATAATCCAAAAAGCTAACTGTTTCCTCTCCTTATCACCTATTTCTCCTTTTGCTTCTTGTTCGTTATATAACTCAAGTTGATCCATTTCAATTAGATTGTGAAATAGAAAAGCTTGTACAGCCAAATTAATAATATAGCCAATACAGCGAATTTGTCGAAATACAGGATCCCATTTAATCTCCTCTTCCTTCCAAAGATAAGTGCTCACTGTACGGCAGAGCATATTATTTAAAGAGGCATTATACAAATAATCGAGCCAAGCTTTTGTACAATCCCATAGTCCTGAAGAACTGGAAGAAGAACAGCAAATTGCTTATCACCACTATAATTTATCACTGGACGAAGGGCAAGGAGGGCTTTTAAGAGTTTTTCCTAAGCTTGATCAACAAAATAAGCGCAAATTCCAAGAAAAAGAATCCGGTTCGGAGAGGTCCATATATCAAGTGAAAGGTGAATATCCAATAATGCTAATTAAAGCTTTTTTTGTACAATATCTTTTTATGTTTGCCATGACGATTCAATTAGCTTAGGGACTGTAGAGTGAGCTGTAATAAGATAATTTTCTAATTCAGGATTAAGCACCCGACAAAATGCATGAAACTCTGGCCATTTAACAATCCAGAATAAAAGGTTTCGTACAACAATTAATAAAACCAATGCCCGATCGATAATATCTTGATTAAGGACCTTTTGGAGGACTTGAGTATTTATTTCTCTTGCATGGCCTGACGAATCTGCTGTATTATAGAGTTACTGAAGTTTATCAAGTATAGCTGATTGTACCCGACGCGGATCTTCTGTAACCTTAATCTAATGCTTTGAATTCAGATGTCTTCGAAAATTAGTAGTAATTGGACTACTATATAGTAATTTAGGTGGAAATAAATGCAGTAATAATCGGTTTTACCTTTAAATTCCGTTATTGTTTACTGCTGTACGAGCATGGGCCATGTCGCAAGGGCTGTCCAGCTTCGTGTTGATTAAACTGAGCTTGAATCTAATATTGCTGAAGGAGCAAGGAGTGACAGATCTGCTTCAGAATCCATATTCAGATAATAGAGATTAAAACTTGAGGGAAAAATTGAAGTCTAAACGTGGATGTGTGGAGATACTGGAAAATGGGGTTAAGCAAGAAGTGGTAAGGCGGCCCAGGCAGGAATGGAAAAGGATGGACAAATAATCCATCCATATCCATACTAATCCATCCTCCGATGGATTGATTCGCTTAGTAATACCCGCGATGGAAAACCAGCCTGGTTCTATGGGTTCAACCCTTGACAATATATCCTGGGAACAAAAAACATAGTAGTAAACAGACTATCTAAAAAGCCTTTAACTAAAGAAGCTGTATAAGAGGCTAAGGAAGATAATATTAAGAATTTTCTAGCAAGGGAGTTTAGTTTTGTACTTTTGTGGTAAAAGCCTTATTTATAAAAATTATAGGCCCCCAGCCTATAACTTCTAATAATGTGAAATCTGTGGATTACCTGGATTTTTTTACTAAGGAATAGTTTAAAGAGTCATAGAAAATAGCCAGATAGTTAATAATATTTAAAAAGCTAAAAAAAATAAGCAGCAAAAAGTACTATACCTTTTAAAAAAAAGCTATAAAATTTTTTATATAAAATAAAACTTTTTATTAGCAAGGCACTGTTAATTAACTGGTGTAAAAAATTATAAATAATAAGGCTTGCTAAAAAACTATTTTTAAAGCTATGCATATAAAGCTGGAATACTGTAAAAAACAAGGTATATATGTAAGGGGCTAGAGCCCCTCAGCCTACTCGGGCCCTCAGCCCTCGTGTTTCCTTTCTCCTCGCCTGCCACATGATTAGTATATTGATTAGTACACTCTATCATGTGACTTCCCCCCCCTTACTTCGCAATCGTCTCATCGCTGTTTCCTCTTCTCTTTCCTCTTCGACGATTCCTTTTGTATCCACCCTAGTTATTAGGTTATAGAGGTTTAGCCCTTGACAATAGGAATCTGTTGAAAACCAGGATGCCTAAGGCACCTTCGGGTATCTGTTAGGAGCGCTCGGAAGCGCGATAGCTAGATCCTTAGCTAAGATGCTTAGTCAGGTGCGAAGTGTTTATATTCGCACCCGCGGGCCTGAACTCTTGAAGGCCAGCGATTAGTTCTGCAATATACGTGGTCCTATCTTCTCTCCCATATAGACACTCCATTTCGCACCGTAGCGCCCCATTCAGCTCGTTACCAACCCCCACGCATAACAAGAAGAATATGCAGGAAGGCATTTTAGTTAAATATTAACTATATTAGTTCTATGCAGCACAGGAGAAGCAGGAGAAACAGGAAAAGCCAAAGAAGAAAAAGCTATATAAAAAGTTTATTCAAAATGGGGGTAGTCTTACTGGCTTTAAAGCCTAACAGCAAATTGAGGAGCAGCAGAAGGAGAAGGAGATATCCCAGAGACAACAAAGGCCCCAAAAATGTAGTAACTGTGGCCAAATTAGCCATAACCAGTTAAAATATCCAATTAAATAGCTCTAGTTTTATTATTATCTCTTAATTTCATATTTCTTCATGGTGGTTGGTGGTAATACTGGCGGAGGGGCTGTGTGCCTGAAAATGCTTGACACTCGGTGTCCGATTAAGTTAAATGTTAATATTTATCATTGCCATATGTACCGCTCAATGAGCTATTGGACGTTGCCCTAAAGGACTTAAAAGTTATGAAGAAAGGCATAGGTACGGTTATCGCTGTGCTTCGTTGGGAAACCTAAAGCTCAATCTTCCCCTCTTGCCACCCACAACTTACGAACTCAGATGAAAGCAGTCATGGGACACAGCTTCTCCCGTACTGCAATCCTGACAAGTAAATCGCTGAAGACTGACTGTACGGGTCGAGCACAGAGGAAATATTCTAAGCAAAATAACCCCAGAGCGCGTTATTGGGCCTTCAGAGCTCATTTAATGTGCTTCCTTAGCAGGTAGGATGAAGTGCACTTAAAAACGTACGTAGAGTTGTAAATTCCCTAGCTCCTCACCATTCTCAACATTGACCAGTGGGTTTCCTACACTGCTTTGACCAGTATATCGAATCCAATCTTGTGTTTACTTATAGTATAAAAATGTACTGTGAAACAACAACAGTGGGAACCTCACAAAGGCACACTCCCCTTAATTAGAGGAAGAATGGAAGTTTGAGCCGACGATTCGCACCCGAGGTCGAAGTACTAGAGGCCGCATTAGATATGGCACTTTGCGAAGCTGATCCCGATTCTGCAGTAGACGCAGATGGCGTAGCACTTGAGCCACCCGATGACGAAGTTTTGGCAGAAATAGAGCGAGCAACCGTGGTCGAAGTTGAAGTCGAATTAGCGTTGGAGCTTTCGTGTGCCACTACGTCGGCGAGTTTCAAGACAGACCACGCGCGTTCACCACCACCTGGAAGATATCGTCTATTAGTACCTCTCGTTACCTTAAGCACCCCAAGGGCAAACTTACATTTGTCAAGAGGCCACCCCAAACAGTCAGTATTGCACTCATCGTCCGAGGCGAGGTACTTCTTGGCTGGCACGGAATCACCACACCAGCATTCTGCGCCCTTATGCAGGGCTGCCACTTGTGCTCCTTTTTCCTGACATGTTTTGGAACAATGTCCCGGGCTCTGATATGTGTATGAATTGGCCTTTTCAATACTGCCGGGGTTGCTGTAGCAGCCAGTTGACTCGTTGTCGGCGGAGACAAGGAGGGCCAGGGTGGCCACCAAATAGACTGGGAGGAGTTTCATATTTTCTGCGGATAGGAATCTAGCAGAAGTGAGAGATAACTACCTTTGCATATAATCAGGAAGGGGGAAAGCAATGCTTTAAATAAAGATCGCCCCTGCTGATTTAATTAGAGGGTCACCAAGTCTGTCCTGGCCCGACGCTGGATGTGTCAGAGTCTTCAGCCAGAGGACCTAAGCAACATGGTAGGGAGACTAGGAATGATCGGGCCTTTATCCTTGACCAATGGATGCCTTAACAGTAACCATTTCACGAGGGATCGTCCGTTGGAAATCCACCTTCCGTCCGAACTACCCGAAAGGTTCATTGCTTGAAAGCATGACAGCCATTAATGGTGTTGGCTACACACATCAGATGTAGGATCTTAGTAAACAATTCAGTATTGTCTTTTGCTTTCTTTTTCTCCTTGAATTAAATTACGCACTTGTTTGATTCATCCATAGTTTGGTATTAGACAATATTTAAAAGAACTGTTTGGTCTAAAGGCGACAAATATTACTGATTTTTACAATCTAATCAACTTGGAGTTCTGCGTATTGAATTTTAGCAATATATTAGATAAAGTAGATAAAGTAGATATGTAGGTTGTTGGTATATTGCATATCCTACACTATTGTGCTGGTAGCTGTTTCACGAGCTGATGAGGAGTGTCTCGTATAATCGTATTCTTTTTTTTTTTTTTTGTCAGCAGATCGTGCTACAAATTTATACAAGTTAATCAAAACTTGCTTCGCTACAAAATGTGAACACAAGTGCTTATTATATTTATAATAAATTATAAGGCAAAATACGAGTTGAACTGCATCTAACCTTAGTTCTACTCCTTAGGATATATTATATATCGTCGCAAACATACATTATAAGAAAAGTCATATAATACAAACCAAAATGAAAACCTAGTAATACTCTTTAGCATAGCTATATTTTTATTATTTATGGATATTTTGAATGCCCTGAAATGAACCTAGTGAGCGGAAGTGATAATAGTAAACGTCCCTGCAAGGGCATACGCAAAAAAAAGGTTTCGCTTGCCCTGAAACGAACGAAGTGAGTGAGAAGGGTATTGTCATCCGCGGGCCCTACATGCAAATTAGGAGTGCTAAAGTATTCAGCTATTGTGACCAGCTATCATCATCGACCAAATCATCAGTGATCAAGCATCATCAGTGGTCACGTTTCCTTGGTGGCAATATTCATCTTACTGCTGGTCACTACAATATCACACTGTTTGGCTTGGCATGAGGCCCTCTAACACCAGAGCTTACCTGTAATAAACTATCGCTAGGTTACATTCCAGTGGAGTCCCTAGTTGCGGACTGATCGGGCATGACCCCTTTGCTGGTTTTCTTTTTTGGCCAGTACCACATATATTGTAACAATCACTAGTGCTTGGTTTCTACCATTACGTCCATGGCACAAAAAGGCACTATGTTTGGTCGCAGACCAAACACCAAGCTTCTATTTAAGGTTATGATCTCCAACGCAGAGTGTGTTTTTGTCGAGTCGTCTAAGACATGGCTTCTGAATTTATATATTAGCAACACTTTCTCTTGCTCATATAAATAGGCCCAGAGGAAGCGGGAAAAAAATCCCTTGGATATTTAACTGCATGTTCGGTGACAACCTTATTCCCAACTCTGATTCTCGTAGTGGTTGAAGGACTAAAAGAAAGCATCCAGAACTGGCTAGCCCTGGTTTCTACGTATGACTCATTTGACTTTCTTAATTAATTCATCAACATTGTAACAACAACGGAACAAGTTGAATATGGGGCATCAGATTATAAACAATGGGGCTTCTAAAACTTCGCTCGGAGAGTATCCAAATGATTTATGAGGCCCTGGATTCTACAAGAGATGCTTTTTTCTTTTTACTATCATGCCAGCAGGCCTACATTGTCCTCAATGCACCCAATAACCAATCAAGGACATTCCGATCTATCCTCATATATTTCTAGACAGGCAGATAGAAGTCAACAAAATTGTGTTGTCCTCACTCTCTAAATCTCACAGGACGAATTTCTGGTCCTGGATGAAGCAGTTGCGCCAAATCGGTCACATTTCTGCCATCCACACCGTCAAATTTCTTCTTAGTCTTCTGAAAAATCTCTAAGTCCATATATTTTTCATGGAACTCCAGCATCATTGTAATTTCCGCTGGGCTTAATTGCTTATAATCTACTACCTCGCCACTCGAGCTAAAACTGCGGTACACTCCGTCGGTAGCAAGGTGGTTGAAGCCTTTGAGCGATGGCGAGTGTTTCAGGGATGGGATGGCCTTCGATGCCTCCTCGTCTTTCTATAGTAGTGTCAGTATCGTGCGGATGCAAGCTGTCAGAAATACTCTTACTATGCAAGACATGATTTAAGTGATCTGTTTGTGCGATATAATGAAACTCTTGATTATATTGTATAATAGAGAGAGTGTAGTTGAAAGGAGGTGAAGACTTCTCTGAGAGATGTGGTGAGGGGAAGCTAATACTCGAGCTAATGCAGAGAGAAAATGCTGACGTGATAACCAGTGGTCACATGCCCTGAAAAGGGATATAAAAGAGCCTTAAGCTACTCTATTAAGTAGTTTCCTAGTTATACACATGACCTCATCATGCAAATATATCACATGTGCGGGTCATTTGTTGAGATACTTCAAGACACAGATGAAGGACCTTACAAGGCTCCAACTGTCCTGGATCAAGGACCATCATTATTCCACTATTAACTTGAGACGTGCCTGGGAAGAGTAACATCACTGTGTGTACCCATTAGACTGAGCAGTGCCGAGAAAAGCCCAAGTCAGCGACAACATTGCTATTACTCATACACATGAGTTTGATGTAGAAAGGCTGAAGAAAGGTCTTCGTTTTAAGTCTCCGCGAGAACTGTCCCTTCCTGCACCCACTATCAGATATCTCAGCCAAATCTACGTCTCTTACGCGGTTCCCGATTTGCTAGAGAACTTTGGCTTTGATCCACTGTTAGGTCGATAGAGAATAATCGTATCCGAGTCCAATTTCGGCAGCATGCCGAGCTTTCAATTTTTTTGCCATTTTATAGGCTTTTTCCTGACTCTTCGTGATGGTTTGGTTCTCTGCGCTACTAGATATAAAAACACTTGACCATATGAAGACGACTGGTCGAAGACCAGTCGCATCTAACGCCCTATATAGTAGCGAAGGCCTTAGTCTGAGCACCATACTGGGTTCAACCGCGACACTCTTTCTACTTTATGTTCCCATGATTTCTACAGAGCGTGATAACTCATGGCACAGCACCATTCAATATGGATGAGGTGATGTCCGTCGCTGTAAATAGAAGTGAACAAGATACACAGGATCCACTCCCCAACATGATGAAATTGAGATGATACGCCTAAGATATGATGTGGTGCTGGAACAAATATCTAAGTTGTGTTGGAGTGAAATCAATTTCTTAGATTCACGTTCTATAACAAACTATCTTTCAGGTTTTCTGTCGTTGAGTATATCATTTTCAGCTGCACCTTAGTATAAAAGCTGTTTTCATTCAAGGATGTGTGCGGCATCGTACCTGATGGATATCTGGTAACGTTCGGAATCTGATAGATATTATTAACAAGTCATGCATACTATATACTATTGCTATTAACAAGTGGATATATGCAATTGTTCATATAGAATAGAAAAACATAATTGAAGAGCTCATCTCTAAAAGTGGTAAATAGCCGGCTGTGAATACCTGATTAAGCAAGTATCTCGTACGCTCCAAACCATTTACTCCACCTTAGTCACAGAGTATAAGGGCTATGCATGGATAACATGACATATGAATAAATGTTCTCAGTTGTTTTATTATACTGGAAATTATTATTAAAAAATCACCCCGTAATACACTGGAAGCACCATACTTAACGAATCCAATTCAATAGACACCCAAGCTGGCCTAAAATGACGCCATTTAACCCCTTTAGGAATGAGATAGTCACCTGATTGTACTATTCCTAAAGAGGAAGTATATTCTAATTACCGTCCAAACACCGTTTCTGAGAGATTCAACCAACAACTCTTCCATTCAACCAACTCCTCCACGGCTAAACATGCCAATGTGGGCGACGTATATCGAAAAATTATGAGTCTTCCGCTTCGCAGCAGTACTGGTGAGCTGGAGAATAATTCTAACGTGCTGAGTGAAGCTGATAAGATCGATCCTCCTCCCGACGTGTATCCTCCACCTCCTCCACCCTTATGCCAATTTGACTCCTCAATTGAAGCCTTTCAATTCCTGCAGCGATTCGCCCGAGATAATGGTTTTGCAGTGGTAAAACGCCGCTCGAAAAAACGTCCTGGATCCGACGATGTCCACTATATCACCGTTGTATGTGATCGATCTCGATCCGGATCCCAGAATGAGCCACCAGTTGAGAGACAACGCCGTCGCCGTGACATAACTCAACGAATAAATTGCCCTTTTGAAGCGGTAATCTCCTTTTCCCGTAGGAAAACCTACTGGGAGTTGAGAGTACGGAATCCCAATCATAACCATTTCAAATCATCGCATCCCTCCGCACATCCTGCCCACCGTCGTGATGATCGCCTCCGATATTCTTATTCAACAATGTCATCTAAACTGCCATACCCATCAGGCGTCCACGTCCCCAGCTACACATGGTTCAAATCTGACAACAGTCAAACGCTGGACTGGGACTTGCAAGAACGCCATCTCGAATTCCTAATTCGCAGTGGTCTGCATGGGATTGTCATTGCCGGAGCGAATGGGGAAGCAGCGACTCTCAGTACGGAAGAGAAGACGAAACTCCTCCGTCTTACACGCTCTATTGCCAAACGACTAGGACGTGCAGATCTCCCAATCACATGCGGGACGTATGGTGGATGCACACGGTCAATCATCCAGGATACAAGGGTTGCTGCGGATGCGGGAGCCAACTTTGTGCTGGTGTTAGCTCCTTTTTTCCATTTCGCGCTGGACAGCGCGACCGTTGTGGCTTTCTTCCAGGAGGTCGCGGACGCGTCGCCGATCCCGGTGGTGATATATAACTATCCGGGAATGGTGAATGGGTTGAATGTGAACTGGAAGATGTTAGAAATTCTGGGTGAACATCCGAATATTGTAGCAGCTAAATTGACATGTGGAACGATTTCATCGGTGACCAGGACAGCGGCCAAGTTTGGCCCGGGGTTGGATACAGCGGATCCTGCATTTGTCACGTTAGCGGGCCAGAGTGATTGGTTAGTTCCGTGTTTAAGTGCCGGCGGCGTTGGATGTATCACCAGTCTGGCTAATCTATACCCAAAGGTGAGGCTTTGTAGTAAACGTTAGCTTGATGGTCTAATGTATGAATTAGACATGTATGGAGATCTTCGACCTTTATAACTCTGGGAAAAGAGCAGAGGCGGAGGATTTGCAACGTCGGCTTGCAGTCGTCGAATACGAATTTGTTAAGGGGGGTATCAATGGGACGAAGTGGGTTGTCGCGAAATATTTGGGATACCCGGAAGAAAACTCCCGGTGTCGGAGACCGCATCCGCAGTTTTTGGACGTCGAGAAGAGAGAGTGGATCGTTAAGCAAGTACATCCACTGAAGGAAGCCGAGGATATTATTGTCGCAAGACACAATTAGTGTGCGACTACATTCCCTTTGGTCGATCGAAGGTAACGGGTGAATATCCACATGAAGCTTACGTACTTGAATGTGTTGTTCAAATCGGAGCCGACCCGCAACTGTGAACCACTGTTCCTGGACCAGTAATCGACAGGGCATTATTTGGAATGGATGGTTGGTGTTTTGCTGAAAGATTGCTCTTCTCGGGGCGCGACTGTGGAGTTACAACTGTATTTGGCCAGGTACACGAGAGGCAAAGTTGAGTACAACGTTCTTTCGTTGCCTGGCATGCGTGCCAACTGACAGCCGTGTTGGTTGAGCACTGGACACACTAAGGATCTAGTTTACGACCTAACAGCAAGACGATGTTTCCCCGAGTCCAGCGTCTGCCTTGAAGCATAGTTGCATAGAGCTAGGAGTAGGCCCCGGAAGGTGACAAATGGGGTCCCAATCTAGCGGAAGAGAGGAAATATGCAATAAGGGGATGGAGCGTGTCATTGTTGCTACTAACCCATATGGGCCTAATTAATTTGCTCCAGCAATCTATACATACTTACAGGAGTGGGTTACACCTATTAATAAAGACTAAAAGAGCACCAAGGCACTATTCCAAATACTGACAACCCTCACTGTGGCAGCACTCCCTGCGGGTTGTGAAACACATCCTCCGGATCCACGTGATTCTTAATCTTACTTAACCTCTCCAGATTACTGCTCCAGTATGACTCGCGCGGGTTCTTCAGTCTCGGATCAACGTACCCCGGATACACACCGATACCGATCCCCGGCGTCCCATCCCTTACAACTTCATTGAGCCCATCCAGAAACTCGTACGTCGTGGTGGACACAGGCCCCAAACTAACCGCATACGACTGCATCCAGAAGAGCACATCGCGGTGCGCGTACCCAGTCGCATCCATCGGCACATCGTTGATGGCACCCCCCTCAAGATCGAAGTACAGGAGCCAGATCAGTGCCCCGGACGGCTTGGTAGCCAGGAACTCGAATAATCGATCGATGCCTTCTTCGGTGATGGGTGTCTTCTCCGTGAATGACAGACAGCGGGAGTAGAACGATGCCGGAATCCCGCCTGTCAAATCTAGAAGCGACTGCTCCGTCCAATGCGCAAGTAGCCCCAACCAGTCCGTGAAGACAACGGTGCTTGAGTTCGTAACGCCAGGAAGCCGCCCGGCCAGGCCCAAGGTGTTGAACTCGGCCTCGCTGCCGAAGTAAGTGCCCGAGATGACCATCGCGGGCCCCGTTATCGTGCACACACTGGCGAACTTTCGACTGAGCTGCGGGTCTGTGATAAGCGATTGCCATTGCTTGAAGACAGCAGCGCGGGACTTCGCATCCCCGAGATTGAGTGTATAAGTGTACACGACTGCTTGCCCCGGTGCTTCTTCCGTCCGTAGTATGAACTCTGTTACCACGCCGAAGCTCGCACCTGCGCCTTTGATCGCGAACAGAACATCCTGGTATTGCGTGGATGACACGTGCACGATGGTCCCGTTGGCCAACACAACTTCCGCCTCGAGCACGTGGTCGAGTTCCATCCCCCACTGACGAGCTGTTGGGCCCAGTCCGCCGATGGTGGCATGTCCGCCGATTCCGATTTGAGGGGAAGTGCCGTGTGTGATGGCGCGGTTCCCAGCGGCATGGAGGTGGGAGTCGAGTTCGCCGCTTAGCATGCCTCCGCCGACGGTGGCCTGCTTGGTCGTGTCGTCGAAGGCGAACTGTTTCATGTTGCGGAGGTCGGCGACGATGGCGCCGTCCGTGCCGCCCAGGCCTGTTCATTAGCTTACGCCTGGGTTTGTTCATCAGGGAAGGTGGTGCATACCATAGTTGGCATAGCTGTGGCCGCCTGACTTCGCCTGCACCTTGTATCCATGGGTACTCGCGCAGCGGACAACCCCTGCGACTTGCTGCGATGTCTTCGGGAATGTCACTGCAGCAGGAGTGACAGGGAAGTTGAGATTGTACGGCTTCACGGCGTGTAGTTCGTAGAGAAGGTCTCCGTCTAGCGCCACGAGGGTGGCATCGTGATCAACGGCAGCAGTCAGGCAGTTGCGAAGAGTGGCCTTATCAGCAAGGGCGGCAGTGGTTGTGAACAATGCTAGAAGAGAAAGGAAGAAAGCGTATACCATAATGGCTCACTGTTTTCATATATATACAGTTTGTGACCACGGTGAGGCCATGGATGAGGACAACTTGAATTGCATTGGGAATTGTCGGGCTTTTCAATGATGTTCAACCTTAGCTAGGGGTTTCTCAACTCCCCCTTGATTTTGAAGACTTGAGGACCCAGGTGGGGCGGACCAAGGTCTCGGCTGAACCTGAGCATAGGTGCTCCTTGATTTTCGGGATGCTTGACTCAGAATGATCTACCAGTAAGTAGTCCCTAGCCTCCACTTGCTTTTTATAGCAGGTTGAGGAAAGTTTAAATCTTAGCGTTAATGCTGGGTATCCCACCCTGCATATTCGTAATTTCCGAAGCCACAATGAGGTGAATCTATTTCCAGCACATTTTGATGCTGACCGTATTTGGTTAGCTATACAACTCTAACATTATAACTAGTTGTAATGCTGCACAGAATAAACTATGCCTTGAATTTTGCCTATTTTTTAAAAAAACAATCGAACATAACACTAGAAACCTTATTTTTACTGATAAAAGCTCAGTATCTCTTAGCCAACGAAGAGGAGCAGTACGAATCTGGAGAAAAACAGAGAAGTCTCATAAACAGTCTTGTATATGGCGTCGTTGGAAGGGGAAGTCTGATTGTATAGTATAGGGACGTTTTTTTTATAATAAAAAGGGTCCTTTATATATTGGACGCCAGAAACTGCTCAAGAGAAGCGGAAATCTAAAAAGGAGGTTAATACTACTAGAACCCCTTTATAAGGAAGAATGGGAGCTTGAAACTACCATGCATAAAATAAAACTTCGAAACGGCCGTACTCCCGGCTGTTAGCTAAAAGGAAGCACAAAAAAAAAAAAAAAAACAGGCCTTCTTGTTCGGGAGTCTAATGGTGGGATAGATTGGCATAGATATTAGGAGATTCTTCTATCAAAGCTGCCTTTTTTTCGCCTAGAATTGCATGATTAAGCATCCTGATACTATAATTGTGGAGAATGGAGCACCAGCTTATCGCCAGTATTTTTAACACCTTGTGTACAATACTCATGGGTTTAAACTGGTCCAATGGCCAGGTAACTACTCTACAGCTACTTAAGAAGTACTTACTAACTATATAGACCAGGCAACTCTCCAGGCCTAAATGCAATTGAACCTGCCTGGCCATGGCTAAAGCGGCGTACAACTTTAAAAGGTGCCTCTCGAGACAAGAAGACTAATAAGGAACACTGGTATAAGGCATGGGATAATCTGCCTCAGGTGTAAATCCAGCGTTGGATTAAATGCCTAATTTGTTATATAAAGAAAGTAATTAGGTTAGAAGGAGAAAATAAATATAAAAAAGGCCGTACAGGAACTAATACACGAGAGTGGGAGGGTCATCGAGTTAAGGGGAAAACTTTCCAAGCGCCATAATCTACCAGAGGTGATATAAATAGCTTCAATTTTGTATCTATTTTATAGAAATGTTGGTTTGGAGCCTGTTGCCATATATTTTACTGTGGTGGAAGCTTACACACGCTTACAACGCTAAAATTACTAGAGCAAAAAAATATTTTGAACGTACCTCTGTACTAGATAAAGAGTTGAATATTTATCTCTTCCATTGCATTCCAAGGCCCGAGCCATGTGCCTCTGTGCTTTATAAGATGAGTATTCTGTTAGAAGTAGGGTTAACTGGCTAGAATTGGCTGCTGCTCTTACGATATATAGCTTGATTTTGCTTGGAAACTAAATGTCGCACATCGCGTGAAGGCTACGCCTACTTCTCTATGGACAACTTTTGCTTTGAATTATCATTGCCAGTCCCGGCACAGCTAATGAGCTTCCATCAATTCCTCTTTCAGGGCTATGTTTGAAATAAAATCAAGACCCTGAGGATAAGTAGAACAGCTGTTATGTACACTAAAATTCTCATGAAGCGCACTTTTTGTTCCAAGTTAGCACACGAAGATACTTTCGCAGCATTCGGTGTCTGGTAGTTGTCTACATTGAGGGTCTAGAGGAACTTATGAGCCAAATTAAATAAATGCTTAATAAATATGATATATCTAAGCCATTTCCTTCATGAGCAAGATTCGGACAGTTTCAGGTTCATCATTCCATAGGGCTGTACATTAAAGCGACAGTCCCTTCTCAGAAGTATAGGAGCTGGCAGCCGCTTAATGTCGTTGCGCCGGGAAGAGTATTAATATAAGTCTGTTCCAGGCCACTTAAGAATGCATTTGCCAAATTTTCAAGAAGCCTGGTCACTATCGCAAAATTTCGGAGCATTATGTTCCTGTCTCAGTGACAATGGACTCCACATCATATAGGTCACAAGGAAACTCACCTGGAAGATACTCATTATCGAGTGAAAGTCAATCATATGCCTCTCCTCTTTCCTAGTGCACTGGATGTAACAGAATGATTAAGAGTTCCATATTCACTCCTCTCCTCAATAACATAACTTGGTGCAGGCAGCACCTTTGATCTTGGAATTGCATTGTTCTTCAAAAGCAGGTCAACGATTTGTGCATGGCAGAAAGCCGTGGCTAGCACTAACGGTGTTTCATATCGACATACTATATTGGTATTCGCAGTGTTCGTCAAGCGACTTAATGCAAGATTTGCCTTACATGGCTGGTGGATATTACTGATGCTCCTGTTGGATGACTCTTACTATAGACTTCTTAGGTTAAAAACAGTGTCTCAAACCTATGTATAAATATCCGGAGAATTTCAATCCTGGTAATGACATAATAAATAATACTAATGATTATAAACGTTGTCATACATGCGCAAAAAGAGACCAACAATAGCAGTACCACCTTCTTATGCCATACACTTCGATCTTCTGTCACTGTATAATCCATCAGCTATGCTCAATAGCACAATATGCACCGTTCCTACATTCTCTTATTTCAGGTCTTGCTTTTGCTCAAAGTCCAGTACTGTGAAACTCTTAACCCTGTTGTCGAGCTTCACGGCACCCACCTCGTGAACAGAGAACTCCAGGTCCTCGCATTCATCATCCGAAAAGAAGAAAACTTTCTGACCGGGAAGCAGCTCATTAATAGTGACATAGAAGCCCTTCGGCAAGAGAGCCTTTGCGCAAACATCGGTCTCAGAGCTCTTCCAGTAACCAGTAGTAACCTCCCACGCAGAGGCGGCGAGGGGGAATAGAGCGAGGGCGGTAGTAAACTTCATGGTGGGCCTCTGATTTATAAGTAGTGGAGGAATGGATTGAAGAAAGCTGTGAGCTGTAAAGCTTGAGAATTGGTGAAATAATGCCTAGGCTTGTTGGGAATATGCCTTAAATATAAGGGCATGGCATGCTGTCTGAGAGAGATTACTCTAAATTGGCATCCCTGCAACCAACCTGTACCTGATGATGTACCCACAACACATTGATTGGGTGTGCTGCGGAAGGCCGCAAGCAAGGGGTGCAGCTACATTCTTAGCTGTTTTCAGTCGGGACGAACCCAAATTTTTCCCGGAGACGGCCGAATTGGAGAATCCCTTTGCATCTATTAGGTTAGCACAAAGAAGAAAAAAATATTTGGAAAGTGCCAAGAAAAGTGGTCACCAGTCTTTCTTCACGGTGAACCCAGGCTAAGCCTAGTTAAGAGCTAGACTTATATTATATTATTTCAATCCCAAATTTAATTACAGCCTGTTTTTGGCTTATAAGTTATACCTCGCCGCCAGCTCTTACCAGACTATCCACAGGGCCTCCGGCTTATTCTGTGCTATTCGAATGCGTAGGAGCGTCAAGAATATTCAAACAATACCCGCAAAACAGGTAGGTAGCAAACAGTTGGATTTTAGGCTTGCCCATTGATTCTGACTAGTTCGTGTTATTCTTAATAGGTAGTGAAGGGACTTTTTTCCAAGTTATATTCTGTGAATTCCCAAATCTGGCGCCTTTCTTTAGCGACCGTGCAACTTTGTGCATTATACCATAAAAGGTGGTCTCGACACCAACTTGGCCACTAACTAGTTAACGTTCAACGTGGAATCTAGTTTGATTTACCAACGAACATATCGGGGATAGTAACACGGCGCTGACTCCAATGCATGCCGATAGCAGGTCAGAATAGCTAGACACGGCCCATCTGACGGGAATCAGAAGTTAAGGCCGATGTAGAGCTGTTGCCGTCTGCTAACCCCCCCGGGCAGGCTACATTCAAACGAGTATCGTGGACGCTCTCGTCCAATCAACCAGTGACTAATCTGTAGGTTAAAGTCAAAAATACAAAAAAATGCATTGAGCTACAAGATTGTCAAGCTATAGGAGGGTACCATTCCGCTTCAAGGAAGCAAAAGACAGAAAGTCCCATTGATCAGTAAACCAAGGACGGCAAAACTCCACTGCCATAAGGATCAGTTGGGGAAGGAGGGCTGAAGGACATCCACTGCTGTAGGGCCATGACATCGGTCAGCGCCTCCTCTGCGATCAGAACCTGCTCTTGCTTGAGACTGCTGTTATCCTGATCGGTTGAGCCTCTCCGCCTTGTCTCGGCCGGCAAACGAATACCCTGCGACCAATTGAAATAGTTGGTTGGATCCCAAATCTGCTTGATCTCGCGTAACCGGCTGCGATTCTTCCCGTAATATGCCTGTTCATGAGCGTCTGGCTGGAGTGTGTCGTCGGGGAAATTCATGATGGTGGCCCATCTGACCATACCGTATGGGCTTAAGTTGGGCTTGAACTCGCCCAGAAACTTTCGCATGGGCTGCTCGAGCCACTTCTCTTCCCATTCAATCATGACGTATGTGTAGTAGGTGGACCTGCGCCAGCGGAAAGCCATGTCTTCACGCCGCCTGTCGTTTGCTGCCCCTCCAGCGTGAATCCAGACGACATCCATCTGACCGGACTCGCCTGCGAACCGGCTCTTGAATATCTGCATCCACTCTCTAATAATGCGGGTGACTGGCTCGATTTTCTCCGGGGTGTTCTCGAACACGAAGGAAGTATAAATCCGGTAAGCTCTGTTGGTCGGAAAGGCCTTTCTAGTCTCCTCGATCCACTGCGCTGCAAGCGACTCGTGTAGATAGCGTGACGACGGCTCCTGTAATGATCGCTGTTTTAGCTGCTCCTTCAGCCGGCCCTGTTGAGGCGTGGCATCCTGTGGAGTCCAACTGTCGATAGCCTGGTTGAACTGTTGCCGGGGACCATTGTAGGAGACTGTAAACCGAACCGCCAGGTCACTCCTGTTGTTGGAAAGATCGCAAATCCAGGTGCTGTCGATGGTCATTTCCCTCGGCCAGTTCCAGGTATAGAAGCTATTCATCGTGGGGAGGAACAGGTCGGTGTCGTCACGCCCCGGAAACCAGGTATATCGCCCCGCGACGACAAACGGGGTCATCAGCTGTTGCAGGGCAAACTTCATCTCGACGACGACGCCGAAGTTCCCATTTCCAGCGCCGCGGAGGGCCCAAAAGAGTCTTCCCTCATTTGAGTTGGGATCGTCCCGCTCTGACACGGTCACCTCATTCCCCTCCGCCGTTACAACAGTAAACTGCGTGACAGTGTCGCAGCCCATACCGAAGCTCCTCGTAAACGGGGAGAGGCCGCCCGCCAACATGAAGCCACTCACACCGACGGTGGGACAGCGCCCTCCATTGATAACCCAGCCATCGAGATGTTTGCTGACCAGTTCCTTGTACACATGAAACCAGAGTGCGCCACCCTTGACCGTAGCGCTCCTGGAGTCCACGTCGAGGGCCACTTCGTTCATTAGGCCGAGTTCCATCAAGATCCCGATATTCGTCGTGGAGGCGCCCGAGTAGGAGTGGCCCCCGTTCTTGACTGTGATTGGGATTTTTCTTGGTCTTGCGGCCCGGATGACTTCTCGAACATCGCAGGCACACTTGGGCTGAACCACACATGGGGGGGTTGAAAACCGGTAGAGGGTGTTGGCGGTCGCGATATGACGTTCATAGTCATCCTCTCCCCGTTCGTAGATGGGGATTTTCTTTTCCCTGAATATTTTGATGACCTGCTGAATATCCGTATTGGAGTATGGGATCTTCTCGCGGGTAATTGCGGTAAGGGTCGACATTTTTTGATACAGTTTATTTTTAACTTAGGCGGGCATTGATTAAGGGCAGGTAGGTAATGAGTTGTGTGCAACGGGAAGCATATACTATGTGACAGATACTAAGTGAGTTACACAAGAGCAGACACAAGCGGATCGATATGATACTACTTCTGGGTTCTTATACTGGTCGAACTGTAGGCCCAAATCTAGTGAAATCTTCAATGTATTTCCGAAGCGCTTACCCGGGCTGGGATTCATCATGTACGGCGACAATTCAAGTAATACCTCGCCTCGCAGCCCTCAAGCAGTCACCAGTGGTAGCTATTATGTACTTGGAGCCGGCCCATTCCGCTCATTGCGGGGGATTGACATTGAACTGTGCGTAATTGAGTCAGTAGGTTGAGCCAGTAGATTGAGCATGCCAAACTGATGGCCTTGTACGCCGCATTGACTCGGAGCCTTGCCATGCAGAGTTGCTGAAATTATTTTCTAGAACATTCGTCAGTGCATAATAATGCCGTCGAGCCTATACCACAGCCATCAAGAGAGTTGGGCAGGCACTACGCTGTTGGGTAGTCACTACCCTTGAGCCGAAACTGTTCCCAATCATACGTTCGTGACAACTCAGAAGTATCCTAGACCCTGATTAAGAGAACAGTGATATCTTTATTGGATGGCAAGGTTGCGCTAGGCAGATATTTCTGTACGGTGGTTGGCAGACCCCACACTGGCGAATCCACCACGTTCCAGAACGTCCCGACCAAAGTATTCGGATATGGCCTGCATGTTTGTTGCCGATCAAGGGCTGGAATTATGCACAGGCGCCTAACACATTCCGTCGATATGCTTTGTTTGTTCAGATGCTTGAGGACATGCCACCTTCCAGCCTTCCTCCTGTTGTGACTGATGACTGACAATCGAATTGAGCCTCGTCTGGTTGTTATATCCAATTGTCTCACTTCCGAGCGTGCCAATCATGGCCCGAATCATGAACTGACGGGGGGGTTCGTATAACCAGCTTGGGACCATGTATAACCGTAGATAGTATGTTTTATGGCCGCGCATGATCCCTTCGACCCCATTTTCCTCCATACAATCCCCCGCGACAACTGTTCGACCAAATGATAGACTATATGTGTGGCTATAAGTTCCAAACAGCCAAGGGGAACATATTGACATACGGCCCTTCAGATGGATGACGTCGTCCTCCCATGAGCGAGATAGTTGATTGGGGCCTCGTCATCTCGCCAAAGAACCTTTTTGTCGTCGAGCAAGGCAACCGAGAAAACAGCTCTCAGGTAGGGAATGAGAGTGAATTAGGCTCTTTAGGTAGTAGTCTGTGGATCTCCATTGAAAAGCCCAAGCCCTCAATGGATTCTTGTAATACCAACGCCTATCTATAGGGTATCTCGCCTCTTTGCTATAATTCCTGGCAGAACTTGAATTGTTACATAACGTATCTTGTGGTCTGGAAGTAGTGTCAAACCCCCCGCCCCAGAACAAACAATAGGCATTTTTCTGGGTGATATTGGCAAAGCAGCGTCATCAAAAGCTATTTTCAAAATATTCCGATTCATTCCCTATTTCATACCTATGGTGTACAGACTCTAGTTAGTATGCACTTGAGTTAGAAGCTGTATCGTTTGAGTAGTTTTCGATAAGTATCGCCCAAGATTTGCTTCAGTGGGTAGAAAATAATTTACGAAAACCAGTCTTCTTGACCAGGAGAGCAAAGTTCCTCAAATTCTGCCTGCTGTCCAAGCAACGATGATCCTGAATTGAAATCATCTACTAAGAGCGACCCAGGATACAGTACATTGGTAGAGCCTAGTATCATGCCAAGCTTCAACAAAAAGCGTAAACCCGTTCGTATCCACATTCTGCGCCTGGACCCTCAACCGAAGGTTGGCGCCTCTATCTACATCTGCCATAGAGATGCTCGTTATCACAGATGGAGGCCGTTGGAATCTCATCGCAAAGTTGATCCGATACTCCCTTCTTTGTCCAGGTAAATACGGGGTGGTGTAAGACCCACCATCCACAAGTGGGAGGCTATCCGATCGCGCTGCACCCCTAATTTGACGCTCTAATTCTTCGACTCGACGCAGCAAACCATTGTCAGGGACCGGGATTGAGAGTCGCTGGAGCTGACCCTCTAATTCTTGGACGCGGTGCGCTAAACCAACATCAGGTGCCGGGACTGAGAGTCGCTGAAGCTGTCCCTCCAGTCCTTGGACTCGACGCGCCAAACCATTATCAGGGGCTAGGGTTGAGAGTTGCCGAAGTTGCCTCTCCAATCCTTCAACTCGGCCTTCCAAATGGCCATTAGACAGCAGGGGTTGGCTGTTGGGGTTGGAATTGGGATTACTGCCGTTGGGCTTGTTGTCATTGGCACTGTTGTTATCAGTAGCGTCGTCATCATCGTCGTCGTCGTCGTCGTCATCGTCTTCATTATCATGAAAGTCGCCGGGGCGATTACTAACTGCATTTTTGCGGTTGGCCATCGAGACTGGAGCGTTTACTACGAGCCGATGCCCGTAAATCGGGGGTTTCGCCTCTCCCTCGCGTTCAAACCTGAGGCAGTCGTTGAGGAGGCCAATCTTTCGGCCCATATCCCCGATCTGAGCCAGGATGAATGCATTACCACTGAAACTACCGACATCCAAGCGGCCTTCTTTGTTAACAGGCTTTAGATTGGGGTGATTGTCGATCTCCAACCGGTATTTGCCTTGACGTATCAATGTATAATGCTCCGAAGGGATCTGCTGCCTGGCTTGATACGAAACCGACATAGCTGGTGAAGGAAGGCCCCTGGAACTGTAATAATCAAGGTATATTAGTTTAGATATGTTGGAAAATGTCTTTATGTACTCACCGGCTATAATACTCTGGCGGTTTGTTAAATCTGTTCGATGACTGGTTGTGTCGTAGACAAAGAGCTGCTCAACTCCTGCACGATCCGTTCAAGGCACAATGCATAGGTTATAAGTTGTCCCGGCGGATCCCTCTTTTTCCCTGTACAATAATTCGACCCAAGTAATACCCAGTTCGGATTATTGCAGAGTAGAGACCTACGTAGCAATGCCCAATCCTACCCAAGACAGCATTCTGCGGTTGCCTGATACAAGTAAAACGCTCTCGCTTTGTTCTTCTCTTCCCCGCACGCCTGTTAGACCTATTAATCAACTCCTGTGCTGGGGACTCGAATCCTCTTAAAGCCCGGAAATAGGTTTTGTTCCATCATTAGGCGGTAACCTCGTCCAAACACTTCATTAGGCTGAAGTTGTCTTTAACCCACAGACGTATTTACAGACGTTCTTACGCCAGCGGGATAGGTTACAAACAAAAGGTACTCAAGCCAAGCATTTGTGTATCGGTTGAACATCAACCAACCCCGTGGGGCTAGCCTGGAGTGGTTCGGTTAATGGCCCTATCGGGAAGTAAATCAAGCATAGGCATTTCAAACGCAAGAGGGGCCACTTCTCCAGGAAGAGCGACGGAAGCACTTGCTCTTTTATGCTTCACGGCACCCCGTGACTGCCTCAGAAAATCTTGATCTCTTAGCCGTATCCAAACTCTCTTTAAATTTACTTACCATTCTGCATGCTCTAGTCCTGTTCTAAACCTTACTATGCTCTGGCATGTACTCACCTGACCCACTTGAATGCAGGGGTGAGAGTTGCCATTCTGCGGTGTGTGACGATAATATGTAACGCAGCATCGGTTTTCTTTTCTCCCATTTTTAAGGCTTTGCAACGACCATAAAAGAGAAAATTGACATTCACATATACGTTCTGTGCCAGAAATGAACCTTGTTGCCATCGTCTATTGCATCCCGTGCAACCTACATATCCGAAGGGTGGTCTTGTGGCTGCTTTAAGTAGTCCCTTCCGGCGTCACTGATCCGGAAAGGCAGTCCGACTGGTAAGTGGCTGATAGATGCTATCGCTCGGCGATGGGATAACCAAGAGTCCGATATGTTATATTTATCTTTAAAACCTCTAAGAAGCATCTTTCCAGCTTCCGGTTGGGCTTTGAAGCTTTTCAATTCCTACCAGTTGTCGGCTTTTCTTATTTGTTGAACAGTTCGTTCCATGGCTTGCTTTCCTTCAGCTTCTTGCCCGCCCCCTACGAGCTGCTTCTCACCGCGCTTGTATTTCCCCGGTCAGAATAGCGGCAGCATAGAGGCCAGTATCAATATTTATTCCCTCTTTCATCATGTCTGCCCTTGGTCAGAAAGTTGCACCTCATATCCCCTCACGTAGATTCCACGCAATTGCGAAACACCTCGCCCCGGCAACTTCATTAGACGCGACATCAGCAACCGATTACCATACAACTCACAACTCTATCGCGAATCCCATTGACACAGTAAATTTCATAAACAACGAATTCGTTCCTTCAAAGGCAACTCAATGGATCGATGTCCATGATCCAGCAACAAATAACCTTGTCACGAGAGTTCCACAAAGCACAGATGAGGAGCTACGTTCTTGTGGAATCCGCCGAAAAGGCTTTTCCTGCATGGCGGGCAACTAGTATCATGGCTAGGCAACAGATCCTCTTCAAGTTTGTGAATCTCATTCGTGCAAACTGGGATCGCTTGGCTGCAGCTATTACCCTCGAACAGGGCAAGACATTGCTGATGCCAGAGGTAATGTGCTGCGTGGTCTACAGGTTGCTGAAACAGCCTGCGGGATTACAACCAGATTACCGGTGAAGTCCTAGAAGTTGCTAAAGACATGGAGACTAGAAGCTACGAGAACCGCTGGCCATTTGTTCATTCAGTAAGTTGATCCCGAAGGGAATCAAACCACAGAACTCAACACTAACCAATTTGCCTAGGCTTTCCTGCGATGATTCCCCTATGGTGCCTTCCCATTGCTACCGTGACCGGTAACTGCCCCATTATGAAGCCCTCCGAACGTGACCCCGGTGCAGCCATGATCCTCGCTGAATTGGCGAAAGAAGCAGCCTTCCCACCAGGTGTCATCAATATCGTCCACGGTACGACCAGGGCCGTCGACTATATCATCGATGAACCTGCTATCAAAGCTATTAGTGTTGGAAGTAACCGGGCTGGTGAATATATCTATACCTGCGGCTCAGCAAACGGCAAGCGTGTTCAAGCCAACCTTAGTGCTAAGAACCACGCTGCGCTACTTCCTGACTGCAACAAGAATCACGCTTTGAATGCAATCACGCCGCTTTTGGTGCAGCTGGTCAGCGCTGTATGGCTTTGAGTACACTCGTCACCGTCGGTGAGACCAGGAAATGGATTCCTGAAATCGCGGAGCGAGCGATCAAGTTGAACGTCAACGGTGGGTTTGAGGATGGTTCAGATTTGGGGCCTGTTATTACTCGAGAGCAAGAAGCGTATCGAGGACCTGATCACAAGTGCTGAGGAAGAGGGTGTTACTATTCTGCTTGATGGAAGGGGCTGTAAGCCTGAGAAATACCCGAATGGCAATTTCGTGAGTCACCCTCAATGCCACCTGCTTTAAAGATAAAATCATATTATGTGATGCTATATCTGGATAACTGACTCACGCGCTCTTACTGCCCCAATAGGTCGGACCAACAATTGTCACCGACGTCACCCCCGACATGAAATGTCACTAAGAAGAAATATTCGGGCCCGTACTCGTGTGTCTCAGCGTTCCAACTCTCGACGATGCCATCAATCTTATCAACGCAAATGAATACGGCAACGGCGCTGCCGTCTTCACAACCTCCGGACCCATTGCCTCGAAGTTCCAGAAGGACATCGAAGCAGGTCAACAAGGAATCAACGTTCCTATCCCTGTGCCCCTGCCAATGTTTTCGTTTACCGGGAACAAGAAGAGTATGGCTGGTGGTGGTGCGAACACTTTTTATGGAAAGCCGGGTCTGCAGTTCTATACTCAACAGAAAATGGTGACGAGTTTGTGGCATAGCGAGGATGCATCCAGTACCAAAGCCAGTGTGATAATGCCAACCCAATCGTGAATTTGACTTGTTATGTACATTTATTTTTCTTTTTTGTGTCTTTCTGTTGCTGAGTCCATTATCCTGTGCCCTATAGAGCAATTCTCCAGTCGAAAGACGAGCAAAATCCCCAGAGGTTGATAGATTACATACATAATGGAGTGAAACGAAATCTATGCTTTCTAGATTACATCCTCATAGTCTTCTGTATCTGGTTCCTCTAATTTATCATGAATTCACAAGCAACCCTTAACCTATCCCTTAGTTTCATAAGGCTAAGGCAGATCCAATCTGATCACCACACATAAAACAAGTGGCTATTTTCACCAGCCTTAACCTGTTGTACCCGAAGATATACGCCCAGACGTTTTATATCCTAGTTGAGCATATGCTATACAAATGGCCTGTGCCAAATATATACTGCAATTTCAAACATCTAGCATAGAGTATTTACTTCTATACAACTAATTTCTATCGGACTCACTCTACAAGCAGCAAAGGTTCTCTATATACAACAAAGGTCATATTCACGGTGGTCATAACGATTTCTAAAAATCCCCTCGCTGTCAATGTGCCCTTGTTGTTGAAATCCAATAAACTGTATCCTACAATACCCAGTTAAAAATTAAATGAAAAAAGAAAAAAAGTTGTCAAAACTCATACGGTATTCGCGCATGAAAAACTTGCACTACGGGGGTCATCGTGAATGGCCTTGCCGGAGGAGTAGAGACCAAGACCACACTGAGGTTTGCTGAAATTAGCATTTAAAGCGCTAGATGAACAGATAGAACTTACCATGATGATACCGATGCAAATACAAATTGTGTTGACAATTGTAAGGAGAATCTTCTTGGGCGAAGAAAACCACTGTCCCTTGTTAAGGTACAGCCAGAATGCACCGGGAAGGCCAAAGCTGAACCAACTCGCAAATAATGCTGTCTGTTATTTAAGAATTAGCAAATAATATTTCTTTACTCCCGAATATTCGTCGTAGGTAGACTAGGGCAACGCACCATCAAACTGAGAAGGCTGCTAAATACCGGAATAGCTGCGGATATGATCCAGGCGATAACCCAGAGACCTAGGGCAATACCAATCCAAGATCCAATGGCAATAAAGTCTCGCTTGTGCATGTGATTGGTACCGGCGAATATGCGGGTGTAGATGGATTTACAAGCAATGTGGCCGTTAATAACACCGGCAATAATGATCTGAATCGGTTAGTTTTTAAGCTTTTGTTTTGTGAGAGGCAAGCGTACAGTTGGCAGCGCAATACCGTAGGCGACCTTGGACATCAAAGGACTAGCTGAGCCAAGTGCTGGGGAAGCAACATCATCACCAGCGTAACGGTAGATGACAACGGCAGCAATAAGGTAAAGAGAGATGTCGATACACTGGAGTAGGGTGAGTGCTTTGGGGAAGTCTTTTGGCTCCTTCAACTCGGCGATCATGTTAAAAAACGTATTATGGCTTGCTAGGACCTGTTAGAAGGTACCGCCTCCATCTCTGTGTTTGGACTTACCATATGACAAGGCAATGTTTAGGGCTGAGGTGAAACCAGTGACTAGATTTGTCTCAGCTGTAGCTTTGACAACGCTTCCGGTGTTTTGAATAGCGATAGCAATCATTGTAATAAGAACCGCACTGAAGATACTAATGAAGGCTGAGATATAATTAGTCTGCGCATGAATTCCGACGGTAAAGACTCACAAGCCAACGAAAGCCACGACATCTTTTCCAGGGTCCGTGGCAGGGAAATGAGAAGGGAGATAATGAGTCCAACGATCCCAAACACAATGGAGCAGGTGGCATGTGAGGTAAGAGTGTTCATGGCCACCGTAAAAGTCAATAGATGGCTGGCCATAAGAAAGACCAGAAACAGCATCTGACCAACGAAAAGCACCTCCCGACCAAATCGACCCATGAGTACTTCGCCTGCATCGGCCATGCTGGAAATGTAGGGATATTTCCATTTGAACTGTCCAATCACATAACCGGTGTACGAGGCCAAAAGACCCAAAGAAATAAGAATCACAGTTGCAGGGATGAGGCCCAAGCCTGCCACGGCCGCTGGTAAGGAGAGAATACCCAGCGAGATGGTTTCGGCGACCATCAGTAGACCACATTGCCTGTGAGAATAATTCAATTAGTCAACTGGTAGAGTCAATAGAATGAATGTATGAGTCCATACCACCACTTCAAGACCTTGTACTTGACCTCTGCAAATTCTTCATCGCCAAAGACATCTTGGCGATAGGCTGTTGTTTCACCCTTCTGTTCATCAATACCAATGGAGGCATGGTTGGTTCCTGGCTTCTCTTCCTGGCCAGTCTCAAGGTTGGTCGTGGGAGGAGTTATATCCACGATTTGAGGATTCATAGTGATATAGTATGTGCGTTTTCTATTTCTGTTTTCCCGCGGCAGTTTTGCGAGAGGTAAGAATACAGCGAATTAAGAAGGAGGATAATAAACACATAAAGAATAAGAATATAGGGAAAGGCAAGGAAACCAAGTTTTTTGAATGGCCTACGCTGGAGAATGCGAAATATTACACTGGGGGAATAGAAAATCAAAGAGAGAGAGGAGGGGGGAAGGGGGATATGAACAAAACAGCTGCCACAGAGTTAATTGCGAGGAGAGGAGGGGGCTGCTCCAAAGCGAATGGGGTTTTGCAAATCGCAGCCAGCGACGTAAGATAGCCACGGAGCGGATGGAGGCGAGTGGAGTCCCAACAACCACCAGGAGAAGACTGGGGATGGTGGGAGTGAAACTAGATGCCGTCCAGATAGAGGGTGGGGAATGTCGTATCTATGGATTCAGTATGACACTCGAGGTAGATAGGAGATAGTGATAGGATTGCGTTTGTAACATTCTAAGATAGAGTATGTTTGTGACTGACATACTGAACTTAGCTAGTTGCAAACTTAAGTTATTCCAATCACTATCCCCTGGTTGGCCATTAATTACGTTAGAGCCGAAAGCCAGAATTATAACGATACTGACAAACTCTACCCCAGATCCCGCGACCCCAGGTTCTTGTTACACACTGTGTTGTGGATTCCATTAATGATAATCTGGGGCAAAACTGGATTCGCCATAGCCTGCCTGCCGCGCGCTGCCGAAAACTTTTAAAGAGATATTCCTCTTTCTCAATCTTTATTCATGATTGCCTATCGAAGAAGACTAAACTCAACAGGCAGCTTCTACTGGGGAATGTACTCGATTCAGCGCCATGCCTGTGGCCTTTTATGGATGGAATTGCCGAAAGTTTATAATAGTCTGGAAGGTATATGTGGAGATTCAGTTTATTTCCGAAGACCCTTAACCAACCGGAAGCTTAAGATATAGATGAAAACATACGTATTCCGGGTTTTCCTTCTATTTTAAAAAGGGGTATTTGCTGGGGTTCCCTCGATGCATCGGTTTTGCGTTTTAAGGGTCATCGGAATCGCCTTCCTACCTGAGATTAAGCTTTCGGATTGTGATGTTTCTAGATTTCCCTCGCCACTGCAATGGCCACGAAACTATCCTAGATCGCAGCATACAGACGGTGAGTGATAAGAAATATTGTCTATCTGCGGGAATTCCACGGGCCTTCTCGTTACGACCTGCCTTTAATCGAGTGAACAGCTGATTTGGTTGTAGCCTTGATACGCTTCTCATTGCTCGTTTGGGATCCTATAGCACTGACTTAATTCTTTTCGGGTGTCCAGACTTGCTATGACCGAATTGTTCCGCCTACTCTGACTTGAGTTAAGACATGGCGTTCTGGTTAGTTCGAAGGACCTAGGCGGCGCCAAATGCTTCCACTCTGAACGAGGGTAAGTATAGCAGCCCCGTGGCATTTTTGCTGATGAGTCTATATACCATCTGAGTTTAAAGGTACACTCACGGTATACGGATTATGTGGCTGATATCAGACTTGTATCTATATGTAAGATGTCTAAGAAACAAACTTGGGATGGCACATCCTCTTCTAGTATTGATAGTAAATATAGAGGATGATTATTCAAATTTCAGTCACTAGGGACGTTATGATTGTATTGTAGAGCGCATCTCTTTCAGCCAGATACCACCTTATCATTGACTGGTGTGATGATCTAGAAACAAAACTAAACAAGCGTGACTGGTGACTACCCGCGTGACACCATCAATTATGAATATCCTTTCCTTCAACCATCTATGCTGCTGTGGTGCTTGAAGTCCGAGCTTAACACGTACTGACAAGATATCCTAGTGAACACCGTACCCAACTTTGGGTTCATACATTGCTATACCTCGCTATGCCACTGAGCAAGTGCAAAGTACTACATGACTATCACTATGTGTATGCAAAACTCTACATTTTCAAAATCTGTCTACTCTATTCTATAACCGTTTCGTAGCTCAGTAGTAGAATCATCACAGCCTGCTGCCCATATTGATATGAACGGTCTTTACCTGGCTATACGCCTCAAGGCCTCTCCCACCCAGCTCCCTCCCGATTGCACTTTGTTTAACACCACCAAAGAGAATACGAGGATCACAGTCCTGACTGCTGTAAATCCATATCGTACCAGACTCGATTTCCGCTGCCACACGGTGCGCACGCTCAAGGTTGAAGACAGCAGCACCGAGACCATATGTTGTGCTATTTGCACGCTGGATGGATTCCTCTTCGCTTGAGAAGGACAGAATGACCACTACCGGCCCGAAGACTTCCTCGCGGACTATCCGCATGGAGTCGGTGGTGTCTGTGAAGACGGTGGGTTCGACAAAGTATCCCTTCTCATTCTTGCTGTTAGCGGGAGTGTGGGCAGAGCCGCCAGTGACGACCGTGGCCCCTTCGCTCTTGGCCATCTCAATGTAAGATAGAATACGCTTGTACTGGGCGCGAGTCACCTGTGGTTCCTGGAAGATTGACTCGTCCAACTGGTCGCCGATCTTGGAGGTAGTCTTGACGGCCTCTTTGAACTTGGTCAGGAAGAACTGGAAAATGTCCCTCTGAACGTAAATGCGCGATGTAGCTGTGCAGATTTGACCCTGATTGGACATGATGCCAAAATGCGACTATTTCACGGCTTCGTCGAGGTCCGCATCTGGGAAGACCAGTAGTGGTGATGTACCGCCAGTCTCAAGGGTGATGTTTTTGAGAGTTCCGGCAGCCATTCTTATTATTTCACGGGCTGTCATGGTGGAGCCTGTAAATGCGATCTTATCGACCAACGGGTGCGACGCTAGAGCAGCGCCAGCCTCGCGGCCGTAGCCGTTCGTAATGTTGACCGCGCCTGGAGAGAATCCAACCTCCTTGATCAGATTTCCCAAAACAAGGGTGCTGAGTGGTGTTTGCTCCGCCGGCTTAAGCACAATGGTATTTCCACAGGTCAGTACAGGTCCCAATTTCCAGGTAGCCATAGACAAAGGATAATTCCACGGGATGATCTGACCAACAACCCCCACCGGTTGGCGGATAGTGTATGCGAACTTTTCAGGCGTGGTGCTAATGGTCTGACCAAAGATCTTATCGGCCCAGCCACTTTAGTAGCGAATCGTACCAATTGCTTCAGTGAGGGCTTCGATGAGGGCTTCGATGAGGGCTTCGGTGAGGTCTTCGTTGAGGGCGACATGATAGGGTTTCCCTGGTTCGTGAGCTGAATTCTGCGAGGAGGCCTGTCTGGAGGGTTCATACCATTATCCCACGCATCAATGGAGGCAAATAGCTCCCTGTTCTTCTCAATCAGGTCTGCTAGTCTGGCCATCATCTGCCCGCGTCCGGTGGCGGGAAGCTTTTTCCAGCATGGATTGACCAGGGCAGCCTTGGCCGCGTTCACAGCGCGGTCGACATCGCCAGTGCTGGCAGCGTGGACGGTGGCGATGGGCTTGTCGGTGCTATGGAATGCGTACGTTAGTAGATAGGATGAGGAGTAGCAGGATGAAGACATACGCGGGGTCGATGGAGGTGATGGTTTGTCCGCCCGATGGAACAAATTCGTTGTTGATGAAGAGGCCGGTCGGCTGCGAGTAGCGGTGGTCGTTGGGAGTAACAATGTCGACGAAAAGGTCAGCCATGTTGATAGATGAGTTGAATATTGTGAGTAGCAGAGATCAAAGGCTGGTATTTCTTATTGATATTATGCCGGTTCATGCCGCTAGCATATTGGGTTCGGACTTGTATTCTCAATGTGGTCCCTCTTGATTCCGAATATCATGCCATCCATGTGTTGGTGTGGATCGAAAAGGAAAGCCCATGTCGTTAGACTTGGTAATTAGTGTATACCTGAGGAAATCACTGGTCTATAGCCAATGCCGTGTATTTATTAATGCACAGCGATGTCACAATGTGGAGGCTGGAGGTCTCCCACTATTGTAGGCCTGCCTCGAAAATCATATGCGTAAATGCAACCATGTCCAACTGACCGTCGGCTGTGCGAAACAGAACCGAACTAGGGAGATACACAAATACTAGCATCAGTCCCTGGCTTTGGTCAAAGTTTAGTAGTTATTTCCCCCCCAATCCACGCAACGGGCTTCTTATCACTGTTGATTCTCCTCACACAGCATTTGGCCACTCTCCTCTCTTTAAGAAATGGGTATGTTTATTGTCAAGGGACAGTAGTGCCTATAAAAACAAGTTCATCGGATCGAACCTAATACTCTACATGGTTGATGGGCTCAGAAATATCAAGGGTCTGTAAATTAGGGATCGCATGGGGAAGTGATCCATGGTTCTGTAGTTCAAGATCGACAACTCTGAGAATTGACATAGATGGATTAATTAACCATGCGACCCGCCATGAACAACTCTTTCCTAATGGGACAGCGTGTCCAATTGAGTTATAGTAAGAATGGAGATAGTGGAATAGTTAAAGCATGATATTAGTAAATGAAGACCAAGCTGGTGCTGACTAAAGAGAAAAGTTAAATTGTGAAGCATATCGTCTTGGAGGTGGAGGTCTTACGTCAAGACCAAGCTGCCACTAGTTAACTAACGGGACGCTTATTCAGTGGACTGGATGCCCCTCCACCAAAACATTCCCCGGTTCATTCGACCCTTTGTTGTTTAAATCCTTTTGGCTTATAAATCAAGAGCAATGGTGACAATTGGAAGTATGAAGCAGTGGAGGGTAGTAAGCAAGGAGAAAGGGTTTGATGGTCTTGTCTATGGCGATGCGCCGGTTCCCAAAGTGGGCGAGAATGAGGTTCTCGTGAAGTTCCATGGAGTATCACTGAATTATCGTGACCTGATAATCACTAAGGTATGTTGATGCGAATTTCTAGTAGATCCTGACCAGTGGTCGATTTTTTCTATACCCCCACCACGATGTGCTGCCTGCTGTACGGTACGGTATGGCTGACATTTGGGCCTCTACGGCAGGGATTGTACCCATTCGATATTAATCTACCAACGGTACCGGGCTCCGATGGCGCCGGCGAGGTTATCGAGGCTGGATCTAAAGTAACCCAGTTCCACAAAGGCGACAGCGTAGTTACCTTGTTCAGCCAACAACACCAGTACGGCCCCATTGATTTTGCGGCGGCCCAATCTGGTCTGGGGGGAATATTGCCTGGTACGCTGCGTCAGTACGGAGTCTTTAATGAGAATGGGGTGGTCAAGAGTCCTAAGAATCTGAATCATCTCGAGGCGAGCACCCTGACATGCGCGGGTCTTACTAGCTGGAATGCCTTGTATGGTCTAAAACCTTTAAAGCCTGGTCAAACAGTACTGGTGCAGGGAACTGGCGGTGTGAGCATCTTCGCATTGCAGGTAGGGCCCCCACTAAAGGCCCTGGGGCACTATAAGGCTAACCCATAACGCAGTTCGCCAAAGCGGCTGGTGCCACTGTCATCGCGACCACGTCGTCGGACGAAAAGGCTAAGAAATTGAAGGAGCTTGGGGCCGACCACGTTATCAACTACAATTCGAGCCCTAACTGGGGCGAGATCGCTCGCACGCTAACTCCAGACAATGTTGGTATTGATCACATCATCGAGATTGGCGGTTCCGGCACCCTCACCCAGAGTTTTAAGTGCATCAAATTCGAGGGTGTTATTAATATTATTGGATTCGTTGGTGGCACTGATGCCGAGGGCCAACCCCCAATCCTAAGTGCGCTGAGCAACATTTGCACTGTGAGAGGCATCTATGTTGGAAGCAAGGCGTTGATGAAAGATATGATCCAAGCTATCGAGGCGAACAACATCCATCCGGTGGTGGATGAAAAGGTCTTTTCTCTCGATCATGCCAGAGAGGCCTATGAATACATGGTAAGACTGTCGGTCATTGCTTAGGAATGAACTACCTTGCTAACCTTAAAGTGTAGTGGGATCAAAAGCACTTTGGCAAGCTAACTATCAAGATCGACTGAGTGAGCTGGAGGTACGAGAATGCGTGGAGGAAGAGTATTTACGCCATTTTAAATCTAGTGAAACTCATACTGCCATCATGTATACTCTCATTCTCTGTAGTCCTACACTGTACAGGCAGGTGTTAACATACTATCCCTCGTGTAGTATTACATGCCGTTACTCTATATATTATAATTATAATAACCAATTCCACAACAATGTTGGCAGACTATTTCCAGCCTTGGTTCCCAGAACTACTTTATACAGTATTAATTTTTTTTTTTTTTTTTTTAAAGTAGATACTATCATTTTTTAATTCCCCATTCAGATGACTGCTTCTTAATTTACTATCTTAATTTTATAGGTAGTTCCAAAGCTTTCACTTTTAAATTAATTTATTCTACTATTATTGCCCGTATCTATAAACAGAGGCGTCATCGCTTAGGTTGCTAGTTTTTATTTCTTAATCCATAGGTGGCAGCTAATACTACCTTTGTTTGGCTCCCTATTTAACGCGTGAATTATTCCACCAGCATGGATGGGGACCCGGAGGACCCATGGCTGTCCTCTGGGTTCTGAAGACCTCTAAAATGTATTTGACACGTTAGAAACGCGTGTTTCAGAAGCTGTTGATTTTGATGTTTCTCAGAGTGACTCTACGCCCCTCTTACAGAAGAGTGCAAATGCAATCTCTGGAAAGTTTCTTAGAAATCGTGCAGTTCCTTTACTTAGAAACGCTTGAATAACTGTCTTCTTGCGTCTCATATCCCGAAATAAGAATAAAATGATATGGAAATATAAATTCGTCGGTGTTAGAAATCAATATATCTAGTAGAACCATCTGAAATCAGGGTTAGCAGGACCCTCCCTCAACCTTTCTGTTGGGACATCCAGAGCTCTGAGGGTGATGCCTTGCTTCACATTCCGTCGCTTATTGTCTATTATCATCCAGGCGCCAAGAATCAGAGTTAACACAATGCCAGTTCCTCCAAAAGCAGCGGTTGTGATAAGAGCCGGCATATATTTTGGTGCATCCTGATTCTGAAAGATATTTGAACTGACTAGGCCCATCAGGTTAGCCAGAGGGACAGCAATGCTGGTTAAAATCACACGTTTTCCTTCACTCGCGATATTGTTGTTGTACCAAACATCCAGCAAAACAGATGGAGCCGATGTGCCCCTTAAATGCCCGGTTAGTGGAAAATATAATGAAATCGTAGAATGTTAAAGAATGGATCTAGCTTACCATGTCATTATGAAGGAAGCAAAGTAGGCAACATTAATATCGTGCCTAACATCAATGGCGACATAAATTATGAATCCAATGAATGTGAAGAGGAAACCCAATGCAATGAACGGAAATCTCCACCGGGTCCAGTCGCTGAGAAATGCTAAGATTAGAAGCATGATAGCCCCGGACACATTGGGGGCAACCGTGTAGAGATTCGTCTTGACGGTGCTGTATCCTAGTCGATTGATGATTTGTGGCAAGAAGAGCTGAACGGATTGTAGTGGAACACCCAAGCAAACTTGGATACCCAGAATCATCCAACTGGTAGGATGTTTGAAGATGGTAAATGCCTCGCGAATATTGAGCTTCTCATTGACAACCGAAGAACTATCGAGCTGCATCCGTTCGTATGCCAGCGCTTTCTCTGATGGGGTGAGAAAGCTGGCCTCAGATGCAGACCGCGGCAAATACCAGATTGCAAAGATGGCGAAGACGATAGTACCAGCGCCTTCGATGAGAAAAAGGTAGCGCCATGGGGTTAGCGAACCGGACTTGATCCGGAAAACGCCAAAAGCAAGCAGCCCTGAGAAGGCAGAAGCGATACTCTGGGCGGCATAGAAAATGGCAAGACGCCTTGCCATTTCTCCTCGACGATAAAACCTGTTTGCCACGCCATCTTTGTTTAGCATTAAATATGAGCTTGCAGGTCGAGAGCCCTTACGTGGTTAGATAATAGATCACGAGTGGGAAGAAAGCGCTCTCCGCCATGCCCAGGAACCATCGAATCGCGAGAAGGCCTTCGAAATTGTAGACGGCGACGACAAGAAGTGTGCAGAGGCCGAAGCACAACATCATGCAAGGCAAAACAAGGTTGGGACCATACATCTTCCCCAGAATTCCAAGAAATGGGGCCGTCAAGACATATGGAATGAAGAAGATGCTCAATATTATGTTGTACTGGTTACCATGTAGATGGAGGGTGTCTATACAAACAAATACATATCAGTCACTAAACACCAATCCTATAATAGGACCCAGTCCACGCACTTTCCAGACCAGCAGTCTTGGCATTTCCAAGGTTCGATTTATCAAGGCTATTGAAGAGATACATGACTGCTAATACGGGAAGAATGCGGAGGTCAAACTTCGAGACCACACTCCGTTCGGCACGGGGGTCTATGGCCACGGACCGACCAACCTCCGAACGCTGCACACTAGTATTCGCGTCATCGTCAAGCGGTGGCTTCGTCGGGATATGTTCAAGTGCTTTGCGGCTCGACATTTGTCCTCCAATGCCTTAGAATGATAGTCAGAACTCCACGTGGAATTAAATTCCGTAGAGATGATGTTGACCTGAGTTGAGACCAGCCCGAGCCTTAGCTTTAAAGCATTTATTCTGAATCATATTAGGAAATTGATTTTCTATCACGTCCGTTATCTTGATATGATATGTGTATGCATTGCGATTAAGATGCTTTGCATTTCGTTTAGCCAAGACTTTGTGTAATTTGTCTACAGTAATCTTATCAGAAGATAAGGTATATGGCCGAAATCGGCTGTCGGTGAATTTCTGTAGCGGAAAAGTGCCTAGATTAAGTTTTTAGGAATTGAACTGTTGAACCTCTTGGGCCAATTGACCCTGTTGACCCTGTTGACCCTATTGTCCTTACTGTCCCTACTGTCCCTACTCTCCCTACTGTCCCTACTGTCCTATTGTCCCTATCGCCCCCACGGGGCCTGTTGGTCCCATTGGCTCTCGATGACCCACAACACGTGGCTTTCCTCCCTATTTCTCTTTCTTTCAACGATTCCCTTTTTGTTCATAGCCTATACTATAGGTTCTACGGGTCCATCCCCTGATAGAGAATCATTAAATTAGCCACTCGGCCGGCGCCCGCAAAACTTAAGATCAGCCAAGACATTTAGTCTAGGATGACTATTTGCGATCTAGATAGTAAATGTGCTGACACCCCGGAATAATATTAATATGTAGTAAACTTCTTCCCAGCTTTCGTCGTCGGACACCGTGCCATTGCACCCCTTCCTGTCAAATTATGAGACCCATAAGGAAGAGGAAATATATAGTTGTATCTACAGTACAATCCAATCCTAACTAGATCTAGTGGGGTTGCCTCGTATTCGTAGCTAAAATCACTGGGGGTGTTCTGTACTCCATGGCTGTTGCTGGTTCGTTGAGGGATGGATCATGTGGTGCCGTGTGACTGATAGTCCATCCCGGGATCTAGTAGTTTTGACAACAGAAAACTGTTGTCTTTTGATGGATTGATAACGGTGAGTGGGACCAAATATCATTACGCCACGCTTGTGAATCAGACATTTTCGTTGGTCAGAGGTAACAACTGACCCAGACCATCTAGGAAATCTCCGATAATTCTCCTACACAGCACTGTTTGCCAGACTCGAACAGCTCTACGATGACGGCCAAGAGAAACAACAGGTTTTATCGGTCCAAATCACACACTTGCAGTCTTCAAAAGTGATGCAGAATTCTGGCCATTTGCAGTTTATCTCACCATCTACTCCTTCAATATTGAATCTATTCCATATTTTATTTGTTGTGACACCACGCCTTTACTAGAAAATACACATGTGGCAAATACAATTGCATTCTGAATACAATCGATAACATATCTAATATTAAAATTAGTGTCATCATCTACTCCATACTATCTTTCATTATCTCACAATGGCTACGCTTACCATATGAGTGGCTGCTAATATAGTTCTCTAATGCAAGAAACAAAATTCAAGCTCCCCAATCCTGCGTTCGCGTCTCCCTTTTCATTAGGGTATAATAGTGATTTATGCATGATCAAACTTTCTTTAATAATTTTAGGATCCTTGTATTTGGCACACTGATATTTATATTATCGGAAATATCTGGTCTTTAACTCTTCATAGTGTTTAATAAAGTTGTATACCAATCTTGGCCAACAGACTGGTAGTCTGTAGAGCCACTTTAATAAAAGGATATTGGCTATGTTTTAAACGTAGGAGGGTTAGGCGCTGCTCTATGTTAGTCTGCAGAAAAGTGTCTATTGTGAGAGCAAATCTTCTTTATTTTGAGTTAATTTATGGTTGTTGGCGCTTCCTTCAGCGTGATTAACACTGCCATTCAATCAGCGGCGGATTATGGTATGGAACATATTAAACATATGTGCTGCTTCGCGAATTGAGCATATATTTCTTGCTTTTTAGTATCGGATGTTGCAAGTAAGTTCATTCTCTCTCCTTTCAACTGAATCTCTTGATGTCATGCTCGCTTTTCATGGCATAGTGCTGGTTGGAACTGCTTGAAAATAAAGAGTGTGTTGAAAACGCGTAGGGTAGAATGCTCGCTTGTAGATTACGTTAATAGGGAGCACAAATGGCAAAGAAGCCATGGAGCGAGATTAAGCATTAGAGATGCAGAACATTAAGAAGGTTTGTTTGGTTCATGATGGAGGCAGATATGTTATGATAAGCGAGGTTTTCCTTGCAATCAAGCCGGTTGCATACGCGAAGCATTGGATCTATGGAAGCCCTAGTACTGTGGGGAAAAAATTGATAATAATAATGGCTGGTTTATAATTGTCTTCGACCTGGAAGTGAGCTTTGGTATTACGTCTAATGATCAACACGTACAGCAATTTACTAGTATTTCTATGAGAAATGTGAAGGTCTAACATCACCTAGTCCTACAACTTTGAGAGCTTTCCATCAGGATATAAAATTGACAGATAGCTTTCTCGGATTTCACTAATAGATCGACACCTGTAGTCGACGATTAGCAGATGGTCTAAACTGCATGTCTGAACGAAACCCACCCAGCCAGCGCCATTGTGATTCTCAACTCCTGGCGCAGAATCCTGATGGCCAGCTCTACGCCCTCTTGCCCGTTATACTGCATTTGTTAGTTTGCATGTAATGTCTATTCCGAAATGAATACATACAGCAAGCCCCCAGATTGGAATTCTTCCCACAAAACAGTAGCTCGCCCCTAGTGCTAGCGCCTTAAAGATATCCGAACCACGTCGAATGCCACCGTCAATAGCAAGCGGTATCCGTCCTCGGGAAACCTGGGCACATACTCTAAGGGAATCTAAAGTCGCGGGAATACCGTCGAGTTGTCGACCACCGTGATTCGAGACAACGATTCCATCGATGCCGTAATGGATAGCCAGTTCCACATCGGCAGGGGAGCAGACTATCGGAGCAATGTCAATATACAAAGGATAGTGCCCTAGGATGGAGTGGTCGTACCTCCTTTAAGCCAGATTTGCAGCGATGTATGTTTCCTGAGCCATGGGATCGTGCTTTCCCAGTCAAGACTGGGGTCTGTGTATGTCAGCACCTCCACCACAAATAATAGACCTGGAGAACCTACCATAATCAGTCCGATTCGAAGTATCACCGCCATAACTAAGAATGTTGGGCCAATTCATGTCCTCTGGCAGTTGGTAGTTATTGCGATACTCATTCAATCGCTTCCCTAGCACAGGCACATCAACCGACAGGAAGAGTGCCTTGTATCCCACCTCTATGGTGCATTAGATTATTGTAGCACAACTAGTACACAAATGAAAACGTACTTTCCGCCCGATCCAAGAGCTGGAGAGTAATAGATCGATCTCGTAATACACACACCTGTATCACGTATGGATTACCCATTCCTTGAACGGCCACATCCTCTAGGGAATAATTCGAGTAGGATGATAAGCCCATACAGATGCCGAATTTGGCGGCCGCACGAGACGACGCCAATTCTCCGTCAGGATGAGCGAGTTTCTGCGAGGCGGCCGGGCTGAATCCGAATGGAAGTGATACCTATCACTCAAAAAGTATAGGTTGGTATGGGTTCATTCTTTTGTTTTGGTAGAGAAGCATACTTTGGTATCCAGAATTTCAGTGCTCATGTCAATGTGGTCGACATTGGTCAGAATCCGGGGAAGGATTTTGTACCGGTCGAAGGCGGCTTCGTTCTCGCGCAGGCTGGGAATTGTCAAGCCAGTTCAGTATTATAGGAAGGAGAGAAGTCATACGTAATAAGATCCATTGCGCCTTCATTGTAGTAGTCTGTATAGGTCAGCATCGAAACGACACCATGTTGCTGACATGGTACACACACCTCTGACCATCGTGGGAAGTTTACTACTCCCCAAAGCCTTCAAGTCCGCGATGCATGATACATCTTTGTTTAGGATTTCTCCACGATGAGCCATTTCGATGATATTAAACCACTAACAAGGAATAGTTGAGAGAGTGGCGGTTTTGTTGAGGACGAAGGAAAATGCGATATTGTTAAAAAGTGTTTAGAGACTCAGACGGAAGGGCCCTAGGCGGAACAGATGAATAATTAGAAGTATAATCATCATCATAATGCTTCCCCACAGTCAAGAAAAGAATAAGGCAAATATTCCAGCGCTAGAATACGTATAGATTGGGGGAAATGGTTTCCTATCGCGGAATTCCCGCTTTGTGTGCCCCGCGGAATCACCTGCCTTCTTGCTGCGATCAACCAGCGTCATGGCAATTACATCGCCAGCAGCAGATTTTTGTTAATGCAAGACATTGCAAGATTCAACCATCTCTTGCTTAGTTCAATTTCGAAAATAATGGCTAGTACGGCACGAATCTTTCTGTGAGTGGCATGAAACATCCGACATTATGAATGCTAATCCCGCTACAGCACAGGCGCCTCAGGCTACATTGGCGGGGATGTCCTACAAGCCCTCCGATCGGCACACCCAGAATACAACCTCACTGTCCTGCTAAGGGACGATGCAAAAGTGGCGGTCATATCCAAGTCCTATCCTGATGTCCGGGTTGTCCTGGGAGACCTCGACTCCACATCCCTAATTGAAGAAGAGGCTCGTCAGGCGGATATTATTGTCCGTAAGTTGATCGGTTATCGCATGCTGGATTCTACTAATGCACTATTCAGATGCTGCCAGTTCGAGTCATATCAAGAGTGTCGAAGCAATTGCCCGTGGGCTAGCCAGACGCGATGGATCCAGTCCTGGTGGGAATACATTGCCCATCAGAAGTATACTGCAGTCTAACTATCCCAGGCTATTGGATCCAGGTCTCCGGCGCAAGCGCCCTTTCGATCTCCGACATTGTCAACAGCACCTACGGACAAGGAACTGACAAGGTCTTTAGTGATGTCGACGGCGCCAACGAAGTTCGCGATATTATCCACCAGAACGCGGCCAAACGGGCCATCGACAACTTTCTACTCAACTTGGCCGGTCCCAAGACAGCTCTTGTCCTCCCTCCGATTATCTACGGTCAGGGGAGAGGTGTAATCAAACAACGCAGTGTACAAATTCCTGAGTTGGCCAGAGTCGCTATCCAGACCCGGACGGCGGTGCAAGTGGGCAAGGGAGAGAACACCTGGAGCAACGTCCATATTTCAGACATCACCGATATTTTTGTGAAGTTGATTGAGAAGGCTGTACAGGCTGAGGACGGAAATCTGTGGAACAAGAACGGGATTTATTTTGCTGGCAACGCCATGGTGGTGGGTTCTATCTAGAGTTAGCATACATGGATATGGCTAACGCGAGCAGAGCTTTAAGAGAATTTCACAACTAGTGGCCGAGGCGGTGCACAACCTTGGCCTGGCAGACTCGACGTCTGTAAAAGAGCTCGACCACGACGAAGCAGACAGGCTGTCGGCCCACGCCGGGATTCTCTGGGGCACAAACGCTCAGCAAAACTCACAGCGGGCTCGGCAGGTTTTAGGGTGGAGTCCAAAAGGAAAGTCTTTAGAGGAGGAGATTCCCGATACTGTGCGTGTTGAGGCGAGTCGCCTTGGAATGCTTTAGAATACCTCATGTTTAGTATGATACGAAGTAGAATGATTTTAAGTTTGTGCATGTATTCGAATTATCTCATTGACAGTCTTATATACATACTATATTCTTTTCCTATCGCATTTAGATAGAACCGGTTGCAATTAAATACTAATGTACATGAAATATTCTTAAGCGTTCCAATCCAACATGCTGGATAAGAACGCTCAGTACCAACATATATTAATCCTTCTCGATACGGCAACCTCAAAGACCGCTAGCTTCACTGCTAATAGGCCTTTTGGATGTTGATCAATACCATCCATTACTACTTTCCATGATGAATCCAGGCCCATCCCACAACTTAATAGTATGAGTATCACAATTCGTTGCTCTACGTGACCAGTCCAAATCCAGTAGCTAACTCCGATCACCTGATCCGCCCCTCGGCACGTCTTCTCTTCCTGTATTCTCCTTCCAGACACATTCATGCAATTCACTCCAAATTAATCACTTTCTCATATTTCCAAATTGTATATTCCCTCTATCCAATGCCCCGATGACGGGCTCGAGGCCTCTAGGATCAGTTCGCCTCCGCCGATCCCACACCCTAGGAGCCTGTCGCACCTGCAGACGTCGCCATGTCAAGTGCGACCAGAAACGCCCCACCTGTCGCACCTGTCGTGCTCTTGGCGTTGCTTGCGAGGGCTTCTCCAACGAAGTCCGCTGGATGCGCAACAGTGGCAGCAATGATGCGGATGATCACCATGGGACTCGCCGGCACCTTTACACAGGTGATGATTTCTTGTTTTGGTCGCGGCTGATGCCCGCCGCTGACTCACGTCTTAGAACAATCCAGACTGTCCATGAGCACTTCCCTCGGCTCGGACCTGGTTTCCGGCTCCATCAATGCTTCCTTAGCTGAGATTGATCTCAGATCGCGGGACCCCGACCGTTCGCCCACAGGCGACATTGTCGTCGGTCCGTTCGCAGTTCTTGATTTTGCTCCAGCTGCACCACAGGGGATGCCGCGGGGCGTCCAGCCCAGTCAAGTGCAAGGAACAACTCCCGAGCCTGCCCTGGCTAGTACACCTCCAACGGTTTCTTCCGACTTCGTGGCTGCGGAGGAGGTGCCAGCATTTGCTCCAATGTCATCAAAAATTGACTCCCTGTCGCATATAGATGATTTTCTTCATTGGTCTGATCTCTTGGGTCTTAGTCCTGATCAGCCAGGTTTCTTCCAGCCGCCCACGTTGGACGTAGACATGTGCTTTGGCTCTGACCCTCGAGGTCTTGACCCGGAATCCAACTTTGGTGCACCTTCCTATGGCATGGCTGGGGATGCTGGTCCGGTACAGAGAGATAGGGACCAGAGAGACACAATGAGGATGATGACACCGCCACATAGCACGGCCGAAATGGCCTCGACGATACTGGATGCGGCTCCCCTGGCTGATGCCCCCTTATTATTCAAAAATTTTCACGAGAACGTAATTCCACAGATGATGGCCATGCCATTGGGGGAGAAATCACCATGGAAGATCCTCAACATGCCATCTGCAATGGGCACCTATAGCGACCTTACGATACTCGGATCTCAGAATATTAGTCATGCTCGTCTAGCCAATCTCTATGGCGTACTGGCCTGCTCAGCCATTCATCTAGCTTTGAAACCGAGCATCGTCCCAGTGGACTCAATTGAACATTGGCAGCAAGCTGCGGACCAGATGTTCCAGCAGGCTAGAGACTATATGCAGATGTCATTGAAGTATGAAACACAGGAGCCGAAAAGGGCAAAATATAAAGACCAGTTGATGGCCATTTGTTGCTTGACAGAATATGCGGTAAGCTTCCTTCTTCAAGCTTGGGCTTTTTAACAGCAGGATAATGACCGCCAAAGATCATTTCAGGCCAACAGCAACATGCACGGGGTTTCATGGTAAATGCGGAACACATATTGCGCATGCGAGGATTGCCGAAATGCAGAATTTCTCAGAAGGCACGCCTCCTACACCATGTCTACACATGGCTGCGACTTGTCGGCGAGAGCACGTATGTTTTACACGACTATAATCCCTCAAACTCATTTATCGAGGCCCTCGATTCTAATTTCCGGCGGCGTCGCCCTGACCAGATGGCCGGCCAAGATGGACCTGCCGCAAACGAGCGGAATCCTCGGCTCGATGACTTCTTACGTCTGGAAGCACATTACGCGGACAGTGATCTGAACATCGATGAGCCAAAGGATAGGGAGACTGGTCTCCATGATATCCACCTTCAGGACTCCCGTAGCTTCTCTGACACACTGTATAAGCAGATCTATGGAATTCCAGAGACCTGGCTCAGCTTGCTGTCACAGACCACAAGGCTGGCCAATGTCATGGAGACTTTTCGTATTGCACAAAGGTCGTATAAAAATACCACCCTGGAAGCATGGGAAACGCTGCAAAAACGCAGTGTCCATCTGGAGAACATGATTTGCTCGTTCGTTCTCGGCCGCATCCGGGGTGTTGCCCCGGAACACGTTGACCCATCTAGGCCACATGGGCATATGCTACGAGCGCTGAACGAAGCTCTTGTTATTTTCTTCTATCGACGCATACGCCAGGCTCACCCGGCAATTCTGGCAGGTCATGTCGACAGTGTCATTGCGGCACTGGCAGACTTCAATGTGGCATTGCCACAGGATCAAGCCACAGGTCCTGGAACCGCGTGGCCTGCCTTTGTTGCGGGGTGTGAAGCCCTCACATCGTCAAGACGGCAGGCAATCATGCAATGGTTGGATAAGGCAGAGTCAACCTGCGGATTTGCCGCATTCAAGACGGCCAGAAACATTATGAAGGATTTATGGAGGAAACAGGACGAGCACTTGGATACGAATCGCCGCGATCCGATGCCGACGTGGATTGATATTGTAAAAGAGAGACAAATATGGCCCCTCTTTTGTTGATACTATCTACCTCAACTTTCCACTCCCTTTAGCGATTTACGTGGATTACGTGCTATGAGGTACGAGGTAATGCAAGTCTTTATATTCATTATATGACATTCATTTCCGTTCAAACACTCATAGATTCATTTCCCGCATTTAAATCGTTTTGACACCGGCATTCTTCATCAGCTGCTTCAGCTCTGCTTGCAGCTCAGGGCTGAGCAAGGCAAATGGCTTCCGCAACCCACCGGTAGACTGACCCGTCAACTCGACACCAGTTTTGACAGCAGCGGCATAGTTGTGAGATTCGAGAAACTTGCAAATAGGCCAGGCCTTGGTCCAGAGCTCACGGCCTCGCTTCAGATCTCCCTTCACAGAAATCGCATCCCATAGTTCAACAGCCAGATCGGGAATGAGATTGGCGGCTCCCCAAACACCACCAGAGCAACCGGCAGCCAGACCATAGAATGTAAGGCTGTCCCAGCCATTAAATGCAGTAATCTGGTCCGATAGGCCGAAGACCAGCTCAGTAAATGCAGGGGCATTGCCCGAGGTGTCCTTGAGATATTTGACGCCCACCTTTGACAGTCCCGCGATTTCAGCCGGGCTTAGTGTCAACCCCGAGGCGGAAGGGATATTGTAGTACACGATGGGTAGCTTCGAGGCGCCGTGAATCTCAGCCATGAGCTCAGTGAGCTGCTCAAGGTTCACAGGATCATAGAACGGCGGTACAACCATAAGCGCAGCTGCACCCGCCTGAGCGGCATGAGAGGCCAACTCAACAGCCTCAGCAGTAGAAGTACTTCCCGTACCGGCCACAACAGGAACACGACCAGCGGCGAACTTGACACAAAGCTCGGTGAGCTCCTTCCGCTCAGCGACTGACATTGTGGTGAACTCGCCGGTACTACCGCCGGGGACTAGACCATGCACGCCAGCAGAGATGAGGTGGTCGATATGGGATTTGAGGCGCCCTTGGTCGATTTTGGTCTTGTCGTCGGTGAAGGGGGTGATCAAGGCCACCAGGATGCCGTGTAGGAATGCCATTTCGCTGGGGGAATCAAATGTGGAAAAGAAGGAAAAGTAGAGGTGGAATTGGTTGTGGAGATGAAGAGAAAGATGAGATGGAGGGTATGAAGGACAATGATAGATACATTTTTATGTACTTGTGATATCGCGTATTGCGGAACCGCTTTCCTGTTGGGTATGGACGTATCGGGGGAAGAATCACTTGCTTTTTCCATTGCCCCACATCACTATATCCGAGTTGCAATAATTACATCATTCGTATTCTAGTATGGTCATGCCCAGGCCCATTTGCGACGTGAATGGCTAGTCGGGATGTACTATTTCAGCGCCTGGTAGCCATAGTGGAGCCCCGTCAAATGTCCTCAGTGACGGTACTTACCGACACCCAACATGTTCATTGCAATTTACAACGAGCTGGCGAGTAGGTGTAGGATAGGTTGAATGCCCATGTTGCTAAATTAATTCTTGGTAGATGCTAAGATACGGGATGTGTGTGAAAGCTAGCAGTGCGTAAATGGTGCAGTCTCCTCTTCACAGGTTGTCGATGCCCTTTCAAGAATATTTACTGCAAATGAAGTTTTCCTGGTTACTATGGAGGTATTAAGAATAAAATCAATCCTGCTTTGAAAAATTGGAGTGACACAGATACCCATTTTTGGGCTCGCTACCTAACAATAACAGGGGGTACAAACCTACTAGATGGCTAGGTCCATGTAGCACTTGATTGACGGCTAAGACACATTTTGACTTATTAACAATGTCTCCGCCTGTGTTCATGCTCCTGTCAAACCGGGGAAAGTTGCTACTCGAAACCTCGCGGCGGAATTGATGGCCAGGAAATTGATGGACCGAGCGATGGAAATGTATGGATTCAGATAAATTATGCTATAGGTTACCTCCTCTATCGTTGCCGTAAGAATATATTTCAGTAAGATAAATGCTGAATACTCCTCTTTTAGTGGCCAAAGTTCAATTATGATCAACAGGCAATAATGGTATCTACATTCAAGACTGTAATATCCAAGCTGCTGAAACTGTTCGTTGCTGCGGAAGAGATTCGGTTGAGGCTGAACGCCTGTGGAATTTGAGCGAGAAGATTGTGGGAGAAACCTTTGACTATGAAATTTAGAAAAGGATAGATGCCGTACTATTCTTGCAAACTAAGAATGAAGCTACATATTGCATTGACTCCGCTGATAAATCAAGCCCGCAATATGAGAATATATCTAGTTGTAGATGCTGCATTGCTGTATTCATAATATCCATATCTCTGAGGAGACTAAAATAGTCCGTGTCAACGATAAACTTAAATCAGATAGACAAGTGCTGCAAATATAATAGCCATATAAACAGAATGCTAATTTCACAACTTCCCTTTTCCTACCATCGCTCTCACCGCGCGGATAGTCCCTTTAACAGAAGACTTTGCAATATCCATATGGCTTTCCTCTATGTTGCGTGCCTCCTCAGTTCCAGGCTCCATATTTTCAAATTTCCAATCATACGTGAACGTCAAATATAGCATATTATCGGGCACAACGGACAGAATATTCTGCACCACAGACTCATTTGGAAGAGTAAAATAAGTCTATCCACCAGATTAGACCTGAAACAGTTCCATTTTCAGGGGAAAAAAAAATATATGAGACTTTCATACTCTAGTTGGTGGGTATAACCTGCATTCCTCCCTGGCCGATATCCCCGCCATAGGGGACGCCTTAAGTTCTGGTGCCACCAATGCCTCCCGGACGACAAAATTTCCATCGTCCCTTTCTTCAATCACTTTGCAGTCTGTCAGGGAAGGGATGAAATCCTGTGGACGTCTGACTTTGCACTTTAAGCCATTCCAAACTTGTTCATGCGTTAGGGGCGGGATGGAATCATCGGAGTTGACGGGTTCAGTGTAGGCGATATGTAGGGTTAGCATGATAGGTGGTCTGTTTTGGATATTGAATCACCATGTGTTGTTGGTACATGAATGAACGAGAAGGTCTATTTAAGCTTTAGGGGTTCTATGAAGACGGATATTGTCGGAAGTGGCATGAGCGGTGTTCAAAGAATATCAGAATATGATTTGTCCATTGTAAGAAGCCTTCGGTGTTCGTTGAGCCCGAAGACCGAGCAGTGCGTGCTCTTAGTTGTTGTACCCATCTGGAATAAACATGTCCAGCATAAGTATTTTCGACAGTGTCGGTGGCTTGTAAGATGAGTAAAAACCTAATGCCTACCGTTCATATCAAAGCGGATACACATAAGCCTAGTATGAGGGAATGACATAAACCCCATACTTCTTTATATACATTAGTTAATCTCCTAATGGTCGCTAAACAACCCTTCTCCGACAAATGAATATTCTAATCATCTCCTTGCGCAGTAGCGATAAGAGAGTATTTAGAGCTCAGCAACCTTCTGGACAGTATCTTCATGACTTTTCACTGCTAATCCAACCATCTTCGTTTACCCCGCAGATTTGGTCCTGCCAAGGGTTCACTACCTTATTCAAGTTAAACCAAAGCTGTTCTTCTCCAAAGAAGACGTCCGATTCAGCTTCTGTGAACTACACTGGACACACCAACCCCTTTGTATCTTGTAAATAAAGCCAATACTCGATAATAAGGACCAATGTCCCTCTTTAAAGCAATTAAATTTCTGTTCCATTGCCTACCCGCTCCAGCTACAAGATGCTGAAGCAGAAGAAGAATAGGGTCATGAAGAGCTTCAAGATATGTTTTATTCAAGTGGCCGTTGAAGATATGATAGTAGCAAAAGTTTGAGTCGTCAGCGATAAAGTTCATCCGCATTGGCTATCTTCTCAGCTGAAAGTGTCTTATAACCCTGTGGAAGCGACAGTTCGATTAGGTTAGAGTTTGTTCAGGATCTGGGTTTTCGAATGCTCGGGGATAACCTGCAACCAGCAGACGCAGTTCGACAACTCTGTGCTGCCAGTTATACAAAGGACAGTCCCAGAGTCAGGTGATATGAAAAGTTATTTGGGTTCAACTCTCAATTTTGTCGGGCTATTTCGTAAATCCAATGAAGTAAACATACTTGGATGACGGAGAGTTAGACGGTTAAGCAGACTAACAGCTCTTTTTGGAAGTAGATATGGGACCAAGGCTAAGTATTTTGTCTAGAATTAGAAATCATCCTTTAGTGACTTTTCCCCAGAAAAAACATCATTATGGGAAAATTCATGTTCCATCGCCTTTCCATACCGCCGGGTCCATTCGATTTCTTTCTGTGGAATCGATGCTATGCACTTCTTGGAGTCATTCACTATAGTCAAAAGTCAGTAACTGGACATCATGACATCTAGCAATGAGTTAACCCCCACTGTCCATGGTAAGTATCGAGGCTAGCTCGTTTTCCTTAGTAAAACATGTAATTCACGGTCGGGACAATGCAAAGCGCCTCCGAGCCATGTTCATTTTGGCGCTGGTAGAGTACAATGGTGCTTGAAAGTCGGGGGGGCATCTTTCTTAAAGTAAATACTTCCAATAGATACAAATTGCATTCCAGAAAATCGTTTCTCAATTTCAACCAAACTGGAGACAATTTTATGTCTTTCGCACTTGCTCATGCTAAGCAATTTTTTATTAAAACCGATACCTGGAGCCATCTCCATAACGATATATTCCACACCGATAGGATTCCTCTCCGAAGAGGAGTACCCATACACCCCGAGTACAGGGATACCCTTTGGGTGGGACATAATATAGAGTGGCAGCTTCGCTCTCGGTCGCGTATTGCTTGGGCCCTGCTATTCGATATGGAACTTTGACAACGGCCTCAAATCCATCATCCATAATCAGGAGGAATACTCGATAGAAGCCTCCTTCGGCGAGTTTGGTTATGCTCGCGGTGGGTCCGTGGCTAGGGCTAATATGTTTTCCTGCCTCTTGTAGAAGAGTACTGGGGTCGAACTCCACGTAGCGTTCACGTCGTCGAACATCCTTATTGTAGAGAAACGTGCCTAAGGTATATGAGAAAAGGCCTGATTTGTTATGGCACCTGGACAAAAGTTGAAGGGTTGTCGACCAAAGTGGGCCAATATTACACAATATTCAGCATCCGCTCGGTCCGACTTTATTCCTTTGTTTTTCACCTTTTTTATCCAGCTCTCCCAGATAGATTCAGATAGACAAGAGACCTTAGAGACCTCATTCTTCAATGCAGATCCATATTATGATTATGATCGGTGATACTAGCTCATACGCGTATTTAGCTGACCGACAACTTCAATCGTACTAGTCTTGATCGTAAGGAATTGTCAGATATACGGCTAGTCCCGAAGAGGAAATAGGGTATGATTGGTGAAAAGGTCTTATTTGAATGAATTGAGCTGGTTGGGCTCTTCTTGATTATTCTCTTGGTTATTCTTGATTGATTATTTTGTTGTGTGCTCCACGGGGGGGTTTTACCCCGATCCAGTCATATGATTCTGGTCCACCAATGGCCATATTATTTGACAGGAATTCCGCTATCAATCACAGCCATAAACAGTGACCACACCTTCAGCCATGCGTTCCTCCGAAAATACCTCCATGAACTTGGTGCAAGAAGGCGGAGTGCCGAGGGCCGAATAATAAGCGTGAGGAGGAAATCTAGCTACAATAAAGTGTCGAGTTAAGATACTCGAGGTGAATACTCGGCCGAATCCGGATGGCGGTCACGCACGTCAGAACCCAACTGGCAATTCTAGCTCTGGATCACAGTGTGTAGTGATCGTGATAACAATGTCGTGTCCTACAAAGGTGCTTCTTCCTGGCAACTTTCTAGGAAAACCTGCTCAAGTACATCTTTAAGGCTTCTGCGAAACATGCCTTCTTTGTCCTCATGGATGTGAATGGCCAGGTCGTATGTTTCCGATACTGTTTGAAACACAATAACCCTCCACGCAGCTGGTCTCTTGTACATTGGCTCAATCTCTTCAATGCGTATACGACAAGCTGTTTTCTTCAGCGAAGTGAAGTTTTCTAAGAATAGAATGATTAACCTGATAGGCCTTAAGCAAAATATAAGAGCTCACTTACTCTCAATCAGATGGATCCACTCCAAAAGCTCGGAGGCTTGGGGTACCTTTGTGAGCTTCTAATTTGAATGCAAGTATTTGCAAATCCACATACCTTGACCACCGAGCTTGTTGCGAATATCGGCTTAGGTCTCCATGTTTGCGGAAGAAACGAAAGCTGCAGAAGCTAAGGGTAAACTCGGCTTCACAAACGTATGGGCCAGTGAACTCGGATACTTGTGGCAAGAGAACCACCTGTGGAAATAATATGATGAATTTCAGGGCCTTGGTGTTGGGTTTCTCGCTTGGATTGGGATGTGTTTTTCTCTTTCGACCCCGCTGAAGCGATGTGGTCAGAGTCGACAAGACTTAAGACGCTCGGGCATTAACGAACCCCGCACACATAGTGGTTGGTCCGTCCACTCACTAGCCATCTCTTCAGTCAGGAGCCCCAACCCCCCTGAGGAAACTTCCCTTTCACATCACACCACAGGGACAAGCTATATTGAATGAAGAATCTAGAATAATGGGACGAAATAAAGACTCGACAGCACCTCTCACACCACTCGTGTCGGGATGTGTTCCTGCAGTGTGCGTAGAGGGAATCTTTGGAAGCAAAAACCCTCTCACAGAGAGTACATTCATAGTCTATCCCGTCGAAGGTAAGATATGGGCCAAGTTCCATCCTTTAGATTAATGGCGAAGTAATTAAATGGAGCCCTGTGAGAAGAAAATCGGGATCCTACCTTGGTGATGCCAACCTTTGAGTCAGGTGTAAACCACAGTTTATGGGCCGCTTGGTCCCACCCGCTGCGGAGGGGATACCGGAGGCGCTATGGCATGAGCCAATGAAGGCTACCTTGATGCTCAGGTGCCGACTGCACCTGGAAATGTACCATAACCCATGTGGGCCACAAATTCGAAGTCGGTTTCCGAGACTTTGTTAAGAGATTAAGGCACTATGGACAAAATGCCATGGCATATGATCTTGCAACTCTTGGGTATCCCCGTACGAGTCGAGATCTTGTTTACTCTTCAACCTCGAAGGTACATACTGGAAAGTTCCGACCTGATATTTCGATCTCAGTCAATCGTGCTTCGAAAGGCTCCAAATGCATCGCAGTACGAACGAAGATAGCCCGACGTTGACTGGATATATTGGAAACCAGAATAACCGTAGCATTCCTTGGTCTCTGTATCCCTGCAGAAAAATGTATCTTCGCGAAGGCTTCCAGACGGACTCTCGTAGAAGTGCCCTATCACGTGAAGGAAAGGCGGTCCTTCGGGTCCAAATGCCCATGACATAAAAGAACAAAGAGAGGATGGAACATGACTCCAGTGATGAGGGACCAAACTATCATCCCAGTCATCAAATCGCCATCCTGGAACTCGGAGGTGTAGCACTCGAATACTCTCCCTAATGTTGGGCGAGGACAAAAGGGCTTTCTGGGATTGGGAGTGTGGTTAGTGGGCAGCTCTTAACGAAAACGCAGTTTGTCTGGCGTACCAGTATGTCAAAATCATTGCAGCAAATACCGAGAAATTCAAGATTTAGCCCAGCCAACGGGTTTTGAGAAACATCAGCCGACAGTTTCTCCACCTCTGATGGCGTAAATGCCATCACGGGATCGCCAAGGGGTTCACTATCATGAGATAATTGCTGATAGACAAGCCTCCGCAAGGATCTTTTATGGCACAGTGCAGAATCCCAGATCGACAATGGATTTGAGAAGCTCACTACCGAGACATACAACTCTTCAAGTCCTTCGAACGCGCCGAGGAAGCTAGAAAGCGCGAGAGCGCTTTCCGTGTTGTCCATATAGGGGTCGGATTCAATCAACAAGGATTTCAAAGAAATGGTCGAACCAGAATCGCGAATGCTGTGTAAGAGCTCCTCCCAACCTTTGCAAAGGCAAAGACTCAAGGATCGAAGTGAGCCGAAACTAAAAGTAGAAGAAAGCTTTTCGTGCGTCGATAGGAAATCCATGTTAGTCAAACAAAGATATTGGAGCGTAGGAAATACGATCCCTGGTTTTCTGTCACTGATCTTTGCAATCTCATTCGCGAAAAACCATTTCATGTAATTCAGCGGCTTAAGATACCAGTTCGACACACCGACATCCAAGCGGATAAGATGAGATGAGTTATGCTCTAGGGCCGAGCATAATTCAGTGATGTGACCCCAATTATCTATCTTGGGCCATGATATATTCTCCAGATATCGGAATCTTGACAAGGAAATCTCCTCGCACTCATCGCGGCAAGAGCCACCAGTCCGGAGACTAATAGACTTGAGCTTTTTCTGCTTTTGTAGTAGAAGGCCGGAAGAACCGAGGAGCTCCTCTGGAACGCACATGCCCAGGTCCCAACTATTTCAGGACAGAATTAGATCATCTCTTCTCGCGGTAGATTATAAAACGCAGAACGCACGTACATAAAGCTCTCAAGTTTATCCGTCATACATCTGGCAATAATCTGCAACAGAGTGTTGATGGGGTAGCTCAGGTGTCCGTACTTCCTGCGGTCGGCCCTCGGTATACTTTTTGGTACGTCCTCGGATTCACTGTCGGATTTACTGTCGGATTCACTGTCGGATTCACTGTCGGATTCACTGTCGGATTCACTGTCGGATTCGCTGACCAGATAGGGATCTCTGTGAAAACAACCGATCGCAACGCGAGCCCGTGATCTTATCTCAATTGTTCGTAGATGGATAAGGGGATCGATTGGATGTGTGGGTGCTTGCAATATTGCATCAACGTTCCGCCAATCATCGAAGTCCTCATCCTCTTCATCGGTCTTCAGAGTGACGGATTTATATAGGAATGGAACCGTGACGGAGTAAAAGTATTTTGAAACTCGACATAAGCTGTTGAGATCAGCTCGTTCCAGATACTAGTTAGTGCACGTAAGTAAATTAGCTGTGAACGAGAAATTGGGCGTCAATTTCCACACCTCAAGCGTAATATGGATTATCTCGATTGGGAGTTTCAAAAGCATCCTGCTAATGATGATGTCCAGGGGATAGTGAAAATGGAGGTCAGGTTTGCCGCCCGAATAGTTGGAGACCACACAGAAGACGGCGCTTATTTGTATGCTGACAGGTGCTGCCGGCCGATAATTATTGCGCCTCCCTCGCTCGACCAGCTTGCTTGGGTTTGTGGGGTTCACCTCTTTACCCATGCCCTTCCAACATTACTGTTCTGTTTCTCTTCGATGTTAGATTGCTCACCCTAATCCTTGCCATTGTCACTTACCTTGGGCGGGAAAAGGACTCCTCTGTTATGATTTGCCATAATGGCGAAATGAATCGCTGCGGTGCGCTGCGGTACGGGGCCCATACGCCGCAGCGCCTACTTCAATCATGCTATCCTGCCCGCAACGGGACCCGCCCATTGCTGGCTGCCTCAAGCGCACATGATCACCACAAAAAGTGGCCGCAGGCCACACCGGTAGCAGGTAAGTCGATGCCTTTCTGGAAGGACCAAGTAAGTCCAGGCAAGCGAACACATAGTGTAGGGGGACCAGTGCTTAGGCTCTGTACCAATGTTTTGTTCACGGCGGAATTGAAATTAACCTGGCTCATCGGTAAGCCGCAGCTCATTGGCCGCTTAGGCCCACCCTGGAAGGAGGCGATCCCGCAGCCAATGAAAGCTACTTTTATGAAGTCTAGCTGATTGGCTGTCAGCTGGTAGATCTAAATGTACCATCAATGCGGTCTGAGTGTTTGATCAAGCAGATGGAAAGTACATCCAGCAATCGTTAGCTGAGGAGATATGCGCAGCTTCATAGATAAGTCTCCATGATCGAGTGGGTGCTATGGGTAGAGGGCTGTATTGATAGCACTGGCCCACCAAGCTGTTAGCACCGCAGCTGGATGGATACATATCCCCTTAAATGCGGTCCAATAGCATGTGTGAGCAGCAAGGCTGCGGCGCTAGTGTCTGGTACATGATACGCGTGCACCAATTGGAGACTTATTGGATTTCTCCAACGCACTACCGAGGAAAAGGAGAAAAGCAAAAATAGCCGGCGGATTGATAGCAAAGACGGAACGACTAATGGGGAGAATCAAACCATCCCGGTGATAGTAAGAGAGATTGCCTTGACATCCAGGATATATGAACATAACATGATGTGAATGATGATCAACCTTTCACTTCAAATAGGTCGCTCTCCCACGCGCCTGCAATACTCTTCTTAATAGAATATCTAAATGAAAAGATTGTCCACACATGTATGTGTCCCAGCTGCCCCGCGACCGGAGACTAACATACACATCCATAATGAAGGGAAAGAAAGAAATGTAAGACGACCGCGAGGCAAGAATTCGGCATCTATCTAATGCCAACGTCATCGTCGCAGAGGCCGAGGCTATGTCACGGTCGCATGCATATCAAATGCGTGCCGTTGGAGGTGCATCTTGCACGAGAAGAGCTCGTCGCAGACATTACACCTTATTTCGGATTGCGTGGAGATATGGCGAAGATGCTTTCGCTTAATATGCTTGGTAACATCTCCATGGCTGGAGAATTTGTACGTTCGCTTTCCAATATCCAAATCCTGCTGCCCAAGACAGATGAAACAGAAGAGAGGCCTCCCGATACCCTTCTTAGAGGGCTTGTCCTTTATTACAGATTGAATCGCGGATACCAGTCCGTCATTCGTCGGGGAAGAAGGCCGGGTCAATTGCGTCTCTCCTTTGACACCGTGATCTGGTCCGGTGGCGGCGGGCTCTGTAGAAGAACGCTTATCGCGCGGAAGACGGCAGGTATCACCTTCCTCGAAAAGAGCATAAGCAGCTACGGCATCAATTGCTTCCGTCCGTCTAGCTACTTCCTCTTCGAGTGTCGGGCGAGGTAGGGTGAGGAGACTCTTAATCAGTCGCTTCTAAGGTAGTGGTACCGCTTCTAAACACTTGAGAGGTTTTTCCTCCTTGGCCAGGTTGAATCCAGACAGCTGACGTCTGATTTCCAGCATCGGTTGCTCGCGGTCGTACTTTGCCTGAATCTAAGTGAGTAATGCGTTCCTTGCTCGCTGTCTGGCACCTGCAATCTCTTGGTTCAGCTTCTTATACATCGCGTATTGCTCTGTCCCATGGTGATTCGACAATGGGCGCCCCATTTGGCGACTAAGCTCGTCACGCCGGCGAATCAAGTCAGCGATTTCCGGATCTTGATTGACTCAGGACGACTGTGCGGTAGTTAATTCCTGAGGGCGATTCGGATTAATAGACCGGCTTATCCGGCATGCGGCACGCATGATGTCGTCTTCAGGGTTAAGACGGCGAATGATGGCAGGGAGGTTTTTATTAATCCTTCTGCTGAGATAATAGCGCAAAAAGGTGCGGGTGTCGGTATAATGCATGATAAGATTGCGCAGTGAATCACTAACAGATCCTAAGACACGTTAGTTGGTGTGCATCGAAGGCCAATATGCTGGAGTAACGTACCGCTGCTGTCTAATACTGTCCCGGCACCGTATCACAAGCTGTATGGACGCGTGACTTGCGGAAAGCCGGTAATCACCCTTATCTTCTTTACCCAAGGTTCAATCGTCGAATAAGGAAGCGGCTTATCGGGAGATATGGTGATACCTTGCAGAGTCTGTTCTAACATTCAGAATATGGGCACGTCATCCAGTGCCGGATTAATTCGCAGGGAGAGCTCGATGCATCCATCGCGAATCCGAAGCTGTGGGATCTGGCTTGCAGAAACAAGTACTTCCTCGCCTTTAACGCGGTCAAAAGCACGGTCAGCAAAATCCGCAAGTCACGCGTCCATACAGCTTGCGATACAGTGCCGGGACAGTATTAGACAAGGATCGAAGATGATCTCAGGGAGAATGTATGTGTTGCTGAAGGACAGGTTAGATGTAAAATAAACAGCCACTGCGAACTTACGCATCCTTTGCACCGAGCCATTCTTTAGTAAACTCAAAAGTAAACTCGATAATAATGCGATAAGGCCCGCCTTGAGGGTCACGTAGCAAGCTGACTTGAATATGGCGATACCGTAGGTTCAGAATGGCCTGAGGACGGTTGGTTGTTAGGCCGGCAAGCTGCAGGAAGAGTGCCAGTTCGATACAATGACGGCCATGACCAAACTTCTTTTTTGTTGTACTAACCGTGGTCTCTACAATCTTGGTTAAGTCCTCGACATCCATCGGAGGCTTGTCGCGCCCCTTCGTGGACAGTTTGTGTTTCTTGGCCAGCCGTCGAATCACCTAGACATCATAGTGTATCAGCTCCGGGCCAAGTATAAGATATCAAAGAATCGTCTGTATTATAGCTCTGTGCTTCTCGGAAGGGCTTGTTTGAACGTACACGGCGCATCTGTCGGTTTATTTGTTTTGTGACCTTGTTCGAAGTTTCTTTTTCATACACCAGGCGAAACACCTTCCAAAAGGTGTCAAGTGAACTCTTACACTTTGTACCTGGGAGCCGCCTTCCATCTTTTCCACGCCGTAGATTGAGGACCCAATCCAGGAAGGTATACATGATCGAAATCGACAGGCGTGCGAATTCCTCTCGGGGGTCTTTTCAAAGAAAGGCGCAGAATCTATGGCGACCAGAGTTAGGCAAACATGTATCAACGATGGAAATGGATACGCCATACTGTGACTATTTCTTTTCCACCCGATTGAGTAGGGCAGTGGTACTCTTTCCATAGTCCTCCTTGGTGTAGTCGGTCTCATCGAAGTTCGCAAGCTGCTGGATATAGTACTCTGGTGGATGCTTGTTATCCGCAAAAAGAAGTGCCGCATCACTGACGTCCTTGTCTTGGGAGCCCTTATCTTCAGGCTCCGTCAGGTCCGTGCCATATTGACTGTCTTCAGTGCTCTCTCGTTTAGAGGAGTCGCTGTCGTCGGATGACGGGCCGAAATTTCGACGGCAGCGAGCCATATGGTGAAGATGCAACGCAACCAGCAGCAAAAGGCTTTTTGACGTAAAATACTCTCACTTAAGGTCTCTGTAGTACTCGATGCCTCGCCGAGGATTTCGGATTTAAAGCGGGAGATGAGAGACGCAAATGAATGTAGGACATAAGGGTAATCGAGGGACCGGCCGTTGTTTATAAAGCACTTGGAGAGGAGGCCATTTTTAGAGCGTCTCAGAGACCGCAGCGAAGGGTATGGGATGTTAGCATTGGCTGGCCTCCAGAACAGTGTGCTTGTAGGTATACTGCGCTGCGGACAAATGAGGTTTAGGTGGGTCTACCCTCAGTGCTTGGCGGTGCGTGGACGTAAGTGCATGGGGGAGTGGCGGAAGGCGTGGCAGATGGACGGCCAAAAACGGCGTCGACTGCGGCCGTTTTGGGCAGCCCATCTGCCGTCTTCTAGTTTATACTAAGCAATTTTATAGTTATTTTACATATGAATGGTTAATCATTAGTTACATGTCTTATGGCTTTTGTATTTAAAGCGGAGCATATGGAGGGTTGCGAGATAACCGAATAAGCAAACATGCACTTAAGAAAAAGACTACAACTGGAATGGCTGACGACGGCCACAGACCCAAATGGCACTTATAGAATCCTACTGAGTAGTGTTTGGGTATGAATTTTCAAGAAATTCTGTACTTTTTCATGAAAGAAAAGCCGTTTCTACACTAGAATAATACTAGAAATGTTTAAATATCTACAGTAACTGTTATGCGTGGGGTCGGTAACGAACTGAATTTGGTGCGCTATGGTACTAACGGGAGTATATATATAGAAGGGAAGATAGGACCACGTATATTGTAGAGCTAATTGCTGACCGAGAGTTCAGGGCAGAAGACGGTCAGAAGATGCGAATAACTGAGGTTGCAGATGAGTCGGGGTCGATATTTGGGTTGCGCGAGTTGAAAGCGAGCTGTATACACTTAATTACCTGCCTAAATTTACTTACACAATTACCTGCCTAAATGTATAAACTTTGATAAAGTAAGCAAATTACACAGATAAATGTATTTTTTGTGGAACGATGCTGACTTTATGTGGCCTGAGGCAAATATTCTGTCAGTGTGAGTCGCGTTCTCTTTTGTGGCAGTTTGTAATTTTACCAAAAAATACTTTCGTCCACACTGCTCGACCAGTTCCACCGTAGGTGTCCCGCTCGCGTTCGCTACCCCTCGTTTACCGGTTTGTAGCAGCCGCCCGGCCACCCATTCAATAGAAGGAGCAATCGCTTCCAACATAAATACGACGTCACCTGACAGCACTATAAGTGTCAAGGTGCTACATCCAAGATCCCCACTCAGGCACGGAATATAGTTGTTCCAGAGCCGGGGGTCAACATGACTCCTGAAGGTGGACTAGCCGCACTAGTGTACAATATACAACCCATCACCTCAACAATAAGTAGCCTCTGCTGCTGCTTCGTGTTACCCAAATCTTTCATTCTTAATTACACTCAATTTCCTGGTTCTAAATTAATGTAGGACTATGTTATCTAACTCAGGATCCAGAACTTTAACAGCATCATGCCACTGCCGAAACATCCAGTTCACAGTTACTGTCCCTGCTGATACGATACCGCTCAAAACACACCTATGTCACTGTAATCTGTGCCGATACATCCACGGATCATTATGCAGTTTTCATGCGTCCCTACCAACTGGCGTGCAGCCTCAGTTCATTGCTCCATCAAACAAAGATAAACTGACCTTATATGCGCCCACCAGCTGCCCACGATATTTCTGTAGCACATGTGGCTGCCATATTGGGGACCTCGACCAGGATGGACGCTGGTTAATTTCGAGTGCAATATTCGACACTCAAGATCAAGGCTGTTTTAAAATCAACGCACAGATACACGCAGAGACTTCGCAAGATGGTGGACTATCGGCACTGCTCCCGAGAATCGGCAATTCACAAGCGGCTGTCCCAGAACCACCGACGCAACATTCGAATTCAGATTCATCGGCCAAAAAAAGAGAAAGCGATGACTTACTTGCGCAATGCCATTGCGGAGGCGTATCTTTCACCATATCCCGACCGAAAGAGCGATTCCTAGAAACCCCAACAAATCGACTATGGACATCCCCATCAGATTCAACAAAATGGCTAGCATGCCTAGACGTATGTGACGATTGTCGACTAGTCACCGGGACAAACGTCATAGGGTGGATATTTATTCCGACAGATCATATCTCACCGTCTCCAGTTGAGGACTTGCTTATTGGCACTTCCAAGAGCTACCACTCAAGCAAAGACGTGACGAGAACGTTCTGCGGAACATGCGGTGCGACTGTCTTTTATTCCTGCGTTAGTCGGCCGAGTATAGTTGATGTCGCAGTAGGGATTCTACGTGATCCGAAGGGTGTGATGGTTGAAGATTGGGCAGTTTGGCGAACGGGGAGAATAGCGCATCTGGAGAATGGGAGGAGGTATGATGCTGGATTTGCAGAGGCACTAAAGGAGGGTTTTGAGGAGTGGGGGGTTAAGAAGTATGGTAGAATAGTGGATTTTGATATCCCTGGTTGATGATTGAGGCGAGCCTGTCAACCAAGACAGTGGATTCCAGCGGGGTAAGCCTTGTATATACCTTTCGAACGCTGCTGTAGGGATATCAAGATAATGATAATAACTATGGAAACGGCCTTTGCACTCGCATCGACTTAGTTTAACGGCTCACTTTACCCCACCCGCCAAAGAAAAGTTAATATAAGCCATTTCAAGGCAAATGTGAGCGTATTGCAAGGTGATATGAGATTGACAAAAAAAGACGCAGTGAGGCGGAAAATGTCTTACCTGGTAATGACAGCAGCTTGATTAATTTGATTTTAGAGTAGGGCCTATGATGGCGCTCGTCTCTCCAATAACTACATCCACCCAATTTCATATCTCAAAGTCTGTATACTCTTTGCTTTAGTTACAACGCCTCCTTCCTCCCAAAGTTAATTTACTATCAACTATCATCGCCACTGAAAATAAGGCCTCTCATAGCTCTCCAGATTAGCATTGTCAAGGCTCCAAAAATGTGGGTTAAATGTCCACTGAATAGGGAACTGGAAACTGAATGTTTGCTCATATAAGTCAAAGACACTTCAAAGACAGCAATTTAGTGTAATCGACCTAGTGTGAGCTTGCATTTCCAGTGTTGAAAGGGTAACCCGGTATCCAATATACTATCGCCAGGCTATAGTAGTAAGTAGTAGTTGCGTCTACTATTTCAATTTTGGCTACCGCATCAAAGATACGGATCTGACCTGTTGAGATAAGGAACTGTAACCAGCTGAGCCTAAGTCTCACTAAGTGATAATGTGGTTCTGAATTGTCGACTATGTTCTTTAGCAATCTGGCGCACAACCTTCCCCTGTGCGAAGCTGGCTGGACCACTTCAGGGCTGCTCTGTCAGAAATTTCTACAATAAGCTCCTCACACTCCGTACAAACATCCCAAGGCCCTCCATGATGCATGTATACACCGTATCTAGTACCTGTAAAACTTAAGAAAACCATCCCAGTCATGGCAATGCTCTAGATAGTGGGTGCTGCAGAGCCTTGCGCAGCATAGTATCCACACAGACATGAAATGGACCCTCAAAGCCTAACCCACATACAGCGGATCTCGTGGTTCTTAGCTGCCACATCATTTCCTCCAATCCAGAAGATCATGTATGGTCATCGTCACCGAAGGGCCCACTAAGCCTGCCGCTAATGACGTCTGCAGCTAGTTATGCCCTCTTAGCAGCGAGGATTCTCCACTAGTAGCTCTCATTGCTGCTTCTACCGTCATCGCGTCTCCTGTTCTACTTGCCTGTAGCGTAGTACCGTCCACTAATACTCCTATGGCATGTCCACCTAACTAATATGCAGCCCCCACGGCAAGTGCTATTAGATGAATGCGAACATCACGCACGGATCCACTGAATTGTACGCATAGTCATCCTACGCTGACAATACTATAGAGCATGCTACAGTACTTCCTTCATAGCAACCTGCGGCAAGAGGACTTGACGTGTGATAAAACATAACCCCAAGGGTTTATAGCTGGCCATACCGAATAAAATTGGCCTTTTTGTCCACATATGGGACTGCTAGAATGCTTCTTGATACTGGCCATTGACTATTTTCTTGCCACCGGTGCGTGCAGCTGTATTTATCCCTGGTCTAAATCCCTTCATACATTCATTATATACAGCGGAACAGGACCGATATGCATTTGCACGTTGCATAGAGTCCTGTGAGAGTTCAATTACAGCGCGACAGTAGTCTACCATGTCTGTCCAGGTTTGACTATCTGGGCTTGAGGATTCTCCCAGAAGGCTCAATAGCCCAATACACATTGTCTGTTTGTAAGCGTCTGACTTCCCATTAGGTTTCGGTGTATTATCTCCTGTATATCCTGCTTCCAACTTTGCAATCTCGGAACGCAGATCATCCTCTAGGTTTTGACTGACGTTATCGGTATTCAGGTGGGAAGAACCTTCTCGGGTGCTCGTCTCCCCTTCTCCTGAGGACTCTGAGGGACCGTGGCGAGCACTATTAATAGACAAGTTCTCATTGCATTCCATTCTGTACCGGATTGGGAGAAATATACTATATTTGACGCTTCTATTGTCCAAGGAAAGTAACGGTGCTCAGTGTATTAACCAGGACAAATGTTTAGAGACATAAGCATATTTATATGTATCTCACTCACTTGTTACGTGAAAGATTGCGAACTATAATACTGTGCCGCATTCATACTGGATGACAGACTTGAAAGGGTATTTATTCCTTTCCTTTCACCCAACTGCTACCATGAAACTCCGGGATTCGAACTTTATCTTTACCTCCATGCTTCCGAACCAAGCCTCCAGCATGGCCATCGTGAAGATCCGAAGAAGAGGGAAGCGGACAACGTCAAAACAAAGTCTGAAACAGCTGCCACCCCCCGACCCACCCCCCCGGCTCCAGTATATCAGTAAATGGAGATTTGCAGTGCTTAAGATGAAACAACCAATCTCTTGTGATTATGGGAGGCCACATATTCTACTATACGACTCTCGGTAAATTGTTAATATCATTGTCTTAGAGGCAGAGTAATAATAACAATACAACAGAAACGGAGGACCAAAAACCGCAGGTGCTGCAAACTTGTTTATAATCTCCCAAACATGGCTTTTTTTGCCTCGACCCTGGTCTGACAGAATTTAGTTCCATGGTGCACAGTTAACAAAAGACGTCTGTAACATTGCTTACAAATTGTAGTAAACGACTAGTTGAATGTTGTGAGCATCAAAGTTGACTCGGAATAATGCCTATCTCCCGACACGAGCATAACGTTATGACCTAGTCGAACCTAACTATAACAAGTCATCGAGGTCTAACACCAGGCTAGGCATAATATTTCACAAAGAGCATAGTATGGAATTCCATCCACCTGCCTTTATTAGTTACTTAATTTGTAATAGACAACATTCCCGTTTCGGAGACATAACGAGAGCGCGATATTTTCGCCGCAACAATAAATAAATTATAAATTACTGCCTTCCTCACCTCTTTCCCTTTAATCAGAGTTCCAAGCCTGGACAAAGTTCTAAGCAGGGACAAATTCCTGTTTTCCTTTAAACATATCTGATAAATAAACTTCATGTTAAGCTATGCCCCGATTTACCAGCTCTGTCGACGGCGCCCAGCTGTTCTATCGAGACTACAAGCCTCTAGACACAGATGAGTCTAAGGATCAATGCAAAACCAGCGCCCAGCCAGCTCTTGTTTTCATTCACGGATGGCCATACTCATCCCTGATGTATGAAAATATTGCAGTTCCTTTATGTCAGTGCCACAACTTCCGATGCATTGCGCCTGATCGACGCGGATTCGGAAAAAGCGACTGGGATAGCCCTCAGAGCAATGGCAAAATCTCCTATACCGTCTTCGCCCAAGACACGGCTCATTTACTTGAAAACGTCCTCAACGTCGGACCCTTTGTGGTGATTGCATCCAGTATGGGCCCCGGAGAAAGCATATTAGCCTTTGAAGAGAGTGAATATTTCCGACAGAATTGCAAGGTGTGCCTATAACTATTACTGAACACTAGTGAATCGCCCTCTAAATTTATCCAGGGCTTTATATGGATTTCTCCGTCTCTCCCTGGCACGCTTCCCGGTCTGGACAACCATTCCACGGGACCCCAGGCAGTCTGGGACTCAATCCTAGAAAGTCTCGCAACACATCGAGCTGAATATGTCTCTTCCGCCTTGCCGGGTACTCTGGGCGGGAAAACAGCTCTTCCCCTATCTCCTGGGATATTAGGGCAATATGAGCGGATTGTCGAGGATGCTGATGCTCTAGCCATTCAACTCTGTGCTCATATTATAAGATCTGTTGACTTCACAGGAAAGCTGCGGCGACTGGGAGAGAACACTGCAGTTCCTGTTCTCTGTATTCATGGGGATTCCGACAATGGTACGCCATATGAGAGTAGTACGAGGGTGGTGCAGGATATCGTGCCTAGAGTTAAAGTGAGGTTATATGAACAGGGTGCCCATGGTATGCTTCTACTTTTCTTACGAATATCCCAAGACAGCTGGAAGGAATTAACCTGCTATCCTGTCCTGCTTCTCGGCTGCATACTGGTACTAACTGTGGCTCTAGGACTTCAAATCACTCATAGAGAGCGGTTAATTGAAGATATTTTGGGTTTTATTCGAAATGAAGTTATCTCTCCATTGTGAAATAGTCATTCGTTATCTCATCTGTGGCTTCAGCTATTCTCTGAAATATTCAATGCAAAAGAAATAATTTCGAAGGAATAATGTCAGAACAAAGCTAGTCCATATTCGAACATCATGTGAAATACAATCCCGAAAAATAGGGGCCAGCACAACATAATCACACAACACAGTGGTTATTGAAGCTCTAATTGAATAACACACATAATTCTGGCAAATAGCAGGAACACGAGAAGATCAATCCATCGGTAATAGCTTTGGTTACTATCTCACACCGTATATATATTCCGATCGACACAAATGCAGCACAGCTGAAGCACATCTCAACGCTAACTATCAAGATACTTCGTAAGGCACAAAAGAACACGAGAATCAGGACTAAATAAGGCACCTGAAGCATGAATACGATGATCACCTTACCTTTAACTAATAGAGATGTTGATGAGGCTCGTATTTAGATTGGTGTATGCTGCCGATACGAAGCACTAGATGATTATTTTTGTTCCACTTTCTGGTTTTTGTAATGAGCTTGATTGCTTCTAAAATTAAACACAACGATTTAATCTGATTCAACATAATATATATAGCTATCACACTTTTCAGGGAGATGTCAAGTATAATCGAACAACTTTCATTCCTTTAGCTCTTGGTCGTGATTGAATTCGCTCCTTACTGTGTTATATTTTGTATTTGTTTAGACAATCCTTTATTTCTTCTAGTATTAGACCCCTCCCTCTGATTTCTCTCTCTCTTTTGTCTTCTGCTTATTTCACTTACCAAAATGACTACCGAAACTTCACAAAACACCTGGTCCCATTCCTTCTGGGAGTTCTTTACCCCCATCGACACATGTACGTGAAACTCCATCCTACACCTTTAACAAAGCTATGAGTTTTAATTGAATTCTTGAAACAGGTCTGATGGGCTGGTTCTGCCCATGCATACTATTCGGAAAGACACAGGCGCGACTGGAAGACCCTACCTTGAAAGACTACAGTCCCATCAATGACAACGTGAGTCAATACCCTTGCAATATGAATAGCATGGAAGTGAAGTGCTACGTCGCAAACCACGCTATAATAGCTATATTGCTTTCCATCACATTCAAAATATGTGCTATTTATAATACCTACTAACTGGATATTCAACTCAGTGCCTGATCTGGTGTGGCCTCAGCTGCTGCCACGCGAGTTTTCTTATTCAGACGAAGAAACGCGACGATCTGCGCAAGAAGTACGGAATTACCGAGACACGCCTGGAAGAGACGCTGAATATGCAGCCTGGAGATATCCAGAAAAAACATAAAGTTGAGGGCTCACTGGTAGAGGATTGCCTAGGTGCATTCTTCTGTCGCTGCTGTGGGCTTGTTCAGGAGGAGAAGGAGGTGATCTTGAGACAGAGTCAGGTTACAACGGGATACCAGAAGACTCAAGGGATGGAATATGCTTAATTGTTGATTTGATACCCCATGGGCTATGACTGGATCGTTCAAGACTATTCGTGAAGCATATTTATTTTATTTTATCTCTCCTGCTAGAACAAAAAGTGAGGGGTTTCCTCGTCTTGGCTGTGTAGTCTATTGTTAACAATGAATAGAGCCTTCTCAAGTTACGCTCGCGTGGCAGATTTGCCTACCTAGAATATTTGAGACAATATACATTGTGATGGCTAGCAGTTTCCAGCGCCCTTATTATGGTGGTAGCTACAACCTATTATAACGCATTGCATTTATCCCTTTAGGGATCGCGTGGTTGGGAAGAATGATTCGACTTATTCTATTCTACTGCTAGACATTATATTGCCTTGGCTCTTGGTGATCTGGCCCTTCAGATATTAGGAAACGAGATCCTAGCGAAGGTCTTCCGCACTAAGACTTCATGCTTCGGGGAAATGAAGCTGTTCATAGAAATTTAGTCCTTATAACATAACCACCATAAGTTTAATATAGTCAAAGCTCTGCAATCCGAACAAACAGATATAATAACCAGACAGGATAGTAATAAAGCTCAGCATGGCATGCAAGAGCCCGCATAAGTCTTATATTTTGAAGTCTACAACCTGCACAAATAATCCCTTTGCACTTAGTCCCACTGTCAATTTCTTCTAAATCTCCGGCCTGCAGTTCTTTCAACTTCCGAAATCTAACGTGCCAAATAAATTTCCAATATTCTCTATTGCAGATCGTAATTTATTATTATTTTTACAGTGCTAAACAGCAAACTAGTAGGGAGCGGAATTAATTGTATAGGTTACAGAAGGGCGTGGACTAACTATGGTCATAGGTAACCCCATTGATATGTCAGGATGGACCATCGTTTTTGATGTCAACATCGAGAAATTTAATGTGGAAGAGGGATTCGAGGAGGAATAGGAAGTAAATAGTGTGATTCAAAAGCCTGGGGATTTCTCGATCAGTTCCCTGTACTTTTAATCATGAGTGACTGCCAGTCCTATCGATAGACCTAGTAGCTAATGTCTACCAGAGGCTCGATTACCCAATTCAAGTAGGCCTTGCACTTAAATCTGGACCCATATTGTTACAACACCTGACAAGTGTCGAACATTCTGACTTCAATGGATACGACTGGACTAAAACCAGCAATTTTATCTCGGCACTATCATGGCAAAATGGTATACTGAAGCCGACAGCGTGATGAGCGATCACAGGAAATGTACCATCGCCTACGGTCTAGAAACCGCAAAGCCTGAGACGAAGTACGACCAACATTCCCACCTACGGCGTTGGAGTTCCAGACCTACAGGTACATTGGTCTCAGACAGAACGCTCCAGAGGAGGGTCTTGAAAAATGTTGACAAAAATATGTTGCTGTATCTGCAGATAACCGACCATCAGGCTTTGTCCAAGAAGGCAATCCTGAACTACTCCAGTAACTTCGTTAGCAGCGGCATGGACCGCACCATTTGCATCTGACGGGATATCTTCAGGGACAGTTATCTCCTCCGACAAGCGGCACCGCTGCTAAATACCTTTAATTCGTATACGTATGTCTGGGTGGCCAAAGCCGATGTGAACCACCCCATCGCAACTACTTGGTCCCTGAGGATGATTCAGATTATAGCGCTCCAGGTTTGTATAACGAGAAGGCCAGCGCTGCGACCCTCTGGAATGGATATGGGTGCCTTCCCAGGGGAACAATCTTACCACGAGATAGGCAAATCCTAAGGAGAGTCTTGTCGTACTAATATCATGTAAGAACATGCTGAGCTGCATCGCACGTCACTGACTGAACCGTACATCTATGTGTAACAACGAACACGCTGAAAGCTCAACGAGGAAACGAACGAGATTGACGCCAGTGAAAAAACTGACGTTCTTGTCCTGTTAAAATCCAACTGCTACACAGCCAATAAATTAGAGTTACAGTTACACGTAAGTACTCTTATCACCGGATATCTATTCGGCAGGGAGGATATTCTGTCTTATATCAATAGCATGCACATGTGGATGACCTGGAGTACGAAAATCGCGCTCGACTCAATAGAGGAATGTGGTCTAAAAATCTCTCTGAATCTGCCTGACAACCTCTCTAGGTTTTCAAAGCGGATTCGGAACACCGCAGGCTTGAATCAAATAGATAGCGTGAAAAGGATGTGTGAAGGTGTTAAAGATAGTTAGGTGACCAAGATGACGAGCATTCCTTTTGAACAGTGCAGCAGAATCTAGAGAAGGGTCTGACCAACGCAACTCAATTCGTCGTTCAACCACCGTAATGCGCTCTTTAAAACAGTGCGGATCTTACGATCTAGGTAGGTTATAGAATGTAGATGATATGGTGGATATATTAGGTTTTGATGTTCTTTTGTTGTCTTGAGCTTTGATATGACAATCTCTATACTGCATTAGACTGATAAGGAATTGTAAGCACATTAAATCGTATCATCCTGCTCCCGCTTCATCGTAGAGTACATAATTCAGCTGAGCCAAACAGCATATAACGTCTTAGAGGCATCACCTCCCCCTAACCATCTCATACCGAGAACTTAGCATGTACGAACCATTCTTTCCCATCCCCGCCCCATTATATCCCCCCTGATCTCCTGTATTAGACCTCATATGCCAAACCGCATCCCCCCACTGTCCCTTCCACACCCACCCAGGGTGCAACACCGTCAACGCAATAACCGCAATAGCAATCATCGCCCCCTCCAACACCATAAACGTAACTTCATCATTCGCCAAATCCCCACCAAGCCCCGCGGACAACTCCGCACACCGAAACACAGATCTGACAATAATCGTAAATGTCGCGACCGCCAACCCCACCAGGAACCACCGAAACGAGGCCGTTGCCCTCAGCCCCTCAAAGTAGACATTGAACTCATACTCCGGGGCGCGTCGCACCCGGACCGCGAAATCCGCACACAGCACCGTGAACAGAAACAGGCTGAAGACTTGCCATGATACGCCCGTGACCATGATATTAGTGCCGAGTTTGGCCACGTCCTTGGTATCTGCGATGCAGGCGATCGCGCCACCGACGGCCTGGAGAACTAGAGCGACAAAATCACATGTGATGAAGAGAATGGTGTAGGTGCGGGCGCGCAGGAAGGAGATTTTCTCGCCGTAGGCGATCACGAGGCGTGAGAGACAGAGGTAGATTGCTGCAGAGAGGAAGGCGGGGCCGAGAGTTAGGCAGACGAGGTACCTAATATGATCTTGTCAGAATGTTGCACTGTGTTGGAAAGACAGGAAATGGGGGTTAGGTTTATTGTACATTAGAAAAGGGTCGGCCTTGAAGGGGTTATAGTGCATTTGAATACGGGCTATATATCCTATGATTTCGAGAATCAGACCACCCAGCATAGCAATCATGTAGCTCCATGTTTTGGCTTTGGTGCCGAAGGATAACTGGATAATAAGGGCGAGGGCAAACAGTACAACGAAGAAAACATTTCCGCCGAAATTAGGCACGTAGCGCACGGTGGCCAGTTCTATTGGGCATGTGTCGAGGGTGCAGAGATGGGGGTTCGCCAGGAGAGTTGCGTTGGGCGTTGGGGTGCCCATAATTGCGGTGGAATTTCCCTGTCGGGCAGTTTGATCAGGAAATGGAAGAATCAGAGAATTTGATGGATTTTTATCAGTTTTCTATTCCTTTCTTGTTCTTAGGCTTGTTGGGGCTCGAAAGAGCCGATTTCGCAAGGATTGTTCACTACGAAGGATCCAGGAAGAGGGCAGAAAAACTGAGCATCCTCAGACACTTAGATTATCTACGGACATGAATTAGCCCAAACCAAGCCTCATTGTGATCATTCAAACATGAGACGCAACCCCTGAGCCATACTTTGGAGCCAGGAGGATTAAAATTAGGGCTGGTACTGCGGGCTGTAATTATTGGCTGTTCCCAGCCTAGGCTGTTTCGGGGACAACAGAGGCCCAATCTGGCAATGATCGCCAACTTTATTTTGCACCACGTTGACCCAAATGTAGGCATCCTTGTGACTTCAGCCTGGTTGACTTTCAGGTCCTATGCTCCTCTCTGGGGCTCAATCTCTCTACATTATTCATGATAAGTTAATTGTCACATTGTGATGGCCGCATGCAGTTTTAGACATAGACTATCGGGATGCATAAGCTACTATGCAGAACAAACAGGAAGTCGTGCTCAGGTTTCACGTGTTTCACGTGTTTCCGGTTTGTTTCCAAGGATTTTCAAAGCATTTATCAAAGTTGGGGTGGTTACATAATTTTCTGTCGTGGTATTTAACCACTATAAATACTATTCGCTTCCCCCCATAAGTTTCTTTGATAAATATCAGCCATCCGATCATTCGTCGGATCATATCATATCTATCCCGGTATATGGGACTATGTAGTGTTTTTTTGAGACGTGTGTCTCTGTATTTGTGGAAGTACTATCATTTACTATCATTACAGTGCTACGAGAATGTTCAGTTAAAGACTCAGATAATACAGTCCGTCATAGCCCTTGGTTTACTTGATCTTTTGATTTCTTTTCCTATTTCCTGATAGATTTGTCGCTCTCAATTGTGTTCGGAATTAGGTTATTCAGCCTCAAGAGCTACCGATTGTGCTAACAAGGTCCTTACTAGTAAGAATCCAGCAAGTTCGACTGCATATAATAGCCTAAATGACACTATATGCTGAAATCGAACTGCCTCATCTAGATGCTAGGAGAATTGTTAATATTAGGCACGATTAAAATAATTATAAAGCTGCTTTGATCTGTTTTTAGGGTTCAACTATCTGATATTGTATATCGCCCTAATAGAATGAGCCCCCCAACCACCCAGTGACATACAGCCCGCAAGTATTATTTCCCGGTGATCCTCCCCATTCTTATAATCTCTAGAATGGGCTTGAGCTGTTATTTTCATGGAAATTAGTGAACTCTGGATTCCCGTTACATGCAGCTGACTCTATAATATAAATGCTTTAATGTATCTATGCTTAATTTACTAGAATTTCAAACTATATCGCCAAAACTGAGTCTAGCTATATCTGCCAAACATTAAATATCAATTGACATAATAAATCTACAGTGCCACACACGCAACCGATAATACCTATATAGATTATATATTATATACTTAATAGCAAGGTTAATGTTAACCTATGGACATTAACCCAACAATTTACCCGTCTCAACGCTCATGTCTCCCCTTATCACTCGGCCACGAGACACAGGTATAACACTAAGCAACTCCTTTGCATGCATATCCTTGACATTGTTCATACTTATGGCTGTCGAAATAATTACAGATGCCTCGGATGGAAAGGCATAAGGCGTACACCCATGCTCCACGTGAAACATAGAACGTCAAGCTCCTACCGCAAGCCTGGTGATACCACTCTTGATAACTTGATTACCCGATGTGATAAGACCATGGTGAACAATTGGGTCATTGGAACGTGGTGATCGGTGGATCACTTTCTTCTTGTCACAGTTCGTACATGAGGAGCTGTGACTGGAGTGGTCATAGTCGGCTTGCTAAAGTACGTTCGAGGCCAGGCATGAGATTTCCTCCATCATCCCGGGATAACGGGCAGTTATTTCGTCCAAGCAAGCCAAAATTTTGTAGCCATACGTATCATGCTCCGCCTGTATCTTAGCCACCCCGGCTAAGAGTTCTACCATTGGAAAGTTCACAAATTGGCTCTGGAATTTCTTCGTGGCTATGATCTCCCACACTTTGATTCAAGATCTGGCCTGAAAAGGCTACCTCGTCTTCATGTGTTTCAACCAGGTCTTCGTGCGGTAAGTCCAGCCGACTGTAATTTACTTTACCTCCCCAGATGGAAAATGTCATACTAATCATGACGGACTCGATTAGATTACCTACTTCTTCTATCCTGAACGGCCAGCCTGAGGGAGCTTTGTTGAGTGTATGGCCTAAATTAGTTCCATCTCGGCGGGCTTTTCCAAGGTCATACTTGATCATACCTCGATGTTTTGAAGTGGGGGTTCCAGCAACATCTCCCAGTCGTACGTCTTGCTCACCTGGGGAGCCACCACCAATTCCCACCATCAAGAGAAACCTCAGGTCTTGAACGTTTCCAACATTGCAGTCGTGTGCAATGTTGAAAACCTTGAGGGGCTAATCAGCCGGCGAACACTCCAAGACAATATTATGAGACCCTATGCGCGTGTCGAGCTTTTCTCACTTGTGGTCAATGATTTTGACCTTATGGTCTCTTGTCTCTGATCTGAGACACGCAAGGGCAATCTCCTTTGGCCTTTCAGCTAGACCTGGGAGTATCGCCAGCTTTCGGAGTCGAAATGATCTTTTATTTTGGATGTAATTAGCAATCCATTTCGAGGAGAACAATTCTGGCTCCTTTGTTCCACCAAAAATTGCATCCATGGTCTCTTGGCCGTGTATATATGTGAAATGGTGAACTGCTTCACTGACTGTTTCATTTCTCCATAGTCCAAGCACGAGGCTCCAAATCCACTCTTCAGTTGGAAGCTTCGACCCACATGTGGTGCATATTTTGCAAAAGTTGGTTTGAGACCATGTATCTCTTTCTCCAGCTCCATCTTTTTTATACTCAGCCCCATTTTACTTGTCGTGAATAGTTTTATAAAACTAGCACAGACTCGTATACCACTGTACTACTTCGGTCCAGCTCTCTCGCTCATATACTACAAATATCTTTGGGCACCTCGGGTGCCCTGATTCTCTCGCAAAGGGCTTTCGGTTGGGTTGTCTGCTCCTATTGTGCCTTTGTTCCTGGGAAATCCCCTGAGATCTTCATCTTGAGATCTGTATGCTTTAGAATATCTTCGCCTTCGCCGTCTTGTCCAAAATTTGTGATTAAACTAGCCTTGTGCCTTTAGGGGTTTCTTTGCCACGTGTAAACTGTCATAGGGCTTTTAGCCTAGCCACGAGGAGTTCATGGTTTCTCTGTTAGGCTTCAATGGCAATGTAAAGCGTTCCATTGTGGATAGGTTCTAGATGGCATAATAAGACATTTGATTAGAAGTGTACCAATCTTCTTGTAAATATTGGTGGCGGGGCTCCAGTAAAATCTGAAGGTACCGGTACATATATTTTTCACTGGGAAGGAGCTACTTGTGTGATTCATGCTCCATTGTTCACAATGCTTGCTATGCATCAATGGAATATCTCTCTATCTGTTATAGCATACCAATATGAGAGTAACACTGTTAAGACAAAACACAAGCCTCGATATCGATGATATAATTGATCAGAAAAGTGCCATTTAGCTTTAGAGGAAACTAGCAAACAGCACGGGCTTTAGCACAGCATCTTTGAAAGTGTTTCTCTCTAATCAATCAAGAAATAAGAAAAAGAGTAAGGAAACATATCAGGAAACAAAGATGAAGTAAGAGAAAGAGAAGGAAAGGTGTAAAAACTATGCTGGTAAACAATCACTGGTCAATCAATTTCACTTCACTACGTACCACAGCAAAAACAAACAGCTTCCCAAATTACAGTGGAAAACTCCTCTACCTGCAGTAGTTTGCTAAGATTTACATACATTCTATCATTATTACTGTTTATTTCTATATTGGATATCCAGAAACTTTATATTCCCTTTGTCCCCACCTATAGAAACCTGTCCATCTAAAATTCTTTTTAGAAATGGGACACTTTACACCATAGACAATTCCAAGTAATACAACAAGATGAGTAGTGCTCAATGAACATCTCGAAGTTGTCTCATTCCTTATTCAAGTTGACGTATATGATGGTGTAAGAGGTAGATGCAAACCATGTGACATGTTGGCGGGGTAATTAAATGTGTGGTCATAGAATGTCATCAATATCCACCCCATAACCATTTCTACTCGATCCCACATACGGCATCACGTGTAGTTCAAATAATTCAGCCATTTGTCTCAAGTCTGATTTTCAGAAAACGATGAAAGACCTTCTCACGAATGGCAATTATTCGGATATGAAGATAACCTGTCAATAGGTCACAGTTTAAGTCCACCGCGCCATTGTATGTACGCAGTTGGACTTTTTTAAAAGTGCTATAAGCGGCAGTTTTGTGGTAAGTTAGAGTACTTGCGTGTTGAAATCGGTGGCTTATAGTTTAAAGGAATCGTTGGAGCAGACTGTCGACCTACTTGATGATGATCCACACATTACTGAACAGGTTCTTTCCTATCTATATATACGAGACTACGAAGAGACTAGGCATAATACTTACCTGGATGGCGAAGAAATAGAGCAACACTATACGACTTCTACCGATGGCCCAAATATAAAGAACTCCAAAGACACCCCAGCAAATGTGAATCCAACAGAATGAGAGTCAAGGCTACAACAATGTTGGAGTCTATATCGCTGCAGACAAATTTGGTATAGAAAACTCTCGCTTACTATCAGCTTGCTCAGTGGGGTAGTGCTCATTGATAGGCCGCAACATTTCCTGATGGCATTCACATCCGTCCCTCCACATGATGTGTCTTCGAAATATTTTTGGTGGTATAATATCACGAAATCTTTTTATTCTTGTGGAACAGGGGCCAATTCACCAGCTTATTGTGGAATTTGGTAGCCTTGGCTCTGCAATTATTGAGATGTTGGCGAATACTAGTATGGTCAAGCGGATAGCGGGCGAGGAGACAAGCGTTCTTAAAAGTACTGCGCGCACTTTAAATACGCTCCCTCATTGTAGGAATTGCTCAAGATGAGGATGGAAAACGGAGAGTATCAATATGACACTATCCGCTGTGCTGTTTGCAGGACTAAACATTAATATATTAAAATATACGTGTCTGACTACATTTCGAGCTTATTATAGCCTACAAGAAACGAGGAATAATTCAATAAACACTTATAAATCAGAACAGCTATATAAATTTCCACCTCGGATACCACATTAAAAAGCATGCAAGGAGAGACTAGGTTGCCGCATTGTGGGCAAAAGGATTGACTGTGAGGACACTTCATGTACTTTCACTCTTCGGATGGGCCGCCTATTTCTTCTCTCATAACCCAAGAATTCTGTTCAAGGCCGCCTGGCGGACAGAGATTTCACTACCAACGTTCCCCTATGCTACTCCCTAGTCGTCATAATTATCAACGATGTCTCCATAATCGGTGCTAGCCTCTCCAGTCTAACCCTCGCCTTACCTCTCCATCAACAATCGATTCCCTGTACAGTCTACGAGGTCCAATCCACACCTGAAAACATCCGCAGTGGAGTTATCTTATCCCCTAAAACGCTCCGAGTCCTGAATAAGCTAGACATCTACAGGCACATCCAAGACTAGGGTCACAAAAGCAAAGTATTCCGGTTCCGAACTCGGGATAACCAGCTAGTGGACTCGTATGACATCGGCCATGAGGGAAAATACGGCTACAAGGGGTCTGTGGATCTGTCGATCCACAATCATCAGCAAGTTTCTGGCTGCGTTTTGGGAACGAAACGTCACGGTTGGCTACGGGAAGAAGTCCGTGTGAGCTCTCTCCGAGTCAGAAATGCAGGCCACATGGGATTTCTCCGGCGGAAGTGTCGGTCGAGCTGGATCTCTGGATGGTGCTGATGGGATTCATTCCCGTATGCGCGAATACCCCTATCCAGAATCGAAGCCGGAGTTTATAGGAACTGTCTCAGTTGCTGCTACTATACCGAATAGCCAGGTGAATGTCCCGAAGGGATATCACCTCCCTGTGACGATTATGAGCAAGACGCACGGTAGATTGTCCTGAAGACTCTTTTCTATGTGGTCTCTCTTTTCCACATACCAACGCTGGTGATATTTTAGTGCCTTATACTAATTTCGAATGTTTTCCGCAAAGTAACTAGGGTTAATAATTGTAGCTTAAAAAGTTAATACTCCATATTGCTGGAGGATGTTTGGCACTAAGACATTCTTAGGCTAATAAACACCTAATATTGAGGTGGATGCAAAATGTGACTTTATTTATGTAAGTTGCCAAGCAGGTAACAAATCTTTTGTTTCACAAACCAGATAATAATAAGAGTTCCCTGACCCTACCTTCACCTCGTACTTCATAGGGATTTGGTGGGCATTAGAATCCCCAAAGATCGTTCCTTTTTAGCCATGACTTAGTAAACCAGGCTTGTGCATGTCATTGGAGCCTTGGCTTTCACTGCACAAAATCGCGCATTAAACACGGTACTGAGCAGCAGTTCTGGGTGTTCCCAACAATTCATATACCAAGCTTGCGCTAAGGTATCTTATTATTCATCAAAATTCAACATGCCTGTTCCTGCTCAGCAGAATGTCTTCTCTGCTAAGGTCCGGTGTATACGGCGTTGTTCTAGTTTACGCCACAGAAACTTAGTCCAGGACTCAGAAGGGAAAAAACAGCAAAAATGCACCTTCCGGGATGGTTTTCTCCACGTTAACCTCGTGAAACTGGTTTAGCTTTAGGTAAGTAATAAATGCCTCACCACAGTGGCTTGTAGACGCAGTGTAACGTAGGCTATGCTGTTGGTCAAGTTGGCTACACCATAGTTTCTCTCCGGGTTCTAGAAAGCTGAAGAAAAACTTTTTTTTAATCCTTTACATATGGGATATACTCATAGGGTAGAAAGTCTAGATCCAGCACCTAAGTGCGTATTACAATCTATAGTGGCATTGACGGTTCCATCAGTGGACTTTCCTTGGACAAAACTATCATGCATCCTCTCCCCTCTCTGCTGCGGAATATTTGGAATTGCATATCATACTGAAACCTTCACTTTTAGTGGATGCCATATTTAAACTAAACTTTTTGCCGTTCTCCATTCAGCAAACCTGGAGTACTCCAGACTAATGCCCCAATCTGTGGAGAGCAATACAGTAAAGGCGGCGTTGGACTGGATAGTGGACCATGCATGGCCCCTGGCTCGTTCAGAGACCCCGAAAAGGGAATCAGTCGGGTTTCCTTGAATTGTTCCTAAAGGACGATCCCATTCTAGTCTCGGGGCTTTCCCGTGGATTGATCAATTAGTAGCTCCGACAGAGCGAATCTAGCCTATAGGGGAAGATCAAGCTTACTTTTAGGTAATGCCAAGTTCGTCACACGGGCGATCGTCTGTAGGGAAGAATTCAGGCTTCGAAGGAATCTTTGACAGTCTACTTTTAGCTAGGGCTTTGGTACTAGTCAAATCTGTCTTATTTTAGTTCCCTGATAAAGCTGGTGTCTTGGGGTATTAGACTACGTTTATTCCCGATTTTCGGAGCGCATTGTGACGGGATGGAATTTCTATATAATGTCGTTGTTTAATAGCATATAGAAGTTCTTAGAATCAGAGGTGAAACTCGTCGTACAATCACCACATGGAGAATTGGAAGATTTATAGTTACGGAGTACTCCGTAGACCTTGGGGTAATGGGGATTTACTCCACTGCAGAACAGCCTCATGTTTTACTCTTTGCCCATCTCCCCAGAGTTCCTATGCAGGATGATGCCACTAATGCGTCAAAATGGAAAGTGTTACGAATCAATATCCTAACGCTTACCCTTTTTGTGCACGGGCAGGTAACGAAGTGGGGGGTAAGATGAGGCATCTAGGGACGGAGAATATCTACCAAAGGGCACATAATTCTCCGTTGATGTACATCTTCAAATTACAATATCAGATGACCCCATTCTCCTGTTTCCCATACCTCTTATTCCTGATCAGAACTCCTAGGCCAAATCCATCGAAATGCCAATAATAATGCCAGGACTAGTTTTCATCTCCGTGGGTAATACCTCCAATTTCGTGGCACCGATTAGAATACCTTTATTCGGGAACTTGAGCTCAGCGTAAGAGAATATTGACTAATTCAGTCCATGTCAAGTGCACATTCCGTACCCATCCGCATACCCCGCAGAATTCTGGGGAGACCAGATGATTAATAACGGGAGACTATCTAGCATCGCCACCCCAACACTTGCCAATTGAAGAGGAAACCAGACCCACGTCGCAACGCGGTGTCGTACCATATATCCAGACTCGCTGATAGGCTACAGTTGTAGTAGTTCATGTCTCGGCTAGTCCCAATATGGATTAGGATCCACCACATACCTAAACCGGGTTGGCTGGACGGGCAGGTTATGCCGCATGCGGTTCACCGTCCTAGATAACGCCACAGAGTCTTATTAGTCAAGTAAAATCTTTTATTTGTTCATTTTTGCCTTCGATACACAGTTCCTTGAGCGCCCAGCCGGGCCGCGAAGTTAGATCCTGCACGCCAAGGTAAAGTCTGTTTCTTTATTCTTCACTGCCGTTTTTCCACCGGTCGATTTTTTTTTTTTTTTTTCTATATGTAAACCACCTGCCTACCCCAGTGTCTACTTTCCCTACCCCTCCACCACCTCCTCCCATCCTCGAAAGGCAACTGCCTCGACTTGGAGCAGCGGACCCTTCTCTCTTTCTCTCTGCACCCTGCCCCACCAAACTTTATTTCCCATCATGGGTTCGACGCACGAGATCTCCGAGTCCGGCAATAAGCCCATGGAGGAGAATGAGAAAGTCGATCTCTCCAGCCCTCCTCAGTACGAGGGGGTCGCTGTTGGTGAGATGAAGTTGACAGACGAAGAAAGGCACATCTACGAAAGTGGTGTCCAAAAATTCAGCCGTCTAGGCTGGAAGCGCCTGACGGTTGTCCTCATCGTGGAGGCTGTTGCTCTGGGCAGTTTATCCATTCCTTCCTCATTCGCGACACTGGGTATGGTCGCCGGCGTGATCTGCTGCGTCGGCCTCGGTCTCATAGCCATCTACACCAGCCACGTTATCGGTCAAGTCAAATTGAAGTATCCCCATATCGCGCACTACCCTGATGCGGGTCGACTTATAATGGGTCGTTTCGGTTATATCCTCGTCTACATCATGCTTGGTCTCGAACTCCTTTTTCTTACCGGTTCACACGCCCTTACCGGTACGATTGCATTTGTCACAATTAGCGAAAGCAACGTCTGCTCTGTTGTTTTTGGAGTCGTTTCAGCAATCATCCTCCTGCTCCTTGCTGTGCCTCCCAGCTTTACGGAAATGGCCATCCTAGGCTACATCGATTTTGTGTCCATTATCGCCGCTATTGGAATAACCATCATCGGGACTGGCATCAGTGCCACCAGCTCCCCGGGAGGTCTATCGAGTGTCAATTGGTCCGCTTGGCCCAAGGACGACATCACATTCAGCGACGCCTTCATTGCTCTTTCCAACATTATCTTCGCTTACAGCTTTGCGCTCTGCCAGTTTTCCTTCATGGACGAAATGCATACTCCCAAGGACTACATCAAGTCCATCTGGGCTCTGGGTATCACCGAAATCACCATCTACACCCTCACCGGTGCCCTGATTTATGCGTTCGTTGGCCAGGACGTGAGAAGCCCTGCTCTGCTGTCGGCCGGTCATACGTTGAGTCGAGTCGCTTTTGGCATCGCTCTGCCTGTTATTTTCATCTCTGGTTCCATCAACACCGTTGTATTGGGCCGTATGATTCATGGTCGGATCTATCGGGATTCGCCCATCCGATTCATTAACACCAAGATGGGCTGGTTCACCTGGTTGGTGGTGATCACTGTCGCTACTATCCTTGCGTTTGTCATTGCCGAAATCATCCCCTTTTTCTCGGACCTGTTGTCCATCTGCTCTGCTCTCTTCGTCTCCGGCTTCACTTTCTACTTTCCCGCTGTGATGTGGTTCATGCTTATCCGCGAGGGCGACTGGACGAGCCCGAAGAATCTGGGACTGGGTGCGCTCAACTTGCTCTGCTTCCTTATTGGTATCATCACACTGGGTGCGGGTACTTATGCCAGTGTTAATGACATTGTAAGTGTACTGCCCTCTCTCCACCAGTATGTTGCTAACATAATCTGCAGATTCTCAATTACCAACATGGTAGCGTGCGAGGTGTTTTTACCTGCGCTAATCCCAGCTAGTTTTTCCCTTTACGGTTATGATGTGTGGAGCGGGTAGACTTGCGAGCCTGTTCAAGGCGTTTGAAGCATCCGGTGTTGTCAGTGATATTCAGCGCCCACCATCAATGATTTTACATTTGTAGATAGACTTGATTCAGCGACATCGTATAGACCAATTGAGCACATACTGCGTGAATTTCATGGACGTCCTAATATTCCATGACGAATCTAGCATTAAAATATAGGATAAATTTAATTTAAATCTCTGCAAGTAGAATCTAGACAAAAGTTTTATTTAGCACTATTGCCAAAATGGCGGGCGCTAAATAGTCTAATTTAGTCTACTTCACACCTAACCATGGAAGCCTCCAAATAAGGTACATTCAATATTGTTTTATAGTAGAAAGTTATTTCAACCGTTCCATACTATTTCGTTAAATTATCAATATCAGAACATGTCCTGTATGGCGTATGCATCAAACAAAACCAAAAAGGATTGGCCCCAGAATGAAGTATCAGCTTATCTCTGAGTAGATAAGATAGCATTATTAATAGGTTTCACACATAGTTATTATATTATACCACTTTAATCGTCTGGTCTCGACTCAATTGTCCGGATTTTCCGGATTGTATTACCTGGGTTCCAATATTCTCCGGTATTGATTAATATCTCGTGTGATGTATGTATGATGTTATTAGATGAGAAGGATTTTACATCATTGTGTCGTCATTGTGCAGGTGATGGAATGTAGTAGAACAGTGGAACAATCGAAGCAATCCTTGCACATTCCTTAAAGTGGGTCTGCAGTATGGAAAATAAGTAATATTGGGTATTTTATTTGGGTTGTCAAGCTGGGCTTGGTATAGTTTTGGAATACCCTTGGTTTATCTTGGATTTTATATAGATTGGTTTATAAATAAATATGCGGGGATAAGTTTTACATGTACCTGAAAGATTATTGTTTTTTTTGGATTGCCCTTACATTGTTGACTTAAACAATATGTTCTCTGTTCACTTCTATTCTATTTCGCAATCACACCCAGTCAAGATATATCCATCCTAGAACTTGACTACGACCCCACCGCCCCCCAAAAACCTCCTCCCAAGGAAACCATCTAGACGATAGATTTCTACTCAGTAAATCTCATTAGAACAGGTGGTAATAAGTATCTCAAGGTTTTAGAATATATTTCAGGTTGTTTTGTTTCGGTGGTATAGATACCGAGAATGCGTAATGTGGTTAGGCTGTCGCATTTAAATAGTGTAGCTCGGTTGGCTACTTTGCTTGGCTTAATTTCATGACATACTAACATATGGCCAGATGGATGCTAGACTTGGTAGCTTTTTTTTATAGATCGACATTTATAAGCAAGTCTAAAATAAACTAAAAAATGTCCGTCTTGCTACTTAGTATGAGCATCCACCAACAGAAATACAGGCCCAACAGTCTCCTCGACTCAAATAAGCAGGCGAACCAAGGAACGAAGCAAAACTTACCACAGGCCTCAGCATGCATAAGTAATTCGACCTAAATCTCTTGCGTGGGCACAAGTTCCGATGGATAACATCTTTTGGTATATATGATACGACGAGCAAATCTAATCAAAGATATCAATTGACCATTATAGCTCAACGAGTGTTGATGAATTAAGATTAGGAATATCATACTTATACTTTACCAGCAGGAGCGTACAACTAATGATCTATCAGTTAGCTCTAATCAACTAACTGATTCTAGTAAGACATTACCCCGCACCACCATCTATTTTATCCTCATATTGACTTTCCTTCATTCAGACCATCAATGAGTCATGGATCAACTCTCCATCATCGATGCCAATGAACGACAGCTTCCTCCTATAGATGGCGGCAAAGACGCCTGGCTCTTCTTAGCCGCCTGCTTCGTCATCGAAGCTCTGATCTGGGGTATGTCCTGCCCAACTGTCCATCGTCCAACCGCTACCCATCAACAGGATTCAGTTTCGCTTTTGGGATATTCCAAGATTACTACAGCACGCACCCGCCCTTTGCAGGTTCACATAATATCGCCGTGATCGGCACCTGTGCCATGGGTGTGTCGTATATCCTCGAACCGCTGACATTCGGCGTCTTGCTGGCATTCCCACGTCTTCGGCGCTGGGCCAGTCCCCTCGGGTTTCTGATCATGTGTTTGGCGCTCTCGATTAGTTCGTTGGCAACCTCTACGACGCAGTTGATCGTCTCGCAGGGTGTTTTCTACGGTCTAGGCGCTAACATCGCATACACCCCGACTATCATCTTTATGGATGAGTGGTTTGTGCGGAAAAAGGGACTCGCATTTGGGATTATGTGGGTGAGTATCCATATCAATTCATATACCTACAAAGGCATATGCCAATATCTATCTATGCTAATACCTACTAGGCAGGAACAGGTCTCTCGGGGGTCATCCTACCCATCACCTTCCAATGGCTACTAAACGAATATGGCTATAAAACCACACTCCGGATCTGGGCAGTCATACTGTTCATCATGGGCGCGCCGCTGCTCTACTTCGTAAAACCACGGGTCCCCATCTCCTCGTCGACACAGATGCGGCCGCTCAATTTCAGTTTCTTGCGCCATCGAAGCTTCCACATCTATCAACTTGGCAATACGCTCGAAGCTCTGGGCTTCTTCCTCCCCACCATCTACCTCCCATCGTATGCGCGGAGTCTAGGCGCCTCGTCGCTTCCCGCTTCACTAACCGCCATACTGTTCAACGTCGGCAGCGTCTTCGGCTGTATCGCCATGGGCACACTGGTGGATCGGTACCACGCAACGACATGCATCCTGGTATCCACGGCGGGGAGCACGATTGCCGTGTTCCTCCTCTGGGGGGTGTCCGCATCGTTAACACCACTGTATATATTCTGTGTAGCGTATGGGTTATTCGCGGGGTCGTTCACGTCCACGTGGCCGGCTGTGTGGAAGGCTATACGGCAGCATGAAGGGTTTGCGGATCCCGGGCTCGTGTTTGGGTTTCTGTGTGCTGGTCGGGGAATCGGGAATGTGGTCAGTGGGCCGTTGAGCGAGGCGTTGATGAAGGTGAACTGGAGAGGGGTGGGTGGTGCATATGGTAGTGGATATGGCGGGTTGGTGGTTTTTACGGGTGTGTCTGCTTTCTTGGGGGGAGTGAGCGTTCTGGGGAGGTCATTGAAATGGGTTTAACTTGTATATAGTACAACTTAAAAGTTTAAGTTTTCGATTGTTTTGAAATCTTGGTTGGAGCTCTCAGGTTGAATTGTCTTGTAGAATTGGACTATGCTCATTCGCTCCCTCTTTGCAGTATATCCGTTGGACTTTACTATGCTTATTAGCTGTCTCAGGATAGTAATGGACTTGAATATTCAGAGACTTTGTCTCCCATTTCATAACTATGCTAGGTCAATATCCTTAGTCAATGTTGAGGCCATTCTTTTTTTATTTCTTGTATACTCTGGTCCTTATTTAGACAGAAGACTTTACTTCAGTGTATTAGACTATAACAGTCAATTCAAAGATCCTAGTTGTGGTATATTGCCTGATACTTTCTATTAAATAGTAAACACTCTTGACAAATTCTATATTTCAGCCGATTATTAATACGGATATACAATCACCCACGGTGAGACATACCCCTCACTACATATTATAACTCATATTATTTCTATTATGTCCTCTATCTACCTTACTACCGTCCTACAGAAAAGCTACAAAATGAAACTTGCCATCTTAGACGACTACCAATCCATCTCCCCCGTCTACTTCAACCCCCTTGCATCTCGCGTCTCGATCTCCTACTTCCCAGAGACATTGAACCCACGCGATGCGACCCAACATGAAGCGCTGATCGCGCGTCTCCTACCATTTGACATCATCGTGACCATGCGCGAACGCACGCCCCTATCTGCTGAGACGCTCCGACGGCTTCCAAACCTCAAACTCCTCGTCACGACGGGCACGCGGAATCTCGCACTCGACGTGGAATTCTGCACCGCACGGGGTATTCCCGTCGCAGGGACTGCGGGACGTATTCCCGGTGTATCATCGACAGTGCAGCACACCTGGGGCCTTATCTTGGGTCTTGCGCGGGGGATCGCGCGGGACGACGCGGCGTTGAAACGAGATGGGAAGTGGCAGGGAGAAGGACAGGGACATTTAGGGATGACGTTAGCGGGGAAGACGCTGGGAGTATTGGGATTAGGGAAGTTAGGGATGGGAGTGGCGCGGATTGCATTGGCGTTTGATATGCGGGTTGTTGCGTGGTCAACAAATCTGACACGGGAGAGGGCGGACGAGACGGCTCGGGCGGCAGGGGTCGATCCGAGGATGATTACTGTGGTTGGGTCGAAGGAGGAGTTTTTCGAGCAGACGGACGTGGTCAGTTTGCATTGTGTGTTGTCGGAGAGGAGTCGTGGAATTGTGGGACGAGAGGAGTTGAAAGCGATGAAGAAGGATGCATTGTTGGTGAATACGTCGCGTGGGCCGTTGGTGGATGAAGAGGCGTTGTTGGAGACGCTTCGGTCGGGCGGAATTCGAGGAGCAGCACTGGATGTGTTTGATCCCGAACCATTACCGGCGGATAGTCCGTGGAGGACGACCCAGTGGGGGGAAGAGGGGCGTAGTGAGGTGTTGGTGACGCCGCATATGGGATATGTCGATGAGCAGATCCAATTGTGGTATGCGGAGGCCGCAGAGAATGTGGTGCGATGGTTGGATGGGGAGGAACTGAAGGTACGATTGAATTAGATTAGTCCATTGAATTGGCCAACTACCGATCGATTGTGGATCGATTAGGTATGCATTAAATTATTAGTTAAATTAATACAACCAGGGTGCATGCATTTTCTAGCATCTGCACGATGAACCGAGGTTGTGGCCCACTCAGAATGTACTCCGTTATATCTAGCAATTCCCTTCCATTGACTCACCTCTTGCATCAATCAATCCTCATCCTTCAGTCAATTGACTATACAAAATAAAATGCCCCCCATTGCCCTGGACTCCGATCGACTTGATCGACTCGATCGACCAGATCAAAATCTATCCACCCTCCTCAAAGTCATCCGCAGCAAACAGGCTTTCGCCAGCGGCGCCGTCTCGCTGGTCTCGCTGCCGGCGGGTTCCCTCTTCGCACGCATCACAGGCACCACGCCAGCTAAGAAAGCCTACACCTCCGTACAAACCAGCCGCGACCGACACATCGAGCTGAATTCGGACCTGGTGTTCTGCAACCATTCATGCGCGCCAACGCTGAACTTCGACATGCATAAGATGGAGGTGCGCGTGGTGGACGACCGGGCCTTGAACGCGGGAGATCCGTTGACCTTCTTCTATCCCAGCAGCGAGTGGGAAATGGATCAGGCGTTTAACTGTTTCTGTGGGGCGAGTTGTTGCAAAGGGAAGATCCAGGGGGCAAAGTATATGACGAGAGAGGAGTTGAGGGGGTATTGGTTAAACCCGCATATTGAGGAGATGGTGAAGGAGAGGAATGGTAATTGATGTACGGAGTACATGTACAGGATAGATTAAATTATTAGATTTTTTTGGTGTTCTGTATGATTCCAGAATTCCATCATTCTATCGGACAGACGGAAGTATTGCCATGTGGCATAGAGATGAAATTATCGGCAGGGAATAGCAGACAGCCGAGTTTCATTACGGAGTACCTAGTGCTTAGTGGAAGTTTAGGCTAATTTAGCTAGTCTGGTGAATTTGACACCTAGCCACAACTATTCGTCCCGTTTCTCACTGTCTCCAGAACAGTATATCGTACTGACGTTGAGTAGAAAAAAGACTTCCTATGCCTAGTCAGGGGCAGTAAGCGAACCAGGGATCATACTCTCTAGATCGGGAAACCAGATTGACGACACTCGCTATTACAAACTATCAATTTCCTCTATCTTCAATATCATCCATGTATCCAAATCTATTTTCCATCAGATCTAATCTAGTCCTATACAGAATTAGCCCTCTCCCAAACCTCCCGCCCAGAAACAATCGTACTGACCACCATCGCCATCCCCACCGTTCCCTCCCCCACACGAACCCATCCGAGAAACGCCGCTGGAATCAAGAGATCGCAACCGTCCACCACGACCCGATGCACCAGTGTCTTGCGACCTGTCTTCTCCTTCCCATTCCTCGGTTTCTTATTCCCTTTCTTATCCCCTCCTTTCTGGGTCCGCTGCGCCTCCGTCCCACTCCCTAGTAATCCCCAGAATGCCCCTACAACAGACAGACAAAGAGCATACGCCCAGAATCTATACGCCTGTTCTATCACGGCCTGGTTCCAGGATACAGGGTGGACATTCATCGCGTGGAGCTAATTCGTCAATATATCTTTCATTAAAAAAAAAAAAAAAAAAAAAAAAAAAAAAAAAAAAAAAAAAAAGGATAGACAAAAGAGGCGTAAGAGAAGGAGACATACAATAGTCAGATCCTCCAGCACAAAATACAACCCAAGACAAATCCATCTCGCCAGCTCAATCAAGAATGTCAGACCCCCCTCTGATGATCCATTTCCCAGCAGCCCGTACACCCGATCGAAGCAGTCAATGAAGGCAAAAAACCGGAAAAATCGTCGTGCTACTCATATCAATATCATCGTACTTGGTAAATGGACATTTATAATAGATAAGAATGAGAAAGTTGCTCACTCAATGCCAATTGCGACTTTGTTGTTGTCCACTGTTTGGCCAATGCTGAGCCATGCTCGGTTGTGACGCTGGCGATCAGCGCAACTGCGTGGATGAGACGGAGTGTTTTTTCAAGCCCAGCGGTGTTGCGCGTGAAATTGGCGAATTGTGGTATTGTATATTGATTCCTGATTGCCATTTATTATTTTCTTTGTTTTTGTTTTTGTTTTTCTTTTTCGTTTCTTTTTCTTTTTTTTTTTTGTCGGAAATGAATGAAGTGGTAAAGGGGAAGAAGGATCGATCGGTTGGGAATCCTCCTGGCTAATGATACTAAAATACTGCTCCCCTTATAGCCCATAGGGTTTTAGTGGTCGAATGGTATTTATTATTCATCCTCAAAATGCTTCTCTCATACGCGGGCCTTAGAAAAGAATCTAACGGAGAGCAAGTCTAGAACTAGTCAGTACAGAATACTCTCACTCATCCTACGAAGATTTGGCATTGATTCCACTTCCAGTCCTAAGTGCATGATGCAGGGGTCTCACAGGCCTTAGGCACCAACTCCCCTTTCTGGAAGGTGATTATCCTCCTAGTACTCCATACTTCCACTCAGATTTTCTAACTTACCTTGATCTACGCACTTTCATCTGCAATTCCTGTATCCTATTACTTTGTGGCTTCGTTAGTTTACTTAGATGGTCGATGGAGCTCATCCTCAATTATGCAATCAAAGCATCACAGCCCACGCGTTCTAAATGCATTTACCTCATTCATCAGTCGGCCATTATTGCCAGATGCATAGACTCTAGTAGGTTAAGGCATCACTTTAGAATTATCTGACCAAACTACACATACTTTTGAACCCGTGACTGCTATGGAAACTGTCTCCAAGACTCGGAGAGTACTACCCTTACTGGCCGGTTCCAAGATCAGATCAGGATCGTGATAAATCGTCACAAGAACCTTAACGACTCCTCCAAACTTAGGACTGTACAGTATTAGTAGGTTTTTCGAAAATCCAAACTGTTTATCTTCATGCTATCCAACCATTTCCGGATTTAGCCACTTTCGCAACCGAATGGGGTACTGGGAAAGCCACCGAATTTGGCGCTGAGCATATTAATCTGTCAATATATCATAAGATGTATCTAGGCTAACTAGAGCCGGTACTGTTTTTATTCCAGTGGAATTTGATGAAAAAATCACTTCGATGGTCAATATGAGCAGTTGATGTGGAGCAGCCTCCCTGCCCTCTCCTCACTTAAAGCACTTTGGGTTTCACAGTTTCTATGACTACTCCGTAGTGAAGACGACTCTCATGCGCTACCTTTCTCTACAGGTTAAGGATTAGGACAGATATTATATTGTTCTACAAGGGTCATTCACAAACTTGTGTATTAGAAATTAAGTATGGATAGATTCATCAAAGAAGGCTATGCTGATAAACTTTACTCATTCTCCTCTATTTTTCTTACTTTTCTTTCTTTCTAATAGGTTGGAAGTATTACTCGTTCAAACTCTACAAAGCCCTATCCATCCGTGCATATGCAGGACTTGTCTTGGTCCCGGATGTTTTACAGACGTTACCAACCCACCAGGCTACCCATTCGTAACCAGTTGAGCGGACTATTCTACCGCTCTAGAAAAACAAGGCGTATATTTCATGTGCCATCAGATAGATGGTGATGCATCACAAGAATAACAGATGGGACACTCTTCAAATGGGCAAAGTTTTGGACAAGGGGTGTAAATAGACCAAGCTGGAAAAGTCACAGATTGGTTTCTATGGGTGCATCACTTTCCGCAGTAATTGATTGTCATGGGGAGCTAATCTCTTGTCTACGCGAGACATGTACACAACATTTGCTCTAATGTAAGCGCGGGAATTCCAATATGAATTGGAATCAGTAACCAGTTTCATTGTCAAATTCAAATATTTCAGAGTCTGTTCGACATTAGACTGGAAGAACATCACGAGACCATAGCTCCGAAGTACTCGGAGATTTCATAGCAGTGCCCTCTCAACGAAACAAAAATCTTCGCAAAGGTTGATGTTCTGGAAAATAGGACAGTGGAAAAGGAGTACAGGAGTGCGGGAAAGAGTCTGCAACTCTTATTACCTTGGGTGACTTAGCATTTTGCTAAGAAGGCTTGCTAACCTATTCACTATAATCCTTTCATCCGCATAGCTTCTGCTGATTCCCCTTGGGATAGAGGAGAAGAGAAAACTACTGTCAAGATCAAAAGTACATAGTATATAAAAGTGAAATTCCACTATCTTGGGCCAAAAATCCTTTTCTCTCACCCTGGAATATATAGACAAAGGAGAGGAAAGAATTAGAACAGTGAATTTAGCTAGTACCAGCTGACAGCTGACATACAACTCCGTGTTTTCCTTCTGCCCTACTCCCTATTATTGTTTCTTGTCTCTCTATTTTTATACCTTGTTCGTCAAAACTAACAACGCACCTACTATGTCCAGCTTCATCTCAACATAATTTAAATAAAACCAGCATGTTCCTCAAATCCAGATCCCTCGACTTGTTCAATTTTCACTTTAACTAATATATCAATCCTAGATGATTTCTCATCAGAAGATCTTAATGGAATTCGGGAGCTTTCCCAACAAACTGTTGGTGTTGAGGTTTTATCAATAAAAAAAAACATACAGACATGATAACACCAATTTACCTAGGGCTGTCCTAGAACACATGGGGTTTTCGACACCCGAGTTTGGAATGAAATCTGGCTGGGAAAACCGTATATTCAAACCCCAGATATACCCTGTTGGACCAAGGTACAAAGAGTGACAAGATGTTCAACCCTTCATATCGAAATCCTCTCTAACTCAGGTAAAACTAGGTCTCAAAATTGAACAAAAGTGCAAACATGACACCATATTGACGAATGATATGGGTACTACCTTGGTTGTCGGCTAAGAACAAAGATCAGAAAATTCCTGGATACCTATTTCAGGACAATTGCAGTCCATATTAATTATTTAGAGATAAACATATATCAAAACCGTGAGCGGGATAGTAAACATATACATAACCTAATTACAAGCCTATCCTGACAATTTCACCCAAGCAGCGCAACTCACTCAGAACAACTTCCGGAGTAAGGCTATTAGGGACACACGAGCCTTCGGTGTCGGACGAACGTGTCTGCACTTCATACATGCATCTGTGGCATAGCTTTATCCAAGGTGTCCGAACGGCATACCATCAGCTTGACTTGAGTAGGCAAGTGAGCTTCACCGGCACGCAAGAAGGCAAAAAGTTCTTGGTCACCAATGAGCTAGGTTTGACCAGCCAGTTCGCTAAAACATTTGCGAAGTGGTTACTAAGGCACTTCCCAGAAAGCATTGTAGAGATTAAGATTTAGCGATGTTTAGGCTATAGGACCCAGCCGCTCCATGATCTCCGATATGCTTGTATAAAATATCAGAAGATTAGCTTGTCTAGCTAGGGTTGGTACCATTTTTAGTGCAGTGGAGTTTTATTGATAGAGTTCTGGGGAAGAGAATAGGTGTAAGTTAGAATTCAGAGCCTGAAGTTTGTGGGAAACAGGGTGTGGGAAACTGGCAGTGTTACCCAGAAAACCACCATGCTGACCTTTGTTAAGGTACATGTACCTAAGCAGTGAATAGTCTACCTCATGACTTTAAACCTCGTCGTTATGGCAACAAAGAGAGGTGTCCAGCCAAAATTTCTGGCTGGAGAAAAACTACTCTGTAATGTTATTAGAATAGAATACTTGACGCTAAAGCTACATGCATACTGCAGATCCTAACAACTAGAGTGTTAGCCCCTAGCACAGTGTAGAAAGCTTTGCGGATTGACTACAAGAATGCCATATCTACCGTCCTTTGCCCCCCGAAATGTCCTGTCCCAGTCGATACCCCCCCACCTTCTCCCACTCCACCTTTTGCCGAGTGATCGGTAGCTGTCGTCGCAGTCCCTTGAACGCTCCTTCGGCCATCTGCACAAACGCGCGGTTCAATTCCTCCTGATAGTCGCGCTCTGCGGCTGCAATACGCGAAATTATGCTCTCGGCAGAGACCGAAGAGACTGACAGCTTGATCGGTTTGTTGGTGTTGAGCGCCACATTTCCATCCTCATAGTAATGTACATCAATGTGGATATTTCCTGTCACGGTGGTCGACTCGGAAATAGGAACCTGATAGATAGAGCGGAAACGGCCATTCCTAGACTCATCAGCAAGACTTCCTAAAAAAAAAAAAAAAATCTTTCCAAACTCACCAGAAGTTATTCGGCGAGTACCGGTTCGCAACAAGTAAGATAGCTACCGCAGTATCATTTTCAACAGGATAAACACCATAAGAACATTGACGGTAATGTTCGGTAGCATGCATCGCAAGCGACTTCAGTAAAGATTTGCTGCGGAAATCAACAAGATGATACCATGACAATAAATCCATCATATAGCAACTCACATTAAGTCCGCATTCTGAGACTCCAAAACATACGATTGCGCCGCGGACGCTTCCTACCCTACGTCAGTCCTGGCCGCCACCTTGCACAGGAACCAAGAACCAAGAGGCTCACTTGTGTAACATGGTCGACTTCAAATGACGTTTGACTCTCAACATCAAAATATCGATTATCCTCTAGTTTGTTGAATCCGCTAACAATAACCTGCTCATTTACCCATTAGTCACAACCCCCACCCCAAATCTGACATATCGTGGCGTACCTCCTGACTCGCTCCTGGCAACTTCACCGTTGACAGTTGCATCTCGTTGTATCGTTTAAAGGCAGGGGCAAGCGATGGAATGATATCCGGACCGTCGGAGGTGAGGGTTTTGACGTCTGAATTATCATGAAAGCAAGTATTTAGTCAATAGCCAGCTGTCTGCGGGGTTGGTCGATGGGTTCGGTTCGGAACATGCGGGGGGAACGGTTATAGGCAGGGGAAAATACCGGCAATGACATCGGCCAGCTAAGAATAACAGTCAGCGGCATTCAGAAAGTAAGAGGTCGCGCATGGACGCTGGTGGTGAAGCGTACCTCGCCTGGCGGGGCACCTTCAATGAATGAGGATGCAATGTCCACGGCGGATGCCATTAGGGATATCAGTGATTATGGGTGGAATCTAGAGATCTAGCCGTAGATAACTGAGTGAACTGGATGGCTAGCAAGTACCAAGGATGACGGGCAAGGTGATAGTTCGAAGTGGACAGACAGCTCCTGAATCAGCTCGTCGGCTTCCACAGTCAAGAGTCAGAGCTTTAGCGCCGTAAGCGCCGGGCCTCGCACGTGCATTTCGCGCCTGCTATTTCTTACTTGGAGCGAAGTGTCGCAGCCATTTAAATTGCCAACATTAATGCTCGGTTAAAGTAGTCTGCTTAATGTGAACTGGAGTAAATAGCCTAACGCCATATATTAAATTTCAACCTGAATCCCTCGGAACCCTGCGCTAATAGAGTATCTAATTAATAAATATTCACAATAATTAAAGTGCGATATATACGAGTCCGGCTCGCATGGCAGTCGCCGGTGTAGACCATGTCCAGAGAGATACGATTATTCGATGCTCATATTCATGAAACCATCATTAGCCTCGGTCATACCCTGCAAACCAACCCGCTTCAACGTTCCTGTATGGACCGTGTTGGAAGCTCCACGACTTGGAGTTTCAGTGCCAGGGCGATCTGGGAAAAGAGATCCGAGATTTGATTTGGGCGCTGGGCCCCAAATGCTGGAACCCGTTTCCTTCACGACTGGCGAGTTTGGCATGACGGGGCTGCTTTGGACACTCAAGCTCGGAGAGACCGCCCTTCTCTTGAAAAGACTGGGGTCAAAATCGTCCTCGCGCTGTCGTTTCCTCTTGAACTCGGTAATGCTGCCGGAGTGAGAGGCATAGGGTGTTGAGGATCGTGAGCTGGGTCTTTCGCCTGGTTTCACAAACTCTGCACCTGTGGACTTGACTGCCGCCGGTGTAATATCCATGGCCAAATCATCCTCCGAAACTGATGTTCCCGGTCGACGCAAGGTTGGTGGAGGGGTGCGATAGCGCTCATCAAATGAGTTCCAAAACTCAGGACCACCGGAATGTCGATGTGCCTCCTCACTGAAGCTGGGTTCGTCCGGAGCAGAAGCCCCAAGCTTGGCAGACAGATCCCCCACAATTTTCAGGGGCTCGGCTGGTTGGAATGGATTGCCAAATGAGAATCCGTCCAAGCTTGGCGACTTCTGAGGAATATCGGGCTCACTCTCGCGAACTTGACGGATCACCTCTGCCTCACGTTTCGCCTCGCTATCAATAGGGGCAGTTTCTTCTAAAAGAGCAGCCCGAATACGTGCAAATGTCTTTGTTTTCGGCTAGAGGCCAGTAAGCATATTAAACATGGAACATAAAAAAAAAAAAAACCTACCAGCAAACTCCCACGTCGGGTTACAGCACGCCTAATCACACCCAAAGGTCCACCCTCATAGTTCGGTGCACTTGGGCTATGTCCCCGCGCGCCACGAGTTTCTCCCTCATCACTAAGGTCAGATAGGCGCAGATCACGAGTGCCTAGACTCAAGCTCTCACGCCGAGGGCCTAAACCTGCTTTTGCGCCAAAGTAGCCCCCGTTTTGATTCTCGATACTTTTTATCACAGGCGGAGAATGCGAGCCGGGGCTGGGTTTCGAGCTGTTCCCACTGGCGCTGCTAGAGCTTTGTCTGCTGCCGCGGCCTTTGCGGAATCGGGCTCGCTGAAAGCTCATGAGGCTGGTAGCTGCTTGTGAATAACCGCCCATCCAGTCATTCCCAGGACTTGGCACATTCCCGACCGCGAAAGGACTGGGCCCTCCGCTAATCTTATTTGCCTGCGGTGTATTGATGATCATCATATCATCTTTCTCCATCGTCTCATCATCTTCCTCGCTACTACTTGTATCTGATTCCATCATGTTGACACTGGACACTGAACTGGAAATAGCGGTTTTGTCTGCAGGACCTGAGGTTGAGAACGGAGGCCCCGATGTTGATCCGGGCGAACCACGACGTTGTGGGATGCTCATGCCTCGCCCGCCTATTACCGGTGATGAGTCCGGGGAGGATTCAGCCAACGTCGAATGGTGAAGGTTGGTGCAAGCACGAGAGAAATCAAGACCTCTTGAGCGTCGGGGCAAAACCGACCCAGGGCAGCCGTAAATCTGAGACGAGTCCAGCTTCGGGGAAAGAGGAGTACGGTTTCCCAACGAAGGAGAAGCAGTAGTCTTTGAATTCACATTCAACGATAATCCCGGATGCATAGATAGCCGTTGAGGCGTTTCAGGCGTTAATGAAAGAGAAGTATCATCTTTACTTGATGGTCTCTTATCTTCTGAATTGGGTCTTGGAGAGGACAAGGATCGTGCCGCGTCGGACAGGGAGCGTGATTTCGGTGACGGACGCAACGGAGACCCGAGTGAATAGCCCTTCTCTTCCCCTACAGTTTCTGTCTCGGTTCTGGATTCACTTTGGCCCTGCCGTTGCGAGAGCTGCTCACTGAGCTTGCTTGCAAATGGGAGGGTCGGTATGCTGTGCGACAGGGTCGAAGGCGTTGCCGAGGATGTCATTTTGTCAAACGAGTCTCTCCCTTACACGTGTCAATTGCACAAGATGAAGGAATCAGAGCATACTGAAGCCTTTGCCAGCTCAAACTGGGGAGGGGGGGGTGGGCGACGTTCTTGTGGTGATAGGTGGAGGAACTGTAGAGTATTCGGTCACCGTAGGACAGTGATATCGGATGAATAGACCCCGATAATTCTCAATAATAATGCGCACAAATATGGAATTGTGGGAGTCAAATTCGAGTCGTATGATCGAGCAGAAAGACAGAGTCGAATAACATTGCTCGACCTCAAGCAGCACTGACGTCCTGGTCACTAGACTCCGCGAATTCAGCCCCGCCTGGCTTCTCAGTGTTGCTGATTGGTGCAGCATCACGCGACTAGAGCATTATGTAATCACGGTCTTTCCAGTCCTAACGTTAACTAATTAACTAGTTCGTGTTCTAGCTGAGCGGGGCTCAAAAAAAGTTGACTGGGACCCAGCACAGCTATGTCCCCTAAACTAGTTAACTGACATCAGCAGACTTTTTACATATTAACGAATAGAAAAATATCATGGAAATATCATGGTATAATAGGTCCAGTTCAACAGCAAATTTATTTAAATACATGAACTCTTATTATCATGAACCAATACATTCACCAAAAAAAAAAAAAAAAAAAATCAAACGGATAACTAAATGAATGAATAAACCCTCATTTCATCGTAATTGAGTATATCATGCCAAACTCATTGCGCTACTTATCGGCGCAACGTACCATTCCCAATCATTACAGTCCGATGTATCTACCGGTGACCCTTTCAGCATGTCACCATCCCTAGCCTGCCATACTTTGACAATGACAGCCCTTGTACGGGCAACATTGGAGACGCTTGATTCCGCCATAGCGGCTAATGCATGCAGAATGAGTGGGCGGCCATATACTACTGCCCCATCGGGTGAATCGGACCAGATCTCGTCATGTAGGGGATTCAGTTCCACAGCTGCCACGAAAACTGGCCAAGTCATGCTCACGAGGGATCCGGAATCCAGTAATTCTGAAATGAGCTGCAGAATACTCCGAACATAGCCCACAACCAAAGGTGTCGTCGGAGATGCACCATATAACGCGCAATGCAAATATAATACAGCCGCTAAGCGTTTCAGTTCTGCGGCAGAGTGCAAGATCTCGTCTTCATCATCGTCAATCTCCTGCACCAACTTCTCAAGCTTCCGTCCAAGAGATGCTGCGCGTAACGACAATGCGACCTGTGTCGAATCCGAAGCCAGCTGCCGTCTCGTCCGACTCATCTCCGTAATCGCAGACAAGATAGAGACCAGCTCCGGGCTACAGCCCATCCAGAGATCAACATGACGCTCATTCTCCTGCCAATAATCGCTCCCAAATAGCACCTCCTCGCCACAGGCGGTGCGGCCCATGACATCTTGAAATGCGAAAAAGAGTTCAGCAAATCCAGATACCGGATCGTGGGCACCACCTGATTTCGATGTGATCATCTGTTGCTGTCGTCGAAGGCGAATCAACTCCTTTGCACCTTTCAGGTGGATCGTCCACCTTTCATCACAATTATCAACAATCTCATAGAGACACAGCATCATCATGATCGTCAACACCTCCGGATCTGCAGAACAGATCAACGACCCTTCTGTAGCAAGCCGATGACGGAGACCTCTTAGGGCTTCTGACTTAAGCCGAAGCCCTATAACACTGTACTTCGGATCAAATCGAGACCAATGGCACGCCCCTAAAGCCTGTATGGCCTTAAACAGTACCGGTGACGCAGAAATGCAGAATGGAAGAATGATTGATGCAAACGGCGACGACAGTTTCGAGCTGGCAGTGGTTCGAGGACAGACCTGACTCAAATAATAGTCAAAAAGGGTTCCCTGGATCGGTTCGACAATATGAGGAAACATTGATAAACACGCCGTCAGATCTGGCAGGCTCTGAAACCTAGCAGACCTGGAATCTGCAGTGTTTATCGACAAGGACCGAATCAAGCCCCCTTCATGCACCTCGTCACTAAAACCAGGCCTATCCTTCCCACGAACTACAACAGTATTGAGCTCATCGCACGCAACATTCACTTGATCAGGCTGTTCAAAGGTCGAAACACCACTATTGACAAACCCCCATGATTCCACTATAGGAATCAGACACCACTCATGGTCATCGCGAAGCAATGATGCAGACGGGGAAGGGGACGTTGTAGCTTGCGCCCCGCCAGTGGCCCGAGACTTACTCCAGACGCCGGCTCGACCGAAGGCCAGACCGCGACTCACGAATTCGGACTCCCATTTCAGAACCAACTGCGTTGAGCAAGTCAGTCCCTTCTCTTGACACCTGGAACATATCGGTTTCTGCAGGTCACAGCGAACACGGCTTGTGCGGCATTCTTTACAGCCGCTACGGCTTCGGGTCTTCACTGGACCTGAGCGGTCTGTAGCCCTTCTACGCGGCATCCGGCAGGTGGGAATCTTCACATGACCGATTGTGGAGCAAATTTAGTGTCCTAGCATCATCAAGGCTTTGATGAGCAGGAGCGTGGCACCTCACTTTGAGATGAGGTTCAGGTCAAGCTGTGGTAATGTGGCCAAGCAGCTGACTAACAACCCTGTGAAGTAGAAAACAGACAAATAGCTAAGCTGGCTCTCTGATAAGTAATTGATGGGAAAAGTGAGCTTTGGCTAATATTAGTGACTGGCGCTATGATGACAGAGGAAAGAAAAGAATGCCAAAATGCTCGAGTTAATAAGCGGAAAAGTGGAGAAACCTGTTTCGGAGCATGTCCGTCCCGCCTCGGTGGGAGACAATGCCATTATGCCTGAAGCACCATGCCCAGTATTCTATATACAGTAGTTCACGTCTTCTCTCCAAACGTGTCGTTCTTCCCCAACGCTAACCACGGTGTTCCTTTACTGTCGACAGTTCCGCTGTTTACATTGTTCCCCCACCAGCTCAGACTGATGCCGGGAAATACTAACGCGAAAAAAATCACAATCGCAGAGACAGCAACTCCAGAGTCTAGTGCTGCAGAAAGAACATAGTTGTACTTGGCCCACCAGTTGGGCTTGCGGCCCTTAATAATCTATACGTATTTAGATCGAGTACTCTGCTATTAAATGCATTGTATGTCGCCCACAAAAACTTACTTTGTTGAAGATAAAGCTAACCGCAAACGCGGTAGTGTAATTGATTCCAGTCTAGACATGAGTTAGAAAGGTATTAAACCATGCTAAAAGAATACTTGGCGTACTGCTGGAGGCAAGTTCCCCGTGCCAGCGAAGAAGATCGGCCAATGGATTGCGTCAAGGAATCGACTTTGAGGGAATTTCTTTCGAAGAATAAAGGTAATGATCGGAAGCGATGCTCCTATCCAGAACATATGCAGAAGTCCTGAATATCTCTGTCCAATGTTGTACAGCCGCGCCGGTCCAATCGCTGAAAGGGGAAAAGTGAAGTCAGCCACATGGCATAGAACATGGTGGAGTGGCAGCATTTACCTCCCCAGAAAACTGCACTATTATAATTCACTCGGCCTTGAGGGCAGGTAAAGTTGTTTGATTGATTACTTGCACACACATTCTCGACATTACCGAGCATCCAGAGTAAGACGCCATCTAGTAATATTAGCATAGCGTAACATTTTGATATTAGGTGAAAACGTACTTTGCGTCAACGTACCAAGTATGCAGGCAACAACTTGTGCAACAAATAATGTTCGACGAGGAATCTTCATGTATAATCCAAGCTATAACTCATAGGGAAACAACATCAATAGAAGACATATCACAGAGAAAGGTCACTAATGACCAACCTTCATGTCAGCGCCATAGAACATCGCTTGGCTGAGACCAGTATACGCGTAAAACTAAAAGACATCAGTGACAACGTATCCATAGAGAAGATGTAAGAAGTAGACCTTGAATATAAGAAGAACAAGTGGCCTTCCTTTGATGAGATAGCCAGAAACGACCTCACCGAGCACAGTCAAAACATTACTATTCAAGTTCGCAACAGCATATACGGTGCCGACAGGAATCACATAGAGGGCAGCTAGCCCCAGCGTAATAAGAACACCCCAGAAAGGAAGACCTGTGTGCCAGACGTACTGCGTCAAAACAGCCACAGTCATAATAATCAACTTTCCAGGTCAGCGCTCAGAAGTAAATGGCAATAACTGCAGTGGGCTTACCGTTAGGACAGCATACCACCACCACGGAACATCCGGATAGTGAGAGATTAACCTGGCATGGATGTCTTTCTTACTCTTGCCTTTAAAGGTACTCAAGATGTCTTTGCTGTGGTTCAGAACAACATGCGTCAAGAGACAACTCAGGACTGCAAACCCCAATCCATAGCTAAGTGCAAAAGTAATTGGTAGGAAAATCGGGCTGTATTCTCGATATTTTGCTTCATCAATAGCTCCTGTATCATCCAATATACGACGTGAGTCGTAGATGCTTCCTGTATTGTCATAGGCATCCGAGCCCGTTAAGGGGAGGTACGCCGTAAACCAAGTGTTCGTATAATAAAGAATTGGTGCAACCACGGCGTATACAGAAAACCAGCCGGCGAACACATTAGCTTGTGCCCAGAATGGGATCACCAGAGGTGAAGTGTTATATGCAATCTGGCTCCAATCGAATGTAACTGGAAGATACCCAAGGCCAGTCGTCATACCAAATAAATTATTAAGCACTTTGTTATCTATATAATTAAGTCAGATTAATGTCTCCTGGATAAGGATACCAGATGAGGTCATACTTGGGGTCGCCCAGCAAATGAACGCGAAAGTACTTAGGCCAGTAAATATATACCCTGGAAACCAGTACCAGCAGAAGCTTCCAATAAAGACATACAAGAAGAACTGGTAACGGGACACTTTCCACCCATCAGCTAATTGATTCGCGCCACTATGCAGCGTTTGAAACAGAGCTGCATTAGCTAGGGTAGAAGGCCAAATCTATCAAGACATTAGTGGCTATTTAAACAGGCATAATGGTCTAATTACCATTTGTGGTGGCTCGATAATATACCGGTATGCTAGACCAGCGAGCCCAAGACCAAACATCTGCATTGACAGCGACAGCAGAATCTGATATCCTACTGGTGTCTCCATCTTCAGATATACTTTTTGAGCCTGGATGATCGCACTTGCCTGTTATAAATGTCAATATCTCCACCAACAGGCTCTATATTTCAACTTACCCATGATTGATTGAAACTCAGGTTCGACATGATCGTAATCACGGCGTGCTCCTTGACATTAAAATGATGGTCTGGATTGATAGATATATAGATACCAAAGACGCGAATTGACATGATAGGAAATGCCTTCGCAAAAAAGCAGCCAACAGGGTAGCTGATCAGCTGCGCTACCAGCGAAGTAATTGTTACACTGGGATACCGCATGGAAAAGAATTGATTCACTCCAGTACCAACCTATACTTGCGTCAGTCAAAGCTGTATCTATTGACTCAAGCATGGCTAGAACATACCAAAGTAAACACAACCCCCAAAGACCACATTCGAAACGTGTTTATAGGCAATGTCACGTCATCCGTGTTGGGTACGTTGGCTCGAACCTCCAGGTAAGGAGAATTATCCGAGTCAATAGTATACTCGACATTTTGGCTTTCCCCAGTGGCAATCTCCAAGGCGTCCTCAGCCGTCAAGGGTTTCTTGGGAGTCCCATCATTCTGAAGTGGTGGGTCCTCGCGGCATTCTTCCACTTCTGCGTGTTGCAGTCTCTGAGAATAAATCATGGAAATGTACAAGCGTGCAAGCACAACCACCTCTCAAAAATAATTTAGTTTGAGATATAGACAGTAAGAAAACCAGCTATTGCAAAGGGGCATCAGAGATTTGGTTGAAAGGATCTCGATGATAGGGAGAAGTACTTCCACTTTATAATGCGAACACCTGCCATATTTTTTGCGAGAACCATATCAATCCCGTGAGCCACGAAAGAGGAGATCCGGATCCAAGGTAAGCGAAGAGATAGAGAAATCCGTTGGTTGAAAGGTTGCCCCTCCCCCAGACAAGTCTCTATCGAACAGAAATAGAGTGGATCACTAGGGGATAAACCACAGTGCGGAGAAATCCCCAGAAAAGCCATCCCGAATAAGGCTAGTGACGAAGGATCAGGAACGTTGAGTAAGGTCCAAGCGACGGATAACATTCCTTTGCATGCCCCAACGGATTCCTGTGCGAAACAAGAACGCTAGTCTCGCGCTATGTTGCGATTTTGGCTAAGTGCGACGGTGGGGGCTTTCATATGGATCGATCGACGGAGACACCAGTCGACACGACTCCTTCCTCGCCGGTGGGGGGCTTTTCACATCAACTCCGAGGCGAACAACGCAAAACCAAGCGCCGGGAAAGGAATAAGTCCATGGAAGGACCTAGCTTAGATAGTCCTTGACAGTGATTGCGCGATTCGTATCATCCGAATAAAAAGGAACCACCTATCGAGTGTATTTCGGTAAGCCGGTGGCATGATAGCTCCTCGTCTGGCCCTTCGCCTGGACCTTCCTGCTATTCAGTTGACGTCTTCCACCAGCATCTTATAAAGAATGCAACTCACAGGTCTCAAGAATCTCTTTCCTATCATTAGCCTAGTTCCTATAACCAGCCAACCTTGTTAGATTTTATTCGGGGTTTCTTGTCTTCGTATTTTCTTCTAAACATCTACAGTCCAACACCAACACCATGGCAATCACCAAATCCTCGTCAATACTGGTCATTGGTGCGGGTACCTGGGGTGCTTCCACAGCCCTTCACATGGCTCGTAGAGGATACAACAACGTGACAGTCCTCGATCCTTGTCCTGTTCCCTCGGCTATCTCCGCGGGGAACGATGTTAATAAAATCATCTCGTCCGGACAGTATAGCAACCGAAAAGATGAGATCGAAATCAACGAGATCCTGGCCGAGCAAGCGTTTAACGGCTGGAAGAATGACCCATTATTCCAACCTTACTACCACGATACCGGTCTTCTGATGTCCGCCAGCAGTCCGGCGGGCCTGCAGCGTCTGGGAATCCGTGTGAGGCCCGAGAAGGACCCTGATGTGGTCGAGGTATCTAAGCCCGAGCAATTCCGCCAATTGGCGCCCCAAGTGTTGAAAGGAGAATTCTCCGGATGGAAAGGTTATCACATTCGGTCTGGAGCTGGCTGGGCACATGCTCGAAATTCCCTCCTCGCTGCGATCGGGGAGGCCAAGAGATTGGGCGTGCAGTTCGTTACCGGGTCTCCACAGGGACGTGTCATCACACTTATTTTCGAGAACAATGACGTTAAGGGCTCTGTGACGGCGGATGGCAAGATTTGGCGAGCAGAACAGACTATTTTGTGCGCGGGTGCAAGTGCAGGCCAATTCTTGGATTTCAAGAAACAGCTCCGACCGACTGCGTGGACTCTTGTTCATATAGCCTTGAAGCCTGAAGAACGGGCGCTCTACAAGAATATGCCGGTTATCTTCAACATCGAAAAGGGGTTCTTCTTCGAACCAGATGAAGAACGCGGAGAGATCAAGATCTGTGACGAACATCCTGGCTACACCAACATGACACAGTCTTCCCACGGTGATGTCAGGAGTATCCCCTTTGAGAAAACCCAGGTGCCGCTGGAATCGGAAGCAAGAGTCAGGGCACTTCTCTCGGAAACTGTACCCCAGCTAGCAGACCGTCCGTTCAGTTTTGCCAGAATATGCTGGTGCGCAGACACTGCCAATCGTGAATTCTTGATTGACCGCCATCCGGACCACCCATCTCTTATTCTCGGCTGTGGCGCATCTGGAAGAGGTATGTAATATAGATAGTTCAATCCCTTGCGGAGACTAACTCTACTTTACCAGGTTTCAAGTACCTTCCGTCAATTGGAAATCTTATTGTTGACGCCATGGAGGACAAAATGCCCCAAAAAATCCATGAGCTAATTAAGTGGAATCCAGATCTTGCTTCCAAAAGAAATTGGACGGACACCCTCGGAAGATTCGGAGGGCCCAATAGAGTTATGGATTTCCACGATGTCAAGGAGTGGACAAATGTAAAGCATGGAGACCCTCCCAGATTGTGAATAATGAACATAGATAGAGAAAACCAAGGGGCCAAAAAAAAAAAAAAAAAAAAAAAAAAAAGAGAAAAAAAAAAAAAAAAAAAAAAAAAAAAAAAAAAAAAAACTCCTGCGATAATTCCGGGGTATCAATAGAAATAGAAATGCAAAAAATGAGACCAAGATATCATCTATCTACTGCCCTCAGGGGAAGGAGATTCGCTAAGTTGATACGTCTCATCCGATACCCAATGGCGTGAGACAAGTCCAGAGCCCTGTACTTGTTGTTCTTCGTCACCTGGAAGTCTAGCAAAGCCGTCTACGCCGGCAAGTCCTTCTTTATCATGAGGTGTATCGCAAACTGGTGACTGCAAAGCGGGATAGTAACGGCGGTACGAGAAGTAGGCAACGAATGTGCCCAGAATAGAGCCGCAAGTGACATCATACACATCGTGTCTATAATCATCAAGGCGGGAAATGGCAATCATTAATGCACAGAGGAAGGGTATGAGTGCAATTAAACAACGACAAAGGTCGGTTCTGGGTCTATAAACGTGCATTTGGCCAGAAACGAAGCTATGTTAAAACAATATAGTTAGCGCCTTTGCACGGCGGTGGTAGCAAAATGGAGCCTTACAATGATAAATATCCCAGCCCGGCAAATGAAAAACTGCTATGACCACTAGGAAAGCTCCGCCATCCTTCCTGGAGAACGTGTTGGTTTGACTGCGTGCATACTTTCCAATTAATTAGGGAGTCTTCCGGAGTTCCCTTCCGGGGAATGCAGCGCGAGATCAAGTCAGGACGAGGCCTTCCAACGGTATTCTTGATTATATCGGTCAACAGCGAAGTCAGCATCAGGGCGACGAAGAACCCAAGCATAGTCACTTGGATTTTATGGCGGTTTGGGCGGAACATGGAAACCCAGAGGAGAAGAATTAGGCACGGAATAAGTCCAGCATAGACAATTGACCAGACTAGAAGTAGGCCTAAGTATTTGAGCCACATTTTGTCATTGTAAATAAAAACTCACCCACAGAAACCCTCTCCACCACGGCAAAGGGATATTGAATGCCCCTGTCGTCCAAAGAGAACATGCGATGGAATGGTGTCACAAAGAGCTGGATCTGTAGTTCCTTTGTTACTAAAATTGCAGTGAAGTAAACCAATCCAATAATACAAACCAAAATCCACCCTCCTACAATACATGCTAAAGCAATGTAGTCAATTGCAGGAAAAGATCGGTGACAAAAACGAGAGAAAGCGCCAGATACTCCGGGTGGGGTTGGGGAAGGAATGGCCGACCCAGCAGCCAATCCATTGCGGGGCATTTCCACAGAATTACTTAAGAATAATAAAACACCATGAGAGATCAACAGTTCCCAAGAAGAACCGGAGCGAGGAAGAGCAGGAACGTGAGATGGAAGGCTGACCCTTGCCAGGGTGGAAGATCAAACAACAATGGGCTAAGCTGCCAAGAAGGCGCACGGGCCGTGGTTGTCCGCCCGAATCTCCGCATCACACTGACGGAACCTTTCGACTTCATTCACTGTGCCTTCGACAGTCACTTGGGCATTTTCTTCGCAGGGACAATTCTCAGGCCTCTGGCCCCCTTATCAGTGGGAAATTCTACGACAAAAAAAAAAAAAAAAAAAAATCATGGCCGAAACGGGACAACAACGAGCCCTCACGACAGCCTTTCCGCCGCCCCCGCCTTTATGGAAACACTTCACAACAGTTAATATTAAGAAACTTGAAGAAATCAAGAGAGATGCCACCAAGGGAGAAGATGGAAAGCCACAAAAGAAGAAGACTTGGACGCCCACTGAACTACGCTCTCTAGATCTACCAACGGAGCTTCGTTTCCTCGTGCCGCCAGAGATACCTATTTCCGGACAGTACAATGTGTTTGGAGAGCTACAAAATGTGAGACCAGCGGCACCTACCAGGGATAGAATTCTAGCTTACAAGTGAATCGCAGCTCTCGACCAACCTTCCTTCCCTGAAAGATCAAGGCATCACGCAACTCTACCCTGAGCCCCAATCAGGTGCCAATGGTGAACCTACGTCAGAGCGCCCTCAGCCTTTAAACCACGCATATTACCTACTTAAAATTAGCAAGTCCCTCTTGTTAAACTTCCTCGAATTTGTTGGTATACTATCGATCAATCCGGAGCAATTCGAGCCCAAAGTGGAGGATCTACGCAATTTATTCATCAATGCCCACCACCTTCTAAATTTGTACCGACCTCATCAAGCACGTGAATCCCTCATTCTAATGATGGAGGAGCAGCTAAACCGCACAAGGGAGGAAATTCAGCAAATGGACAAGTTAAAGGATGAAATTTCGGGTGTTCTAGAACAGCTGGAGAAAGAAGGTGCTGACGTTCACACGGCTATTGAGACCACCGACGAACATGATAAAAGGGCTGCTATCCCAGAGCAAGATGCTATTGAAAATTCAACTTTGGTTTGGAAGCTTCTAGACGAAAATAATTGAGCTGCCTTGTTTTGAGCCCGAAATTTGTTGCCCTGATGCGCGAAAAGGCCATTCGTCCCACAGTCAGCAACCCGTTCTCCCTTCTATTCTTGACTGGCGCCACCAAAATCCTGGGCCTTCAAAAACAACCGCTTATGTGCCCAGCTGCATATCCTGTGTCAATTCGCTTATGTACCTCGGCCCTTACAAGAGTGGTTGGACAGTTGACGAATTTGAAACCGTCGAGTCACGGTGATTTTGTGCCTATTAAAAGCAGCATGAACATGCATTTTTACAGCAATTGGTTGTACTAAGGAAAGTGCAACTTGAATACTGCATCTCCTACTGTTGTGTCGGAATAATACTTCATCCGTGGGAACATCACGTGTCGCACTAACTCCTCGCAATTAAAATCCCATCGAAATTTCTCTTGCGAAAAAACTTTTTTATCAACATTGCGTCTTCAGCAAATCTAGAGTTGAAGAATCCACCCTGTCATGTCAGACTTGATGAGCTCAGAAGACACAGGAAAAGTGCTCGATTAATGGTTATCTCTCAATACTCCTTTGCTTATAACCTAGGTAAGTTGAACTACTTTTATTCGCATCTCCTAAATGATGATTGATGCCTTATTTTCTTTGTTTCAACCCCATCTGAGAGCACACAAAAGTGCTTTTTGATTATAACTGTGCATCTAATATCTGAAATGGAGCTTTCAAAACTGAATGCTTATTGGAATATCATTCGCATGTGGAGTTCTTGCTAACCTTCTTGGTTTAGGTATTTTAGTTGTTTAGATGGTGTCTAATGAAAACTACTTATCACCTGCCTGATTTTTCTATCTCTATCTTGTAGCTTGCTACGTCGTAACATGTTCAATGGCCTGAAAATCTGCCATCCCGTCTCTATCTCTGGCAGTCCCATACATGTCAATCGCCGCTCAATGAAACCCGATTTTCCCATACAAACTGGTTCTCAGTGTAATAACTCTGCAACAACAGTAATAAATTGCTTTAATTATAAAAGCTGTAATAAGCATACTACTGTCTATTATTTCAGTACATCAATTCTTTACACTGCCTAAATGCTTGATTCTTCAGACAATTTTAGAAAAAGACATACATCTTAAAATCTATCTATAATTTATTTCATATCATAATTGTAAAATAAATCTTTAAATACATGTAAAGTTATTCCATTCCAAAAACTGCCACCTTATATGGGATAATAGGTTTTCATTGACAGAGTCTGCCAGAATGGTAGGAGAGAAAGGTAGAGTATTAACATAACCATTGTCAAAATATACTAAATAAGGACAAGAGAAGAGAATCTGAACTCCCTATCAACAGAAATGAGCATTAACCAGAACGCTCTTTCCACGCCTTCTCAATAGCGCAGGCCGCAAGTCGATACAACTCAGTAACAAAGTCAGCCACACGCTTGATGTGGACGATCTCAGTGACGGAGTAGGGTTGTTTCAAGAATATACGATCCATCATGGTCGTGGCGGTTTTCAGTAAGCCCAGGTCCTTTGTGGCCTGTGGGTCGGATGGGTTTTGAAGAATGTTGCAGAAAATAGCCAAGACAGCAGACATAGGGTAGAAAATTAGAGTCCTGGAACTATGATGTTAGTACGTGTCTATGTAGATTAATTCCGGGGGCCGGGGGTTTCAAAGTGGCTTGCAGTGCTTACCAGAAGATACCGTCGACAAGGACATGTGCAGCAGCCTCGAGGTATAAAAGAGTCGAGCGACTGGCCTCGACAGAAAGCGCCAAACTGGAACTCACGCCGTCCATCATACCGCCCTGTCGGTTTCCCCATGCTTTGCATCGACTGCTTGCTTGGTGGATTATTGTCATGCATAAATGGTAATTAAGGCGCAGCATGACAGAGTGCATGCTAACATTGGGGTCTGGGGTTTCGTGCGAGAATGACAGTGTCGGTCTCCACTCAGGAGGAACGGATATACGCCACCGTTCGAGGTCATCGTCCATTTCACGAATTTCTTTCAGAAGTTCTGCATCGGTCTTCTTAAGCGCTTTTAATGAATAAAGTACGCTGTAAGCTCGAGATTTAATAATACTCAGACGGAGATCGACTGGGAATAATGGGCTTTCTGGAAATTCCCGCGAATGGTGGTGATACTCCATGCTACTGTAGAGCTTTTCCACATAGCCGGGAGGCATTGTTAGATCACAGTTCTCTTCTGTGAACAGTTGAGGCTGGCCGGTCCTGAAGCAAACGTCTTTCTCCATTGTATAACAAACCCAGAATACATTTCGCAGCTGCCGCTGAACGCGTGCATCGAAATCCTTGTGGGGCTCCAGAACTCCGGTTGGTTGGGATGGAGGAGCATTGGCACCTATCATGAAGATCATGCGAGCTGCAAGAGAACCATGGTAGTTTGCAGCCTGCAGGTTCCCAGAGACCAGTTCACACAGTGCCTAAAGTCCAGGTAGATCAGTATGTGTTGATATCATAAGCAATGTTATGCGAACATGGGACAGCTTAACAATAATTGAATTAAATGAGCAGTCTTTTCCTGCTATTGGTTGGACTTACTAGCATTGTTAGCGCCTGTATCCCTTCTACTGACGGGTTTTCTTGCAAGATCTGTGGTAAAAGATGCTGCGCTTTCAGTGCACACTCCTCGCCGTCAATAGACGGGAGGTCCGTGCCGTCGGTGTTTAAGCAAGGGTCTATGGCAATTGAAAAGGCAAGGAAGGCAAAAACACATGCTCGAACACCTGCCCTCGTACAGTGCGCATTCTGATCTAGATTCTGGTACGCGACTTTGATAGTGTCCCAGAATAGAACACGATCTAAGACGGGAAATACCCGCTGCATCAGAGAGTTGCAGTATGCATCAAACCTTAACTCGACAATTCGCCGGTCCGGTAGATGAAATATGTTTTGCGTCCGAAGACTCATCAATAGTTCATTCGAGCTGATTGCGCGTTGCTTTTCCCACGGTGGTCTTGATGGGCTAAGCTTATCAAAGGAGATGGTCTGCCCAGTCCGCGATTGAACCCACTGCCGCCCCTCTGGAAGCAAGAATGGGATCCCTGTCATGAGACTGACAACTCCAAACTCCCTCCCTGCGAAATGAAGAGGTACGCAGCCAGAGACAGCCGGATCGCCAGGAGATGGCACATTCGATGGCAGTGACAATGATGATGTACTTGCTATACTCGGCGTAGGAAGAACAGGTGATTCTTGGGGTTCTTTACAGATCGATCAGTTCCGTTTAACAGAACCGGATATGGATTACCCACCGTTTTCTTTCAACAGGTTGTCCGTCAGTAACTTTTCTATCCTTTCAATGCGCTCGGCCAAACGTGTCGACTTAAGCGGTCTGCGGGGAACGTTGGAGTCAACACTGTTAATAGTTATACAACCTTGATAGGAAGCCTTAATTCATCATACAAGTTTTCATTGTTTTTCTCTTTTCTTTTCCTTCGAACCACCCTGTCAAATGTACATGGAATATTATGGTGACTACACCAGTTACATTGGGGAGCAGCGGCATCACACTTGATCTATGTGCGAATTAGCATGATAGTAGCTATGGTGACATCCTTGAATAGTATAGTAGTACCTTTCGCTTATAGCATGCGTCACACGCTCTTGCAGTACGCTTCTTGCGCAGCTCGGTACTATCCTCGTCCGACCTACCGGCCGAAGTTGGAGACAAATACATGTGAGCGGTTTTTCCGCAGAGACTAGGCAATCTGTGTCTGGTACACAAGATCGAGACAAAATATTATGCCGTAAAACCGCTGGATATAAATGGGTAACAGCGATTGGGAGATGGATAAAATGGTCAGGATTAAGAGGCGATTACCTTGACAAAAGGAAACGCGAAGCTGAGGGAGAGAGGCGACATTATTAGTAAGCAGGAAAAATGCTCCGATGCTGAGCAGTTTTACAACAATTCAGATTCTGATAGGCCTATAAGTATATTCCGAATCAACCTAAAGAAGGAAGAAAGTCATCTCCCCCATGTAATTAAAAGTCATCATTTTGCGTACATCCATCGACTAGTCCAAAACAAAACCGATTCCACATCCATCACTTTCTCTTCGTCCTCCAACGAGAGCTCCACCGCCGGCTAGCCCACGAGATACTCAATGTATCCGCGGCAATCTCTCGCGGGAGGCTTTCTCCTCTAGAGTAGTGTCGGTACATCAGGCCCGGGTCACTGGACGGAGAATAAAGACAGGCCTGCGCAATCTCGCTTGCCACCCCGGTTACATGTCGGACTTCGATCCGGCTGGGAAGGAGGATTGGCCGTTTAATCCGATCACGAGTCTGCGTGAGATGTAATGCAAGGACACCTCGATTGACGCCACCAGAGAGGCCAGCCACTATGCAGGGCGGTCGTTGGTGTCGCGGAGAGAGCTGTATCGGTTCACACACGTCCCTTAATGGATGATCGGTCAATCTGAGACGGTTACTGGGCAATTTGATCGTCCGCTAGACCGAGTGTGGCACCACACAGACTGTCCCGATACACCACCACCTTGGAGATCACCTGCAGTGTTGTCCACGCCATCTTGTCTGCCACCGCGATGCGGTGGATGGGAGACCCGGGAATCATATGGCCAGGGCGCGGACTGACCTTGCCCAGGAACGGCGGCCTCCGCGACACAGGATCTGGCGGTCGTCTCGCTTGGGGACAATTGATGTCTTCCAACCTACGAATAGTAGGTCCATCAAGACAGTCTCGGCTGCCCAGTCAGTTGTCCTCCCTGTCCGTGTCGTCCTTCTTTATAGTCTGCGATTCACCCTCCTGGCAGTCGCCAATCATAGTCGCCGATCATAGTCGTCAGTATGTGTATAAATCTTTCGGCAGAAGTGCTTTAGAAAAGTACCAGCCTCGACTTCCAGTATCCATTTAGCATACGTTCTCCATAGCTATAGGGAAATAATTCATATATACTTGTCTCGAAAATATGCTCTACGAAACCGGGCGTTTTTATATACCGCTATAGCCCCTCACCCGCTTTTGGTGACACTTACTCCTCCAAGGGTGTTGGCTCCTTCTTGATCTTGGCCTTGGTGGATATCATCTTGAAGGGCGCAGAAGACGGTACCTCTGCCTGAGACGGTTTCTTACTTGGTTTACAGGGGGCATTTTCGCTTTCCGCTAGATCCTTGATCTTGAAAGGCGCGAGAGAAGGGGGATTTCCTGTTTGGCGATTTCATTTGTTTTGCTTCCTGAGCCGATTCCCTCATCTTAGGAAGATTGCGCAATTTATCCCAAATCAGAAAGTAGACGCAAGTAAAGAGAACTAACTCCAGGGTCTTGATAGAAGTAGAATAAGAAGCTGTTCCAAGTAAACCCAGCTGGGCTATAAGCAGTCGAAAACAAAACCAATGGGTGTGATTTGTCGGTTCTTTTATAGATGACTTTATCGGTTGAAGGGATGCGAGGAAGTGTTGATAAAAATTGGAAATTGGAAAATTGTTCGGTTCAGTCCATTCCTTGTCACCCTTGAAATACTCCGCATGGGTTGTACGGCAGCCACAGAGGAATATATAGTTCATATAGTTTACTCCGGCCTGGACTATCTTTTCGACTTGCTTATATCCCATCCTAATTTCGGGAGTCCGCATGGAATTCCAGCTCTTACCCGTACAGGAGGTTTTGAAGCTGTTTCATCCATTTCACTGGATCTTTTGAGATTCCAATATTATATATGCCACTTTCTCCCGTTAGTTCAGAAAACACATATGCATGTCCTCTCGCCAGTCTGTTCTGGGGTGGATAACGGCGATCTTATAATCTTGTTTATTTCCGTGAATACCCCGTCTCTGTTTTTTACTATTTCTGTGTGGACAAGACATCTTTTTGCTGTCTGCTGGGTGAGGCAGATTTTTGATGTTGTCTGAGAACCGATGAGTCTCCTCATCGTCTCTGTCATCATGGCCCTATCCATTCAAATCGGGACTTCCTCTGAAAGAGATATGCCGGGTTCTGGGGTCTCAGATTGTTCCATCCCTGAGTCCATCGCAGGGCTACCATTGTCGACATTATTATGATCCGCAAGTGCTGCACTTTGATCTATATTCGGTGGACGTCTTGACGTAAACTTTAAATTTAGTCCCTGTGTGGTCCGTTGTTTCTTGGGTGCCTTGGCTTTCCTTTCAGAGGGCGATGGACTAATATTGCTTGGGTCGCTCTCCTCTGGAATCGGGATTCTTGGCGTAGAGAAATTAATGGACTTGCTGCCATTCTGGTGGCTCAGAAGAGGCGAGTTTTGCAGCGATTTGGGCGTCTCAATACCTGCTTTCGATGGTGTCGTGCCAAGTGTAGACGAGCGTGTTTACACCATATCTCTAGTCCTACACTGACGATTCTAACTAGTATAACGGACAATAGAGGTCTTGTATTGGCTATAATGGGCTAGTAATGGCGATATGGTTGTAGCTTGGACCGGTGGGACAAGGGCGCGACACACGACTACCGACGTAGCCGGGGTTTAAATGTGTATGTTTAATCCGTATCTTTTGGTTTGCTAACGCATCAAGAAGGCTGGGGTTGTAATCTGTAAACCCTTGTACAGAAACCACGTTCAGCTTCAGGCAGCGGCATATGGAGCATACCCCTAACGACTAGCCTTGTCGAGCACGCAGCCATTATTGTCCGTCCTTTGCTTTGAAACAGCCTGCACCGAAACCGGCAGGAGTCGTGACGGCGACCCTGATCATGGTCGCAGGCTAGCTGCACACTGCCATATCTGGCTTGGGAGCGTAGGTTGGTTCAGCCGAAGACTGAGCTGCTAATCCTGATGGTACCTGGAATATACAAGTTACGTTTCAATTTTGAACAAGGTGAACAATATAAAAGTGCGACTGGATGCAAAAAATTGAGGGAAAAGAAAGGTGCCCTGTAAACAGATATCATATCAACAAAACTAACCAAAACTAACTAATTACTATCCCAACTCTACCCGCACAGAATCCTGCTGAACCTGTTGAGCATAATTCTAAGAAAGACGCAAAGGTATGTATAGTCTTTTAGGTTGAGTAGTTCAGACATGAGTTTCCTCCACAAAATCCACCGGATCACAAGCCCGCATTATTTATTTCCCTGCAATAATCGAACAACATTGGTCTTGTAACTATTTACCAGTCGTGGTTCCTCATTTGAATACGCTAGTTCCCTGTCGATGGAAAAATCCCGTGGTTAGCTAGATTTCTATCACTCAGGGTGGTAAAGGGATTCCAACCATCACATAACCGTACAAATGCAGCAGTCGCATTCCTCATCCCCACAGTCACAGCCAAAGCATGGTTTCTGGACTGCTTTGATGGGTTGTCTGATAGACGAGCCGGAGCTGGAGGGAAGTGTGAAGTTGACAGGCGACGAGATCGAGGAGGTAGCCATTTTAGTTTCGATATTTTGCTTGGTCTTGACTACTAGAATAACGAGACCTTAACGGACGATGGAAAAGAGTAAAAACGAACTATGAACAGATCAAGTCCACATCGATAAATCAAGCCTTATTATATCCCGCTAATTTCACTAGTTGCAAAATGAGGAAGTCGGTCTAGAAAAAGTATGTTGCAACAGGCAGCTAAATTACTGCCAATGAACAAAGAATAGCAACCAAATTAAATAAGACACTTTTGGTTTTCGTTTCTTTTTCTTTTTCTTTTTCTTTTTTTAAGAATTTTAAGGTCAGACTCATCTACAAGTCACGCTTATGAACAGGATAGATAGGTTCAGACCACTATGGTAGCAAATTTGTAAACAAAAAAAAAAAAAAAAATCAAAATCAAATGTGCGAAAAACATATGTACATCGGCTTTTTTTCGTCAATCATCATCACGTGTAACCCAATACATCTCTTCTATTCATCTTCCAAATTTCATCGCACATTTCGCAAAGAGAGTACACCCTCGATGCAACGTCGGGGTATCGTCTAAGTGGTATCCATTATCCTTCTCTTTCTTTCATTCATTTTTTGATTCTTTTCTTTTAGATGTTCAGTCTATTCATTAAATAGTATTTCCTATGTAATCGTCAAGCAGTCATTACCGAGTGGCGCTGTCTTTACAGCTGCTCAGCCCAAGGAGCAGCTCCCGGATGCATCTGGTTCAGCCACTTGACAAGCTCGACGAGCTCAGCACGGCGCTCGTCCTCGAGCTGGTCTTGATCACCGCAGAGGACAGATTGGAAGATCGGTATGAGCTGAGGAGTAAGCTCCTGGATTGTGCTATCCTCCCACTTGTCTGTAGTTAGGTTAGCTGCAAGTCCAAGTCATCATACACTAGGTATACATACACAGCTGGCAGATCATGCGATACAAGGGATCATTCTCCTCAAAGTCGTTCTTCAGAGGCAGGAGTCCAACCAGGGCAGGTAGAACATCCTTAAGCGGAATGCTTTCACGGTGTCGGAGGATCATGCGGCTGATGCAGCCGGTAGCATTGTCCTGAAGCCGGGAGACATTTTGATGCATGCAGGACTCAAGTTTGCCAAGAATAGTAGGGTACTCCTGGATGATCTCAGCAGCGTTGGAATGCTCGACGAGACGGCCAACAGCATAGGCAGCGTTGGACTTGGTCTGTGGATCCTCATCACCGAGACGGTGAACCAGAAGTTTGAGGAAGGCAGGAGTGAACGGGGTGACAGCAGAGCCCATGCCATTAATGCACTCAGCGAGAACACCAACAGCAGTGGCACGCTCGAGCGACTCGCTGCTTCCAGCGTAACGAAGGATGGTCTTTTCAAAGACCTTCCATAATTCGGCGAAGCTGGGACCGAGGGCGGCAGCCAAGCCGGAAACAACGTCGAGACCAGTATCAACAACAACCCAGTCGAATTCCGAAGTCTCCTCACCGGCCTCAAGGGCCTCTTCTTCAGGAGCAAACTCGACCTGGCAAGGGTGCTGCTTAGTGATGATATCGGTAATCATTTGGATGACGTTGTGGAGGGTAGTCTCGTTGGCGACAAGGGAAGGACCACAGTAGCGCAGGTTCTCGGCCATGTTGCGGTTGATATCAGCGACAGTAGCCCTAGGTATTCATGGTTAGAAATTGAATAGGCAAAATAGTTCAAAATCACCAAGGACTGTGTAAATTGAAATTCAGGTACTGATAATAATCGTCCTTAACATCAAGTACGCTTCTTGCGTATCTGAGTGAGCTGGGTAAACGAGTGTATTCATCATTACAAATTGACCCGCATTGGGGAAAAACTTCAAGGCAGGTCTGAAAAGAGAACCAAAACTGGAATTGTAGAAAAAATACGCACCGATCGTCTTCCTCAGTCCACATCTTAATGGTGGCAGTCATGAGAATTTCACCAAACTTCTTCACCTCCTTAGCAGGCTCAACCTGCAAAGGCAGGCCAGGCTGCCATTTGGCCATCTGGCCACCCTCCTCCGCAATCGCATACAGCATGGCGTATGAGCGGTGCAGGGTACTGATAGTGCTCTTGCGCACACCTTCATAGGGATGCTCGGCGAGAGGCAGAACCATCTCGACGGTCTTCTCAAAATAAGGCAGGTAGGCAGACTTGGTGTGGGTAACCAGGTCACCAATGACTTCGACGGCAATTTCCTTCTCGAGAGACAGGGGAGTCGTGGCAGTGATATCATCCCAAGCATCGTCATCCTCGTCGACATCAACATCTTCGATGTCGCCATCTTCGCCGACAGGCTCTTCATCATCATCAGCGCTGGCAACCTTGACCTTGCGACCGGCAATGGTCACCTCCTGGCCGACGAGATCCTTAGCAGCCTCACCAAACGAAAGCTCAAGGTCGGTTTCATCCTGTTCAATGCAGGCAAAAAGACCCTTGACAACACCGTCCAGGAATGGAGAGAAATGCTCGACGTAGACCTTGGCCATGGCACCCCAGAAGATGTAGGTGCTCTCCTTGAGACGAGAGTGGCCCAGGTGAAGAGCCTCCTCGGTGGCACGCATGAGAGGCTCAACATAAGGCTGGTAACGCTCAGGTCCAGCGGCAGCAGCCATTTCGCCCATAGCATCTGTCACACTAGCACGCAGGTCCAACTCATCCTCGCTGTCCTTGACAGTGGCAAATTCCTGTAGCAGATGCATCGAATCGTCAAAGAATGGCAGGAAAGAGTCACCTGCTGAAGAGGCAAGCGAGCCTAGTGCAGCAGCAGCAAGGCCCTTGATTCTGAAGTCAGGGTGCTTGAAGAGCTTGTGCAGGATGGGAACCAATTCACTCTGATAAGGAGCGACATCCTTCTCATCCAAGCCATCAACCACAGAATCAATTGCGCTGATACCAGCCTTCATGATGTCAACATTTGGGCCATCTTCTTCACCCTTGTATTCCTGCATAGCGCTAGCCAAGTTCTTGAAAAGCAAAGGCATGAGCCTTTCGTGCTCCTGGCTCAAGTCCTCGGCCAGGTCATCTGCCAAGCGTGCTACAGAGTGCAAGGATGCCTGGCGGACCTTTGGCTCCGGATCAGCGAGAAGCTGGAAGACCATGGGGAAGATTTCCTTCATTTGAGTGCTGATAAAGTCGGGAGCACCCTCAACACACATTCCGAGAGCCATGATGCCGGCCCGGCGATAGTCTGGGTCGTCGTTGTTGAAGTACTGGCCCAAGGACTGAAGAAGTGGCACGACAACCTGGCTAGGTGGCAAACTCTGAGCCAACATATCAAGTAGACCCAGGGCAGACCGTGCGGGGGTGATGTCGTCGTCGCTGGGAGAAGCGTCACCAAGCTCTGTGACGATGTGCAGAGCGGTACGAGTGAGCTGTTCACCGATGCGCATACCCTGGACCTTGAGCTTGCGATATTGCACGCACTGCATCAAGAAGCTGATAGCCTGAGTACGGGTGTCCTCATCAACCTGGGTATTGGCGGCAATTTCATTCATGAAGACAACGAGGTCCTTGAGATGGACGGTCATAAGGGCCGGGTCACATCCCAGAAGGGTCTGGAAAACCTCGAAAGCTTGCATGACACGGTCTTCCTGATTCTGGTCGATGGCATCCTTAAGCACAGCAACCATGGCGGGAAGAATCTCCTGGAAAGACTTCACAGGAGCTATGTTGTCGTCAGAATCAAGATGCATAGCAAGCTTGCTCAAGGCAAGAAGAGTGTTAATGCGGACTTCCTCGCTCTCTGGGTCGCGAATCGTCTTGTTGAACAGGTTGAACAGATCCTGGAATTTCTCCTCGAACCCCTCTCCAAGGGTCTCCAGAATGGTAAAAAGAATATAGGTGCCCACGGCACGTTCATCCTTGTTACCGCTGTTCGCGGCCTGGAGCAGGAAGTTGGGTAGGTCGGCCCACTCGCCATCGATCAGGTCAACCTTGGCAACAGCTGAGATCACACGAGCTATCGAGTGACGGACAAGAGAGGAGCCCTCGCTAAGTGCAGAACGCAGCAGCTGCTCACGGATCTGGGGCTTCTGGCCTGCTTGGACAGAGGTCCACTGCTTGTTCACCAAAGAGCGAGCCTCGACGGCAGCGAGCTGCCTCAAGTTGGCATCTTCATGGCTGGTTGCGATTTGAATGAGGAGGACTAGTGACTCAGCCTTGTTATAGTACTCGCGCTGAAGAACACCGGTGGCTTCCTTGACGTTTCCCTGAGCGGCTAGAAAGTCTCATGTCAGCAGAATGCTACCAGCAAGTAAAGCCAGGTTCTTCGGGTGGACTCACGATTCAGGACAATCTGAAGTTGTTGCAAAAATCGTTGCTGATCCATGATTGGATGATAACTTTATAGGAAAATAATTAGAAGGCGGAAAAATTTCTGCTTGTAGGGTTGTCCCGGTTCCTCTGATAAACAGGGGCTCCTGTATTAGGGACTGGAGGAGCTGTCAGTACTGAGACAGGCAGCTCAAAGGGTATCACAAATAAATATTTAACAAAAGAAAGAGATAACAGTTAAGGAGAGAAGAGAAAGGAGGGAGGAGGGAAAAGTGAGAGATGGAGGGGGAATAGGAAAGGAAGAAAAAAAAAAAAGTTTAGGGGTTTCGGAGTCGCTCTTTTTTTTTTTTTCTCTCTCTTAGTTAGCGCGCATAATTTCACGTGTGGTCGCTGCCCAACCGCGACTTTTTAATCTGTATCCACAAAAAAAAAAAAAAAAAAAAAAAAAACACGCACAATGATTAGTTACTGCAGAACTTTTTCATTTACTCTTACTTACTGGAGTACGTACTAGACTTTGTGAGAAAAATACTATCTAATGTTATGTTATGCTATTATTTTACTCCAGGTAAAGTCCTGGGTGAAAACCAGCATACCTCATGTACAGCACTTGGTAGAGGTTAGGAATAATTGAAGCCTATGACAGAGTACATGTTGCTGTTTCTCGTTACCGTGTGCCGTCTAAGAGTTTACCCCACAGAGATATGCTCAAGCCCAAATTAATCATGCTGTGCTTGGTTTCCATGCTTAATATGTGAACCGAACCTTGCTCTATCTTAAAAAAGAAGAGTGAAAATTCATTTCAAGTCAGTGCAATTCCAATTATATAATACATTGTAGATGCCAAGCCGTAGAATCTGATAGACATTATTACTTGAATTGATATTTGGAGATTGCGAGCATAAAAATATTTCCATCAGTGACTAATCCATTAAGCGTGAACACCAAAGCCTAGGTGTACATAGTCTCCTTAAATGAGCAGAAGGATAGCTAGTATTCTTCTGAATCATAACCATCGTCAGCCAGCAGGGAACGATATCCCCTGGACGCAAGGTTCTCTTCAAGGCCTCCATCGGAACCGGGGTCAGCATATCCTATAAGAACGGTCAGTACGTCGCATGACCATGGGATAAATTGTAGTAATATTTACCCTCTCCACCGAAATAGCTGAGTGCTACGGGTAAAAAGATGAGTGCATGAGTAGCAGCAAACAAAATCAGAGCTAGCCAGACACGGAAGTAGTAAATCTCAAAGATTTTACTACGCGTGAATGCCAGAACACACACACCCAGCAGTTTCGTCAAGGTAATACCACTGAAGACACTGCCTCCTACGTTGGCCAAAGCTGCCCAGGCCCGAGCATCCTTGCCCCGGAACTTGGTGGGCGCCTTTTCTAAAATAGCTCGGGAAGGGAACATGAAGGCTCGAGCAATATGAGCACAAAACTCCACCCCGATGCCGACGCAGATAATTAAGTTTACCAGCGACACTGCATTCAATGATACCCCAGCGACTGCCATAGATCCGATAACATCGACCACTATCATTACAACAGTGGCCGATACCACAGCTCCCGTCGCTACAGAGCCCAGAATGGTGGAAGTAATGGCGAAAATAATGGCAATCGCGAAGCCAAGTAGGGTGCCTGTTAGCTTCACAATAGACACATATTGGTCGAAGAACACGTAGGATTTAGAGTATGGGAATACATCAATACCATGCTCATTAGAAATGCCCTCTGCGATGCGACGAGCAGCTTTGTAAGAGTTAATAAAGTCATCTTGACTCCTGAGAGGCGTGTGTGCAGTTCTAAAGTGGCTCGCGTTTGTCATTAGTCGTTTAGGATCGATGACAAGAGCATTGCTATATGGTGCTTTCCCTCCCAAAGGACAGGAAGAGTCAGTAGGCGCTTCGATCCATTTTTCAACATAGTGGACGAATTCGGATCCTTCTGGCATGCCGTAAAGAGAGATATTCCAGGCAGGGCTTCTGTCTTCAAAGCAAAGCTTGCCGTCCTCTTTACAGCAATCTTGCTGCGGGTTTAACCAGTAGAAAAAGTCGTCAATCCAGCTCGCAGTGGACCCTGAAATATAGGAAACTTCGGGCCGTTTTGATTCCTGTTCCAAGACAAAAGAGAGAGAGAATTCTTCGCAGGTGGTGAAGCGCCCACAGAGCTGTTGTTGATGGTTTCGCTCGGTCACGTTCACATTTCTGGTCACAAAATATACTGGAGGCCCGCTCCCAAAGTAGGCGTCTAGATCATTAAAATATTGTATCAAATAGGAGTCGCTTGGGAGAGCGATGCGTTGATCCAACCCTAGTGCAACTTCTGGAATTAGAGCCAAAGCAGCTGTCAAGACACCCAAAAACACAACAACAATTATCACCTTGATCCTGCGTCCAAGAATGTGAGTAGCATACACTTTACGAATGAATGTCTGTAAAATACTCTCCCCACCTTGATCGTCAAAGATTTGGTCGTCAGCCATTCCAGACTGAGCTTTGCGCACTGTCACACATGGAAAGCAGTCCGCACGGAGACCCTCGACCCGTCTTTGATTCAAGGCAAGCACAGATAGAAACATAGTAATCTGTAAGAGAGCATTGATGAAGACAGCACCCGCAGCATAAACAGCAAAATTTTTCACGGCAGGCATTCCAACAAAGGCGCCTAGCGCGAATGCAAATGTTTCCGTAACAGCGGAGAGGAAAATGCTAGGGCCAATTCGGCCCGCAGCCCGAGCAATTCGCTCATCAATTTCTTCGTCAGGGTGACTGATGTTAATCCGTTCGAACTCGTGAACTATTAAAAATATATTGTCCACTCCAACGGCTAATACGAGGAAAGGAATAACCTCCGCTATGATCAAAGTCGCTTTGACTCCTGCGGCAGAGAACAGCCCAACAGAAGCCGAGACCGACATTAGAACAATAAGAATGCCCACAATGCCTAAGGTAAACTTCGACTGAACAAGGGCATTGGCTGGGTTTGTAGCCAGGGATCTCCAGGTAACCGTAGCTGAGCCCAAAGCCAAGGATGCATATATAAACATGATGATGTAGCTGATGACTACAATCTTCGCGTCAGTGTTCGAGGATTTGTTAAGCTCTTGTTCGACGCTGATTTCTGTGTTGAAAGAAACACGAAGACCACGCTCTTTAGCTTCTTCTTGCACCACGTCAAAGATGCGCTTGAAGCTGTCTTCCCAATCAATAGCATTGGCTTCGCCTTCAGTTCCCTGAGCATGGTTGTTTACAACCCATGTAGCAACAAGTGCCTGTGCATCCAGCACATTGCCTGTTTCTTCATAGCCACCAAGAAGCATTTCAGGTTTGAGAGGTTGACCAAAGTCGGGAAGGCAGGCCAAATCACCTGGGGACTCCGTGCAATGTGTAAGTTGGTCTGCCCAGGTGTCGGGATCGAGATTCGTAACAGATCCGCCAAAGTAACCCGTCAAAGACTGGATTACACAGGCACCACCTGTTGGTTTAAAGCAGACGTCATCCAAGATCAGTTCCCGGTCCAAAGAAATCATCCGGCGAACTCGAGACTCGACATCGAACCACCAGCTTAAGGTTTCGTAATTTAGTATTCGACCGTCTCCGTCTGCAGTGCTGTTGACCACGAAAGCTTGCTCTGCCCGATAGAAGGGGCCGAAATTGGCATCGAAATATTCCTTCTCTTGGAAGGCTGCCGAGTTAGGGCTCACCCATAGCCGCACAGGGTCCCTTTCTACAGAAAATCTCATCCAACCCAGATTTAGCAATCCAACCACCACGAGACTAGTGAAAATGGTGAGTGATGAAAAGCGGGCGCAGGTGCCTGCGATGCGATTAAATAGGACGTCCAACGCGGAGTTCAATCTGTATACACCGCCGGGTTGCTCAATGTAACCCCCGGAGTGGATAATATCACCCTCATCCTCATCGTCGCTTGGGTTAGGATCCTGAAGAAGTCGAACACGTTCAGGCTTGCGATATCGTCGTTCCCTATATGTGAAATAACTGGAGAGCGCCACGACTAGTAATAAAAATACGGAGTAGATAAGGATCACAGAAAAAGACAGACAAGGCAGGAGTCCCACATAGCAGTGGGTGTTTGTTTCTACTGCCGGCAATTCCGGGCACACATCCGGACAGTCCACACAAGAGCAACGGAATGCCTCGTCCGAATCATTGCACGCTTTCGGCTTAATTGATAAAGCTTTCATGCCATGCGGGTCAGGTCCGACTGGCTCTGTTTTGTAGTTCATCTGGAATGGACTGCCCAGCAGTTTTTTGTCTCCCAGAAACTTCATAAACTGAGTATAGTTCTTTGCACCACCTCCGATGAAATCAATGGCCTTACCGCCTGAAGCACCATTCTTCACATTCTTGCAGCTGTCGAAAAAGCCACGCTGGTAGTCTTCTGACCACACGTTGTCCAACTCTGTCACAAGGAATTTGTCGGGACTTTTCTCTTCAGTTTGTGTCACATTTACGAAGAGAGACTGATCTGGCGAGCATGTAAAAGTGCAGAAAGTGTTGAAAAAGTTCTCTTTGCACGCAGGGCAGGAGGCTATAATTCCCTCGGCCAGTTTCAAATTCCTAGAAAGCGCATCGACCTAAGAACTCAACAGCGTCAGTATAACCACAACACATATATAGGCCGGCCTTGGTGGATTTGAAAACTCACCTGCTCATCTTCACAACACACTGGCCCTTCTTCCCATTTGCTGCCACATAAATCTACCAATTTCTTCCTCACCGTTGCTTCGGGCTCCTCCGCAACTCCATTGTCCGGACACGGCAGCTCTCCCCCAAAAAATGACTGCTTCCCACAGTGCCCTCGGATGGCACAGCGGCCTTTTTCATGTATTTTTGTTTCTCCTTGGGCTAAAGCATGGGGTAGAAGAAGCGAGCCCAGACCAGCAACGAAGGGTATAGAGCGGAGTCCCCGCATGATCGGAAGAATATATGGTGGTTGAGCCGATCGGATGAAGGGATGACCAATTTCAGGGAAGTCATCCGAAACAGGTGACGTAGAGAAGAACAGAGCTCTGACTTGGCCAAGGAGTCAAATGGGATAATGATGGCCTCACGCAACAGTAACTTTGAAGGGAGTGTGGTATCAATATCCGTACCACGTCCCCCACGAACGAGTTAAAAATTGGGATCAACTATACATGGGCAGTTGAGTGGTGCCGACCAATATGGTGAACCATGCTAGGTAATGATGAAGATATAGGAGGAAGGAGAGGAAACAAGGGAAGAGGCGGAGAGGGCGGCAATACGTAAGCGGAGAAGCACTGCTTTGATTGCGTTGTTCCTCGGAATGACATGAGCGGTGTCTGGAAGCAAGATCCTAATCCGTTGGGCGCTAGCTCAGGCACTCCGTCGATCTCTACTAGCAAGCCTGAAGAGTTGAGGTTTCTCACGATGGATTGGTAGACTTATTGATGCTATTGGCTGCCCTGAAATCGGACGCCACTTTTTTCTTTTTTCCTTCGTTTTGCGTTTTCTTTTCCGATGAAACTAATCGGCCTGGAACATTGTGGCATAAATGTCATAGCCTACAAGGATTAATCACATTGATCGTATGACCCAGTCCAAAACGTGCAAAGCCGAGGGTATATTTTAATACAATCTTGTATTATAACCTGGAATATTTTTGGCTACCTTTAATCCTAGCCAATAGCAAATTACTACTATTAAGAATATAGTTGCATTCTGTATTATGAGGTCGCACTAATTTAACGACCTATATTTTAGTACTGCCGCTTTGTTAAGTTGCTTTCTTAACCAGCCTCTACCGTTACCTACCTACCGAATTATCTATGATCTATGTAGTTAGACAGGAGCGTCCTATAAATGCGCGTTTATCTGTACGCAACCAGTCGCCATGGTCATTGACCGCAAAGCATTTCCTTTGTAAGATGACGTATGAAAAACCACAACATTGAATCAATGGCAAGAATATAGACAATCAGATCTTGGTTAACATCCGGATTGTCAGTCACAACACCTGATAAATACTGGAAGGTCATACAGCCACACCCATAGCCTCCTATTTAGGCCTAATATGGCATAAAATAGTTTAACATAATCGGACACCGAGTGGCCGATTTTTTCGCCGGCTCAACCCTTGAATCTCATGGATCCTACCAATACTGCAGAATTGTCGCAAATTCAATATTAGTCAATATATAAAATTTAAAATTCTGCTATTTACCTGGATACATTAAGCAGTTATTGTTACGGAAACACTATAATCCGACCCGGCGGTGCGGATTATCTAACGATCGATTCCACCCCTGAATCCTTTAGACAGTAGAACACCTCAATGAGAATATAGGGAACTACTTAGTAGGCTCAGCTGGTTGAGATACTGCGATTCCTAGTGATTCCACTGAATGACATCTACTTCCTAGTTAAGCTAGTTAGCCTGGAGCTGATAGAATGGCTCCCTGCGCTGCTGCGCATCACTTCCCCCGAATTCCACAACAGTTACGACCAGCCTGGCCATATTCACTACACTTTGCAAAAGCTATCAGTTAATTAGACCATCTATCTACGGAGTATAAGCCCAAATTCCGCTTACCTACGGTACTTACCTGACCTTGGACCCTACCCCTCCTTTAACGTGGGTGGTGGGCTGGTTCTTATAATATGTATGGTCATATGCGTATAATATACACTATACTAGTTCAGATAGCAACTATACCAAACTAGATATAGTACAGCTAGCGAAGAAGGTGCGGTAGGAGAGAGCGGGCTGTGACTAAGTCAATTTCCGAAACATTTCTGAAGGTATAAATACATAGGATTATCAAAGATGGAAGGGGCAACGAAGGAGAGCAAAGATTATGTTGTCACTTATAGGGGTGAAATTGTGGAAAATCGGCATGCAGTTCATGTTGCAGTTACTGATGCCGAAGGCGAGCTTCTGTATGCTGTCGGTGACCCCTCGCGATTAACTTTGGCCCGATCTGCTGCAAAACCAGCCCAAGCACTGGCAGTTCTCGAGACAGGCGGTTTTGATCAATTTGGATTTGATGATGCGGATCTTGCATTGATGTGCGCATCACACAGCAGCGAAGAGAGACACATATCCCGGGCACTCGCGATGCTAGCCAAAGTTGATGCTAGGGAAGAAGACCTCCGATGTGGAGGCCACACTGCAATTTCAGAGGCAGTGAATCGGACATGGATCAAAAGTGAATTCACCCCTACTGCTGTGTGTAACAATTGTTCGGGAAAGCATGTTGGCATGTTAGCTGGCGCTAGGGCAATCGGTGCTGAGTTGGCCGATTACCACCTTCCAACACACCCGATCCAGTTGCGAGTTAAACGTGTGTGTGAGGAACTATGTGGCTTGGAAGAGGATACGTTGAAATGGGGTATTGATGGCTGCAACCTCCCGGCGCCTGCTTTGCCTCTCTTCTACATCGCAAAGATCTATGCCTCGATTGCTGCTGCTGCAGATTCTACGGAACAAAAAAATAGCCAGTCTGCTAGAACGCAAGCATTGGGCCGTACCTTTCGTGCCATGGTGCAATATCCAGAACTAGTTGGCGGCGACGGTCGATTCTGCACTATACTCATGCATGCATTCCAGGGTGCTCTCATCGGCAAAATCGGGGCAGAGGCCTGTTATGGAATGGGAATACGCGGGTCTGAACAAACCCGTCGGCTTGGGACAGGCGGTGCCATTGGAATATCAGCTAAAATTGAGGATGGTAATATGCAAATTCTTTATTCAACACTGGCAGAAGTCCTCGAACAACTCCAAATCGGAACACCGGACATGCGCCAGAAACTTGCAGGCTTTCACCATCCAAAGATTTTGAATACCTCTAGAGTTGTCACGGGCCATATCTCTCCTAGATTCCATGTCCGCAAATTAAAATAGCGCTGCATAGAATGTGTAAGAAGAGGTATTAATGCTCTTGAACTACTAATGACATTCAATGTAGAAGGGTCGTATACGATAGTCTATATAACGTACAGAACTGTGACCTCTTTATTACCATCTAAAGTTATTCGACATGGAATAGCAGTATCAAGTATAATGTACACTTGGTCTGTCTTAGTCTGTCTTGTATTCATTGTTTTGACATGCGCAAAGATAGCTTCTACCTGAGCTCTTACAAGAAAAGTCCAATATGTCCTTAATTCAAAGCGACTTGTACCAAGTCACACCTCAAACAAATAAGTAAATGATCAATCAGAGGGGTTTTCCCTATAAGTTAGGCCAAAACATTGTATCAAATCCTCCAAAATCTGATTGTGGGAATAATTCTCAATGTCAATTAAGTGCTGCAGATTCTATATATGCATTGCCGTCTCCACATTCTGCCCCATGTCTGTATCCATGGCATTTCCCTCCTACTCATATCATCTCATCAGCATAGACATACCCATGCACTTATCCATACCCTAGCCCAACTTACCCTCCTAACCATCCCATTTAATGGATATAGTCTTGTCCATATTATCCATGTTGTCTATAGCAGAAGGCATATTCTCATTGCCCATTTTCGACATTACCATATCCATTATCATGGAAGTATCGTCACCACGGGCCTGGAACTCCGTATATTTTGTTTCGCATAAGCTAACTTTCACAAAATATAAAATAGTAGTTGATAGAATTACCTAAAGTGCCGGTGCGCAAGCTGCAATAACAGCGAAAAGCGAGGAGCTAAGTACTGCTGTCTTCATACTGGAGCAGTGACTTAAGAGCTTACACGGAAATGGAATAATTATATGAAGGGCTTAATAGGAGACAAAGAAATTTGCTAATCCAAAGCTTGACCTACTCTTGCAATCTAGCCGGAAGAAGGAGTTTATATATCTTGAGACATACCGGGTCTCAAATGTAATTAGGAAATCCATACAGCCTAAGTTACAAGCATTGGGAATCAGAAGATCCCTTATACCCATAGTAAATGGCCATCCCTTACATACAGTTGGTCCTTCTTGACAACGGACCTGTCATCATCATGAAGAAATATCACCGAATATGTTTGGAATGCTGATCATGGTTATAAAGGGCCAAAGTATACTCCCCTGAAGTTTTATTACGTACCCTTTCGGAGGATGTACTGTTCTTTCTAAATGTGTCGCAGGAATACTTGTACTGCTAATTTGGTATATTGTATGGGGGGGAAACAAGAGATCCATAATTCTCTGATGTGTGCTTGGGGCTAAGATTGACCGAGTACTTCGAAGATTCAAATGCCCCCGTCCCTGAATCAAAGCAACTGTGAAGAAGATGGTGGAGTGAAAGAAGGGGGATCAAGGCGCTTTAAGGAGAATCCCGAAGGCGTCAATGATTGCTTTTTGCTTTCGCTATGATATAATAGGAATGAGGGCTAACGGGCAATAACTGGCTATATGTCACGCAATCAAGATACATACCAAGCTGCATCTGCATCAATAGGCATATTCCAATGGCTACTTGGCAGTATGATCTACCTGAATGATGAAACTGGTTTCTACAAGTAGGAAAACAGCTATTTATCTGGCCCTACTCTTCAGTCACCGAGTCGATTGCCAGGGACAATGCGAGTACTATTTTGTTGGGAACTTTCAGCAGTTCTAAATGGCCTTTCTGTCTCTGTCTGTCTCCATCCTCCTCTTAAAATGAAGCCACAGAATTCTCATGGGATGAGCTCTTAAAAGGTCTTTATAGAATGATCTCACGTACATCTCCTTGCACTCCCGATATTTAATAAAAGAGATGGGTATATAGCATTATAAGTCATAACAAAGATAACTATTTCATTCATCTTTCCAGATACGAGAGGCTACTGCCTTATGTCTTAGTAACACTAAACAAGGTTCTACCATAAATGAATGTATCAAAGAATCTATAGCCAATGCTAGAATCTGAGTAAATAATATTTACTACCTGTACTTACTGAAATGATGAATAGAGAAGTTGCCGACTTAAAGGCTCAATTCTGCCGTACAAGTCTAACTGTGGGTTGCAGTAGTTGCAATGTCTGCAGCTTGGTTGTATTCACTATGAGACAAAAAGAAAAGAAAAAGAAAAAAATAGTTGAAATTCCACAGAGTCATTCACTCTCGGAATTAAAAAAAATAATAGAAATTTCAACAGATAGTAATGTTGCACAGATTGGTAATAAGAGCCATTAAAAACCGGCCAAACTCCGAACTCCGTCATCCTCTACTCCCCCGCCATCTACAAAACTCCCTTGTTCATAACTCTTTAAGTACAGCAGTCACTTTATCTACCCCTATCAATCCCAAACATTGAACCATTCGGGAATCTCTAGAATGGCCCAACAGAAAATCTTCATCACCGGAGCTACGGGTTTCATTGGCCGCGTGGTCACGGAAATTGCTGTGAAAGAAGGCTACATTGTTCGCGGCCTCTCTCGCCGCGAGGAAGGTGATGCTCTTCTGCAGTCTCTAGGCGCTACTCCCGTCCGGGGAGACCTGGCCACCCTAGACGTCCTTTCCCATGAGAGCAAAGAGGCTGACATGGTATTCCACCTCGCTTTTGATCACGACTTTTCGAAGCCCTACGAGCAGATCCTGAATCTCGACGTCGCAGCAGTGAACGCCCTTGCCGAACCCCTTGTGGGAACCGATAAACCTTTGGTGACCACCGGTGGCACCGCTATGGTTGCCCCAGACGCAAGTGGAGGCGAAACAGACGAGATAAGTCCTTTGGCCGAAAACCGAGTGATTTCGCGTCATTTGGCCGAGGCGAACTCTCTCTCTTGGGCCCAGAAAGGAGTCCGCGTTACTTCTATCCGACTCCCGCAGTATGTCTATGGACGTGGGACGACCAGTGGATTCACTGCGCTTCTTATCAAACTGGCGGCTCAGTTCGGCGAATCTGTTTACATCGGCGATGGCGAATACTGCTGTTCAAATGTGCATGTTGACGACGCGGCTCGACTATACTTTGCAGTAGCCACCAAGGCAAAGGCTGGAGAGATCTTCAATGGAACGGCCCGGACAGATACAACCTACAAAGCAATGGCAACTGCAATTGGAGCTTCAGTGCAGGTGCCTGTTAAGTCCATCACGGCTGAGGAGGCAGCAAACAGGTGGGGGTCCTTCCTAGCTGGATTTGTCGGCATTACAAATCGAGCATCAAACAGAAAGGCAGTTGAGCAGCTGGGATGGAAGCCTGTGGGACCCGACTTCTTGTCTGAAATCCAGTCAGGGAGCTACGTGACTGTGGCGGAGAAGTTCAAGAAGGATCATGCAAATGGCTTGTTGTGATACTGGGAACAGCTGGACTCGTGGTTCTCTATTAGCTGAAATTCTTACGTTTTCATGTCGAGCCTTTCCGGAAGATGTGCTTTCTTTTTAATGTATGCTGCATGGCATGGTTCTTGTCTGTTGACCAAATTTATGAAGCTTTAATAGATAGTGATCATTCGTCATACATTTTCTGTTTAGTCCCAACCTAACATTGAGCAGCGACACAGTTAGGCTGTTGGGCTACCTAATCCTACATGTCAAAAACAGGGAATATGGGTAGTATTTTCCTATCCAGCTGCTGTAATCAACAAATACAGTATCTAAACGCTTTGTCTCTGTTCAGTGTTGCCATTTAAAACCTGTATCACTCGATCAACTACTTGACGGGGGGGCCCAAGAGTTATCCACTAGCATCTTTCTTTCTTTTTTTTTTTTAAAAAAAAAAAAAAAAAAAGAAAAAAAATCCTCCCGAAACGATGAGGGGAAGAGGTGCTGCCAGTGTGGAGAATAGAGATCTACAGGGAACTTCGAAGGAAATGGTGTGGGTCTTATCGGAAGTGGAGTGAGTGCCTTCGCCGGATGTGTTTCCTAGAGGCTTGTTCCAATGCTCTATCCGCCCAGGACGCCGTGATTAGATAGGCCAAGTAATTAGATCCAAACTGCTGGAGGAACATTTATGGAAATTACTCTATCAGACGGGAAAAGGAAGCTGGTCCATATTTGTGGAGTCGCATTTATGCATTACGATAATTATTCTTAGATGATATGAAGCATGGAAAATATAGTAATTGTCCACCAGCACCAAAAAACATGCGTTCTATTGACCATCTTAAAGTGCTCAGGCTTTCAAAGCTTCCCAGTTTTAATGACTGTCTTGTGTAAATGGCGGTTGCGGATGCTTTTGCATGTGTAACTTGAGCATATCTTAAAAGTCTAAAAGAAATTATCCCCCAATTGCCCGATGTGCATTGGTTTCTATAAGACTTTAATTTATATGCATTAAACAATATATCTCTATTAATCACATATTATGAAATTATACCAAGAAACAACAGTTCATCCATGTGCAAATACATATCTAAAATAACTAGAACGTCTTATTAATATGCTAATCTCGGTGAGTTAGAGACTTGCATTCAACGGCCTAGCGCATATAGCTTGTTAATATCCATGTTTACAATAATGCTTTATCCTCGGAGCTATCAGCGAACTTTATAATAAGCTTCCCGTCACGTTTGCGCACAACAATGTTCTCGAGTGTTTTGTTGAAGCATGCAATGCCTTGTGGTATCAACTGTATCAGCTCGTCAAGGAAATGCACACAATGAACTCCCTTCTGGCCAATGCTGTTGCGAATCGTGAATGCTATGTCCTGCCGGCTCGAATTCTGCGCATTCGTCGACGTCCCTTTATACTATACCCATCGAAAAAACCGAACCACACTGTTTGCTAAGACCAAAGGTTGCGTGTGCAGACCTTCTCAAATATTTTGTAGATACCTTCATGGCAGGCCTTCATCGCTTCTACTGTGTTTGGGCTAAAGGAGACAACAGCCCCTACCACGCCAAACGGAAAGGCTTGTCTGATTGATACTAAGTAGTTACAAAGTGCTCATGCATGATAAGTGGTCACTCTTAATAAAATGCTGATTTTCACAGTAGAGAAGAAAACAAAATAAAGCTGGATTTCTATATATAGCATGCATTCTAGCCCTCTGCGATGCTCCTATCCCTGTGTAGGTGGAGAGGATTTATTACTGTTGGACTACCACTCGAGCTCCTGAATTGTACCGCTTAGTTGTCACTTTTTAGTATACTCCGCACTACCTGTATAATATAACGGAGCTTTTTGCCTCCAAAATCAGTGGATGTATTGATAGGCGCAATGCTGGTATGATATTATCTCTATTAGAAAGGGGGCCCTACTTACTCCTGAACTGTTCCGACTTTGTGCCGAGCATGTAAAAAATTTCCAGCAACAACAAAGTACATATCATACAATAGAGGGGGATTAAATTAAAATAAAACAGCTCTTCCATTGGATACCGTGTGTAGTTCGCTGTTGAATCACCCTTCAATCATGGTGCATTTATTGATGCATCATGCCAAAATAGGCAACCAACCTACACACCTTTCCGCCCATTTTTTTAAGAGACAGAAAAAAGACGCAGGTGTTTTGGGTTGCTAATAATTTTACCTCAGTATCTATGTATATGCAAGTGGCCCTCACATTGTTTTTCATGCAGCTTATTGTCTGAAATATGCTTGGAATCCTCTCATGCCATACATTCTTTCTGACCGTAGGGAGGATTGTAGAGTGTCTTATAGCCTGCTACTAACCGGGAATTTTATTTGATGTTTTTAATGCCTCGGCTGTGTTTGGACGATGCGTCTGATTAAGTGTTATTTTTTTATTTGCTGCATCACATCCAGGACCACTCTTGTCTTGTACTCAAAGGGTGGTAAATTGCCCTCCTGCTAAGAATAAAAATTGTTTCCCCACATGGATGGCTGGGATGTAAAACTCAAATTTTTTGCACGGCTGACTCGGGGGGCGGAGTGGAATGTGTTATGGCAGGCAATATTATTTTGTTTTTGCATTTCTTCTAGAAGAAGCACCTATCCATGTATTGCGTTTGGGCTTGCCATACTATTTTTGAAATACGTAATTGTCCCAGTTTAAATACACACAAACAATATTGCGGATTAAGATACTCAGCCCTGGACGAGCTGTATACGTATTTCCAACACACCGCATCATGTAAGCTGACTGTTCTCTTCCCATTCAATAGAAATAGATAAGAAGGTCCGAATTGTATACATAACTCATGAAAGAAGTACTACAAAGATTGAGACTCGGTCAAAGTGCATATCTCTATTAATTACGGAGTATTGCTCCGTAATACTTGACCATTCATAAAAATTCTTAATTTAAGAATCAAGATACGGGAATAAACGGCAACTACCTTTGCTTATGGACGAATTGGGCATCAACCCTCCACTCCACGCAGATTCCACCATGCTAGCACCAATAGTAAATCTACTGTGTAATGGCCAATCATATATTTCTAAGTATTTGCTTAATCATTGGTGTACGTTAGAAAATTTCTTCTTTCTCCCCTCTTTCATTTCTATTAGCTTTTTCTTCTTTTTTTGAGTACCATAGATAAAAAGCAAATATGCCCTTTAGCCTAGGCGGGGAAACTGGCTAAGTTGCCACTGTTCTAGAAACAAGAACCCCTCTTTGTTCCTTCAATAATACTGGCCTTACAGAACTCCTTGTTTCGAAGGCTCCACTTAGACGGGAATAAGGAACTGGAGTGGCGTCGAGCTAAGCTGAAAATTCGCCACTAACTAGCCAGATTCGTTCTAGGCGGCGAGCGAAAGAAAAAAGCTCGAGCTGTAGCTCTAGCCTGGGTTGCATGGAAGCTCTACTCGGAGCTGGGGAGAGCTGGAGTTGGGAGGGGCAGGTTGCACATGGTCAGGTGGCGGTCTTGTTCAAATGTGGTTGTGGGTGGTTTCATGCCCATAATTATTGGATTGTTAAATATGACTGCTGCGTTATACCAAGTACAATGGTAGTTCTGGTTAAATTGAGACATCGTACTAAATATGACTCGCTGACAAAATTTCCTCGACAGCCACCTCCATTTACTGGCCTACAATTGAACTGGTTATTTCTGCCGCAGCTGTCACAAACCTCCCAAAGAGGGGAAGGATAGTTCCACTGAGATTCCCGAAGTGCTGGGCAACGGTACTGTATGGTACTGTATTTCATGATAAGATAGCCGATTTTGTATTTTAGGGAAAATCCGCTATGGATGGGTGAGGTATCCTCGGCAGTGCTTTAATCAGATGGGAAGTAGCAATGTGAGAAACTTAAGAGGCTTATTTGCCCTCCATGTCGTGTGTACGACTCTTTTGGAGGAAGTATAATAGAGCATTGAGCCGAGTTGACACGACTCTTACACCGGTGAGTTGCACCCCTCATTTTCTTACCGTACGGTCTTGTTATCCCCACCCGAGGAAGAAGACTTTACGATCAAGCAAGTGCAAGTATCAGAGACTGGTACGACTTAGCAGTCAATCTTACTGTGTGAAGCAAGTACTCTGAAATCAAACAAAGGCTATCTATATTTAGTCTCAAATTGTTTCTAGTCTTGACAATAGGTAGGAAGACCTTACACTCTGTAGTAGTTAACAGCCGGGAGATTGAATCTTTGTGTGGATATTGCGCTGCCTCACGTTTCGGGTTATCGATAGACGGGGGAGTCGCATGTTGTACGACCATCAGATTGGGCATACTTCATAGGGAGAATTCGGATGACGATTTCAAGGGATATGCTTATTTTGCTCACAGCTGCTGCTACGGTAGCTCTTAGGTACCATGCAGCTTGCACAGCTTCGTAATCCGTGGAGGGGGAAGGAAAAAGAACGCAAGTAAAAGATTAATTACCTTTCCATAGGTCTCTTTGGCCGCTTGGGTCCAATAGTTGCAGTAACTGTATACTAGTAGACACTAAGGACTAGGCAGCCTATTCAATTTGTAGGTAGGTTGTCTACGTCGTAAACGGATGATTCCTGCCCCCCACGGTATCGGGGCTGTATCTTTCCTTACAGGGACTTCGGCTGCTATTGAGACATGGAACCATTCTAAAGACTTGGAAACGAAAATGCCGAGATGCACAGACTGACGGAAGGACTCACTTTCAATCCAGTTGAACAGAGACTCAGTTATATGTAGACCCGGGAAATTAACTGTTCTTCTCCGGGGTTTTGGATTGTTACTTGCTTCCTGCAAACTATATTACAAGGAGCTACTTTTTTTTAGTGGCCATGTTGTCGGGGTGCTCCGGGGCTGAATACTGACTTCTGCTGGCTTTTAGTCGTCAGAGTCTCTTACTACGTTCCATACAAATGCAGTACGACTTCTTCTCCCTTCCCCCTCCACCTTTCCCGTCGGTCGCCTTCCATTTCCCTTTGACTCCTCTTTTTCTTTTTTTAAGGAAATTGAATTTCTCTTGCTGTACCCCCCAATCCGCGGACTGTCATTTTCGCTTCCTTTGCCAACTAGACTATACTCGGTTAGTTTCCTTGGAGGTATCTATCGCCTATACCTAGCTTCCTACCTTCTTCCTCCCTACACCTCTCTCCTGCGTATGGACTACTAGCAAGTTTCCACTACTAGGCGATTGCAGTAGTCCCAGCAATTTCCAGTTCCTTATTGCTCATTCTTAAATAGTATCATTGGCCTATTTGCCTATCTATTCTATTCTATTCGAAAGATTCTATACCTATTATTAACTTGACCTTATCCGCTTTCTCCTTTCCCACCCTTCTCCTTCCTCTGCCCCTCCATTAAGTGCAACGCTCTACATTATCTGATATCTAGATCTGGTCCCCTGGAGCATGAATCACGAAATTGGTCTTCACTTTTTGAATTGACCTCCACCTCGAACGCCATATTTGCTCCCCAAGCACGTTTGTCTGTGCTTGTTGGTTGGCTTACCCCCTCCCAGATCAACCCCCGCCACCAAAACGGATTCATGCAGACCATGCCGCCCCGAGCATCTCTGACCAGCTCTTTCTCTGTCACGGACGCCAATAATGAAGTTGTTTGCCCTTTGAAAAATAACGATGGTTCCAATTGCCGGAAAAGATGCCTAGGTGTGAGTGTCATGAATCTCTCCTTGCTATGTCTTCCGCCCACTATAACCCGAGGCCCCACTTTATGCAAGGTTGGCCCTTTTTACAGCAGCATGCGAAAGACCGGCAGTTGATGGAACATGAGGGGAGTGGAGGAGAGGCTTCAGCTAGATCTATTTTTCCATGGTCAGTTCTAACAAATGTGCGATCATTTAGGAGAAGCGCTACCGCTCCATGCAGGAGCACATCCGTCGGGCCCATCCAAACCACTATATCCCGAAGCTCCCGGCTACAGAAGAGAGCTTTATCTTGATGGTTACCACGCCTCCTGATCAACGCGCTCACCTATCTACTCCGAATGCAACTTCATCTCGACGCCGCAATGGTTAGTATTCGAATTCCATGAGATTGAATGGCCTCGTAAAAATGAACACCGACGCTAATCGCTGCTAGAAGTTCCAGATCGAGACATCTATGTTGCTGACGCCAGCTCGCCCGCGACCCCGCGTGGTATCGATGAAGCTCACCCCGCTGCTGCGACCGCTGCTGTCGCACTGGCCCAGTTGCACCACAACCGCCTAGCATCGGACTGGGATACAGATATGGTATGTACAATTCTCTCGGGAAAAGAAAAAAAAAAAAAAAAAAATGAGAAAAAAAGAATGATTTAAGCTGATCACTTGATTTAGGAAACTCATTCAGACAATGACATTGGTCGAGACCGAATGAGATCTTCAATCGAACTGCCTTCTCTTAGGGATCATTTTAAACAGGAATCGTTACCTCCATTTTCTTCCCCTCGCCCCAGAGAGCTCCTTCCGTCGATCCTCAATCATTCTCCTCCTGGTCGCTCTTCGACCCTGCCTCCCATTCAACGGAGAGACAAATTACCACGTCCTCGCAAATCTTCGATATCCGGAGCACGGAAGCCGAAGCATGAACGGACAAAATCGAAAGAATATGGAAGGCGCCCTAGTTTGGGCGATCGTAAAGCATTATCAGCTGAGCCACAAACCGCAGCGTGGGCCCAAGGCAAACGCTGGGAGGATCTAATTGAGGCTGCCACTTCAGCCACCGAGGCGGATGATGAACATCATTCAGAGGTGAGTTTGGCTAGTAGCTGCTGCAGATAACAACCACCTTCTACTAGGATAACTAAAACTTTCCACATCCCAGATCGGCCGGTCACCTACTATTCCGCCCTTGATATCTAATATTACATCTGGAAACTTGAATGCCAAAAATCTATCATCGTTACCGCCTGGGTTTCAAGGCTTGCCGCCCCCAACATCGCATCGTGCTTTCCCACCACACTCATATACGGCCTCTCCTTTGCACAAATCCTTAACTCCACCGCCATATGACACCTTGCGTAGCCGGGACAGTGACCTTGAACCCTTCCCATCTATTGAATCTTCTCTGGATTCAGCGTCAACCACTTCAGGCAGGAACTTTGGCTTTTCGAGTCATTTGGGTCCCTCGTCGAATTCAGATTCCAGTCCAGTGTTGAATATGTTCCCATCATCGGCCTCGCAGCGCCAACATCATCGTTTCTCTAACCCAACTCCTGCCTCTTTTCGGAGCAAAGAAATCCAGATCTTCTGCGCCAGCTGCAAGCGGTCCTGGCCAGTAAACGAGTGTTTTGCTTGCACGGAGTGTATATGTGGGGTATGCCGCGAATGTGTAGTGGCGTTCATCAGCAGCCCTCCCGCGTCGTTTAGAAATGTGACATCAAGTCCTGGAAGTGCTATGTCACATGGTCCCACAAGCTATCCAAGTCCCCGAGGATGCCCGCGTTGTCGGACCGTGGGAGGTAAGTGGAAATCCTTCCAACTCGATTTTAAGTAAAATCGCTTCATCCGTTCCCACCATATATGTGCCAACTCAGCAGAGAATTGCGAGGTTGGCCTTTTTCAATGGCAACATTTATGTTTTACGCAAGTTACGATTAATGGTTCGTGGGACCACGGTTACCCAAAATTAACGTTTCAATGACACAAAATCGATAGCACAAACGTCATCAACATGACTACGGGTGCATGATACAGTTACTTATATATTTTTCTCCTAGCCTTGCTGTGAGTTGTCTCTCAAGGGGTAGACTCGAGCATAAATATTTGTCCCACACCACTACAAATATGATGGTGCAAAAAGCAGGGCTCTTTTTGTTCTTGGTCGAGCTGCTTGTATGTTTTGCTAGTATAAAGACGCTGGGCGATTATATACACTTACGTATGGTGGTGTTGGTTTTATTTATTTTATTTTTTCCTGCTTCGGCAATGTTGGTGCAGTTATTTATTTTGGGTAAACTCAATAGGAACCTTACATTAGAAGAACACTTGTGCCTGAAAATGTTTCTCTGGTTATGCTGTAGTTCTAGTGTCCTTCTCTAGGTAGAACGGACCGGACACAGATCCATGTTATGGGCTATTTCTATAGTTGAACTAGGAAGAGATGAGCTAGCTGTTGGGACTATGTCTATGTGAGTCCCATGCGCCCCCCTCCAGAATTTAGACATATTTCACAGAGACTCGGACCTTCTAGTCGCGTACTACTACACACAAGTACCCATAGGAAGGAGATATCTGGGCATCTCTTACTAGGTGGCATAAGAAGACCATGGGTATTTCATCGATTATATATCTGTATGATATCATGATGGTCAGGAAGTATCAAGATGTAGGTTAAAGATTTAAGAGGCTTTTCCTTTCTTTCTTCTCACCTTACAAAAAAAAAAAAAAAAATAAGAGCCCTGGATAGCAAGAAAGCATATAATGCAATCGTTGAACAGTTTGATCGACGTTCATTCTACATAACTCGGGCTGGAACCACACGAAGCATCGAGTGCGTGCTTTACTAATGAAAACATTTCTCATATATATATAAAAACAATATTACATTGGGGCAGGTCTTCGTTCCCTCCCTTCAAACCTCTCGATACATCCCCTGTGCTACGTCCTACAAAGCATTCTATTTGTTACAACCTGTATACATGATATACAGGGCTATAGAAGATTTATCTCAAGAATGATAGGAAAATTGCCATTGCTGAAAATTCTGCTAATCTATCCGTTGTCTGATCAAAGTCATCGTGGGAGCAGCTATTTGACAAGACGGTTAGCTGATAGTCATACGAAGAACCAAGTGCAACGTTTTGTCAAGGTGAATTGTTCTCAGACAAAATATACTGGCAAGTAGCAGACCAACCGGGAATGGAAGGTCCGAAATACCTCGTCAGGGTCGATTCAGAGGTGATGAAGAAGTAGAAAATTGTTGTCATCTTCGAACAGGAGGAAATGAAGCCATTGAAGGCAACTGACGTGTAGAAATAAAGGCGAAGAGGGAAGGATAAAGAGGCATACTAACCTGGATAAAATCATGAAATACTCGAGCGTGCCCTGATCTGTTAGTTATCTGTGGCATGATCATCATTATGATTGTAGTGCCAGTTGCTGCAAGACATCGTGCTAAGAATGCATCCCCTAGTGCATAGACCTCACTGTCAGAATAAACCCAAACTGGATTAACTGTGACTTTAACAATTTGTTGAAGTGTAGTAAGGAAAAGAAAAGAAAAGAAACAGAAGATGACAGGCAGTAAGAGAAAAAAAAATAAAAAGCTCACTAGCAACAACATTTCTCCGCTTCCGACACATCTCACGTGAAAATTCCCCAATGAGGCCTAGCGCCTCGCATGATTCGCGCTGAACTGACAATCAAGAAAGCAAAGAAAAGCCTCAGGACTGCCGCCCGGTGATCCTGCCATGATCTTCTGTAACCCGACCGATCCTCTTTTTTCCCTATCCTTTCTCGCTCTCCTCCCCCCTTGTCCTCCCCTTGTTTCTTCCCCACGGCCTCTGCCCTAAGTTGCATTACTTCTTTTGGGGTGGTGTGCTTGAACTACCATCGGGGCTCCAGATTCTTCGTTCTTGAACAAGCGATTGAACTGGCGATCGCGACAGGTGCCGTCTCTTTTCGTTGGCCCCTAGCCCCTCCACACCTCCGTTCTCCCAAACCCATTCTATTTCCACTATCTGCCGGGCCTCCGTGCCTTCTCTCTCAACCCTTCCACCCTCCCCGTCTTCCCTAAAATTTATATTTATTGGGTCTCTAAGATTCGAACGACCTGGCGTACTGTCGTGATTAGTCCGGTTTCGATCTATGCTCCTGCACTTGTGTGCTCCGATCGATACCGACGCAGGCTGAGTCGCCCGTCTGCTGCGTCTGGGCCTCCGCTCCGAGACTAAAGCGGCCCTGTTGTGCTTCCACGCGCTTTTCGAGTCCCAACGTTCGCCTTCATCCTTAACTGTCGACTTTGGACAATCTTTGATAAATTTTCGCGGACTTTCTTTTACCATCTCCAATCTCGCTCACAACTCTTCTCTCTCTCCTGTCTATCGCGTTCTCTTAATCGATCGCCCTCTCTTTCCCCCCTAATCCCGACCGTTAGGAGTCCCGTTATCGGCGACTTCGCTGTACAGCGATGATGATGGCGCAGCCATTCCCTGCCCATCAAGGCATCCCACAACATCCTGGCCTTCCTCCGGGTCATCCATTGGCAGCTAGCCAACATCCGAATGCGCATCCTGGTGCTGGAATGGTTCAACAGGTTCATCCGGGTGTGTCAGCACCAGCTGGACCTCAAGTCACTCAAGGTGGCCCGATGATGGGCGGAATGCCTCCTGGAGCAGGGACAACTGCTCCTGGAGGCCCTGTTCAGGCACATGCACTGTCACACTTGGGACCTGCCCAAGCCCATTTGTTTCAACAACCACATTTCGCTCAGAATTGTTAGTTTGCCCGGATTTGTTGTCTTCCTTTGGCCGCTCCTTTCTATTTTGGAACTAATAATTTTGTTAATGTCTTGCGTTCTAGTTGCCAATAACCCTCAACTTCTACACCAACACCAACAACAGCAAATGATCAGACAACGGATGATGTACCAGCAGCAACAGCAGCAGCAGCAGCAGCAGCAGCAACAACAACAACAACAACAACAACAGCAGCACCAGCACCAGCACCAGCACCAGCAGCAACAACAACAGCAGCCACAGCATGGTGGGCTTCCTGTCTCTTTACCAAATGGCACTCAAGGACTCAATGCGGCCCAAATCGCAGCCATGCAAGGAAATTCTGGGATGCGACCGGTGAATTTGCAAATGCAACTTCAGCAGATGCCTCACGGACAGCCTCAAAACATCCCCCAACAACATATTTTTGCGATGCAACAGGCTCAGCAGGCTCAGCAAGCCCAACAGGTCCAGCAGGTCCAACAGGCCCAGCAAGCCCAGCAAGCCCAGCAAGCTCAACAAGCCCATCAGGCCCAGCAGGTTCAACAGTCCAATGCCGCAGGGCAGCCAGGACAACACACACCGCAACAGCGAGCATCAGCCCAACCGCAAAGTGTGCATGATGCGCAGAGCGTCACTCCCCAACCTCAGCCCGGCCCACTACCTCATCAGGGAAGTAGCACACCCCAGTCGAACCCTCCGCAGCCTCCTTCCTCCCAGCCACCTCCTCAGCAACCTGTTGCTCCTCAGCCGCAGCCAACCCCGAATCCACCACCGCAGCAATTGCCTCAATCCCAGCAACCAGGCCAACAACCGCTGCCACCGCAGACCTCACAATCGCAGCCACAACAGCAGCAGGTCCAGCAAGGCCAGCAGGGTCAACAGGGCCAGCAGCAGGGACAACAACAGCAACAACCAATGACGGCTCAGGAAGCGCAACTAAAGGCCCAGCAGCAGCAACAACAAAATAATGCTGCTATGATAATGCAGCAACGCATGGGCATGAAAGGTGCAACAATACTATGTCTCCATACTTTCGCAGAGAATCTAAGTAATTTCAGTGTATGTTGTGTGATCATAAGAACAGAGGTTACGAGCAAATGCTGATACATCATAGAGCCGCGGTGAAGCATTCGATCTACCGTACTGGCAAGCATTTGTGGAGAGATTTTATTCTCCTGGCGGTGTCTTGCGACAGGGCGTATATAACCCACAGGCCGGCTCCAAGCAATTCGAGATTGCGACTCCGGCCCTAGCCCGCTATTACTTAACGCAGTTCACTAGCGGGATCCGTCAGATTCAGATGGTTGTTGAGGGCGCACGCGAACGGGACTCGGCAAATGGAGGTCACATTGTTGAAAGCACAAAAACATCATTTATCTATTGGTTTTCTAACGATACCCAGGTGTGTCCTTATACTCCTACTCTGGTAACATGCTTGCATTGTCTAAACTCTTCTACAGCTTTTCACTACTGGCTCATTGAGAGCCCACTTTGACATGAGTAATAAGATTGAAATGCTCGACATTATAGTTATGAATCACACTGAGTATATTCCTCGGAGCCAACTCCAGGCATTGGGATCTCCAGATGTGAAACAGAGTCCGAAAGTTTCTAAAAATATGAGCAAGCGGGGCCAGCAAAAACAACCTCAGCAGCCTCAAATTGTGCTGCCCGAGTCAATGGTAACACCGAATGGCGTTCCTACCGCTGTGATGAGTTTCTTGGAGGTAAGCAACCTTTTGTTATGATGTGACGGATTGTACTTACGGTTGAGAAACAATAGGTGGCGGAGACCATTTCACAAATGCAAATGTTGTTTCAGTTTTCTCAGCAGAACCCGCAGCTTTCTCCACCAGATGCACTTCGGAACCTTGTCAACACGCTGCAAATGCAGAATCCCGGGTTCATGCCGAGTCCTATGAATCCGGCAATGCAACAGGGCCAAAACCCGCGGGCTCCTAGTATCAGTGGACCCAATCAATTTGCATCTCCCGCTATGGCTCACCTCGGACTGCCAAATCAAGGATCTCCTCACCTTAGTGGTTCAGCTCAACCGAGTCCGGCACAGAGCCAACTTGCAGGGCCTTCAGGAATGGTGCCTCCGGGGCAGGTACAACCCAATGTTGGTCAAGGTACAAGCGCTAGTGCCAGTCCCAACGTGAGCAATAAACGACGACGTGCTAGTACTGTGAAGATGGAAAATGACGAAGCCGGGGGTGCCCCAGAGGTCAATGGGACTACTGGCCCAGGGCCTAAAACCGTCAAAGCCAGCCCTCGAGTTGGTGGCAAGAGACAAAAAGGGTCTTCCTAATTTGGCTGTTTGCTTCCTTTTCCTAATTGCATTTATCGTGCTGCATCTTCTCGCTGTCTTTCAATTTTAAGAGGCGGAAACCGGCGTACCTTTGGATGTTTTGCGGGGAATGCTACCGTTGTTGTTCTAATCGGATCTCATTGCCGATCAAGTCTATGGGGTTGCGAGGTTTTTCGTTTTCTATCTTGTTCTCTTTCTGTTCATTTTTATTGATGTTTTGTTGATTCATGGTGTTTACTACGATGAAGCTGGGCGGTACCGGCTGGACCATACTATACTATGCATGTTGATGCGTTGCTGGACGTGGAAGATGTTACTCACGAAGCTCGACTTCACCTTGCCCCAGCATAAGCCGACACGATCTCGATCATGGTTTTACCTCTTCACCCTACGGGGACTGATGTCTTTTGAGTCACTGAACTCGATTCCCAATAGCGTTACCGGTTTTTTGTTCGATTCTGGTCCGCTGCTATTTTTATTTATTGATATCCATGTTCTACCACTGGCGACTACTGTGTTTTGGCGTTGGATTTTGTTTCTGTGGAAATATATGTGTTCATACTTATGCTGTATGTCATGTACTCGGGAAGAGTGATAATTCATCATACTTGAGAGGGCTTTCTTCTATAATTGCAACAAGTACTTAAATGAAACTTAGCTTATCTGTGACATTCAATCATGTCGGCGTGGATCTACTTGAATCCAATCGGGCGTGGACATCGGCAGTCTCCGTTTGCTCGGCGGAGTGGGATGCCGCCCGGCACTGCTACTTAATATACTACCCCTCCACATTCCACTTGATATATGTGTCTCACGGTATTTTGCTATCATACCAATCCCTGATCCAGAACCATGGCTCACTCACACTCCCATGACAACGGTATTAACCATTCTCACGATGACTTCGGAGGTCATGGCCACTCACATGAGATCCTCGATGGTCCTGGCTCCTACCTGGGTCGCGAAATGCCCCTCATCGAGGGACGCGACTGGAAAGATCGGGCCTTTACCATTGGTATTGGAGGGTATGCAAGTCTCTATTTTCATAGAACGCAGAAAGTACTTAACACCTGTGTTTCATAGCCCCGTGGGCTCGGGAAAGACAGCTCTCATGCTTGCACTGTGTCTCGCGCTGCGAGGCGAGTATAACATTGCGGCCGTAACAAATGACATTTTTACCCGGTATGTCAATGCCGAAATCATCTGTATACCGTGTGGAGGAGCAAGACCAAGGCCAAGACTAATAGCAACACGCAAATCGACAGCGAAGATGCCGAATTCCTCACCCGCAACAAAGCCCTCTCTCCATCACGTATCCGCGCCATCGAAACAGGCGGTTGTCCCCACGCCGCTGTCAGAGAAGATATCAGCGCCAACCTTCTCGCCCTACAAAACCTCCAGAAACAATTTCAGACTGATCTCCTGCTGATCGAGTCCGGCGGCGATAATCTGGCTGCGAACTATTCGCGCGAACTAGCTGATTTCATCATCTACGTGATCGATGTCGCGGGCGGAGATAAGATACCTCGGAAGGGTGGGCCCGGAATTACGGGGTCAGATTTGTTGGTTGTTAATAAATGTGATTTGGCTACGATTGTGGGCGCCGATCTGGGTGTCATGGAACGGGATGCAGGTAAGATGAGAGAGGGTGGGCCCACGGTGTTCACTGAGGTTAAGAATGGAAAGGGCATAGAGCATATCGTAAATTTGATCCTGAGCGCGTGGAAGGCAAGCGGGGCGTATGAGTTGAGCTTGGATAGATGGAAGAATGGGGCAGTTAGGGGGTCTGGTAGTGTTGATGAGTAAATGGTATTTAGCATTTTGATATGCCTTGATGACCATAATTGTGTTTTGAGAGTGTCTTGACAGGATGGACGTATATATGAATGGGTTTTCTTGATAATCTAAATAGTGTAGGAGTTCAGCCTTTCCTTCGAAAGTAGACACATAATATGTAGCGAGGAAATATATGTAGGTAACTATCGTTGGAGAGTTGGTCATCTTTGCACAGCACATGCTATAAAGATGGCTCAAACTAAGCTTAAGAAATTTAACAGCTAAATCAATCTATCTAGCAATGAAGGATCATCAAGAACATACTTTGATATTGACACTGGTCTAAGTTTTGACTTAGTCCCCATCCTTTACTTAACCAACAACGCCTCGAATGCAGATTTTGGGATCGTGAATATAAAGATCGAATCGGGTATCTGAAAGCCCCTCGTGTCGTCTCTCAGACAAGAAGCGCTAAAATAAATATTACTTTCAACAGCACTATGTGGACGCTCACATCTCTTTCTTGGCGAAACGTGCCAATGCAGGGCCCAGTTCCTCTTGCTCGGCACGCAGCTTCTCCTTTGCGCGCGAAGCATGTTCCTTGCGAAGCATTTCGGCTCTGACTCGCTTGTCATCGATGACATTCCGGCGTCCCTTCTTGCGCAGGTACTTCCGCAAGGCACTGTTCCGGCCACGGCCGCGGTTCTTGAGTTTCTCGATGGGGTCTTCGGGCCTGCGGTCCAGGTCGCGTTCCTCGCGGCTTTTCTGGTCTCTGATGGTATCTAGCTTGCCAACCAAGTTGGGATCCAGGGATATCATGTCTGGTTGCAACTTAGTCAGGAGAGCCTGTACCTCGGCCTCCTGGCGCTGTCTCGAGTTTTCGTATGGGTTGACCTCCAGAGCATCAAAGTTGGCTTCGCCCGCGCCAGGAACAATAATACTAGCGAATCCCTTGTCGTGCGTCACACCTAACACATCCTCCAACGGGCACCAGCGCACGTTCTCGATACGCTGCCCATCTCCGCCCCAGGCCATGTAAGGGCTCTGTACCTTGCCTTGGTCGGCGACCGCAGCGTCGAATAGACCACGCCAGACACTAACCTGAGTGCCCCAGCCGACAGCCGTGAGGCCTCGGTCACTGATCGCAATCGAGGAACCAGGCTGATAGCATGAGTACGAATGAACCTCGCGGAACATTCGGATATCCCACACATTCATCTTGAGATCCTGGCCCGTCGACACCATGTACCGGCCTTGCCTATCTACTGCCATCGACCGAACCGGGCCTCGATGTACGAGTGCCTTCACTAGCGCTGTCTGCGAGTTGGGAGACCACAGAGTCACAGTTCCGTTTTGGTGACCGACATGAAGGATGGCGTTCCAAGGATTCTGGCAGAGTGACGTCGGAGCGCCCATTCGGGTCGGTAATTCGGCGATCATCTTGCCGGTGGACGTGTCAGTGTATTTGAGATGGCCACTCATTTGCTATCGGATAATAGAATAATTAGACGCTATTTCCTTCTTTTCCGGATGAGAGATACTCACAGTACTAGCGAGAAGAAAGTGGTACGGAAGAAATTCAAGGTTAAGTGGCTCCAGATGTTTGCTGAGACAGTGCAATTCTGTTCCTGCATGATCGTAGATATAGACGTATTTCTTCTGGGCCACAGCAAAATACTGGTTATTGTGCAACCACCGGGCATCGCGAACTGTTTCTCCCAGTTGGAGCTCACACCCCAATCTCCCCGACCGCCAATCCATCGTCGCAACATGCCCCTTTCTCCCAGCTAGTAGTAGTTCACGTCCGTTTCTTGTGTAGTCTGCTCGGTACGGACCCAGTTCTTCCAGCTTCAGCTCAAACCCTTTTTTGGCCGTCTCGATGCCAACATTCGCTTGGATTTCATCCTGTCGAACCTTGTATGTTTTTTCTAGCTCTCCCTCGGGCTTGAGAAAACCGGCCTCGTGCTCTAGCAGAATTTCCGCATCCTTCGATCTGAGTGCAGCCGCTCTATACTTGGCCTCAACCGCCTTGAGGTTGGAGCGCAGTTTCTTGTCCTTCACACTCTGCGTATGTATAGGTTTGCCTCGTCCGTAGGTTTTCTGTGCCTCAACAACCCTTTGGCTTTCTTTGCGGTTGTTGGCCGGCGCGACAGCCGTTGACGGGTTGTCGGTCATTTGCGCAGAGGAGTAATTCGGACGGAGGAGATACGAGTGTAAGAAGATTGAAATGAAATTATGAACTAAGCTCAAGATACAAAAATGAAAATCCCAAGTCAGAGACTGACAAAGGAAGTTCGAAGCTGTTGAAATCTGGAGTTGTGTTTGGCGGGTCTGCAGGAAAATTCATGCCAAGAGTCTTTTTTTTTTTTTTTTCCCGCATTTTCGCTTGTCCACCACAGCGGTCTTTTTTTTTTTGGAAAACCACCGGCTCTGGGCTTGGTTCGACTACGGCCAATCCTCTCGACTTGGGCTCCAATTTTCTTCATTTGATTCTTCTTTTTCTTCACTGTATCGTTCAGAAGAATCCCATAACCCTGGACTCTCTTCCTTTTCGCTTCAAAGGGTCCGGAGGAGCCAATATGGCGCCCACCCAGACGGTGCATCACCATCGCTCCACAACCAAGAAACCCAACAAGTCGTTTAAGACCCGACATGCTTCCAAGGGCGCTTTGAAGGAATTAGACAAAGGTACGCCAATTACGAGAGCTACTTGCATTTCAATATTCGTATGAATAGTTATTGATCATCCTCCAGGGAAAGTCGAACGAAGCGAGCGGGGCTCGCGCAAGACCCCTCACCAACAGCTTATGTCGAGGCTTGATCGGAGGAACCAGGCCCGTCAGAAACAGCAGCTGAAGCACAAGGAAAAGGCGGAGGCCGTTAGTATATTCTCCGGTCAGAATGGTGCTCCCCGCCATGTCGCCATCGTTCCTCTCTCGGTCGACATCGACGTCGCTGCCGTCATCAGTTCTTTGAACGAGAGTGTCGACGTTTCCGCCGATGTTTCTCCAGATTCTCCATCTCGGGTGCGCGTGGATCGTTTCCGCCAAACTCTGCAATATATCCCTGCGAAATATGATCTTATGAACGCTTTGGATGTGTGCCGGATGGCGGATTTTGTCATGCTCGTGATCTCCGCTCAGTTTGAGGTAGAGGAGCAGGGGGAATTATTGCTTAGGTCTATTGAGGGCCAAGGTATCTCGAACGTGATTTGTGTAGCTCAGGTATGCCTCCCATCCAGTTATCCTTATATATATTGCTTTGGCGTTCATGGCTGACCGGTTTGTTTTACAGGGCCTCGATAAAATTAACCCTCCCAAGAAACGCCCCCAAGTTTCCGCTTCCTTAAAGTCCTTTGTGAATCATTTCTTTCCCTCTGTGGATAAGGTTCTATCTGTGGATTCTAGACAGGAATGTTCGAATGCCATTCGATCGCTCTGTACGGCGACTCCCAAGGGTGTTCGCTGGCGTGATGAGCGTAGCTGGATGCTCGTTGAGAACGTGAACTGGCCCGAGGATAATTCCGAGGTGGTGGATAATGTCATATTGACCGGTGTTGTACGGGGTAGAGGCCTGAAAGCCGATCGTTTGGTTCATATTCCCGGCTGGGGCGATTTCCAGATCGACTCTATTAGCGCGGCACCTTTGCCTACCGGCCGAGCGAAGCGCGATGACGCCATGAATGTTGATGGGAACGACTCTACTCAAGTCCTGGAAGTTCCTACTGGGGACCGCGATGATTTAGATATTGTTGCACCGGAAGAGATTGAAATGGAGGACGAGAATATCTCTATAGCCGAGACTGTGCGCAAGGGTGTCCTCCTGGACGAACATCATTACTTCTCCGATGATGAATCTCACATTCCCGCAAAGCCAAAGAAACTACCCAAGGGAACATCTGAATACCAATCGGCATGGTTCATAGATGACATTTCTTACTCTGGGTCAGATATGGAGTCTGAAGATGAGGACGAGGAGATGGATATGGACACCACTGGAGCCCCTGAAGATGGTGTATTCCCAGACCACAACGATGCTATGACTGAAGCTGGTGCTACTGAGTATCCTCAGTCAGAAATGTTTGTTGACCGGCCGCTGGAGGACGAAACACAGCAGTTAGAGGAATACCGGGCAAGCCGCCGAAAGGAGGCAAGTGATGACCTTGAATTCCCGGACGAAATCGAGTTGCACCCGAATGTTCTGGCCAGAGAGCGTCTGGCACGATTTAGAGGATTGAAGAATTTCAAGACCAGCCCATGGGAGACATCGGAGGATCGCCCCCACGAACCGGAAGATTGGCGCCGACTCCTTCAGATTGCAGACTACAAGGGTTCAAAGAACAAGACTATTGCAGAAGCCCTTGTCGGTGGTGTCAGTCCTGGAACGCGTGTGGACGTCCATCTTCGTGCTGTCCCGGCTACCCTTCGTAATAAGCCTCAGCCACTGTCTGTGTTTTCATTGCTTCGCCACGAGCACAAGCACACCGTAGTCAATGTCAATTTGACCCTGAACACTAGTGTTGAAGAGCCTCTGAAGTCAAAGGAAGAGCTGATCATACAGTGCGGACCTCGCCGTTTGGTAGTCAATCCTATCTTCTCTTCAAACGACAATACTCCCAACAATGTGCACAAGTTCGACCGATACCTGCATCCTGGTCGCAGTGCTATCGCCACATGGATTGGTCCTCTAACCTGGGGCGCAGTTCCTGTCCTTGTTTTCAGGAACAAGCCCGTCCAGGACCCAGAGGTCCTCGATTCCGCGGACGATAACCAGCCTGACATCGCTCATCTGGAGCTAATTGGTTCCGGTACTGTGGTGGCCCCAGACCAATCTCGAGTCATCGCAAAGCGGGCCATCCTTACGGGCCATCCATTTAAGATCCACAAGAAGGTGGTCACAGTGCGGTACATGTTCTTCAACTCCGAAGATATCAGCTGGTTTAAGGCGTTGCAACTATGGACCAAGCGAGGCCGAAGCGGGTTTATCAAGGAAAGTCTTGGAACTCACGGTTACTTCAAGGCTACCTTCGACAACAAGCTCAACCCTCAAGACACGATCGGTATCAGCTTATACAAGCGCGTGTTTCCCCGGAAGTCGCGCGCCTTGGAGGATGTCATTGGCTGAAGATCTTTTGCGTTGACTTTTGCGCTTTGCGAAAGGGAGGGGGGATGATATGATACCACAAAGATTCTTTTGTATGACTTGACGAGTTCTACGTCTTGAAAGTGATGAGACTTTTCTTGACTATATCCCATAAAAGCGTTTTTTTATCATATAGACATCAATGAGCAGAACAAAAAAGTCATAATGAATTACGATTTTGCAGTTCCGTTTCCTTTGAGTTCACTCAGGAGGTTGCAAAGTCAACCAAACATGCGGAAGAGGCACCACAGGGCATATCTGCAAGGTCGAACATCAACATAAAAAGAATGTGTGTTCATGATAATATCTAACATCAGACCCAACCAAAGCTAAGAAAGTGGCATTTCAGGTTTATGTTTCGCCATCAAAAAGCTCAAGTAGCACAGTGAAAAACGCGTATCAGGGAATCTAAGAGAAATCCTCCACCGCCTCCTCGATATTGCTCTTAATGCGCAGCAATATAGTTGTTTTCCATTTGTCCAACTTGCTCAGCTGGTCAAACTGGAACAGTTTGTCAGCGAATGCTTCTTGATCTCCCTGTTCTATGGCCTGCGCCAAATCGACGAGCAACTGATGCTCCCTTGTCGAGGCAAATGTGGTATCAATGTCGCGGTAGCTCTCGAGGGCGCGGTTCGTCGCAACCAGATCCTAACAGATAGTCAGCATCAAGGCACTTCCGGTATTTTCGCTGGATAGGCATACGTTTGTAGCCAGGTGGCAGATGCCAGCCTTCAAGAAGTAGTCCTTAACAGACCACTTCATCAGGTTATTACTGATGGATGAACGGCCGATCCGCTCATAGTACTCGATGGATTTGTAGTAGTCGCCTTCAATAGCGGCCAGATCAGCTGCTTTGAGGAAATGCTTGTTTGCGAGGCTGGGCAGGACGAATATCAGTAACGGGCGCATTTGGATATGGGATCGCCACGTACGCTTCGGCATTGTCACTCTCAAACCATTCCGCCGTTTTCTCGTAGGCTTCTAGAGCCTTCTTGGTATCCCCCAGCTCAACCTCATATACCTCCGCCAGGTGTTGCTGCTGCGTGGCAGCGCGACGCAAATTTCCCTTTAAGACGTAGTGTTGGATAGCGGCGGAGAGCACACGGGTGGCATCCTCAGGGTCCGATTTCCGGTATACCTTGAAGGCTTCGTTCAACGAGTTTGCGGCATCATCAGGCTCGTTCAGGTTTTGACTTTGGATGGAGGCAGCCTTTTCAAATGCGAGACCGGATTCCTTGTCTAAGAATGCCAGATATCACAGTCAGTCATTAAAATCGGAAGAGACAAGGGGGGGAAAGGAGGGAAACGGACTTTGCTTCTGTACTCGAAAAGCATTTGCAGCTTGCGTGTAGAGATCCGCTGCATTTTCGTACTTTTCTGCTCGACCACCAAAGAAACTGAATCCACTGGATGCCCCGTTCAATGCTTTTTCGGCCTAGGTCGCGTTCATACATTGTCAGCGATCGTCATTCCCTCTAGGATAGCGGGGCCGCGAGGATGAAGTGCGTCACCTACGCGCTGCAGGAGAACTCGAGGGTCTTGGGCCATGGTGGTGGATAGGCAAAGCAATTTCGACCCCAGCAGGCAAGTAAGAGGAGGGCACTGTATGTCAATTTAGAACAAGAGGAGGATGGGCTGAAGGGAGAAAGATAGTGCTGTGGGGTACTGAAGTCGTGGTGCTTCCAAGTACATGGGGAAGGATTGCCGCTTGTTAACGTAGGCGGTGGGCGATTTTCTACTTTATCTGGGGCGGTTTTCCTGCGCTTTGTTTCAGGTGTTCTGCAGTCTTCGCTGTCCTTGTTGCCTGCTTCTCTTTTTCACCAGGCTAGATCGTTTCGATAGATTTCAATATAACTACGAAGTTATTCTGATCTGGCTATATTTCTACTAATTTAACATGTTGACGGTTACAATGCCCCTTCTACGCACCACCCCGTCACTCCTTTCGAGGACCTTTCACCGTCAAACTTCGCGACAATTGGCTGCAGGCAGTCATCAGTTCTATTCCACTAAGTCGGAAAAAACTGATGCCGATTTGATCCTTGCAAAGCCATCCTGGTCTGCCCGCTCTTTACTCCCTGACGAGGCCGAAAAATCGTCCAAACCGTCAGTTACACCAGCTCAATTGCGCCATTTACTCCGTCTTTCTGCTCTGCCTCAGCCGGCCAACGAGGAGGAGGAAACTAAAATGCTCGAGTCCCTTGAGTCTCAGATACACTTTGTCCGGAAGATTCAGCAGGTCGATGCGACGGGTGTTGAGCCTCTCCAGAGTATCCGAGACGAAAGCCCCGAGGCAATCAAAGAAAGCACCATTGGATTAGATCAGCTGAAAGAAGCTTTATCCAAAGAACGAGTAGTCGGCCGGAACAAAAGGATTCAGCGTTTGAAGACAGAAAGGAACGACCGCCCAGATGGAGACACTTGGGATGGAAACGCTCTTGGATATGCTTCGAAGACTAAGGGCAAATTCTTCGTTGTTGAGACTGGCAATTGAGGTATTACTAGATATCATAGTCAAGTGCAGTCTTAATGCGCTGCAGGGTCTGATAATTCAGCCTCGCCCTATCGCTATCACTAACCTTCTAAACCAAAACACTTGGCAGGACCGACTCCTGATTGCTGAGTCAGCAGATGATCTCATCGCTGAAACGCGACAATTGTCTTTTCACACCCGCGAACATTTCAAAAGCCCTCATTATATTGTCCATACGGCAATTTTTAGTGATATTGTTCAGTTGCGTTGTCATTGTATTTGTCAGCATTCATGTGGAAGAATCTCAAAGATTTCAAGAATAAACATGCCAGCAAATTTGGGTCAGAGCCGGCTCCTCCGAAGAGGGAGCGCGGTCAAGATCTGACCACTGTCCTGGATCGCTCCCAACGTGCAGACCTCACAGTCCTTGTCGCTGAGATCACCCAGTGCATGCGTGATGTAATTGAGAATAATTACCACGTCACTACACCAGTACTTAATGCTTCATCTTCTGATAGAAGGGAAGAAGTTACCGGGAACGAGACTGAGTCGGGCTCAGTCAGCCCAAATAATCCACCAGCCGTTAAGCTCACCGCCAGCGACCTAAAAGATGAGGCCAGTGCCCTGACAAATTTCGATGATTGGAGAGACTCGGTGCTTCTTCGTATAGGTGAAGTCGTCAATAGAGATGAGGAAGCTCATGATCAGGAACTTAATACTAGTCCACAGGTAACCCTACAGTCCCAACCACAGTTAGATGAGGACGAGCTTTCCCTTACCAAGTTACGTGAAGTTTTTCGGCCGGTGGAAACGCCTCTCGTGCATCTTGACAAAGCGAAAAGGCTGTTGATTCTCCACTCACTTCTTCTATTGCTACTCAGCCTAGAACACTACAATGCTCGCTCTCGGGTCTTGATGTTATATGCCTCATCTAGCTTGAACATAGATGTAAAGATCCTGAATGGCGATGAGATTGAAGTCGCACGGGTTTTACTTGACGCGGCGCTTGAGCTCTCAGGCGACCCCGAAGCACAAACCCAGAGGCTAAGTCATGACCCCTCCAGGAAATGGAAAGTTGGGATAGCTTCTGTGGCGGGAGCCGCGTTAATCGGAATTACTGGTGGACTTGCAGCGCCATTGGTTGCTGCCGGCCTTGGAACTGTTTTGGGAGGGGTTGGACTTGGTGCTACGGCAGCTGCGGGTTATCTCGGTGCTCTTGCAGGTAGCGGCGTCATTGTTGGCGGTCTCTTTGGCGCTTACGGGGGCCGGATGACTGGGCGTATGGTGGATAAGTACGCACGTGAAGTGGACGATTTCGCATTCCTGCCTATTCGCGGCTCTAAGGAAACACCGAAAGATGAAAAGGAGGCTGCTAAACAAGACCACCGACTACGAGTCACTATTGGAGTTACAGGTTGGGTTACTGAAGAGGACAACTTTGTTGTCCCATGGCGTGTGATAGGTCCCAACTCAGAAGTGTTTGGGTTACGATGGGAGATGGAGCCTTTGATGAATCTTGGAAATGCCATGGACCTTTTGGTGACAAGTGCTGCGTATACTGCAGGAGAACAGGTCCTAAAGAAAACCGTTTTCGCTTCCCTCTTAAGCGCCGTGGTTTTACCTCTTGGTCTTCTTAAGGTGACCAAGGTGGCTGATAACCCCTTCAGCGTTGCGAAGGCGCGGGCCGAAAAGGCAGGGGAAGTCCTTGCGGATGCATTGGTTAACAAAGTCCAAGGCGAGCGATCAGTGACTCTTATGGGATACTCTTTGGGTTCCCGTGTCATCTTTGCATGCCTTCAGAGTCTGGCAAAGAGGCGCGCGTATGGGTTAGTAGAATCTGTGATCTTCATGGGGTCTGCCATCCCGTCCAATACCGAGCACTGGCGTCGAATACGGACCGTCGTGAGTGGACGGCTCGTCAATGTTTACTCCGACAATGATACCATTCTCGCTCTTCTGTACCGAACTAGTAGCTTGCAACTTGGCGTGGCAGGTCTACAGCCTGTTGAAGGCGTGCCGGGTATTGAAAACCTTGATGCAAGTGATATCATCAGCGGCCACCTTCGGTACCAGTTCCTAGTTGGGCATATTCTTAGTCGCGTAGGATTGGAGAGCATCGATACCGGTGAAATGGCAAGGGAGGAAGCGGCGTTGGCTGCCAAGGACCGACGACAAGAACAGGAACGGATCCAGAACAAGCGCCGGGCAGGTATTGAAGATGATGAGACAGCCCGTCGGCTGTTAGAAAATGATGAGGGCGCGAAAGAGGGCGAGCGTCTTCAAAGACAGATCCAGGAGAGGACCAATGAGCACTTGCCTTCGGGACGTCGCAGTCATGAGCGACCATCCCTCCCTGAGCGCCCTAAAACACAGGCTGTTGAAAAGAACAGTGATGGTTTCCCACCACGTGCCAAAATTGAGCGGCGACCTGTTCCTTCCCGTTCGGCAGAAGGACCCTAGGATTTGTTGATGAATCCCGGTGGACTACACTGCGAAATGAGCTACATCCGTTGGAAATGAAGAGATTACTTGATAGAGAGATGTTTGCAAGGATAAACTCTTGTTTCATATTTCAGGCTTAGACTACAATCCAAGCGTTCTTCACTCCGTACTCTATTATTGCTGCTTAGGGTACTGTAGCCAACGAAACCTATCTTCGACATTTTGCACGCCGAAATTTAAGACCATGCTCTCCGTCAATTTGTAGCGGCTGTATGCTGGGGATAATGGGTCCACTACCCCTTTCTTCACCCATGTCTACAACACATATAATGCCCGCAAGCTTGTAGATGATTGCTAACAGAACAGATATGAATCTCTCCATGACACAACAGTAAGGCTACAGTGAAAAACAACAGCGCTCGTCCATGCAGCTGCTTCAATAATACCATCAACTAAGCGAGTTGTATAGATCAGTGCATTGGAGAGTTTGATTGTACAGTACATACGAAGTGCATGCTGCTTAATTATCCGCTGAAACAACAGAGAAACAAAGCTTAGCCTAGACTTCGAAAATCAAAACCAAGGCTAGTCCGCACCCTGGCCAGTCCAGACATTTACTAGTCCGTCCAGACATTCGCAATCCACAGTCCACAGTCCATAGGCCCATAATAAAATCTGGATTGACAAAACAAAAGTGAATTGGGTAGACACTCCGAGCCGACTATGTTTTACAATATTGTCCTCTTGGGATCTTTATACTCGCTCTTGAGCCACTGACGTTCAGGCGACATGCAGTGTCTGCTAATACTCCGAATGAATAAGGACAGGAGGAGGGAGCTTTAGGTATGGACAGGAACAAGGACCTTATTTTCGGGACGGCATTCAGCCGGTTTAAGAAGTTTGAAGAAGGGTGCGGAATCAGAAAATAGCGCAGAAATGGAGCTCAATAATAAACTGTATGCGAGTCATGGACCGATTACTCTCCCTAGTGGATAAGAGTCAGTCGATAGAAAGGGGAATAAATTCGTCAGATCACACAAACTATAGGTAATTAAGAAATGGTGAGACGGGTCTAGTTTACCAAGTAGCAAATATTCTATATCAAAGTCCACTATACACTCGGCCATACTTTATGAAACCGACCAACATGTAATGATAATTGACTAACTTGATTAAAAGAGTGAAGGGAACATTTACCTCGTATAGAGTGGACAGAACTAGGAAAGGTGAACCAATCCAGACGGAGGAGTTCTCCACGCGAACTTTGCCGGAAAGAGGAATTACCTAAAAATGAACACCTACCAGCGGCCTGGTAATGGATATAGGTCCAACCGACATGATGGTTACACCAATAAGTAACACTTGTGAAGAGTGGGACTGGGACATTTCGGCTATAGTTTCTACAAGCTTTGTTGAAAAGTGGGGATGATGTAGATCGTTATGCCGGGAAATGATTGACTTGCGTCTGTGGGCCTTCAGTTTTTGACTTAGGGTTCGAATGAACGAGTGGGCAATTGTGGGCTGCTATAAGAAGGAAAAATGAAGGGAAGGAATGTGGTTATTATATGTTTATTATTAGCATTTCACATTGTGGTACAGTAGTTGAATCATGCTATATACAAAATAAACATAAGAAAATAACTAATGAAGACTATGTGCCGAAGGCCTACATCACTGCTCCACTCTATGGTGTCTCCGAAACTCCTCTGGATCCGCAGGCTCGTGCGAAATCTCAATCGTTGTCTCTTGGTACACCCCTTGGCCCATGTTGATCAGCTCCATATCACCTTTCCGCACAATATCGTCAGTGGAGTTGCCGCGATCATCTACCGTATCGTTCACACTTTGAAGTCCACGACGTATGCGGGACCCCATACGGAATTTCTTACCCTCTCTTCTGGCTGTCGTAATGTGTGTCTGGTATGCATTCGAGCTGGTGTAGGCATAGATCTTGTCAGAAGAGCCCAGCTCCGTTTCCAGCAACAAATGGCGGCGGGTCAACGTGTACACAAGTACATCCACAATTCCAGAGAGCGCCATTAGTGATCCTGCCACAGAGAAGTATTCTCGACTGGGAATGACATGCCGAGCGGTTGACATTCGTCCGGCCGCTAGGGGAAGAGAGAGAATGAGATACACCAGAGGATAGATAACCATGTATATAACCACCCGATTCAAGCGCTTCAAATTTTCCTTATTTTTTTGCCGAAGCATAGCGGCCTGTGACATACGACGTCGCAAATAGAAGAACATGATGCTGTAGAGGACGACTGTTCCGAATTCCGCAAGAAAAATCCAAATGTAGTGCGCCCAGAGTCGCACTGCTTCGTGCTCACGGTCAAGCCAGCACTATACATAATCATTTTGTCAGAATACGCTTCTCTGCAGAGCTGCTTCACATCTATAGCTCAAATCTGACTTACCCATGCGGCTTCGGAGACAACAAATGTTTCGGAGCCGAATTTTCCAACGGGGATCAATCCCAACACAATGATAAACGCCCATAGTCCTATGACGCAGAAGACAAAAGTCCGGTATGATAGTTGCTTTCCTCGTAAAACGACGGCACCCGTATGCATCGCAATTGCCATTACAAATAACCCACTTCCTGGATCGCCGACTTGAATCCACCATCCTTGGAGAACGCAGGCAGCGCTTGGATGATAAGAAGCACTTTTTGCGACCCAGTGGAGACATATCAGGAATGCGGACGCTTGCTGGATATCGACCAGAAGTAAGTTGTAAATAAGTACAACATACTGGTTCTCTGCCAGAGGGCGCTTATAATAGCGTCGCCAAAAGATAAATCGATACGTGAGGAACGATAAAAGCCCAAATGTTGCAATAAAAGAGCAGAGAGCGACCGTACCCACAGCAATAAACCCCGCCCTCTCACTTCCACGAAGTGGTTCGTAGGAACTACTAGCTTCTCTGGTCGTGAGGTGTGTAGTATACGTTTTTTCAGAGGATAGAATGCGCAACGTTCGGAGGAGAGTAAGCATTGCTCATTTCTTGGGGAGGAACGGATATGAAAAGGTTCCTGAGTCAAAATGAGATGCTGAACGAGTTAGCACAGGAGGAAATCCTAAAATATAAAGCCTTGAGCCATGACCTTTCTAGCCAAGGGATGTCAACACACAACTGAACTCCTGACGTCCGCGCTAAGAGTCGCAGCAAAAATTTTCCTTCCAAACGAGCCTCGACCAGGGACCATCTTATGGTATGATATATGGGGCATTCCAAGTTTATGGAATGCCGATCTCCTTGATAGCCCAACACGAAGCGGGTTAGAATAGGAGCAGTAGTAGTACGTGGCTTAGTAGGGCACGTTCCATACAAGATCCTCGATCATACTCCACAATCGGGACAGATACGATGGATTCCGAGGCCACACCAACTACATAATTACCCACAAAAGAAACCAAGGTCCTAGCCGCGGTATGCAATTGCCGATCTTCCAATGGTTCGGATCCTGGGGAGAATTGAATAGTTTTAGCTTAAGAGTAGACGCCATTGCGCTCTGGCACTACAAACAGCCACTGGTGATTAGAGGACAAGAGGTCGAGGAAAAGCCGAGTGGAGAAAAATATTGACATTGTCAGAGTTTGTACACACATGTGAGTAGTTTAATGATGGAGGAGTTCGTTGTTTTTCGTAAGTGTCAGTAGTGGTTAGAGCCGGGCCTCAACTTACGGTAGTTGTTGAAGCAACACCGGGGGACAAAGGTTGCCCGTGTGGGATGGGTTGTCCACTGATAACGAAATTGGCCCCATACTAGGATGGTCGATAGCAGCTAGCAGCTTTGAAAGTTGGAAGGATCAGGGTCCCCATATTGAGATGAGTGTGAAGACTGAAGAGGCCCCAAATCATCCTGGAAGTCCCGAGGCCACCATCTCTGCTTGTCTTAAGTCCGATTTACTAGCTTATATAGATCATGGTAATCGTTTTCTACCCCAGCCCTGAACTTCTTATTAATTCTATCAAAGGGCATATCAATTCTATACCGCCAAATATTCCTAACTTGTACCTAAGTTTGGGGGGCCTACTTCTCTGTTCCATGGATTCCAAAGACTTTACAAGGCCACTAGTGTACCGGACCAAAAAAAAGTCTTTCTAAACCAGAGAGTTAATATTTAGAAATACTGCTGTATTTCATGGAAATTATAGGATCTACATATTAATTCATCGAGTTGACCTTAGTCCTAGGCCTGTAGCTCTTACCAAATTCACTTGTCTATTATAAGTTCAGTTGATAATTATTCCTCTAATATGACCAGGTCTTCTAGCTTCATGCAATGAGTCCTGCATAAAATGTAGTATACACCCCAGTTTGAGGATAGCGTGATGACTACCGTTTCTTTAACACGGTCTGGCATACCCTACCTCTGTATACAATAAGATATCTCTCTTCAAATAACTCCTCATTCACTACTTCAGTCACCAGTTGGTGTTGAGACAAGCTGCTCAGATTCCTACTCCCTACCAATAATATAACCCAATACCGACAAAACATCAAAGCAAAATCAAGAATAATATATTGAGACAAGCCATTCTATTCGACCACCTAAACCCCTTAGGGCTCTATGATCAACAAAATCACAAGTTGGCATCCATTACTCTTTTCTTTAAGCTCTGTATCCATGATTAAAAATGCCTCATACTGATCAAGGAAATCTTCCAACGTAGCAAGGCTGAGTTGGACAGCCATAATTCGGAAGGTGAAGTCATGATCAAAGAGAAGCTTCACCAGCAGCCGGCAAGCATCCATTACAGGAGAGGAACCTCTAGGTGTGATAGAATCCAATTCGATATCCACTTCCGATCATCAATCTAATAACAAAGTTTCAACTGACTCTGAAGAATCAGACTCTTTGCATAAACAATGAATCCCTCTCGTCTGAGTATGGAGAGCCATAATAGTGAATTATGATTAAAAGCCAGGAGTCTCAACATAATACGAGTTGTAATTCAAGGGAATAGCTCATAGAGAACTAATATTTGCGTTTTTGCTGAGTGTCAACAAGAGTTATCATGAGAGATCTAAAGACCATGGACGGAACCTGACGGGCAACAAAAATGTCAAGGAGTTACTTGGAGGTACCTAGTTAACGAGACATTTAGTTTATGGTATAAACTCAGGTCATCAAAGTTGCCTGACGGCATTTTATCTGACCCGGTCGGAGACAAATAGGCTTTGGACAGAGTATCTAGACGTGCTGCCTTGTTTCATTGGCCTTACAATACTATATCAATAACATGACACCTAATTACTCGTCTTGGCTTTTGATCTAGGTGTGGAATTTGCTGGGCCGTCTGCTGCTTTTTCCTATGCCAATCAAGCGTTATATGCTAGCATCCATAGAGGTCAGGGCTTTGATTCACATGTCTACATTTATATTGCTCCCTTTTGGTCTTACTACTAATAAAAATGCAAGATCAGTGCCTTTATCACGATGATCATTGTTGGAGAGTTTGTTTTCTTTGTGCTTGCTGCATGGAAGCGACTCTGTGCCTCCACCATGCTATACTGTCCATTTCTCAAAGGCCCACCATGCTAGGTGCACTTTGCTTGGCTGTGTGTATATTTTCTAGGATTATGCCTGGGAACTATAACAAAGGATATGTGAAATGGCTCGAATACCCGAGCAAAATTCATTTTATACCCAGCTATGAAGTTCCAATATGTTGTGAAATTCAGGGGAAGTGGTGCGCAGGGAGCTATTCTATCAGCTACAGGCCAGCTAGCCTAACTTGGAAGTAGATGTCATTCAGTGGAAAAACCAGGAATCGCAGTATCTCAACCAACTGAGCCTACTAAGCAGTTCCCTATATTCTCATTGAGGTGTTCATCTATCTAAAGGATTGGGGGGGGTGGAATGGATCGTTAGATATTTCCGCACCACCAAGTCGGACGGATTCTAGTGTTTCCGTAACACAATATATACAAATTGTCCGTACTGTACGCCAATGTAGACCATAGGTTATAAATCCATTATACTCTGGAGTAGTGTTTGTAGAGTGGGCATTATAGGAGCACTTAATTTGTGCCGACAGTGTCCAGTGTGGGATGGGGGCTAGCCCCTACTTCATCAGTGCCGTAACTTTAGCTTCAATGAGCTGCTCGCGTATTCTTGCAAACGCTGCTACAGCTACATTGCGCATCAATTCCGTATTAAAGAAAAAGGATGCAAGGGTCTCGACTGTTGGTCTTGACGCGTCGTGTTCTTTCTTGGCTTCTTGGGGCAAGGAGTGCTTAGGACAGTGAATTTCGAAGCCCAGCTGGTACGAACTGGGGAAGGATGACTGCTAGACTGGACTGGGAACCACTATGGGTGCGCTAGCGCACAAAATGACGTTGCCATGCGAGGCAGGGATCATCCATGTGATACGATTGATAAGGCCAAGTCAGAAGGTGGGGAGAGTGTTGGCGTTGATCCTTTCACCCACCTCAGCTGAACATGTGAACTCTCAGCTTCGATGCTGGAAACATTGACGGAAATGAGACACTGTTGACAATCTTGTTCCACTCCCACTCTGCGCTGTGTCGACAGCTCCTCCGATGAAAGCCTATTTTCTAGAAGCTCGCGATCGTGGAGATGGAGGAACCGCCTACATGCCCCTCCGAAGATCGGACAAGTCAAATCAGCTTATTAACTTCGGACGATGCTCCTTGGTATGTATCGCTTGATCATGAGGATGAAATCGAATATGACATCGCAGAGAACCAGCACACTTTGAAATGCGGGACATTAGTGGGCCTGGTAGAGCAACTGACCCGTCATGATAGACTGGACGCCTCATTCAATGAGACATTCCTCACAACCTTTCAAACCTTTGTGTCTGCTTCTGAGCTCTTTGAAATGCTAATTAAGCGGTTTAATATCGAGCCCCCGGCTGAATTGGACGAGTCCGAGCACGAGCGATGGAAAAAACAAAAGCAGCAAACAATTCGTCTACGAGTCGTCAACATCTTGAAAAACTGGTTCGAACGGTTTTGGATGGAGCCCAATGATGAAGAAACAAGGAACTTTCTACAGAATGCGCATGATCTGATCAGCGATTCTCCCACCATAATGGCGATGCCATCTTCTCTTCAGTTGCTTGCGATTGTGGAACAGCGATTACAGGGGCATGGTAGTATTAAACGGCTCGTACGCACCCCAACTGCCTCTGCACCACTGCCAATAATACCAAGGAGCATGAAGAAATTGAAACTCTTGGACATCGATCCCGTGGAGTGCGCAAGACAGTTGACAATTGTTGAATCGGGTCTCTATCGCCGGATCAGACCTGCTGAATGCTTAAATAAGAGATGGAAGAAGAAGAGTCCTGAAAATCCAGAACCTGTGACGGGTGTGAATGCTACGATTCTCCATTCAAATAAGCTGGCGAACTGGGTAGGGGAAACCATCCTCAACCAAACTACTGTGAAGAAGCGTGTGACAATGATCAAATACTTTGTGAGCGTGGCTGATGTACTTTCCCATTTTCCGTTCATAACTTTCTAGACGTTTAGTTTGGGCCCTTGTCATTGACGGTAGTTGTAGCAATGCCGTACTTTCAACAATTATGCCACCTTGATGTCTATCATCTCGGGTCTGGGACAAACTCCAGTCTACCGGCTTCGTTCCACTTGGAGACAAGTCAGTAAGCATGTATTAGCTACTCTAGAAGAGTTGCGTCAGCTCTTGGAAAGCTCCAAAAACTTTGCCAAGTATCGAGAAATTTTGTGTGGCACTACTTCCCCGTGTGTTCCCTTTCTTGGTACGTTCTGCTATACAGTACCTGCCACTTACTCCTTCTTTCTTTTGCTTGTTCTTTTCTTCCCTTTCTTCTGATGATTTCTTTCTCATTTTCTAATCAGGGATTTATCTCTCCGATCTAACTTTTATCGAAGACGGAATCCCCAACACCACCTCTTCAGGAATGATCAACTTTACCAAACGCCGGAAGACGGCAAAAGTTATTCAGGAAATCCAACAATATCAAACAGTTCCGTACGCTTTGCAACCAGTCCCAGAGCTGCAGGACTATATCATATGCAACATCCAGGCGGCAAAAGACGTACATGAGATGTATAACAGAAGTCTTGAAATAGAGCCTACAGAGAACGGTGAAGAAGATATTCTTGGAAGCCCAGCTGTCAACCATATGAGCTCAGTGGTGATTGCAAGCTTGATACTGCGATAGTAAGGATTTCTTGTTTCTTATTTTGTTAATATTATCATAGGTGCAATTAACGAGGAATTTTGCATTATTGGATCTTTATTTGGCTGGCTACTGTGACGAAAAAAGATGCATGTGATATGTATATTAGGAATTTTATTATCTAAAAAGAGTCTTACTAAAAAATGAGTTTAATCTATGACATCGCTATAAAATATTGCTATATGAAATGACTAAAATGTTTTACCCCTCTTTTCATTCATTTGCATATTGATGAGACTGTCAGGGGCTGAACCCGTAGAACCTATGGGATAGATTATGTACAAAAAGGAATCGCCGAAGGGAAGAAAGGAAAGACATGAGTGGTAAACAAACAGCGTGGAAGTCACGTAACATGGATCGAGGGCCAATGAGGCCAAAGGGAACAATAGGGACAACACGGATAATAGGGACATTGGCCCGAGGGGTCAAACGGGCTCCAGCCCTTTACAGAGACTTTTTCTTCCGTGTAAAGTTAGCCAACTAATTTTTTGTGAGTCATAAACAATAGTATCTGTATTGTTATGAATTGCATACCTCAATGTCACACAGTCTCGTATTTCTAATCCTATAAACAAATACGAGTATAACCCCTCTCACGTGAAAGTTATTCGAATGTATATAAGCGGCTTTTAATATGATCTATAAGCTATTTCAGAGACAAACCATCTATATTTTCAAAGGTTTAATATATTTACAGACAAATCTTAATATCACTAAGAGCAATAGGAAATAAAACAATGCGGGCCGTTGTCACGAATAACATTCTGATCAACGGGGCTACGGCATCCACCGTCATGGAACCCCGGTTGTCTTACTTCATGGAACCACCTCATCGTCTCTCATTTGGCGTAATATAATTGATTCCATCCTTAGTTCGCGCAAACTACAAGGTTTATGTCTTCGATTTGCTTGTCTATGGACTTTCAGAACGTCCATGAGACCGCTCTACTGATACATCCATGACGGTCAGGTACCTATTCTCGATGGCCTTTTAGACCACTGGGGGTTAGAAACTACCCATTTCATTCGCATGATTTCGGCGGCGGAGTTATGCAACGCTTCGCTATCTCCTCGCCGGAAAGAGTCAGCTCACTGATGCTAATAGACGTGGTGAGTTCTGATAGCTACATTTCGAACCGCACCAAAGAGCAAATGCAGAGGGAATTGGAGTCCTTGATGCAAGTCAACTGTGAAGAACACACGGCTCATTTTCGAGAACGGCTACTCTCTTCGGTTCACAGCCAGCAGAAGGTTGCCAACTCGAGTCTAGACACTTTCCTGGATTACATTTCGGGTCCGACTGTACAGGGTCAGTTTATTCGAGCACCAGATCCGGCACTACGACCCGAAGCATACGATAGAGATTGCAGACCGTCTTCCTGAACTAGGCAAGTTACCGGTTAAATTGATCTGGGGAGCCGATGATGGCTAGCAGGTCATGAGCTGGACACACCGACAGTAAGGACTATTCCCAACTCGGAGCTGGAAATCTTAGAGAACTGTCGGCATTTCGAACTGGAAGACCAGCCTAAGAAATTATCCGAGATTCTTATTTCGTTTTTGAATCACCATTAGTGTTTTCTTTGTTCGTGCAGTGTGATATATGCAGGCCTGAGATTATGACTTATGTTCAAACCATTCGACCAACTAAAAAGCCCAGGCTTATAGTGAAGCCACTATGGTGAGTCAAGTCATAGGAAGTTCCAACAACTTATGTATTAGAGATTTCAGAGAAAGTGGGGGGAATAGATGCATGATTATACATAATAGGAAAGAGGAAGAAAAGAGGTGCGGTTATTGCTTAGGGACACTATTCCAGGCATTTATTTATGTTTTCTGCTCAAGGTAGCCTTATATAGACCGAAAGCATTAATTGGAAGTTATTTAGAAGTCCATGTATAGGATACGGAAAAGATTCTCAACATTCATATGAACCAAAGAACATATTGTAGGAATAATTATAAAAATTTCACATGTTATGGAGCTGTAGATTATTATAATCCTTTTCTGTAATGGTGTAAAAGCACCATGGACCAGAATCCTGTATTTTATAGTAAATACTAACTGAAGTGCCATTTGCTAGGTTTCTTGATACAGACTGTGAACGCCTGATATGTCTTGCCTTGCACATAAACCCATAAAAAACTAAGAATAGCAGCGGCATACACCACCTGTAGACCTTGCATTACCCAACAGTTAACGTCACACCACAGTACGCTTGCCACACTCGTTCCTGCCAGACCTATCCACTGAAGCGGCCAATATATTAGTCTCAGACCCCAGACCTGCTCCTTGCCGAAAGTGGACCGGAAGTCTTGGCACATTGCATGACTAACATGTGGTTTCCCTTGCACAACGAGAGCTATGAATAGATTCAACCACTCATTCAGACACACACGTCTTTTTCTCTGTTGGTTCTTTTCCTATCTTGTGGAGGTTGATCCCGTCTGACCCGAATCGGAACATCCGGAGGCTTCAGGCGACCATCCAGCGCTGTATGTCTCAATGCAGTCACACATCTGACTGGCCCGGACGCTCCCCGCATTGCTGCTCCGCCCATCAGTGCATCACCCGAAGAGGAGACTGTCTCACTTCCTGTGCAACTATTGCCGCTACTATTGATGGGGTTTCAAATTCGCGGAGATGCTCGCGACGATCTTGCTTCTAATCCCAGAATTAGACTCCACGCTCTTTACGAAGTTCCCGAGCCTCACGAACGATTGTGATGACGATGCGGCCTTTTCGTCCGGTCACCGCTTCATGGAAGAGCCTTTAGAGATGGCTATATAAACCCCCTTCAGGTCTGCTTTGAATCTGGTATTTCAGATCAGATCAATCAAGCCCATTGACAAGACTGCCCTCGATCTTTCAAAGCAAACACTCCAAAGAATCAACTAATTCCCGCTGCTTCTGTCATCTCTACCCACCACCTTCTCCACATCCACAAACACCTCAAAATGAAGTTCTTCGCCTCTACTCTCGCCGTTCTCTCTCTGTCCCTCTCCTCGGCTGTGGCTGCTCCTGTTGAGGCTGCCTCCGATGCCGCCGCCTCTACCTCCATCTCCGTCTCCTACGACCCCAAGTATGATGTGGGCGGCAGCTCCCTCACCACCGTCGCTTGCTCTGACGGTGTCTACGGCCTCATCCCCCGCGGCTACTCCACCTTCGGTTCCCTACCCAGCTTCCCGCGGATCGGAGGTGCTCCCACCATTCCCGGATGGAACAGCCCCAACTGTGGCAAATGCTACTCGCTGCACTACAAGGCTGGTCCCGTTGACAAGACCATCTACATGACTGCCGTCGACGCCGCTCCTGGTGGCTTCAATCTCGGCGTGAATGCCATGAACGAGCTGACGAATGGCCAAGCTGTGCAGCTTGGTCGCGTGCAGGCGGATTATGCCGAGGTTGATCCCTCTTTGTGTGGGTTCAAATAGGTTCGAGTGAGCCAGGAACGGCCCAGTGCGGTGCGATTATCGACCCAGGATTACCTAAGGCGCTCGAATCGACTTGGATGTTGTAATGAGATGGACAGTTTAGTCCCTGTTGATTTTTCAGTTCAGGTATCTATTTTCAGCGGCAATCATTCCTTAGACTTTAATTCTGCATATATGAATAGTATAATCAATGTTACTGTTATGATATCTATTGTTTTTCCTTATCTTGCTTTGTAATAGAGGGGATGGTATCTTCGTCTTCGTTTACTATACATAGTCTATTTATCTAGGTAAGGAAGGATATATCCATATACAAAACTTCAGCCTATCACTTCCAACATCTCTTCCACGCGACCGAATTTGGAGCGGAGTTTTCCCTGTGGTTGTCCACGTTCACGCTCCGCTGCATCAATGCGCTCCCAGTCCTGCCAGGTGGTTACACGCAATCCTCGCTGCTCGGTCTCGGGGCGGACTCCCTCCCAGCCAAGCCCGGTGCTACGGCCAGGTGAGTTTAAAAGAGATGCCTTTCCTGATTGGTTAGTCAGGTCAGCTGCAATGGCATCTGCGGTGCTGAATGCATCCATCATGGTAGTGGCGATGACACCGGTAGGGCCACGTTTGACCCAACCAGCGCAATAAAGACCTGGCAGATGAGAAATAAGGGACCCGTCGAGAAGCTGTTTGTTGTCTCCTGTGTCTTTGGGACTGGTGGTTCGTCCGAACCCATCATTCGGGATCACCCCGCGGTTGGTGTCAAATTGGATGCCCAGATCCTCTAATCCGGGGAGAGGCAGCGATTTGTACCCAACACTGCGGAAGAATGCATTTGCAGGAATATCCACCTGTGCTCGCTTACCACTGGCAAGGTACTTATTTGTCACCTTGGCGCTTGGCAGATACGGCTCTGTCGGGTCCAATTCGTTCCGGGAGAACTTGACGTGTGACAGGTGATAGGGATGCACCGGGGACCAGTTGAGACATTCCGGTGACAGAAGAAAATCCAAAGACCAAGACTTGGTGCTACTTGCCGGGTCATTGGTGGATCCCTTTGCGAGGAGTTGTACAAGCCGTTTCTGAGCTCTTGGGAGAGAAGCCATAATATCATCCGGCGGGAACAAATACCGGGGGATCGGGTCAAATGACACCGATGGCAGCTGAAGTAATTCTCGAATCTCCTTGATAGTGAAAGCAGCCTATATAACGGGTTTAATTAACGTCCAGCATAGTAAACAACAGATGATCTCTGCACCCACCTGCATTGGCCCTCGGCGACCGACTACCCGCACACGCTTGATCTTGCTCCTCGACAGTGCATCCAAAGCATAATCTGTAATATCAGTCTTGCGCAAAGCGTCCACATCCGACAACAGGATCCTAGCAACGTCCAAGGCAACATTGCCCTGTCCAATAATTACAGCATTCTCACCGTCAGTGAGATCCGGCGCAAGATCACGATGTTCCGGCAAACCATTGTACCAACCGACAAACTCTCGAGCGGAGTAAACATTGTGCATCGCTTTTTCCCCGGGGATTCCGAGTTCCTTGTCCTTTGGGGCCCCGTACGAGAATAGGATAGCGTCGTAATGAGGTTTGAGAGTATGAAGAGGAAGGTCCGCACCCAATTCAATATTACCAATAAAATTAAACCGGGGAGATGCTGCTACTTCAGTGAACTTCTCTTCACAATTCTAGGAGACATTGGGAGATGAGTTTATAATTCCGGGTTCGTCAGTCGTTGATTTTCACGTACCTTGACCTCCGGATGGTCCGGTGCCACTCCGTACCTAACCAGGCCAAATGGAACAGGCAGTTTCTCATACATATCAATTACAGCACTGTCGACTTTGGCCAATAGCCTGTAGGCAGCATAAAAGCCAGCAGGCCCGGAACCAATGATAGCAACGCGAAAAGGCCGGTCATTTTGAACGGTGTCGCTGCTATAACATCGTAGTCCATTCAACTGCGGGGAAGCCTGTCTGGATGAGAGATGGACAGGAGCACGCAGCACCGGCGCCGTGCATTTGGCGCAGACATAGCGCGCACGCTGGATATTCATAGTGCTTGCGAGGATGAGTCGCTGAATATCGGAGATTACAGGTATTGATTGCCGATGACGGATGACACGTGACTCTTATCGCGATGGTTGCCGCGCCGACTATCGTCTTGTTGACTTCTGATCTATGGGGAATTATCAATCCCATGCATGCCACGCATGCTTCCTCTTACGCCGGAGTATTCCCCTCTGACATTCCACCGTTCCATGGTTCGTGGTAATCTTCCTTTCATCTCCGATTTCCCCAGCATTCTTTCGTGGAGTTTATCGCGTTCATCTAAGATTTGATCTCCCCGCTTCTGGCGTGGGTGGATGCTTCATTCTTCAATAAATTAGTGGATTGAAGCTTCATTCATTACCATCATGGGGGGGTCATCGCCTCCGTTCCTTTATGGCGCTCCTTTGGCGCACAGTTTTCATGGCCCAACGGATCGCCCATTCAATCCAAAGGCTGCCACTCAGGCGAGCTGGACTCGTCCAAAATCAAAGCCGCAGCCACAAGGCCCGCTGATCAACTTCAATAGGCATCCCGACTCTGTACGCATTTTCAGGCTTCTCTCTTGGTGGTTTTATACTAATGCATGTCTACTTTATAAGTACAACAATATCCCCGATGGAAAGTTTCGATGGACTCCTATGAGCCCTCAGACAAAACCCAGAGTCATACTTACACGGAGAATACAGCTTGCGTTCCGCGTGCTTCAGCTGCTCGGAGCGCTTGGTTCTTTGTTCTGTGCCATTGTTATTAAGAATGCGGCGGTGACTATCATATGGATTGTGCGCGTCGGGGTAAGTCTTTGGGAATTAACCTTAGAAGAACTACTTAGATAGTTAACGTCTATTTAAGCCTGCAGTAGCAATTCTGCACACACTTTATGGCGTCTACCATCTATGTCGTTCAGCTGTCAGCAGACCTCCCGGCTCGCAAGCGAGCTACATGTTGTTTGCTTCAACATTCGACCTTGGCCTTATTCCGTTCTACGTCTTCGCCGCATTTTTAGGGTACAAGCAATATACTGAGAATGCATACCATTGGGCTACCTTGCTGAGTTCTGATTTTGACATCACTACCAAAATTTCGCAAACCACCTTCCTACTGAGTGTGGTCAACGGAGGTTTACACGCACTTTCTTTAGGTATCTCTGTCTTTCTAAGTATCATTTTCCGTCGAATTACCAAATTACCCCCGGATATGAACCCACTGGAAGACAATTTGACTGCCCGCCCCCACAAACGTACCAAGTCCGAACTAGCTGAAAAGCATGCAAGTCATTCAACCTTGGACTCTACGATGTCTGAGGATCCTCTGATTGGCCCTCCTCGTAAGATGGCCTTCATGCACACAAGGGCTCAATCTTCAGAAGGTGGGTCAAGTCGTGTCTCGGATGTTATAGCGGAGAAGAGACAGTCACAAATGTCTCAGCCCTCGAGTTGTCTATCACGGATAGAGCCGTCTTTGCCACATATGCCTTTCGAGTACCACGCAGACTCCACAGACTATATGGTAGAGCAAATCCCGGACAACAATGCAGGCACCTTGACAAAACCAACGACAACAATACCGCATGGTTCCCCTGTAAGAGAGCCATCTCCTGAGCTACCAAGCCGATCCCAGTGTGTGAGTCCGGCTTCAGGTAACTGGATAGTGTATCCCTCTCGATCTCCCTCACCACTGGACGTTGCTATAAACGAGAGTTCTGCTCATCGCGAACCCTCATCTGCCTACAGCAGAGGAAGCGTCTCTACTACCACGAACGGTGGGGTTATGGACTGGGTAAACTCTGCACAGCGCTATGGATGGGACATTGGCCAGACGATTAAAGAAGATACCCATGGAGAATATGAGTCCCTTCCTGTACATGAATACTACGGACACGACGACGACCACGATGATCTACAACGACATAGCAGATACTACGATAATGCTGAACAAGACATTGGTGATCACAACATTCAAATATTCCAAGACCACGACCCGGAGGAGCAAGCCTCCGATAACCTTCGGGTCAACCCATTAGCCCTGAACCCACCTACCCCCCAGCCAATTCTTGACAACGCGCATGATGACACGACTGATTCCAGTCGCACGGCTCTTGCCGACATTCCCAATCTGTCCCCCACTCCACCGACTTCGCTTCCTAAAACCGACAATCCAACGAAGAAGGGTCGTTTTTACGGTGATCTCGAAGGGAAGGGCGGTCTCAGCATTCCCCGCCACATCAGTCATCAAGACAGTGGTAGTGGCTCCCACGGCATATGGGGGAAGAAATCAACGAAGGGAGCGAAGACGAAGAAACAGAAATCTAACGCCTATGGCGCTCTGAAGCAACATGACGACAATGACCATATCGTGCCATCCTCTGATCTCACCGTTACTGAAGGCGATCGAAAGGGTCGAGTGGTTAGCAACTCGGGCGTTGATTTCGGTCGTGGCTTCGGACAAGGCTCATCACTGTCTTACGGTAGCTACATCGCTGGCCTAGGCGTTGGAAGAAGACGAGATGTGAGTGGCAAAATGGCCGAAGAGGGCCGAAGTGGTAGGAGCAATTCGGGAAATGAGGGCCCAGCTCCCATACGGGCCGCTGGATGGGCTCGTTTCGCAGGACTCTGATGAATATGGACCGAATGGAAACATCCCGGTTTATTTCAAATTTCACGACTGTACTCCACGACTTGACGTAATGATTAGTAGTATCCTGAGGTTTGGTGAAGATAGAGATCTCTGTTTGGGGCAATGAATGATGGAAGAAAGTTGGTCAAACTGGACCTAAGCAAGGTGTTTGTATTTGGCTGTTGGTTCTTTTGAAGGCCTCATTTGTATTTATGATTTTCATGTTTGTCCGGAGTTATCTATTTCCAGCTTTTCCAAATGTTTTGTGCTTCTTGTCCTCTGTCGGGTGATCTCTGGAACCGAATTGCAAACTAAAATTAGTTGCTCTTAGATATAATTACTCTACTTCAATTTAAGAGCAGTATATTCCATTTTATATTTCCCGTATAGGTTCTACCAACTCTAGTTTGGTTTCGTAAATATCTTATACTTTTTATTTATTAACTTTGCAAGAGTATTCCAGCTAGTTACTACACTTATTATAATTAGGTTTTATAGTGTACACAAAATATATATGCATATAAAGGATTAGACTACGAGGGAACACCTTCGTATTCCCATCCTTGAATCACTCTCTTCCCTCTGCGTGAGTTGCGCCGATTCGTATTACACTTCACAAACAACGTCAAGGCCGTAATGATGCAGATCACAATCCCGGCTATGGCAGCCACAAGGACGGTTCGTTTTTGTAGTTGTTGAGGATCTGACGCATACGGACAATTAGCATCGGGCCCACCTGTGATCCAACAGGACGCGACGTCCAGGCAGTTAAAATCTATCCACAACTCGCGCTTTGACGGGTCCGAGGAATTGGGGTCCATTCCACTAGCGGCTTTATCAAGCGCATGCCAGTAAAGATAGGTGTTTTCGAGGGCAGTGCGGGGGACCGCCAGAGAGGAGTTTTCCGGGCAGCCTTGGTGGTATACATCAGAATAGATGTGCTCAGTAGAAGTCAATTTCCAAGTGAATAAATCGTTTCCGACTCGACATGCTCCACGGCGCTTTTCGGCGCAATTTATAACGCGCCAGTGGCCCCCCAGAGAAAGATCCATAACGGCACATCGGTCTCTTCCTGGCTGGTCTATGTCATCAGTCACCTCCGAGCCTCTGGGCTCTCCCAGCGCCCATGCCCACATTGCGGCGCGAGTTGCATTTTTGTACGGTTCAAAATCTTTGTCAGCTGTGGCGTTGAAAAGAGTATTGTTGATAGTCGGGGTTAGGCCGCAAGCTGTTACATTCGTAATCAGGTCTGAAAGTCTCCGCATGAATTGCGTCTTGACTGTGTCGTTTGAAACTGGTACAGGACTGGACACGGCCCATGACGAGTTCACTTGTGAGATTCCAGAAGCGTCTGCGTTGTAGTAGCATCCGGACTCTAAGCCTTCCCCGCTAACAGTAATAGGGATCGTAGTAGTGAGAGATCCTTGAGGAAATATAATCTCGTCCTTCTCGGTCATGTTATAGTCTTCCATTTGAGGATCTACCGAGCCATATTCAAGAAGTAGACGCCGTTCCTTTGCCAGCTGCACATATTTCGTGGACGGCCAGCCATCTGTAGTGCTCTGTTTACCATCCTCGTCTTCGTCGATGGTAATGTACTCTGTGATAGGTTCGTATCCATCGTCAACTTTGTACCAGGAATCATTCAAGTTACTACGTTCGTCGGCCAGCTGCGACGGTGTATATATATATGAATAAAGGCGATCGACGAGACTGTCGATACGCTCTGGTATCGACGGTAGGTCGGCCCCAGATACTTTGGAAGCCGGTCGATTAACTGCCGTTGCAGTAGTAGCTGCATGGAGGTTAAAAGAAACATATCTAGTGTAGATATTCAATTGAGAAGCAGTAGATTTGAAAAAATCTTCAAAAATATCAACCATATCTGATAAATTAAGGCCGTCCGAGCATAGATAGGGGCCCAGCGCATACAGCTGAGATCCAGAAGAATTAGATATGACTGTTGCACTACCCTGTGCAGCAGCTACTGTAGTTGTTGAAGCCGTGGAAGTTCCCGTTGTCATTGATGTCGACGTCGACGAGATGGTAACCACCTGTACATCGCTCGGGATACTCACTGGACAGAAGTTCCAAGTACGGCTCTCCACAGACCAGTATAGATCAACGATGAACCGGCGATATCCCAAAGCGAGGAGATTCGAAATGCATCTTCCAGCCAAATCCCGGTCAAACACATTGTTTCCGAAGCACGCCGACCGCAGACACACGGCCGACGTCGTCACAAAATTAATTGGAATTTGACCAGCCACATCTCTCTGGCTCTAGTAAGGACACCATATTAGCAAAATCCTTGACCAACAACATCAACTCCCATAATGAGTCGACTTACTACAAAGGCAGCTTCCCATGTAATATCTACAAGGGAGGAATCGGGATCATAGCTCAATGACATGGAGCTACGAGCGATAGGCAGCGGCAAGGCAGTCTTTGGTAGTAGGTGAGCGACAATGACAGCATAGCAGATGGTGTTCCGTAGCTGCCGGGATCAACGCAGAACAGGAGGGCGACTGAAGAATGAGAGACGGACGCTCCGGTTCTCTGTGGAGAAGGCGGTGCACTCTGGCTTTTCCCCTTTCAGCGGGCAAACACCATCTGGCCACTTCGTTGATCCCCAAGTTTCATCCTCGTACTTGCCCCTTCACTCTTTTTTACCTGAGTCTTCCCTGCCAACCCTCAGACTACTCTTTTCTTCCGACACTTCCTCCTCTTTTTCCCTTTCACTTGGTTTTAACGATACCTAGCCCAGTACACCATACTCCTCCGTAATGGCGGCACCCGGCCAGCCGTCTCCCCAGCAAATTGCGGCCATGCAGCAGCAGTTCGCTGCTGAAGCCGCAAAGCGTGGAATGACCCCTGAAGAGTTTGCCAAGCAGCAGCGCGAACAACTGGATGCTGAAGCTGCAAAGCATGGAATGAGTACCGAGCAATACGTCAACCAACTGAGAATGCGAGCTCTCGCCCAACACCAGAAACAAGTTGAAGCCCAGCGACAGAATCAATCGTCCTCACCACAGCCGGGACAGTCTGAACAAGGCCAACAACAACAACAGCAGCAGACAACGCATCAAGTTCCAGTAAATCCGTCAAATCCTCCCGATCCTAAGGCGATCGCTGTTGCCCAGTTCCTCCGCTCCCAGAACCTGAAGCCGAGAACATGTATTATGGATGGACAGAGGAAGGATATGTTTAAAGGTACCATCACCTGGCTCATTATCAGGTACTGCACCATGGCTAACCAAATTTTTCTTCAGTAAAACGTGCTATTCGCGCTCTCGAATCCCCGGCATACGCCAAAGCCGCCGCCAAAAAGAACTCTCTTCTTCCGCCGGTGACGGACCGCGCCTCAGCGGAGAATGTTTTTAAACTCCTCCCTCTATCCCTGCTTGCATTGCGGGTTTCAAAGGTCGATCCCCATGAAGGCCACAATCACGCCAAACCAAAGAACCGCGTCAAGGGGCTCTGGACTGTCAAAATCGAGCAACACCAGGAAACTGATCCCATGATGCACTACGTATGGCTTTACGAGGGACCCCAGTGGAAACAGAAAGCAATGGCTGCTGCGGTAGTGGCCGGTATCTTTGCCGTTGTTTTGTTCCCCTTGTGGCCTATGATGTTGAGGCAGGGAGTCTGGTACCTCAGTGTAGGGATGATGGGTCTGCTGGGTCTGTTCTTCGCCATGTCAATTTTCCGACTGATCCTGTTCTGTGTGACCGTATTTGCGGTTCCACCTGGCCTCTGGCTTTTCCCCAACCTGTTTGAAGATGTTGGTTTCGTGGATAGTTTCAAGCCTCTCTGGGGCTGGCAAGAGGTATGTTCTTGCTGCTGTCTCTTCCGTGGTGATTACTAACTGAATCCCCTAGACTAAGAAGAAAAAGAAGTCCAAGAAGTCCGGTGATGCATCCAAGTCTGCCAATTCTCAGGCTCAGAGCGCTACCCCATCTTCAACTACAACCGCCACGCCCACACCCAACACATCAGGAGTCGTGAAGCGTGATCTCGCTCCTCGGGTCGAAGAAGCCGCTGATGAGTAATAGCATAGATGATTATGGCGAATTTTCGCGTGAATTGCATGTCGGTGTGTACGCACACCATTTCCGTAGGACGGAAATCTGTTTATTTTCATCCACATGTACCTTATTTTTCTGGTTTTCTTTCGTTTCAATATTCTCCTTGTTGTGTGTTCCGAGGCTTTCTGTTCGGGTCAGAGGTCAAAATTCCTGCGGTCAATATGAGCTTTAAGTCACAATGAACATTTTACGGTTTAATGCATCTCGTTTCCGCAACTGTGGAATACTCTCATACTCAAGATACTACCTTTATAATAATGTCTAGTACATCATCTCTCAACTTCAACAATTACTGTCCTTATTGTAATTCCTAAGTAGGTGGGATTGAGCACACCCAATTAAAACATGGTATCGATAGGGCTGCCCCATAATGAGCACGTGCACTGGAACTAAACGTTAATGTACAGGCCTCAATCAAGTTCAATGATTTTGGACACAGGCCAGGTAAATTGAGGTTCAGATTGCAAGAAATAGAACTACTGTTGATCTCTAAGCCTCTATATTATATATACTTATTTCTGAACGGAATTGGAATTATCGAGGCATCTTTCATGTTGCAGAAGTTGAGACAGGGTCTTGCAGTATACATTCAAAACGAACCTACGTCTTGTGTTTTTATAATCCCTGATATCATCGTGTAGGGTACAAAATAGGGGGAAATAAATGTGTAAAGGATCTAATTCTGGAGTAAATTCACTATCCCTGTCAGAGTTTTGAGAGGCAATCAAGATCACAATAAATATAATATACAAATGGTATATGAGCATAAGATAAGGAATGGTATAATTCGTTTCAAAACATGCTGACGGTGTAGGATAGCCTGAATCATGCATCGCTGTAATGAGGATATACACTAAGGAAAAAAACAAAAAAAAAAAAAAAAAAAATAAGGGTTAGTCAGGAATAGCAGGCAGCAGGATGGCCAATTTTAAGACCGAGAACGAAAAGGGGGAAACAGAAAAAGGAGTGGTATCGAGAATGTTGTTTAAAAAAAAAAAAAAAAAAAAAAAAAATGAAATTGTTGCATGATACGGCATGGTATATATATGTAAGTTATTGATCAGACATAGCCGACTATCAAAGTCGGCGAGAAAGGAAAATATGCTGGCATTGACGTACAGCTAAAGGTAAGTCAATATTGATACGGCAGAAGGAAAGATTTGATGATAGCATATAGAACAGAGCTATCGCGAATGTGGTAACCATCGAGACAGGATTCATATATCAACGATGTAGGCTTGATTTCGGCCTTAGTTGACGACTCGTGAGTGCCGGTATCCAGAGCTCTGCCCTCCGGAGGTAATACAGCTATTCGTAGGATGTGCCACTGAACTAGTCACGTATTTCTGACTTGCCCTAATTGTCTTGCTAGAATGGGTTGTGCCTGATCGTTGGTCTGAAGTAGGTTGCTCGGACCACATAGGAGTGGGATCCACAGGTGAAGGAATCTTCGGCAATGGACAATTTGGAGGAGGCACAGAAGGTGGACCGACGGTAAGTCCTGGCATGCTTTTGCGTCGTAGCATGGGCTGACTAGGAGGACGACCAGTTAAGTTCGTGCGGTGGATTATAGAAGTCCGATTCAGCAGTCCATCACTGTAAGAGGACTGATTTGCCATCTCTGAAGGCAAGGGTAATGGACATAATTTTACAGATGGTTCAGTGACTTTGCTCTTAATCGTGTTAAGAGACTGCGATGAGCGCGATGTGGTAGGCGGTAGGCCCATGTTATTCATTGGAGCCCGTGAATAGCGATATGATCTATATTCCTGGTTCCACTGAGTATCTGCGAGCGAGTCCTGGGAGATGGACACGCGCAATGGCTTTCGTGGAGTCTCATGGTTACTATAATGTTGCTCAGGAAAGTAGCCTTGTTCAAAATTGGTTGGCGGTTTGCCCGGGGATTGGGGAGGGGAGGAGAATGTAGACACTGTTTCAGCCTGGTCGGTGCTCATCTCGCTCCCAAGAACAGATGATAGTCCGGGTTGATTAGAAGACCGAGATTGGCTATTCCTACCCGAAAATCTCTGGCTGAAGGACGGGACACTAAAGTTCGGAGCAGGTGGCGAAGAACTTCGAAGCATAGGCTCGGGAACCATGAACTGTGACTGAGGCAATTCAGAATCTACTGTCATCATTGCAGTGTGATGGTGGTTCATAGATTGCCTTTCCCTGGGGCTGGCAATTGTAGGGCTTTTCTGCTCGTCCAAGGCAGACAGGACTGTTGATATGGCACTTTCTGTCTTGAGAGGCGTAGTGGGGACATTTGTCACGGAAATTGCAGAATAAAAGCGCCCTTGCCCATTTAAAGGTGAGGTTGCTTCCGTTTGGGTTGTAGAGATCGACTCAGGGCGAGAATCAGGAACAGAGTGCAAAACCATCGACCGGCGCTGGAGAGAAACATGGGAGCTCCGCCGAGACTGATCCGTATAAATCGACTCCTGTTCATCAGATATCGTCGATTGCTGTGGTTGGAGGAATGTCTGAGAGAAACGATTGGGATCTTTTTTGACTAATTGACGGGCACTGGGTTTGGAATGTGACTGATGCCCCATCTCGCCATCGAATGCTCTTTCAGACACGTACTTCTTACCGCCCCTCGCCTCTATCTGGGCGCGGACAGCTAACAGCCATGAGCTCAGGTCCTCGGGGCTATGAAACACAAGTAAGAAACTCCGTGTTAGTCGTCTAACGTGAGATTTGTGGAATCCCAAACGAGAAAATAGACGCCGGTGTGTATCCGTGACGGTCGAATTGTCTTCCCCAGAAGACTGAGATACCTGTAAAACCCAGTGTTTCCCCGGAATTGCATCACTGGCGAAAGCTACAGACTTAGGCCCCAACCGCAACATCTTTTCTGGTAGTCGATCATGTTTACCGCTTCCAGAGTACTGCAGAATATATCCATTTGTAGCCAATATGTAGACCTTTTGAGACCATTCGGCCTTGTCGATGGTTTCTGAAAGAGTACGTAGGTGCTTCTTTTTCTCTTTGTCGTCTTTCTTTTTGCGAGCTCCAGGATTAGCCGCTGAAGTTCCATTGTGTAATGAATTAGATGAACCCTCGTCACGAGAACTGGACTTTGTCGCTGATGTGGCGTGCAATCGAAGGATAGAATCTACCGATAGGCCTGGAGATGGGAGGGTATCATTTTTAAGTGCCTGTGGATAGGCCTGGAAAAGGGGAGGTGGTTTCCATCCAGTATCAGCCGTCCATGGCTTGTCCTCCCCAGGTCTCCCACGAGGCTTAGATGTAAGTTTGGTGCGATGAGGGTCTGTTGAGGACGAAGTCACCATAGTGGGCGTTGATACAGAAGTTGGCGAAAATGGTGCGACGTGTCCCGGCGCATCGTGTGCCGCAGACATTTGGGTTTCATCAACGCCAGACAACTCGGTGTCACTGGCCGGTTTGCGCGAATTTTTTTCGCGGCCAAAAAGACTGCGAAGGCCCGACTTTGCCGACTCACGCTTAACTGGTGGAGGTTGCAAAGGAACCTGTTCATTGCTGTCTCCATCATTATGACATTCCTCAGGGCGTAATCGTTGCGGGTGAGGTGAAGTAACAACAATCGGTCGAGAGGTTGGACGACTGAAATTTGTCTGCAAAGGTGGCAGTCGCTGACCTCTCCGCTCGCTCACCGATGGTTGAGTGTGTTCATTATTCAATGACATTCTCGTATCTTTATTCTCTTCCCGAAGACCACGGTGCGCTTATTTCAGTTGAATTCCAAGCTCCTGTAGGTCGTTGCTGATTGTCCTGAAGAATTTCATGCGAAGAGCTGGTCTGATATAAGGCAGCGGCAGAGAAAACGGCGCAGTGACAGTCTTAGGGTATCATTGGATCATGTATGCGATTACAGTGGAATATTGGTATCGGGTTTCTTGGTCAATGCACTCTGGGAAAGACAACATGGCACTATAAGGACACACGATGCAGTTAGGTTGGTCGCATTGATCTCGACGTAGGAAGCAAGTAATTGGACTGTTCTGTTACGGCACAACCATAGATTGGTGGCGCCAGTGGTATGGCACAGTTGGAGACTATCCGTCTCAAGTGGAATGTTATTCCGTCACGTCAACTGCGGAACGGGCTCGAGGCTGAGATACACGGTAAGGTGAAATAATCAAGCCGTTGTAGTAGATCAATCGGTGCGCCAACTAATGAATTGAGCACAACGAACTCATCCTTCTAGTTCTGAACCTAGAATAACGTGGCCGTAAAAGTTAGTAGGGTTGGAAAGAGCGAGAAGCCATGAGTACGACAAGAAGTCCAGACTCCATTCAAGTGACTAACCAGGCAATACTTTTTTTTTTTTTTTTGCCTTCTTCGTTGTTTAAATTAGTCTGGACTTGCCGATGGACTAGTCTGTGACTAAGAGCCCACTGTTAGCTGAGGTGTTGGTGATCTGAAACAGTTGACCTGAGGCAAACCCCTAAGTGGAGTGAAGAGAGATGGAAGAAAGGCGATGCGACGAGGAAAAGAGTTACTCCAGACCACGTGTGTAATTCGATGGATCTATCCGCCGATAGGGGTCGCGATCCCATCTTGACTGACCTTGATTGCCCTTCATGGGAATCACACCAGCCATGATAATCCCCCTGAATCGGCCCCTCGAGGGCTCCACACCGGGTAACGGTTTCCCGCATGTTGGATTAGCGCGACTATAGTGATCTCCCTGGCGAATCATCTGCAAGAATAAGAAGGCATAAAAATGGGGATCCCAAAGTAGCATGCCTATTTATTAGGCGGTGATCAACACATAGATTGGACAGTGCCTTGGGTGTCAATCGTGGAGATCAGTCTGTTTGTGATCAATTATCTCAATAACTATCTAGCTACTATCAATGTTCTTATCAGGGGAAAAGCAAAGCACGAGGGTTTATGCATGTTTATGCGATGGAAAGTTTATGTTGCTGACTAACATACACTAAGTCGCAACTCACAACGTCGACCGAAATTATCTATCAAATATTAAAGTTATTCACTACATATTATCATACACACTTATCCATTCAATAGCTACTCAAGACTGACGTCTTCCGGGTGTCGGGGCTGGGCTGCACTTTTGACCCTGTCCTTGTTCCACTGTGCCCATCATCTCCGCTGCCTCGTCACAGTGTTGTGCCATTGTTAGGTCTCTATCAGTGAGGCCACGAGGATGATGTGTAGTCCAATGGACGTCGACAGAGCCAATACGCTAACAGGTTATTAACGTCAGTATACGTCTATCTCGCTGCAGGCATCGTGGGTAAGGGTGTCACGCACGACAGTCATGGTAGGATGATGTTTCTGGGAAGCACTCTGCGAGGCAACTACATTGACAAAGGCCTGTTCATTAGTTATAGGCGGCAAGCCAGAGTAGAAAAACTCTTATATAGAGCACGTACCACAGCCTTAAAATATGACCGAAAATAGAACGTCTTCTGCACCCCCATGCCGTCCTCATCCAACTTCCATCCTTGTTCAATCAACGCATCCACCTTGTACTGCAATTGCCCTGCATCGATTCCCTCAGCAAATTGGGGTTCAGAAGCCACAGTTGATAAACCACGGGAGAGGATGTTCCTGGGATTAAGATTGGGAGTGATAAGTGTGCGTTTAGATGGGGGTGTGCGGAGGAAACAAGTAGGAAGGGACGAAGCCAATAGGAGGATCTGGTGATTATTACAGCAATTTGAAGAATGGAAGTGCGAGAACAGCCTTCGGCCAGGGCGCTGTATAGATCTTATCATGGTGTCTATATTGGAATAAGTTTGCGGGCATTTAAAACCTAGAATCCCAGTTCTCAAGTCTGCGTTCAAGCTAGTTGATCCTGTCAAGGAAGGGCGGTAAGATGGGGCAAATTTTGGAGACGCTTACTATCCTACTGGTCAACTTTCCAGATTCGTCTCCACTTATGATTTCGAAATCCGGAAGAAGCATCTACGAGTGAAAGAGGCGTATACTACTCTATCCAAGAAATGATCTAAATATGACAATGAACCAACTGATGAGAAACGGGAAACCTCCATTCTTAGGCATATATATCTCATCCCTTGGACTCCCGCAAAGCGTCTGCAAGAGGAAAGGAGACATGTACGGAGTAGTCAAGTGCTGTTGTGTAGGAAAATATGTATGCACCTCCTTTCCATGCTCTCCTTCAGCTGTCTGCCACGAACAAAGAGAAGCGAAAACAGCGTGGGAATCTCAAAATAGTACTCTGTAGCTGAACAATTTATACCAAAAGAAACTGGGAAAGTAAAAGAAAGGGCCAAAAAAGGTGGGAAGAAAAGAAAAAGAAAGAAAAAGAAAAACACATTAGCATTGACAATCGGACATCTGCACTACTATTGTTGGCATAATTGGGTCATCAGTCGTTCCCATAACATCATCAACCTTGTGACTCCTCGAGTCTTGAGGCTGCTTATAAATCTCCTTGGGAATGGCTATTCCTGCGCGAGTTGACACGAGAATTACCCCGAGAGGTGGGTCGAGATGCTGAATAGCTACCTGTGCGACTCCCAAAGTTTTGACGGATACGCAGATTCTGCTGCGATCGGGCAAAGGAGTTTGCTCTGGAGCCAGATGGGATTTTGGAGAGTCGCCGGCCAGCAGTCTGTATTTCGACTCTTGCATCGGACAATTGTTGGGCAAATGGTGATCTCTTTCGGAGTGTTGGTCCATACCAATATATCACATAGACAGCAATTACAAGGACGAATGAGACGCAAACTAGAATATCTGATATCAGTTTCATGGGTACTCGGAGAGATACCATGACTGGGGCTTACAAAGAATTGTAGATGCATATTCTAGGTGATGTTTACCACCAATGTCTATAGAAGTTTGGTTTTGATTAGCCATCACAGCATAGCACCAAAGGTATTCGTAAATACTCGACTTACTTTGGTAGAAAGGCGTGGCAGGGATTGTAAGAACACCAGCCAAAAAGTCTCTTGACCATCCATTTCCTCCCGTGGCTGAAGCAGAATAAGGTCCATAGGCGCAGATCATGTAGTCGATGGTAGCCATATAGATGCTATAGTTAGCAATACCGACAATGGCAGAGAAAACCATAGTCCCCATCCAATGCACTGGAGGTCCCAAACTGGTCCATCCGAAACCAATTAAGCCGATTGGTAGACACGGGGCCGTATATAGTAACCACCACAGTCGAGACTCATATTGGGTATGCTCATCGTCAGGTTTCATCCGTCGCTCTCCAATATTTCTCCTAATGGCTGGGATAAAGGAAATCCATGCAATAAAGTAACCGATAAGGATAGGGATGAAGGACAAGCCTTTAGCCACTGTGCTGAAGTGCCACTGGTCATATACAAGCCCAAACGACTGGATAAAAATAAAGATTAAAGCATCACTGAATCCACTTAGCAAGGACAGACATAGCACTATTGGCTCGGTCAGGAACATTTTAAAGGGACGAATCCAAGTGATAAGAATTTCTCTCGCGGAGAAACGTTCGCTAAAAGGGACAAGCTCGTTGGGTCCATAAAGGTTTGGATTCTCTCCGCTTTGTCTTCGTTTTTTGGCAATTCGATCCATCATGATTGTGGTCCGTGTCTCAGGGACTAGAAGTAGATGAGCTACCTGAACAAACCCTCCGAAGATTAGTTGAATCCAAATGTTCCAGCGCCAGGGTAGGTACGCCTCCACAAATCCTCCAACAACTGGACCAAGGGCCGAACCACCGACAGAGGAAAAAACAACACAAGCTACCGCATACTGTTGCTCATCGGCCTCCCAGAGATCCGCTATCATACCCAGGGTGACAGAGCCGCCGGCTGAGCTGAGGCCGCCAAGTGCACGGCCGACCATGATAGAAGCAAAGTTAGGAGCAAGTGCAACTGGCAGTTGCCAAACGTTGACCAAAAACAAGCTCAGTTGTAGAATCGGTTTTCGACCAATTTCTTCGCTCCACGGTGCCCAGAGCTCACAGCCAAATGCGTACAAGACCAGGAAGATCATCGCACCACACCGTGCCGCCTGCATGCTTACCCCAAACTCCTCGGAAATACCAGGAACAGCATTGGAATACAGGCTTGTGTTAAAGTTCATAGATGTTTGGACAAGGAAAATCACGGAGATGATCATCCATTTTTTCCAGCTTGGATAAGCATAGCCAAGTTGATCGTAGCATTCATCTTCAGTCAACTCAATTTTCTCTAAGGCCGTATTCTCAAGCTGATGAAGAGTGGTGCCAGCCGCAGGATCATGTGCCAGGGCTAGCTCAGACTTGTGAAGCTGTGGAGTATCATTTTTCTCATTGTTGAGGTCCGCATTTGCATCTGAGTGAGTTGAGGAAGACGCTTCAGACTCATGCAACTTTTCTTCCCTACCCATGGGAGAAATAGCCATGGTGGTAGCTAGAATAGCCATCAGTAAAAGAGCGGTGATATTTTTGTAAAGGAAAAGGACGGGTCTAGTTCAAGGGAAACGGCAGAGATTGAAATAAAGGGAGAAGGAAAAGACAGGGAGCTGAATAGTGCGACACTCGAGGTGAAATGGACGATATACTAACCAAAGACAACCACACCGGATCCTGGAAGATGCTAACTCTCAGTAGACAAAGAGACTTATGAGGAGAATAAAACCGTAAAATGTAGAGTTGCCGTCGCAGGAATGAAAAAAGTAAAATAGGGCAAGGACAGAGATTGTTATGTACCTAAATGTGGGAGAGGAAGGGAGGGAGGGGAAATAAATGGAAAAAGAAAGGAAAGGAAAACCAGAGAGAACCTACGAGACTAGCAAAGGAAAAGAGGTAGTAAAACTGTCGTCACCGGCCTGACCAGGCAGGAACCCCAGAAAGGGAAAGTACGGGGAACATTCAGCTATGGAGACTCGATGCTACTCTGCTTCCCAGTACAATTGGGTATGCCATTCTAAATAAGGCATCCATTCGCTCCAGTCACACGATAAACAGGCGGCAATGATGTGATAAACTGTAGAGAAACCCCTTTCTTGGCCGCCGTCTAATTTAACGTCGTATTCTTAATATTTCATGATGCTGGTGGCGTAGGTACTGCCTCTTTCCATGTCTGTTTAGAGGAAGCACGGGTTATGGTTGGCTCCCATGGATGCAGTCGGATGTCGAATCGGGGAAGCCATTTTGCGGGAGAGAAATCCAATCGTCACGAAGGGGAAGAGTAGGGTCTCTTTACCTGCAAGATTTCATTCCTTGTGAGCGCTGGTACCGTGGGATTAGATCGTTCTCTTTCCCCATTTCAGTGGCGGAAAGTTGGCAATCCCCATGGAACACCTGAAACTACTGGGGTATAACCCGCATCTGGATTCGGCTTCTCCACTCTGGGAGTATTGCGGCAGCACAACCGTATTCCGTAAAGCCGTTCTGGGCCGAGAGGAAGAAAGAATGCCCGCTTCGGGAATCATGGCATGGGTCGGCAAGCAGCCCAGGTCCGCAGTCGCAAAAATGGTGCGCAGGACACAGGCAACACAATTGCATTGGCCAGATTTTTTTGGGAATGTAAATAATGCTAGTAAATAACATGGATGTTTTTTTATTTTTTAAAAAAAATAAATACCCTTGTTGGCATACGGGAAAATCTAAATATGGGCGGCTGTCAATGATGTTAGGGTCGGCTTGTGCTGTGACGCAAGGAGTAGAGGTCATGAGTTGTTCTCCGGGTCAGGAGAGGTTTGAAGGTCCGGAGAGTTAGGCATTGGCCGATGTAACCAGGTGGCTACAGTTTTACCAGGGTAATGACTGGGGTTGTGAAGTTGAGATGAGGGAATGATTGGTGTGGTCCTACTCGGGGCCCTTCTTCCCCGTTTTTGCCCACGGGGTCAACGACTTCGGGGTAGCCGTGAATGACGTCAAGCCATCCACCAGCACCCGGTACATCCGTTTTCAGTGATGGTTCTCGTTAACTAGAGGCCGAATTGAAAAGTAGACATGGATGAAGAAAAACACCCAACTCCAGCTTATATATTTATTCTTCCAGCCCAACCGAATATATCTTGACTATATTTTTGCAAGTTTATTTATGTCGGGCTCAACACAGTACTCCATGCGTGTATGTGATACCCTTCCTGATCAGTGATAAACCAATCATCAATAATGTAGGGTCTGTACGGGGCAGTCAGAGGGGAACAGAATAACCCCTGTGCACTTCGATAATAAACAAGCCTAGAGCTAAAAGAAATGGAGGAGAACCTTGAAAAATGGTGCACATTAGCGGAGCTTATCATAATAAACTGTTTATTGTTGGCACATATTTCTATATCGTTTATGTAGTTAAAGACGAATGGCCAAGCAGTATTTACCAAAAGCACTCTTAAGACACTTGGACAGGCTTATTCTTAGACTATGCCCAGCCAAGGCCTGGCCAGACCATAGCAATCCGAGAACAGCAAGAGGCGATAAACTACAAAGCAGATAGGAGCTTTGGCATAGTTAAAAGGTACTGGGAAATCTTTTGCTTCCTGTTATTCCTTTGGATCAATAGAATGTTCCATTGCATTACTCCCCTGCCTTTAAGGAATTCTGTTGGAAGATTAGCATGGTGGTACTGCTAAGGAAGATCAGAATAATCACGTGAGCGGAGACCGGACTCGGTCTTGCTGTTTCCGAGTGCCCTGCCCATAGCCGTCTGGGGAGCGTTCTGACCGCCTTCCTGGCTGGGGTTGGTCGCCATACTCCAACTGCTTCCACTACAGCTACGTATTTGAGAAATTCCCCTGATAGCGACTCTACATTACTCCGTTCGCAGTGGAGAGCTCTTGATTTAGCAACAATACATATTTATAGTGGCCTCCATACGCTCCCACCTATCTGGTGATGTGTCCTGATATCAACTCACTTCCTCCCTCTCTCTCTTCGTCTACCTCCCCGCTCCAGCCTCGGAATCTTCCCGCTTCGTCTGACCCCCTACCTTCGCAGCATTCTTTACCAGGTTTCTCCCCTGCAGCTTCAGCCACCATGGGCTCTTCCAGCAACAACAATCACAATCATGCCATAGACATCCCTCGTCGGCCATCCCGCTCGGGAATGGCAGGGTCGGAACGTCGTCGGTCGACCAATCTAAACCCGAGTGGTAGCACTGAACCAACTGGGGATTCCATCTCCTCATCCCTGAGCCACCATGCGCTCCGGAATTCTAGTCCCTCGAGCCTCGGCGGCAGCCCAATCATTGCCACAGGAGATCCGCATCATCAGCGCGCCCCTTCTTTAGGAGAACTGCATCAGGAGTTAGAACAGGAACAAGAAGCCCAAGTGGTATGATCTAAATGTCATCAAGAGTGCCAATGCCCTTATCCAAAGAATTACTGACTAATTTTTGGAACTGGCTAGAACCGACTCTTGCATATGATCCGCAACCAACAGGTTCAGCTGCAGCAATTACAACAGCAGCAGCAGCCTCACAGCACTGCAATTGATGATTCAACCCCCTCACTCCCGCCTGTTCCACCTTTACCAGCAGCCAGCATCCGAACATCCACGCAAATACCTTCCACCCTGTCCAGTCGTCGGCCATCGCGACCGTCTAGTCAAGCTGCTTCGCCTAGCCTCCGACCATTAGTTGACTCACCCCGCGGCACGGAAGGGTTTGAAGGGGTTTCGAGCACGAGTGAAAGTCCGGCACGACGCGGAAGTAGAGATGAAAGTACCTTTTATCACGCTGAGGCAATGATGCTCACGAGAGAAAACCAAATGCTTCGGCAGCGTATTCGTGAATTGGGTGGGTTTTTTTTTTTTTTTTTTTTTTTTTTTTTTTTTTTTTTTTTTTTTCAGAATTTCCGTAATTCTCTCTATAATGTTATCCTGTACGTGGCAGCAGAGTAAATCTTATACTGACCAAACCACAGAACGACAGGTTAGTGAACTGAGCATTTCCACGAGTAATTCTCGGTCGGATACACTACCTGCCGATCGGCATACATCTGTCGACATAGATTCAACGGGAGATTCCTCGGATAAGACGTGAGCGGACATGTTATTGATCCATGTCGGGCCAGGCCTGTCCACAATCTAGTTTCGGTTACGATTCTCCGGCTCCAATGGATAGCATGTATTCTTATGTTAGATACCGGCGTATGAAAAGGGCTATTTGAGCCAGACTGGCTCTACGGGCGCGTGACTATTGCTACGACTATGGTTTTCACATTGCTTCCATAATACTACAGAACATCCAAGCAGGCTTATGCAGTCAGCTCGCTGAGAATCGAACCATATGATACAACTGCAAACTACGCAGCCTTGGGCGTACTGTGGCAACGATTTTCAATGGGTCTTGAATAATCTGAACAACATCCACGACTACTGCTCAGCACCCGCCAGTCTCACTTGTGATCTCTGATGCGGTAACAGCATCTTCTGATGGCTATGTTTTTACGTTATATCTATTAGCAAACAATGAGCACCTTTGACTAAAGAAAATAGGATTACTTGTACAATGCATGAAAGTATTCTCTACGTTAATCTCTAATTAGGTTTTCAATATGGGCAAGAGGTTCTCTTGTTCTAACACATCGAGACACTCATTCAGCGGCTCCCAAGTGTCATACTGACTTGTAAAACCCAAAATTCTGAAACCCAAAATTCTGTCCTTCATGCTAACAATCAAGTCGTAAGTTTGCCCCAGCCGAATCTAAAAATAATACCGTCACCTTTTCGAGTGCATCTTTTTGCAATCCCTTCGAACCTGCCAATCATCCTCAAAGTTCTTCACATCATTTCTCTCCGAGCAGGCCCACAAATCCAAACGCACTGAAATGACCAGGGGAAGGAGTAGAAGCGTCCTACCTCTACGGTTTAGGGAATGTCCGGGTTGATGACAGACCAATAAGACGACAATGTAATTAATTTATTGGTTCTGAACAGCAGTCATGCATGCATGAAAATCTCAACGACACTTGGGAGGATCCTGCATAGCCTCTTTCATCAAGCGTTTAAGTTCCGTGGCATCAATCTCATTCACATAAGTCACGTTGCGAAGACCCTTTGGCATGTGCTCAGCCTGGTAGACGTGGATGTTTCCATAGCTAGGGCTTCCATAAGCAACATCGACATCGATATATGCTAGACGAGGTTAGGCAACTGGCAACAAGTGGGATTTGACAGCCATCAGGAGGCTTAAAATACATACCAGATGTGGTGTTAAGCGCGATAGAACGGTTCACCATCAACGCAGCTGCAGTTTCATCCCAGAAGGGGAATTCGGTACCATAGTGATCGTGGAAGAGCTCAGTGAGCGGGTTTTGAACCTCGTATACCTCATCAAGAAACTCCTGCGTCGACTGCACTTGATTGGCAACATTTCCGGCTACAATGATGTCCGGGAAATCAGCAGTAAGTGCGATTTTGGCCGCCTCGGGATCAATCATTAAATTGATCTGTCACCCTGTTAGTGTGTCTCCTCAACCTTTCGCTAGAATTCACACGTACATCGAAGTTGATATTGGCCTGCTGGGAATCACCAGTGACCTGAAGCATATTCACATCCAAATAACCTCCCATAATGACGAGCTCTTTCGCCAGCGAAGCAAAGGAGGGATCGCTCCGCACAGCCAAAGCTACATTGGTCAAAGCTCCGGCAGAGTAGATAGAGACCTGATTGGGGTATTTATGAACCATTTCCACCATAAAGTTGACGGCATTGGTAGAGTTGTTAACCCTGGTTTTGGGGAAACCTTCAACGAACGCAGACTTGACAATTCTATTGGGATCTCCGGAGGTAGGGTCATGGCCGTTCTCCTCGGCCGTCTGATTTTCCGGCTTAAAAGCGCCTTCCCAGGGTAACCTGCCGTGAACGGCTTCCCATGCTTGGAACCGCTCTGGGGTGTTGATCAGCGGCCAGGTTGCACCAGCATAGACTGGGATGCAGGTCAAATTGGCTAGTTCCAAATTGGCAAGGGCATGCATAGCACACTGAGCCTGCCATGAGTTGGCAGTATCTAGAGATCTTAGTACGTGCTCTCATACATGGTTGCAGGTAGGAGGGAAAGCTATGGGTACTTACCTGAAACCAATGCTAGTACATGAATATCGCTCTTCGCTGTCATCAGGAAAGGGAGAAAACCCACGGCACCCCAGTCATTGTCCAGGATGGCATATCTCTTCTCTGCCTCGTGGCTCACAACCGGTGAGCTTAAGGCTAGAGATGAGAGTAGGCTGTAGGACAAAAGATGACTCGAACGCATGGTGCTCGTCTGAAATTTGCTTGATTGCCGTCTCTTACAATTCGAGACGCGCTTCAAATTTATATTTTTTACCCCATGGGTGGGTCAATGTTGAGCTGGAAAAGTACTTCGTAAAACCATACATGGACGTTCCACACCCAACGCCCTAATTTGCTTAGTACCATTGCAACTAATTACTCTTACTATGTTAGTGAATTACGAGATCCATCAGCTGCAGCTATTCAGGTGGATAATTCTCAGTTGAGAATGGGTTCGTGATCAATGTGGTGTAGTCGGTGTTGATCCTCGTTTGTATTGCTGTTTACGGCAAGCGCTGGCCCCCGATGGGACTCTTCATGATAGAAGTGTGGCGGCAATAATTATTTCCCTAGAAACAAAGGCAGAATCTTCTAGACTAATATGAGATCATTTTTTGAATAGAGTGGGGTCGGTATGGCACGATCACTCCATTTCCTCGTTTTAGGCCGTTGCTGAGAAACCCGTGTACATAGTAGAGAATGAGCCGGCTTCCTCCTTGCCGTGGGGTCGGAGAGCGCCGAAGTGTGGGGGTTGGGGTCATCCATGAGGTAATTTATTTCTGATTTTATTTCTGTAGGGAAACAAGTTTCATGATGAAGGAATTGTCAAGTTTGTGAGTCATCATAGACACTATGGTACAGGAAATGATGATGGTCACGAAGAACGGCAGGGCAGATGTTGCATGTCGATGCCAATTAAAATAATATTATAGCGGATATTGACTTAATTATTTATTATTCTGCTTTCGTGAGTCTTCTCTTCAATATCATTACTCCAACTTGGATCCCTGTCTACCATGTGTTGAATCCACTTGAATTCTCTAGTCGCTTCTATCATCGCTGCAGACTGCCCATGTCGCTACAACATTTATAGGGATTTGGGATAAATCGTCTTTGCCTCCTATCTCACTGTCTATAGACAATAAATGCCAGCAATCCATTCATGTTGACTAATCTAGCACATCAAATGCCATATTTATGCAGCTCGTATAACCCGGCTAATAGGCTCTAACAAACCCTTCCCGATAGGACTTCGGGTCAACTCGGAGTCAACTAGGCCGAAGCCTTATGGTGAAGGGTCCGGCTAGGCATAAATCTCAATATTTATCATGCACAAGTACATAAATGCATGACTTGGAGCCAACGATCAGGTAACTATATTGTAACGCTATAGCCCCTCATACCACTATCTCCCTCGTTCAAAGCGCAACAAACTCTTTCCCCATCTAAGCAACACTCCGTCCCCATGAAACTGAGTCTCTCTTACAACATGAGATCCGGAAACCCGCTCCTCTCGCATCTCCGCGCCGAGCTCAAAGATCTTAGCAAAAAGGTCCATTTCGAAGGCAATGCCAAGCCAAGTATTCCTATCAATTGGCGTTTTGCGGAGAGTATCTCGGCGTTGAAGGGACTCAAAGCCACAATGATCAAACTCCTTGTGCGTAAGTATGGCATTTCTGGGAAGACTCATGCAGAAGCTAACCTGATCAGAGACCATGCACCCCTCTTCATGTCACTAGCGCAGGTTCTAGATGAGAACAGATATCCCACATCTCTCGGCCCATTGGAACCCAGATGACGTTCTTTCCCTCTCAGGACAAACACCGATCCCTGGCCTCGTTGGACCGGACTCTCGCCACAAACATCTACAGAACCAAAGATGGGCGTTTCTCCCATACGCACAGCCAGTAGCTCCCCACCCACCTTCCAAGTAGACTTAACTCGCATAAGCGATCAGGGATTATGCATTCCGACCCAACTCTCACAGCCGTAGACCTCCCACTAGATGGACCAACTAATGACATCAACGATGCCGCAATCCAACGGATCCAGGGCCGTGTCTCCTAACACAACACAACCCGACCTCGACGATCTCATCAACGAGAATCACCCCCAAGCAGGCACCACAGCCTGTTCTGTCGAAGAATACCTCTCTAGCCCTCACAGCCGAGCAAACACAAACGCAAACACAGACATAAACACAAGCCATCCTGCATCCTGGTAGCCGTCCAATGCGAGTTTCCTGACATCGCCAGAACGACCGCTCGCCGGTCTGAAGGTCGTGGACCTCGCGCCTGATCGCCGGCCCAACTATCAGTCGTGTACTGGCGGAGCTAGGAGCCAGCGTCATGAGGGTTGCTTCGCCTCATGTGACAGATCTGTCGGCTCTGCATTAGGACTTAAACTGGGGAAGTGGAATACGTATTTACATTTAAAGGATGAAGGAGACAGGGAGAAGCTGTGCGGGTTGATGCGGGATGCGGTTGTCGTGGTGGATGGGTATCGGCCGGGGGATCATGCAGCGATTGGGAATTGGGAGAGAGGATGTCTTCAAGTTGGTGGAGGACAGGGAGAGAGGGATCATTCATGTCCGAGAGAATTCTTACGGGTAGTATGGTTCGTGGATGAATCGGAGTCGATGGCAGCATATCAATGATGCCGTGAGTGCACATCATTCTATGTTCCTCTTGAATTGGTATGGTCGATTCTGGACTGATCCTGACTGACCATCTATTCATGTCTAGTGTTGCGGCGTTTCGCTGTCCTACGGCCAAGCCATGGGTGTCAATGAAGCCGTGACGCCGTCTTTCCTAACTCAGACTACTGGTAAGAACACTCCCAATCCACCCATATCTCAGCTAACAACCACTCAGCACAGGAGTAATAGGAACAACCGCTATCCTAGACACATTGATCCAACGTGTCTCCGCGGAGGTAACTACGGAGTAGACGTACGCATCTCCTCCAAACCCATTCTACTCTATTAACCACCCATTGCTAATCATACCTCTCAGGTCTCCCTAAGTTACTACTCCCAATGGCTCATCCGATCATGTGGCACGTATCCCGATGAAATCTGACCCGATTTGCGGGAGAGACTCCTCGCCTGTATGGCGACACTATCATGTCATGCTGTATCTGCTTAGTCCAGGGTCGCCAGGGCTACGTTTTTGCAGGTGAAGCATGTCCGAGTTTTCATGGTGGGGTCGTGCAGTTGGGGTATAATGTTGGCACGAGGGGGACCGGAGTGGATAAGCATTTTTGGCCTGAGGGTTTGAGAGTTGATGTGGCTTAGTGTTGTTCACACACTCTCTTTTTTGTTCAAAGTTCATGAGTGTACAAGGATCATATAACTTCATATCCAATCTATAGCAACTTTATCTAATCTATACATATCTTACATCTTGGCTTTCTCGGTCTGGGCTGCCAGATCGGGCATCAGCATGTCCCTCATGTCCGATGCTGCCTCGCTCAAATAGTAGCTCATACGCTCGGCGCCAATGCGCTTGCAGACAATGTTGAAGTTCAGGCTGTACATGATATTAGCATTTATGTTTAATACTGTAGACAGAAAGTGAGCATACCTGTTCTCATTGATCATGTAGGCGATGCCAAATCCATCGTCAATCACTTGACTCCATCCGTATCCATTGAAGAATTCCGAGCTCAGCTGGCTGGTCGAGAGATACCACGACCCGCTGTAGGCGTACGCTGGGTCTTCATACAGCGCGGGAAGCTTCTCGCCTTCACGGACAAGTTTCTTCAGACCAAACAGATGGCGGTCAACTCCACGGCCGTCGCTTGCCTCCGTGGTATACTTGGTGTGGGCAGCCAGCGCCGTACGGAACAGACGCACAGCTTCCTCGCGAGGCACGGAGGGGTCGGTGATTGCCTTGCAGAAAGCTACGCTCTCATCCGACACCGACCGAATCGTCTCGGTACGACCTTCCTGGAACTTGCGTGTCGCTGCCGACTCGTATGTCGGCCGGTTCTTGCCGTACATTTTGAAATAGGCCAGCTGGATGACCATCTGCACGTAGGCATCCGGGCTGCAATTGAACTTCTTGATGAGGCCCTTGCCATAGCCCTGGTAGGCCTGCACTCGTAGCTCATGCGAAGAGATCTGCTGACGGTGCTCCTTAGCGGCCGCATCAATCGACTCCAGCACCTCGTTGTTCAGGTGGAAGTTGATTGGACGGGGGTCGGGCAGATCAGAGCGCACCGACTTCTCCGACAGGTCGATCTTGTTGTTGAAAATGAGGTTGTTGAGATGGTCGTTCAGGCGGTGGGTAGGGCTGCCGTCCATCATGCTGTGCTCACCTGTGAAGCCGGCAGTTCCGTTGTCGTTAATGATAAACTGCAGCGGTTTATCAAACCAGCGGTTGGTGCCATCTCCATGCCAGTATTGATGTGCCCGCTCCTCCAGGGTCACCGGACTAGCATCATCCAGACAGATCAAGAATCCGCTCGACTCGATGTCGCGCAGCGCTTGCTCGTTGGCCGGGTGGGCCGCCACAAGCTTCTTCCGACCCTCAGTCCAAAGATCGCGGTTAGCAACGGTCAGAACACCGACCGGCGGAGATGGCTGTGCGACCTGATAAATGCGTTCAAATTGCTTCTCCAGTTCAGACACGTTCAACGGCTGGCCATTCACCACCAGGGGCACCTTGAAGAATTGGTTCTTCCGCACCACAACAATGTGCTCGTTGTCCTTGGCGGAATATTTCTGAGGGTAATCCGCACCATCGGCGGGAATACGGCAGCAGTTGAACATGTATTCATACGAGCTCATTGCAATGGGCTGCTTCCGCATGTATTCGGGCTCCAGCGAGCCGTCATCCACCTGACGCTTGAATTCCAACGCCGCGGTGGCGACGGATGCGGCGCGCTTGACCGGGTTCCGGCGGGAGCGATCATCCCGATAGGAGTAGAAATAAGAGACGTAGGGGATCACGGGATCGCGATAACCCAGGTAAGCGGCATGGTTCCACCATTCGGTGAGCCAATTCTTGATCTTGGGATCGGCTGCGCGGGCCAGCAATCTCTCCTGAAGAACCTGTCCCTCACCACCGGGCTTCACGAAAGCCTCCACAGCCTTCTTGGTGCGCTCATACTCGGCTTCTGAGACCACAGCATGGACAGACTTTAGGTAACGACGAGCGGTTTCTTCCAGAGAGGGTACTGGTAGACGGGGGAGAGAATCTTCAAAACGGTACAGGTTGCCTTTGGAGAAGTCCTCCTTGTAGCCTAGAAGTAGTTAGGACGACCCTGTAATATACAGCGGCGTTGAGACATGTGAACTTACCCTCTGGGACAGACGAAGCCTTGCGCCGAGGAGCCATGATTGGGGCCTAGAAGATACACGTTAGCAAAGAACAACTCAAAGCATATTTGACCAAAGAGATAACAATTATCCGTTCATACCGCAGCAGATCTAGCGAGAAGTGTATTTGTAGGGGAGAGACGGGGCCGTAAGAGAGTAGTGGAGAGACGGCTTCGAGCAGAAGCTGTGAACATCCCTCTCGAGTGTGACAGGTAACCGGGGAGGAAAGGTAGGATGGAAGAGGACAGGAGGCGAATGGTTTGGGGAACTAGAGCATAAAAGTGTAGACCGAAGAGGGAGTAAATAGAGGAAAGGGAGAAGAAAAAAGAAGCCCGAGAAACAGGAGCGCAGACGAACCTCGGCTGGAGGGAAGACGACCTAGCCGATTAGTGGATGGGCTGGTATGGTCACGATACCGTTAGTTTGGATCCCCCGGGCGGAGTTCTCCGCATAGCATGGGTGAAATACTGGTACAGTGAAGTACCGTTGTAATCGGCCGCACTGTTGTTTTTTTTACCTCCCCAGATGTTGCCTTCTTTGGGCCTCGGCCCGTTACGGTGAAATAGGAGAATGGCGAGCACATATGAGATTAATGTCTTGGGATCCACTCCGATTGCACTCAAAGGATGATATCATAGACCCTTAGAGAGCCACATGGACTGCATCATGCTTTATTGAGCCCCTTACCATCAACGGCCCATTTCTTGATCCTTCGTTGAGGACAGCATAACTTTCTTTCCGCTTTGCGGGGCAGAGCTGTACTCCGGAGTAGAGACAAGTCTCTATTCCCTTCTGCCAGAGGCATACATAGTCATGTACGGTACAGTAAATAACTCACTCCTCCATGTATTGAAGGACATCGCCCTCCTCCGGTTAAAGTCACTATGATGCAGGATTTCCCTCGGAAAGCTGGGCATGGACAAGGATGTTCGCCTAGGGAAGTTATTGCTTCTTATCTGATTGATGGCGTGTTTCCCTTCACCCGTCCCGCTAGCCCGTGCCTGTCATCTGCCACCATAGGACAGTCATATGAAGCTTAATTTCACCAACTATAGGTAGAAAACATGCGTTGTACAGTTGTGAAAGTGTGACGTCATGGTCACTTCGATTAATTAAGAAATGTCAGCTCCACGCCTCGCTAGTAACAACGATACACCAGGACTAAAACAGATCTAACTCCGAGAATCCAATCTGTAGAAAATAGGCAAAGCATGAAAACAACAAATGAGTAATCAACGTTGAAAATACACGCGCACAAGCATTTCCCAAACCAAAATACAAAAAAAAGAAAATAATAAAAAAAAAGAGAGAGGTGTGATGGCCACGCGACTATGACACTGTCTGTACCGCTGGAGAGGGCTGCTGCTCCTGCTCTTCTATCGGCTTGGTATTCCGTCGAGGAATCTGGCCATTACGGAGCTGCTCGATTTTGATTACACCTGGTCCAGTACAGATGCGCCCACTCCTCATCAGATTGCGTAGTCGCTTCCTTCGCGCTTCCCCGCCTCGTTCCTCGCCACGGCCCACGCCCTCATCTACCCATTCTACACGCAGCACTTTGAAGCTCATCCCATCGTGCGACCCTTCCCAGGATCGAGACTTGATACCAAATAGCACGCTGGAATCGTATCGTTCCAGTCGGGGCAGAACCAATAAAGTAATGTGCAGGTCCTTCTCAGAAGGCGGCGGTGGAGGGCACCGAGGTCGATCTCCTTCTGGAAGGCCAGCATCCTGCGCAGTCTTAGGGGCATGTTGATAGGAGTCCTTGATCTCCAAGTCAAGCATCTCAACATCTACATCTTCACCCCATGCACCGCGAAAGAATCCTGAGTGGATAGCCGCCGCAACCGGGTCCGAGTCATCTGTATATACACCAGTACCCCACAGAGCACGTCGAGCGCAAATTTCTTCACGATGGGCGGGGTCGATACGGAAGCGAGGCACCCGGACGGTGAATGTACAATTCTCCTTCCCCTCAAAACGTGGAAGGGGAAGCGGCGTTGTAGTGTATCCGAACTTGGCACTCTCTAAGGTAGCCTTCTCCGTAGGAACATCGATCCGGGGGGCATACAGAGTCGATCCGAGGTGATGTCGTGGTAGATGGGCGACGCTCGACAAAACCGGCTCAATGTTGACCATGGTGCGAGGCTCGCGCATCGGAGTCACACTCGTAGCAGTAGTAAGAGGGGCTGATGGACGGGGTGCATGGTGATGGTGATGGTGATGATGGTGGTGATGATGATGTGCTAAGGGAGGTCCAGAACCAGGAGCGCCCTCCGCTGGAGTTGACGTACGATGGAGGTAATTCATCGACGAGAGTGGGCGATGCGACCCTCCAAGGGCCGTGGTAGCATCCTCTTCCGGCTTGTGGCGGTGGTGATGGTGGCTACATTGTGCATTAGTAATAACCCCATGGTGTAGAAAAAAAAAATAAGCAACAAGTAGAGACAAGAACAATACCCGGAAACATACTGGTGATGGTGATGGTGCATATGCCGACTCCGTCGGCCACCACGCGCAGAGGCTCCGGCACGCAGATCGCCAACTTCACTTTCCACTCGACCATCTTCATCCCGAGACTTTCCTAGTCTTTTCCCATTTGTGGACGAAGGACGAGCGATCTTGGGGTCATCCGTAGTTGCTTCGCTATTTGCCGACCGCCCGGCAATGCTATCACGCTTGAAAGGGCTAGCAGCCATCGGAGTCGAAGGTCCACTGCCGGTCGTTGTAGCGGTAACACCGCCGACACCACTTCCAATACCAGAGAAAATACGCCCTAGCTCGCTTTTAATACCAGCCTCTCCTGCAGGCCCGAGAATTTGTGCCTGGACACCCTGTACAGCTTGCGGCAGAGGCGATGCGCGCCCTCCTCGTTTAGCATCAAGACCCACTCCTAGCAGGGTTCGGTGATGAAGCAACTCATCACTTCCTTTCCGTCGCTGATCATCAGATAGAGCCGAGTGGACCAGAGATGAAGGGCCTGCTGATGGGGCTGAAGCAAACATGCGGGATTCGGTTTGAAGTTTATTCAGGTAAGACTGTTGCTCATGAGGAGGCGGGGTAGGTTGATCTTGACGGGTTTGGATTGACAACGGAGGCGGGCGCGGGCCTCCAACTTGGGATCCTAAGGACTTGGTATAATTCTGAATCGCACCAAAACCAAAACCCGATCCAGATTCGTTGGCAGGAAATCGTTTTGATTCCGGCGAGGGAGGTTGAGAGCGACCTACATCCCATGGAGACATACCTGGATGGCGAGCTGTTGCTGGTTCACGGTCTCCATAGTTTGAACTATAACGTGCCGACCCCGCGGCCATTTTAGAATCAGCTTCATGTGTGATAGCCCTCTCACGGTCCCGATGAGCCTGTTCCTCCTGATGAAGCTCTCCATACAACCCTCCGTATCGGCCGTGCTGCTGTCGATCATGGTTTATGTACGACGCAGCGCGTTGGTGTGCTGTACCGAACGAACTATCTCCAGGTATTGTGCTGGTGCGCGTAAGTGGGCTATATCCTGTAGGTCGTGCAGGAGCATCAAGATGTTGTGGTTGGCTGTTTGGGCGTGGGGCAGGCGCACTGAAGCTTAATCGACGGGATTCACCATAAGCAGCGTCTGCGGAAGAGACTTGCGGTGACGGTTGCGAAGTATTTGGCTTTTCCGGATATTGAGACGCCGATGGTACCCGAGAGAGCCCCCCGAACTTGGCTTGTTCAGTAGCAGGGCCTTGGGGAATTCCACCAGAACTCGAGCGGTACGTCCGTCCCGGCTGAGGCTTCGAGAAAGACTTCTCAGGTGTCTGGGATCGCCGGAAGGGCGCGTATTCGAGTGGTGAGGGTTTTGCTAGGGCGGCGGGCGGAGATATTGCATTTGGTGCCGATGGGGCAGGCGCGCTTCCAAATGGAGAGGAGGATACTGGAAGTCGAGAAAAGATAGACGATGAGCCTACATCCCGAGCAGGTCGGTCAGCGTCCGAGCCTAGCATGGAAGATATCGACATGCTGCTCCCAGGACGATGATGAGCCGGGTTGCTGGGAGGCTCACGCGACATGAAGGGAGTTGAGTGGGAAGCAGTATTTCCTGATTGACCTCGTGATGGGTAATGTTGCGGCGGAGACGGAGGAGGCATCCGGCGATTGCCTAAGGGCTGTGCGGAGGACTGTTCTTGAGGACCTGATCGGAGAGAGTGCGCGGTTAGTGGATTACATGGAACAGTGGCATCAGATAAAAATTGAAACAACAGAAATGAAGGAGAACAGATATAGCCAAAAAAAAAAAAAAAAAAAAAAAAAAAAAAAAAAAAAAAAAAAAAAAAGAAAGAAAGAAAGAAAGAAAGAAAAATGGTAAGATTGAGTTGCCGGCAAATTTATGCAGCACAAAACAGTAAGATAGAGCGTCCTGCGTGTTGCTGCATAGTTGTGGCCCATTCATCCAATTCACGTTGGGTGGAAGCGCGCGCCAGGACCCAGCGACGAACGCCTGGCACTCACCAGGAAAGACTGGACTGCCGCTGCTGCCCAAAGATCTTCGACGAGTCGGGTCATGCGACGGTGGAGGGTTCATGTCGCATACAGAATAACAATTATAAAATATTACAGGGATGAATAAAAAGTTTATCCTGAGATAGAAGGGGACAGAAATAGGAGGTAGGAGACGGTAGGAAAGGAGAGGCGATATAACGCTGATGCATGCAAAGAAGTCCCGCGCCTGACCAGGGCAGAACCCGTGACTCTGGGCCTGAAAGAGCTTCGTCCGACACTAGCCCTGTTCAGGAAAGGGTGCCTTGAGACAGTTCCCTAGTCCAGGACAGGCCTAGATCTCCCGAGGCCGCTTGGGCTGGAAAGTCGATCGGGCGCCACAGACGCGGCCGGTGCAAGACCCGTGATTGGCCGTCGATCACTGAGCACAAAGTTTGGGTCGCTTGATGCAAAAGGCACACTCCTTGTTGAAAATGTAGGTTGCTTCCGGGGTAGATTCTAACATAGGAAAAGTTTCCAAAGGCTAGTAAATCTCTGCCCTTGATTTCTCCGTTGGTGTTGTCTTACCTCATTCCCTATCGCGACGCGACAATCCTAGATCAACAACTTACCCGCGCGATCTCCCAAAGACAGCAGCGAAACTGGGCACAACAGAACCAGAAGCAACAATCCAGAACATGCAAAAGAAGAAAGGAAGACAAGAAAAGTCATATCAGGAAAGAATAAGAAGAAGCAGAAGAAGATTCAAACCCTACCTTCAAGGTACACGATGCGAGAATTTTGATGATTGTGTTGGTTAAGATTAAGACTATTGTTATAGTAGCGACGATTATTAGACTCGTTTATCTCCGCCTCGTTGCCCTGTTTCAGCACACCGTGATTCATCTGTGATACGTGATATTCATTGTTCTCTGTCCGGAAGGGTGCATGGACAGTCTGGTGGGCATATGAAGTAGAAGCAGCTGGATTCGACTGAGGAGTAGGGTGGTGATATAGCGCAGTCATTCGAGACACTTCGCCTTCGCCTCGACTATATGGATCAAAAGGGGCGTGAGCTGGAGGAGGCGCCGGCGCCGGCGGTGGTTGTCCATATGGACGAGGCGGCTGCGGAACAATATGAGGGTCGTGCGAAGGACCCAGGAATCGGGGATAAGAATGATACACGGGATGAGATGGATATTTCTGGAAATCCATCATCATTATCAGGGAGGACTTTTCGAGTATTGGTAGACGATTCCAGCATAGAATTTGGTGAGTTTGTTCGGACTTCAGAGGAAAAGGGCATGAAATGGCGGTGGAAGATAATTGACGACGTGCAAGCAGTGGCAGCTCTGTTCAATAGTTACCCAGACGCCACGATGTAGAAATAAACTATAGTAATAACAGGAATACTGCTAGAAATTATGACAAGATCGATCGAAACAAAAGTTCGGAAGATCAATTTGCGATTATCACGTAATGGTGGAAGTGTGTGGAGAGTGAAAAGGAAAATAAAAACAAAAACAAAAAAAGATAGATGGCCGAGAGGAAACGGTGAGAGATGGAGAAGGGGAAACGACAGACTTGCGATACGCCCAATTGTCTAGTTAGAGAAATTATTGGAACAGAAAAAAAAATAAAAAAGAGAAAAAAACTGAGAACTGAAAATTGGATGAACCAATCAATGGGATGCAGAGGTGCTAGTTCGGTTGATTAACGACGACAGAAGCTGTAGCGTAGTTGAAAGCAGTGGCCGGGACGATGGGGCCGCTGTGGCAGCGGGGAAAGATGGTGGATCCTGGCATCCGGTGGGAATCAATCATGGATGGAGAAAGGATAAGCCAATCCAGCAACCAAAAGACAAGACTCAAACCCCTCTTTCATCGTCCATCCATCCTTCCTTTGTATGCAGCAGACTGTACTCCATAGGTAGCAATTATCAAGAGATTTAGGTCCCGATGCCCAGTGAAGCCAATAAGTCACTGTCGACCTAATAATGTCTCTCTTGTTGGGCGCAGAATCTTCAACATGCCTAGGGGGGTTGGCATGCGCAGCGACGTGTCATGTGGTCATCACTTTGCCTACGCCAGGGATTGATTAACCTCCCTGGTCTTTTAAAGCGTGATTGGGATCCATCCGGTTATGGGACTGCGGTCCTTATACTGATCCCGGTCCATGTAGGCGTTTATTTCGGTGTCCACCTTGCTCCCTGAATCCTATATTGACTAGCTTTGAAATAGTATGCCTTCATACTATTGAGTGGAAAAACCAGAATGGCGATCGGAATGAAAATCCCCACTTTCCTGACAGGAATTGCCGATCGCTTGCCAGGGACCGCAATGTTGTACTGTAACTATAGCTCGCTCGCTAGCTGTTGTTTTGGTATCACTGTGAGACCGCTCGGATAATTACCATATCTCCTTTAATAAAAAAAAGCATTGAATCCTACATAGTAGCTCTCCCCGGAGTACGTTACACCCCTGTAGACCGCGCTCTGTCAAAAAATAAACTGCAAATTTACTACTACTACCGCCAAAAGCATGCTTTATGTACAATGCAACCATAGTGCATTCATCCATTCCGATCGAATTACCCTTACATCGTGGCAGAGGTGGCTTGACCCATACATATTGACCTATCGACTCAATTCCAGAGTTAAATATCCCCCATCTCCTTGGTTCCGTATCACATCTTCCGCTATAAGGTAGGCACAAATGCCTCTTATCAAATCGTGTTTAAACAAACCACCGGTTTATACGTTAGTACGGTAGCTACCAATTATTTATTTCCATGCCCAGTGCTTATCATCGCTCCAATTGTAGAAAACGGATGCGGCCACCATCCTTCTCCGGTCCAATTAACCTCAGTGTGACCCACTCCGCAAGTGCAAGGATCCGACATAGTGTTCGACGCAATGTCCTTGGTAAACAAGGAATGCCCTCATATCGAATCTGAAGTCCCGTCGATAGGCGTCGTCTATGTGTCTCATACTCCGCTTTGTTTGCTGTGGAGTAGATCGCTGACCTCCTAAAAGTATTCGCGTGCTGAACAGTATTCTCTTGATCTTTTTCGAACTCCTGGATTTTGTCACTTTGAGGACACAAACAGTCTCAAATAACAGGCAATTTGTCTTATGATGCACCGGGCTTAAATCAGGCGGGGTGTTCAAAAGAATGCTACCATCTAAAACTGTTGCAACTGTTCCTGCCAGTTCAAGCATGGAAGCATCTACCCTCGTGACAAGAATTGTGATAGGTTTCGGGACAAGTGTGTTCCATCGTTGTACAAAAGATAGCTTTTCTGGCTGAGGTCACCTATGAGACTGAATGCACGATTCAACCTAGATCGAGGAATGAAAATAGCATGGAAGACTTCAATGGGTTTTCACCGAACAGCTCCTGTGTCCATGGATCGAATCAGAAGAAGTCACGGAAGCGTCTTAGCGTTGAGATTTGGCCAAGGCTCGATATATAGATTATCTAGCGTGCTAGTTTTTTCGAGTTTTGTCCGAAATCGGCCGTGCACTGTAGGCGAGGTAGGCACTGGGTCAACTACATCGTCCAACAGGTTCCACATATTCTCTTATAACCTCTAAAATGAAAGCATAAGATAATCCCTTTTATTGCAAGTTCGCTAGAAAATACATAACTATTCAATCATCGATCAAAATATGAGAGAGATCAAATATGCCATTAATTTGAGAACGTGGGGAAAGACTCTCAAGAACATCATAGACTGGTAAAATATTGACGAGATGCGCTCAATACACCATTTCTCCCAGCATCAGAGCACATCCTCAGGGAGCAGACACTTGGGCAATATGAGGTATGGTGTTACACGGCAGATGGTCCCTGAACAGCAACCATGGATATGAAGTGTATTCCTTGACCTTAAATAACAGAGCATTGTTGAGCGCATTAGATTCTGCAGAGGCAACCATATTAGGTATATCAAGCCACACTAGTATCTGGGAACCAGACTAGTTTCCTAAGTGATTGACAGGCAGCTAACTCCGTGTGGATCAGACCTTGTAGAAGTGAGGATATCGGAAAGAACGAGGGCTCAGGCACGAGGTCGGACGGCTCAGGGGACCAACGTGATACGAGAGTTAAAGTATGGGAACATTCATGGCCTTGTGCAACATAATAAGCTAAGTAAGAGAAAGGAAGCAACCTAGCTTGGAGGGGAACAATAGCCGCAAGCACAGAATACAAATTGTGGGTGTCCGCAGCCCAAGAGATATCAATCATCATCAACCTGTCAGGAGCATTTGAATTTTTATCAGAATTAATATCTTCTTTCATTTATATTGTTTGACAGGTCGTGAGAATAACTGTGTTTCAGTCCACCACGTAGCCACGACTAAGGAAGAGGCTTACATACATGGATGCCGGTTAGGAGAGAACTTCCTCCAAAGAACCTTCCTGGCACCTACTTACCATCTATTAAGAACAGAAGCCCCTCACAGGCTGATGCGAAATAATATATTATGATATAGTCGCAGCTAAGACAGATTTCAATTCCAAATACGCAAATATCTATACTGGTATGGAAGATGGACATAATGATTAATATTATAAAGTCTATTGGGGAATTGAGTATCAAAAAAACCGGGTATGAATGGCATAGAGAAAGTCGATAAAAGATCCGTGGTTTAATTCAGTTACTGAGTTAAACCGTCATTCGACCTTTGGTCCGAATTCGGGCCCCGTATATGTATAGGAGTACCGGGACAGGAATGAAAAGTGCAGCGACACAACCAAGCAATGTGCATGCCCATTCCACTCCTAGGCCATCGAACTACAATCATTAAATGTTAGCTCTTCCAAAATGCCAATAATCTGTGGGTTCTTCCAGTTGGATAGGTACCATTTGCTTTGCGAAAAGAGGGAATGCACCTCCAGCTGCCGACCGTAGAAACGTGTGTGCAGCCACTGCTGATGCAGCTCTGTTTCGGTCAGTCTTCTGTTCCAGAGAGAGATAACTTCAATAGACTCACCTGTCATCTCTAGCTTCAACCAGATAAGCCAACGAAGGCAGGAACATCGTCAACAGTCCAAATCCTGTCAACAACCCAGATAATGTTGGCACGATCCAGTGGATACTGGACTTGTACCCTGTCCATCCTAACCAGAATAAACCACCAGAGAATGCAACTGCTCCTGGAATAGCAACAGGGAGTCGCCATTCAGGCATCATGATACCTCCGTTCATTTTCATCTTGTGCAGGACCCAAGGCTGCGTGGCGGCAATGGCTACCGCGCCAAAGAGCTGTCCAATAATCACACCGATGTAAGGAAGGCCACCCACTCCAAGATTCATTCTATGGACGAGCTGGAACACCATCGGGTAGGCTGTCAAGAAGAGGTACAGGAGTCCATACACGAATGCACCGAACGTGCACATGCAGAGAGTAATTGGATCTTGAACTAACATCTTCAGGGGCAGACTTAAATACTCTGTCACGATGGTGTGCACGTCGACATGCATCTCTTCCTGTTTCGAATGTAGCGACCAGTCTCCCGTCTCCCGACGCAATCTGTCTGCTTTCTTAGTGAGAATCGCTGGCTGATAGGTCTCTTCGACGAAGAGCAGCAAGAGAATCAGAACGATTCCCCCCAGAATCCCGGGAATGTATGCCGTCCACCGCCAGCCCAAGGAGTTATTCATAACAATAAAACCCCCAATGAATGGTGCAGCTAGGGGTCCAATGAAAACCATCAAACAGAACATGACAATGGGAACACCCCGCTGCTGAGGGGAGAACATATCTGCGAATGCTGGCCCGGCCAGTGTAAGAGGACCAGACCCAAAGAAGCCCGTAAAGAATCGAAGAATGAATAATGACTGGACATCTTTCGAGACGGCTGTTGCAAACGAGAAGACCGTGAAACCGAACATGGAGATAAGAAGCGGGAAGTATCTGCCCTTAAGTTCTGAGAAGGGACCAAAAACCAAAGGACCAAAAGCAAATCCAAATACATATAAGGAAATGCCCAAAGTGCAAACTTCTCTACTGATTCCATAGATATACGTCAAAGCAGGAATAGCAGGGGAGAATATGCTACTACCGAACGCAACGACCATTGTGCTGAAGCCTAGGATGGCACATATGTATGCTCTAAATGACATTGAATGGTTAGCCATCAACTTCAAGTGCGTCGAACACAGTATTCAAAAAACCTTTTCTTCAAGGGCCAATTCAGTGGGTTCAAAGGGTCTTCGGGGCCATCAAAGTCGACATGCTTCACAGGCGGCTTCAATGCCTTCTCGAAATCAGAGGAACTGGCCTCTTGAAACATGGTTTACCACTTCGCCCTTCAACAGAATACCTTCTTAATGTGTCTTTCTATTGTGGAGACAGAGGCAGACAGAGGAGACAAGTATAAAAGCTCGGTGATATAGGAGACTAATGGGGAGTAAAAAATATCAACAAGATACAGAAACAGGGTACCACTGAAAGGTACTGAATATAGATGAGACCAGCAGCTTCTGATATAATATTATTAAAAACAAATGAAAAAAAAAAAAAAAAAAAAAAAAAATTCTGGGACTATTTCATCATTCACAACCTGGCCACCAATCTACACCATCAACCATATCTATCCACCTGAGTCACTGCAAATAGAGCCATTATCCAATAGTAAACAATATTCACCAAACAAGCCCGAGAAAATTCCACGGCCTTGTGAGAAAATCGCCCTGCCAAGAGCCGCATTCTGCAAAAAACTGGATCGCTGTCTATTGGCATTTGTAAATAGTGAAAGTTCACCCTGAAAATGCCTGGTGGATACGTCGGTTTTCTCCGTACCATGGACCGGAGGCAAGCCCATTGCGGATTCTATCCGCTTGTTGATATGGCATCAGGCTACCCAACTACGTACTACCACGGAGCACTACTATAACCAGTTATCGGATGGTATCGGGTTGCCGAGGCTCAAGCGCTAACAACGCATTGGAATTCTTGGGAGATGACGTCGGAATCAGAACAGAATGCTCCAATGAACGAGAATACAGAAACTGCCAGCTGACAGCTCACGGCCATCAGGAAGATTCCAAAGAAAGGGCGTCGGCCCGGTCGGTGAGTGGAATGATATTTTCATCACCATCCCGATATCATCAGACACGAGCGAATAGGGCTGCAGCTTAAATCGGTAGCTAATTTGACGGTTGCGAGAAGCGCTTTGCCTATTATGGCATGAGTTCACTATTTGGCATGTGATAATCACATGAAAATCCTGTCCCCTTTTGATTCAGTCCAACATCACTGCATTAATTTAGTTATGTCCGTTATTATCCAGTTATGCTCACGGAGAACAGGGCCATTGTACACAGTTGTCGGAAATTTTCACGACCCACCAGAACCATTCGGACGACAGTGGCTGTGTGGACAGATACGGCAACCGGGCCGATGACCATCGGGAACCCGAGTTGCATTCTTCATATAGAGCACATCAACTAATAACCACTCTTTTCTTACAGGAAACCCTAATGCTGCAGAGTGCATAGTATCCAATGGATAGTCCACGTGAAATCATGCTATCACCCTACCTATAGTTAAATGACCTACTAATTTTTACGATAAGCCATCGGGAATATATGCACCTAAGTCATGAGCATGAATAATGTCAAATGCAAACCGGCAAATAGAACCCTGCTGGCGGGTCAAATAGTATCTACATGGCCACTTTGGGACTATGAATATTCTACCCTGTACTGCGGTAGATAAGCAGCCCAGTCCACCTAAGGAATTATCTAGTGAGTTTCGATGCATGATAAAAGTCTGCATGTATGCACTTACAATACCCAATGGTTATTCTCAAAGTCTTAAACATCTCAATTTATCTTATCGGTACCCTGCTTAGACACTGCTACTTGTGAGTGTAGTGTCATCGAGCATCAGGCAGCTTTCTGGATACAGCTGTAATTTTATGCCCGGAGAGAGTCACATGAACACATCGTACCATAATCTAAGACATTCATAAAGGCAGTTAGACATAATATGTAGGATTTTTATACAGCTTTTGACCAGGTCCATTGCATTGAATCGGTCCAATGACGGCATACCGACTGCTTGACCTGTTTATATCCCTTTTGGAATAGGAAGGCATGATAGATTAAGTTACCGCAGGGTACTATGTCGCATGTCGATTCGTATGCACGATATTATAAAAAACAGAGAATAATCCGTATGTAAACTGAATGTTGATGCCTGGAAATAGTAAATACAAACCATACTTATGGAATCTTACAGCATACACCTACTCCGTAACTAACTAGTCAGCCGTATAAAAATGCCAGGCCCACAGTCACATGCTCTCCGATCCTACGATCACATGTTTATCAGATCAGATGCTGGTGTTCTATTCTTATACCAACTATCTCTTGCATAGGTAATTGGTCATTCTCGCTGTGCTACATATCTTGCAAAATCATAGGTCTCATATGCTATCGTTATCATCACCGCTTACGGTGTTTTTGCCTCTTCACCGATTCCCATTAGTCCCCCTGCTATGCCTGTCATTCTACGATGCAGTAAATCCTCTTCACTGGGAAGACTGATGAGACTCCGGTCTCTTTTGCGAACGTATACAGGGCTTTCCAGACACTCAGGGGAATGCACGGTCATGGTAGTAGGTATGGCAAGGGCAGTCGGTGCTCCATGGCGTTTTCCAGCGAGTCCGCTGGGCCGGGGTGCGCGACCCCTAGACAGGCTTCCGAGCTGAACAGAGCTGCTAAGCGATTGATGAGTCCGTGGGTTGTCCGAATGGTTGACGTCATGGTTTAGAGGAGTCATCTTGCCGACGCTCATCTCCAATGGTTTATCCTCGTCGGCTGAGGATTCGCCTGTTAGGCTTCGCTTGTGATTGCGTGGCCTGTCGCCATTGGCCTTTGCTTTCGTGGCCTTGTCTGAGATTGTGGTGGTGTCGTAGAAGGATTGGATGAAACTAGACGACGATTTCTTTGTCTCGGCTATCTGAAACAAGTCTTGAATCCACGTCGCGCATCGGTTAATGTGTTTCCAGCTGTCCGGGAAAAACCCAGCCATCTGCAGAAACCCATGTGAAATCCCCGGCAACAATGTTACCTCCACATGGTCCTTTTCGTTAAAAGCTCGCCGTGACTTTTCTAAGCCAAGCTCCTGGCGTTCTCGGAATTGGTGCAGCTTAGCCTGCCGTAGTCGGCCGGCAAAGATCACGGTGTCGTCGACTAGTGGATCGCGCTCCCCAGTGATTATATACGTCTTAGGGAACTGTGCGAGAAGTGCCTCCGGGGCGATAACAGGCGACAGCAAGAAATCGGTACTGAAGTCAGGCCGGTTGTGAGGGCCAATGTACAAAATGATCATTGCTCTCATCATTTCGGGCGTCAAGATCCGATCATTGACGTATGAGATCATAGACGACACAGCTAATCTGGTTCGAATTTGCCTCGGCTGGCTTTCAGTCATCTCAATGGCCTGAGATGCTATGGTATCCTGCATCAGTTCCTCCGCAAGTACTTTAGAAGCATCCTTCACTATGTCACTCGTTTCAAGGTCAGGGTCAGATGAGGTATGAAGTGGGATATCGCTGACAGAGAGGCCGGGAGACGTGAAAGGCGTTAATCGCTGATAGTCCATATTCTTCTGGTGCAAAACACCTTGGTTCGTGCGGCGTGTGCTTTTGTCTTGGATCAATGCCATCTGCTCATCTGTCATCCAGCTTTCAACTTTCATGCTCAGCGCAGGATAGGCTAAAACCAATCCATACGGGAGTGGTAATCTATTTTCGCCTTGCCAGCGAGGCGCGCCTGTGCTGCCAGACTGGAGTACCATCAGTGTGGTACCAACAGCAAGGTTTCCACCAGCACTGTCTCCTGTCAATACAATTCGTGGTCTTGTCCGTCCACTAAGTCCTACGCAACGGCCGCGTGTTGTAACAATCATGTGGTAGACATCATAACATTCGTTTAAAGCATAAGGATATGGGTATTCGGGTGCTTTTTTATAGTCAAGGCTCAAGATTGGAATCTTTGTCTTCCCTGCCCAAGCAAGCAATCGGTCTTCAAAAGACCGAGGATTCATGGCGACATATCCACCGCCAGGGATATCCAAAATAATGCGAGTCTGGTCTCGTAGTGCACTCAGTGGGCCATCAAAGTAGAGCCACGCATTAGTCGGCTCAGTGTACGAGGACTGTGAAGGACGCGGAATGCGAATTGCGCGAGGGGGGTATCTAGTGAGTCGCGGACGTAAAAGGCTCGCCATTGCCCATAGATATGGGGTAGTGCCTTTGTTCCACGATACCCGCAGGTGTTCCACTGTTAGGGTAGCTCGAACTCGACGGACCTTGTCATCCGCGCGCTCTGTCGCAAACAGATAATACACTGTGAAGACCAACGAAGAGATATCCCGCAGCCACTTGGGTTTGATTTTCATGGCTGTCCAGAATCCGGCATCCAAAGCGGTAGTGATCCATGTTGCCCGGAAGAAGGAACGCGAGTACAGATTCGCCAGCGGCTCTGGACACTCCAGACCAACAATTTTTGCGAAGTTCCGACATAAGTATAGCCATAGGAAAACAAAAACTGTCGTTTGCCAGACGCTCAATCTTCCCGACAGACGGCGTGAGAAGTTACGGATCACTGGAGGCCCATGCTTATCGCCTCTATTGTAATTTGTCAGCCTCTGTATGATTGAGCTTCAACATGGAAGATAAAGACAAACCTAAACAAATACAAAGACCAGAATAGAAAAACCGCGGAGACCTGGATTTTGCGAAACTTGGATGACGGCCTCCCGAATACGTGATCTGGCAATTCTATTAATAAACGGCCCACAGTTCAATGCAGATATACTAACCGATCATCTCCAGGGTCCTAAATAGTTCTGGCTTATGTGCCCTTGTTGAATGTTCTAGCGAAATGTATAATATACAACCAAAGATAAGGGTAATATAAGAACCAACAACGCTGACAGACTATTCAAAAAAAAAAAAAAAAAAAAAAAAAAAAGAGAGAGAGAGAGAGAGAGAGAGAGAAAGAAAAAAAAGAAAGAAAGCTGTGTACCAGGCTAAAATAAGTCAGGGTTCGTTCGTCTATATGTCCGCCATCTGTACAAAGACAAGAGGTGGAATGTGGCTAAGAGACCTGGAATGAGTCCCTATAAGCGGAGATCGAGGAATGAGTTGGTCAAGCAAGGAAAGTAACTTATAGAGCCAAGAGCAGTACGCAAATTGTAAAGGACTCGAGGATGTTGGAGGAATTCTAAGCAGCCATGAAGTCTTCCAAGGATGGGCTGGCTGGATGGACACGGGGTCAAGCATGTGAAAGTCCCCACCGTCTGCAGAGGTGCTGATTGGACATGGGTCATTGGGAAGGCCCCAAAGCCACGACTCTCTCTAGTAATCTGGGGCATATTGGGCTGGAATGCCAATAGCGTGCAGAATCTTGTAATTTAGAAGCAATAACGAGGACGCCTTTGTCGAGTCTTATCGTCACATGCAGGTCACATCCGCATCCCGTGACGTCCATCACATGATAGGGGTTTCCTGGCCTACTTTACCTGAAATAAACAAATCCATGTATAGAATATAAATGGGTAAACAATATTATATCTGTTCACAACAGTCTATAGCTGCCGGCAAAAATCCCGTCCATGTGCATCTTGCCAATCACATAGCCAAACCTCGAATGCCATGCTGACAAACCCAGCAATGCAAATACCAGCAGAGTCACTAACCGTGGTTGCGCCAAGGGAAAATTCCCGATCTTCCTTTGGAACACGGTCGCCAATCTCCGCAAATGTGTTGACATAAACGAGCCCACCGAGGAGACCCTCCCAGAACATAATCGCAAAGATGATGTACACGCTGGGGATGAGATTGAACAAAGCATGTAGAGTCAACACGGCCAAATTGATAACTTGCAAAAATGAAGGGAGGTATAGATCATGAATGCGGAAAAATGGTGTGGATGAGCGGGAGATGAATACCCCAAGCTGGTATATCGCATTATACGCCGGGTAGAAAGCGCGGAAATGGGAGAACGGAGATTCCTCGAGGGGGAAAAGCAGGGTCGGGGATACTCCCTGGTTGATCGTATACTCTGCAACATAGACTAATAGAAGTGGAAGCATGCTATATGAATTTGTGAGCAGGCCTTCAATTCAATTCCCCAACGCTTCAAATACCTACAATGGAAAAAACAGCCCTTTTGCGCGCTGCAAATTTGCCTTGATAGTCACCCATTGAGGGCTGTTAGTTGACTCATTCGCTTTTTGGTCGTAGTCTGGGTGTATAGGAGCATCGAGGAGTCCATCGCTTTCGTGGGCAGTGTTTAGACCCTCGCTGCTAAACCCACGGTCCTCGGCCGGGTCATCTTCGTTCCCAGCGGCACGATATCTAGCCGGCATGGGCGTCAACAGATGTATCGGAGATCTCGGTAAGATAGTGAAAAAGGTCACTATCATCACTGCTGGTAAACACGCGCATGCCAAAAGGGTAACATTGACGCTGAAACCTAAGAATGTAGTCGCCAATGCATATGTACCAGCTCCAATCAATCCAGCTGCTCCGGTCCCACTTCCCCAGGCGGCCAGACTGAATGGACCATAAAAGTGTGTGAGTCCGAGGAAGCTCAATTCCCCCCCTCCACTGGACAAGCTGGCCAGGATAATCCCCGCGATTTTGGTTGATATTGTACCACCATCCGCATATCCTGGGCTCAACGCGACTAGGAGCATGCCCGTTGCGGAAATAAAAGCGAAGACTACAACGCGAACGGAATATGGCACCACATGGATAAAGTATGGAGCAATAAGCTTGATTCCAAACGAGGGAATGACATCTGCGAGGAGGACGACGCCTTTGGGCACATTGGGACCGACTAGATCAAGGGCAGCTGACAGAATTATGACATAGAGGACATTGTTAATTAACCCTATTGTCGCAATCCGGGTTCACGCAGCAAGTTAGTGGCTTGAGGCTTCCTATCCTACACCTGAGCAACCAGCTTACCAAATAGCCAAAATGCAACACAGACTCTGGGGTCAGCACCACTAAATAAGACTCTAAGGCGCTCTCGGAATCGGGCCCACGACGAAGACGGAGCTCCAGGGAGAGGTAACATGGACGGGTCTGTGTTGGGTGCTCTAGGCATCACAAGAAATCAGGGGAGAGGACCTAGGTCAATATGCTACAACTTTAGTAGGCAAGCACGAAATCACAACTCATTCGCTGTAATATAAGATTTAAAGGACATTGCTGCTATAGGGTGTTGTTATTGCTGCAAGAACGTCTTGTAGTCCGTGGAAAGGGATTGTTGGCAAACCTGGGGGTTACCAGTTATCCGTAGGACCCGTGACCAAATATTCGTGATGCCTTGCAGCCTGAACTACTCTGTAGTTGTCCTTTTCAATTCCAAACCGGTCAATGCACAACAATGATATTTGCAGTTACAGCCAGCAGCCAGTTTCGTGGCGAGATGAAGCTAGCATCGGTTCTTGTATATCCCATAGATAGCTACGACAGTCTGAACTAGTTAAACACTCACTATATAAGCCCTTCATTCGTGCCCAGTCCTTACCAAATCAGCGTTCTCAGCTGATGTCTCTTTTCGGTCACGGATCTCATTGCTCTTTCCTGTTATCACATATAGACCAGGCCGTAACTTATCTTGCTGCTGTTTAATATTTAGATATCTAGATTCGCGCCATGGCGAGGCAAATCAGCGCAGGAACGATGCCAACTTGTAAGAACAGACATCCTTGATAGCAGCAATTGGCGCAAAATCGCAAAGATAAAAACCTCATAGCTCCACGTAGCTACAAAATAATTCAACTACAAATTAAGAACAATATTAATATGAAAAATAAAATTGTTCTGTCCTCTGACGTACATCGAGAAAGATGACGAAAGAAAGAGCCAGATTTCGGGACGATCGCGGTATTGGGCTGGGTATTGGTTTTTAAATGGGATTTTGTCTCCGCCACTCCACACTCCACTCTCTTCATCACCCAGAACGTTGTCATAATTTGTTCGCAACCCGAAGTCGTTCCTTCTACCATAACATACAATGGCTCTCTCCTTCATTTCCAGTCGGGTTTCCAATCCCATCAATAACGCCCTCCGACTCTCCACAAGAGCCTTTTCCAGCTACCCTGCTCTCCGCAATTCTGCAGGTGGTAACTCTCCATTCGCATTTGGACGTGGTCCAGCTCCTCCGCGCCTCCCGAAGGAGGAGCAAGAGATCTTCGAGGAGCTTCAAAGGAAATCAACTGGGGCATTCAGCACCCCGCGAACGGCGCCTAAAATCAATCAATCACCTCATTCCGAATCCGAGCCCGCCCCAGAAACCAAGACTGCAGAGATCAAAGCAACGGGGAAGGGAGAGGAGCTGCACCCCGATGTGCGAGTTGGTATTCAGCCGGAGTTTGAGGGCGAAAAAAATCCAAAGACGGGAGAAGTTGGAGGACCGAAGAATGAACCGCTCCGATGGGGTGCTGGGGGAGACTGGAGCTATGGAGGACGGGTCACTGATTTTTAAGAATGCCGATGACAGATGTTTTTCCTTATAAATGCATCGCATCTGGATCAGCCCATGAACCCTTCATTTGGTATTCGCATTAGCTGGCGTTTGTTCTGTTTTGCCATATATATATATATGTATATTTTAACTATTGTCCATGTTGATTAAAACATGATCTGCCGTTGTCTTCCTCTTTCCCTTTCTACTTTCCCTTGTGTTACTCGGACCGTATTTACACTTCAGAGCGATGTATATGTATACAGTTTACAGTACTTCATGTTAATCATTGGTGAAAGTGTTAAACATATTTGATTAGAGCATTCACTTTAATGTTTCATGACCGAACAGATACTAGCAAGATATCCATTATTTGCAATATACCCACATTAAAAGTTTGAAATACACTGTGGGAATACCCTGTATCGGGAAGGAAAGCCTCTAGATGGAGGTAGCAAACACGCCTGGGACTTCGATTTGAGAAGTGGTGTTATACTATGTCGCTGAACCCTTCATAATACAAGCCTCACTCTTGGATCCTTGCAAGAGTTGCTTTTCCAGCCCTGCTTTCATTAAACCGGCCTAGCTCCCCGCTAATCCATGCCCCGATCTTCGACATCTCTTCAAGGTTAATGCCTGTATGCATCCCTAGACCATGGATGGTATGGACAAGGTCTTCTGTCGACACATTACCTGTAGCACCCTTGGAGTATGGGCATCCTCCAAGGCCACCCACACTGCTGTCGAATATACGAATTCCATGCTCCAGACCAACAATAGTATTAACCAGGGCCTGCCCGTATGTGTCGTGGAAATGGAGGGCTAAGTCGCTATTAGCGATTCCCGCCCCTTTGAGGGTCTGCAGGAGTCGCATTGTCCGTGGGGCAGTTCCCATACCAGTAGTGTCAGCAACAGACACCTCGTCCGCTCCCATTTCGAGCAAAGTAGCTGTGATATCCGCCACTTTGGACGGCGACACGTCGGGCCCCTCATAAGGACAACCAAGGGCTACAGAAACGTAACCTCGAACCCGGATGTTCTTGGTTTTAGCCAGTGACACAATGGGACGGATGCGCTCCAGCGACTCCTCAATGGTACAGTTGGTATTCGCCTTAGAAAACGCTTCAGTCGCAGCAGCAAAAAGAGATATCTCAGTAGAAGTATCAGACTTTGATGGCGATCCAGTCGCCTCTGCCGCAGTGCCTGTGGCTTCCATAATCCTGATAAGGTTTTCAAGCCCTTTCACGTTTGGAACAAGGTAGTTGTAGGCAATAGCGTGTTGAGATTGTGGCGGTGTTCGAAGGAGGTTTTCGCAGATCTCCGCAGTGCTTGCCATCTATCGATCCAAAAAGCAATCCAAAATTAGACATCAACTTTTGATAACATAGGGATCTGTCCATACCTGGGGCACCCATTTCGCAGGCACGAAGGAACCAGCTTCAATAGTTGTCACACCAGTCTTTGCCAGCTTCTCAATAAGCTTGAGCTTTGTCTCTAACGATATGGACTTTTTCTCATTCTGCAAGCCGTCTCGGGGCCCAACTTCAACAATGCGAACATGATCCGTGGTTAACCGCGACTCCGTCGCAAATCGACGAGCTGGCGCAGCCTGAAGGGCAGAAAACAAACCCAGTCGAGGACGGAAACGCATCATCTTATAAATAGGGTAATATAAGGCATCAATGGAAAGGGAATATGAGATCAAGCAAACTCTTGGAGTCAGGAAACAGGAGCGGAGGCCAGCTACTTCCTCCCTAGAAGATGATAGAACACACGATGCGGAGAAGACACCGCCAACCAAGGTTGGCTTCGGTAACCCCACCTGACGTCGGCCACTTCTGGGCTTCTTAGTCAGCCGAACATTTTCAATTGCTTCAAATTCAATTTAAGATACATCGAGGGCGACATCTCACTTCCACATTTCGCCAAAATGGATGTACCAACGACCAACGACACATCGAGCAGTCAGTTTCGTCAACCTAAGAAGAGATTTGTTGGGAGGCGCACCGCCGATGCCCAGGCACCGAAAGATGTATCGTCAAGTCAAAGAGATGTGGAATCCACCAGCATTCAAAAAGGTTGGCTAACTATACTTCATGCATTTATCGTGTTAATGGATTAACAACCATTGTTTTCTTGTTAGCCACGCCGAGAAGAACGCCGAGGACTCTGAATCAGGTCCCTCCGGAAATCCTAGAGGATCCTGATATACAAGCCGCCATTGACCTCCTTCCTAAAAACTACTCGTTCGAAATTCCCAAGACAATTCACCGGATACGATCATCCGGGTCGAAACGAGTCGCTCTGCAGTTTCCCGAAGGCCTTTTAATCTTTGCAACCACGATATCCGACATCTTGACCCAGTTCTGCCCTGGCATTGAGACTCTCATCATGGGAGACGTCACATATGGTGCCTGTTGCATCGACGACTATACTGCTCGCGCACTGGGTGTGACCTCCTAGTCCATTATGCACACAGTTGCCTTATCCCAGTAGACGTTACCAAAATCAAGACTCTATATATTTTCGTCGACATTAGCATCGACACATCACATTTGATCGCCACACTAGAGCGCAATTTCCAGCCAGGCAAGACGATCGCAACTGTTGGCACTATCCAGTTCAACGCCACTCTGCACGGCCTCAAGCCTGTTCTTGAGCGCGCCGGCTTCAAAGTCGTTATACCGCAGATTACTCCTCTGTCGAAAGGCGAGATCCTAGGCTGCACATCTCCACAACTATCTTCGAATGAAGTTGACATTCTCCTCTACCTCGGCGACGGCCGCTTCCACCTCGAATCCGCCATGATCCACAACCCTACTATTCCCGCCTTCCGGTACGATCCTTATTCGCGCACACTCTCACGAGAAACATACTATCACAATGAAATGCACACACTCCGTAAAGACGCAATTGGCGCCGCCAAATCTGCCAAAAAATGGGGCCTCATTCTAGGTTCTCTTGGCCGACAGGGTAATCCAAATACTATGTCAATGATCGAGAATTACCTGAATGACAGGGGAATTCCGTTTGTCAATTTGCTGCTTAGCGAGATTTTCCCTGGGAAATTAGCGGCCATGTCGGACGTTGAATGCTGGGTACAGATTGCTTGCCCCCGTCTGAGCATCGACTGGGGATATGCATTCCCGCGGCCTTTACTTACACCGTACGAGGCATTGATCGCATTGGGGGTGAAGCAAGGCTGGGATAGCTCGAATCAGGGTGTATACCCGATGGACTTCTACGCGAAGGAAGGGTTGGGCAGAACAAAGCCCAGTCAGGCTGTGTCAGGAAGGGCGTAAAGTTGTCAAGAACTCTGTACATTAGGGTGAACCTCAAAGATGCGGAAGAGTTCAATGCATATATACCTAGACCTATAGAATTATTATTAATCGTCGCGAACGGAAATTGACCGCTGCTCAGATACTCTCCACAACTAATACGCACTTCGACTCTAAGAAAATTGCACTTGAAAAAGGTAATTTTTCTTGCGTACTATTATTACATACAGTGTTCCTAATTCGTCACGGCGATATCTCATTATCCCTTGACTTCATCTGCACTGTCCGTATTGAGATCACTGGCACTTCCTCTTCGAAGTGACAGGATGCTCTTACTTACTAGCTCGTCAGTGGTACGCTCGGCAGCGCGCCATCGCGTGACCGCTTGCTCGACATCTTCAAACATCTCCTGGGTATCTTTGATGATACCACCTTCGTCTGGTTCCGGGACCTGCGTGCTTTCCCTGGATCCACCGTCGCTGGTCATAGGAAATGCTACACCAAATCCACGTTGAGGAACGGGGTTAAACATGACCGCATTGGCGAACATGCGAATAAGCTCTTTTTCAAGTTGCGCTGAGTTGACTATGGCCTTGGGAGGAATTACATCCTCGCTCTTCTGCAGCATGAGCACAGCATTCTTCGACGGGGTCCCGGCATTCGGGGCTGGAGATTCGCCATCAGCAACTGGTGTGCTTACGGCTTCTGTCGCGGCCGCCAAGGCCTTGCTGCCTTGATGGATAGACGACTTGATCGATTTTAAATCCTGTGGCCGATAAATAAGATCTCGATACCCAGGAGCATCACGCTCCGTCAACGGCTTGGTAAATATCGAAGCATGTTTGTGGGTAGTGACATCGTTCATGATGGGTTGGGTGGTCCTCGGAAAATTACGTGCGCAAAGAACGTAGGGGGCTGACTGGTTAGGATCTATGCGATTGAGCTGGTTGATATCTGGCTGGATGGGCTCAGCCTCTAATGTTTCACTAGGGGCACGCTTCCGTTTTGGTCTGCCCCTGCCTGGACGTTCCTCTGAAGCTAAAGCACCTTTACGGCCCCCAGAAACACGGTGGTCTGGCTCAACAGCATCCGGCACACAAGCTGGAGTACTGGGCATTTCATGTTTAATCTTTCCAAGAGATTCGGTGGCAGATTCCTCGTCGCGTGATAATACAGACCGCCCCCGGCTCCGTGAAGAAGCCACACTCCTGTCTCGCCTCTTCCTAGTAGAAATTGTTAATTTTTCTTGCTTTTTTCTTAACCCAGTTTTACTATCCATGTCAGTCGCGGGAAAACTAGGCTCTCGACCACGTGACCCCTTTGCCTCTTGTCGACGTTTGCGGCGCTGCGGCTCATGCTCTTCTGGAGTTGCTTCACGAGAACCCATCAAGGATGGCGCCTTCTCACTAATAGGACTAACATCTTCTGGACGGGGCCGATCTGGCGACCGAGGAGAATGTGGGATACTCAGACGGGGAGTTTTCTTCCATGGAGTAACAGAACCTGACGTATCAATGGATAGTCGGGGGGGACGTGGGCCCCGTGACTGTGAGCGCAATAGAGCATAAGCTGCTGCCATCGGGGTCTCAAAACCTGCACCGCTACCACTAGGGGCCGGCGACTGGGTAGTTGATACTGACAAGGGAGTTGACGGTACATTCATGGATAATAGAGGTGATTGAACTTTCTTAGATTGAGGCTTTGGTGTCTGCTGCGACGAAGTGGGTGAGAGGTTTTTCTCCGCAGCAATCTGACCCGAGAGTTCGGCTTTCGGGTACGAAGGATGTGGCGCCTGTGGGGCTTGATTCAAGGCCCATTGCTGGAAACTTGGCTGTGCAGGACGTTGGGCTGTAGTAGGTGCAGGCATAGTCGAGGCTTCTTTGCTAGCTGCCTTCACTATTGGTGCTGCTTGTATCGGAGTTGGATGAGAAACAGGGTGTTTTACTTTCTGTAAAGAATGCGAAGGCGTCGTCGTAGGACCTTGCACAGAACTGGCAGCGGGCCCTGAAGGAGTAGGTGGTATTTGTGGTGGAATAGGTGGAATATTGGAAGCTGCCTGAGCAGTAGGAATATCTCTGGATGCCAACGCGGGAGCGTGAGGCGCCGAGATCTTCTCATCGGGCGACTGTACCTGAGATAACTGAGGTGTAGATGCTGGTGGGATGGGCCGAGGATGAAGAGGTTGCTGGTGCTGATGTTGTGCCAATTGCGACTGTGGCGGTATCGGCTTTCTTGGCTGCTCTTCTTGTGACTTCTTGACTGGCGATGCAGATAGTGGAACCTGATGCTGTGCCGTTTGCCGGGGAGTAACCTGTGTCGGCTGTTGAGGAGTCACTACCTCCTTATGCTGCGACTCTGGTTGGGGTTGGTTGACCTCGGGTTTTGTTTCAGGCCCAACTGCGCTCTGCAGGGCATTCGGGTGAGGGTTCTCAATAGGTTTCTCTTCCCTATGATCCACATCCATCGGCTCCGGTGAAGAGTATCGTTTGTCCATATGAACCTCAGGAATAGGTTTCTGGGCCTCCAAAGGCGTCGGTAGTGGCTTTTGAGGCGCTTCGCGCTCTTGCTTCAGACGCTCGATCTCGTCCCGAATTTCATTATATTTTTTCTCCTCATTTCTAATCTCTTTCGTCGCAAGTTCCTTGTATCGAGCGTATAAGTGGGTCACGAAATCGGCAGCGATACCGGCATGGCCTATCCCCTTGTCCACCAAACCGTCTGGCCGTGGACTTGTAATCTTCCGCTTCTTCGGGTTATTGGAACCATGACTTCCCTCATGCCGTCCATTTGGCTCATGGGTGGATGTAGTCGTCGTGGTATCTATACCCTCTCGCATCAAAGTACTGTACAAATCTTCCAGAGCTTCAGGGGCGAGTCGCCCCGCATCAAATGCGACATTGTCGCGGACGAATCGATTGCTGCGAAGACGGTCAGAAATCGAGACAAAATCAGCAGGGCGGGCGTCTAGTGCTGCGAGTGATTGGAAGAAGAGGAGAGATTCGAAAGGAGTGTAAGCCGACAGAGGAGGCATCCCCCATTGCCCGGTTACTCGGCCACTGGGGGAGGAAGGTCTGGGAATGGGGGCCACGGTGATGGGTTGCACAGTAGTCGGCCCGCCAAGGTCGGTCAATTGATGAACCGATCAGTTGTGCAGAAAAGTACGGTCGGAGTACGTGTACCCAAATAGACCATAAGCGCAGAAGAAAAAAAAAGCAAGAACAAAAAAAAGGGCAGAAGTAGGAAACACGACCGTGTCACGAAGACATATAACAGCAAGAAGAAAAACGCAAAAATTAGCAAAAAAAAATAAAGAAAAATACAGTTTTATTGACAGGAGGAGAGCCTCAGGAGAACAGCTGGATAAAATTAATAAATAGAGGGATGGGAAGACGACAGGTAGATGGCGAGGTAGGAACAACTGGGATGAATGGATGGATGAACGCGACCTGACAATTTTCACAGTCTGTCCTTTTGCTCTCCCCAAGGACGGAATGCAAAATGATCTCTGACTAAGATAGGTAACCGGCCTGTAACAACAATACAGCCACAGTTTTGTCACGTGATAACGTCGAGGATGAGTTGTTTCCACGCACAGGGTCACCTTCACCCACCTTTCCATCTACGCGATACCTACTCGTAATAAGCGTGGAAATAGAACCCCGCCAACAATGCACAATGACGACACACTGGTTGCTGGGCAACCTTATTACGCTTAGATTATTCCAGGGGTTTGAATTCCTACTTAAAGGCATCATTCCAACCCGCCTAGTCACATGTATGTGCATTCAGGTCTAACCGAGGGCTATATCTGGAGTATTCTAGAGCTAAAATGCTAATATCGATGTCCTCAGTTACGATCCTCGAGGGTGCTAGGTACCCAATAAACAAGTAAGCTGCTCTGGGCCGTCTACACATCTATACAAGTTTGCTACTCTCTATGCTTAGACAATTGCTTATGAAGCACATAGTTTATGCATGATATCAACGTATTTTTATGAAGGCAGTATAAGTATAGATCAGCAGAGTCTTGTTGAAACATGAGCAAGTGCACCAACCAGGTTTACCTAGCATGTATAGACATAGCTCCTTGTTTGCCGCATGTTTTGCAACATCATGCAGAGCATTAAAATTCCTTTTAGCACCGTACAGCTCATAGTATTCGATATTTGATGAAACCCTACTTTTAACTCTCTTAGCAAGACTTATTTATCCCCTCCAAGCGAGTTACTATTAAGGCAGGAATATGGCTGTATGTAGAAAGTAAGATATTCAGCAGGTGTAAGATAATATGTCTATTCTATAATTTATAGGCTGTGCTTTCACTTTATGCTATGGTATTCCTTTAATGAAAAGTACGGTGTAAGAAGGGTAAGTTAGAACTATACTCCGTAGGTTATTGCCGTCCTGAATGTACGCCTTTTTGAGGAGAGAGGGGGGAATTGACTGGTCAAATTTACTAATGTAATGCCTTTAACTTGCCATATTTATTTACTACAGAGTATATTATGCTCTACTAAAATTCTGTATGTATTGACTATCATGATCATTCGTCTTTACCCATTGTGCGATAAGTAACACGCACACATAACTACTACAGTAGTCACGGGAAAGTAAAAAATTATTTAATTACAATCCGAATACAGACAGACACCCCACATGTCAGGGGCTGCCCCTTTCTTTGGTCCTCACACATCTCGGAATATTCCATAGACTGCACTTTGCTTTCTTCAGCCTCCCTTAAACCGAAAGGGGGTGTCAGAGTTATAGTCATCGTCATCTAATAGTATACTTTCACACTGGAAGACATGACTATCCAATGCACACTGCAAATCAATTGATTTCCCTGTATAATGTGGACGCAGGGGACGGCCCTTTGTTTATGATCTTTTCATTTGAATTGGCCTGAAATAATTTGTATTTTCCTTTCGTGTATCGGCTAGGTGGAGAGAGAAACGTGACTATTGAATAACCCAAGGAATTTAGGGATTTACCACTATTATTGTTTGTGGTAATTAGTTGCTTCTTTATTTATCATTTTACCTTCTTTAACTACCACCGCTGGGGTGCGGCATTATTTCTCTCTACTATCTTCATTCTTCCCTACCTCCATCTAAACCCCCATCAGCTCTATAACCTCCTGAATTGCATCTCCCCCTCCGGCCGTGCGCTACCTCTGTGATCACCATCTGGGCTTTTAATACTTACCTTAGCATTGGCTACTGCTGCTAAAAAAGTGGCCCCTCCCTCCTGAGCCATACCGAGTTACTAGTGCGACAAGCGTTTCGATCATTCCGATTCCCAGTCCTAGTCAATCAAACCCCCTTCTTGTTCCTTCCCTTAAACATTATCATTTTCTCGGCTGGTCCTGGTTTCCCCCAATCAATATATTTTCATCATTTTAATCACCGGCAGTTTTTTGCTCTGATCTTGCCTCCTACAATCGAAACAGAAGCTCCACCTCATCAAACTTACACACCCTCAGTTCTTAAGGCGCTCGCTCCTCTTCTATCCAAGATAGAGAGTCGTGCCTTTTTCGGTTTTTCTATTTGCATCTTTGGTCCCCCCTCAACTTCGCTATAACATATCATTATTCAACTAGCGCTGGAATCGGTAGTTAGAATGTCGGATGCCGAGCAAGGTTGGAAGCCAAATGGTCGTCCTCAGTCGTTCGTGCTCCTGTTATGTGCTTCCTCAGATATCAGAACTTGGGTGTTGACCAAGACATGGCAGGACCATGGCACAGGCCTTCTCGTCGGTGCTAGATAGTGCCTTTTCCTTAGACTCCGAGGTTGATCATCTCTCCCAGACCATTGATGAGAAGTTAGTCTCCTTGGACCTTACTAATGGCCCTCCCGCAATACCCGCCAGGCCCTAGATATCCAACGAAAACAAGGAACCTAACAAACCGATCTGGCAGGAGACTACAAATGGTGAAACAAAATCGAGAACTGGAAGAGCTCCAGGCCAAAATCCGGGAAGCCGAAGAACGTTTAAAAGCGCGGCAGTCGGTTGCGATGGATGGAAGCAGGTCGAGAACCAATACGGTCCACAAAAATCCAGGATACCACTCAGGTAAGCGGGATTTTAGACACCTCTGCTGTAGACTTCATGTTTCTAACTTGATTTGCCTTGACTCAGGATCCACGTCCTCGGCAACGTCCCCAACGGATACGGCAGGCCAGTATTCCAGCGGTGATGAACAGCAATTGCGAGATCACCGAAGCAGTTCATGACTTGGCGGTGCAGGTTGTGACTGGCAGAAACTACATTGGAAATCAGTATATCTTGTTCAACGCAGGGGTTTGTACGGATTTAACTTTTCTACTATTATAAGGCGGGGACGTCTGGAGCATTTGGTCATGTTACTAGTTGTTCCTCAGCTCCGCATCGATCGAAAGCCGAACGATGCTGGAGTTTTCGACTCGACCCCCGGTGTCTTGCATTTCTGGCGCTCGCCGCAATTCTCGGCCAAGTCTGTGTATGTATGTACCATGCAACGACTCCATGGGCCCCGTTATACCTTACCTTACTATAGCGTAATATATTGTGGTTGTTTTTCCAGGTGCTCAGGTGCTTGGCATTTGTTTGCCAAAGTGATTATTCTGCCCCAAGAAAAGGAGGTTAAAATTAGCCCTGCCCGCTAAGCCGCTATGGCGGAAGGATAACCCACATTCACCCTTTATTTTTAGCTCCCAAGTTTTAGGTGATGCTAGTAAACACTTTATTTTATTATTATTTTATTTTTTATTTTATAACAGTCCAGACCACCATAGTTACATATCTCGCCACCATTACCAGCGTTCATAGTAGCCTTGACTCTCATTGATTCCGCTTCACCTTGGACCAGTCAAATAAACTCTTTGTCGGGATCATATTTAGCCCAGCATTTATTTCATAACTGGAGGTTTTCTGACCGTAGAGAACCAACAGTGCTCTGAGAGATATTTTCAATTTGGCCATACTGATTTCGGCTGCTCCACAACTCTTCGAGATTCTGGCATTAGCCTTTCCATAGAACACATCCACTTCCTCATCCTAACAGTGGCCACGAGCATGTCTTTTACTCAGATATACGGAGCAGCATCTAGCCCAAGCTCTGAAGGTCCCCTTTTTTTGACAATAGAAGGAATGGTATACCTTTCAGTCCTGGCGGAGAGTTGTCGTAAAAAGAATGACGTTCTATATATCTGGGCTTGCCTAGAGCCGGAATTTGGTGCACAATTGGAATCACTGTTACCTTGGAGTCTTTGGAGGCATTCGCTGTAAACGAGTAAATGGCATTGATGAATTCTCGGAAACATCAAATGCATGATGTCTGGCGGACTATCACTCTAACTGTTTTGATCATTCTTGAGCTAAAAACAGTAGCCAGGGCAAATGAATTGGATTCCCTCTTAACCACTGGAAGCCCTGGGTATTTGATATATGGTATTTCTTCGACTTTTCTGTGCGCAATCTCAGACTGTTTTCTGTAGGGTATATTTCATCCAAGTGAGACTGGATAATGTGCGGCATCTGGTAAGATCTCTGAAAAATCGGAAACCCCGATTCTGGACGGACAATACTATACCCAAATCAACTCCCCCTGGCCAATGCATAACTACAGAATATACAGTTGGCCCAGAGGACTCATAACTGTGACAGATTTGTGTAAATAGTATAAAATTGGTTAACTCTGGCGGATACATTATAGGATGCGTTTTTGCTTCGAATCTTGATCTATTATTACTAGGATAGCAGTCTCTACTTTGTATCTACTATACACAATAAAGCACACTTAGCTCTTCTTAGAGTAGTAAGTCATCTTCTGTTCTAAAGCGTGCTATGGACAGAATGTTGATGATCAATCCAACGGACAATCATATAAATTAGAATGCCTGCTCCGTATATCATGGGCCATTTTGTGCCTCATAATCACGTCGTGAATTAAGATAAAGCTCTAAACAATTCCATATGATTTTATTTAACTTTTTCTCTAGAAGCTTACAAGAGCCTTATAGTCTTAACTACCATGTCGGCCCAAAATCCCATATAGGTTTAATCTTTCATCTCAAAAATATTTATTAGTTCTTAAATTTCACGGGTGATTTAGTTAATGACAATATAGGAGAAGACAAGCCCCATGCAAGCGTGGCCTAATTGACATGAGATTCTGTTGTCGGGATGTCGGTATTCCGGCATCAAGTTTGCTGTGCTAGGCACCCGGGCCGTTGGATATACAAATGCGGTATGTGCCCTGGAATTCATATAAATCAATATCCTCCGAAGTTGATTTAACATGCATTGTTTTTTTTTCTCTTTCCATTCTTGTATCTGTTCCAGTAAATGGACCTTAGCACAATACCTTCATACCTCGTCACTGGTGCTGGAAGAGGACTAGGGGTATGTGCTTTTCCTACCCAGCCATGCTTTATTTATAGACCTTTAACACATCCACATGATAAACAGTATGCCTTTGTCAAGCTCCTAGCATCAGGTGTTAACAACATGGTATTTGGTCTTGCACGAAATGCAGAAGCATTCCGGGGTCGTCTTACTGCAGATGATATATCTTCATGTGTTCATGTCTTCAAAATCAAACTAACGAAATGCATTGACAAATGACACTGCAAAGTGAGACGAACCAGGGCCTTCTTATCAATAATATGCGTGAAGGATTGAGGTGAATACACTTGGGACGCTGAACGCAATTTAGGCCTATCTGCCATTGATCAAGAAAGGTGGTATCAAGAAGGTGGTCAATATCTCCAGTGGGATGCGGATATAGGTATATAATCCAATTAAACTCCACAACATAGCAGTACTCACTAATCCATGACTGAGTCTTATATAGACTTCATCAATGAAACCAAATTACAATTCGCTGTCCCTTATATCTTAAGCAAGGCCTCCCCCAATACTCTAACTGCCAAATTCCCTGCGTCTTAACATGAGCAAGGGATCTTGTTCATTTCCCTGTGTCCTGAAAATGTTTCCACAGGAGAAGAGAAGGAGAGAAAGTTTTCCAGTGCGGAACGAGTATACGAAATATTCTAACTCTTGAGTAAAGCGTCTAAGAACCTGAGCCTATAAAAACCATGATTGCCCTGCTTACGCCGTATTCCCCAAATTGGAAGGATCCAATGACACCGGAGGAATCTACGCGCGTGCCTTTGAAGCCATCGACCGATCATCGTTGGAGGAGGGGCTCGGAGAAAGCTTTTTGTCTTAATGGAAAGAAGAGGTGGATGGAAAGTAGATGGATGATGTTTCTGGGTCGCAAGAAAATGTGTATTATCGCATGCTAGATTTTCTCTGAGAATTTCTGGGCATTATAAGTAAATATTATAAGCTGTTTTCTGAGAAGCTTGGAATAGCCCCCAAAAGTACCATTGCATTTATTTGGGCTATTTGGAGCTTTAGAAAATCATTCATTAGAAAGCTTCTTGGTTTGCAAACGCCAGTAACTGTGGGATTAAAGAGAGTCAGTCGCCACGGCCAGACGGTTGAAACTACAAAAATACGGTCAATCTTAGAAATGTTAGCTCTCTGCAGTACTGGACACATTGTGTACATTCGTGCTAATTTATCCAGAGTCGGATACTATATTTTGCTGGAAGCCGCCAAGAATTTCAGCAGGAGGATCGATACAAAAAACCCATTATGGTACGATGCACTCGAGATACTCTGATAAGAACTAAATGTATAATGTGGACCCAGTATTCCATAGGGGCGTTGATCTGAATCCTCGGAATCGGTTTTCGCAGCTTTCTTTCTCCCCGTTCCGGCAGCTCCAAAACCCGCAGCCCCGCAAAACCCGTCAATCAAAGGTATTTATAAATTCGGGTCGGTTCTTGAGGTTGCCGGTGCAGATCATAGGTACCATCCCGTCAACTAACTGGATTTCTGCTGTAGAACCTCTGGAGTCAAACACCCTGTCATTCCGCGTATGACCCCACTGTTTTCTGCAACAGGGGCAATTAGGAAAGATCAGTGCCTGGGGTAAATGACCTGTGGGTGAGCGATTTAGGTAGCTGTGGATTGTGACGTTGCAATCGGTGTAGATCCATGCAGAATTGCTGAAGACTCCGCTTCTGAATTGTGAATATAACTTGAGTTCCTGCGGCTTCCTCGAGACAAAAAATACCAGTAAACATTAAACCATCCTCCTGACCACATCTTATATCTTGCCTGATAGATAAAATGATTTGGCTTATAGTTCAGGTCTTCATCCTGACACTTTTCTTCGTGAGTTGGCCGCGGCTATCCACCATCAGATAAATATCACTGATGAACCATAGCAGACTCTTTACAGAGGACTCAACAGCCCTCTATCTCACATCCCTGGACCATTCATATCACGATGGACTAGTTTAGTTGTGACGTTTCACTGGTTTAGAGGTGATAAACCTGCCTACATTGACGCGCTGCATAAAAAATATGGTAGGCAATTACAGGCCTCACATTCCCCGCCCAATGTATTATAGAATCTTTAACTTTTGTAGGCCCTGTTGTGCGTATCAGTCCAGAGGAAATTGACATATGTGACACAAGTGCTGCAAAAGAAATCTACAAGGTAGGCGGCCGTTTCTTGAAGTCAGAATGGTACCAGCTTTTGATCCCACGTCGTTCCGAGTCTTTGTTCTCTATGCTGGACTGGCACTTACATTCGGCTCGTCGACGCCTGCTTGCATCACCGCTCTCAGACTCTTCTTTGACAACACGCTTCGAGTCACAAATTCGAGACAGGGTTAAACTAGCAATCAGCAAGATCTCGGAGGAAATGGAGTGCAGGGGGTTAGTGGATGTATTCAAGTGGTGGCTGTTCATGGCGACGGATATCATAGGCGAACTGAGCTTTGGGGAATCGTTTCGAATGCTGGAAAAGGGACAAGTACAAAGCAAAGAAATTCTGAAATTAAAAAATATTGGCTGACATTTTGTCTCAGAAAAACCAATACATTCATGACCTAGAACACATAGCGTCTCTTGCACCCATCCGGACCACATTCCCATTTCTAGTGGATCTCGGAGAAATCCTTCCTCTCCCTATCTTCAGCAAGACAGCGAAAGTAATTGCCAGGCTAGACAATTACGCAGTTGAGTCAATTGAGCGGTACAAATCGCTTCTTGCTAAGGATACCTTGTTCACAAGGCTTAGCAATGCAGGCGAAAGGGGTATTTCAGATCAGGAAACTCTCAATGAAGCCAGGGGATATATTGTGGCCGGTAGCGATACAACTGCGGTGACGCTTACCTATCTTGTTTACGCAGTATGTAGCGATAGTCACATCCGCAGCACCCTCGTTTCTGAGTTGAATGGCCTCCCCGACAAATTTACAGACAGGGATACACGCAATCTCCCATACCTGAACCAGGTCATCAATGAGACATTAAGGCTGTATACAGCTGTTCCAGGACCATTGCCAAGAGTAGTTCCAGAAGAGGGAGCCTGCCTGGCGGGATATAATATTCCCGGAGGAGTAACTGTGTCTACCCAGGCGTATAGCATGCACCGCGATGAGAGGATATTCCCTGATCCACACAAATTCAAACCAGAGCGCTGGTCCTCACCAACTAAGGCAATGAAAGATGTTTCTCTGCCATTCGGAGGTGGATCCCGCAGTGAGTATATCTTGTATTCCTTTCTGATGAGATAACACGAGGCTGAGTAGCATCTTTTCACTGATATAGTCTGCATTGGGATCCATTTGGCACGGATGGAGCTGCGTCTAGCAGCATCTTTATTCTTCCGCACTTTTCCCCATGCACGTATTTCAGCAAAAGAAAACATGTGCGATGATGATATGGAAGCGAAAAGTTACTTTCTGCTTTCGCCAAAAGGACACCGATGTCTTGTTGAAGTTTAAGAAATTCATCAGGTTAGTTATGTAGTCTTTATGCACTGCTGAGATTTGCTGACCAGCATGATGGGAAAGCTCAACTCCTTCCCGGGGGTATCTTGACGAGTTGCACGGAACTTGGCCTTCCAACATAAGTCAAAGCAATGACAACAGACTTCCGGTATGTATGACTCTTGCAGTGGTTAAATGTGCCCGCTTTTCAAATACTATGATGGTACTTGAAATGTGGAGTAGTGTCCAAGTGAATATTTTGAGAAAAACAGAGACAAAAAACTGATATGCAAGAGAAGTGGCAATTTTCCTGTCTTATAAGCGAGCCATGTTTGGGGCAGAAGGATCTGAGTGATATTTGTATTAACCAATGGGTTGAGGTACTTAGAAATCAAATAGGAAGAGGCATTTGGTTTGAGAATCTGTTCTATGTGATCAACAAATATCCATGTTACACAGATTTTCGTGTAGAAGGTAAATTAAAGTGGACCAGCAAGAGTTCATCGCGCTATGATTTATGTGCTACTATTATTCGAGAAGTCACACACCATGCTCTGCGGCCACTGTGCTTTTGCTTCTTTGGTGTGGGAGTTGAATAAGCTGTCAAGACAAACCGTTCGACAACTACTAAAAGCACAGGCTTCTAGTGAAGCCATAATGGAGAGTTATATAGGAGCTTCAACATAAGCAGTTACTAGCTAGACCTTTAATACTAAATATTCATGATGTTTATTAGGCCAAATACGATCCCATATCTGATACAACTGTAGGACTACTTTCTGCATTTTGACTCACTGAAAGACAAGATTAGAGTACTCAAGCGGAACTCACAAAGAAAAGTAACCCAATGCTGCATACTAATAACATACAAACAAATAAAGTGCTATCAAAATAGAAAGGAAAGAAAAAGAGAAATATTCTGCACTACAATCGGACTTGCCCATTACGCGTTCTGCTGTATCTCCAATCGCAGCTAGACTAAATGCAATCAAATACATCGCCCACTATGCAACGTGATACACAGCGTTCACACAGACCCAATAATACTTTGCTACTTTGGTAATCACTTGTGGTGCTCAACTACCATAACACGACTCAAGTGTGTCTATTAAAAGCAGGTCATTTTCACTGCGCTCAGAGGAAGCAAGAAGGGAAGGGGGGTTTATCTCCCGGGGGTGGGCACATGATGTCAGGTGTTCCCAAGTGTAGAGGGGTCTAGACTTTCCCATTCCCGGTTATCATCCTGCATAAGTTCCACGCCACAGACTACTGACTAGGTAGAGCTCACCCACGGGCGCATCAGGAACTTCCCATCTTGCTCCGCGGCTCCTTATATCTCACCCTCCTTGGTTTCTGCCGTTCTCTTCCATACCTACCCCCTTTTCATCTTCAACCCCCTTCGGTACCCTCCATTATGGTTTTAATCGATAAACACAGCTACCAGTCCCAGGAAGAGCGTCGATTAAAGGAGGATAAGGAGCGCACCCGATACTGGAAGCGGTGGGGACCCTATGTGGCTGAAAGGCAATGGGCTACAGGTAAGTTCTCTGACCTTCTTCTACTCCTGGACGGACGGATGACCTCCTATCTCTGGCCCTCGCAGTTCGTGAGGACTACTCGTAAGTGTTCTGCCATCCCGCCTTGTTAGCAGCTTGTTTCTTTGAAATAGTGCGGAGAGGGAATTTCATTACTGATTCAAGTAACATTGATGCGTCTCCAGGGAAAATGGAGATGCTTGGAGCTGTAAGACCTATCTTCTCCCACAGGAATTGCCTATCTGCTTTTAAATGTCAATCAATTCTTATGTTTATTTGCTGTCGTAGATTTCTCCCACGATGATGCTCGCTCAAGAGTCTTCCGCTGGGGAGAAGATGGAATCGCCGGTGTCTCCGATACACATAATCTACAGAACATAGCATTCAGTTTTTGGAATGGAAAGGAGTATGTTGCTCTTCATCGCATAACTCCGTCGGCCCATAGCTCATCATCACTACCGATAGCGATTTTTTAAAGGAACGGCTGTTTGGATTATCAAATCCTCAGGGAAACCATGGGGAGAGTATTAAGGAGGCGCATTTTCATCTCGACAACACCCCAACGGTAAATCAACTCTGCCTGCCTTCTATACTTTGACTGATGGGTGTCTGGATTCCAGCATTCTTACATGAAATTCCTCTATAAATACCCCCAGAAGAAGTTTCCCTACCAAGATCTTGTGGACGAGAATGCTCGCCGCTCGAGGCTGGAGCGTGAATATCAAATACTTGACACTGGCGCATTTGATGAAGATCGGTACTGGGATATATTCATCGAAACTGCTAAGGAGGAGGATGACGAAGAAGAGCTTCTTTTTCGCGTGATTGCCTACAACCGGGGACCGGAACCTGCTCCTCTGCACATAATTCCCCATGTATGGTTCAGGAATACCTGGGCTTGGGGCTATGAGGACCAATCTCTCAAACCCTCTATCGAACTGACTTCTCCCCTTACTGCCAAATCTACCCACTACAAACTAGGAGAGAGATATGCACGATTCTCTCCCTCCCCTGCGGTAGACAATAGCCAAGAGGACATTTTACCTCGTATGCTGTTCACCGAAAATGAGTCAAACAATGAGCTTCTCTGGCAAAACAAGAATGACCAGCCGTATGTGAAAGATGCTTTCCATCGTCACATCGTCGGTGGGGAGAAGGATGCTGTTAATCCGGCGCAAAAGGGCACTAAACTTGCTGCTTGGTATGCCTTCGCCAAAGGCGATGAAGTTCCCCCTGGTGAATGCGCTGTTGTCCGTTTCAGGCTGTCCAGGAAGCTTGCACCCTTCGTCGACGAAGAGTTGTTGGATGATACCATTGAACAGCGTAAAGCCGAAGCTGATGACTTCTACTATCACATCAGCCCCCTGCCAATGAGTGATGACCTGAGGAGTATTCAAAGACAAGCGTTTGCAGGAATGATGTGGACGAAGCAGTTTTATCACTTTGTCTGGGACCAGTGGGCAAATGGCGACCCCGCAACGGTTCCGCCTCCTCCAGGGAGAAAACATGTTCGCAACCAGCAGTGGAAGCACTTGTATATGGATGACATCCTCTCCATGCCCGATTCGTGGGAGTATCCCTTTTTTGCTGCCTGGGACACTGCCTTTCACTGTATCCCACTGGCCATGATTGACCCAGAATTCGCGAAGAAACAGCTAGATCTTCTCACTCGAGAATGGTACATGCATCCCAACGGGCAACTCGCCGCATATGAGTGGAACTTTGGCGATGTGAACCCTCCTGTGCACGCGTGGGCTACGTTCAGAGTGTTCAAGATTGAACGAAAAATGTACGGTCGGCAAGATCTTGACTTTCTTGAACGGGTATTTCAAAAATTATTGCTGAATTTCACTTGGTGGGTGAATCGGAAGGACTCTGATGGCAAGAATGTATTCGAGGGAGGATTCCTCGGGTTAGATAACATCGGTCTCTTCAATAGGTCTGAGCCACTACCTACAGGAGGTGTCTTGGAACAGGCAGATAGCACTGGATGGATGGCCTTCTATAGTTTATGCATGCTTAACATTGCTCTAGAGCTTGCCAAACACCGCCGAATCTATGAGGATAGTGAGTGTACTATGCCACAAATGCAGTTTATTTGATCAAGACTAACCATGCTGCTAGTTGCGTCTAAATTTTTCGAACACTTCATCCTCATCAGTGATGCTATGACTTTCAAGTCCGGGGGACAAGAAACTTCACTATGGAATGAAGAAGATGGGTACCAGAACAACTTTCAGATTCAACTTGCAAGAAGTTTCTAACCTCTATAGTTTCTACTACGACGCGATATCCTACGGCGAACCGTGGACCCAACAACTCCCTGTGAGATCTCTTGTCGGACTAATCCCCTTGTATGCGGTACTCACACTTGAGCCGGAGTTGATCAAAGAATTCCCCTCTTTTAAACGACGGTTAGATTGGTTTGTTGAGAATAGACAAGATTTGGCGGAGCGTAATATTGCCAGCATGAAACGCCGAGGCAAAGATGAACGCCTTCTTTTGTCACTGGTGAGCAAGGAGCGTCTAGAGAAGATCCTTAAAAGAATGCTTGATGAAACTGAGTTTCTCTCCAAACATGGTATTCGATCCATGTCCAAGTACCATGAGGGGCACCCATACTCCATGACTGTTAACGGACAGGAGTTCCGGGTCAACTATATACCAGGCGATTCCGACAGTGGTCTCTTCGGAGGCAACAGTAACTGGCGCGGTCCCGTCTGGTTGTGTGTTAACTTTCTGCTTGTTGAGTCTCTCTTGCGTTTTTACATGTTTTATGGAGACTCGTTCCAGGTGGAATGTCCTACAGGCTCGGGCGACTATATGCATCTTGGACAGGTAGCAGAGGAGATCCAACACCGACTACAGCATCTATTCGCCCGTAATGACTCCGGACGTCGAGCGATTCATGACAACTCCGACCTACTAGACTTCGACGAGCATTGGAAAGACTACATGTGGTTCCATGAGTTCTTCGACGGCGATACGGGTCGGGGACTTGGGACATCCCATCAATGTGGATGGACAGGCCTCATTGCAAAGATCATTCACGACACTGGGTATGTTTGATCCTAGTCAAATGGCGCCCCTAAACCACATAATACATATATATATACCACTAGGATATCTAATGCAACCACAACAGAATCAATTGCCGTCTACCACAAACACCACGAACTCCCTTCACCACTGCGTCTCATTACTTCGATGATATCCTCACCCGCTCCGCCAAACCACGCAGCAGCCACCGGCCTAGTATTCACCGTTCGTCCACAAGCAGATCAATCGGAAACAGAAGCGACTTTGAGTCCACCCTCACCGGAGAAACTCCAGGAGCAGATAGTGCAGTTGACGATGATGAGAAGGACCGCGACATCGACAATCATATCTCGAACTACGTGGAAAGCCAATTGCAACGAGTCCGCAGTCAGACGTCGATCGCAGCTTATGAGGATGAGCTTGAGACGCAGGCTGATCGCACGCCGAATGGGGGTTAATACTGATCTCCACTTGGCCTCTCCCTCCCTCCTCTCCCTCTATAGTTTTTTTTTTTTTTTTTGTTTTTTTAGTTCTTTGGGCTGGTCCAGATGTCTATAGTATCCAGTAGATAACGGGTTCAATTTAGATTGTTTATATAAACCATAGTCTATACAGAATTCCAATGACGCCGTTGATTTGGGTTGAAGTGGATGGTTCGTTTTTCGTCGTAGGTGTTAATATGCCAATTCAATTTTCGTAGTAGACATTGTGAAGTGCGAAGCAGGGATGAATAAAACTACCGAGTCTGACCTGTTTGATCAATATATATATTCCGGAAATAAGTATTAACATGGCTAGAAGGAGATAGAAATTTGATATTCTTGGAGATAATATGAACTAAGCTAAAGGGACGGAGAGGATACATAGATGGGATTCTCTCAGGATAACCTTAACAGTGTGATTGATTGGGCGACACTTTGTCGTTATGTATTCAATTACTCTGTATACAATCGCGAGTTAAATGTTGATAGTTGATACTCCAGTGTATGTAGCCAAAAGCTACTAATACAGTCCAATTAACTTCTACAGACAGATTGCCAGGTCTCCTGTCAAATACCTCCTACCGCATGAGCGACAAAAGGATATATATAAAATATCAGCTCAATTCTGTCTATTCATATCTCCAGAACTCGAGTTCATGCTAAGGTACTTTCAAAGAAAAAGTGGTACGGGTTAGGGTACGGTACAGAGGGTGTGTAAGGAGAAAGTTCTAATTTACAAAGCGTCGGTGAGGGCCTTGTTGAGCTTGGCGATCCTGGACGAAACGCTGACATCAATGGTGCGGTCACCGATTTCGACAACGAGGCCACCAATGATGTCGGGGTTGACCTATTGTAAGACCATTAGCATAGTTTCCGTTTACACAGGGATTGAGGCAGCCCGTTCTGGAGAGAAAAGGGAAGGAGGACAAAAATACGTACCTTGGTAATAACCTTCAGCTTCTTGCCCTGGCTGAGAACAGACTTGGCAACGGCCCTCTCAACACGAGCGATGGCCTTGTTGTCGAGTTCCTAAACAACAACCACGATTAGCCTTTCTTCCCTGCCGAACCACATTTATGCCCTTCTTATTCGATCGAGCGTACCTGAGCACTGGTGATGTTCAACTCGATCTCACCGCGGTGAGCACCCATGAGAGTCTCGAACTTCTCGCAAATACCCTCCAAAAGTCCCAGGCGGTTGTTCTCAGCCAAGGTCTGCAGGAAATTCTTGACAACATCACCCTTGTCACCGGAGATCTTCTGCAGTTCCTGGACAATCTGACTCTTGTCGCTGATGGAGAGTGTAGGCGAGGAGATAATACCGGGGAGCTTGCGGTCGGCCTTCAGGGTCGCACCGAGGTTGGCGAGCGCCTTGGAAGTCTGCTCGAGCGCAGCAGACTTGGCCGAAGCAGTATACTAATTTTCATTCAGCGCGTTAGCCAATTTGTAATCTAGTTCCGGGATTTTCTTTATCATTTTACGGCTCCCCATCATGTAAGTGTTCAGAGGCTCTTTCTGAAGGGCCTCAGGCCAACGAAACACAGTACGTAGCTGGAGCCACAACTCTTCTGGGGTAGTCGAGAGGTCGCATACCAGGGCAGTGGCATAGGTGCCATCAACACCAAACAGAGACACAGGGGGCTTAACGTCCTGGGCCGAGGTGGCATAGGCTCTAAGACCGTTGAGAGCGGCAGTGCGAGGAACGGAGAACTGCTGGGTGGTGGCACGCAGGCCGGCGCGGGCGACACGAGTGGAGAGCATTGTGACAGCGAGAATGAGAACGCCTCGATCGAGGGAGGAGGACTGGTTGGATAAATGAGATACGTGCGGACGTCGTTCGGAGGGGTGCAATGGCCAGTGGTCGTGCTGGAGAGATCGTGTCGAGAAGACGTCCAACTTCTCCCGGTTTGCAGTCACGTGAGATCCCGCACACGCCGATTTTTCGGTTATCCCCATGTTATTCTAATTAATGCCAGGGTCGACTGTTAGACACATTACACCACATCTATGTTACTCCAGTTCACTTTTTTTCTTTTGCATCGAATCCGGTCATGTGGCAACGCCGGGCTACCTTTCTAGGAAATAAATCTAACACGAATGCCAACACCGCAACGCCAGTCTCTCCTAATATTCTCTCCACCTTCCTTTTAACGGACATTAATCACTCCGCAACATGCTCTCCACCAAATCCCCCAATGGACCCCAGAAATCCTTCCCACTCGCCAGCCGATGCTCGTCGATGAATAATACGTAGTGCTTGAAACTAGTATTGAGATGTGGTTCCAACCCCAGATGCACAACAACTGGGTAGTGGTGGCAGTAAACGTGCGCATACACTCGATATAGCCGCTTGAAAATCTGTCGCACTAGACTAGTGAAGGCCTTTGGAAATGGGACACCTGCACAAGCTATATTAACCGATCCACTCGGCATGCAAATGCTCCTGTGATTGAAAACTTACCCAGCCTGCTGGGGAACATTTGCTCGTTATCGATATTACTCTGAATCCAGCTCATCAGGTGCTCGATGTACTCCGGAGCGGACATCTTCGTGGGTCGCTTGAAATTTTCCGAATCCTGCCAGAGATATTCGAACCTTCCCAGTCTAGTGTCAGCCGCCGCTCGTGATATTCTCTCAAGTAAACAACTTACTCATCAGTCGCTTTCATCTCTGGACATGTCTGGGGTGAGCAGAACTCTGTAATTGACCCGTATAGGAGGTTGATTTGATTGTAGAAGTCGACCACTGTTGAGCAGCGCGTGTTAGCCTAAATGTATGGAATCGATTGTAAGACGTACCATTGACCGCGAGCCATTCGTTAAGATCCTCGCCCTCTGGAAGGATGACAGCCTTCCTTAGACTTCCACTTCCAAGTGTGGCCTCTGCAAATTGTCTCAGTTGGTAACTGCTCGTGCCCTTGGCCGCTGACCGTGGTTTAAATGGGGCCCGTGTGCGCGCGTTGCTAGGAGGGGTCAGTCCAAAGGTGCCTTGTTTAATGGCGCGGACAGCAGATGACAAGTAAGAGGGGGGTTCGGAGGGAGGATCACGAGAAGTATGGATGGTATTGACGGAGGTAGAAGGGGTAAGGAGGGGCGCGCGTGGCGACGATTGGGAGGAGGATGGCAATAGCGGGGCAGCAGGAGAGGGAACGAACATGGTGGTGATAAACGAAGCCATTTCTCAGACCCTGTTCTTTGCGGTCCTCTCGACAATAAAAGCCTTATTATGAAGCAGAGACAAGGGAGCCTGGATTCCCAGCGATCTGTTGGATACTCCGACCTTGCCGTATACAGATTTGTAGTGGATGATCGGGGCGCGTCGATAGGTGTGGTAATGCTGATTGGGAATGCGCCTACATTCCATGCCAGATTGGAAAGGGTCAGTCAATCAGTTGGTTCATGCCATAGATTGCAAACTCACAACGGCAGTATAGCGATCAACAGAAGGAAGATAAGTGGCGGACGTTGAAATGATGACAAGAAGGTGGCGAGAAAGAAACCCGCGCGTGCACGGACGACTCGGTGGTGTCTGGTCTAGACTATTTATTTATTCGGCAGTGCTTGAGAGGATCCAAAAACACGACAGGGATCAGATAGCCTTGAGATTCCGTCATCGATTGAATACAAGTCTGGACCCACGATCCCACAAGCGGAACCTGTGCCCAAGCACTGATCCATGGGTGCTGCAAGTCTGTTTCGCAGTTGCCCCGGTGACCTCTCATGGCTTCCCCATTCACCAGCATCTAGCCTGTCTACTCAGTCCTAGCTAAGCCCTGCACTATCTTACTTATACAGTAGTCAAAAGTTTATCGGACAAGTTCTTGTGTCTTAGATCAGTACCACGTACAACTCGTTGTGCTATCCAAGGGCAACCCACAGTTAGATCATCCGTTATTGTGAATACGTTGATCTGTCGACTCTTTGTGGTGGATATCCAGCTATATACATGCAATGAATGAACTTAGATCAAACCACTAGTTGGATATCTGAACGTTAAAAGTGTGGCAAGTAATAAAACAGTCGGAATACCCTCGAACGAAGAGGGAAACAGGATGCAACTCAAGTACGTATACACCACTGGCATGGAAGCCGAGTATATGTATCTATATTATATAAAGTACCCCTCGCTTTCTTCTGGAAACCTCTCTCGAACTGTTTCACCGTAAACTGTGAGAGGGATCGATATTTCAAACGACTCACAGCCCAGAGTTTCCAAAGCTGTCATGATACGCCCACGATCATCCTCATGCACGGCTTCAAGTAATCTACTACCAGCTGGACTAGATTCGTGGGTATTATGTGCGCTGGTCGTCACAAACTCGAACCGCAACTCCCAGTCATGGTTGACTCCATTAGTCAGTATCGTGGGTGTTGCGGATATTGGAATAGCGGGGCTAAAAACTACTCGCGTAGAGTAGAGGGTATTTTCAAAGAATGATGCATGGACGCGACGAGTCGCCCGGCGTATGCTAGCGCCTGACCTTACAGCCAACGAAGTCGCCACCTTCTCAGAGGACTCCAATGTCGCCCTAATTGCATAGCATGGAAGCGAGGCATCTGCGAAGTTCACGGTTGCAATGATGGTTTCGCCCAATCGATGGGCAGGCCGATTAAGAACAACCACGGCGATTCGGCACCCATTACGTGCAATCTCGAATCTATTCGGGCTGCGCGAGGAGCTAAATGCCTGGTTGCTACGGAGAATCGCTAGGTCAATAGCATCCTTGCAGGATAGTGGGCTGACTGGTAAATCGTGACTTTGGCGCTTCTCGGAAAGAGCATCAGGAGGCTGGAGACTGCTGCGAGAACGCTGCTCCAGGATTTCATCCACATAGGACAAAAAGTCGCGTGCTGATTTCCAAGTCACTCCGCTAATACTCTTGGGTTTTACCGATGGTGGAGGAGTAGACCCAATTTTCTGCACCTTGGCTTCGTCACGGAGAAGCACGTAAGGGTTCATCAGGTCATGACCGAGAATATCCCCTTGACCTGAAACTCATTAGTCATGATGGAAAATCACATTGAAAAGGATCAGCCAGATCAAAGGCCATACCATTGACACCATTAAACACACGAAACGGTATAGTAATTCGATTAACCCGTTGAGGCTCGTTGGGCCTGCTTGGGCGCTGGGTGCCAATGACCAAATTATATGAGATCTTGATGGCTTTACCCTTGTGGCTCGCTGGGAGACCAGAGGGCAGCTTAAACGAAAACGAGTAAGATTCTTCTTCCCCAGGTGCCAGTCGAAGATCTACAAAGAGAAGCGACTGAGAAGTTGACAATAAAGGTATCGACTTCGATGAGGTAACTCCCCGCATATCCCTTAAACCGTCAAGTTCATTGTTGGAAAGAAGGCCACTTAAGGACTCCTCAATAGTATTCCATTTGAATGCGCCCCAAAACCCACCGGCTTTACGGTCCTTGTCGCCACTCGCTGCAGGTCTTCCTTTGGAGGCTGCAAGGGTGTTTGTGTTTTCCTGTCCGCCGACTACTCCTTTCCGCTTCACCTCATCAAAAGCAGACTGGTTAATTAATGAGCCATCAACTGTAAACGATGCGCTGATCTGGGCATAACCCATGAGTAATGCCTGACTCTTGTGAGATACGCCAGCGTGCTCCACGCTAGACATATGTCTCGTGTGACGAGGAATATTAGGCCCGGGAGGATGTGAGTAATTTGTGTATTCAGACTGAAGAGTCTCGGAAGAATTGTTACCGGCTGAGTAAAATTCACTACTACTCTTATGACTTCCATTCAGGCTCGAGGTCGACATAATCTTCGTCAGTTGAGGCAGTTGGCCTGGAGCAGCTAAAGTTGACGTTTCTTTGCCGCTTGATTTTGCCACCACTGTTAAACTAGCACTTTTGTCAATTGGTGTTGCTATAGGCGACGCCTCGGGCTGATGGTTGTTGGTGTCAGAAGGTTGAGGGAATTTGAAATCTATTGGCGGTAGTTGAGGTCTGCGAGCGGGTGTGCGTGGCGATTCAGTTGGTTTAATAGGACTAGGTGCTTCAGATCCAGAGCGGCTGGTTCTGCTCAACCTATCTACGTCGACTTGCAGCCCGTTGGAAGATGAGGTTATGGGAGAAGGAAAGCCGCGAGTGGGATTGCGCCCAGCTGGGAGACAAACAGTATCAGACTAGGACTAAGTGACAACGCATGTCATCCAAGTAAATACCTTTGTGGGAGATATCTTCATAAGCTTCATATCTTCTTGGTGCGACTTGTAAACTCGCGGAGCGCCCATGGCCTCTTGTCGGCCGGGAGCGACTGAATTGTGAGGACGTCCTAGGGGTTTTATCGCCTCCACCTTCGCTATCAATCGAAAGAATCGAAACGGAGCGTTTATGCTTATGGCCATGGGATGACCCATTTCGAGGTGTGGAGGGGGGTGGGAAGCTATGAGAACCTATCAACGGGGAACTCAACGACGAGGAGAGGCGGTGATGTGGATTCTTCGTGAGATATGAGCGGCGGTTATTGTTGAAGAAGAGGCTCTGCGGAGATTTCAGCGAGAAGAAGGACTCCGAGTGAGAAGTAATATTAGCAGCTCGGGACTGCTTCCTTTGATGGAGAAACTGCCTGCCATTGTTGGGTTCGCCGAGGTCTTCTGCAACGTTCTTGAAGGTTATTGTACATTCCACATCTTCCCCCGCGAATATGGGCTGATCTTTCCATTTCACAAAAACTTGGACGTCCGATGGCATGGCGAGGGTCGAAATATTACCATGTGGGCGGAGAGGAAGGCAAACAAAACTCGGGGTAGAGAGGTGAATGCCAGCCGCCACTGGAATCTGCGATCAGGCACAACAGTGTATTATACAATAAAGAAGCAGATGTACAAAAGCCGGCTAAGGCATATTGTCAAATCAGCCTAGCCATGTTCGCAGGAAAAGATTAGAAAAGGCAAGATGAGATCTGACCCAGACAGAGCCGAGTCGCATGTGTCGTCGACAGACGCGGTCCACTAAGTGTCACGCTTGGTGGTTGGTTGGTTGGCCAGCGTTATGGCACGAGTGGAACCATCCTTTACAGCTCCTCCAACCGTGAACAGAACATGCGATACTTATAAAAGCTGGACATAATTATTCTATTTGATGCATGAAAATGTTTACCTAAAGTTTCGAATTCCTATGTTAATTTTGAAACATGAGGCATAGATTTTGTTTCCTGGCAAAAATATGGGGGGAAACTGAACATTCTGAGAGTATTGCTCAACCAGATTCATCGCCAAACAAGAAACGAATATATACAATCCTTTAATACAGCGGGTTAATCATATTTATATACATTATCTAAGCAGTAGCTTTGAGCACAACATAAATATATCAGAGCCATAATTATAACCCAACAGAATATGCCTACGCAGAAGTGCTTCATGACTTCCTTCCTTTGTCGCGCTTATTGTACAGCATCTTGTTATCCGCCAAAGGTTTGGTGCGCCTTGTTTTTGGCCGGAGACCCAACTCAGTCAGGTGGCTCCAGATCCGGTCATGTCTTTTTTCCCATCGCTTGCGTCGGTTTTCCAATTCCTCTTCGGAAGGACGCCATTTGCTCTTCAGAATCCGTCGAATTGCCTCCGGCGACACTTGGAATTGCTCTGCTAGAACAGGTGTGGTAAATCGGTCAGGCGCTATAGCATGCAAGTGACGAATCCCTTCAAGAGCATCTGGGGATAATTTCTTTGGTGGATTCCACCCTTCCGTGAATTTCTCCTTTAAGGCTTCTTTCTGAACCTGCCATTTTTCTCGTTTCCTCTTTGGCTTCGATTGCGTATAAATTCGGCCGGTATCCAGGCGCTTCTTTGCATGGGAAGAATCCAATGCGGGTTTCTGTCCTTCTGCTGAGTCCACGCCCTTTGATGATTTGACAGAACCAATCTTGGCTTCAGGTGTTTGCGAGTCATCTTCCCAGCTTTCCGTTTCCTTATGAAGCTGAGCAACCGGCGCATCCGTAGCAGTCGAAGAGCTACGTCGCTGAAGTAGAGGCACTTGCGTCTTGAAAATGCAACGTCCAGGAAGTGTACTTGGCTGCTTCTCATCTATGTATATCCGACTGGTAAGGGAAGTACTGAGTGGACTTAAACGTCTCCGGCTTGTGTAGAGAGAATGTGGCTCGCGGCTGAACTCTGAGCGAAGAACATTTCGAAGGACTGCTGGTAAATTCATCTAAGGCACTAGCAAAAGAATCACGATTTCCAGGGGTTGCGTGTAGATATGACTATGATGTACGAAAAGCTTAGTGGTCCGGAAAATCCTGGCCAGACTTTACAAGTCACGTGATCTAATGCCAGCGATAACGACTAAACTGTTTATCCGTAGACACAACACCTAACTACTGAGTGGTTGCCTGGGTATTATAGGTTCTTCAAGGACAAGAAAATCAATTTTTACATTAAGATAGAAACTAGATTGCTCTTATTTTGGTTCTATGAAGTCTGTGTGCTAAATGCTTAATTGTGTCTGACTCTAATTTTATATGGTTTCCTAACGAGCCCTGTCACTGGAGTCTACAGGTACACACCATCGTCACGGGTGTATCCGTTAGAGCATAAACGGGTGTGCACCAAAACCTGCATTGAGTCTTTGACTCTAATATCGGAGAAATGAAATCGTCTTAGCCTAGATCGAGCCATAGACAATTGCTCCATGGTCTACTGAGTGGAAAGAATTCTCCCCCTTGCTGTATAGGATTTAGGATACGTCCCCGAGTACGGAGTACCTTGGAATAGGATCGAATGGAAACACTTCTTTTCGTCGATGTAAGTATTTACTACTCCCTACCTTCTATCAGACTATCGTAAATCGCCGTTGTGGTTTGAGACAATTGTGAGGATCATTCTCTGTTACTCTCACGTACATATTAACCCACAATGAGCATTTTGTGGAGTACCTTCCAAGTTGCGACTTAGTTGTTCAATGCTCCGATATGCAGTTGCCTCCCAACCTGATGACATACTCCCTAAATAACAATAATAATACGATCTAATGACCGATCCCAAAGGACGTGTCATCTATTTCCGGCAGGATTGACACCAGGTCCCCACATCGACATGGCCAGTTGGTGCTCTGTGGTCGATCCATTCTCAACACCAGCTCTCCATTAGACTCACTTCTCCCGCTTCCTACTTTGGTTGAATCGTATTGACTCTGACTATCGATGGGTATGGGGTAAGCTGCCCCTTTTTCTCAACTAAGGAACTCTAATCTTTGGCTCTTCTTGGCGACCTTAATATTTGATGATCTGTCACTGAATCCTTCGTTTGATATTAGAGGATCTATTTTCGCTGATCTGCTGGCTTACGACAGTAGTCCCGAACTAAGAGGACTTAATTAGACTAGTCGCCTTTCTGCTCAATGTCAGATCCTTCTATCCCAGCGCCAAGTGTCGATGATAGGTGAGTTTATCATTTTTTAGCTCTCCGCTTCTGGAATGCTGGAGCCCAGTTTCTGAATTTCATTCCCAACTTTTCAAATACTCCCCTACATTCTTTCCTGAATTCTTTTGCAGTCGCTCATTATATTCTTTGTTTTTTTTTTTTTTTTTTTTTTGCCCTCACTTTCTTTTCCATATTAAGTATTCGTCAATTCTTCCCCTCCTATAATCGTGTCTGTTTTGCAAACGCCTCTTCTACCAAACTCGATCGACTTAATGATATTAACCCAAAACTGCCAATTGTACAAAGAAATAAACGGGGAAAATTGCTTTCTTTTGATTTCCTCCCTCTTCTTTCATACGCCGTTTATGCTTATATCCCATTTTTTGGACAATCCAATAGTTTGAAAATTCTCGATCAGGGAGAATCCAAAAAGAATACATCCAACTTTTGCAACCAATTCGACCGCGAACCTGATCATTCTTAAGCGTCAGCGAATGATTTAAAAAAAAAAAAAAAAAAAAAAAAAAAAAAAAAAAACCTGGGGACAATGGCATACAGCTCCCTAAGCTTGAAAAGCAAAGCTGCTGGCCCCAGTTCAACCCTCCGAATTACTCCTTCCAACTCCCCTAATCTGAAGCAATCGCCGCGTACACCCAACAAAATACCTTTCTACCAATGCACTTTATCTCTTCAGACTGTGATCGGCACGACTACCACTACCCCCAGTGGGTTCTCAAGTCATGATCAGAGCAGCTCTTTTTCTTTCTGTGCTGGTTCGGCAGCTGTTTTAGCAGAGGTGGACGAGGGAGGAAACGTGAACCAACGCTTTTTTAAAGCACGACCCTCCGCTTCGAGCATCAACCCAGTCACTTCGTTCTACAATCAATCCGCCCCTCCTACCACATCAGATACCCGGTCGAAGCCTCTGTCGAGTCTCAAATCTACAACTCACACCAATGTCTCCAATTGCTCTCCGTCGAGCGAATTGGCAGAGATCAACAGCCCTCGCTCCTGGTCATCGAGGGAAAGAGTGAAAACAGTCACTAGTGTTTCAATAAGTCCGAATGGGAGATTGCTTGCGGTGGGAGAAGTGAGTGACAGATTGTTAATATCTCACTCCTAGGGGCACTTGCTGACCTGTGGCAGGCAGGATATAACCCGCGAGTTTTGATCTTCTCGACAGCGAAAGACGCCCACTCAGATATCCCTCTCTCGATTCTCACTGAGCATACCTTCGGCGTTCGCAGTCTTGCTTTTAGCTCCAACTCTTTAAACCTGGCGTCGCTTGGGGATATGAATGATGGTTTCCTATTTGTGTGGTCTGTCAGTCCCAGAAACGGCTCTGCCAAACTTCATTCCACCAATAAATGCACTGCTTCTGTTCGTGATATGTGTTGGATGGGCCAGAATTTGATTACGTATGTCTCACGCGTTGGGCTAGTGCACTATGAAGCCGGGCTAAGCCATATTACAGTGCAGGTGTTCGACATGTAAAAGTCTGGAGACTCCCAGACGCAAGACCTGGATCACCTTCCAAATCACGCTTAAATGTCGAATCGACTCCTAACTCCCCGAACGTCACCCCGAAGGCGCTTTCGGGAAGAAATTGCTTACTAGGGCCTTTGGCGGACAACACTTTTACAACCGTAGCGTGCATATCTGATACTGAAGCTGTGCTAGGAACTGATACGGGGGCACTATGTTTTCTAGATGATAATGGGGGGAACCAAAGATTGTCGCTCATTCGGTATATGGGTTTCCCAATCACTTCCTTGGTAGTTGACCTGGACCGCTCCTGCATATGGATTGGTGGTCATGGGATGCAAATGCGAAATCTCCCAATGAATATGTTAAAAACCTCTTCTCTACCATCTTCTCCGGGCCTCTCAGAGGTGTCGTCAGTGGCGGAATACAAAAGCAAGGGGCCTGCAATAATATGCATGGGGTTTCTTACCTCGTCCCTAGTGGCACTTGATGACACAAGAGAAATCCACATCTACCCCATTGAAGCGCTTGGCAGCGACAATAAGCAAGCTCACATGGAAGTCACGCTTCCCGGACATAAAGATGCTGTACTTGGTGTCCGGCCTTTGAAAACACCAAATGAAATGAGTGCCTACTTCTTTACGTGGTCATGCAAAGGCACCGTGAACTTCTTTGATATCCATGGAAAGAACTTAGAATCCCGAACAGTTCCTCTGAGGACCCTTGGCATCGAGGAGGAATATTCAAATGAACTGAAAGTACTCCGCACCACTGAAGACATGGAAATTTTTGTTGCGGGTGACAAGCTTGGTGTTTTAAGGTATTATCTCTGGTGCCCCCTCCTTGAGGAGTCAATGCCTTCGCTAACACCTTCAATTAGGGTTCTGAATGGACAAACATGGAAATGTGTGAACGAGGCTCGAGCACACGGAGGAGAAATTACAGATGTCGCTCTACATTCAGCTTTGGGTTACTTTTTAGTTGCCAGCTGTGGCCGTGATCGTATGGTTCAACTGTTCCAGAAGACGGATGAGCACTTCCAGTTAATACAAACTATGGATAACCATGTTGGGGCTGTGAGTCAGTTGCTCTTCGTAAACGATGGGGAAAGACTTCTCTCCTGTTCTGCTGACCGCACTATTCTCGTACATGAACGCGTGACCCGAGAGGTCAATGGCGTAACAGCCATTGCCTACTTAGTATCAAAAGTAATCACAATGAAAGCATCGCCTGTATCAATGGCTCTGTCTAGAAGCGATGCAAACGTCCTCATCACATCCACAATAGACCGTTGCATCCAACAATACGATATGGTTTCGGGTCGCCAGTTGCATTCCTTCCGCCCATCTGATTCTGATTCTAATGACACGGTAGTCATGGGTGCCTTGACAGTGGTTGAAGAAATTTCAGAACAAATTCCCAAGCTACTTGTTGGAGTATCCGGTTCCGACAAATCGGTTCGCATATATGATTTGGAGCGAGGTGTGCTCCTTGCTGCCGAATTCGGTCATACCGAGGGCATCAGTGATGTTTGTGTTCTAGAGAACCCGTCATACTTTCCAGGGCAGCCTGTCATACGCACTCTAGTTAGCTCTGGTATCGATGGCACTGTTATGATATGGGACATATCTATGCAACCACAGCAAGCTCGGGAGCGAACGCGATCTATCTCACGGGATGATGATGATACTCCCTCAAAAGAGCCAATGGTCTCTAACCCTCCTTTGCGCAAGCTTTTGTCTAGGACCGAGATTGCTGTGTTCCAACGGCAAGAAAATCTACCAGGGACTCCAACGCCAATGCGTGAGCACTCGCCGCCCCTGGTTCGCAAGCTGTCCAAGTTTTCCCTTGCTACTTCACCTGGAAAACAAGGGAGCTCAGCACCCACAACACATTTTGCATCATCTCATCGGCCTTGTACATCGAGCACTCGTTCAGAGAAGCCACAGAGATCTCCTTCCCCTCCAAGTCCCAGGTCAACGTCCGGAAAGAAGACCAGTAATCCAAACAATACAGTCCGCCGCCCCGTTCTGGAGCTTCGGGCTCGTCCTAAAAATTCCAATAAAAGCGAATTTGGGGGTTTGAATATGTCCACTGAGCAACTAAGCCGTACATTAAGGGCTTACAGAAAGAAGCTCAATGGATCTACAGAGACTCTTCACTCGCAAAAAGAGTTAGAGCGAGAATTAAATCTCACTTTGCGAGTTTTGAGCTCTCGCGCGAAAACTGTGACCACGGAGACACAGAGACCGATAGTAGTGGCAAAGAAAATGAGAAACTATCGGTTTCTTCTACTCATATTAAGCCAGTACATATTCCGCGCCGCATGCCCTCATCACCAAACCTGGGTAAAAAAGAATCAGAAAAGCTTCCAAGAACCCGGTCCCTTGATGCAAATGGAGAAGGATAGAACTTGTAGTTCTTACTTTTTCTTTTTATTCTTCTATTCACTGACTTTTTAATCTCTATCTTTTTCTTCGTCTTGTCATTTTTTAGGACAATAGCAGTCGCTCCTTCCGTCCCTTATATAATACTCCAATTACAGCGGAAATGCTCTTCTTGCTCTTTTTCTTTTCGGAATTTCATTGCATTGCATTCAGGTGTTGCTTTTGTTTTCAAACTAATTGTATGGGTGCATAAGTGTCTAAAGAGTGTTCTGAACGCTGGTATTCAATCATCAGGTCATTTTGCTACGGTTTTCCACACTCTATACAAGTGAATTGTTATACTGTATTTCATTGTGGAAGTCGGACAAGTAGCGTGTTATTATTCGTTCTTTCTTTGTTTCTTTGTATTCATCCTATTTTGTTATTTCCCCAACCCTCAACCGGCCTCGTCAACCAAGCCGTCACACATGTAATTATATGATGATACCCCTTTTTCAAAAGACTTCTGCAAATATCCACTCGTCTTGTAGACGATTTCCTTCTCAGAAACTATATTGATTCCATTGAGATTAATTTTCCAGTTAAGCCTTACATTAATATCATAACTCCCCAACGGAGTCCACTCTCATTTTTATTAAAATAGTCATACAATGTTTCCAGTAATGAGACTTGTAACCCTGATTCAACCCAACAATTTCGCAAAGTTCCGCCGCAACAGTCTTCCCAGCTCCCCGGGACGAATCTCCATCAAATCAGCCAACGCAATAGCCTTCCCAGCCCACCGTTTAAAATCATCATCCTTGCAAAGCCGATAGAATTCGACTGCCTGGTTGAATGCAACCGTTGCCAACCATTGAATCTCCTCATTAGGGTAGCTAGATGGTGTCTTGTGAGAGTCACGAGCTATGTCAAGTGCCTGGTCGAGGACGGACTCAGCGAGTGACTCGTCGGTTACATGTAAGGAGAGTTGGAAAAGGATTCGAAGATATCGGGACAGGGATTCTTGAAAGGCGAAGGAGTTTAAGTATGGAGATGGTGACGAGTGAAGAGTGCATATTGTTAACTAGATGGGATTCCATTAGCTGGGTCTAGGTTGAAGCAGGAATGAAATAAACGACTTGTATAGCTTAATATGTATTGAATGGCATGTAACACGCATATGGCTGTGAAGGGGATGCACCTTGAGAATTCTGGCCATCTCTAACGTTGGCGCTGTAGACTGGAGGATGCAGTCTAGGAACGTAGCAGAAAGTTTATTATCTATTATCTTCCTCGATTCTTCAATGATGGAAGCTGCTTCATCCCATCGGTGCGCAAAAATGGCCGCCTCAAAACTAAACGACAGCATGGTGCGATACTTGGCCGACCATTCGTTGGTTTGGACGGCTGTCCTACATCTGTCTAGCTGCGTTTGGATATGGGCTCGGAAGTTCCGTGTACATTTGCGAACCTCATTGTAGTGTTGTCCCTAGTTCTTGTTAGTTTATATACGCCATCTAGGGAATCATTAAATATCGACCAACTTTGCTGAGGGGATATCCTGATCTACGAGCTTCTGATACCGCTATTACGGCTCGGAGAAGATCGTATAGGAGGAAATTCTGGCATAGAGTAAATCGTTCCCCTTCTGGTAAATGTCGCTGGCAAATCCCGGCAAGCTACGGATGTTAGGGGCCTAACACTAGTAGAAATTGGAGGCCATTGATAGAATACTTGTACCTTTTCAGATATAGCTAACAACTGTGTGGCTAAGGTTGAGTCGGAGTGTTTGTGTATTTTGAGAGCGATATTATAACTCTTACAGGAGAACCATTCTAGTTGAGTGGCCGAAAATATGCCTTTCTCCTGTCTGCTCGCTTCCTTGAAGGCTTTGATCGTCAGTGTTTCGTATCTTAATGCAATATTTCCTTAGGTAGACATACTTGCTTCAAACATAAACATGGTCCGACTGACTAATTCATCATTATAACCTCCTGTTTCGATATCCGTTGAAAGTAGGTGGATCACAGACATGTGGCAGAAATTAGCAGGGTAGACGTCTAAAGGGAGCAGATAGGCCATACTGAAGTAGTCCCTGGATATTCGCCGCGTCGAAGCAAGTGTATCCCACATTTTTGAGTATATACTCAAGTACTCTGGCTGCATGTACACCATGCCCCATCCGAACAGCTTCATCTAAGCAAGATAAAAGGCAGTTTGTTGAGTCCTTGCCCAGTTTACAGAGCGACTCAAGATGTTCAGCTCCTTGTACAAGTCAGACACGTCATTTACATCATTTGCTGACATACCTATAGAGAGATCCCCGCATGATAGGGCGTATTTGTACATTAGATACAATGTCGAAGGACAATACCTGCATTGCTCCGGCAGTTTGTTGAATGCGTCGTAGACTGCGGAAGTATTTGAATTGCCCATAGAGCAGGTAATTAATTTCCTAGGTTATAGTAGGATGTTAATAAGTGATGTTATCAATATATCAATGCTTACCTTAAAAATTTCCCTTGGTTCTCCAACGATATCCGAAAAATCGATTGGTCAACAACGCGACACCATCGCTCTGCAATAGAAAGGTGGCCATTGGATAGTGCTAAGTTGACGTGCTTCCAGACCAGCTGTATCTCTCATCAGTTTTTGTATGACGCAATTTAGGTTTATTATTACAATTAGAAAAGCATGCGTCGCATCCTCGCCAAAAGGCCCATCCAGGGTTTCATTCAGCCTTTTTGTTACATCCTGGATGACATCAAGACTACACAGAGCCATGTTATTTGTACCTGTCAAAACCCATACAAGTCGGATGAAGATCAGCTCGCCCCAATCTCTCTTATGGGAAGAGGCAAGATTTTCAACTAAGAGCTTCTTTAAAACCTGGATATAGTATTCCGGGCTATCATGTGTTAGCTCGAATTTGGTGTAAACCAAACTTCAACGTACTTTGATTCTTGTAGCTTCTGTATGTAAGGCATCAATCTGATTCAGGTTAGCCTGCCGCCGTTTTTTATAGGCCGCGGTTCGAGTACATCTTTAAATGCGTGTCTTCGAGTTCCACCCCCTTCAGAATATTCTGGAGTACTGAACCCTCTCTATGAGATATCTGCTGACTTGTAGACTATGCAGTACGTACGTTGTAAGTATCTTTGATGGTCAAAGTCTTCTTCAGTTCTCAAAACCTCAAGTTGTATCATTTGGACAGAAAACACATCCCCATACTCCTGCTCATTTTGGTTAGGATAGAATATAATGTTGTATACAAGACATTACCTCTCTCAGAGGCTCGACAGTAGCTTCAATGCGTTCTTTGGACTCTGTTTTGTCCAAGTGAAGGCAAGCTCGAACTAAACCGATCGTCAATAGTCTCTTTGTGAGAAAAATTAAACTTTTATTTACCAAGAGCATGCAAAACCAACAGTCTCCTGACTTTCAAACTTTTGTCATACTCTTGCGAACAATTTCTCAAGTGCTCACATGCTTTTGATGCTCTTTCGAACCACGTTACAGCTGTAGCATAGTCGTGGCGTAAAAGCGCTAAATTTCCAACCTTGTAGCACACTTCTAAAGCACTTTTCTGATTTGAATCCATATGCGTTGAGGGTATACTCAAATATAAATGGTTAGCGATATCTGCTCTCCCTTGGAACCAAGACTAAAAATACACCTTCGTCAGCCATGATCCGAATCTTATCGAATGGGGTTATAATCAGTTTACCAGATATACACGAAGCATGTAGTACTCTACAGTTACAGACTGTAGCTTGAACCGGTCGTTAACATCCGATTTCTCAAGGCCATCCAGCCGTACAGCTATGGTCTCAACTATATTTTGGGTCAAGTCGAATTCCCCAGTCTCTGTATAGCTTTTAGGCTCAGGTATCGAAAAATAGAAGGAATTGCTATACCAACGCAAGTTTTGCCTGTTTTTAAGGCTACTTCTAGTGCTCTATAGCTCCCTATAAGATAGACTAAGAGGCAGGTCCCACCTTAGCTATGGAATATATACCTGTACCTTGTCCTGGCGCGGCACATTCAAGCATCAAATATGCCATTACTTTCACTATACTGCTTTAGCATCAAGAATACAAAAATGTAGGGTCGTCATACATTTACACACAAGTATCTTCTCCTTGCTGTCCCCAAGGTGTGGCATAACCTGTGCACAAATATTCCACAACTTCGTGCCTTCGTTATCCATTTGGCGACGAATAGAAAGCGGGACCGCTACCGCAATTTTGGGGGGATTATTGAGGTATCTTTCAAGGGTGTAGAGTGCATCGTTGTGAAGGGTCGTATTAGAGAGGCTACCTTCAGAAAGTTGGGTTTGTACTTTCCTGGCAAAGTCTGGCAGGTTTACAAGTAGTTAGAATGAGAACCGCCTAGTAGAATTGATCTGTGGTGGAACTGATACCTATAATATCTGCTCTATTTGAATTACCTAACAATGATGTCTTCATGATTCGTTATTTTAGTTATCTCGCGCAGGCAGCAGTCTATTGTCGAGTTATAGTACTTATGGGAAGGACGATCAAAAAGATAGTAGATTGATCCTTTGGTAAATTTCATCCCACAACATTATATACACCAGAAATAGAAAGGGGAAATTATTCACCTGATCACGCTAGCCCATATTCATCCAACAGTATATTCAGCGACTACTAAAGAATGCCACATATACTAATGTGTTGGGGAAAGCTATGGTACGTACATTCTAGGTACATATATATCCTAATCGAGTACATTTCCATTGTATACTCGAGTTCCGCAATTCTGCGACATAATTGCAGAATTGGCACGAGTATCACGAGAGCTTTCCTTTTTAAGCTCAACCAAGGTCGTTAATAGTCTGAAAGTGCCGAGAAAGGGAGTTAAAAAAAAAAAAAAAGACTAGCAAGCACGTGGGATCATTTACTCTTTCGCCGAGATGGCAAGAAGTTTCCGATAATGAGTGACGGACTAAATAAATGCATATTAGTAATGTACAAAGTAAATGCATTGAGCACAACTGGGACACTCACATATTATGAGTATCTCTTCGTATTGTAAATGAGAAGCAACATGGAATCCCATCGCTAGGAGAGCTGGATTCAGGGTTTTTCAATGTACAACTAGTAAGCATAGCCTTCTGGGTATTATCGAAAGCAATTGCTCCGAATTTCTCCCAATAGCTCACAAGTTGGTCTTCCACAATTATCTCGTGAATAGCCAGCTTCCCCTAGAACAAAAATAATATCAGTTCACCGTTTTAATAAGTAGAACAGCAACATCCAGTATACTCACATCTCTCAAGCTTTCTATTGGAACACCGATCAACTCTGCCATCTCTTTATTGCCCCGGAATATTTCACCTGTTCGTCTCCAACAGCAAGCAGGAATGGCCATGCTGGCAAATACGCGGTCATACTCCATCAAACTCCGCTCGAACCACATTTCCACAAGAATCAGTTCAATATCAGTAAGGCTTTGCATTCTTTCCCGAAACTTAGGTCGGAATTTATCCAATTGCCGGAGGATTTTCTGCCGTGAAACCTGTTGCAGATTTTTTTCCATATACTGATTTAATCTCGCATAGCCCTTCACATAATTGAAAGGCCTAAGAAGACCAGCATCATATTTAGCCTTGAGAAGCTTGTTCATTCGCTCCTCTGGAGGATCAGACCCAGAAGGATCGGCAGCAGTCATGTAATATGTCTCCCTAGCTTTGTCATTTCCCACTACAGAGCTCTGCCCTTGGATAGAATCTCCCTGGTTGGTCTGGTTTTGTACTACTTGGGGATGTTGGGACTGCTGGAGTAGTGTTGCGTTAGGCCCACCGCCTAGCGTGGCCATCGAGTTGATCAATGTCGGGTCAGAGTATATGCCATGTAGATCGTCGTTTTGAAACATAGCCCCGTCGTCTAATAGACTATTACTCAAGAAATCCCCAAGTAGATTATATTCATTCGTAACTTCGTGTGCATTAAACATGTACGAGGGGTGGAAGGTGTGCATGTCTTGAAACTGGCTTTGTCCGCCAATCCAGTCATTGTAACCAAGAACTATACAGCTATATTAGCGGGGTGTTACGAAACTAGATTGTTCATTTGAAGACTTACGCTGCTGAGAATTCGACCCGAGTCCTTGGTTTGAAGAGCTGGGGATATTGCCATGCTGCACTGTGTTCACAGACGAAGATTGAAGACCCTCGGAAAGAATTTGCTGGCCAGCAGCATCTTGGACATCAACACTTCGAGGCATTGCGTGAAGAACATTCGAAAACTCGTTACTTGAAGAGCCTTCGTCATCAGCAACCGACTGTTCCTGGTCATTCCGAGACCGCTTCGAAGGCTCCCGAGGTTCGTCATGGCAGAGATGGCCAATATTGCGTTTTATACATCGAGTGCATGGTCGTTCCTTTATTTTCCATAGCAAAGACAAGTCAGCATTTACTCATATGTGAGATGGTCTGCGGTACGTTTCACGCGCATTGTACTGGTAAAGTTCAAAGGGGTCGTACCGAGTCGCAAGTCATATGCTGTGTCGCGTGAACAAGCACCATACCGTCAGTAAACAAGTCCTTTCAGAAATTTCTAATTTATTTATGCCGCTTGATCGCAAATACGATTCTAGCGAGAAAATATAGAAAGAAGATAAAAGCTCAGGAGGGAATCAGTGATAACGACTTACAGATCGCCGACAGTAAACGCATGCTACAAGAGCGGCAACTTCATTAGCAACGTAGTCCTGACGCCTATAATAAAGCAGATACGAGGAGCCGCTGCCATTATCCTTGTAGGATGCATGAGAAAAGCGGTTTGCTTACCATGATTAACCTTGCGACGCTTTTTGGGGCTGGTGCGAGTCCCCGCAGCGCCATTTTCAGGCTTGGAGGCTGGAGAGGTTTGAGTGCTATCTTTTGCGACTGAATCCTTCCTCGTCTTTTCCCTTTCAGCCATGTTGATACTTGGCTTCTCTGCTGTTCCAGTGCTAGGCTGTTGACTTGAGCCCGTGGCTGTCTGCGCGTTTTTCTCGGTCATCGGTCGCTGAGCGCAAAGTTGTTGCGCAGGGTTCGGCTCGTAGCTGACTTTATGAGACAAAAGGAGTTGGTGAAATAATAGTCCACAGACATCGAATGAAACTCGCTGAGAAAGAAGGAAGGTTTATTTGTAGCAGGTGTGCACGGTTCGATCGAATTGCAGCAAGAGAGCTCGATAATCCGCTCGATTGTGATCGACTCACCAAGGTTTCCCCGCTGAAAGCGGGACTTAAGGGACCGCCATCTTTTCCCGAGCACCTCCGCATCCACTGGGCCATCAACGTACTAGCCGATAATTACCTCTTTCCCATGAGTGACGCGCGCCCGTTTAAACCTCGGATGCAAACAAGTTTTTCTTCTCTTTTCGTTTCTTTTTCCATTCTTTTGCCCTATTTTAGTCATGTGCAACGAAGATATCTCGGGTTCTAGTTTTTGTATAAAGACCACCATAGCCTTCATTTCATGGAGGCTCTACTATCAGTATCTTACGGTGTATCCGTATGTAACATACGTATGAAATACGAAGATAGGCGACGAATCTTCAATGACTTGCTTCACTTCATGAACGTTGTAAACGCCGGTGCTTCGGCCCTATTAATATTCGCAGACGGAATTCCTGAGCCTTCCTCACATGCTCTGACCAGTGGGATCGATATTCTAATGAAACAAGTAACCAAATAAGAGCGCACTCATTCTTCTCTTAAAAGGAATGATTGATGCGTGTTCTCAACCACTGCCCATTATAAGGTGCTATTGCATAGAGCAGGAGGAAAATAATATGCATATCACATGCGGTTGTTAAAATAGCCACAGTTTATGCTTTTCAGTGGCATATCTTAATGCGCCATCTTATATCGGTCTCATACAATAAACCGATGGCGGATGAACACGTTGTCTAGTGGTCGGTCATGCCGTAAAACATGGGATATAGAAAGATGGTGGTTTTCGGGGTATCTATTTAGGTCACGCTTCGCATTTCTCAGTCTTCAGCCATACAAGCCAGACTCAAGGCTATTTGAGATCGTGTAATCGCATCTGCAAGACCGTCAAGAGGAGCTAAATTATTTTTAATGGAGTTGAGATGGCTGGTCAGCTGTTTCAGCAAGTCAAATGTATCAGGCTCGTCCTCGAGCTAGTGATAGTGTCAACTTCATCACGTGCAAAATAGGGGGGTTCAGATCATACCCCGTCAAACGTAAGCTGCGCATGCTTATTGTTCACAATCTTGACATCGGCCTGTATTCCATGCTGCTCATCGGACGTTTCATTCAGCCTTTTAAGAGCGGGATGCTCCTTTGAGAACATTAGCCGCCGCTTCCCTCAACCCGCAACAGGGAGAGCATCCTCACGTTTTTCAGTTGACGTTTTCTTTCCGTTTCAACTCGCTTATAATTCTTCTCCATCTCTTGCAATTGTTTCTTTTCCTTTGCAAGCAACGCTTCCTCCTTCTCAATCTCGGCTTTCAAAAGATCTGTACTATCCGTAACGGTGGCCAGGGAAGTTTCCAAAGAAGCCTAAAAACTGTCAGCGTACCTTCGTATCAAATCGATCAAATCTCCCCGTACATGCTCCTTAAGAGCCGCTTCATACTCAAAAACCGAGTCCTTGGTAACAGGTGGGAAAGGCATTCTAGGAAGCCGCTTCGAAAGACTTGAGAAAGGAATTTTAGTTAAATCCCATTAATTCATTTCATGTGCTCAAACTAGGCCGATTATCGTAGGAAAAATATAAGATAAAAAAGGGGGCAGTCCACTTCAGAGACGTACTTCTTTACCACAGCCTGCACAGCTGCTTGTGCTTCGATGCGCTTGCGCTCATTTTGATGCTGTACTATTACCGGGCGCTCAAGGGCTCGAAACATGTCTCGGACCTTGTCTTGAGCAGGTTCAGGAAGAGTAGACCATTTGGACTTGATAGTTCTCTCCGAAACATGGCGGACGTGAGGTTTTAAATATGCAAATCGCTTGTTGCTCACGTTGTCATCGTTACGCTCACTGCTAGAATACTTTCGTTTGGAGGGCATTAAGAATTTCGCAGGTTCCAATACGATAAACTAAAATGAAATAAGCTATGAGAGTAGTTAGGCGGGAGGAGGGGTTTATTATTATCAAAGAACAAAAAATGCGATGGTGCGAGGTAAACAAATGATGGCGCGCCTGGTTGAGCTTCGGATGTACCGTCACATGCCAACCTGAGCAATGATAGAAAGAGACTAAACTACTTTAGGTCTGTCCTTGCGGCGATCCGACACTCCTGTAGACTCAGGTCTGACATCAACTATCCTTCACGGAGAGTTTTATTTACAGATGTTGTATATATAGTACTATAAGGTAGAAAATAAATTAGAGAATTTGGAGTGCCATTCAAATACAAATATCCAGGTCAATTTTGTCACCAACGTATATCCCAACTTGTATGTCCTCTATATCAACCTAGAGACGGGCTACCTAGGTAATTATTTTGATTAACCATACACATCCCGATCAGAGATCAGGCATGGGGTATTATAGCAATGCTAGAAGTATCATACGTTAATATTAGTCCAAAGGGGGAATATGGGGAGCCAGGGGAGGTGAAGAGACAAAGAGAGAAACTCCATCAGTTAAATGTAACGCCAAAAGAAACGCCAGTAAGTCTTGATACATAGGGTACGTCCTCCCAAATCGCTTAATCGCTTGGACTTAATTAGATTGTGGAAGAGCACATGCCCTGACTCGTTGAAAAGAAGAGGTATCACATCGTGGTCGCATTAAAATGTACGGAGTTGGAGTCACCGCGGAATTACCAAGCCATTCATAGCCTTTAGTTCCGCCAGCTGCGTCTTGAGGATTTCATTTCCATGTAGTACATCCTCTAGCCAGTCTGCAGCTTGCGTAAGCATTGCACTTTTGCTAAATCCTCCGCCGTGCAATCCAGGTACTAGCGAGCACAGATCGTCAAAGCCTTGTCTAATAAGATTCCGGCGCTTTTGCTCTGAAAGGATATGGTTGCTCCTTTTCTGCTCTTCTGTCAAATTCTCTCGTGTGGCCTTCACGCCTTGCTGAACCCTTGATTTCCGAATCGTGTCGTTGGACATTCTCCTGGACCTGTTGTAGCTCGAGGCCCTTGGTCTCCTCGGCTTTTGCTTCACATTATCAACGTCAGAGTTCTCGCCATCTTCCTCTTTTACCAAAATTCTTTGTCTCTTCTTCGGTTGTGATGGATCTTCCACATTATCCCTATACTCTCTCCGTAAATCGCCGAGCTGCCCCGCAACATTTGGCTCCGGCCAGTGAGCATTGTGTCCACCTGCCCGCTCCGGACTCGGTGCTCTGGTGTTAGCAGCACTGCTTTGTGGCTCAAAACACTCTAAATGATCAAGCATCTCTTTCGTCCGCTCTTCTTCATTCGGTTGGTCAGGTGGTGCCACATAACCTTGATCCATAAAACTGACATCAGAGCCCCAATGAAGAGGTCTTACTTTGGCAATCGCTTGCTGCTCGGGAGATATCGGCTCCCGCACATCAAAAAGCATCTCTGATGTGTGAAAACCAGTGGGTACACGTGGACGAGAGGGAATCGGTTTGGAGGGCATGTGACTACTAGGTTGTTGGTCTTTGCCGGATCCGTGCGGCCTAACATTGCTGAAATGCATGTCATAAAAGGCAGGGAACTGATGGTGCCCCATTGCAGCGTTAAGCTCAGCCCCATTGGTTCCATTTTGATAAGGCATTGAAGCAGCGGCAAAAATATCAGTGCTCGCACCCACGTTGTTAGGCACTACACTTAACCCTGATTTTTCTAAACCATGTGACATCGAAGGTTGAGAGAGAGAAGTAGTGGAACCTTCAAATGTTGGTGGGAGCTCGTTCGACCATTCAAAATTTGTAGGTCCAAGGGATTTATTTTGATGGTCATGCATCCAAAAATCGTTCGTGAATTGGTTGGAATTCAACGTCGTGAAAAAGTTATCAAGCATATTTGACTCATTATCATCAAGAAGAGCTGGTCCAGGTGGTGGCGCAGGCGCGGGTTCATAAGGTGTATCCATGGGCGAAAGGAAGGAGTCTGAAGAACGGTATAGGTTAGAAAGTGCAGAAATTTCCATAGAAGTAGAAGCACATACAGCCGAATGGACCAGGTTGAGGGCTATTTCGCCCATTTCGGGTGTCGGGTTTATTCATATTCATCGTTGGTGTAATATATATGAAGATTGGAAATAATAGAAAGGAACGAGCGTCGGCGTTGTTGGTGTGAGCTCAGCTTTAGGATTGCTACTCGGTTGTCGAGAGCAGCAGAAAGAAAGGCAGTTTGAACATGCCTTAGTCGGCAGAAAGACAGAAAATCTGATCTTCTTGCGACACGAAGGGTGTCAATGGTACAAATCGAAGTCGTTAAAATCTAACTTAGGGTAGAGTGCTGGATTGTGCGTGGGGAACAACGGTCTCTTTTTGGTCGCCGTGGAATAAAAGCAATAGTGGATGCGATTTGGAGGTAACTCGACGTTCCAAACACAAAGTACGAATAGTGGGCAACAAAATTAACCTGAGCGAAGGGTATCCCCACATCGAACTCATAGGTAAAGAAGAGAGATGACGAAGGTTGCTTTCTTTCTGGAGATAGCAGATAGTGGAGAGTATGGAATCCGTCGGTCTTTTCGAGTCGATCACATGCAGAAATCTCGCACACCAGTGGTCGCGTGACGTAACAATAATACGAAAAATACTCACCCTCGTCCAGCGACCCTGCTGCACTGGTCCAATGCTCGGTCTAGTAGTATGTGCTTAGTATTTATTAGGAAGGGATCGGAGGCTCTCGGTCCAATTTCCAAATCCTTAAAATATGGATGTAGTGGAAAGGACAATACTTAGCTAATACCTTAGGTTAGGCACATCGTTAGTAAATAGGGACATGCCTAGGTAGTCACTTAGTACTCCGTAGAATAGAACCCGTGCCTTACCTCCGTCAGGTTAATACCTGGTCGCTTCTCTCCTTTCTGTCGACAATCGGGAATTCAAACCCACTACCATTCAAATCCACTTCCTCTTAATTGTCAGGTGACTGTGGGTTAGGGCGACAGTATGGAGTACAGTTATTCATATTTTCTGCTCTAAATTCCTCTTAATTACCTAATTTGCGTTTCTTATTCCCCACAGGGTTGTACCTGACTGCGGTTCAGAAGGCCATTTCCACGGGCGCCATTAAAACCCCGACTTTTGAGACACTGACATACGGAGGATCGTCAACCAACTGCTTAGTTCCTGGCGCTTGCCCCTGAACCACTTGGCGGGCCACCACCCTCTTCCTGTCCTCCAGGACCGAGGTCGAAATTCACGTCGCACGGTTGCGCGGCTCCACGATAAACCATACGAAAAGACTACAGCTGCAGGCTACTACTAACTCAGTCACTACTCCGTACGAGGTACGGACCAGGGAGTACAGCCAATCTGTTGCAGACCACCTAAATAGGTGGTTTTTTTTAAGTTGATCTATGCCTATGTATTCTTGAAATTTCTCTTTTATTGTTATTATTTTTATTTTTATTTCGGTCGTAATTTATTTGCGCTAGCTCCTATAAGCTAAGTAAAAAAGGTATGTTTTCCTACCGCGAAAATACAGAGTAGTGTTTGGCAGCCGCTTACCTGCAGCGACTTCTAGTACTACTGCTATAGTGTGCATTGGTGGTGCTTGTTCAAAGACCTAGTCATGAAATAAAAGGCATCATATACAATGGACTCTACAGGGCTCACTCGTGAACATCAAAATAATGTTCGAGTCCTTAAACCGTGAGTATTTTTGGCAATTATAGTTATCTCATACAATCTAGAACACATGCTTCCTGGGGTGCTTTTTGAAGGCCATTTACTGATTACACCTTATAGAATTCTACGTGCTTATGCAATTGGTTATTTAACCTCAACCACTCCCAGAGTTATATCATGCTTACAGCGAATCTGGAAAACCAATACGGAGTATAAACAGAAATATAAAGAGGTATGTGTATTAATGTGCTACGCATTAAATCCTAATATCTTGTGTTGCCAGGTTCTGTTTCTAGTATATATTCTTTGGGACTTTCTTTCATGCTACGTAAGGCAGTTAACCTCATGCTCTTACTAACAATAAGTACAGATATTCTATGCGCTAGGGGGTGCAATACATCTGAAGAGTTTCCCCACCTTCTGTGCACTTCTTGTTGGGGGCTCAACAGTCTCCCCAGTTTTATTTTTTCAGATTTACCAGTTTGTGAGTCGTAAGCTTGGCTCCACCACTGACATATTCAAATCAGCCGAATATGTGCGCCTAATTCGCTTTATTTCTGCTTCTATCTCTGCTTGGTTTGCTTTCGGGCTGCTCAATCAAAAACCCATAAAACTGAAAGAGAGCCATGATGAGTGCCAGGATAATGCAGGTAGTGATGGCTCTACAAGGAGACATAACATCAAAGCAGCGCCTCATAGTCGCCCACAACTTGCTGGTAGAACCATGGATCTTACCATTTCAGCCTTACAAGAGCAGTGGACTCGGTAGCCTGCAATGTGTGGGCACGATGGCAGCTACGGCGAAAGTCAAGGAATCGCTGGACCCTCGTGGAAAACATTACCCCTAAATTAGCAGATGCAGGTGTATTTGCCGCCAGTGCGGCAATAGTGATGTGGGTATGGTTTTATTTGCCAGAAAGGCTACCTAGGTCTTACGAAAAATGGATTGGAGAGGCAGCCAAAGTAGATTCCCGTCTAATCGAGGCGCTTCGTCGTGCCAGAAGGGGAATATTCGTGTATGGGAAGGACACAGGACAGGCCCCTCTTCTCCAGTCCATGTGCAAAGATTACGACTGGCCTATAGAATGGGGGGACCCTTCGAAAACAATTCCTATTCCATGTGAAATGGTCCACATGGGCTGTGGCCCTAATTGTGAGAAGCATGCCGCATATCGTTTTGCTCGAACTTTCTGGTTTGCTTGTGCTACCTATATACCCCTACAAATTGCCTTTCGTCTTCGGAGAATGAAATCAAAATCATCCCTCTGTCGAGCTCTATGCGATGCTTTCCGGTCATCTGCTTTTCTCGCTTCATTTGTGAGCATCTTTTATTATTCTGTCTGCCTCGCCAGGACAAGGATAGGCCCAAAACTCTTCCGCAGTGAAACGGTGACACCATTGATGTGGGATTCCGGACTGTGCGTCGGTGCTGGATGCCTCATGTGTGGTTGGAGTATACTCGTCGAAAATGCACGACGACGCCAAGAAATTGCGTTGTTTGTTGCACCCAGGGCTGTAGCAACTATTTTGCCCCGATATTATGATCAAAAGGTATGGCTTATTAACCCATGCATCTTTCATGCATTCTTTAAGGTATATATTTCTTAGAATTTTAATCAGTACTAACCACTTTTGCATTCTGTAACATAGTACCAATATCGAGAACGTGCTGTATTTACTATCAGTGCTGCTATTCTTCTGACTTTCCTTCAAGAGCAACCCAGCATGGTTCGAGGTGTTTTTGGTAAAATCTCAGCAAGTGTTTTGCGATCATGATTGGATATTGTAACTGAGTTACCTTTTATCCTAATCATTATCCCAAGAGTGCTGGCTGTTTCTAATATTGGCTATGTATCATCAACTTATTGCCAATGCTTTTGCCTTTAATATCTCTGCAATTATTCCAATTATCATGCACTACGAAGCCATGGTTCAGCTGTAAATATAAACAAATTGAAATAAAGCACATTCATACTTCTTTAAATCCAGTGCTATACTGAATCGCCAAGCGCTTTAATTCAAAGAGATTTTTGAAGTTAAGTTTAAACTCCCAGCTCCCCTTTTTTTTTTTTTTTTTTTTTTGCTACAGAAAAAAATCTCTATTTTGTACGGAGTATGCTGAAGTCGATGCCAAGGGAAAATCACGTGCGCTGTTCTGTATCCCAAAGTGCTCTACGGAGAACCTTGGCAAGATCTCCGACCTGTCTGTACAAATTCAATCTATGATCATGTTCTCTCGCTCGGTCTCCTCGTGGAGCCGGTTTCTATTTCCTGCAATGGGCTCTAGGCCGCCTGTATGTAGCAATTCGAAATATTTCGAACTTGAAAGGAGATACTTTTCTCGCACTGTTATTTCAAGACAGAATTCTACTACTGCGCCTTTTAAGACAGCTCAGTCACAGAAACGGAATGCATCTACAATGTACTGCTGAATCTCTTCTTTGCTTGAACTCCTCTAACAGCGCATTAAAGGTATTATACCGCAAGTATTATCCTTGGAACTGTTGCTCTTGCTTATGGATCTGTTCCTCTCTACAAAATGGTTTGTACTAGCACCTACCATATACATTTATCTTGTTAAATGTAAAAGCTAACCAAGCGTTCTTGTAGATCTGTCAACAAACTGGCTGGAATGGTCAACCTGTCCTTACTCACCGTGGAGGAGACAATGATACTTCATCTCGTGTGACACCAGTGACAGATTCACGTCGGCTTCGAATTACATTCAACGGATCGGTTTCAGATGTCTTGCCGTGGAAATTCACACCACAACAACGAGAAGTACGGGTTCTTCCAGGTGAAACTGCACTTGCATTTTACACTGCTACAAACAAAGGTCCGACAGATATTATTGGAGTTGCAACATACAGTGTCACGCCAGGCCAAGTCGCTCCTTATTTCAGCAAAATACAATGCTTCTGCTTTGAAGAGCAGAAGTTAAATGCTGGCGAATCTGTTGATATGCCTGTTTTCTTTTTCATTGACCCTGATTTTGCTAAAGATCCAGCAATGAGGGGCATTGATACTATTACACTTTCATATACATTTTTTAGTAGGACACTCAACCTATGGAACACAACTCTTAATAGTATGCTAATAGAAGAACAGAAGCACGATATGATGACAATGGCGTCCTCAAACCAATAGCATCAAATTAATAGCATAGTTGGTGGTTCACTTGCTATGAAGCAAGGCGTCATATGTTGAGTGCTATGCATTATTTGCACCATGAAGACTCAACTATCTCTAATGTTGTGATGCCCTGGAGAATAGTGATTATGCAAGAAGTGGTTGCAAACATTCTCTTAAATCTGGAGGGCGAATGCCTGAAAAGTTTAATACTCCAGTGCTTCATCTCATTTCCCTACTGAAAATTCGCCTTCAATGGGGAAGCTAAGATCTCTCCTCCAAAACCATTGCCATTGATTGTACATATATACCATCTCAGTAAGGGATGTCTGTATCATACCAATTTATAGATGCATATATATACACTAACCGGGTTAAAAGAAGCTTCCATCCTTCTATCGTCTTGAAAAGTGAAGTTATCTTGAATCTATACTTTTCGGTCTTTGCAACTCTTTCTTCGTAGATATCACAGGAATAGTTTATTTTATGTTCGGTAAACTGCAAAATTCCAAATTCTAATAGGTTAATATCATCTCATGCTAGTTATATGTAGAGCAGGAAATTTGACTAGAATTTAATACATTCTCATTTAGTACGTTCAATTCACATTCAATCCGACTTAAATTTGCACGCATTTTGAACATGTGTTATCATTGGCCCATGTTAAGGTGTAGTCAGCAATGTGCACGGTCTATCAATTAAGCCCGCGCATCACTCCGTGACGCGTCTGCACTTAATCTAGACGGTTTTCGAGGGTGTATTATCGAGTCGATAGCTCACGACTTTCACGCCATTGAACAATCCACGGAAATTTTTCGAAAGATTTAAAAATGGCTCTGCTAGTTGATAAGCTGCGGCCACGCTCCCTAGATACCCTTTCGTACCACCATGAATTATCTGCGCGCTTGAAGTCACTGGTTAGTAAAACTTGTACAGTTGAACCTAAGAGGAATGATTGTTGTTTCTAATGATTTACAAAATATTAGGCCCAAAGCGGAGATTTCCCTCACCTACTTGTCTATGGGCCATCGGGTGCTGGCAAGAAGACGCGAGTAATCGCGACGCTGAAGGAATTGTATGGTTCCGGAGTTGAGAAAATCAAGATCGATGCTAGGATCTTTCAAACAACGAGCAATCGGAAGCTTGAATTCAATATTGTTTCCTCCATCTATCACCTCGAGATAACCCCGTCCGACGTCGGTAATTATGATCGCGTTGTTGTTCAAGAACTACTTAAAGAGATCGCTCAGACCCAACAAGTTGATCTCTCGGCAAAACAAAGATTCAAAGTCGTCGTCATAAATGAGGCAGATCATTTAACTCGTGATGCACAAGCAGCTCTGAGGCGTACTATGGAGAAATACAGTCCCAACTTGCGGTTGATTCTCTTGGCGAATAGTACTTCCAATATTATTGCTCCCATCCGCTCTCGAACTCTACTGGTTAGGGTTGCAGCACCGACAGAAGAACAAATATGCTCGGTATTAAGTAATGCTGGGAAGAAAGAAGGCTGGACTGAAGCAAGTGGACTGAATAAGAGAATAGCGAAGGAGAGCGGCCGGAATCTTCGGCGAGCACTACTCATGTTTGAATCTGTCTATGCTCAAAGGTGAGTTTTAGCTTCTGTAAGGACTCCAGGAGCTAATATTTTTTGGTCAAAATACAGTGAGAAAGTATCAGATAACACCCCGGTTCCTCCACCAGATTGGGAAGCCCTTATCTCTCTGATCGCAGAAGAGATCCTGGCTGAGCGATCACCTGCTCGGCTACTACAAGTCCGCTCACGGTTGTATGATCTTTTAACTCATTGCATACCACCTACTACCATTATCAAGGTCTGATTGCATCTAAGAATCAATCTTTCAAAAGACAAGAAAAATTCTAACTACCTTCCAGACTCTCACATTCAAGCTCATTGCTAAGGTTGACGACGCATTGAAACCTGATGTCATTAGATGGTCAGCCTTTTATGAGCATAGAATCAAGCAAGGCAGTGTAAGCTACTTCCTATGCAGCTAGCATCTATGCAGATTCTGACACGTGGTACAGAAAGTTATCTTCCACCTTGAGGCGTTTGTTGCCAAGTTTATGCGGATTTATGAGAGGTGTGCCTTCCTTCCCTCGCGAATTTTGTAGTCATCATCATCTAACACAACCTTCAGCTATTTGATGGGCATGGACTTCTGATTTTAGAATTAATTATGGACGATTGACGAGAATTGTACAATATAAGTAGTCTTTGGATTTCCTAGTGCTCAGCATTCTTACAGCGAAGTAGACTTATAGCCCTTTCTTTGATATGTCGTTGCCACTTGAGTTAATAGTGGCTACTGTATATTTTAATTCGTAATAGCAATAGAGGATATAAATCCAGGCATCGGTAATTTCATATGATACTGGCAGAAAATATACGGCATCGTAAAAGGTGGGGAGCAAAACAAAAATTAACCTTTTTTTTTGCCCCAGTCATATTGACAGCCCTCTCTCTCATCTGCAACTCTTTTTAAGGTAACTAGGAATACGTCATCATCCATCTCATCTGTATATCTCTCCACTCTCCCAAAAGCACAAGCCCACATATAGTCAATTCTCGAAGTGAACCGAAATTACTCCTTTTTAGGCATTTGATTCTTAGTATCTTTTCTGATTGGATGCGTTATGTCCGATTCCAAACTTATGGACACGGAGCGTGGGGGTGAAAACACCCAGTATGTCTTGGTTTTTCGCTAGCTCTACAGCCTTTCGATTGACTTTGCAATCTTCGAACAAAGGTATGAATCTATCCGGATTTTTACGGAGACCCCCGCGAAACAGACTGGACAATTGGGAGGTATATCACCCACTTAGAGGTCCACCAATGTTCGAGTATGAATATCCAGGAACTGAATATCTTAGGTGGACTTGCTCACACGAAGAGTGAAACAATGAATATTTCATCACCAACCGAAGGGGCTGACAACGAGGATGAAGATGAAGACGCCGAAATGGCAAGGAAAATAGCAGCAGAATCCACTGGTAATCTTTCAGGATTCGAAGGTACAGTCGATCATATCTTCCTTCTGTAACTCCGTGGATGGGAGAAAACAAAATAAGCGGTGAGAGAAAACCAAAGAGAGCCAAAGGCTGAAAATACTATACACAAGACCCAGATCCCGAAACTCAACGAGACATTGAAACAATGAAGTGTAGGAGACAGCAAGGATATGGCCCTGGTTCTGGGGTTGGGGCATAAAGGTATAAAAATTACACGACAAGAATAAGGAAGGTGCGATTGATTTATTGGGACGCGGATGAGCTCGAAGAATTTGACATAAGGGGCGTATCCAGATTATCCGTACCCAATGCTGGGCTTCTGCGCGGTCGTTTGAGGCTTTCCAAAGTCACACCATTGCCAAGTTTCGTCAGGCCAACAACAGGCGGGTCACCCTTTTTCACAAATTCCCAGAGGCCTTGATTCAAGTTGTAAAATTAGCACACACTACAGGTGTAGTTCTACAATAAAAAAGGAAAAATCAACATACCAGGCAATTTATGACCAGCTAATCGAAACGCTTCCCTCGCGACCTTTTCATGCAGTTTACCCTTCAATTCAAATACAATCCTGCTCACTGGAACCTTTGCCGTCCAGTAATCGAACTTGCCTTTACCCTTACCCATACGTTGTTCATTACCCTTGGTGTAGACACCAAGGTTGGCACTCACACGCTTATAAAGAGTGTAATCCATGCCCCTTAAACGTCTCTTGATTGTTTCCTCTGCAATTTTGAGCGATGAGGCCGGCAGTCGGCGGTCGTGATCTTTCATACGTAGACCGTAGTCGCCCCAAACGACAGTTGTACCTCGAGAAGATCCACCAGTTGCGACATGTGGACGCCCTTTGGGTGACTTCGACTTTTCCATAAACTTCGGTGTGAGCCAGTCAAGGGCTGGCGACGTTGTAGAAAAGCATCGTGATAGCGGCTGAACCTTCGATGTTAATAAACCTAGGATACAGCATCAAAGTCAGCTTGCAGTATTTGGGGGGGTTTGGGAAAAAATTTCTATAGGAAGATGGAGCATACAACTTGGCCTAAGTAAGGGTAACTCAGGCCCTGAGAATATTTTAATCTGCGGTCTCATTGTAATATTCGATACGACAGCCTGCCTGCCCACACTGACTGAACAATGTTGAACAAAGCACAGCCTTTCTGGTTATCGGCATATCTGCAAACCCAATTTCTCCATCGGAAAGAAAGCGTTGTGCACGTGCCAATAACTAGTTAACTAAGTTAGCCGTGTGTCTTATGTAATCCAATTAAATCACGTCCCCCGTGTCGGCGCGTCGTGTCCTCGAAGCTGGAGAAATAATGTATGTATTTGTCAAGTGAAATTGTAATTGCACCTGGCGTACTTGATTCTTCAGTTTCAAATATAAGGTTGTATTCAAACGAGTACCCTAAGATATGATTTTGTCCGTATAAATCGTTATGCCTACTGATATTAGGAATTTCTTTGGTGGAAAGTCCAGTCAAGGCTCCAATACACCACTTGGGAAGCCTACCGCAAAAAAAGAGGTACGATGCTAGTTCACTCTGGCCCTGCTTTATTGATTATGCTATTTTCTGCGTCACCTTTCTAATGCTTATCATCAGGATGTTACTACGAAGAAAAGGCGTAAGAGCTTCACATTCACTCACCTCGATGCGTTTTATTGACAACCCTCTTAGGTGGAAGAAGAGTCGTGGATGATAGTGAGGATGAAGATGATTCTGTGGTGAAGGCTCCAACCCCCAAGCCTAAAGTGCCAAATACGCAGTATGTGTTGCACCCCAAGTCACGGATATCAATGCTTTCTGACTCTTTTGAAGAAAAACAGAGGTTTCTCAGGGCAAACCAACAACCACTTCGGATTACTTCGCCTCAAACAAAAAGAGAGGGCGACCTTCTAAAAGTAGCTCCGCCTCTCCAATTAAAGAATCCTATCAACCCGACGACGATCCCACCGATCGTGGCAAGGTAGAGAAGCCACCAGCGATTAGGAAGCGTAACGCGGACGAGGAACTCTCAAAGCGAAATTCGCATAAGGCTACGAGAACCTCTGCAACCAAAATTGACGATGATGAGCTTGGTGGTGATGACATCCATTCTGCAGAGTTAGGAAAGCTAGGGAAAGATGATGACTATGTTGAAGACGAGCACTCTGAAGATGAAAGTGACTTTGAAGAACTTGCGGTAAGGCCTGCTCGAGCGGCTTCGAATAAGCTGGCTCGTAAAAAACAGGCTTTTGTTGCCGAATCAGATGATGGCATGATTATGGAAGATGTCAAACCATCCACGAAGACAACGGCATCATCTGTTCCGCGGTCAGGACGGAAACGGAAATCCGAAGCTCTAAACAAGGATGAAGACGAGGTTCACAGTCGTACTAGGAAGGCCACTGTTCCTCCAAAAGCAGCCTCGTCAACCCCTCCTGTCAAGAAACAAAGAGGAGCTCCTAAGGATGATCAACCTGAGAGCAAGGAAATTCAAGATATCTTCGATAGCATCCCAACAGTCAAGCCTCCGTCTCCTCCCCCGCCATCAGGAGAAAAGCAGAAGTTTAATTTCGCCGCTCAAGCGCAGCGATCTCGAGACCCCATACGGTCTGGAAGTATTGAGATGCCTGTTGGTGCAGAAAATTGCCTTGCAGGTCTATCTTTCGTTTTCACCGGTATTCTTAACAACTTAGGCCGTGAAGAGGGACACTCATTGGTGAAAAAGTATGGCGGCAAAGTCACCACGGCTCCTAGTTCCAAAACAAGCTATGTTGTCTTGGGAGACGATGCTGGGCCCAAGAAACTCAGTACAATAAAACAACATAATCTAAAGACAATTAACGAAGAGGGTTTATTCGAGCTAATCCGGCGGCTCCCAGCCAACGGCGGGGATGGCAAGGCGGCCGAGAAGTATGAGGCAAAAAGGAAGATAGAAGAAGAAAAAATCCGTGCAATGGCTGCTGAGATGGACCAAGAAGACAAACGCAAGCTAAAAGTGACAGCCTCCAACATGGGGGCAGGGCTTCAGTCGGCAACGGGCTCACAAGGCGCCGCCACTGATGATAGGCTCTGGACTACGAAATATGCACCAACATCGATGAATATGATTTGCGGCAACAAGGGTGCCGTAGAGAAGCTTCAGTTTTGGCTTCGGAATTGGCGGAAGAATGCCAAATCGAACTTTTCGAAACCTGGCAAGGATGGATCTGGAACATACCGCTCTGTCATGATACATGGACCACCTGGGATTGGAAAAACGACTGCAGCTCACCTAGTGGCCAAACTTGAAGGGTTCGATATCGTCGAGACCAATGCCAGTGATACAAGAAGTAAAAAACTTGTGGAAACAGGACTTCTTGGTGTTCTGGATACAACCTCTCTCCAAGGTTATTTCTCTGGTGCTGATCGTAAGGTGGAAAGCACAAAAAAGAACCTGGTGCTGATCATGGATGAAGTTGATGGAATGTCAGCTGGAGACCGGGGTGGTGTGGGAGCATTGGCCTCCATCGCTAAAAAGACCCAAATCCCCCTTATCCTCATATGCAATGAGCGAAGGCTTCCGAAAATGAAACCCTTCGATCATATTACTTATGAGCTCCCTTTCAGACGACCAACAGCAGAACAGATCAGAGCTAGACTTTCAACTATATGTTTTCGAGAGGGCTTAAAAATCCCGCCACCCGTTCTTGATGGTCTTATTGAGGGAACAAATGCCGATATTCGCCAAGTCATCAATATGCTCTCGACAGTAAAGCTAGACCAGAAGCACTTGGACTATGAGAAAGGCCGCGAAATGTCCAAAGCATGGGAGAAACATGTTGTACTAAAGCCCTGGGATATCGTTGGAAAGATTCTGAATGCGCAAATGTTTTCACCAAGCTCGAAAGCCACGCTGAACGACAAGATTGAGTTATATTTCAATGATCATGAATTTAGTTACTTGATGCTCCAGGAGAATTATTTGAGAACAAGGCCAACGCTAGCCGGTGGCTATCAAGGCAAAGAACAAAAGCTAAAGTTGCTTGAGCTCGCGGACAATGCAGCATCAAGTATTAGTGATGGTGACCTAGTCGATAAGATGATTCACGGTTCACAGCAGCAATGGAGTTTGATGCCAACACATGCCGTTTTTAGTTTCGTCCGGCCTGCAAGCTTCAATTACGGCAATATGATGGAACGTCCCGGTTTCACTAGTTGGCTAGGGCAAAATAGCAAGCAAGGTAGGTACTCCCTGTGGTTTATATTTCTCCCACTAACATGAGCCTCCAGGGAAACTCTGGCGATACGTCAAAGAAATTCAGGGTCATATGCGCCTTCGCGCTTCCGGGGACCGTAACGAAATTAGGCAGCAGTACATACCTACCATCTGGGACAAACTGGTTCGCCGTCTAATGGTGGAAGGCAAAGAAGTTGTCGAGGATGTCATAGATTTAATGGATAGCTACTTCCTTACTCGAGATGACTGGGATGCCCTGGTCGAGCTCGGTCTTGGCCCCATGGATGAGTCAACCGTGAAGTTGGAAACCCAGACAAAAGCTACGTTTACGCGCCTCTACAACCAGCGTTCGCACCCACTTCCTTTCATCAAGTCCAGCAATGTTGTTGCCCCGAAGAAAATGGCGAAGGAAAGACCTGATATTGAAGATGCCATTGACGAGTCTGATGAAGAAGTACTGGAGGATGAGAGTAAGGAAGATGACGAAAGTGAAGAGCTCGACTTGAAAAAGGATAAGTATGTTCGTTTGCCTAAGAAAACAACCAAGGGCGGCGCGGGAAAAGGCAAAAAAGGGAAAAAGTCAACTAACGACGGCGTTATTGATGATGATAATAAAACAAAGAAGAGCAGAGGCCGAAAGCCCAAAGATAAGGCCACCTAAAAGATTAACAGTCTTAAGGCCTTTCTTACTTGGTTGTTTGGATGGAACAGCTGTGTTTGGTGGGTAGTGTATTGTAGCATGTGATCATAATACCGCAATTGTATAGGTACCACACACTTCTTCAGCCTCTTCTTTTTTTATATATTTTATTTTATTTTATTTTTATTTGCGCTAGCTCTCTTCTATAATAGCGGTTAGCCTGTTGAAGATCTACCTAGGTCTCTTAGTTCTTGTAATGTTACCAGTACCTAAACACGCGGAGTCGATCAAGGCGCATCTGGTCTTGGCTGATCTGCTGAGAGATTGCAAGTGGCTTCCCACCACCTCTCCAGCCTTTACAGCTAATATACTCCAACTCAACCCATCAGTTTGATAGCAGGCTTTCTCGCCTTTATTTTGTGTTTCATTTCCTTTGCTTCGCCAGGCTGGCCCTGTTCAAGGAGGCATCGCCCTTTTCCTGCTACCTTGCTACCGACCTTTGGTGTATTTGTCCACTTCTTCCGCCACATCTAGGTAATGCCCATTCGAACACCAGCAACACTGTTGCTCGCTAAAACGTAAATTAAGAAGCTTCTTCCTCCGTCATATTTTTATAGCCTCGAAATACCCCACTAGGGCTGTTTAAAACATGTCCCTGCTCCATAATGAAGAGTATGTTCAGCGATGCAGCCCTCAGTCAATATCTGTCTTTCACTTCCTTGTGATGTCCATATAATTTCAAGGAACTAAGTTCGTTACAGTTTCACGATCTGGCAGCTTCGCACATCATACCTTTCCACGATTAAAGATGGCATAGGCGACAGGCTTATTAATGTGAACAACTCCGTACTCAACACTCCCGGGTTCCGCGCGGCTGGCTGGTCTTCGGCTTCTACGAATCCCAACACACAAAGCGCAGCTTCACATATAAAGCGCACTTACTCTCCCCCTATTCCTACTACAACAGCTGTATTTTCTGAGTATTATCACCATGGTGCCACCAGAAATGGCAACGATTCGCAAGGACTTGGATTCGGAGATGGGGGTGAAGACGAGGAAGGGGGCATGGTCACTGGCAAAAGCAATACAGACATAACTGGACGTCGACATCAGGCCCGTAGCGGTAAAAGGATACACCGAAGGGAGCGCCAGCTGCAAGAGCATCAGAAACAGAGGGACGTAGACGAAGATGATAGTAGTGATTTGAGCGATGAAAGTGAAGATGATGGGGACAGTGCTCAAAGGTCAGTGTGAAATCAATACCCCCTCGCACAAACTACAAAGCCTTTCTATTCCCCCCTTCTTTTTTCTCACAGCTTGTAGGGCTTCCCGACAAATTAAATTCATCAAGATGCCAATACGAACTCGAGCTGGGTCGTCTCCGATACGTACGACGGATCGTCAAGAAGGTCCACAAGTTATGGTCACGTCCCCATCGCATCCAACTATCGGCACCCATTACCGCACCGGGTCCCTAGGTACTGCAGTCACGGTAGGCGAACGTCCGCGCCGGGATACAACGACAACAGCGAGCAGCGACTTGTCTTCTGATAACGAGATGGATCCTTCCGCCTTCAAGAGAAGGCAGATTCAGTTCTCTGGCCAAGACCAGGTTATAGAACTATCTAGAAAAGGGCAAAGGTGTGTTGGTAATAGGAATATCGAGGATCTAAATGAACAGGGAGAGGATTCAGGCGCCGAGTCCGTAGACTCTGTATTGTCGTCAGAGTTTGATGCTACAGCTGGTTCTGGATCTCTTCTGGAAAATGTCGGCATAACTGGCAGTTTGGATTCATCATCACCGATTGCTTTGATGCACAAGTTACAAAATGGGGCTGGATCTCAAACGGCATCCCCTAGAAAGCCGAAACCCCCTGCTCCTGAGCTGCAAGACCTACCTCCGCCCCGTCCCATCAGCACTGTGCAACCTATAAGTTTGCTCTCTAAAGCGCTCAATGCACGTAAACGAGCGCCAACTAATCCAGTTGAAAAATTCGCGGTCCTCTCGGGCAAAGGGCTAAACGACGCGCTAAATATTAAACTATATGTGCCATGTTCTTCTGATCCTGAACAGCCACTTGATTTACCCATTGCTCGAGAATCAAAATTATCAGAGCAACCTGCACCAGTTATCGTTGCTGAAGCTATCGGTTTAGCTCTTTGGAGATACTCAGAAGAAGGCTGTGAGCCGCCCATTGAACGCAGCAAATTAAATGTGAATAGATGGACACTCCGGATGGTAGAGGATGGCGAAGTGGAATACGATTTTCCCGCGCTGGGACGAACATCCCCCATTGCCGATTTCACGTCAAACAATAACCGGGCAGCTGGTGCTAGAGGCCGGTCGCGAGGGAAGCAATATGACGAATTTGCCCTCGTGGAAGCTTCCCAAGCTGAATTTGAAGAGAACGAGCGCACATTCCCAACATCCAGTCATTCCATTCCCTCCGAAGACACAAGCGATGCATATACGATGGTCAGTACCTCCACAACCCAGCTGGCTTCGCAAAATAAAACTCCTCGTCCAAATCCGATCTTGGGGCAGCCTTTCTCCTCGGCACTAAATGACAATACCCTCACGCCGGCCGATCGGCCGGCGGTTCCTATTTCTCATGCTACTCCTCGTATGGGCGTGTCCAAAACCCTCAAGATAAGATTTATCAACCCAGAAGGCTCCGCGCAGACGACAACCCTAAATACGTCTACCGATAGCTACATTGCGGAGATCCTCGACTCCGTCTGTAAACGATGGGGATTAGATAAAGGCAACTATCTTCTCAAAGTGATGGGTTCGAACACTATTGCACCGTTAGACCGCACTGTTGAGGCTCTGGGCAACATCACTGATCTAGATCTCGTGCGGCGGCGATTTGGCCCCCAGTCTCTAACGGGTTCTCCGGGAAGCTCATCCCCCAACGCTCCTCTGCTAGTTGACAATATTAATGCGGCTAGCAAAAAGGGGAAGAAGAGCGGGCAGCGCATGCTCCACCCACTCACACAGCAACAAGATCTCACCGGAGGGTACTATCGGCGGTATCTTGTATACCGCAAACAATCCATGTCTTTTACGGCGTCGAACCAGCGGATATTAACCTTTGACAATGACTACATGCACATCATGCCGGGAGATACGGGCAAGACCGCATCGGACACTAAAACACGGTCGATTAGCTTCAATGACGTGGTCGGATGCAAGGTCAGTCGGCGGCATCCGAAGAATTTCCGTGTGGTTGTACTTCGCGGCAACGATGCAAATGAGCAAAAGCGGTATGATTTTGAGGGACGCAATGCACTCGAAGCTGTCGAGATTGTGGATGAAATTAAGAAAAATATGGCCCATTATCGGATTTAGCGCTTGCGCCTTTACACCCTTTGGGCTTTTCGTTGTGTCCTTCTCTCTCCCCTTCCTTTTTTTTTTGGGGGGGGGGGGGGGGGGAGAGGGGGATATACCATACTCCGCCGCTTGGTAGTTTGGGGAGTCCGATTTTTGGAGGTCGGAGTTATTCGACGTGGAATGGAGTGTCGGTGGTTGTTGTGTACTTGTGCTAGACAAGCTCTTTTTCGAACCATGAAGCTATGCAGTATGAAATGAGCATTGACAACTACTAATTATATCCTGGTTTTTCGATATTGGCCTTAAGACTTGTTCGATATATATAAGCTAAGAGAGCCAGTTTCTCAATTTTTTTTCAGTTAGTTTACCCCCTATTAGGGTTGATGTCACTGAATGCATGGGCGAAGCTTTGCATTTTTGAATGGAACCCAACGAAGGAGGTCCAATCGCCTAAGCGGGGCGTTCCACTGATCCACCATCGAACGATGATGACGATGATGATAATGATGATGAGGTCACCACACAGTTATTTGGCTGATGCTCATCCGACATATCCATGCCCCAACTTATGCAGTCATAAAAAACGATGGAGTTGGATCAGAGCCACGGTTCTGCACGAACCCCGTCTGAGTCCAAAAATTGTATGACTTCATTAAAACAACATTCCCATCGTTACCCTCAAAAAAACGGAGAAGGTAGGCGTAAAGATAACCTAACTCGAATGGGGTGAAGCTGTTTAAAACAAGAGTGATCTGCATGGCCATTGTATTTGTATCCGCTGTGGTGCGAGACGGAAGAGGTTAATTGACCCTGGACATCCTTATGAGTTCGTCTACTGTGATAATAATGTTAAGAGGCAGTACTCCAATAGTCACTGCAGAATGGAATGACCACCACAGTGGAGAGTAAGAGACGAAATAAATATGATCCTCTGTATTTATACTTCGTAAGGGACTGGGGTTTCATACTGACCAAATCCAACCCCGCTCCTCTTGGCCTCGTTTCCACCCCCTCAAGTCCCAAGTCGGTGGCTCTCTTTCCCTAACCATAATAATAATTAATCAATTATAACCTTTTCCCTTCTCCCTCTGTGTCTTGGCTGACTATAGTTACAGTGATTAAAAGAATAAATTTCAGGCTCAACCCAGAGAAGTTAACAAAAAAGAACATATTAAGTCGCACTACTACTTCCTTATTCTTTGTTTTTGAAGAACTCGTGCCCAATTGAGAAAGCTACTTGTTTCCTTGACCATTTGACCGCCCTTTTTTTCTTGGTTCTCTTCACTTCCTTCGCCCTCTTTCTTTCTCTCTCGGAGCGTCCGCTGTATCCACCCCGAACGGTCGAAGTCAGGGTCACCAAAAAAAAAAGGCGCGCATCTTCACCACTGATTTCTCCCCCACTTCTGGTAGTTGAAAGAGGGGTTGCACTTCTCTCATTTTTGCGAATGTGCACGAGTTGTGTGTCAACCTAACTACACTCATTATTCTCAATGCCTAGCTTAGGAGGTCTCTTGAAAAAGAGGAGGACAAAAGATTCCCAGACCCTCTCTAAAGAACTTGAAGCCGGTTCGTCACCCACTACGGACCAGACGCAGACGTCACCAATCGCTGCCGACCACCACCAGTCCGTCACCACCAATATTGGGGCCTCGACAGCTCCCTACTCTGCGCAGTCTCACAACTCGGCTACCGATCACCATAACCACTCTTCAGAGACAAATAAAGTCTCTGAAGGCCAAGTAGCCTCCATGCAATCCGCTGTGTCGCAATCCTCGCCTGCCCATTCCGTTCCCGGCAATCAGCAGCCGTCACACCAGCCCAATGCCGCGAGTATCCAGAACATAATACATTCTTCCCATCATGACACGTCGCACACGGGCTCCAGAGGCCATACTAGCCCTCAGCAGACTTCCCGAGTTGAGACTCGCACCACCAAGGGAAAGTATTCCCTGGATGACTTTTCACTTCAGCGCACTCTAGGTACAGGTAGCTTCGGTCGCGTCCACTTGGTGCAATCAAAACATAACCATCGATTCTATGCGATCAAGGTCCTAAAAAAGGCGCAAGTGGTCAAGATGAAACAAATTGAGCATACGAATGATGAACGACGCATGCTTAACCGGGTCAGGCATCCGTTCTTAGTAACGTTGTGGGGTACATGGCAAGATTCGCGAAATCTCTACATGGTAATGGATTTCGTTGAAGGGGGGGAGCTTTTCAGTTTACTACGCAAGTCGCAGGTGGGGTCTTACCTTGACATTTAATTTCGTACATAAAAGCTGATGTGGATCAATCTCTTATAGCGGTTCCCTAACCCAGTTGCCAAGTTCTATGCAGCTGAAGTCACCCTCGCCCTAGAATACTTGCATTTGCAGAATATTATCTATCGGGATCTGAAACCGGAGAACCTGCTCTTGGACAGACATGGGCACCTAAAGATCACCGATTTTGGCTTTGCAAAGGAGGTTCCAGACATCACATGGACACTTTGTGGAACGCCGGATTATCTCGCTCCAGAGGTTGTTTCCTCCAAGGGCTATAACAAATCCGTGGACTGGTAAGTTTAGGTCCCTAGCGCAACGTGTCGCTCATTGCAATCGGCTAACAGCACGAAGGTGGTCACTTGGGATCTTGATTTTTGAAATGCTTTGTGGGTTCACACCGTTTTGGGATAGTGGCTCACCTGTTAAAATCTACGAAAACATTCTTAAGGGTAGAATAAAGTACCCTCCTTATCTTCATCCCGATGCTGTTGATCTACTTTCGCAACTCATCACGGCAGATCTCACCAAGCGACTGGGAAACCTGCATGGTGGTTCCCAGGATGTCAAGAATCATCCGTGGTTCGCCGAGGTCACCTGGGATCGTCTTGCAAGAAAAGACATTGATGCGCCCTATGTACCTCCTATTCGAGGAGGACAAGGCGATGCCAGCCAGTATGATCGCTATCCGGAAGAGACGGAAGCATACGGTCAGGAAGGTGAAGACATGTAAGTGCCTTTTGCATATTCGTCATTAGTTCCCTCTCGAGCCCTTCTGCTAACGTTATCGCGACTACTTTATTATAGCCACGGCCATTTGTTTCCGGACTTCTAGTTGCTTAATATATGAATAATGATGAAATGACAGTTTCACCATACAAATGGGCCTGTTTAGGTGTGTCAACTTTTCAAAGGCTGCCACAGGAATATATGTTACCTTGCAGATCCTGCCAGCAGCGTATGTGGTAGCAACCATGAGATTTAATTATGTTCATCCGTTTCTACACTTCTTGTTTTGTCGGTTTGTCTCCTTTCTAATGATCGCTGGCCGACTTGATTATTGGCTATCTCTGTTGGGAAGGGTCATTGGATTATCGTTTATATATCTGGCATGACTTCTCTGCGCCCTCTCTCGCTCTGTTTTATGTCCTTCTATTTTGATGGCCTTCGGGATCCGGCTGTCTTATCTATATCTTTGGTCGCTTGGACACAGTCAATGAAGAGAAACCCTCTGAGGCTGTCTATCCCATAATCTTGCTTCCAAATTGTTTAGAGCCCTGGAAGCTTTCGGTCCGGCTGTTGAATGGCCGGTAGGCCGCGCGACGTACATCCGTTTCTTTTCTGCCATGTTCTTCATAGTTGTTGCAGATATTGCTTTTCTCGACGTCTTTCTTTCTTTCCTCTTTTTTCTCTTTTTATTTTTGAACATCTGTATAATGTACATACATATTTTCCAATATCTGGACCGCAATAATAAAAGTAGGCCTTGGATACATTGAGACCTCAGACTTCAGCAAGTACTTTGAAGTACATGTAAGAAGCCTGAACTGCTAGCTGCCATGCACCCAACAGATACCTTTTATTTTCCGCCTCCGCTATAATTGAACCAATATACAGAATACCTGCCTGTTTCGTACATGTATCATTAAAAGGCGAGTCTTCGGGGATCTGAAATGGGAAATGGAATATTGAAGGCCACTGTATGACTTCAATGAAGCCAGATGGCCACAATATTGAGACCAGAAAAACACCATGCTTCAACTGCAATCTGTTATAACATCTGCAAGGGTATCCAGACCATCTAGCCAACAATCTACAGGCTGCCGTCAGTCGGCGAAGTGGCTAACGAGTTCATTGCAACAGTGTCTTGGCCACCCATCTTCTTGCTCTCCTGAGCAACACGGGCGATGTATGTGCGGCTGGCAACATTCCACAAATTGATATACTTTTCCATGCAGTTGGAGAGGCAGGTTTGTTCTTGGGAAGAAACGGAGGAGCCTGGCGCGGGGATGCAGCTGTCGAAACAGTGCTCATTGACTTTCTGCAGAGTTGTCAGTTAAATCTGTCCTACACAAGGGGTAAAACAAACATACAGCGATCAGATTCCGAGCATTGTTCATAGCGGCCTCTTGCTGCAGTTGTTTAATAATAGCGGTCTTAACTTCTTGAGTCTCTGAGGACGCATTGTTGGAGCTAGAACCGAACAGGGCCATTTTGTTTTAATTAGGTTAAATCTTCTGTGTGGTGGGATGTAGTAGGAGTTGTGAGGAGGGTTTCCTGGAAAAGGCGTTTCAGTGCTCTCAGTATTGCTCGATAATCGTTGGTAAATTGAGAAGAATGAGTTCCGACAGGTTCTTCGAGGTGTGGCTGGTGACCGCCTCCGCAGCTTGTCTGCGCCACACTTACGATGTGGACACTTGGAGTTCCGCGGCGGTGTTTACCACTGAAGTGTACTGGGGATAGTCCTATCTGTCCACTACTGTGATTCTTCAATTCTTGTGGGCTTCCTGCCACGACCTCTTAATTCGTTTCTCCTTTTCCGCAACCTTTCATTCCTTCATTTTCTTGTTCTCCTTGCGATATATTCTCAAGTCACCGCTCAATTTCAGAATCCTCTAGAGACTCTTTGATGTCCTGGTGACACTTTGCTAGCTGCAGTCGATCTTTCACCTCTTAAGTCCTACCGAGTTTCATAATCACTATCTCCACAATTTGTTCCATTGTCTCCCGCATTATCTGATATCATCTCGGAATGTTGCTCCCTCGCCTTTCTACTCTCTTAGGCATTACGAGCCTGGCAACTCTTCCAGTCGCTAACGCTTACGATGGCGATGACAACATCAAGAGCATCCCAGTACGCATACCCCTCTAACGTATCTCTAAGTCAGCTTACTGACTAATGGCTCTCTCCCCATAGCTTCGAACTCACAGTCTTGCTCCAGTGGGTCCAACCTTCTATCATTCATACCTGGCTCTCAGCAGCTCGCCAGGTCAGTTCCACCATTTGGCACAACTCCATTGACATTGTAACAGCCGTATCTGGATTCGGACTTCCAAAGCCGCTGGTTCGATTTTGGTGGTGATACTATAATCCGGGCTGACAAGTACCTGCTCCTTCCATGATTGCGTCACAAGAGGATTGTGTGGGACTGACAAAGTGCAAGATATATTCGTCTTACATCGGATCGACCATCGCAGAAAGGATGGATCTTCTCTCGTGTTCCGCTTACAGCCACCAACTGGGAGGTTTGTGTCCATGGGTACAATCGCAGACGCTCTGCTCTGACTCAGCTGTATAGGTCGAGGTCGAGTTCAAGATTCATGGAGATGGCAATTTGCATGGTGATGGGTTCGCCATGTGGTTGACCAAGCAACGTGCGACGGAAGGTCCAGTCTTTGGATCGGCCGATCGCTTCGATGGTTTGGGTATCTTCTTCGACACATACAAGAATAACCGCCCTGGGACCTCTTTTCCCTATGTCATGGCCATGATGGGCGATGGACAGACCACGTATGACCAGGCCCATGATGGCAAGGCAAACGAACTAGCCGGATGCTCTGTAAGTGCCTGGTGACGCTTTGGATTGATGGTAGATGGCCACTTATCAGGTGATAATAGGCTCGCGGCCTGCGGGGTGCCACAATTCCTACCAAAGCACGTCTGACCTACTTCCAAGACAAATCGCTGTCACTTGACTTGCAATATAAGTCGGAGGACACCTGGAATAACTGCTTCACTCTGACGGCTCCGGATGCTAATATCGCCATCCCATCCGTCGCTTACCTGGGTTTCTCTGCTGAAACCGGTGAGCTGAGCGATAACCATGATATTATTTCAGTTAAGTCTAGCAACCTTTACAGTATTGGAGGCAGCAAGAGCACCAGTTCCAACCGTGCAAGCAGCCCCAAGAATGACAGGGCACGTGTGAGGACAAACTCTCAGAAGCAAAACAGAAGTTGGGGATGGGTCTTGTTCAAGATTGTTTTGTTTTTCGGCGCCGTTGCTGGCTGTTACGTGGGGTATACTGTATACCGAACTAGGCAGAGATATTCGAGATTCTAGGCAGAGAGGGGTAGTATTGGGGTTTCAGAAACCAAGAAAGGACCCAAAAAAAAGAAGAAAAGTGATGGGGAAAGAGAACAAATAGCTTATTTTGTATTTGCGCCTTTGCATAGCCATGTCATGTGTATCTGTTTTCATTGTTGGAACGAATACAATTTTTTCACGATTCTATTCTGGTACCACAAGTCGAATTTTAACTGATGGGTCATATCAAACTCGGGGATAACCCCATATCACTTAATGGGAGCCCTTTATGGGAAACGACTCTCCTACCTTGGTATTTAGTTCAGGCCTGGTTTGATGGACGATTGGACGGGTTTATAAATATTGATACGTGATAAGCAAATTCTTCCAAGGAATCTGTACCAAGTTATTCACCGCAAAAGGGAAGAAAGGAAGAAAGGAAATATGTGTATACGTGGGACATTCAGGCTTACTCCAGTGAAAAGGGATTGTTTTTTATTCAAAGGGTACCCATAGTACGGGGTTCAATAGTCCTGAGAATGATCTTCAAATAAACCTCCTACTAATAACATCTATGAAGTTAAGAACAGCCATAGCATCTGAAGAGGGGATGTGGTTTAGTGGTATAACGTTCGCTTAGCATGCGAAAGGTCCGGGGTTCGATTCCCCGCCTCTCCATCTCTCTTCGAATATACTATTTTTAATATTTGTCTCTCTCTGTCTTTTGATCTTTTTTTGAACGAGGGAAACCGGTTGTTTAATAATAAAGGGATCCTGTTGTTATGTATGATCTACCATGAAAGACATCAAAAGGTAGTAAGGGGTATCATGTTGCTGCAATGAACGCCACTAGAATACACAACAGTCCAAAATGTATCATGGGAATAGCGAAATATATAAGTCGAAAATGGGAATTCGTCGTCAGCCGCAAGTAATTCAGGAATGTTTCGGTTTCAATTCATTCCACATTGTGTCGATGATTTGGAAAACCTCCGTCACACTGCGCATCACGACCTCGTCGATCCCCAGAGCACCATAGCGATGCTGGATCTTGTCCGGATGCCATCGAACTCGCTCTGACTTAAGCGTAGCAAGGAGATCAGGCAAAGTGATCTCCTTGTCTGTATCTGTGTTCGAGTCGGCAGATGAAAATGGAGTATGACGCATAAAATCCTCGACATTACTGCGCGACACATCCTTTCTCTTCCCTGTCTCAACAGGCCAGAATAAAAGATTGCGCAACCGACTCCGATGATTATCACTTTCATCTCGACTGGAGCTCACCGCAGCGACCGCCTTATCGACTTCATCCCATGATCGCAAGTACGCCTCCCAGATTGACTTCCAGGCCTTCAGTCGTCGCCGCTCTTGCCCTCTTCGTAGACTTTCCTCCATAGCACGCTCAAACTGCATTTTCTCCCGCGATTCTTGCCCCCACCTCTCTTCTCGCTTCTTCTGGCGAATCCGTTCCTTTCGTAGCCGTTCTTGCTCCTCTAGCATGCCCTCCCGTGTGCGCTCCCACATTCGTCTCCTCACATACGACGCATACTCTTCATCAGACATCTGTTCCAACTCACCATTGGGCCCCTTGGGCACAGAGGGGACCGCGAAGTTGTGGATCGGCTGTCCATAAACAGACTCCCAGTATGCAGCGCCTTCATCATCTCCCAGGGCATCAAAAAGCGATTCTCTAAAGGCAGTATCCGCCGAGAGCGAGTGTGGCTGGTCGACTGAGGTGGGTGATGGCGAGCGCGCGTGCCTGTGTCTGTGTCGTTTCGATGAGTGGTGATGACGATGTCTGTGGCCATAGGTATCATGGTCGCGATCGTAAGGCTTGATTCTCCTGGACCCTGATCTAGATGTGGACTTGGAAGATTTGAAGCGGAATTTCCCCTTTCCTGAGCGGGAATATTCACCGGGCTGGTCTTGTGTGTTGGTATTCTCGGCGGGGGGATTCGCCTCTGTAGACTTGATTGTGGCCATGGTCAAAATTGCAGAGATCAAGATAGAGGAATCATAGTTAAGTTGATGTGTCTAGGCCTGAGTGAGTCCGTCTAGTTGGTGTTCTATGAAGGATGAAATATGGCAGATTGAAGTGAAAGACAATCTTAGTAATCATTTGTTATCTTATCTGATAGTCCTGTATTTCTGAATGATGTCATTAGATATTCTGATCTCCCTAGCTTCTCTTTCTTTTCTCAGTATTGAACTAGAAACAACCAGGACCAGAGGAATATCAAATATTTCGTGTCAATTTGAATATTGTAGGACTAATACTTGGTTCTCCCAACTTCTTGCACACTCCAGCTACTAGCATGGCGGTAGAAATCTGAGCTGAAGTGGGCATTTCATATATAACATCTCTTAAGGATATATCCAATAAGAAAAGTGCATACCAGTATAATTGTAAGGATAGTTGTTTGCATATCAAATACGACGAATCGAAATGAAGATCTATGGTGTGCATTTTAGAGTCTATTATCTAGCCGAATTACCTTGACTTACTTTACTGGAACAGAGTCAAGGAAACGAAACTTAATTTGTTAAGTGCAAATTGAATTGATCTACTTCTAGAAGGCACTAGATATTGCTGGCTCTAGCATGAGTTGGCGTGGCGACAGGGAACCAGCAGCTTATTATCAGCATAGGGGTTGAGATGTCATGGAACAACTTGACGGGTATGTAGAATCGCTATAGAAGATAGAACCATGAAGTCCATCTCGAGATGAAGAGAAGATCTCCGAAATTTGTTGATTACTTTTAAATTGGATATATTAACTTAATTTTGTCTACTTTGTAGGCACCGCGGACTCGACTCTGTAGGACGGTCTTGATGTATGGAACTATATGGTCCGTGCGGTACAGTAGAAAACGCCCTTGTATCAAAGCGTAAATTACGGTGCCAGCTAGCAAAATGAACCAGCATCATTCCCTTCACCAACTCCTGTCGCATTCACAACCACCATGGCGCTCGTGTCATATTCGGATTCCGAGACTTCAGATTTAGAACCAGAGAACAATGTCACCCAAACAAAAGACAAGAAACAGACTCTTGCATCGGCCCCGTCTTCGACTTCCTCCGGCGCAAACTTCCAGTCAATCGTTGAACGCAGCAACCCACGAAAGATCCGCGTGGCCTTGCCGGAAATCAAACCTGAGAATCTGCCCGACAACTCCGAAGATGGTCCTGCACGAAAGAAAGCCAGGATAGGCGGTGGTGGTGGGGCGTTTTCTGGCTTCAATTCCTTTCTACCTGCGCCAAAAAGGACTAATGCCGCCGTGGAGAAGGAAAACAAGGCATCTGCACAGGTGCGCAAGGTGTTCAGCCTGAAGACAGGTGCTACGCCTGGGTTTGACCGGGAAGCAGATGCGGAAATGCGTAGGGATCAACTATTGGGGGCATCAGCAACAAGGGGTGGTGATTATGATGATGACGGCGGTACTATACCCAAAGCTGGGGGTCTTCGAGCGGAGGAGGATGAGTCTACTGCAGAGCGCAGTGGAGTAAAAGATGCTCAGGAGAAACCAGTGGAGGTAAAGTTGAAGGGAAACCCGATGATGTTTAAACCTTTGTCTGTGGGGCGAGCCTCACAGCAAAAGAAGAAATTGCCTCCCAAGACGGCAACGACAGCATCGTCTGCGGAAGGCTCGAAAGAAGTTACAAAGACTGCAAAAGAAGTGACACCTGCTCAACCTACTCCGCCTCCTGTCGCAAAGAAGACGAGAGTGAGCCTATTCTCTTTGTCAACGGGAGAAGCAGACACAACTAGTGGCCAATACCTTCAAGAGAAGAGTGCCGTCTACGAGCCAATGGTATATACTGCTGGTTCGGAGGTTCCTGCAGCTGGCCCAGAGCTGGATTCTCAAGAGCCGTTTGCATTAGAATCAACGACAGGACCTGCGCAAACTCTGGATAACATAGCCGATGATCTGCATCTCTCACGCGCCGAACGACGTCAACTATTTGGTCGCCATGGCGATTCTTCTAAATCCCGAATTCTCCATTTCAATACAGATAGGGAGTATGCTGCAAATCAAGAAATGGCACACAATACAGACCTTGCAGCGGTCCAGCACAACCCAGTCCGGCCGATTGCTCCCGGAAAGCACAGCCTGCAGCAATTGGTCAATGCAGCAAGCAGTCAACGGGAGGCTTTGGAAGATAGTTTTGCATCTGGACGGCGGAACAAGAAGGAGGCTGGATCCAAATACGGATGGTGACTCTGCTTTGTACTTCTCCTAGTGCTGACCTTCAATTTCGCTTTAATCCCGATTTTCTTTGAGTGAAACAACTAGATACCATAAGAAGTACGTCATCAAGGAGGTTTTAAGCTCCATGACATTTGGAGAGTATAATATAAGTGAACCATTCCAATATATGTTATATGCAAAGACCTATATCCACAAAAAATGTAAATAAAAACCTGCAATCCTTTTCTTTTCTCTATAGCCCGATATGTGATGCAAGTTCAAGAAGAGACATCAACAACCTCTGCAAACCATTGCTTCAACGCCGTAGCCAAAACAGCCGGTAACTCCCTAACATCACGCACAACCAAATAATAAGGGAAGGGAAATCCTTCTAGATAACGTTTCATTTTCAACTTCATCCCCCCAGTTCCATTTTCAATATCGGGCTCGAAGCTTGCCTGGCTGAGGTCCAGGATCGAGCTGCCCTTCACAGCATCAACAATGATGAACACAATCATGATACGCTCTTCCTGAGCCTGGCGTACAAGGTGTCTGATCGTGTCATGGTCTTCACAAATACCATCCGATATTATAAGTTCCAACTGCCAAAGATCGGCGTTCCCTCCTCCTGGGGTTTGCTTCCAGCGAGCTTCTCGGAATAAAGCAATGGAGTCAGCTATCAATTTCCTCACGTTGGTACCGGTTTGCTGATAACTAAAGTGCTGGAACACCTGCACCCCAGCTTCTGAAGAGAATGGTTTGCCAAATTCATGCGCAACTCGGACGTGATCCTCGCTGCCGAAGCCGAGAACACATAGATCACCAGCTTCTAGCATGCTCAGACTCTTGGAAACAAGTGCCAGAGTTTCAAACGCAAGTTGGCCACTACCGCTCTCTAGCATGGATTTGCTGTCGTCGACGGCAAGCATGATTTGATAATTGCGTTTGGAGGGTATGGATCGTCGCATCCATATCTTGTCTCGTTTGTATTGCGACGCAATGTACGGAATAATGCGTTTAATATTCAGACGCTTACCAGTTCGGAAATCGCCACGCAGCTTCGTCGCAAGCGTCGGCGCTAAGATGAGACGGAGTTGTTCCGTGAGGGAAAGAGAAAGATCATTGGTGACGGACTCATAGTGCGACCAGAGTCGTTGAGCCTCGTCCCTTGGAGTAAGAGGCGGAAGTGTGGATGATAGGTGAATCGCTGCTAGGTGTGCGTCGACCTCATCTAGTTCTTCTGCTTCTTGCTGATCAAGAGCCTCAGTAGTGCGTTCTTGTGCATGGGAGCTACCGGGAATCAACGCTCCTGCGGATTGCCCATCAGAAGGTGCAGGACCCTGGTCCAGCTGCATATCATCTTCCAGCTTGTTGTCCGGAATATCTTGACGCTCATCTGGAGCGTCCGGGATCTGTTCGTTGTCATTAGGTTTGATGTCCGACTCCACACCCTTGTTTTGATCGAGAGCTTTTGCTTGCTCCTCGTTCGCTTGGCCAAGGGCCTGAGTATCAGCAACATCATCTTGGTCAGCCAGATGCTCGAAATCCGCATCTGCCATGTCCGCATCCTCGGGCAGAGGATTCTGAGTCTTGTCCTCTTTAAGTTTTGAGGAATCCTTTATTTCTTTCTGCCGGCGATGCCATTCATCAAGGATGTCGCCCAACTTTTGGAACGCTTGTACTTGAGGGTCATCGGGGTTTGAATCGTCCGCACCCCCTGCATCTCTATGTCGCTCATTGTCGTCTCCTTCTTTGGAAGCACCGGTTTGCTGCTTGTCAGCAGATTGATCGCTTGAGCCGTTTTCTTGTTGTGCATTGCCAGATGCACCCTTCTCTTGATTCTGGTCTTGGTCAGCACCCAAACCACCATTAACAGCTTCGCTAGGTGCCAGCTCTTCCTCGGCATTTTCGTTCTCATCACGCTGGATTAGGAGATCATCTGTCTGTGTTTCTTCTGGCTCTTCTCCAGGCGCGTCCTCTTCTTCGTCGCCTTCAGGTTCAGCATCAGCCATATTGTCGTTCTCGTTGGCTTCTTCTGCCTGATCAATCTCCAGCTCTTCTTCTCCGGCCTGCTCCATACCATCATTATCGAGAGTATCTTCTTGTCCATCGAATTGCTGTTCCTCTTCTGCAGCAGGTCCGCTGTCTGACAGGCCATCATCGAGTCCGTCATCACTCTCAGAGCCCTCTTCATCCCCCTTTTCGTCGCCGTCAAGTTGCATTTCTTCTGGGAGGTCGAGGGCATCTTCTTCCTTCGCATGAGGATCTGTGATCTCCATGTCTTCACGACCAACCGCTTCACCCTCCTCATCAGGAGTTTCTTCCTCATCTTCCTCTTCCTCTTCGTCGCCTTCGCCTTCTTTTTTCTCGTCGCCCTTGTTGTCCTTTTTCTCCTCTTGCGCAGCAGTCTGCTCGTCAGACTCGGACACACCTTTACCTTGCTCATTTTCAGTCTCCTTTTGCTGTTCGTCATGAGCGCCATCCCACATCTTTTCATCTACTGCTGAGGCATCAAGATCATCAACGCTGCCCACTTCCTCGTCGATATCACCATCTGATTCCTCATCACTTTCCCCCTTTTCTTGATCATCATCTTCTTTGTGTTCACCTTCGTCCCCTTCCAAGTCCTCCTGGTCCATGTTCACTGCGTCCGCTGATTCATCCATATCTTCTTTCGGTTTTTCGTTCTGTTGTTGAGCTAGTTCAGATAAGTCTTCATCTTGCTCAACATCTTTACTGATGTCTTCAGCTCCTTCTCCATCGCCAAGACCGGTTCCACCCTCTAACTGCCTAGACTTGCCCTCATCCGTAGACGCATCGGCGGGGCTGCAGAATCCCTCCGATGCTATCTTAGTGAATGATTTGGCAAGAACATATGACATTTTGCACGTTGCTTGGTGAACCGTAAGGAAGCGGTTCAGAATATCTTGGCATATGTAGTAATATTTGTTCATGATGGGCAGTAAACTGGCTATCAATGCTACTGCGAAGGGAATGCTGGAATCCCCATCTGCCTGGAGATGTTGAAGGGTTTCCAAAACGGAGTCCAAGGAAGAATTGACGTCAGCTAGATGAATGGCCTTTACTGCCCTACTGAAAAAATCATCACTTCGTGACAATAAGCCAGGAGATGCGACCAACGATGGTACCTCCTTGAGTTTCTGAAGGCTGATAAGGATCTTGTCAACTGCGGCGAGGAGACGTCCATCGAAATCCCCAATAGCTAAACCATTGCCAGTGTGTTTCCACTCGAACGCCTGAGGTTTAATATCGATCCAAGGAGTTATCTGGGCCAAGGCAAAGGAGAGGTCAGGGCGGACCTGTGTCCATTGTGCAATCTGATAATTTAGTGCGGTGAAGGAGGATGATGCCTCGTCTAATGTCTTTTTATGTGACTGTGAGGAAACGCCTTGTGGTGTCGCTGGGAGACTGCGAAGAGACTTTCCTAGGCAGTCAAAGGTTTCTTTCCAGGAACGCAAGCCATTGGAGATACCCAGTGAGTCGGTGCCAGAGAACTTGGAATGAAGCTCCACAATTGTAGCGGCTAATCCAAGTATAGGTGTTAGCCAGGATACAGCTCTTGATACGGCTTGTTTTTCGTCCGAAAATTCTTGATGTGTCCTGAAGACCGATGCCGATCCTAGATCCCAGAGATTTGCGGCTTTGATAAGCGTCAACTGAAGCGTATGTAACCCCGAAATTGCTGGGGAGATAATAGCCCTTTGCCTTCGAATCAAAAACAATAGATGCTCCAGAGAGCCCGAACTCCTTGAGACTTCAACATTGCTGAGGTCTTCAGAGTAATTGCGTGATGCTTCGCGAATTCGAGGAAGCAGGTCTAAAAGTCTGTGGAAATACAGATCGGAGCTTTTAGAAATGCCAGCAACCTGAGTCACGCTTTCCAAAGCTGGACTAGTGGCTAGAACTTGTGCAACAGATGCTTGTGACTCCATTAAGTTAGTGCTAGCATTGCGCTTAATACCCATCTCCAGTACTCGTCGCAGAGTATCCGCGTAAAAGCGTCGTTTTTGGACTTTGAGATGCTGAACAGTATCTTTATTTTCTTCAGTCAAGACATTTGGTGTTTGTGATTTGAACTCCTTAATACTCTCAACGACAAACTTCACGAAGCTTTCGAGATCTCCAGAAACATCAAACTCGGTGGAATTCGACACATACATATGTGTCATGTTGCGTACTGTACCCTCAGGATCCCTGAACCTTGGCGGCCTCTTTAGCCAGACGTTCTCAGCCTTCTGACATACGCCAATAGACCCTGGAAAGCTTGCAGAGGATAATGTCGATCCTTCAATGGTACAGTTGGGCTCTTCATTATCATCTGGCATGTCTTGTTCTAAGATATGCTGAACAGGCTGAGCTAACATATCCCGATATTTCCGTACCAGTTTGAACAATTTGAAGTGCGATCGCCGGGCACTTTCTTTGAGAGCAACAATGTTTGTGTCTTTCCAGCTGGCTAACTGAATTTGTTCCTTGATATCCCTTTCAAGTGCTGCTCTTTTCTCACTCAAAAGCTTGTGCACCACAGGCTCATACTGTGTGTAGTGTTGAATGAAGTTGTCCAAAGCTGATACAAGCTTCTCCAGGGGTGGCAGATCTTGGGTGTAGAGCAACAGTAGGGATCGGAAGTCTTTGACGAGTTGGAGACGCGCACTATACTGCCCCAAAGTGGTCGAGTGGAAGAATTTTTCCAGTGTTGAGATGACCTCAAGAATGTGATCGTTCAAGTCTGTTTGCCCTGATTCTGCAATTTGGACTGGCGCACCAAAGATCGCCTCATATGCAACAAACCACCATGTGCCCACATCTTGCTCGCATTTCTCTTTTTCGATCTCCAGAAGTTTTGCCCAAGTAGACAATTCGAGTCGCCGCCAACTGATAGTCAAGCTTGTGATCTCATCGTACAGAGAAGCTGCTGAGTACTCTTTGCTTGCAACAAGTTGCCACTCATGTACTAGAGAGTGTAACTTTTCAACTTTCGTGATGAACTTCGCAACGGGTTCACTGTGTTTGAACTGAAGGATCTCCTTACAGCACTGGATGACATCCTCAAGAACGGCATGATCTGGCCAAGACCTTTGGATTTGGATGAAACGAGACTGTACCGACAACGTCAAAGCACAAAGTCTTCTTGCCTCGCCTATGTTAGCATCCGTATAGAAGTTGTAATTGTTCCCTGTTCCTGGAGTCTTGTTGATGGAATCCTCTAGCAACAAGAGAATGCCAGATAAATGCTCCTTAGGATGAACTTGTGAAGTGCAACCATCTTTTTGCGACCAGATTGAACCTAGCAATGTAGCAGACTGCTTGACATAAGTTGATAAAACTCCCGCAGGATCTTCGGATTGAAAGAGTTTTGAGTGAAGGGAGGCAAGCCGGATAGACATAGCCTTTGGGTCAATACTGGTTGTCTTTTCCCCCTCTTCTGCAGAGTCGTCATCATATGTAGGGAAGAGCTGATGTAGTTCCTTCTCATCAACCTCCTCACTATCTTCCCAAGATCCTCGGTAATGGTATAATTCTGACTTCTGCGCCTCCTCTTCTTGATCCTCTCGCAATTTTACTTTCCACAACACATGGAATTGCTCGAATAGTTGGCGAAGAGCTTTGTGTCCTGCTTGAGTAGAAAGAACCGTAGCGTCTGCATTCCCTGCAACTTGCAGTGAGGACAATTCGTGAAACCACAACTCAACGGCACGTTTTGGATTAGTATCAAATGTTTGATGACCGAAAGCTGAAATGGGATGAAGACGGCCTCCAAGAAATGGCGTTCTGTCGCTGACCGTCTTCACTATCTGCATTTCATTTCTCTGCTGGAACCTGTTGGAGACCAGGACGAGTCCTAGGTCTAGAATTTGGAGGAAGCGAACAATTGGGGTAGTTAAGTCGTCATAAGATCTGTAATTCTCACTCAGGCGTTGACTTAGCTGGCGAATGTTGTCACGGATTAAATTCACCAGTTCCTCGGACGCTTTCTCAATCGGAGCGTTTATGATGTTCTCCGGGTGTCTGTCGAGAACCGATCTCACTAAGCTCGACAACTCTCCATGCAGAATACCTAACTCTGAAATTTGGGGCCGGGTAATAGACGAAGGGGGAGGTGCTGAGCCCAGGTCGCGCAGTTGTTCTTGTAGGATCTCGTATCGCATATTTGAAGACTGACCGGAAAAGCCAAGTTCATATGATGAAATAGCTTCAGCTTTCATACTAAGTTCCGAAGTACGTTGTGCATGCCTTCTCTGTTGAACAACTAAGCTTAAAGAGGGATCGAATGGTTTGTCTGGGACGAAGAGTCGCAGAAGAGTGACAGCTAATAGGACAGCAGCAGCTCCTGTGCTTCCAGCATACTCTTTGTGCACTGAATGCGTCATTAGAGAGGCCACGACGTTTGGAAGTGCTCTTTCCGCGAAGTATTTAAAGTAATGGTCATTCGGCAACCCTTTTTCCAAGTGGACCTCGAGGACTTGGGCGCCGTTAAAGGTGCCTTGCTCCATAACTGTGTTGAGAGCAGCAACTAATTGCTCAAATGACTGTGGCTCAAAGAACTCTCTATGTATGATCACAAGCTCTAGAGCAAGTCTTGATAGCACTTGCCTAAGGGACTTATATTGATCAATGGCAATCTCATGAGATGACAAACTTAAACTCTTCGAAAGAGTTTGTTTTTCTACCTCTAGGGCATCCATTTGACCTAAGCTCGTGAGATCAACAAACGCCAATTTTGCCAGTAGAGTCAGAGAGAAAGTGCCATTAATAGCAGCACCAAATGCAGAAGAGCGTTCCGAGCCTGCGAACAACGACAGTCTGTGGAGGATATTGGGAACATGAGTCTGAGATATCGAAGCATCTAGAGGCCGGGCAGCACGGCCAGCTAGTAATGGAAGAATAGATCGGATGACCTGCTCTGCGCTTTCTTTGCCCCGAAAGACAGAAGATATGTCATGATACTGGCAGAGAGCTTCAAACTCGTCCACGAAATATAAGTTTTGAACTGCTTCGAAGTTTTGTGTGACATTTGCCAGTTCCGTAACTGTCTGTTTGAGACCCTGACCTAGAGTTAGTATCCGGAGGCGTGCGTACGAAGAGTTGAGCTGATAATGAAAAATATAAACAACGGAAGAAACGAAAAAGCCAAAACTTACTTGCACAAGCTGTCCTTCGTCCGCGCCGTCTAAGAGGATGGAGTACTGGGCATTGATAAGGGAATCGCGCACTCGACTTAATTTCGACAAGTCCAGACGGGTCATGACAGCAATATGGGTGAACTTCGAAGCCACACGTTCGAGCTCCAGAACGGATTTTAGTTTATTTTGCGTTCCAGGGGTTGCAGGCCTCCATTCTTCCCACATTCGTTGCATGCTGAGCCCGGTCTTTAACGACCAGTTCTCATGGAACCGGCTAAGAGCCTGAGACAATTCAAAAGCTAATGGTTCCGCTCGGGCCCAAGAGTTTGCTAGCGAAGCACATAGCTCCCTTCCAATCTGTAGGTACACCTGGAATTCGCCTTCATCCACTTCATTTGCCGCCATGAGTCTTAAAACATCGGCGGAATAATTGATTATTCCCCGAAGAGCGGGAACAAGCTTGGGAGCGTGAAGGGCGTCATGATCCAAGCCCTGTATGAATTCGTATACTGCCTGTCCACAATCCGATAGGAAAGAGCCAGCAGGCTGAGTTGAATCTTTCATCAGGGAAGGTATACGTCTAGAAGCCAGTGACCGTTCTAGTCGGCTCATTTGGCTTGGTTTGAGACGTTTCCCCGATTCGTCCGCCCGTTGTAAATCCTGCCTCAAGCGATACAAGTCCAGTTTGCAATCTTGTAAATGTGCCAGGATTATAAGCGATGCGAAGGATAAGCCCTTTCTCAAGACTGAAGCCAGTGGTTCATTTACAAGAGGATGGAAAGGTTGTGACGGCCCCTGGATAGCAAGAGAAGCACCCCCTAGTGCAACCGTGCCAGTACAACTGAGAGGCTTCCAGTCCGTATTATCGAGCACAACGGACACATATTGAGACAGCGTCGAAGTAAGTAGGTCTTTCACGGGATTGGAACAATATGGCAGAAAGAATTCCAGAGATCGTTGAAGATATGCAAGATCGACGGTTGAAAGATGGTCAACACAGACTTCATAGAGAAGAGGCGAAATGTTTTCAGTCGTTGTCGCAGAGTCGAAATTCCAAACAGATCGGAGGCGATATAAAAAGGATTGACATGTATAAGAAGGAGTAAATGTGTTCGCTATGATGCCGTCTTCTTGGGGCAAGAAGCAGATCTCAACGCATCGATTTCGCATGGCACGGGACAGCTCTCCATGACGGGGGTCAACTGTTAAAAACAGCCTGAAGTTTGGATGAGGCTTGATAACACGAGCAGATCCATCCTCAGTACGTTGCTCATTGAGTATAAGGACCCCGTTTGGTTCAGCCAATGAGTTTAATCTGTCTAGAACAGATGGGTTGCATAGATTAGCATTGTCAAGGACAACCCAATGCCCATATTGAACGGCCTGCGTTAACATGCCCTCTGTCCATTCGAAGCCGACCTTCATTTTATCTGACTGCTTCGACCTTTCCAATATGTCCTGAGCTTGAAGGAGAAGACGTTCAAGTGACTTCTCAGGATGGAGCCGGACAAGTGCTGTGAGTGATATACAGATTGTATCTAATGATGCTTCAGGACATTGTAATCTTTCAAATAGCCGAAGAAACGTGGTGTCTTCATTAAAATCACCCCACGAAGAGTACATGGATATAATGTATTGTCGAAGGAGCAGAGAAACTTCTTCCAAAAGAGACGATACCTCCCTCTTGTAGTCAATTTGTTCAAAGCCACCGATCAGGTCCATTGTATCAGTATCAGCGCTTAAAGCTAGCTCAACGAGACTAGCACCGTTCACAGCAGCGAGCTTTCGGATGAGAGTGGTCTTACCACAGCCCGAGGATCCCACGAGAATACTAGGCCAAGATTGCTCTATGCATAGCATGAGGGATTCAAGAACCGGAAGATCTCTTGGAAGTATCTTCATCTGTGGTTCTGGGGTTTGCTGGAGAGATGGATTCCTCTGCATCATTCCAAATCCAACTTGCATATAGTCTGGTGTAAGGTTGTGGTAGTAACTCTGGGCTGCTTCCTGGCTAACCCCGAAAACTTGTTCATAAATACGAGCAACCAAATGCCGGTCTTCTTGAGATCTAAACCTTTGGGATATGATAACATCAAGGAAGTTTACTGCCGGGATCTGTAAGCTTCCACGGTCTGCTAACTGGAGCCATCTTTGAATGTCTCGAAGATTGACTTCCCATGGACCCCCAACAGATCCTAGTCTTCGCTCTTCCACAATGGCTGTATTCAATCTTGAAACAAAATCAACTAGAGCATCGGTTTGCGAGGAAGGACTTCTAGGGAAAAGATTCGTGCATATCCTTTTCAGATCACTTTTAGTGAAGCTATCGGCATATACTACCGTGAACCTGTTGACAAAAGAAGCAGGAAGCCCCTTTCTCCCACCACCTTGGTGATGTGGGTTTTGTGCAGCAAATAGCACAAAATCTGGATGCCTTTTGAATGTTTGATCAAGCTCTGCGACGTAAACCATTTGACGATGATCCAAGCAAGCATTCAACCCTTCAAGAACTGATTGAGAGGCAAGATTCATTTCATCCAAAAGAACCCAATCACCGCGCTGCATTGCTTGTAAAAAGGGGGCATCACGCCAAGTGAATTGGCCAACATCACCACCTTCCACTGGGACATCGGAACCGAATAGATCTGTAAGATCTGTTTGTTCAGAAAGATTAATCCGAGTAAGAGGCTTTCCCAACGCTTTGGCGAGAGCAGTCACTAGCGTGGTTTTTCCGACACCTGGGCTACCTTCAAGAAGAATGGGTTTTGGTAACTGTAAACCACGTGCAATCCTCACTGAATTGGCAATTGTGGTGGGAGCATCCATTATAAACTCTGGATCTGGCGTTGCGGGACCATTTATACCAAGAACAAAGGGCCCTACGCGTAGAGAGCCACTCTCAACATCAATAGTCGACTGTTGGCAATAAATGCCAGCAGCGTCGACATCGAACAGCTCTTGAAGCTTAGCAAGACATCGTTGCCGGTTTTCTTCAAGATTGTGCAGCGTTGTTGCAAGCATCGCTGCTGGGTTCGCACCTAAAGTGTCTATGAATACCATTGCCGCCCCTTGTACTATTGCAAATAAAGGATCTATAACGTGGCATTTATTGACAAAATCGACCCACGCAAGGAGGTCACGGATGGAAAGTGTTTCGGCTGAAGAATTCTGGAACGTCCACTTGAACCACTTTGCAAATTGCAGCATAGCTTTCGGGACTTTTTCTGACTTCAACGCCAGCTTCATCTGAAGAATGGGCAAAATGTCGTCATCTTCAGAGAGTTGCGGTGCCCATATCTCAGTCATTCGGTTTCGAAGGGCCGCCGAGAGCTCACGCTTGCCATAGTCCCCTCCTGGATTCATTGTAGAGAGAAACTGAAATCCATCGCTCGCGACCACCATTGAATCGACTGGTCCCTTTTCTGCAAGAAGGATTGACCTATGAGGCTCTAAAACGCTGTTCAGTCTTTCCAAAACCGAATCGTCGGCCAGTGATATTTCATCTAACAGGAAGAACTGCCCCGTTCTCATCGCAGTAATCAAGCTTCCATCAGACCATTCAAATAGAGCATTCGTGCGGCCGATATTCTTCTCGATTTGGCGGATTAATTCAGGATTGTGTGCTTTCTTCTCGTCTGCACTCATTGCGCTAAAAGCCTGTTTTAGTTCTTCAAGTGAGCTCGAACCAACATTTTCTGCATTAATTGACTGAAGATCGACCAACAGTTGTTGTTCAATGGCTGATCTGTTCCTGACGGGCCTTTGAGCTCCTATGAGATCACCTGTCTCCAAATTCACATGGGCATTAACGATGAGCAATTGCTTTTTATAGGCCTCTGCGACTGCTTGACAAAGTTGAGTCTTTCCACAACCAGTTTCTCCGACAAGCAGAACGGGCTCGTTATTTTCCAGTGCAGCCGATACTAGAATAAATAACCTGCGCATTGCTTTTGTCCAAACGATCCCAGGAGCAAGCTTATTTAAGAGAGGAGCGCGCTTCTCCAACTCGGAAGAGCTAAACACCACGTCTTCATCAATGCGAACTTTCATGACCTCCTCAATCACGCTCTTCACAGCTGCCCGCTCTTGAGGATTCCTAACACGCTCTGCAAGCAACATGAAGCCGTTGATTGCTAACTGTTCACGATCGTCTGCTTGTCGGAGCGCCCATCGGAAAAGATCACGTAGAGTGGCAAAGCTGTTCTTTTGCTCAAAAAGCCTATTTGCTTGGCGTAATAAAGATAGCTTCCGATACACCGAGACTATTCGGGTACAGAACGAAGGCGCAATTTGGGAGCGCTCTTTCAGAATAAATTCTAGTTCACTCTCTGGGATGTCGTCAAAATGAAGCTCAAGGAAACGGTTACGAAAAGCGCGGGATAACACCTTCCGGCCACCATACAGACCCGCTGGGTTTTGTGTCGCGAACAGCATGAAGTTCGGATGTGGGAGAACCACTTCTTGAGTTTCTGGTATGAATAGCTCGCGATTGTCGTCCAGGAGTCTATTCAGCGCTTCTAAAACATCCGACGGAGCCAAGTTAAGCTCATCGAGGACAATCCAGTATCCGTTTCTGAGCGCTTCTACCATGATACCTTCCTGATAGCGAAGAGTTCCGTCCTCATCGGAAACATATGACCCTAGGTATTCTTGGAGGTCTGTATGCTCGTGATTGTTGATCCGAACAAATTTGTTTCCGGAGACCTTGGCGAGATATTCAATCATGCTCGTTTTGCCCGCAGAGGTCGGACCCTGCAACAGAACTGGGAATCGGCGAGTTGAGCTTGCTCTAACTAGATTCTTGAGGTTTTTTTCAATGAAAGGAGTTATTATATAGTGAGGCTGTTCTTCCGGCATAGAATTTCCTTGTCGCATCCAGTAATGTTTAAACTGCACATAAGCATACCCATCATTGGGAGGCTTTGGGGTTTGCCCAAGAAGTGCTCTAGCGTTCTTTGTACTGCTAAATATGTGCCACTCAAGAAGAGGCGTCAAAAGTCTCTCCGATTCTTGACTTAAAACTGTCAAGAAACTCATGGAAAATCCTTCGAAGACAGCTCGGCGCAAACCGTATACGTGTGCATGGTCAGTTACATAGATAAGAGCACGGACGAGCGTTCTTATGCTGAAGTGTGGACGTTGTCCAGCTCCGTCCGTGAGCTTATTTTCATTGCTGAGTTTTTTCGTTTCCATGTAAAGGTGTGCTAAATCTGATACGATTCTCGAATCGCTCAATGCTAGATCACCAAGGTATTTTTGAATCAACGATAGTAGATCTTCGAGCTCATTATCTGGAGAATGTACATAAACTTCAGTAAACCGAGAGCGAAGGCCAGGGGGCAGGTCCTTTTTTCCCGCATCTGTTGCCGGGTTCATCGCACCGAATATACGGAAGTCAGGGTGCCCAAAAACCCGTTCCACATCTCCAGCTTCAGAGAGTAGAACAGAAGGTGTACCGTCACTACCGTGATGCAAAAGGCTGGCAATGTTCTCTAGGGTGTCCGGAGAGGCGAGGTTCACCTCATCAAGGAGAACCCATTCACCGTTCCGTAACGCTCTGACAATTTTTCCCTGGACGAAAGCAAAGGTGAATTTGGCATCACCCTGTGAAACTTGAGCCTCGAAATCATTCAGCTGTACAGCAAACCTTTCCCATCGTTGCCGCAGCTGTTGATATTTCGGCGAATCTACCTTCCTCTTCTTTGTTGGCTGTTCTTCTCCACGCGCTCGTTTTTGCGATGGGCTATGATCTGAATTGAAAACGCCATCGGCTAGCCGAACAGCTTCATGCCAGAGCGTTACCAAGCGCACCCAATTTCCTGTGGTAACACTTTTTGCAACTGATGAAAGGAATTTCTGGTTTTTTTTGGCCGAAAATGTTAACTCGAACGCGGCATTAAATTCATCAAGCATGGGAACAGCCATAGTGCGAATATTGACGGGCTTGTAGCCCCCTAAAAGATCAGAGCTTTCGCTTTGTTGAGACAGATTCACCACCGTAAGCTTTTGCCGCATCAAAGTAGCCAATTGCTGGATTACTGTAGTTTTCCCAATCCCAGTCTCTCCGACAAGAAGAACGGGCTCTGCCATTTGCACTGCTGCAGCAACTTGCTCCATGAGGCATACAGCAGCTCTTGTGGAAGCGAAACGAGATGAAGCAGAGTCTAGTTTTGATATTGATCCGCCGCGTACCTTGATTTTCCGACAAATCTCTCTTCCAAGTACTAGGCTATTACCCTGGTCTGAATACGCAGGGATTCGTTCATGAAGACAGAAGTGTGCTCTCTGAGGTGATATTTGGAGCGCTGCTGCAATTACCAAGGCAAGGGAATCTGCTAGAGACTTTTCGGGGATGTAGCGGAGAAAGATATCCACGAAGTCCAGAAATATTTCGTCATCAGCGCCTTCTGGAGTAGCTTCGTAGCCGGACTTTACACCTAGGTGCTGTAATCGCTTATGCATTCGGCTGCAAAGCTTGATAAGGTCACGAAGGCCTGGTGTCCGCCCCTGAGAACTTTTAATTGCGAGGCTTCCATGGAAAGAAGAACAAAGATTTTGGAAGACACTCATGATGGTCTGGATCCGAGACTTAAGAAGAGGGAATTTTTGCAAAATAACCTCTCGAATTTCCTCAATGGAGAGGGAATCTACCTGCACCCTTTGCCACAGTCTGCTTCCCAAAATAGTTGTGTTTGGGGCAACCTCTTCGCCAGCAATATTGTAAGAAGACTTCATGGTTGCAATGATCTTAAAACCCTCCGCACATTTTATCCGTTCCTTCCTACTAGCTATGGTCAGTTCCCCTTTCTCTATTATAGGGAGAATAAGAGCAATGACTTCAGAAGGAGCGCGATCTAAGTCTTCAATTAAGATCCAGCGACCTTCCCTCGCGGCTTTTGTTAAGACACCAGGTTGCCATGCAAATGAGCCTGTGGTTGGAGATGTTGAATACATCCCAAGGAGGCTCTTGGCATCGGTTTGCTCGTTCAGATGAAGTGTAACCATTGATTCCGACTGGCCCATTGTAGCCGCGATATCATTCACTAAGGAAGTCTTTCCTGAGTTGGGCAAACCAATCAACAGTAGAGGCCTAGATGTAGTTAGACCTGTCGCGATTTTTCGAAGATTTCCAACAGCAGTGGGCGTTTTCACCATCGAGGATGATGATGGAGGTAGCTTGGCATTCAGTCGTGGTATAAGAACACCACAAACCTCAGCTGTCCGAGTGGTGAAATAATCTCGTAGACTCTCAACCTGCGATAAGCTCTCAAGGTAGGAGCGATTAGATCTCGCAATCTGGACTCGTTGCCCAAAAATTTCCCAACGGCGTTCTTCCCACAGACCAAGAAAACGATAATCAATTATGATGCCTTCCCAATCACCCTCAAAAACATCGTCTGCAATATTTGCCCGAATTAGCTTCTCTGTCGCGGCATCGGCTGCGCGCATATATAAAGCAAAGCATCGCACAGCGAGGTATCGCACGGATGGATTTCGATGTCGGAAGAAGAGCTGGAGTCGTGACGGTGATACGGCATTAGAGAAGACTTCCAAATCATACGAAAGAAGCCTGAAAACTGCTAAAAGTAGAGTACGGGTCGTATAATCATCCAGCTGTATTAGTGCTTGCTCGTCAGACGCAGCCAAAGCCGACAAAGGTCCAGCCCGAGACGTCGCGTATTGGCTTGCAAAAGATCGAAGATACGGAGCAAAGGGTAGGATTCGTGCAAATGCGCAGAGAACGTCGATCTGATTAAGATGAGTGTCGGATAAAAGCCACTGTGCTGCCAGATCGACAAATATCGGTTCATATATGCAAAAGAAACCTTCTGTACATTCAGGCCTTGATGCGCCAACCGCAAGTGCATTCAGGTATTGAGTCCCAGAAGCTGTGCGAATGAGAGCCGCAATCTCATCCGGAAGTTGCTCATAAACCTGGGACTCATTGAGAATCCTCTCATAGGCAGGTCTAGCACCCATGCTTAGTCCTACCTCCGGAGGAACTCCTGTGACGAGTTGAATTCCGAGAATGATTTAGTATCCTGGATAGCGACTTTTTTTTTCTTTTAGGCCCATTTTCTGCCGCTGAATGTGGCGCAGCCCCGCATGTGTTATGGTCACCGCCTTTACTAAGCGCGGAGCTTGCGCCACACCTCCGACGTTACTACCAGTTGTCGAAAAGGGTGAGATTGTCGATTTAGGGAGCAAGGCCTTGTCTTTTGCGATGCGGATATTGATGCTTTAACGTGATTATATATGTCTATGATGCAGCCGGATCCAGAGCTTGAAGGCCCGTCCCCATATACGCAATCAGCAAGTGACCATGGACAATCTCCGACTGGATATCATGGTGGTTCGTACAATTTGAGTGAATCGTTGACAGGGACGTTGCATGTGCCGTGTGTATGGCCTAAATTTTCAATTTTTATATGATTCTAATGGAACCTCGACAAGGATATCATTCAAGCGCAAACAGAAACAACGGTCTACATTCAGTTGTCGAACATATTTTCGGATAATTCTACATCCACTGGTGGAAATGCGCGTTATAGTTTTTCGACCTCTCGAAATGAACAATCTCCTGGGGCTACGCCGTCATTAAGAGGTAGCTCATTAAATGGCAGTGGGAACTTCAATACACAGAAAGAGGGTGGTCTATTAGATTGGTATGTTGAAGGCCCAGGGCGACGAGTAGGATATGACGATCTTACGGCAATTGATTGGATTTTTGAATATTCAAAGGAACGACAAAGGAAGAGAGTTCTATACTCTAGTGGGCAGGGTGTTCTAGGATATTTCCGCAAACTTCTCAATGCGGGTAATGTTTGGATTGTATTGATCGCCACAGGAATATCAGTTGGGATCATTGCAGCTTGCATTGATATCGCAAGCAATTGGCTAGGAGACTTGAAAAATGGTTATTGCGAAAACGGGCCTGGTGGAGGCAAATTTTACCTTAATCGAAAATTTTGTTGTTGGGGTAACGAAGGTGAGGCCGTCGTTGCTACAAGATCTGAAAAAGAAAAAGAAAAACTAATATTGCGTTTCGTATTAGACTTGTCCAAGTGCATAGACTGGACACCGTGGCGAAAGGCATTGGGGGTTACCTCCAATGGAGGAGGATTTATGGTTGAATATATTTTCTACGTTCTTTATTCTGTAACTGATTCCAACTCATAATCCCAATGAAGTCCTACTGACGGAGGTGCGTACAGGTACTTTTCGCTGTCTGTGCTAGCATTTTGGTCAGGACCTATGCACTTTATGCAAAACATAGTGGAATACCTGAAATTAAAACAGTGCTCGGTGGCTTTGTGATAAAGCATTTCATGGGACCATGGACTCTTACCATAAAGTCTCTAGGCCTTGTATGTGTTCTGCTCTGCGATGCTTCCAACTAGCTACATATACGCTAATTAGTGGGAAGTGCTTATCTGTTGCTTCTGGTATGTGGTTGGGTAAAGAAGGCCCACTTGTCCATGTTGCATGTTGCTGTGCCAATGTGATGATGAAGCCTTTCGAAAGCCTGAACCATAACGAAGGTATATTGCACATTTCATGACCCTGAGTAGTGCTAATTAAGTAGCGAGGAAGCGCGAAGTGCTGTCCGCTGCTGCAGCAGCAGGGGTTTCCGTGGCCTTTGGAGCGCCTATTGGGGGTGTTTTGTTTAGCTTAGAGGTACGTGTTGCAGCGGGAGCTATTCGCACTCAGTAACTGAAATAATTTAGCAATTATCATATTATTTTCCGGACAAGACCATGTGGCAAAGCTTTGTGTGTGCCATGGTCGCTGCAGTGACCCTACAAGCACTCAACCCATTTCGAACAGGAAATATTGTTCTTTACCAGGTTAAATATACACGCGGATGGCATCGCTTTGAGATGATTCCATTCGTAATACTTGGCATTGTAGGTGGTATATACGGTGCATTCTTAATCCGGCTGAACATGAAAGTTGCGAAATGGCGACGGTCTCGGGTTTCATCTCGCCCTATTATAGAGGTGCTAATAGTAGCTCTTTTAAGTGCTCTAATTAACTTCCCCAACCTCTTCATGAGGGCGCAAAACTCTGAACTCGTTCATTATTTATTCGCCGAATGTGGGAATGGGGATGCCTCTGATGACCTGTTTGGACTCTGCAGGACGGGTGCTGCGTCGGCTAGCACAATAGCTCTTCTGCTTATGGCTGCCATTCTCGGCTTTTTCCTTGCAGCTTTGACCTTTGGGCTCGATGTGCCTGCTGGTATAATCCTTCCATCAGTTGCTATCGGCGCTTTGTATGGACGTGCCTTAGGTATGGGATTCAAAATGTGGCAGGAAGCGTACCCGGACGGTTTTCTTTTCGGCAAATGTGATCCCGATATCCCATGTGTGACCCCTGGAATATATGCAATCATTGGTGCAGCTTCCGCTCTTGGTGGCGCCACAAGGATGACCGTATCAATTGTGGTTATCATGTTTGAACTGACGGGTGCTTTGACCTACGTTATTCCGATCATGATCGCAGTCATGCTTTCAAAGTGGTGTGGTGATATTTTTGGGAAACGCGGTATCTATGAGTCGTGGATTCATCTGAACGAATATCCATTTTTGGATCACCGTGATGATACAACTCCGCCAGATGTGCCTGCTTATAGGATCATGACTATGGTTGACGACCTTACAGCCATTGTTGCTGTTGGCCATACAATTGACACCCTTCGTAATCTACTCGATACCACCTCATACCGAGGATTCCCCATTGTTACTGATACTTCCAATCCAATTCTTTTGGGTTACATCTCTCGAAATGAACTTTCATATGCCTTGAAAAATCCGTCATCGCCTACGGACCGTGAACTGCCGGGTACAACCCAGGTTCTATTTGCTCACCAGCCTTTCGCTGATCCGATGGACGCTCTTGACTTACGGCCCTGGGTGGACCAGACTCCTATTACACTAAATAGCGGCACAACATTCCTGATAGTACTGCGGATGTTTCAGAGACTTGGTCTCCGCTATGTTCTATTTGCTGATAAAGGAGTCCTCCAGGGCCTACTCACTAAGAAAGATGTTTGGTCTGTTATTAATGGACCCAGTTTCCATAAGAGGGAGGGCCTAAGAGAAAACACATTCCATGAACCAAATACAGCTGAGGAAGTTGGCTTGCTAGAGAATGATGATGTGACTAGCTTTGCCAGTTCCATGGACAGGAGACAATCGCTTTAACTACAACCAGACTCAAGCCAATACAAAATACGAGTGTACTGTATAGGCTCACATGAGTAATGACCATATTTATGTTTATAATGCATTTTATTCGTTCCTTTTCACACACTGTGCATCCGCGTGCATGCGTGATGCCCAATGTCTAGGTTTATAGACTTACAATGGGTTGATGGCTTAGCTGGTAGTTGCATGGCCTCCGATTTGGCATTTTTTACTGGCTTATTCTTTATCAATTGCTTTATTTTAGAGTGTTTACCATATTCTGGCTCGTAATATTCGTGTTAACTTAGCATCTTCCACCCATCCAACGGCACAAGTTCAGTTCTTAGGGAATCAAATTTCCAAATATTGGATACAACTGATCCCTTATACTCTATGGCAGGGCGTTAAACCAATGATACGCACAGAGGATTTATCACCCAAGCCCCAATCAGCCCTATCCAATATACAATCATAATGCAGTCGAATAGCTGTTGTTGTAGGGTAGAGATATTCTTGTGAATATTTCAGACAATCATACTCTAGGGCTATGGTTACTCTTTTAGAGAAAGATAGACAAGGCAGTTAAAAATTGGGTTTCGTCAGTAAAATTAAAGATAGAGAAAATATTTATATAGAGCGATATTTATAAGTCAACGTAATAGTCTCAAAATATAATATCTCATTGGTTTTAGCAAAGAATGTTAAAACCAAGATTAGAGGCATTAAAAATAGTATTCACTTTCCAGAGCAATTTTTACTATCGTCTCCATTGAAGGCATTATAGAGTCAGTGCCAGCCTAAGGCTACGACGGAGGTGCGTCCATTTAAATGCGGGCTGGGTGGAGCTCCGCGTTTTCTGCCAGCTCAAATAGCAATACCGCCTTTTTGGAGACCAATCGGGCTTCCTTATCCTTTTATGATCTTAGCAAGGTGCTTCTATGCATGTGTGGTGCACAACTTAACGACGTTATTTCTTCCATTTTCTCCTAAAACATTGACCGGCGTTATGATGGCAGATCCATTTGAGGTTCGCATGCGCTTCACTGCGCAATTACAGCATCTGAATGCTTCTATCACGTCATCCCAAAAGGCAGCGCATTATGCGCTCAAATACCGCGATATGGACGAAGACCTTCACTCATGCATTTTAGAGCAACTTGAAAGGGTTAGCATATATTCCATCCATTTTATGTGTCCAATTTTAACTACTTCCGTTCATTTCAAAGAACAATATGAACAACAGGGCCAATATTATGTATTTTATCGAGCAGTTCTGTGAGATGGCAACGAAAGAGGATCACTCTCCATATGTCCGTATGATACAACGGGACATATTGCGAGTAGTTGACGCTGTTGCGCCGGCCGACGGTTCGGGCGCAGCAAATGTCAAACACGTTCGTCGAGTTCTTAATGGTCTCCAAAACAAGGAGATCCTATCAGCGGCAACGGTAGCAGAGATTGACGCGGGACTTAAAGAGCGAGAAACACACCCAGCACATCTCGATTTGGAAGCAGAAGAGGGACCGGAGGGCAGCGGTAAATCAAAGGGCGGAACCCCTCGCAGCTCGAAAGGGAGCGGGATGCGGGTGGACAAGAGACAGATCGAACAGAGAATTGAAGAAGACCGTGAACGAAACAAGCGATTGAGAGAGAGCATGTGGACAGTTAGTGGGGACGATGGCGACGAGCATGGAAAGTTCTGGGATGAAACTAGTGATATTGGAGATGATGATTTCCTCGCGGCGAAGGAGGAACTCATGGAACGCACACAGATGATAAATGCCAGGTGAGGCGCAGATACAGATACACGTTTCATGTCCATGGGTGCGCTTTTGGCTCCTTTTTGACTATTGAACGGTTAAAACTAATCAAAAACACGCATGATTTTGGCGAGGGCGGAATGGAGTTTTGTGGTTTTCTAAACTATTGCATGTATGTACAAGGTTCAGTCTGATGGTGCTTGTGGGGTTGTCTCTTGGTCCTCCGTACAGCGATATTATTTTTACACGATTTGCATTTAAGATACCAAAATCGAAATCGAAACTTGTCTCCGAATTGTCCGCGGACTACATATTCTTTCCTAGAGCTTGACTCCACAGGGCAGCCGTCCGCCTTCGGATAAATGTGGCGCCGTGGAAATTTATTCGGTTTGTTGAAATTCTTCAAAGCCTGCAGGCTTTGGGCGCAATAACATTTCTCCATCTATCCGGGGGCATTTGAATTCAGATTGGATTCTTTCGCCTCTTATGTTCTCTCATATTGTCACCGCAGCAAAGGGTCTATTTACTCGACAAACGTCTGACGGAGAACGTTCGAACTCCACCAAGTCTCCCGTTGCTTCATCGGAGAAAGCAATTAACAGCAAATCCACCATGGTCACAGCTACTAGACGCCGGACATTCTCGTCCACACAGATAACAACGGAACCAAGTGTTGAGGTCCAGGAAGAGACGAGTGGCAAGCGTAAATCTGGGCCTGCCCGCTCTGCGACCACGGACACTCAGCGCAATAAGCGAAGAAAGAGAGCGAGTCTCGAATCAACACAGGAAACAGAAAACGATCCACAAAATGAGACTGTGGAAATGGCTGGCCAATCTGAGGCTGAGACTGATGCGAAAGCTCTTGCTCATACAAAGAGCAACCATTTTCGATTTGACGACGAAGAGCCTGAATTACAATTAAACCTAGAAGCCGGCGAACAAAAAGAATCTTTCCAGGAAAAAGAAGGCGACGATGATGATAGTAGTGATGATGACGCTCCTGAGGTAATTGATAACTCTGCACAACTTTCCAAGATCAAATCGGAGGCTAGGAAGTTGGAAACGACCCAAAAAAGGTCAGTCATTTAACTAGCCTGTTTACACATATTTTGAGTCGTCCTCTAATCTTTATACAGAGAAGAACAAAAGAAGAGGGAAAAAAGAAAGAAATTGGATGATTTGCGCAAACAGCAAGCGAAAACATCTCATAAAAGGAAAGAAAATCCTTCTGACGATTTACCATCCGAGAGTACCGAAACCCTTCAAGGCTCCACTACACACGATGTACGACGATCTGCACTCCCGGCGCTCCTTCCAGACGACATTCTGAATTCAGTACCCGTGACAAGACCTCTTACGCTCCCGGTAGAAGAAGCCGATACCATCCATAAAAAACCAAAGAAGCTCAAGTTTCTCGACAAGGCAGAGAAGCGACCAAAGGATGTGAAAGTAGGCGATGTTACTATCCGGATTCTAGACAGGGATACTTCCCAAAAAAAACCTAAAACATCCCTGCCGCCGAAGGCGTCAAGGGCTGGGCGGAATTCTAAAGAGAATTGGCTGAAACAAGCCCGCAGCACAGGCAGTGTCAATGGCCTGAGAAGAACAAAAGGCAGTTCCTCGGGATTTGTGCGGAGGTAAAGCGTCTTTAATATTCTTTAGTCACCGGCTGCCTGCTAGCGACTGTATGAGCTATTATTTTGCTGTCGAAGCCTAAAAAGGAGAGTAGATCTTTCCGAAGCTGCCCAGGAGACTAGTATATAAACTCTGTCTGCCAGGGTGCTATTTCAATCGCATGATATACATATATTACACATTTTCGCAGTGGGCAATGACTTGTGCTGGGACGTTTGTCTACAGAAGCTTTGTGGAGTTTACATAGGACGAATGCCACGCTGCAAGATAACCAGGTTGTGTCATTTATACGAGTGTTATTTGGAGCCAATTAGTGTATGATAGAAAGCCATAGGCGTTTCAGAATAGGATTTTTCACTGTCTTAGTGATTACTTCTGATCACCGTCCATGCTCTGAAAAGCTTCTTTTTTTTTTTTTTTTTTTTGGCACATGCGTTTCCTCGGCCAAATACACTTTTCTATAAATGTTGGACATTATTTCTAAGGCTAGAATTTCGAGGCTGCTGCATAATTTAATGCCTTAAAGCCTTTTGTCGTAGACCAAGTTAGGAGGGCCTGGCCGGGCGCACGTGCGAAGCTTCGATCTTTTTGTTCTCCGTCCGGTTCATTTTGCCTCACCTCCATTCCTTCTCCTAAAGACATTCTCTTTTCAGTCCAAATTTTTGGTCTGTCCGTCAATGGCGGACTTTCCCTAATCCTTCACTTGCGTCAGTTACATCATGGCCTCGACAACAGAGGCATCTCCGCTTCTCCCCCAACATCAGCGCCAGGGAGCCTCCAATACGTCACCGCGAGGGAGCCGCCCGTTACGGACTGTAACATTTAACCCACTGGCCACAGTGAGCACGTACCATGATGCTGTCTCCGCGGACCCTACCTTAAAACCCACACAATCGAGTGCTTCGTCCTTTCCGAGTCCCCAGGGTGGCTATCAACGACCGAGCGGGTTATCCGCATTGAACAGCAGGCTCCGTCGTCGCAATAGTCATGGAGCTCCTTACAGCACCGCAGCTTCGTCGATGCTAGCAGCCCCCAAAGTTGGACCACAACGAACAACAAAGAAGGCTCAGAAATTAAAACTTCTCCCCGATCCCGTGACGGAGGCTGAAGAGGCTGTCGAGGGTGAATTTCCGTCAGACGTCTACTCGCAGATTGCACGAATTAAAGAGCCCGCGGCTCGGAGTCATGCTGCACGACTAGGAAAAGCGGACAGAGAGAGACTCCCACGGGTAACAGCGTATTGTACCGCTAATTCGTACAGATTAGACGGGGTCATAAGGTTTCTCAAATCCCGAGCGAAGACCCGTGGAGCTAATCCGAAGCTATTTGACGAATGTGTCTATTCACCATATGACTATCAATATGAGGATAAAAAGGGAGGTTCCAGAAGCGCTTCAGATGATATCATAGACCCAGCCAGCGTTCAGCCCGAAAGACCTGCGGAACGCAGATACTCGGATAGCGCAGTCGAAATTGAAGATAATGCCAAGGCTCGAAGAGACCTCATTGGTCTCCAGAATGCAGAGCTTCACGAGTCTACTCTAGTTCAGACCTCTGAAAGTGCTGCGTCTGCATCTCACACCGCAGAGACACCTGATTTTGACACTACGATACATACCCCCGAAGTATTTCTGTTCGATTATGGAACGGTCGTCATATGGGGCATGTCTCCTGCGCATGAGTCTCGATTTCTATCCGACATATCCAAATTTGCAGCATCCATTCTAAGCCCCGAAGATACGCAAGTGGAAAACTTCAATTTCTACTACGCACGCGAATATCAAGCGCGAATATACAATGACTTCATTTCTCTACGTGACCCACGAAGCTATATGATTAAGCTGGCTATCTCGCATGCTCTAGCGCAATCAGTCAAAACATCGCTTTTTGAAGACCTCGTTTCAGAGACGATCTCAAATACCGCACCACTACCAGCCCAGATCGCTCAAACAGGAAGTGTCGATCTAACACGGCGACAAATAAATATGCAGATTGGTGAACTGTTTATCTTACGCATCAACATCCATTTACAAGGCTCTGTCCTCGATAGCCCGGAACTAATGTGGGCAGAACCGCAGTTAGACCCTGTCTATCAGGCAGTTCGAAGCTATCTCGAGATGGACCAACGAGTAAGCCTTTTGACGGAACGACTCGATGTGATTGCAGACCTTCTCGCTGTCCTGAAGGAACAATTGACTCACCGCCATGGTGAGTATCTCGAGTGGATCGGTAAGTATCATTTGTCTGACTTGATTGATCTCATCTGCTAACCATGGTTCAGTCATTGTTCTTATCGCCGCCGAAATCCTTGTTGCAGCCATTAATATTGTGGTTGATTTATATGCGGGAGTTGATTGATTATTGCTTTGTGTATTTCCCAGCAAATTTGTGGAGTTGTTTTCCAAACGAGTGAGCGGTATCGGAGTTAGGCTGGTGAGCAAACTTGTATTGCATTTGAGCACTACTTAATTTTCATGTATTATAATTTTGTTGTGTATGATGTTCATATGAGCAGGTCAGAATGGGTACAATGAGATAGGAGCACATCAAACGACATTGCGGAGAGTTTTATCCTTACCAGCATAGACAAATGGTATCCCTTTTTTTAGAATTGCTATAAAGCGGATCTAAAAACTATCTCATGCCTCTTTGCTAACAACATGGTAAAGGTGATTGGTAACATAACGTGGAAAGACAAAAAAAAAAAAAAAAGATAAAGAAAAAGAAAATCTCCTAATTAAAACATGGAATGCAAAAGAAGCTTAACAGCAATTTGAAGTGAACAATACAGGTGAAAATGAAGATAGAAACATTAAAAAAAAAAAAAAAACCCTAGCGGTACAAGTTCTCATCCAAAATCATGCCTGACTCTCCTCTTTGGGCTCCTTCATATCCATATCCATTGGAGTAGTAGATTTTTCTGCAGCAGGATCTGCAGCCATTTCCATTGGTGCAGACTCTGGATTGTTGCTCCCACGATCACTGGCATTGGAATCATTATTCTCTTTATCATTTGCAGAGCCGTTGCTTCCGTGTTGGATACGGAAGGAGGACGTCAGTTCGTTTTGTGAAGGAGCTGGGGCTAGACGGGGTAAAGATGAGGAACCAGCACCAGGGGCATCAGGGGCATTAATTGTAGATGCTGCGTCATCTTCTTGTCCGGGTTCGACGTTGATATTCGACTTTCGGGATCGTTTCACACGAAGGGGCCGCTCCTGAGGCTGATATTAAGTTAGCCAGGTTCATTTTTTTTAACTAAAAGGAATAGGAAATAAAAGAAGGGACGAAAGGAGGAGAGTGTGTAAGACGGCAAACAATGAGATTGAGTATAATGTAAAGTCAATGTAAGGGGACAGTTAACGTACTGTAGGTGGTTGCTCATCTGAGCTCCCTTCAGTTTCATCCTCGTAAAATGCAGCGTTCTTACCAGGCTCGTCAGTCCCAGCACCAGACCCATTCAAGGTCGAGATGTTAGACATCATAGCCGCTGCACGAGCGCGCAATTCGGGATTGACACCTGCTTGAGCCTCTTCGGCCATCCCGGTGACCTTGGCGAGACGTTCAAGCAGGATACAAGACTCCAACCGCATTTTCTGAATATATTGCCAACCACGTCGGTTGCGCAGACGCATGAGTTCATTTTCACTTTCGATCTCACTTAGGCGCTTTTTGAGAGCGATGCATTTGCGTTTGTAGGCAACCTCCACACTAGGAGGGTTGGAGGAGGGTATTGAGGTCGATTGTTTCGCGGAAGTCTCCATTATGCTTTCAATTGATGTATAGATGATAGGGTCCTTGCCTACCACGTTTCCTTTTGTATGTATGCGACGAACGAAGTTGAGCAGATGTAGAGCAGAGTTCGAGTCAAAAAGTCGAGGGTAGTTGCGAAAGAGACACGGCTGTGGTGATAGGTGAATCGATCTTGCCAACAATAACGTTGAGTTATAGGCGATGCGCAGATCGCGACCGTCAAACTTTTCAAGGAGAGAAGTGTGAATGAGGCTGGCGCTCTTTAATGGCCCTTGGCTTCAAGTCGCGAGAGTAATTATCCGATCCCTTTCCACAGTTCGGAGTGGGTTGTCCCGGGTGATGGTAAGAGGGGAGGGAATTCTTCAGCAATGTAAAAGTACTGGAGCAATTTAACCAGCGCAAGAGAAAGAATCGATGGAATTAATCCGCTTCAGCCGCAATTGCCGGATACTTTGAACGCTGCTGCTTCGAGATGGTTGAGATTACGGCTGTCGTTCTGCCGCATGGAGATCGAAGGCGGTCAGCGGACATGGAGCACTATTTACTCTATTTACTCTCTCCCCCTTTCTCTCTATACGTTACTGCAAGGTTTTACCATGCCCTATAAAACATTACAATCATCATATTGGGTTGGACCAGGAGCAGTCACTATGAATATCTTCTATCACATAAATTCTACGCTAGTGTCCTCCTGTGGTCGGAAGGCCGAGGAACACTTTGAAGGAATCATAGCTACGGCAATGGTCAGCATCGGTCTTGTCCGGAGGGCATCACAATCAACTTACATCAGCCATTGGAAGCCCGTCAATGTGCCCAGCATGACTATTCGAACTGGCAGGCCATTCCACAGCCCCGAGAATCTGATATTCCCATAAATTCTCGACACAGCTTTCATCGCCGATTCACCAACTAAGAATCGTCAACTCACACAGTTTCTTCGAGGACGATAACCTGGAAACCGAAGAGGGTTAAAAAAGACAAAAAAACTTACGTTGACGATCAGCATTAAGCTTACTAACCATAACATCTGCCGGATGGCTAACAATAGCGCAAAAGATTCCGGCAATGTAGCCTCCCAGGAAACTCACTCCTGTCTGCTGCAGTCCGTTGTAGCTTTCCTTCGGCTTTCCAAGAGTCCTATAGATCATGCTGACTGTTTCTTCAAAGGTAGCGAACTTTGTCATGGTGTAAGGAATCTGTCGCGCCCAAAGGGGATATAACCCTTTATACAGGCCCGAAATACCTTCCTTGGCGACAATTTTACTCCAGCCTTCCCGCAGTGTTAGTGCGTATGGTGGCAGGGTCGTTTGCATGCGCACTTTGATCGCTTCGAAGGGGCAAAGAGCTAAATCTGCGAAGAACTCGGCCGAGGCACTGGCGCCCAGGAATACCACTGTTCGATTTATATCCGGGAACAACTGATTCCCGTACAGATACTTGAAGTACTCGTAAAAGCCATATTTTCCCGCACCCTGGCAAGAGTATCCGATGAATGTGGGTGACCAACCAAAGAATACTCCGCGCAGGCCCTCTTTGGCGTAGATTGAGCGCCACGCGGAGATGTTGGATTTGTAGATGCTCGGATCAACCTGACGGCGACATTTGACGAGATCAAGCGGTGTGACGGAGGTATGTGTCGGTCCTCAAAACAATAGATCGATTAATCTAAGGATCACCTCCCGGGCCAATCAATATGGTATCACTTACCACATGCTATAGAATCACGACATCAGGTTAGCACTGATTCTCGCTTGCATCAAGGGGATATATATCCTCGTAGCACCTACCGATAATGCCCCCAATAGTACAACTGGCGAAATATTTAGCCGAATTAGGTTCGATCTTCCCAAAGGGAAGCTGTCGCTTTTCAGTTGCCATTATACCGGTACAAGAGAGTGTCAATGCTATTTCGAAGAGGGGTAACGATAACAACAATAGCTGCAGGGACCGAGTCGGTTTTATTAAATGCACGGAAATCAACAGTACAGACAAATTAGAAGACACGGGGGCGCATATAGATAGGTAGATATAGAACAAAGGTGTATAGGGGTTGACAATGACTCGAGACGCTACAAGGACTACGAAGGTTTCAAATAAGAAACCGTTCGAGTCCAATGTCAGTCCGCGAAGTTCTGGCTTATCCAGAGTAGAGCCGAGGTGCCACCCTTATCTAATAAACCGCCCAGGTAACCTATTCCCTGGTTACAGACTGCGGGAAACTCGACACAATGAGGGGAACGGCTAGACCGGCAACACAAGCTGTCTTCTAAGAATTGGATATTCCATAGACACGATGAAAATCACAGCAGGAAAAGGATATTTCTCGGCTCATGAGTTGGCTTGCTAAGGAACATTACTACGGAGTACTATTATTTTCTCCTCCCTTATCGGCGTTACTCTCTGTAGCCCGATCGTTGCATGATGGCTGGCTGCAATGATGCGTGTCTGTAAGTTGGTGACGTCATTGTGTCCTTGGGCTGCCGTCGCCTTAACATTCTAGATCCAGAGGGCCCCAGTCAAGAAAGGTAGTAAGCGCACTAGCAAGTGAACTCGGAATTTTATGCAGCCACGGTGTGTATATAAAGGCACATGTATGCCTATAGGTATACATAGTAGCATTGTAGTTCATAGCTAAGATAGTCTAAGCTCTTTGGATATTCACCCCTCGTTTAGCACCCCTTGGCAACACAAAGGTAATATTGGCTCCTTCAAAGCTCAGGTGGTTATCTCCAGGGAGCTGGAATTATTCCATTATCTACACTTATGTGCATAAATAACTACAATACAAGAGATGAGAAGATGATAGCCATCAAACTCCACCCTTCCCCCCATAGTAAACAAGCAGAGCTAATGCATGGCCATACCTACCGATTGCTGTCCAATTTTAGTTGGAAAATCTCCCATCGGTGTTCATAAATCCGGGATGACCCGGGACAATATTCTGATATTCGCCGTCGCCTGCTAACACGAGTCCCAACTTGATTCCCAGTGCAGAGCCTACCCGGGCGAGGGCGCTTCGCATTTGCTCCGTTTGTGCAGGGGTAGCTAGCCCACAAGAGTAAATATACCACAAAGGCCACAGCATAGTGTACCCGTAAATAGCTCGCATCCGAGGCTCAGAGGACGGAGGCGGGCTACCAAGCATGTCGATATCCCCGAACGCGTAAGGGATGCTTCGACAGGTATCTGTGATCATGTTTTCGATCACATCCATAGCCTCGGCGTTTCTCTGAAAGATTTCATCGTCCAGTCCACTGTCGCCAGCGACCGAGGCCAGTTTACGATTGAGCTCAAGGGTGAGTCTCTGGACAATAATTCGCACTGCACGGTAATATTTCCAGATTGTTGCGAAGGCTATCCGTTGATACGTCAATAAGGACATCCCGGTTGTTGATTGGACAACAAGAGGTAACCAGCTATCCGGCAGGTGCTGAGCCCATCCAGCTAGTTCCAAATCCATGATCTTCGCAGTCTCAATCCATGAAACAATTTTGTCCACATCGGGTAATTCCTGGTAAGAAGCGGTCTCGAGAAACAACCGACTGAGCTTCGAGGCAAACACTAGTAACCCAAATACCGGATCGGAGCCGTCCAGATGGTGAACGATCCAATCAGTCTCATACCGAGGCCTTTCTCGCAAGGCTAATATCTCAATGAGCTAAACAGTATGTCAGCTTGGTTCGCTTGAGAACTTGGAAGGGATGAAACATTGGGCGTGACCTACAGTATGAGCATATGCAAAATTAAACAAATCTCGACCTTGTGCACTGTCTAGTTGACCTTCACCTCTCAACTTCATGAGTAGTCCAAATCCCTGGGTATGTGAGCTGGTAAGACTATTTCGTTCACCGGTGATATCTTCAAATAAGCACAATAAGACCACTGTCGCAAAAGTTTCATCCTTTACTGCCAGCGTTTTTGAAGCTAAGGCATTTCGAAGCCCCCGAAGCGCCATACCGTAAAGGTCTCTTGCCTTGACAATAAGCGGCGGTGCCTTTACCTCATTGCCTAGCGCAACAAGAGCCGTTGCATCGACTGCCTGCCGGAGACAAGAAGCTGTGGAACTGTCGTTCCCAATGTCGCGACACTTTGCATATAACGATGGGAGAAAACTCAGATGGTTAACACACATTTCAGGCTGCTCCAGGGTCGTGTACTGATCAAAGAAAAAGCATAGGGCCCGTTCCTCCCAGTTTGAATCAGCAACCTGGTAAACTAATGGCAATGATCCCTGCGCATCCTTGCTAACGGAGATACTCCGTCCTCTCCGCCCACTGCCAACGGGAGAGCGGCTATCCCTTTTCATAAGTCGCTCCACTTTATGTGTCTCATTCCTAAAGATCGTATCCTCTCGATAGCCTGGACAAGCGCGCCCATATACAATGCAGTTTTGGCATTCGGGGAATGCTTCATCGCACTTGATATTGATTTTAGCAATATTAGCCAACCAAAAATAAATAAAAACCGAAAGAAAAAACAATAAAGTAAAATAAAGTTCTGCAAACTGCACAAGAGAACGGGAATGGTATGCAACAATATGGGGTTGTCCTACCTTGATTTTCCGCTTCCGGCAAAGATAGCATCCGGTGCTCGGTTTTCCCCCATACACCATGGTTTCTCTAGGTAGTACACTGCAGAAAGGTAAAAAGAAATATTGTTTCTTTCACCTTTTTTTTTCCTTTGGCCTCACAAGTATATTTATTTATCTCCGATGTGGAAATGAAGAACTCTATGCTTATCTTACCCCACTGGGGCGATTATGCTGGATGACCTTAGGCTTGGAATGCTTTCGTAAGGGCTATGTCTGCCTGGCACCTGGGCATGGTGATGTAGTAAAATGGATATTTGTGCTCTCTTTTTCCAACCTCGGCCTTTTGTTTTGTTATATTTCGAAATCACTAGCTTGAACATCCGACAAGTAAACGATTTCCGATAAGACTTAAAAGAGCCATGTTCATAATGGATCTGACTTCGAGTGGAGAAGCAGAGCCGGGGTGGCTTAGTCATAGCCAAGTGGAGGCATTTCGAGCACCTATAAATTGTTTCGGTGGGTGACTGGACCCTTGCAAGAGATTACCAACAGAGCCTATATCCCTTGCTCATAGCTAGGGTACAATAACATTGTGTGCTTCACCACCATTCTTCGCAGTTTTTATTTTTTTGGCCAAAGTGTACAGAGTAGTCCATACATTGAAAAGAACACTAGAGATCCACTCAGATCCAAACATGGTCTCATCTAGACCTTGCGGGGAAAATTAAGTAAGTTCACCGTTTGTATGGCTGCTGATACAAGGTATGTAGTTATAAAGCAAAGGCCCATTTCCGACATGCAAACCCCTTGGTTTAATTCTTTGATGGCAAAGAGAAAAAGCTGAAAAACAAAAAAAAGATTATGATAAAGACTCAGAACCAACACCCATAATGCAAATGCTGCTGACCGTCAATGCTAGTAGAGCTCATAGTTAAACCCTTCGGGCGATTAAACAGGAAAAAGACATATGAACATGCCAGGCAGTAGATCTATGGTCGTAAAGTAGGTAAAGACTACATGATCGTCATATCCGAACATTGAGATGTGGGAATCAAGAGAGGGGAGCATCCAGCATTAGATGGTCGTCCTGGCTGCTCTGAGGTGCTGAAGCAGGAAGAATACTCCTTGGTCGACTATCGTGTGCGGAACGCATCGAAGCTGTACTTAAGGCACTTTCGACAAGCGCAGTATCGTCCTCAATATCCTCGGGGGGTGGCGAAAAGTTCCAAACCTATAGAGCGTAAAGTCAGTCAGCAACGGTAAGACCACAACGCAGAAATATCAGATACAGGGGACTACATACCTCCATGACCGTGCGTCCAGATCTACTAGCCATGATCACTGCCTTTTCCTCCTCAAACGCCACTCTCCACACAGTCTCAGCGGGCGTGGACAGCTCACGAAGAAGCTGGCCAGTTTGTAGACTCCAGACTTTTACGCGACCATCACTACCGCCACTGACAATACGAGAACAATCAAATTGAAGGCTTGTGACGCTGTTGTCGTGAGCTGCAAGCCGGTGAATTGGGCCATTTTTTGTCAACGACCAAACACGCACAGACCCATCGGAGCCTCCTGTGACGAGCGTGTCACCTAGCATCTGTAATTGCCCTACCAAGGAGGTATGGCCCTGGAGGATACCATTACACTGGCCGGTAAGAGGGTCCCATATCCGAATACAGGTGTCAAGGCTGCCTGTTGCAATTCGTTTACCATCAAAAGCGATGGCATAGATCTGGCTAAAATGGCCCGTAAGGGTCCGCATGCATCGTCCTTCGGATATACTCCAAATGCGGGCAGTAGTATCGTAGCTTCCTGAAACAACCCAGTCTCCATGTATGGCCAGGCATCGGACACTAGCTTGATGCCCAACCAGGACACTCTTACAGGTACCCGTGCGCAAATCCCATACCCGTAGCGTAGTATCTCTAGAGCCCGAGATGGCTGTGTTCTTGTCGGACATTTTCAGACAGCGCACAGTTGATGTGTGGCCACGTAATAGGAAGATTCCGACCCTGTTGGATATTGGCGTCAGCTAGTTTGGCCACCTCCCGCTGGCTGTAGCGATCTGGTCAGATATCACGTACCCAGTGGCCATGTTCCAAACTCTAACTTCCCGGTCACAACCACCGCTCACAAGTATGTCATCCCACGGAACCATAGCCCATACACCCATCACATGACCTTGAAGCGTTTTTTGGTTGTCTCCATTCGTATCATACACATGTATCTTGGCATTATCCAACGCAGCCACGATATATTTAGAGGTCAAGTGTAGGCTTGTGACTACCCCTTGGTCAGGTGTGATATGCCGCTGCTTGCAGCGGCCCCCTTTATTCCAAGCTGATTCTACCATGTATTTTTGTTTAAAATGGGCTCTGTAGGACAAAGGCCGAGCACAACGTCTTCGCGATGAAGAGCCCAACAAGGAGAGCCAGTCTCCAGATAGCGAGTGTGGCAAACCGGGGAAGCCATCTCGAGGCAGAAGACTGGGGAGGGTCGAGCATATCTGAGAGCCACCAAAGGGGTGTGGGTTGGAGAAACCATGTGCAGATTGGCTATGGAATGGGTCGACAAAATCCCGATCTTCTGCAGATCTTCGGTATGCATAGACATGTTTTAAACAGAGATTTTTCCAGGTGATGTCATCGTTCAAAAGCTCATGCCAGCGTCTTGAGACTTGAGATGCTCTTGCAAGTGTCTTTGGGTCATCTATGAAAGAGAGCACCTAATAAATGCAGACAACCCACACATCAGTATTATCGATAGAGCGAAGAAGACAATGCACATGGATTTCCATACCCTCAAACATAATTCATTCGGGAAAACATCGAATGGATCCTTCCTCAGTCGGGGGCTGACATAACTCGAAACAAAACTGAGCTGCAGACTATCGCACGAGCCAAGAATTTCCTCCAAAAATTTTTGTTTTCTAGCATTAGAAAGGGAAGAGAAGTGTATTTTCGCGTTCTCCAAGAAAGTGTCATCGTCATCATCAGCTGATCGCCATAGCGGAGGTCCTTGGTGAGGCGTAGGACTAGGAGCCGGTGTAGGAGGGGATGCGGGCGCTGAAGGTAGGAGATTTGGTGGAATCGAGGTGATAGGCTTGTTCGAAGAGGATACCAGCTTCGAGTGATTACCGGCAAGTGAATCATCCGAATCTGAAGATACGCAACGCCGGGACTGCGCTGTCGCCGGCTGTTCCGTATCACTCCGCGGAGGCATGCCGCTGCGGACCAAATTTATCACTCCCAAGATATGCTCATACAATGCCGTCCTGTCGTATGGGTTATATTGTCTGTTGAAATACTCCGCTCAATCTGCATGAAAATATTGACCTTTGTTCGTGCAAAACCCTCTTGAATGTATTTCATTCATAGATAATATATTTCAAAAAAAAAAAAAAAAAAAGCGAGTGTGGGGGATTAAAAAAAAAGGAAAAAATTCAGAAGAGCAAAAGAGAGGCGAATATGGGATGTGGTGAGAGAAAGAAGAATGAGAGATAAGAAGTGATCTCCAGCGGGCGGTTCGGGCGATAACCGGGGAATAGGGGGAAAAGAGAAGAGGAGTTAGAATAGTGACAAGGTGATACAGCAACTCGAGATGGAAACGGGCGTCAACAACAGAAAATTCATAAGCAGTGATCTACCGGCGCCGACAGAAAGTTAGGAGGAGCAGGAAGACATCGAATCGATTCGCATGCAAGTAAGCCAGGCGCCGACAAGAGGAGAAAGCAGGACGAAGCAAAGTCTCGATCATGCGATAGATGTCGTGACCGGGGGCCAAGTCAGGTGCGGCCCCTAGAAGTCCTGAGCCGCCAAGCAAGTTGAGCGGCTGGCTGAGAGTCGATACTGATTAGTGTAAATGGCGGCTCCACCGGAATGTATGGGGAACTCATGGTCTGGATGTACGGGAGCGTAACCGAAGCTTCCGCTTCCTTCACCTGACAAAATATCGCTCTCTTTCTGAATTTCTTTTCCTTTAGTCTTTGTCTGACAACGTCTAAAGGAGTGACATGAAATGTGTCTTGCCAGCACTAACTTAGTCGAGTATAGAGGCGTTGATGCTTTTAACCTTTCGGGTGTCGGGGATTTTTACGTAGTGAAACCAAACCCCGGACGAACGGCTGTAATAACAGATAGTGTTTGACCACAGAACAAGTAGGTAGTTTGCGGGGTTGCGGTGTTAGACTTGATAAGCTTTTCATTCCCAGATGCTTGGACCTGTTGAAGCACTAGACTTCTCAACTTTTATAGAATTATCAAAGCATCCATACGTCACTGAGACTAGTTTATGGCCATGAGGCATTCTATGAATTACTTTGCGCATTATGGGTAATGGATACGACAGTGTGTTTCCCATCGAGGTATATTCCAATCTTCCCAAAGGGTACGATTCGGTCCTATCCATAATCATTTCCAATATCTCCTAGGGGGGAAAAAAAAGCAAAAATCCGTGTCACAAAGTACATGCGAAAACATATTGAACTTGATACGAAGTCAGACATATGCAAGAGTTAGATCTTGGAACGAGAAATTCTACAATATCAAAATGAAACTGAAAAAGTTAAGACAGAGAATTCAGAAGGAAAAAAAAAAGAAAAATGAAAAGTGAAAAATAAAAAAGGTGAGAGAGAGGGGGGCCAAGGGTAGAATGAGGAAGAGGTGGTGGTGGAAAAGAAAAGGTATGTAAAACATCAATGAGCATGGCCTATCTGCAGGAATAGCGGCAGAATCATGCCGATAACAGAAGCAACCAAATCCCTCATGGATTTCTCGGGAGGTGAAGGTACGTCCCGAGTATTACCATAGCCATTCGCTTGAACTTCACGTGAGGTCGAGCTGGTATTATTCTCCTGCATTGTGTGCATTGCGACATACCTGAGAGAGCATTAATTGCTGCGCTATTATAAAATCATATAATATACGTGAAGTCCAAACTCACAAAAACGTGCCAGCTGAGAACAGTAGAAGCATTCCTGTCTGCCAGCGAGTATTTATTTCATCGCCGCTGTACCTCGACCCCACAACTTGGACAAAAAGGAATGTCAATAAGGCTCCCACGGGAGCTGCTAGACTGAATACCAGTAGGTGCGCCCTCGCAGCACGGATAGAAAGGCCTTGCTTGAGTAATATTGACGTAAGTCCAAATGATGCAGGTGCTTTATGGACCATTATGGCTAAGAAGATAATAAAACTCAAGCTAGTGTCGGAAGTGGACGCTCCCAGAGCAATCCCATCAGCAGCCGCATGAATAACAAGCCCAGTGGTTGTTGCAAAGCTATGACTGCTTTTGGGGACACTGCCGGCATCCAACAGCCCACCTTCCCGCGAAGATGAAGAATTCCGTCGGAGGCCGGAGCCCAAATTATCCAAAGAGATGTGGTAGGGTTGTCTTTGTTGTTTGGATGAAGGTGCGAACTCGGGCAGTTTATCGATCAGATACATTAAAATAAAGCCACTGATCAGAGCAATTCCTATCCAGGCGTGTGGTGAGCTCCCTTCTTCATGTTCATGGTCTTCATCTTTGCTGTCATTGTCATTTGACGGATCTTCCTTTCGTTGGTGCAATGCAGGCTGTCCGTCGTGGAGCACGCGCACAGTAGTTTCGTCATCAGGCTGGAAGTTTGAGGGAGATTCTAGCATAATGTCGGGTTTGCCGGTTAGGGTCGCAATTTCAGCTGCAGGAACGGACGGAATATCGTGGTGTTGCCAATTTACCGCAGCTGTGGAACGAGTGTTGAGGTTCTTCGGACTGCTAATTGTGTTTGCGCTATATAGGGTTTCCACACCCTCTGGAATAATAACAATCAAGGAAGTTCCAACCAGAACTCCCATTCCAATTGAAGAAATCAATCGTAGCTGAGAGGGGGAGAGTTTAAAAGCGAGCGGTAATGAGCCGACGACAAAGGATCTATGATAAGAAACTCTTAGCTTGCTAGTCCATAGCTTGAAGGTCAGGGTCAATTTAGAAGAAAACTCACGTAATTGCCATCACAATGCTCAATGCGAGCAGAGTGAATAGTCCCTCCATGGCCGGCTTCCTGTCCCAGAGCTTTGTCTCTGCTCTAGAGGACCACAACCATGATGCTAACTCTTCAATAAACACTCTCTGCACAAAAAGCTAGACCTTATAGGGTGTTCATTAGCAGTATAGAACAACCTAATAGAAAGAATAATACCAAAGACCCAAAGACCAAGTGAAGGATTTTATGGAGAGATAGAAGACGTGGTGTGGGATGGACAGATTGCGATCCGCCGCAGTTGGAAAAGAAACGGAGGCGACGGGAAGACCCACCGCGCCAGGGGAATCACCATTACAGGAACATTGAATAACCATGATCAAACAATAAGGAAAAAGAAGTATTTTATAATCAGTCCTAGACAGTATTTCCCAAATTTTAGGTATAGTAAGAATACTTATCACCTTAAACTTGGAGGAATCTTGATATTATAATATTCCCCCCCCCTTTTCTTTTCTTTTTGTTTCAGAGGATATCTGATGCAGACTAAACCGTATAGTTCAGAACAGTGTTTCCGAAGGCTCAATAACATGGTTACGGAAATAACGGTTGAAAAAAAAAAAAAAAAAAAAATCTATAGGAATCGATCTTTTTAGGTGCTTCTACAATTACTTCTATTTATATTAGACAGTCCTACATAGAAATGCGTGCATGATGATATCTTTTTTATTTTCTGAATGTGTTTAACAATATTTGACTGAAATTTAGGACTTTCAACCCCATCCTGTCAAGGGTTGAACCCAATGTATTGCTCAGGCATGCATGGCCTTCGCTGCTATATAGGGCGCTAGATGCGACTGATCAAAGATCAGTCGTCTTGTACCTTTTTATATGGTCAAGTGGTTTTATCTCTACTAGCGCAGAGACAACCAAACCATCACACATCCTGCATGAACATAAACGTACTGGATGACAAATGGTCCTAATACTATATAACTAGGCTTCTTGGTAACCCGCTTACAATTCAGCACCTTGCGTATATCTCTTTGTCTGTACTTCCACCAACTCCTTCAGTCTGGCCTCCTTTTCCAAGATCTGGTTTTTAGTTAAGGGTTTATAGGTTTCATTCACCTGAGAGATCACCTTGTCCTTCCACTCTGTCTCTTTGCCTCCTAGCACATTCACTTTTCCTAGATCGTCCCATACCAGTTGCATAGTCGAACCCAGCTTTTCAAGAAAGGCTTGGATACCTCCTTCTCCACCGCCCTGCTGATAGCTCTCAAATACCCCATTCCCTGCCCATCTGGGGCCCAGGCTAGCCAATAGGATCGTGTCAAGATCCTTTGCATTTACCACATCCTCCTGCACCAAATAACATGCCTCTCTTAGGAGTGCAAAGGCCAGTCGGTTACCAACAAAACCGGGGATCTCTTTCTGGATCACCACAGGCCGATGCTTCGACCCTGCCATAGAGAAGTATTCACGTGCGAACTCTACCCGCTCCGGCGAAGTTTCTGGGGAAGGCACAATCTCAAGAAGCGGCATGATATGCGGCGGATTGAAAGGATGTACCACCAGCAAGCGGGTCTTATCCCGCATTTCGCTTTGCTGGATCGATGCCGCAATACCGGACGTGCTGGTCCAGAGGTGTGCTGAAGATGGTGTTATTGATTCCACTTGCTTCCAGAGCGACTGTTTGAATGTGACTTTTTCTGGTCCCTGTTCCTGAACAATGGTGGCAGATGCACAAGCACTTTCCAGTGAAGTGTGGACATGCAAGCGTCCTAAGGACAGAAGAGATGTGACTATTGATTCTGATGATGAAGATCCAGATTTTGGTTTATTAGATGACGGAAGATGACCCAAAAAGGTGGGTAATGTCTCTATCAGATACTTTTCGAAATCTGGCCGCGTGTCAAAAACATCTACTATAGTATTTTCGCGAGCAAGGTGCAGGGCAGCCATTGACATGCCGATGGTGCCTAACCCAATCAAAGTAATTCGCTGAGGGCTAGTAGTTGACATGATGCTGTAAGTATATGCACCTATATGTACTGGATTTTCACTGCCAGATAAGGCTTTTCTATTTCAGCTCAGGGTCAGGCTTATTGAGTGGCACCTTGAATGTCAGCATGTACTTGGCCTCGGTGATCATGCTCATTTAACCACGTGATTGAGCTTTCTTTGACTCTGCCCCACTAGGCCCTGTCGTGGTGGAGTCTATTGATAGCCTGCTCACTTTCAGTGTCCACACTCTCATTTTCTGGCCTGTAGATCTAACAGTGCATCACCACTTGATTGATCCACAACTACAGGTAAACGGGAGGACAAGTAAATAGGTGACTGGAGACAAGTAAAATATGGCAGTGAATAAATAACTGCTGGTAAGTAAGGACTAGCAGTGAATGATGCCAGTACTGGCCTTGATCGTTTCCCCTGCGACCAGACTACTATATATAGTCCTTTCTCTCTGTTCTCATTCTCGCTCTTTTTTAATTAGTTCACATTACTTCTCCTTTATCTCCTTTATCTTATTCCACCTCATTGCTTTTGTCTGATCTCTTCACATTGCTTGCTTCCCCTCCCTCCCTCCCCATAACTCCTCTGTCACGATATTCTTTCAGGCTCGTGTTTATAGTGGCCTCCCCTGGTTGCGTAAGTCCCTCGAGCCTATTGAGTGACATTGACTTGAATAGCTTTCATCTAATGTTGTATAGCGGCTCTCTTTAGAGAGCTTCGGTTCCAGGTTGTGTGCTTCCCATTTGGGTGAGCACTATTCGTAATTGCCAGGTTTTACATGTTTATATTCCGGATCTCTTTGAGAGCTCGAGTCTCCAAGTTATGTGCTTCCCAGGTTTTGCGTGTTTATTGTTTTCTCAACTTTTATAATGGATCTCTTAAGCGATGGATATGGTGCAAGAACGATTATAAACTGTGTCGTCTCTCCTAAAGAGCATCAGCATTCTTTCAATATTTGTAAATTGTGATAATCCCATTGTTGTTCCCTCCGGGTATCAAATCGGCTGTAGCAACATGCCAGCCTAAATGAGCACATAGCCTTCCGCCACCTGTTGAAAATGTATGGTTTCATGACCCTGATATCGGAATACTTTCTCGTATAATTCACGATCAAGTTATTTCCCTTGGACATAAGTGTAGCTTGCCCAATTCCATATATTTCCCGATCCAAACAAGGGAGTTCCTCACATAGGATTGGATCGATGACTGCACAATCGAGCATAATAGTAGCACATATAGGTGCAGTATTATTAAGGTCCCCACTGAATGGCCCAAGTGTAGTGAGCCAGTGTGGGAGACTTATCGTCTGAAGGCAATCCTTCGGGTCATTTGCAAGGTGACTTGGAAGTTGGAATGGAGGGAATGACACCATCCGTCAAGACGCGAGCTTGCAGCTCCCACTTATTGTTTCAGGTATTTCTTATATTGACAGAGTTGTATGGTAAATCAAGAAATTTACTTTTAATACTCATGTCACGCTGTTGGTTCTGCAGTTTATAGTGCTGGAATTAGTTAATATTGATGTTTTGAAAAGAATGACATATAGGGAGTAATTCCCTTCCCCCAAGCCGCTAAACCAGAAAGGGTTATAACCTCCCAGCTTCTGCGCAACGCGATCAAACACGCGCCGGAAAGGAGAATCGACCGGTCTAACATCATTTTCTCCATCCAACTTCACCACCCGCTTACTATTTTTGAATTGTTTTCGCTCTGCGCTACGATAGCAATTATGGCTAATGAAGACGACTGTGACTATACCTTTCTCCTATACCTCCCTCTGTCCTACTCGAAATACAGGCCTGCTGACATTGCTTAGGGACCTGCGACGCCAATGATGCCCTTCAAATAACCGTTGTCCAGCCTAGTGAGGAAAAGCCAAAGACAATCTCTAGCTTTCACCCCCAATTTACATATCCGATATTTGGTGACGAAGAACAAATTTTTGGCTATAAGGGATTGATAATCCGCTTGCGACTTGCGGCCCATGACCTGCGCCCGCATATTCACATCTCTTATGATGACAAGTTCAAGCCCGTGGGTGATACCGCAGCAGTGGACCTTTTGAAAACACTCAAACCATGGGTTCCGGAAGGTCAGCAGTTTATTGTCCGCCCCTCACCCCTTCCTGGCATTTTCTAATTTCCATGGTGACATTCAGAGGCCTTTTCCACCCTTCCGGAATACGAGACTGCGGTCCAAGAAGACGCGGATGCAAAGGACTTTGTGCCACCGGGCAATCTTGTCCATAGCTATGTGACTCGTCTTAGGAACTATGAGATTTGGGCTGGTTCTCTTGCTGACCCCAAAGTGCAACGACTTCTGAATCGGGCGCAAATATTCGTCTCTCTGTTTATCGAGGCCGGCACCCCTCTAGCAATAGATGACCCTGAATGGACTCTTGAGAGGTGGACAGTATACTTTGTGTAAGAAACAGCTTGTGCTTTATGACACGAATCGCGTAGCTGACAATATCGCAGATATGAGAAAGTGACCCCTCCAACACCAACGGCTTCACAATACTCGTTAGTTGGGTATGCAACAACATATCGCTGGTGGTTTTATCAAAGAAGTGAATTAGAAATGCCTATTGCCACGGAAGACTCTTTCCCAGCGCCAGAAATTAGTCCTGCACAGCTTCCGGCTCGATTGCGGATTGCCCAATTCCTGATTCTTCCTCCTCACCAAGGCTCGGGACATGGTGTTCATCTGTATACGACCATCCATTCTGCATGCTTTAATGATCCAACGATTGTTGAATTGACAGTTGAAGATCCAAATGAGGCCTTCGATGCGCTACGTGACACTTCAGACTACCACATCTTACTCCCAGAGTTTCAGAAACAGAAAGTGGGTATCAATCCTGATCCCAACGACTCGTACTCTAAGAAGCAACGGCCTCGTTATGTCCCCACATCTGCCCTTATTCCGACTAAAATTCTTCGCGATATCCGCTCCTCCTTTAAGATTGCGCCGACGCAGTTTGCTCATATTTTGGAAATGTACCTCTTGGGTCAGATTCCTATCAAGAATCGCCATGCTGGTGGGGCAAATATGGCCAGGCTTTTGATCAAAAAGTATAACACGGATGATCCCAATGAACGACGTTATTACTGGTGGCGTATGCTTGTCAAGCAGCGCCTCTTCAAACGCTCTCGAGACATGTTAATTCAACTTGAAATGAGCGACCGTATCCAGAAGCTCGAGGAGACTGTTACGAATGTAGAGGAAGGCTACGAAGCTTTACTTAAGGTTTTCACAGCTCGGGAAGAGGCCCTCAAGAGTAAACAAGAGGAAGATGGTCTTGCAGACGTCATTGTAGACGAGGGCAGTGCAAACTCCAATAGTTCCCCTGGCAATGGCCAACGTGCCAAGCGAAAATTTACGATTAGAGACGAGGAGGATGAAGCTGAGAAGGTAGATGTCTCGACCATCAAGCGGGCAAAGATATAACGGGACAGCCTTTTGATGCTACTTCCTTTGTCCCTTATTTGTTCTTGTTTCTATTAACTCTGTTTATACCGTGCTGCGATCTTTTTCTTTTGTTAGCCTGGGCTATCCAGAAGCTGCGATGTAATTCTACGTGACACGAATGAGTCAAAATTGACCTGAATGTATGTGCTACATAGCATGTTCCTAACCACGATATAATTGCTTGACACTAAGGTTGATAATTAGGAGAGTATCCACAGTCTCCAAAGTATCTACCGTCGTAGACGAGGGAGTATCCAAACTCATTAAACTACTAGTTCCTGTTGAAATGATCGTCGAAAGACCTGCTGTCGTTGATGTAGCTGCGTCCGAAGTCCCGCTTCGTCTCCTGCCCAGTAATTGCGCAATATCACGATCCGTACTTATCTTGAGAAACTGTGGCCTTCCAAATCACGGTCTGTGTTTTGAACAAGCTCTCCAACATGCTCAAGCGCTTGTCTGAAACTCCAAATCTTGGCTTGCATAACATCCGACTCCGGATCCGGCTCCAGAACAGTTTCTGTGTCGGTTTTCTCCGTTTGCTCGATCATGGACATGTAGCTAAATGGCGTGGCTGGTGCAGGATCGTCAGAGGTCCCTTCCCACTATCGTCGCCATCTGAGTCGTCGCGCAGCCCTGTTGGCTCGGCGTCGTCGGCAATATTCAGTACTGTGGAAAAGCTTCAATCCGACACGAGTACGTGCCCACTAAAATGGTTACGGCACATATGGTGAAATTAGTTTTGTTGCCGCACAGGGAAGAAAAGTCCTGCGACTCAGAAGAGAAAGCCGTCGAAGCGGCAGTGAAAGGGAAAGCAGACGGTGGTACAGCATGCGATGTCTCATGCTGTAGGCTGGCGTTCGATATGGGACCGGCTCCGGATCTTCTGCGCGCTGATCTTGCTGTGTGAACATCGAGACATGGTCTATCAGGCAACTATCACGGGAAAGGGCCAAACAGGTATCTTATCTGACGGAGTAGGTTAGGCATCATCATTAACGACATTCTAAATTTGTAGCCAATACTTCTGCAGTTCTCCCAACTCAACAGTGTGCTCTGGCAACCCTGCTGCAGCCTTCTCGGGTTTTCCACTCTTCCTGCTAATCTGCAGGTCCAACTGACGAGATCTAGCCTTTAGACGGTGTAAATAATCCCACTGCTGTTCAATAGTCTCATCTGGCTGTGTTTCTTTGGTTTGTTCCGCATCTAGAGGGAACTCAATTTTGTCTGTATTTCTCCAATCCTCTGCAGATGAAATGTTGCTTGATATATCTGCCGGTGTAGTGCGGAGCCGGAGAATCACCGGTTTATGGACCTGCTTGAAGGATGCAGTAAAACCAACCTTATTGCCGACATTCACATCTCCAACACTTTCAAATCCATATCCAAAGCTGCCATTCCAATTGTAAACCAGATCATCACCATTAAGGAATATATCATTTCCATTACAGGCAGATTTTACTACCCCGATATTCAATTCCAGTGGCTGGTATTTCCAGTTGACAGAAGCAACAGACGGCATCGTGGGTCCCTTACCACAGTATAGATTATTCTGCCTTTGTAGCTAGGGAATTCAGCTTGAAGTATCACAATGGAATTTTCATTATCTATGTAAACATTCAGGAGCTGCAGAAAAAATAAGCATAAGTCAAGAGATAACAGACTAGATTTGATATAATAGCGTGTGAGGCGTAATATCATCAACTGTTGACGAACTCGGAATCTGACAGAAAGCAGGCTCAATAGACAAAACGAATAATGCTAATTTCGCTGACCAGCGCATAATAGTGGTGGAGTACACAAGCACGCGATAATCGAGTGACTGTCTATCAGGAGGCACTGCCGTAGGTCACCACGTGTCGACCGTCCCCATCTGGCGACCGATTTCTAGGTACACAGACTTTTGAATCGTAGATTTTAAACCATCACAGCTTAGTTAATATGGACCCTATCAAAGAGGCTTTAGCAGAAATAGAATCCTTAAAGCCAGGGGAATCGATTAATTCCACTAAAATTGCGAAGACTCACAATGTAAGCCGAATAACCCTGTTAAGGCATCACCGCGGGGTACAGCGCTTTAGAGAAGAGCAGTATAAAAGCTAACAAAATCTTAGCAACCAGCAGACCAAAGAGCTTATAAAATATATAAATAAGCTAGCTAGCCATGGCGTATATCCTTTATATAAGATGCTTCGAAATTTCATCAAGGAAGTTACTGGAGTTAAGCCTGGAAAGAACTGGCCCGGCCGGTTTCTAAAAAGGCATTGAAAGGAGCTTTTTACCGCTATACTGCTATGAATTCTTCACGCAAACGGGCGGATTCTGCATACAAATATTCTTTGTATTTTAAGTTATTAGCCAGAAAGATCCAAGAATATAACATACAGGCAGAGAATATATACAATATAGATAAGGATTCCTAATTGGAGTACTTTTTAAAGGCGATAGAACCTTCTCTAAACAGTAATATAAAAGGGATGGCCTTAAACAACGCCTACAGGATGGTAATCGGGAGTGGATTACTACAATTGCCTGTATCTGCAGATAAGACCTCACTGTCTCATGGCTTAATATACCAAGCAAGTTCTGGCAAGATACAGGATTTATGGCTTTAAGACTTTAATGCTATAGATTACCAGGCGTTCTTTGCCTCCTATTTATCTGGCTGGGTAAATAATGAAATAGGATTTGCATGGCTTCGAGATACTTTTAACCGGGAGACAAAAGACAAAGCTAGGAGGCGTTGGCGTCTTTTAATACTAGATATCCATAACTCTTATATTATTATAAAGTTTATTTAACTTCTATAAAGCCAATAAGATTTATTTATCCACTTTATTCTACTTATACTCTGCAAGCGCTTGATATTAGTATCTTTGGCCCGTTGTCTATGGCTTATATTAATATGTTGGAGGCATTTCTACATGCCTGCCAGGGTCTAAGCTATATTACAAAACGGGATTTTCTTCAAGCTATTCTGGCCAAGCTGGAATGCGGCTTTATTAACAAAAAATATTAAAGCGCCTTGCTGAAAAGGCAGATTTACAGCTTCAGAATGACTTTAAACGGGTTAAAAGAGGCAAGGAGAAACCTTCCAGGCCCTCAACTGCTAAAGATCAGGAGGATATTGTTGAACCAGCTGTTGATGTTATTAAAGAGGCCCCTCTGGCAGTCAATTGTCGAGGAAGGCAAATCCAGCTACCGCAACACTTTCGGGATAATTAAAAAACCTTGTTAGATTCTTTATAATTCTAATTTTAATCCCTCAAAAGATCACTGTATAATTCAAATTGTATGTGGCTCTAAAGCTTCAATTCCTGACTTGGTTGTTGGTGTAAAATCGGTCGTCAGATAGGGACGGTCGTCACGTGGTGACCTACGGTATTGGAGAGATGTCTCGTCATACAATGCAGTATAAAAATATTTGGCCCGTCCAAAGTCGAAAATTTCATATAAGAGAACTCGATTCTAGATAGCTAGATGGATAGTGAGACGACGTCAGACCACTTTGGAATTAGTGATGATAATTGCGTCCAACGGATCTCGGAGTTTGTCTTTCTCCGAGGAGCTCCATCCGGAGGGGAGCTTTGTTGGCTGTCACATTCAACACAACGAAGTGGCTGGCCTTAACCCTGATTCTTTTCTTACTTTGGTTTTTGAGCACTTTTATTATTTGAGTCACCTTTATCTCTGAACTTGCAATACTCCCGATTTGGGACACCACCTGTGTTGTCGCCCAGGTACCACCATATCTTCGGGCGCCTTTATACAGCCCAAATTGCAGCATACTCCAAAGATGGTAAGTTGCCTCTTGCCTCTAGTGCGATTAGCTTCTGCAATGTTCATATGGCTAATACTCTCACGCGATGAATAGCTACCACTAGGTCTTCTCACGGCCGCACAAGGCCACCCTATGCTTGTGGAACTCAAGAACGGCGAAACCCTGAACGGACATCTCGCCAATTGCGATAACTGGATGAACCTTATACTCAAGGAGGTTGTTCAAACCAGTCCCGAAGGCGATCGATTTTTCAAAGTACCAGAAGTTTACATCAGAGGAAACAATGTATGACGATGCGCAAATACCCTTAACGTGCTATTGTTCTTGGTGTTGATACTTCGCAGATTAAGTACCTACGGATTCCAGAAGAGATCGTGGAAATCGTGAAGGAGCAACAACAAAATCAACCCTCAAACCGCAATCGTGGCGGCCACCGGGGCGACAGAGGCGACAGAGGCGGACGAGGCGGCCGAGGTCGTGGCCGGGGACGTGGTCGAGGTGGCAGCTAGAAATGAATTGAACCTGGCTAAATGAGAGAAGATGAAGATAGATACCCCGGGCAGAACAAACAGGTAGTTCGCTAGGAAGATCCATTCGGCGGGTTAGTCGAGCATATCTTGGCGTATATGGCTCTGTATTTTCAATGGGAATTGCCATCTATGCTTTTAGTCTAATTACTCTTTTTTCTTCTTCTTCTTCTTCTTCTTCTTCTTCACTTTTTTTCTATTTTAACGGGGAGTCAATCTCTTCTGCAACTAGTAGATATCTTATTTGCACCATGTATTCTTTTGAATGGTAAGTAGATATAAGTAGGGAGAAGAGCTTTGAACGTCACGTGATAAATACAGTTCATCCTGTGTTATTTCAAGCTGGAAGAGTGGAAATGATTCGGTTTCGTCAAGGCATCGAAATGCCGCATAAGACACTTATTTTAGATGGCTTATGGCATTGCCTCTGCCCATCATTCAACTTTGACACCCTCATATATTCCGGACTTCCTGCCATAAGGAAGTGTCGCCGTCCCAGAATTGATCATTTTCCGACCATCTTAGGAAGCTCCACATCAGCCTCTTCGTGGAGATACTTAAGCAGTCGCACACCGAGACTCCAGAAACATGATACGGGGAAGGATAACATCACGGATGGAATTGAACCTTGCGACCCTCAGTCCGATCAGTTAGTATCACGACACACATATCGACATACGAGAAATGTCCCTAGGCTTCCTCGAGGGGTTCCCGATACTCTAAAGGACAAGACAACGTCACGTTTAGAGACAAGGCTACAGGAGATAACAGCTAAGCGCCCCAGGATTATCAGCGCAACCCAGATATTGCGCACCTTAATTAGAGACCGCCACATACGCCCGGACCTACGGCATTACAAGGCGTTGATACTGGCCAACTCCGATCCAGAGCGTGGGTCGCCGGAAAATGTCCGCCAATTGTTGTCGGAAATGGAAACGAACGGGATAACTGCAGATTCTGGAACATTGCATGCTGCTTTACAGGTACGCTCGTGTCTGCTATGTACCTTTTTGCGGTGACTGTACGCTGACATCTGCCTTGACTGCTAGGTCCTTGCAGTTCATCCGGATTATATGCTGCGCCAAGAGATTTTGCACACTCTACGAGACCGATGGCTTCCTTTAAGCCCTGCTGGCTGGCACTACGTTGTGGCTGGCCTATTGAGGGAACACCAATTTGAGTTGGCGTTAGACCTTCTCGAAAAAATGGAAATAAAAGAGGTCCCGGTCGAGAACTGGCTGTACAGTCTTTTTATATACTATCTTTGCGACTTTGAAGAATTCGACGAGGTGATTCGATTGATACGTCTACGTGTAAGGCGAGGCCATGAAATGACGCCTGATTTGTGGCTGTACGTTCTGGATGCAGCAAGTGCTGCTGTCCATCACGAGGCAACATTTTACGTATGGAGACAAATGGTGGGATTAGGATATCTTAAACCATCATATGGTATCTGCCGGAACGTTCTGACTGTTGCATGCCGTACTGGGGATACGAACCTTGCGACATCCGTGATCCACTTCCTTACCGAAACCGATGTGTCCCTTAGCTTGGAAGACTACGAGAGGCTGGCAGAAGCTCATCTTAACTCCGGGGATTTGTGTTCTGGATTTGAAATCTTATGCCAAATGCATGCAGCAGGCATTCCACTGAAACCGAGCTCGACTAGTGCTGTTCTCACCCACATGATTCAAAATAGAACCCATCCACGCGATGCTTGGGCCATGCTAAAACGGCTGAAAGAACTGAAATACGAGATCCCTCTCCGTTGCGCTCTGGTTGTGATTCAAATGTGTGAGCAAGAAGCTCTTAGCGATCCCTCGATGGTAGACGATGGGATTGCGTTATACAAGGAACTTTACGCGCTTTGCCCGGCTAAGGCTGATGCTTCAGTGTACAACTCTCTTGTTGGTATGTGCCGACGGGCAAAAAACACAAACGCCGGCATTTTTGTTGTGAAAGAGATGGCATCCCTTGGCGTGGTGCCGGATGGTACGACATTTGAGCACCTCATCGTAATGTGCCTAGACGCCGGCAATTTTGAATCAGCGTTGATGTATTTTCAGGACATGTCTGAACGAGGGTTTACTCCTGATGAAGATACGCGTATCGAGATTCGGGACCTCTGCTCTAGGTCGAGTAGCGAGTACGCGCTCCAATTGCGATATCACCCGCATGTCAGGGATGAAGCGATAGATGTATCGGACCCTGACGCCCAATCCACCGTGGAATCTCCACCTTTGTTCAAGAAGGTCTTCTCCTACCCACCACCGGAATACGCTAATGTCCCTCGACGCCAAATACAACGGCCGGTGTCTACGGAAGAACGGCGAGCACAGCGACGAGCGGAAAATAAAGAACGCCGAAAACAGAAAAGAAGGCGGCTGGCCATTGCCAGGAATAAACTGGAAGAAGGATGGGAGGATTACGAACCGGGGGGGGTTGGTTCTTGAGGATCAACTCGAAACAAAAGAGAAACCTCTCGGCTAGCGAAGCTATGCAAATGAAACTCTTGTATGGTAGATTCATGTTGTTAGAGAGGGAGTCGAAAATAGCATACTCTGTACTGCATTGTGAATGTAACTCTGCATGATCATCACGATAGAGTCGGCACTAGGGGATAGTAGTTACCTTATGGTTACATTTGCGAGGTTGGCGGATTATTTCTCCTGTTGATAGGAAAGCAGAAGAACAAGAGCAAGAGCACGCTACCTTGCAGATGATATGTATGTCTCATAACATCATACTAGTGGCTTTCCTGCTCTGAGACTTTGAGCGCAACGTCCACACATCACCGTCCAATCTATTCCTTATCCATGTTTTTCACCAGAAGAACTCTAATTTGAACTATTCGGATGCTATCCTGCTGCTGTTCTATAAATACACAAGTTCACTAACACTGTGATCGGCCCCAAGAAGAATTGGACAGCAAGGACAGCGTCTGCAGTACATGCATATAACCGAGGGTCGTGACACTTTAACAACCACATCATAGGTGGATATTCAATTAAGTGCCATGTGTTGCACCAATTACGACAGGATTGGGACTCCTCTATGGCCTTACGTTCACACAATGCTGAAGAGGAGACCAAGCGATCGACGGTGGGAATACCTTGTAGAGTATGCGAAAAGCAGGACAATGGACCTACTCCACAGGCATCCCAACCAATCTTCATTTGCCTGAGATGTTGATACCAAAAGCCCGGGGAGACTCTGTCATACTACTAAAGCAGTCACTTGCCGCCATAGACATACTTCTATCCATTTAGCCTGTGACACCTGCTACCTTCTGTCTATTAATCACTTGCCTATTTAGTCTCTTGATTTTCGATTGTTGCATTTCATCCCCGCATCTCTGGCTTCCGTAAATATACATTCTACGCCTGTTCGTAATGCATCTTTCTTCAGTCCTCGCCGTTGCTCTCTCTGCCCCCAGCCTTACCAATGCTGTTCTTTTCCATCGCAACCCAAATCCAGCCTTGACCTGGCAGGTATCTAATTTCACCTACCACTGTTCTCCCGGGGGCTGTGTCTACGTCTTCAGCATCCACGGCGCTGAAACCAAGAACACTCCCGGATTCACGGCCGACTGTTTGATACCGAACTCAGGAAAAGAAGAGGAATACACTCAGTGCGACAACGAACAAGTCAAAGCCAAAGTGACCCCCGCGGCTGATTTCATACGGAATGTCAAGGTGGAGTATAGTTGGCTACAGGGCGTTACTGCTGAGTTCCACGCGCGAGGCCAGATTAATATCACTTTAACCGACACCTACTTTACCATTCCGGTGACTGAGGTGTCTGGTATTGCTTGAGGTCGCAGCGAAGCCTTGACCGAGATCGGTACTTCCGACTTTATGTTTGATTTATAAACGAAGAGGAAACGTTGGTCAAGTGGTGCGCAACAAGTCTGCGAAAGCAGATTGGATAATCAAACACATTGAAATACAAAAAAATCTGGGAAGGAAATGGGCGTATGGATCTGCGGTGCCGAAGGTGGGAAAGCTCGATTTCTTAATATAATGTCTGGTCTGATTATGGAAGCCTGCTGATATGATATGATAATAACGTTCTTTTTTTGTGTCTATCTGCTCCATGAAATGCCCATTGGATAATAAATGGATTCATCCTGTCTCCAAATTGATTGTTTGGCCTTTGTTGATTTAGCCCCGTCCTTGCCTGTGACATCATCCCCACCCACTGCCAGCTTTCCCCTGTAAAAATCCCCTGACACGAGCACAACCAACATTCTTGAGCGTCCTATGAAGGGTGTATATAAAAATAATTACATCCTGATGTCTGTGAGCCAATCATAAATACTCCCGGAGGATCTATCGCTCCGCATTTCATTCATTCTAAGAGATCGCTGCGAATGGTAAGTTTTAGTTTTATCCCCCCCCCCCCCTCCCTTTTTTTTCCCCTATCTCCCTACACTGTTTTGTTTATCACGAAATTTGGGCACAGGGCAGATGGAGGCATTGCATACTCTTTTGGCTACCTAATCCCAATGGTAATTAGTATTCTCGCCCTTCTTCCGGAATGCTACTTCTTGCGGAGACTGACGTTGTGGTGCTTGGCTTTCTGGAACAATGTAGGCGTCGATTCTCCGGCAGATTGTTGCTGGGCCCAGATTGAAACATCCAGAGGCGAATCTCGATCTCTGTTACGTTACAGACAATGGTGAGACCCTACTGGATTTCGTTGCTGCTTTTCTATCAGCCGCGTCTGACACGTAACCTCGTAGTTGTCGCAACGTCCGGACCTTCGTCGACCTACCCGCAACGAGCTTACAGGAACCCTCTCGATGAATTGGTGAACTTCTTGGACACAAAGCATGGCGAGGATTGGTGCATATGGGAGTTTCGTGCTGAGGGTACTGGCTACCCCGATGAGGAGGTCTACGGACGGATCCATCATTTTCCCTTTCCTGACCACCATCCGCCGCCATTTGCCCTCATTCCGGCAATTATGGGAAGCATGAAGAACTGGATTCAACGATTAGATGATACAGGCCAAGAGAAGTCACCCGATAAAGAGAATAAAGGGAAGAGAGTTGCCGTTGTTCACTGCAAGGCTGGTAAAGGGCGAAGTGGGACAATCGTTTGCAGTTATCTAATCAGCCAAGAAGGGTGGAAATTAGAAGATGCCTTGCAGCGATTTACGGAACGAAGGATGCGATCTGGATTTGGCCACGGCGTTAGTATCCAAAGCCAGCTGCGCTGGGTGGGGTACGTTGATCGTTGGGCGAACCAGATGGCCAAGGTATACATTGAACGACCGGTGGAGATACTGGAAATACATGTTTGGGGCCTGCGAGATGGCGTCAAGGTTGCAGTGGAAGGATTTGTCGAGGAGGGCAAAAGGATCAAGAACTTACATCTGTTTCATCGCAGTGAACGTACGGTCATCGACAATGGGATGACGACACTTCCCGAGAGTGATGATAGAAAGGCTAAAAGTGGCACCAACAGTCACAATGAGCCTTTGTGGACTTCAACAGATGCATCTACTGGATCTAACCTCATTACCCCTATTACTTCCTCGGATAAGTTAAGCACTTCTACAAAAACCCTACGAGCAGCCATCTTCCGACCTAGTAAGCCGGTTATCGTGCCTACCAGCGATGTAAACATTGACTTTGAACGACGGAGCAAGGCGCCATACACGGGCTGGGCAATGGTTACTTCGATAGCACACATCTGGTTCAACACTTTCTTCGAGGGAGGTGACAAACTTGACTCGGGAGTCTTTGACGCAGAGTGGGATGTTATGGATGGAATTAAAGGCACTACCAAGAAAGGAACTAAGGCGCTTGACCGATTGAAAGTCGTTTGGCGTTATCCAACCCCTTCCCAACTTGGAGCACCAGAATCGAACGAGGAAAGCGCAGCCCCCATTCCTGGCCAAACGATTACCGAGCCCGAACCGGGTGAGCCTATCCCTGAAAGTCATCCGGCCGATTGGCACGGCCTAAAGATACAGTACGACGGCGTGGGAGTCTCACGGGACCAGGAGAATACCCCATTACAAGTTTCGAAATCGCAAGAGAATCAATCGGAGGACATGAAGTCCCAAGCGAGTAATTCTACCCAGACTGGTATCAGCACAACGGCCGCCAGTGCGGCAGCAACCGCTGTCCATTCGACACAGGAGCTGAGGGAGGAATTAGGGCCAAGGAAGCAGACGACTGAGAGTCAACACGTCAGTCTTGCAGAAAGCGATGATAACTCGCCAGTCCTAGGTCGCCGGAAATGCAAGGCAGCCGAAAAGAAGGAAGGGCTGTCGACACAACACCTGCAAGAAATGGAAGAAGACGGAGATTTCGAAGGCACCCAGCCCTATTTTGAAATTGGCAACTGTCAGGATGGATCTTCCCGTGTTGGAGACGAGTCCACAAAGAACAAATAACTAGAGCATTCTCTTTCTTATCCCTCTGTGCTTGTGAGGTGCAAAAAGGTATATACGGTATTTTAGACGGAGTTTATTAATAGACAGATATAACCATAGATTTTCAATGAGTAACCAGTCCACGTGGACTTCTCATGTTGTATACAAAAAATAAAACTTCCAAAGTAAAAGTACAACTAGTGGTAGTTATGGACATAGGAGTGTTGGAGGCTCACAAAGAACAATCCATTTCACAAACAAGGTTAGATGAATTTATTCTCTAAGGTTTAAAGTATTCAAACATATTAACTTCACACACACGCGCGTGCGCGCGAAAAGTACATGCAGATACAAATATGACAACGTAGTACATCAGGCTACAGTGGAACGAAGCCTTCCATACAACGTCGATGTTCCTGTTCCTCTCGCTGCAGTCGATCGGACTTCTTACGTTCATAAACAGCCCTTACCACGCGCTTGACCTGGTCCTCGCCGTGCGCGAAATTAGCCCTGGCGAGACCCACGACCGAGTCGATCTGTTCAGGCGTATACACAAAGTTCCAGGTGGAGAGGAAATCATCCACATCCGGGTCGATAGAGTTGGGCTTCGGAGATCCGGTAGGGGCCTTTAAGGAGGATGCCTTTCCCTCTAAACGGCCGGCGATTCGGGGTCTCGAGGGTGGCGGACTCGGAGGCAACTCTGGAGCAGAGGGGTTGGGAAGGAAAGGGAAGTAAACGACGGCGATTCCTGCGTCAGGACGCATTAGGTGAAAGTCGGATTCGGATTCGTCGATACTATTCGGAAGGAAGAGACGCTTGGATGGTGGTGGTTCCTCGTCAGAGACTCTTTCCTGCTTTATGCCGACCCAGACATTGCAGTAGTCCAAATCAGTGTCTTGAGGACGGTGGTGGTCACTAGTTCCCTTTGGATTTTGGGCATCCTTGACCTTTTTGTTCAGTTTGTCCGTGGTGATGTTCTCTGGTTCCCGGAGAGTCTCTTCCGTTTCTTTCAGGTCTGTCTCGGCTTTGGGCCAACCGGCTCCCAGGGGCCAGCCTTTGATGCCTCGCTGTCGCGCGTATCCGTCCACAACTGAGAGCCAGTTTTCTTGTTTTATGTCGGCAGAAGCATCGAACGCAACGATGATGTCTATATCTCTGCCCGGTCTGAGTAGCGGGTATATAGGTAGGTTGTTACTCATTCCCGCATCCATAAGACGTAGATATTGGCTGTGGAATATGGACTCCGGGCAAGAAGCTGGCAGTTGGTCTTTCATGTCCAATACGTAGTTTGGGATTGTGGCAGGGTCAATTGGGTGTACTCGCACGAGATCCTCCGTTTTCCCTTGGATCAGAGAATCTATGCCTCCAAAGCCCGCGATTCCTTTTAGGGCTGGTCGAATTTCCTTATAATAGTGGGATAGTGTTGCGCAGAAAGCACTGCCCCAGACTCCCATCAACCCTGGCACGCGTAACTCCGGGGTTGGAAGATTATCCTCGGGAATCTTGTTGACGCCTCCCTTGAAATGTCGTCCTAAAGCCCAAGTCGGTATTCCGGCGCCGAGCTCCTCGCAGAAAAGTTCGTAAGGTGTGAATTCAAACCATTGAAACCAAGCTTCGTTCTTGGACTTTCTCATCAGTGTCTCTGGCGTCGGTTGCTTCTTATGATGACTATCTTCGTCGTTCAGGATGGGTATTTCATGACGAACCGCTGTGTAGATGGGAAGGGGATGAGACCCATCAGTTATATTGTGGCTCTGGTTAGACAATTTTAAGTCACGATCCGAAACCCCAAGTTCTCCTTTCGGTACGAGCAGTCTGGCGGCCAGCAACAGGCCGTAGATGTCCACGAGACCGAAATCTGCACCGGGATCACCTTTCAACCTTTCAACCAAGCCGCTCAGAAGATGCTTATTGGTAGGAGCGGCTGTAAGTAAATCAAGCGCTTTGGGTGGGAATGCAATATGCACACCCAGCCTGCTCTTCAGGTGATCGACGAGCTTATTGAAATTGCGTCCAGTGATTGTCGAATGGTATAATGTTTGCAGCCAGCAACTGCCGCTCACACCAGCTGTATACGTGACACAATCCCATAGACCAGCTTCCTGAGCAGCTAAATACGATCCAGTGCCAGCCACAAGGGCGCGCAGGCCGCCACCAGAGCCACACATAGCAATTATCGGTACGTCGTCGGGGTGTATGTCCTCCTCAGCAATATTCAGATAAGCCGCAAGTGCTTTCACTGAATGCTGCTTCCTCTTTCTCCTGAACACCAACTCATCGTCGCAGAGGCTACTGCCAACACGGACCCTGGCCTCGCGTAATATCTCGGGGTTAATGTCCGGGTCGTGGGCCTCCTTCCAGATATTATCTGCGAGAGAACCAGGAGACATCGAAAGCTCATGCTGGAGTTTCTGTACAGTCGCTGGAAGCAATCGAGTCCAATCGGGAACAATATAGCTCTTGAGGCTGTCTAGTTCAACCCAATCGGCCGAGCCAACTGACTGCTTTACTCCATCGAACCTATGCATAATACTTGCCCAAACCGAGCCTCCCTCGCTTAATTGAGCATTTTCTTCGAGAATATTGTCTGTGAAGTCCTTGTCAGAAGGCTTATTGTGCCAATTGTCGGCTCTCCACGTACTTGAAGTGGAAATGAATGCATTCTGCTCTGATTGTATAGGTGACCGCCGTGTTCGAGATGCGCGTTCGCCTGTAGAGTAGAGCAGTCCACTACCCAGGGCTATTAGAGCCGCGGGAGGGACCGCCCATCGCAAGCTCAGTGCCTTTGCAGCACCCATATTGAGATGGGTACTGCGGAAGGAAGGGCGCGTAGAGGGCAACATGCGACCTTTAAAAGGCCATTGCGCTGGTGGGCCAGACCATGACGATCCTCGTTCACTCTAAGCTGTATGATGTAATGTCACGTGGAAAGAGTATCCGGGAGAACCTGACGGCCCGATGATGCCTATTTTGGGACTAGCAATGTCTTCTGGGAGGCTCTACTTTTGAGGCGGCGAAACCTCCCTTCAAACAATCCGATCATGCTTGCTTCAGGAGGCCAGGCGCCTCGGCTTTCTGTTTTCAAAGGCATGACGTTCTTTCTGTCGTGATAATCTTGCGATCGGAGTGGACTAGTTTTCTAAACAGTTGATGTTGGTTGTGGGACCTTGTGGATCGAGCGCTTCCTGATCATGGTTACCCCAAGGAATACCGCCTATGCGGAGGAAAGCGCCGAAGTAGAGGTGCTGTACGCCAACCTCGAGAAGCTCAAAGTTCTCACCAAGAAGATTCAAGGTTCCCTTGTGCGCGTTGAGACTGGAGGCAACGTGGTGAAGCATGCCATCGGCCCCATATACAGTAATACACAGTCGCTTCAGATCACCAACAACAACATCGATAAGATCAATGAAGCCATTGATCGCCTGCGCCAACCACTTGATGCTAAGAATCGAGAGGAGGACATCATTCGTGCTGGGTAAGAGACTCTGCTTAAAATTTCCAGGCACCTTTTTGACCTAAGTATGCTTTTCAATAGCCCCCAGGATGTTGAACTGTCGCAATACCTCTCGGCCATGAAACGCGTGGAAAAGGCCTTGATTGATCTCAATTCAACAAATTTGCGATCAAATCAGAAAGCTATCTCCGATTTCTCGTCTTTATTGAGCACCGGCACCATCAAGATCCAAGACTTGTTCCGCAGCGAATTAAGCCGGCATGTCAGCCCTATCGAGCCGCTGCATTACTTAACAAAAGGTGGGCATGCCATCCCAAGTATACCGATAACCCTAGCTTAGCTGCTTACCTGTCTAATTGTAGAGCTTCCGTTTCCATCAATCCCCGAAGAGACGATTGCAGAATTGGCACCCATCAGCGCTGCGATTAGCTCGGCAGCACCTCATGGACCCCAACGCGGTGAAGGCGGAAACCCCACACTCAAAATATTCGCCGATATCCGTGGACCATATATGACCAAGAGCCTACAGAATCTTGCCATAGCATCGTTGAATACGGTCAAGCGGAGGGCCACAGATGGCCCCTATAAGCAAGGTACTAATGGGATTGGTATTTACTCGAATGCCTTGGAGGGGTTCATATATACCGAACATGATATTATCTCGCGGATTTTCACAGGTGGCCAGCAGGGACTGGCTCTCCACGCCACCTGTCGTTCTGCGCTGGCCGAATACTCAAAGACACTGCGTGAGCTTAACCAATACATAAAGGCAAATCTTATGACAGACTGCTTCCTAGCCTTTGAGATTATCGAGATTGTGACTACTATGTCCTACCGTATAGACTCCAAGACTGGGGAACTCAAGAGTGTATTTATTGAAGCTCTGAGACCAGTTCGCGAAACCGCCAAATCCTCTCTTACCGAATTGCTTGAGGAAACCAAGCGCAGGGCTGGGAATATCGCCGTGCTCCCACCCGACGGTGGATCTGTACCTCTTGTCAATGAAGTCATGAACGCTCTCACTACATTGACTAGTTATTCGGGGCCGCTGGCATCTATCTTAACCTCTCTAGGCGATGGCAATTGGCGTTCTACGTCAAACACATCTGTCACTCCATTGGATGTCAGCCCTGACAGCTTGACACTCCTCACTCATTTTATTCTTGACATGGTTGAGGCTCTTATGATTGCACTGGAGTCTCGGGGCAGGGCATTTCACCGCTCTAAAGCCGTTCAGGGGGTCTTTCTTTCAAATGTGTTCTGCAACGTTGATCGGTCCATTCGGGGTAATTCAGACTTGGCAAAGTACCTTGGCTCTCCCGACAGCATCACGCGGATAGACACCTTCCGTAAACGTGCCATCTCGACGTACTTGGACTCCTGGAAAGAGACTTCACATTATCTCCTCGATGTGCAATATACATCTCGAGGGGCTGGTGGCTCAGCCCGGCCTACGTCCGGGGGTGCTGTGGACTCCACTTCCATAGTGAAGTCTCTTTCTTCTAAAGATAAGGATGCGATTAAGGAAAAGTTCAAGGCGTTTAACGCTAGCTTTGATGAAATGCTGGCCCGCCACAAGGGTTTGTATATGGAGCGAGAGGTGCGTGGGGTGCTTGCCCGTGAGATACAGGCAGTCCTTGAGCCTCTGTACGCACGTTTCTGGGACCGCTACCATGAAATCGACAAGGGAAGGGGCAAATATGTCAAGTATGACAAGGGGAGTCTTTCTGCACAGCTGGCAGCACTGTCATGAAATAAATCAGGCGTTGTGATTTACAATTGAGCTCACAGTTATACATAGAGCATGGCATTGTGCCCAGAGGGGATAATGATGTGTTCAATGCAGACGCCTCCAGAATCTCATGGATCCCCATAGTTTAATATGATAATTCTTTTCACTGCAAACGAGAATGGATGGACCGGATAATATACAAATCATGTGATGATAGCCCCTCCAGATAACGTGACTGATAAGCGGAAGACCCCGCTAAGGCCATACGGTCTCGCCCACTGCAACACAAAATTTCCCAGAGTAGCGCACACAGCTCTCGTCCTCTTACCCTTCCACCAGGTGCCGCTCAATTGCTTCTGAAACCTACCAATTTCATTCTGACAGGATGTCGGCAAACAATGATGTCTATCAGACCCCACTCAACTCGCGTTATGCGAGTATGTATCCCCTCCCGCATTTACCTCCCCGTAAATCATCCACTATGACACTAATTGCAATGCCAATTGATCTATAGGCAATGAGATGAAGTATCTCTTCTCTCCGAGAAACCGGTTTTCTACCTGGAGACAGTTGTGGCTTTGGCTCGCCGAATCCCAGAAAGGTACCATTTGTCCTTCTACTCACCAATCTTTGCTCTGAATTGCACCTGTCTTCAGCAGACTCACTAGCACAGAACTGGGCCTGCCTATTACCGACGATGCGATCGAGCAGATGAAGGCCCACATCACCATCCAAGATGACGAATTCAAGGTTGCCGCAGAGGAAGAGAAGCGCCGGAGACACGACGTCATGGCCCACGTCCACGCCTTCGGCCAGGTTGCACCTGCTGCCGCTGGAATTATCCATTGGGGTGCTACTTCGTGCTACTGCACCGACAATGCCGACCTGATCTTCCTCCGTGATGGCCTCGATATCCTCATCCCCAAGCTCGCCGTCGTGATCGATAAGTTGGCTGCGTTCGCCAAGGAGTACAAGAATCTGCCTTGCCTTGGTTTCACCCACGGACAGCCTGCTCAGCTGGTTACCGTTGGAAAGCGTGCATGCCTATGGCTTCAGGACCTCCTTATGGATTTGAGGAACCTTGAAAGGGCACGTGACGATTTGCGTTTCCGTGGAGTCAAGGGCACCACCGGTACTCAGGCCTCTTTCCTCCAGATTTTCGACGGTGATCACGACAAGGTTGAGCAGCTGGATGAACTGGTTACCGAGAAGGCTGGGTTTAACTCGGCCTTTATCATTTCCAGTCAAACGTACTCGCGCAAGATTGATGTCGATGTCGCCAATGCCCTTGGTTCTTTCGGCTCCACTTGCGAGCGCATTGGTATTGACATCCGTCATTTGGCAATGCTGAAGGAAGTTGAGGAACCTTTTGAGAAGGATCAGATTGGCAGCAGTGCAATGGTCAGTCACTGCATGGTTATGTTGAAAGAGTTCCTGGACTAACCACAACTATATAGGCTTACAAGCGCAATCCTATGCGTTCTGAGCGTCTGTGCTCACTGGGAAGGCACCTACAAAATCTTCCCAAGGATGCCGTGGATACCTACTCGGCACAATGGTTTGAGCGCTCTCTGGTAAGAGAACTGTGGCATTTGTTAGCCAAGATCACTTTTGGTTAACGTCTATCAGGACGACAGCGCTATTCGTCGTATTAGCATCCCAGAGCTCTACCTCTCTGCTGATGCCTGTCTCATCCTTCTTAGTGAGTCCAATCCAAATTCAAGCGTGAACTAGGTAGCTGATTATACCCAGACAACGTCACTTCCGGGTTTGTCGTTTACCCTGAGGTTATCCGACGACGTGTCAACGATGAGCTTCCGTTTATGGCCACGTATGTTCCCCAAATTATACGCACTAAAACAATAGAGTCTGCTGCTAACTATTTCAACAGTGAGAACGTAAGGCTACTAATGAATTATTTCTAAATAAAGAGGATACTAATTGGATCCAGATTATAATGGCCTGCGTGAAAAAGGGTCTCTCCCGCCAAGATGCACACGAGGAAATCCGTATGCTCCACTACTTCCTTCATCCATCTCACATGCCTACCGATTCCTAACAAGACTATCCATTTTACAGGAGTCCTATCCCACCAAGCAGCAGACAACGTGAAGAAACACGGCAAGAACAACGACCTTCTCGATCGCATCCGTCGTACCGCCTTCTTCGCTCCCATCTTGGATGAGCTCGACAGCCTCCTTGAACCCAGTACTTTCGTTGGCCGCGCTCCCCAGCAGGTGGAGAAGTTTACCTCGACTGAGATCAAGAAGGCCCTCCTGCCGTACGAGTCTCACCTTCTCAAGGCTGAAACCTCTGCCCTCTATGTTTAATGTTCCATAAATGTTTCCCTTGCCGGCTGACAATTCAACGGCTACCCTCTACGTCTAGAAATCCGTTTTCCAGATGGAAGGTACCGCCTCGTTAAAAACGCTCATCAGCCATAGATTAGCAAATTTTTGGAATGTGCAATAAAGATTGAAATATTTGTGTGTGAGAGAGGAGTGAGAAGGCGGACTATAGAGTCTGTCCGCACTATTTTGTGTATATAGTAATTCTGATGATTTGAGATGATTTCGAAACTTCTGGAGATCTGAACTGCTTTTCGAGTGCTCTCTTTACCTAATTAATTACCCAGATATTGGTTTTATTTAACTTTATCTTTGCCATAGAAGTTCACATTTCTCACCGATTCTTGAAAACAGAAAAAGAAAAGTATAGTCTGAGTCCTCTGAAGATGTTTGGATAGTGTTATGCAGTATTTTACCATAAAAATATCAAGGATAATAATAAACAACAGCTACAAAAAAAAAAAAGAAAGAAAAGCTTGATAGGCCAAGGAGGGGGAATCGAATGGCTGGCTTATCTAAACAATAATTTAATAATTAACTATCTAGTTTCTAACAAATTTTTGCTCTTGTACTTATTTTTGTTTCTTTATGAGTTTTTGTTTCCGTTATTGCCCCATCTATCTATTTTCTATCCTAGTATGTTCATAACAGCCATAACCGGATATTTCCAAGACAATTTTTCTAGTTTGCACGGATATCCAATGTGTCAAGGACCAGCGGGGTGGTGACCATACCAGTGGAGGGTTTTCCCAGTCTTGCCTCCTTGTTTCACATTTTTTTTCTTTTCTTTTTTGTGGTTAGCAAGGAGAGTGAATACTGACAAGGAACAAGTTGATGTCACAACCGAAATATGAATGTAAAGATGAATGAAATGAAACAATATTAAGAGATTATGAAATTCTATTTAAATTGTTAACAAAAATCAGTAAAACAATATTTTAAGGTTCAACATAGAGTAATAGAAGAGGGAGTATTAAATGACATATCCATGGCTGGTAGGATGAAAAGCTGCAGAGAACTTACCTGTAGATCATAATTCAAGTAATCCAACGGAACACATAGAAATTGATAATGCATAGCTAGGCATGCATGCCATGTGCCATGTGTAGCCAAAACATTGAAAGATACAACGATCGACTTGTGACTTGACCCGCTTGTTACACGGTGATAGATTCACTAGATCACCGACAGCCAATTGATGATCTAGAAAAAGGATGTCAGCCAGAGATCTGATTTGTGCAACAGTCAAAAGCTTACCATCATCGCCTGCATCAGAGCCACCTTTTCTCCGTAGTGCACTCCATCCCAACTATCAGCCTGCAGCGTGGCGTTATACATGCCAAGAACATCCATCTGTCTACTATGAGCTGCTTTGGTGGTATCCAGTGTATACTGCCAGCTTTTCGCATGGACATTATCTCCAGGAGGCCTTTGGTGACCGGGTGCAGTGGGTCCTACCCAGAGGAAAGGGGTTGTTCGTCCGCTAGATCTTGCCAGTGCTACCCATTCGTCCATGCTGTCCTTAGCTATGGGCAAGGAATATGAGGTTGAAAGCGAGAGGCTGTGAATCACAGGAATAGGCTTTTTCTTTTCGCCCGCTTCGGTGATAAATTGACGGAAATTTTCATGGTGACTCTTTGAGGCAGGTGAGCCAGTTGTGGTGACAAAGCTATGATAAATTCCTGAATGGCATGTCTGATCAGCATCTGAGACTAAACGCATTGGATGAGATAAAAATGGATAGGCGTTAAAATGCTCACGAGTTGGACAAATGTACGGGCTCTGAGTTGTCTTGCCCTCCTGCTCATATAATTCATCACTTGAGGCAATTCGCAGCGGGAGGCATGAGGCATCAGTGAACTGCGAGTCACAGCTGCACTTGTAGCCAAGCTCTTCATCAATCTGCCATTCTTTCAGAGACCCAACCTCCATGTTCTCGCGAAGAAGGATGTTCAATCCAGCATAGACATCCGCAAGGGATTTGTCGCCAACAAAAACCACACCATCGAACTTGTGCAGGATATCACACACTTGAGAACTGGTATACCAGTGGTACAAGCAGCCTATCCAATGTTAGAGCTAGTTAATGCAGGAAGAAGTTATGTTCCCAGCGACAACTGAGGGGCGTATAGCATACCTTGTGAAGTATAGGACGCGTCAAACCCATGCCTTCCACCATTGCTCATGGCACTGAGTAGCGAATCCTTTGTCTGGCAGTATGATTTGCTTGGAATATGGCTGTCGCTGTCCTGCGGGGGCTGGTAGAGGGACAGAGAAGAAATGCCACATCCTTGACGGCCCACGAACTGAGCCAACCAGCTACAGATCGAGTCGCAGATCAGTATGGTGATGCTGAGCGGTTTCGAGGGAATCGAAAAGCAGCCAGGGGCCTCGGAGCGACTCACTCGTTGGCAGCAACGGCGGGGTTGGACGTCGAGGGCGTGAAGGGAAGATAGAAGATATCGCGGATAAGCCAGACGATGTAGAGGACACCCAGCACCCAGAGCGATGCCATCAGCTTGTAGGTGGAAGATCGCCAGGTGACTCTACGAATCAACCTGCGTCCGTTGGGCCCTTCGATCGGACCACGCCGCTGGGGCTGTCTGTGATTCTGCTGCATGCCAGAAAAGGGAGATGCAGCGGTCTCGTTCATCGCAATTGATTCGCTGTGGGACTGGCGCCGACGAGACATGGTTATCTTCGTTTACATGCAAGAGAAGTAGAAGGAAGGTGAGTAGGAGATAAGATCGGACTGTTAGGGAAGATGCATCTGTCAAACGGCAACGAGTGAGATCTGGGCTGTTCTTTCTAGGGGTACAAACAGAGGTTCAAGAGATTGATTGGGGGAAATGGAGCCACGAGATCCGGAGAGGACCAAACAGAGTTGGGAGGGGTTGCAGTAATGCGATCGTGATTATGGATGGATAGATGGATAAGAGGATTGATCGATTGATTGGGAGAGGGGCTCGAGGACTTTTTTTTCTCTGGTTTCCCCAATTGGAAATTGGCTGCTTTCTCCAGCTGTCTCTGCTTTTGCTTCTCTATTCTCGCTCTCTCTCTCTTCCTCTCTCGTATCGTTGTCCTGTCTGGTTTGTCCTGTCTGGTTTGTCCTGTCTGGTTTGCTTTCCTTTTTTTTTTTTTTTTTTTTTTTTCTTCAGACTCGTCGACCCAGTCCAAATGCTAACCCCCAAATATTCTTCTAAAGGGCTTAATTGAACCCAGGCTTCTTTGTGCAACTGAACAAGATGTTGGGAGGAAGCACGGAGGGAAGGAATACTCCCATCTAATTTATGATAATGATCCTCCCGTACGCACAAACCAACTCCACCAGGGAAGAACTGCAATAATAATAGAAATTCACTAACAGTCGAGTCGGGCAGTCAGTAATAAAGAACCGAAGAGGGGCCGTGGTAATTTTTCCCCTGAATTGGTGCGTTTAGGGGCAGAAATTTGGCATCAACAGCATGAAAGCGAAAAAGGTAATCCTGAAATTTGCGGATCCTCTTTTATTAATTTCATTTATTAACTATTGATTTATTATTTTTCCTCTTGGTCTCTGTCCTCTCACACCAGAGACAGCGTAACCGAGATTTTTTTTTTTTTTTTTTCAGATTTCGTGTCGCTCAAGTTATACTCTACCAGGGCAAAAAAAAAAAAAAAAAAAAAAAAAAAAGAACAAAAACAAAAACATCACACCCCAATCAAAGCTTCTGAAGGAGCTTTCAACGCAGGTTTGCATCATCGTTATCGAGACCAACTCACAAAGCAAACGGAATTGCTGAGTCAATGACAAGAGCAATAAAGTGAATGGAGAATTAATGAAAACTCATCACTGCACGCACCAGAAGCATTTAGATGGGTCGATTCCACAATTTACCATGATGAGCTGAAGCTAGTCACATTTTCTAGGAAAGAAAGAAAGGAAAGGAAAGGGAAAAAAAAAAAAAAAAAAAGACTACGTACTTGTCTCCAACCGAACCTGATTGAGCTTCTGAACCGGCCGAAAATCGGCCTAACTGGCTGGTGTCAGGATTAGGGTTTATTATTCTTATCCAAACGGTGGATTTTCCCCCTCCAACAGTCGCACTGGCGCAGAAGAGGACAAAAAAAGCCCAGGTTAGTAGATGAGGGCCCAGACATCATATCCACCTGCGACGGTATGATAGCCAGTCGGAGACAGAGAATCACCACTGCCAACTGTTCTGGTTGGTGGATCAGACAGCTGTCAGGAATAATCGTCGGAGCTATACCAAGTGCTTCGCACGCTGAGGAAAAAAAAAAAAAAACCTAATACTGATCTTGATGATGGCGACTATTACCAGAAAAGAACTCCTAATCGCATGCCAACTCAGTTAGGGAATTATACTAATCGACGGACTCCTGCGATGCTGCCCCAGGATACTCGCCCCAGGGTTGGCTTCTGGAAACTCACCGTACTACATTAGGCTAAGGTAATGTCCAACCACGCCGGCTTTTCACAAGTTGGGGCTAATCTTAATTAATATTGATTGTTTTTTCTTGGTGCTTCATTCTCGCATCCACTTTCTTTCTTGAGAGCATTTTAATTTTGGAGTACATATTTATGTAGGATGTGGCTGCAGGATCATGTCATCGTTGTCTTTATCAGTGATCAGGATTAAGTTCAAGGATAGATGATTGGACTTCCGACTCAAGGTCTGGACCAACAAAAGGACGATAGGCATCGCCTTAAGTTTTAAGTAGACAGCAATTATTCTTCCATAACCCTGTAACCCTGTCGATGGGGAAAGGAAGAAAAAGAAAAACTTTTCAGCCCAACGCGAGTATGACAGCAACAAGATGTAAGGATGGTGGAGACCTCTCTCCCCTAATGCAGTCAACATCATCGGCGACTGTCCGTCTTGCTTTATTCTGCCTGTTCTACGGAGATATTCGATGAGCCAATCCCCTTCTGAGAGAATGCCAGATATACCCCCACAGACTGTGACGGTCCGAGGCCGTAGAGAGGGCTCTAATCAGGGTCGTGGTCTAAATATACTTAATGGTTGTGGGTAAACAGCCTCTGAGCCTAGGCGGTTAGAATAAACGATTTGCTCCGATGCGGAGGGGAAAACGAAAGATTTTCGGACGAAGGGGAAACTCGGACCAGGTTCACGTTCTCATCGGCAATATCCTCAAGGACCAAAGAAATCAAGACACTGGCTTTGATTGCGGTCTGCTTCAGAGGTAAGTTCACTTCAGGCTTGGGAATAGTGGAGACACTTTTCTTCTCGCAGAATCCGGAATACTCTCAAGATATACTCTAGGACTAGGTATATTGTGCGGAGTAGTTCCAGGTATACAGAATCTCCTGAGCATCGGATGATCGATTTGCTTCTTCCTCGGCCGCGCACGGGATCAACCCCCCCCCCACACGTGACCCCCCCAGGAATTCGAGTCTCCGCAAAAAGACTCATCATCCTCATCGTCTCCCCTCTTTGTCGTGAAGTTGAACGAGCCATTTGGGTGGTGGTTGCTTCTCTCCATTCTTTCTCCTGTCTCCTTTTCCAACCTCATATCTTCTCCTTCCTGTGTGCCATTCACTGCCTCGTTTCTTCACTGTCACGGGGTCATTAGACTACTGCTACTACTGCCCGCCACTCCGGAGCTAAACTAGTCAACCTCGGTAGCCATTTGTCTCGCTGTGCAGTCAATAGCTTATTGTTCGCCTTTCCCCTTCACAAGAGCTGTCACATTGTTTGGTTTTATCGATCGTGGAAACCAGGCCATCGGGCCTGAATAGTTTCAGACACCATGTGGAAGCCGTCGGAGAGGCTGGTGGAAACCATCAGACATTATGCCAGCTTCCCCGCCACTGGTGTATCCTTGCGGCAGATGGTCCAATTTGGAGACAGGCCATCAACCGGTAGGCCCATCATACATCCACACATTTCATATCTATTTTCTACCGGATTTTATTTTTGGAAAACCTACAATTTTAAATGATAGCCCGAAGCTAATCATGATCCTTAAAGTAGGGACCCTATTCCGCGCCTCGCAATTCCTTTCGGAGGAACTTCCCATTCGTTTAGCGCATCGAGTTCAGGACTTGGGTGAGCTGCCCGATGGCCTCAGCGAGATGCCCTCCATTAAAAAAGTACAGGATTGGTATGCACAGTCATTCGAGGTATGACTCATCTCCCTCTGCTCCTTTTATGGCTGGGGCTGATATACTTTCAAGGAGATTATCACCTTGCCCCGACCGACTCTTACCCAAGAAGTAAAATCTCGGTTGTTACGACCCGGACGGATGAACGGTGGTGTTTCGAAGGTCCTTTCGGAGACAACTCAAAACCCTAGTATAAAAGAAGGACAGTATCGGTCCTCTCCTTCGTCTTCACTGAACGGTAATGGGAATGGAAAAGCAGCAGCGGCTGCCGCCCGGAGATATTTCGTTCCATCGGACGACCAAGGCAATTGGCCGCCGGAGTTGAATGACTATAATGAACGTTTTGCAAAGACACTGCAGCACATAAAACGTCGACATGACAGTGTTGTGACTACTGTGGCCCAGGGTATTTTGGAATGGAAGCGCAAGCGTCAGCGGCTGCAGATCGACTCCACGGTTCAGTCTTTCCTCGATCGCTTCTACATGTCTCGGATAGGTATACGAATGTTAATTGGTCAACACATCGCTTTGACGGAGCAAACGCATGTGCGTCATCCAAACTACGTCGGGATCATCTGTACCAAGACAAATGTTCGAGAAGTGGCTCTTGAGGCTATTGATAATGCCCGTTTTGTGTGTGAGGATTACTACGGACTATTTGAGGCACCTAAGGTTCAGCTTGTCTGCAAAGATGACCTAAATTTCATGTACGTCCCGGGCCACTTGTCTCACATGATCTTTGAGACATTGAAGAACTCGCTGCGTGCTGTGGTGGAAACCCATGGTGCAGATAAGGAGGCCTTCCCGGTCACCAAGGTTATAATTGCCGAGGGCAAAGAAGACATCACGATCAAAATCTCGGATGAAGGCGGTGGAATCCCCCGTTCGGCCATTCCTTTGGTCTGGACGTACATGTACACCACCGTGGAACAAACGCCCAATTTGGATCCCGACTTTGACAAGAGCGACTTTAAAGCTCCTATGGCCGGGTTTGGATATGGCCTGCCGATCAGTCGTTTGTATGCTCGGTACTTTGGCGGAGATCTGAAGCTGATCAGTATGGAGGGGTAAGTCTATTTATTCTAGAAACTATGCTAGGCCAGTTTTTTAGAGACTAACACTGCATATAGATATGGCACAGATGTATATCTACATCTGAATCGTCTTTCCTCGAGTTCGGAACCTCTACAATGACAACTACCAGTCATGAGGGATGGTCGTGTCCGGTTTTCCACTTCCCATCGTCTGCATCCTTTCTACTCGGAACCCGATCCACCACCATCTCAAGGATTGACGCCAATGAATATTCAAGCTGCACGTGCGCAGATGCGCACCAGGGAAGTTTCCGAACGCAAGCAAGTTGGAGATGCAGAAAGTCGGCTTAACGTGGAGAGATCGGGAAATTAAAGGCACTATAACACGTTCGTCCTTTGATATTTCAAGTTAGCCTTCGGGCAACCTCCTGCATGCCTTGGACTTGACTTACTGAACATTCACTCCGTCTTGTGAGCTATTAGGACCACCTTTTTTTTTTTTTTTTTTTTTTTTTTTTTTTTTTTTGCTTTGGTCGCTAGACAAAAGATGACTCTTGAGACAAGTGAAGCTTTTGGCTAATCCTATCTGCCACCCTCTATCGCCATTGAATGACATGCGTCGGTATATTCGGTCAATAATAAAGATCGATAGACGATAAAGGTCAATATGATACCCATTGATACCATTTCACTTTGGGGTAGCAGTTTTTGGAGCAAAAGTTGCGCGCATTTTGTCATATGTTTTGGTGGTCTACTTGTAGATCAGATTTTTGTCTTTTTCTTTCTTTTTTTTTTATTTTCTTTTTTTGCGCCTGTTTTCTTGTTTATGGATCTTCTTTTCTTGTCAATCTTTTTGTACAGTAGATTACGCATCGTGTTGGGATTTTACGGTATGAACGGCCTATGTAGGGACAAGGTGTATACAACGAGCCAGTATATGAATTGAATGCTTTCACATGATTTGTGTTCCAATCCAATCGTGCCGCTCCGCTAATAGTCAGCTGTAGCTAACTATTTGTTAAAATCATACCAGAGTTATCTCATAAAATAGACAGTCCATCCATCGACATCTCAGACCACAAGTATACCGAAATCAACATAAGAAATCACCAGTAGAAGCTTCAGAGAAGTAAATAAAGCTAATAAGGTAAATCAAATACCCGATTCTCCCTCTCCGCACCACTCCATCCCCTTCGTCTCTCCCACTCCCGACGAGTACGAGTACTACTACTACCCGACGACGTGGTCGGATTCTTCCCTTTCGGTCCTCGCGCTCGATCCTTATCGGGCGTCATCCTGGTGCCCTTTTGTTTCGACGACCCCGCCGCCGGCGACGAGAAATTCGACGACGCGCTGCTCCCTCCTCCTCGTCCATTGCCGGCAGCTCCATCAGGCCGACGCCACCCCAAGTCATCAGTACCATGCACATCGACGATACTCCGATGAACGATCATCGGGGCCGTCGTTGACATCGACATCGACGCCCCCGTCGAGGACGACCGATGTTGGATGATGAAGCGATCTGCACGAAGAGAGGTCGCTACGGCAGGATCCTCCGGAGCCATGAGCTTAGCTAAGAAGCGACGACGGGCTTGAGGGAGGGTCTAGGCAGTTTATCAGCTATCAGGTCCCATCGTAATTAAGCCAGTGTCAAAAACTTTTTAAAATAAATAAGAAGAAAGAGGGACCCAACCTCCTGAGCCACCAACGCCTGTGTAGTCAATAATTCCCGGTCCATGAGGACAGACAACGCGGCGTGTCTTTCTTCTCGTAGTCGACTGCGGACTTTCTTTTCTTGCTCGATGGACGTATGGTACGGTGAGACTGAGCCGCGGACGCGCATAGATGATGACCCGACTCTATCAACTTCGTATCCTTGTTATTACCATATTAGCTTAGATTTTTTTTTAAAAAAAAAAAAAAATAGGGGAAGTGAAGGACTCACGAGGACCTCCTATTTCGCGTTGTTGAAGTGCGGGCTGGTCGATTTGCACGGCCCCGTCGCTGTTATTGTTGTTGTTGCTGTCGTCGCTTTCGCTGTCGCTGGGGATCATGATCGGGTTGTTGTTATTGTTGTAGGGACGGAACATCTTGGAAATGGAATTGATCGCTCGTTCTTGGTAGATATTAATCAATTGTTAAAGCGAAAACTATTTAATAATAAGATATATATCACCATCATATATCTGTGAAATTGCTGAATACAAGGCTAGTTGATCGAAAATCTGGATTTGTACAGACAATAAACCATATCATTGAGATAGGTCCAATTCCCCTGTCCAGCAGGTACCACGAATGGAGGTGGCGATTGGATGAATATTCAAGAAGACAATAACTAGATGGTGACGCAGAAGCGCATGGAGTTGCTAAATGCCATGCGCGCTGCTTAGTCACCTGATTTCTCAGATTGCTCAATTCGGTAACTAGTCGGAATACAGACAAATTCAATGTTGTTGTCTCCAAGTCCACAAAACATCCAATGACTATGAACATTAACACACAATCCATTGAATAACACTTGGAAAGAATTAACCTCTTGAGTACCGTTTCCGATCGAGGAAGCGTTTCTATAGAACAGCTCAATTACCTAAACTCCATCTGGCAAGGCCAGTCAAGCAGGAAGACATAAGAAAGAATGAAGTATGAATAAGGGCTCATGTACACAATACAAAGAAGCAATGGGTACCAACATCAGGAGTCCATGAATATAGATACACAAAGATATGAAAGTGTCAACTAGCTCTAAGCCTCCCAAGCCCAGCGATCGTCATAGGTCCCAAATGAACGCGCCCAACGCCAGCATTCAAGGCCGCTAAACCAGAAGACATGCTAGGAGTATTAAATAGTCACTTCTGGGGGTCCCAACTCTCATCCGTCATGAGCAAGGACAGGTGAAAGAAAGCAACACGATCTACTGGATAACTCATCAGTAGCCTAGCAGCCATGCATGAAGAAGTTTTTAGGCCATTCATATCCAGCATCGGTCCTGTGAAGGTCAGTAAAGTAGGGTTTGAGGGTGGCAGAGGCAGGCACCCACTCACCACGTAGTCTTATTCACATTGTTATATGCGTTGGGATGGTTGGCTATGTATTCTGTCGTCTCATAACCTGGCGGATCGCAGGTGACGCTGATGTTGTCCGGATCTTGGTAGATACGGATATAATCGAAGCGCATGTACCCGGGCATAAGGTTTCTAATGGACTTGTTAATCGGGGCAAAACTCTCGGCCATACCCAGATTCATCACAATGGCTAGCGGCTCCATGGGGATCATGCGCTGGCCAATGTTGCCATTCGGCCCTATCGCCCTCCCATCCAGAGTCCAGGTCTTATCCTCTCCGACAAACCAGGTGACGCTACCATCACCACCCGGTGAATATTCAAAGGCATAAGTCTGGTATTCTGTGCCGTTATACCACTTGTTATTCAAGTTGGTAAGACCAGACATGGCTTGCTGAAATTCACCACCACGATAGTCATTGATCTCCGTTATTGTTGGATCATATACTGCGGTGAAATCTGCTCCCTTGTCAGATACAGACGAGTCCGACGGGTTAGTGGTTAAGCGTACCATAATCCGGCATGTACCAGACATCAAACGGGGCCATCTGCAAACTTTGGGACACAGAGCCGATCACTGCATTACCGTTACCGTTCAAAGAGATAACGCTGGCTTCAATCACATCAATCTCAGGTGCACTCCTGGATCTACCCTGGCTAGGGTGATCTTGACCATCACACGTGCATGCTGGAAGGCGCATCCCAGGAAGATAATTGATTCCATCGGGGGAACTTTGGTTCGGAGTGATCCCGGCATCGCATTTATCGTGGTAGCTGTAGGGCCACATGCCATCCGTCGTTGCCGCATATCCCGGACGGCCTAGGTTGCCCATTGCCCAAAACCCGGGCCAAAATCCTGACACATCCCCAGATCCTGGCAAAGAAATACTGGCTTCCAAGCGGCCGCCCGTGAAGCAAAGCTTATTCCAGCTTTGCACCATTCCCGAGCGATACTTCAAGGCATGATTATTGAAGGCGTCAAACCTCAGCTCGAGGACTCCATCCTTTGTCGTAACCGCATCGGGATCATACCACTACATATCCGGTCAGCGCTATTTACTCAAATACTGAGGGGAGTGACCGACCTCGAAATCCTGCGTGACGCCATACCAAATGTCAACCGCCTGATAGTATGGATCATCTCCATCGTAAAACGTCCGACCAGGCACATTGAATTCATCGGAGAACTAAAATGGGTATCAACAAGGCTACTATGGTCGATAGTTACTAATGGCTTCCATGGCCAATGCAGACTCACCACCAGCTCCCACTCTTTGCCATCCGTAGCCTTCTTTTTCATAGCCGAGGCCGGTGTGTCCGGATCTATCAGACCTGTCCGTATGTTGGAGAGTACTGGTCGTTCCCCTACATCAAGGCATAGAGTGTCTCCCGCAGCACAGACCGAATGTTGCTTGTACATGCCCTTCACGGCAGTTCTAAAAGCAGTCAATCCCGATACCGACATAGAAGGGTGCAGGTGAAAAGGGTAAAAGGAAGCCACCGTACATCACAGGATACCCGACAAATAACATCAGGAAACCCAGTGTCAACAGAATCAGCCCACCCACATTGATCATCCCGCGACGATTCCAAATATCACAGTCCTTCTCTCCGTCGCTGGCGTCGGGATTGTGTAAATAATCATCTTTCTCCACATCTTCTGGGAACAAGAGCAATCCTTCCATGGGCATGATATTGAACTTCTCGGAGACAGTCTGCGTATTGACATCATTGTCCTCGCTTCCCGTTTGCGACGGCGCTCTGGAGTCCCCTACCTGCGTATACGCGTAATTTCGAGTATCCTGACTCGCTCCCATCGAACTCCAACTTGTCCTACGCGACGAGACCACGGAAATATTTGGGGACTGCATACTGTCATATTCCTCCCGGCGCCGGTGCGGCGGTGGAGGTATTAGAAACTCGGTAGATTCCCGGGCCTGAGATAATCTATAGACTGACTGCATTGTCCCGGAGGAATTTGAGTGAACTATTCCTGGTGTCAAGGCGCGTCCAGCGGTCTGTGTCTGCGGGGCCGACGTTTCGGTATCCTCCACATCGCCGGGGGGTTCATGTCGGCCCGAATTGATTCGAATATGAGGTGTTTCTGGTAGAGGATGAGGGTTCGTGGGGCTATCGGCCATCCTGAAAGACAGCAAATTGTCCCTTCCCACAGGCCCGGTCGTAAAATCGCCCTACACGCGTCCCAGTTCACGATAGATCTGAATCTGCACTGTTTACTTCCAAATGTACCCACCAAATCGATACCGATATTCTAGCGTTATATGGAGCAACTGATCAACTTAGTAGACGCAAAGATGATTCCATCAAGACAGACAGCTTGTAACTCTTTTGTCGAGTCCCTTTTTTATTAATTCATTCAGCAACACGTCGTATCTTCTCGGTAATGACTGGATTGAGGGTTACGGAAATGAGAGACAATTGACACGTAGTGGGCATCAAAAACACCAAACGAAGGTAACGAGTGGACAGGACAAAAAAGGCTAACACTCAAATGCCCCTTGCAAGAACCTCGACTGTATAAAAGATAGGGACGTGGAAGGTGAGTGAATGAGAACAAATATCCATGAGCCGGAATCAGGAAAGTGCAGCGACGAGCGGCAGATGAGGCCCAAATGAGGGCAACTGAAGGTGAAAATATGAACAAGCAGAAAGACTAGGAAGAGAAGAAACAGAGAACGAGCAAAGGAGGCGGGCATGAGGGTCAAGATGGCCCAGACACTCAAGGGGTGAATGCGTCAATGCCATTCCCTGATTGCCATGTCGAGGTACAAACATCTGCTATTTTTTCTTTTTTCTTTTTTCTTTTTTTTGGCCTTACCTGACAAAATCCTCCGTTAAACAAGGGGGCAAAACAAAACAAGCCCGAATTTGCGGGACAGATCCATGGCGAGTTTGAATAGCAAATCGCCCTCAAGAATGCCATAGACCCGAGTATGTCGAACCGCACCCCCTGCATGTGGAAATTGCCGTTTGCACCAAGAATTAAGTACGTGCATAGTATGTAAATAAAGTCTTCGGTGCAGGAAATAATCCAGTGATGCCTGCATGAATCTTCCGGTCCGCATAATTTGTTTGGCCTACATCTGCTGGGTCGCACATTTTGTCCACTTGTCTGCAGAGATTGTGCTTCATCTGTAGATGGAGAACTCCGCCGTGGGAGGAGCTGCAGGTGTGTGCCCCCATTCCCGAAGAAGAATCCCGTTGCTCCTGGCAGACACCGGAATGAGTGAAGAGATGAAAGAGTGGATGTTGGAATCCGAAGTTGTTGTTGCCGGTGGGTCCAGCTCAGGCGATGTATGTGTGCATGTACTCCCCGGTACCTGGTACTTCAACGGCTATCGGCACCACCATACAGTAATTATGCACAGGAGGGTATTGGACATTTCCTAGGTACCAGGATATACCTGGAATAATCAATCCCCTTCGCCTTCAAAAGGGCAGCAACGTGGCATCGCGAAACTTTGCTTTGAAACCCATTCCAGAACACACGTCCTTGCTTACGCCGGTATGACAGATCATATCGGCTCTATCTAGGAGTCCTCCCTTAATAATTTGTTTGCCACGATAAAGGAGAAGCCTATCTGCCTTCATTCCATCAGGATGGCTTCCCACCGATCCGTAATTTACCAGTACTGTGGGAATGGTACTTAGTAACGGGTCTTAATGTTATCTATAGATGAGATCTAAGTACTGCGTCGATTAACAAGATATCTTAGCATAAATTAAGTGCTGAAAGATAACACTTACCCTATATAATCACACCCCTGAACTGCTTCAACGAAGCCAAAGTGCATGCATCAGTCGAGATCGAATAGTTAATATAACCATATAGGATCACGTACTCTACTTAAAGGCGATGCAATCCCTGATTGCTCGAGCGAATATCTATGTTGGATGTACTCAACTCGAGAATAGAAAATAAGAAAGGAAAAAAAAAAAAATTTAAAAAAATTCAAATATACAAATACCTAGTGTTCAAATCCAGTTTCCTACTTACATCCTACTATCCATAGATCCATCCTCCCACAATCCCAATATCCAAAAGAGATAGCGAGCACCCAAATCCCTCACTTATGACTCAACAGCCTTCGCTCTCAACCCCACTAACAATCCCTTCTCAACCTCCAATGCCAAAATATAATAGTCCACTCGCGATGTCCCGACTTCGACTCGATACACCTTCACCTCCACCACGGATTCATCCCTTCCGGGTTCGCCGCCTCCAGAGGCCTGAATAGCTGCAGCGCGGACTGCACGAAGAGGGCGCGAGTACTGGTTTCTGGGATCGAATGATGTGGGGGGAAGAGTCGTAATGAACGAGGAGAGGTCCGTGCAGGGAGAGATGAGGTTCGACAGATGCGCTGGTAGTGGGAAAATAATGTCAACGTGGAACAGAACAGGAAAGAAAAGAAAAGAAAAGAAAAGAAAAGAAAAGAAAAGAAAAGAAAAGAAAAGAAAAGAAAAGAAAAGAAAAGAAAAGCAAAAAAACACTAAACCGTCTTCCATTTACTGGAAGAGAGGGGAGCAGTATAGACGGAATCACGTACCGGCATCAGGCCAAAGACCACGCGAAGCTCCCTCCCACTTCAATGTGACCGGTTCGAATGGTTCGTCCGTCTCAGAAACGTAGAATGCATCGACGGATGTCAGCGGCGCGGGAACTTGAACACCCATGTCGACGGTCTCGGTGCGGACGGTGGATGATGCCTGAAACTGCTGTGCTCGCCCGTTGTTGAGGTCTGCGTTTGCTTTGTCCAAAAAGGACATGTAGGCGTCGTCGGAAGACATGGCGCGGGAGATGGTGATGAGACTGGAGACAGGGGATGAGGGAAAGTAGGAGGGTTGTCTGTAGATGCGAAAGAATGTATTGCGATGGGGTTGTGTATGGAATAAAGATTGGTGATGGGATGGTCTGTAGTGGTAATTTTGACGGAAACCAAGTCTGAATATTTCTGATGACGGCGAAGTTGAAGCCCGACACAAAATGCGATCAATGACGCAATGCGCACTGGGGCTACCCTGCCACCTTCGCATTGATGTGTTTCAAATAGACTAAGAGGATAGGCCTGCAAAGGACAAAAATAGGCTGATACTGGAACACCGTAAAAAATGAAATGAAAAAAGGTAGTAAAGAAAGGAATAAGGAGAAATAGGGAAAGAAAAATTAAAAATTAATGAAGTCATAGGGATGTTCTTTCTTCACAACTACAAACTACAAAAACACTTAAACAAAACTACAGGCTATGACAATTTCATTTCATGAAAGTTTTCTTTTCTTTTCTTCTTTTTTTTCTTTCTTTTGTTAAATTGTCATGAAATTGCCTTGCAGCTACGTTAAAAACTAGGAGAATCCATCACTTTTCCACCCGAGATGAAGACTTGAAAGGTATTCTTCGCTTTTTTATTGAAAAAAGATAATAGTTGCACTACACCAAACCAACATCCCCATAAACACATTAAGCAGAAGTAACAAGGTCCTTCTTGAGGGTACCCATGAAAGCACGCTTCTCCTCGGGGGTCTGGAAAGCACCGTGACCGAACTTGGATGAGGTATCGATCCATTTGAGCTCGACCTTCTCAGTGGCCCTCCTGTTGGTCTGGGGGTACAGGGTCTTACGCAGGGTCATAACGCGCTTCTTGACACCAGGAATGGATCCCTTAATGAGGAGGAAGTCGTTCTTGACCTCACCATAGTGGACGAAGCCACCCATACTAAAGAACGACTGTTAGCCTTTGCTCTTGAGCGTCATCTGGTGACTTATAATGTACTTACGGAGTGATCTGCTTCTTGGAGATATCGAACTCAGTAGCGGCGTTACCCTCATCGGTACCCTTACCGATGCGGAAGACCTTGTGGTTGCATGAGGTACGGTGGTGGTAACCCATCTGACCGGCACGAGCAACGGTCCACTGGACGTGGCTGGGATGCCAAGCACCGATACAAGCAACCTTACGCAGACCCTTGTGAGTCTTACGGGGAAGCTTCTTGGTGCCCCAACGGCTGGTAACACCCTGGAAACCGTGACCTTTGGTTACGGCAATGACATCGATCATCTCGTCCTTCTCAAAGATGCTGTCGATCTCAATGGGCTTCTCGAAGAGATTGCGGGCGAAGTCGACCTTATCGGAGACGGAGCCACCGTTGACCTGGATTTCCATCAAGTGGGCCTTCTTCTGCTTGAGAGGAGTCTTGCGGATCTGAGTATGGGCAAGCACACGGACAACAGTGCAGTACTTCTTGATGCGCTCAAGCTCGCGAGTGATAGCCGAGCCGTTCTCCTCAGCATGCTTTTTGGCGTACTTAGTGAAGGCCTTCTTCTTGCTCTTGTACCAGTTCTTGTAGAAGCGGCGCTTGACCTCGTCACTCAGATGCTCTGCCCAGACGGTGGTGAGTGAGCGGAGACCGCGGGGGGTCTCGATGTAACCGACAACACCGACAGCGACAAGCTAATCATTTGAGACCACTGGTCAGTAACTGAATTCGAACAACCACAAGGGCCATCGCTCTTGTTCAAACATACCGGAGGCGTCTCGACAACGGTGGCAGCCTCAACAATCTCCTTCTTGTGCATCTTGGCACCGGGTCGGTCAAGGTCACGGACAACAGTGGTCATACCGGCTTTGTAGCCCATGGAGGCCGTCAGGTGAACGGGCTTCTTGGGGTCATCCTTGGGGAAGCTGCCGTACAAGTCAGTGCACCGTCCTTAAATCTCTCGACTGTACGGTAGGAATTCTCATCCTAAACTGACCTCTTGACCTTTCCACGGTGTCTGGCAGCACGCTTGCGCGGCAAGTAGGCAAGAGAGCCTATACAGGAACACGTTAGTCTATCGCACATATGCACACAACGACTGCAAAATTAGAAGCCGCAGATCAGAACATAGATTTTACGAACCGTGCCGAGGCGCTTCGTACTTCCGGTGACTCCTGAATAGAAAAGGATAATTAGCAAGCTGACCCTCTCAATTGTTTGACGACTATGTAACGGCATTGAGACTCACATCTTGACCCTGTTGTTGTTAGTCGTCGAAGTTGTGAAGGAGAGTGTCTATCTCTGAATTTGCCGGAAGTCGTATTTTGCAACGCTTAACGAATGTGGGCTAAGCGAAGTCTTGGCGTGGGTCTCCCTTAGGCACGTGAAATTACAGGGGCCTGAGGCAGCAAGGTATCTACCGCTATCCTCGATACAGTATCCCGTGTCCTAAAGCAACCCATATTCGATTTCAATGTAATAGGGCAAAATTACTATGCTAAAAACATAAGCCAACGCTACGGGACTCAGAGAAGATCGACGTCCGGTGCTGGAGATGAAGTGCCCTGCTTCTACAGTTCGTAGTATTATTCCCACCATCATGAACGAGAGTTGCAAGACCATTTACAAGCTATTCTTGATCATTCAGTGCGAAACTAGAGTGTAAGACGATATCAAAAGAGATCTGAACGGCTGGGTTGTCACAAGGCTAAGAATTCAAACAAGAAAAGAGATAGGTAGTCAAAGGGGGTCGGGTGAACAGATAGATACAAGTAGATTTAGCACACCTCCTCGAAACACGGAAAACAGATCCTACAATACAAATTCAGTTGCTAAGACAGCTGACGAACACAAATGAATTCCACCGGAAAACATGGGGGAGAAAAGAGTATATAAACTGACTGGGAAAAGAAAGTAAGAGGGTGTTGAACGAGGGCACAAGGACATCTCAAAACGACAATTCTACCTGTGTCCCGAGTTTGAGAACATGCAACCACCAGCATCTAGGCTGAAGTCTCCGGTTTCGACTGCGAAGACTGAGCGCCACCACTCAGACTCCCACTGGCGCCGTTATTGACACTACCCGACCTACTACCAGGGCTACCTTTGGCAGCGGCGCTTACCCTTTTATCGTCTTCATCGTCATCGTAATTCTCATCCACGTCCATCTTCCGTGCAGCAGGCTCAAGCACTTGCTCACTGCGAGTGGCTTCCTCTTTAACAGGAGTCTGAGCAGGTGCAGGACCAGACTGCGGTCCATTTGAGCCAGAAACAGAGCTTTCGGCCATGGGAGGAAGACTAGGGCCACCAGAGGGATGCTGAGGCATATGCTGAATGGATGGCAGCGTAGGAGGGTGATGCGCTGCCTCTGATGGGTGATAATTTTCACTGATACGGTGTTGATCTTCACGCCGGACTTCAGAGGAACTACGGCGCTGCATCTCTCCGGGAGACGGCATGCGGTTTGGGGGAGTCACGCGACGAGTAACCTGTTCGTCAAGTCGCGCGCGAGACTCTTCACTGGCAACCTTCTTGGTTGGGCCTGATTCGGCTTCCCACTCCCGGCCACGCTTCATGGCCGACGTGGGGCGATCCTCACGGTCGCGAGCAGCAGCTTCAGCGGCAGTAATGGCGGATGGGGGAGGAGGTGCACCACTAGCGATTCCAGTGCTGCTAGCACCCTGAATAACAGTTGGGCCATGGTGATATTGCTGGTGGGGGTATGTCGACCCAGGGGAAGAGGGGCGCTCTTCACGGATGGGCCTAATTTCAGCAGGCGGGGTGAAAGGACGAGGGTAGGCAGGTAAGGGTCCACCAGAAGCGGGGGCACCGTTAGGTGCACTTGGTCCCGCCGGAGGCGCAGCGGGAGGTAACGGGCCACGAGCAGAAGAAGAGAATGGCACAGCGCCGCTAGGGGCCCGATCGTGAGACGGCGCAGGTGGTGGGTTGGCAAGCTGGGGGAGAGCGTGGGCAGGGGTATAGACATTTGCGCCACCCACAGTTGTTTTTGGGGAACGAGCTGCCGGGGGCCCACGAATAGCTTCCGGGAACATCCTCCCTTGCTCCTGTCGTGGGCTTGGCTGTTGAATAGATCCAGGAGCGCGGACTGCATCACGACTGTCGATTCCATTAGCATTTTGAGTCTGGCTCTGTGCCTGGGACTGAAGTTCGTTGATGCCACGGTTCCAGTCAGCAATCTGCCTGGGAGGAGCTGGAGGCTGAGGGGGAGGTCCTCCAGTTGGTGTAGGTGCAGCCCACTGGGGAGCCGGGGGTCCACCGACACCAGGGCCTTGGTAAGCCTGAGGGTGAACATCTTGAGGCTGAGGAGCTGGGGCGTTGGTTTGGCCAGAGCCTGACAGCTGACTCTGGAGGAGCTGCAGGCGTGCCTTAATGTGAACATTGGTGGGGTCCAAATCGGCAGCACGGCCATATGCATCAAGAGCATCCGCGATCTGATTATTGCAGGACTCATACTGTTAAAAAAAAAAAAAAATGTTAGCAAGACTAGTCGCTGATGTCGACGGTGCTCCCATTGACTCACCAGAGTACCCAAATCATACCACACTTCCGAGATGTAAGGGTTCAGGCGGATCGCACGAGAATAAGCATCCAATGCGTCGCGGTATTGATTAATCTGGTAATAAAGCACACCGATCGAGCACCAGAAAGTCGGATTCCTTCCGTCCCGATAGACAGCCTGTTGGTAGGCTTCGTAGGCTTTGGGATACTTGGCTTGAGACATGTAGCAGCGACCAAGTAGATACCAGCTCTGTGCATCATTGTTATCTGTTGTGAGTGAAAACTTAATATTAGCATCTAAATTGTTCTCTGGGAAATAAATAGAAGCCTACCTGCGCTGACTGATTTTTCAAGATATTCAATGGCCTTTTCTTGGCTCGCATAGCTGTTGCTCTGTTGATGATACAGCCATCCAAGCTGTTGCAAGACCTTCGCATGATTCGGATCACGGTCCAGAACCCGTCTGTAAGCTTGCTGTGCAGCTTCAAACTGTGACAGTGTTAGTATTGGCTGTCGCCCCAAAACAGATACCCTTGGCGACTCACATCCTTCTGTTGTTCGTGAACATGACCGATTTGGAACCAAATATCTTCTTCCGTCAACGGGCGGGGAGGATCAGTGACAATGTATTTAAAGCACTTTAAGAGTGAGCATTAGCAAATAGTCAACAGAGTTTGCTCCAATGTAACTTATCATACCTCCAGACTTTGGCTAAACTTCTGCTGCTGTTTGTAGATGATCCCCAGTCGAAAATAGATTTCATTGGCCTTCTCAAAATCCGGCGCCATCCGCATGACCTGAGAGAAAGCCTCTTCTGCATGGTCAAGAGACCCGTAGCGATCGTACAAAATACCAATTCCATACCATAGCTTCGGTTCCTATAAGCGCGACTATGAGTTATGTTTGTCGAATAGGGAGAATCCGCCGGAAATACTGACCTTGGGATCGCGCAGATGATACAGCGCCTGCTGGTAGGACGTGTATGCCTCTTGCAAGTTGTCCATCATGAGGTGGCAATGACCTAAGCGCCGTCAATTTACTGTGGATAAAATGATATTAATATGCGCTCAACATACCCAAGCTACCCCAGGTCTCTCCGCTCGTTGGGTCCAGTTTCAGAATATTTTGAAGATATTCAATAGCCTTCGGGAATTGTTCTTTCGTCCGCAGGATACAAGATATCGCATTCATGGCGGGAATAGACCATTGGTTATGGCGTAAAGCTTGCTCATATGCATTCATGGCGCCATCAAGATCGCCCATCAGCTCAGTCAAACTTCCTGTAGAGAATTGTCAATGCACATCTATAAGACAATCGAGGAACTGCTTAAGGGCGCAAATCAAGGGAGGGAGTTACCGATCTGAAGCCAGACTTGCTCATTGAGCGCAGCAATTTTTTGGGCAGTGCTTAGAGGGTGGCCTTTTTGGCCTTGGGCTTGCAACTGAATATGTCCATTGACCTGCGGATGGGCTGCAAGGTGACCATGGTGGGGAGTCACGCCTCCCGTGGGCGAAGGTTGGGTGTGAGCCATTATGCAGCGACACAATTAAATCTAGTCACAACACAACCAAGCTTCGACTCAAACCGCAGCCTTGGCTCCCATACACTTTGCGAAACAATGATGCAATGCGCGTCCGTGTTACTGAAAGGTCGCACAGTCCCGATATAAGTGTTGGCGTGATATGGAACCCAATGATTGTCGCAAAACGCGACGATTTCCACGCTATGTCTGGAGGTCAATTGCGGCCAAAAACCGGTTGCAACATCGAAGTTATTCACAGTCAAGCTCGAAGCTGCCAACCGCGACGTAGTCGTTCCCACCTCTCTCGGTCAGGTGATATGAGATTAGTATAAGGAAGCGCCAACAGCAAACAGCCACAGACAGCCAATGGAGGTACAAGGCGATTGGGAGAACAGACAATACTGATAGGAGCAACAGCAGTGTCTGTTAAGTGGCACGGGGGTGGAGTGGGGGGTAATAAAACACGAATATAAGGATGCGAGAGGTAAGTCAAAGGGACTAGAAAGGGATAGGGAAAAGGCAAAAGGGAAGAAGAAGGAAAGATTGAAGCCGAATTCAATGAAAAAGGGTGTACGACAACAACAGGGGGACAAATCAACAAAAAAGGAAAAGCGAGGAAAAGGAAAGGGGAAGAAAAGAGGAAAAAAGAGAGGAGAGGAGAAGAAGAAGAGAGGGAATGGCCGAGGGGCTGGTGGTAATGAGTGAAATTTGCCAAGCGGCGCTAGTGGTTGTGCAGCTCTCGAGCAGTCAGCAAAGGAAAGCACGGAAAAGCTGAGATGGCGGTTGTCCGGGCGCCAAGCCCAAGACGGGCAGCTTTACATCCAGGAACGGCCTAGTGAGTGGGGACAATCTGGAGTCGTGTCTGCGGATATTTACAGTTAATATTTTCCGGACACCGGAGCTCAGGTGAGTGGTTTCGTACAGTACTACCGATTACCTACGGAGTAGGCACTTCGCAGCCTACGACTTACGAGTAGTATCTATTAACGTTGAATTTCCCCCTTCAAATAATGTTTTGCATAGGTATCTATTCCTATATCATTCCTAGGGTGAGGACAGAGAAAAGTGCCAAACATGAGAATAAATAAAATTAAAAATTAGGCAGAGAGGGGGAGGAGAGAAAGGAAACCTTTCTACAGCTCCTACATATGCACTCTATATTATCTGGCAGGTGTTTGTTCACTACCCTCACCACACCTTGATGGTCTCCCATAAACAAAGTCTTTAAACAGCGAGGTAGAAAGTTAACACTAATTCTCAATATATCTATACCATGGCATATTTTTATTTTTATTTCTGTTTCTTTTCTTCTCTTCTCTCTTTTTATTGTCATTTCATTTTTATTTTTTGTGTTTGGTCAAATTTCAAGAATGCGATCGATAGGTCCAATTGAGGACGAGAAATAGTATCGTGTCGGCAGGAGGGTCCGTGTGATAGAAAAAGTCGCGTTGGTACGGAGTAGAGGTAGCAAATTAGAAAATTTATAAAATAGGAGACAAAAGTATGGGTATTTTAATAAACAGGGGAGGGAAAGTAGGCAAGCATCATTTCTAACAGATTGAACAAAATTTTTAGTCCATATGGAGTTGAACCACCCCGAAACAGGGCAGTGTCTGACGACCTAGGATGCAAGCGCCGGAGCCAGAGGAGCAACCACCAGGGATTGGGGGCAAGAGAACTTAGGGAAGCCTAGCACGAACCCCACGGTTGTGACTCGCCGAGGGGCTGCAGGTGGACTATGGAACACGGACCCACCGACCCTCTCTTCCCCGTGCCATTTATTTATTATTTAATAAAATAGTGCATTATTTACGCACTGCCGCCAATAATTCCTGACTGCGGAAGTGGGGCTACAACCGACATACATGACTGGCGTATGGCCATAAGCTCAACCACCTAAGCTCCCGGCAGCCTAGTTAGGCATGAGGCGTTCTCCACCCCGACCATCTGCAAATGTTGCAGTTGCCCCCAATAATACCAAAAACTGGGCCTTACGTTATAACGGCTTAGGCTTAGCCTGTGCCAGACAATACCATGCAGTTATGGAGTAGGGCCCTCTGCGGTCCATTCTCCAATCATTCCCTTCTCTATGGTGCTAAATTGGGAACCGAGTACTCCGTAACGACTTTCGGATCCGTCAACCAATATCCACCTCCCTTACCCTTCTTGTCTTCCTTCCCTCCCATCTGACAGTGTCATACGTCAGCCTCGTCTGCATACACCCGGCAAATTTCAGCCGTCTGGCAAAGTGTCCGTGCTGGCTTGCAGCGAGCTACCTCTCTTTCCTTTTTGTTCATAATTTCGTCCTCAAAAAGTCCATAATTTCTAACATGCTTACATCCTGGTCATGCCCTAGACAAGTGTGTTGAGAGAATAGACTATGAATGTGTTTATTGAATTTCTGTTACCCCTTCCGTTATTTTTTCACTCGCAGTACAACTGCTTAGCTAATCTAGTTAGTTCCAGTGAAATAGGTATCTGAGGTATAGTGTACAACACTCACTGACTGGGATGGGGGAAAAAATTAGACCCATGAGCCACCCTAGCAGCCACAGATTCCTAACGGATTCCATTAAGTGGGGCTCTTCCCGATGCTGATCCGTCGGCTCTTCTGCTGATGTCGATGATCTTGATACATCACCTGGGTGGGCCGATCTTTTTTTTCCTTTTTTTTTAAAAAAAAATCTTTTGACCCCATTCCCCCCTTACAAGACAAGCAAATAAAAAATGCCACCCCACAACTGACACTAAATGCCTCCCACACAGTCATCCCCTGCCTTTTTTTCTCTTTTTACTTGTCCCCACCGGAGGGGCTGCAGTCCCCAACGTCGGAAAATCCAGCGAATTCTGAGGGCCATCCGAAATTTCTTAGCCTTTTTCGCTTTTCCTCTAGGGGAAAAAGTGACTCACCTCACCCACTCGTCAGGCCCGAATCTCAGCCCTGGGATCAGATATATCCCAGATTCACACTGCTAGTATACATTTAAATAAATAAATAAATAAATATTTTAAAGAAGGTAAATAGATCAAAATAATGACGCTATATTAATTTAAGAATAAAAATCATGGAAGCTGCTCTACTCATAGTCCTCCGTGACTACTAGCTAAAGTACAGAGTATTCCTACGCTGCCCACGCCTGGAGAAAGTCCGGGGAAAAGCTACCATTCTTCATATTTTGAGTGCTTGATACTATCACAATATAATTTTACAGAAAAATACTCCACGAGTACATACACACATATCTCGTAGATTCTCCAGTCAGCATCTTACTTATGTAACAACGCATAAGCGCAAAACGCTGCTGCAATTGGACCATTATCCCTGAATTTAATAGACATACCTAGCAATATTAAGCTTTCGCTAAATGTAGAAATATGCTCCTTAGGTAAGGATTCAGCATTGATAAACCCCTGTTCTTCCTCGACGGAAGTACTTACTACATAAGTAGGGTAGCTGCTGCTACTCTACATGCTTGTGGCAGGGTGGGCAACCAACGCCGTGCATAATACACAACATATGTAGAATGGTGGTGATCCCACATCCACTGTACGACGACAAACACTTTGATGGTAGCATGATCTGATTGCTGATATGTGTGCATATGCACAGGACTGCTTAAAACGAACAAAATAGGATAAACAAAATAAAATAGCAAGAAAAGAAAAAGCCAATCTAGGTGCTACTTAATGTAAGTACTAATTATCAGGTTACGCGGCAGCATGCAGTCCCTCCCTAGTGCTGCTGCTTGCACAATCTAGGGATTTAGCAATGTGTTACAGAGTATAGTAGACTGGGAGGACATTTACCTAGCAACGCTCATAGGGAATAAATGCCCAATAAAATAACAATAGTTCTAAAAGAAAAAGTACAAGTCATATGCTATACTTAGGCTATTTAATTCCTGGTGCTATCTCCTATTAACGTTTACATATGTAGTTGGATCCTTCTTGTCAATACCACCAGCTGTTGTACACGGTCGGAGGTCTATCCTTGTATACTCAACCGAACACCACCAAACTGGATAAATTTGAAATTATATTTACTATCATTCAGGATCGAAGTAGACGAGTGGGGAAGGAGCTTAGATTAGTCTGCAAGATGATATTCTATCTGTAGTCATTTTCCTAGCTCGCTTCTATATCTTACAACTAAATATATATGCACTCTGACTGGATACTGACCGATTTACAAGAGCGTCCATCAGCATATAATGCAAATACTGACTATAACACAATATCGGCAGTGAGTGAGTAGATCTTTAGAAAGCATGCGCTGTTATTGATCCACTAAAGTGAGGTAGACAAGTGATGGAGGTTTAAGATATCAGGCATTGAAACTAAGTAAATTTTATTCGAGCCCCGAACTTAAAAACAGGTATGATCCAGATACTATTCCATTTTTCGCGTCCAAGATAGTATAGATTGATAGAGTGTTGAATAGCCTCTATCAAATATATATAGGGGTATAATGGCGAACGTGTTATTCTGTTAGAGAGCCTCGGTTTCATTAGTTCCTGCAACATATATCGATTTGACATGGGTATTTAAGATAGCCATAGGATCATTGAATAGTGTCATGAAGAATCACCACTATTTCAGTTCAGCACAATAATAAGCATACCATCGTCATGAAACTATAGGCCACCAGAATGCTCAGATGCAGGGGAATTATTATGCGGGTTGATGTGTTATCTTCTCCACCTCCTCCTTGCATGTGGTCGATGGATTGATGGCATGTACGTATATGGATAAATATAGTAAACCGACGATCGGAGTTTGTAGACTCCGAGTGAGACGAAGGGAATAGAAAACAGGATCCCAAAATAAAATAATAAAATAAAAAGGCAGTCTTCCCCTCTTGAAAATAAAACCTGTCAACCCCGCACCAGTACAGATGTAGACATCACATAAAGTGCCAACAGTTGGCAGATGTTGATGGAGCGTGATCCACAACCTCCTCACTTTGGATGATCTTACTCCGCACCGTTGGCCGTTGTACATACATAATCTGGTTGTAAGCCATAACGTTAGGGGAGATAGATATTTATAATCGCATGTATGTACATACAGAGTACCTACTACCTACATAGAAGGATCGTCACATACTGCATTGGATTGTGGTGGGGTCGTTATCGCGACGGTTCGTCCTTAGATTTAGAGATTTGGAGTCAACAGCTACAGGTTGCAGATGTACTCTAAAGTAGTATTCGCATTCGATGCATATGTATCTGGCTGCACAATTATCTGTGTGTCTAGGCAGATCTCCATGCGTAAAGATTAGGTGCCCCTCTCTTCTACCTACCTACTAGTAGTGTAGTAAGTATCTTAAATTCGGGCCATTGAAGAGGGATTAAAGGGTAAAATTGCACCAGTATCCAACAATCAGCGTAAACAGATTACTAATGAACTGACTTGGCCAATTTACCCCTGTGGCCGTGCTCAGTTGAACCGCGAAGCCATCTCAGCTGATCTGGACGTTGGTGTCAGCCTACGGTGGCAATGAGGAAGATTAGGAGAAGGGGGATCCTTGGGGCTTACTTTCTTGGCTATTATAACCCTCTGATAGAGGCCTTAATTGCTCCCTGTTGTTGTTGGAGCATCATCGTCCCTGTACACCGCTACCAACGCGAATCGCCGTCATTATGGATTATATTGAACACAGGCCGCCAGCACAGGGCAACAGATCAAGATGTTATCTATAGGTCATGCCAGTGGTTTCGACGTCGCTATATTCAAATTTGCAGCATACGAGTACTCCGTGGATAGTGGGATACTTCACATTTCCAGTACAAGAAAGTTCCGATGCCATGATCCGCCTTGAGACCAGGTACCTTATGTACCTGCGATTTTTAACAACACGTCTAGAGGGAAACCGCCTTCTCCAGAATAACTATACATAATGTATTATTTAACTCACCGTTCATCGCTGCGATGAGTCGTATCTGGACCCTGGCCAAGGAGAGAGCCATACGTTCCAAGATCTGGGCAGTATCGCCAAGAACTCCTCGAGCGGTTGCGAGATATAATGAACCAACGGGGAACGTTGCCTAGAGACTGCTCTGGGCGGAAGCCTGTGATTCTATGATAAGAGACTTTCCTTTCTGTGTTGGAGAATCACCGGGGAAGAAGCCCCTCCAAGTCTCCAACATATGCGATGCAAAGCCATATGCTGAAAGGTGCGGAGATTTGGTGACGAGTCCGAGGGACTGAATCCCATCGGGTGTTTCATCGGAAGCAGCTAGGGTGTCCAAGTTAGTATGAGGATCGAGGGAAGATCTGTCCTACATGTAGGCATCAAGGGTGTATGAACCCCCTTTTATGTTATTCTAGGTTTTAGTCAAGTCAACGTGGCCCCTGTGACTGGATCGACATCCTTGGAGCGAGACAACAAACCAGATACGAAGAAAGCCACGACGATGGTTTGATGAGACCGATTACCTAATTTATTGGTCTATCACACCACTCAAACGCGAAGCATCCTGCACAGGCCCGGATGGACGGACTACAGAGCGAGGATTGCCAATCTCTCGGCAGGGCTAGGCGACTCGCTCGGCGTTTGTTTTTTTTTTTTTTTTTTTTTTTTTTTTTTGAGGGGGGAGTAGTGTTCCCAAGAGGGTGGGCGGCACTGTCTGCGATAGGAGAGAAGATGTAAAGCCCGATGAACATTTTGTCTTAAGTATTCTTATTGATAGCTACCACGAGGTCCCTCACTAGCCTGTTGTAGGGCAGGGTGTCCAAAAGTCGAAAAGGAAGGTAACAAAATGCAGTGTATTGAATCATACCAAGGTAAGCACTATAACACCTGAGATCAGATGGTAATACCGCCAAGACGCTCATCCAACCTCCGAACGCGGATCACTGACAGAGGCAAGCCAATCAGCGCTCGCAGTGCAGCAGAGATAATCCCCGCAGAGCCTTGGCACCTTGGCGGGCAGTACGGTAATTACCGCAGGGCTTACACAATGGACGCATTCGTTCGTCTTGGCAGTCAATTGAGCAGCAGTGTTTTGGTTGTACCCTTCTCTCTCTGATCGATTGATGCTCCTACCTAAACCTGTGCATGCGGATCTTCCCGCATCTTGAGGATGATTGATTCTGGACTTTCCCCTCTCCTCCACTCCCTTGTCGTCATTATCTTCTCTTTTCGCCTTCCCAGGAGGTTAGTTTTGCTTGGAAGTGCCCCTTCGCCATGGATAAATTTATGTGACACCTTTTGTTGTCGTCGATGCCAAGGGCTCGGCACCTGGGCGTCTTGGCAGTAAAAAAGCCAGAAGACAGACTCTCCCTTCCGCTGCAGTGACCCTCGACAAGACCTGGCTTTTTCTCTTGGGTCTTGTGCTTTTCTTGGGTTTCCGCTCTGCAACCGTCCCTTGGAGTCACCTATGGCAGTCCTATAAGTCTCCTGGTTCCTCCCTCCGCTCCTTTGTCCTCCCCTCCCATCAATTCCCCCTTCCCTCTCCCCTCCCGCCGCCTTGCTTCGTTAAGGGATCGACATCGAGTGCCCTAGATAGTGAGAAGTTATGCCCCTTGCGCGCGAAGCCATGCGGTGAGCTTGTCCCTGTTGCTCAGTGTGCACCCCTGTACCACCTTGTGCCTTTCCCGCTGTATTATTATTCTGAAGGGGGAGAAGATCTTGTTTGCTCCACCGATTCTCTATTTTTCCCTGCCTCCGCCCACTATGAGGGAGCCGGAGATGACCCATTCTCCTACCTACTACCAAGACCATGGTCAACTCATGACAACATATCATCACGATTCAACTCCCGCCGCTCCTCATGCAGCGCATATACCTCCATTTTCCTCCACAGATCCTCGCCCCAAGCAGGGGGTTTCTGGTTACCCTCCCTCGGAACTCAATCCAGTCGAAGATGCCATTTCCTCCGATTCGTGGGATACTTCCTATGGACAACACCCACAGGAGCTGCACAGTCTGCCGCACCGCTACCAACAGCAGGCCCCTGTGGAATCAATATACTCAGACCCTGACCCGTCGGCTGTAGCTCCAGTGACGTTTGTTCCCCCCACCTTCGTTGTGATAGTGTGTCTATGTTAACGTTGGCTTCGTATAGGAACGGAACGACTCGAAAAGAGGAGCGCGTCCGTGGGAGTTGGACTGATCACTCGTCATACATGTCGGGCGAGAATAATCACCACAGCGCAACCCGCGCCCACAAACGACCGATTCACCAAGAGGAGCCTTCGACGGATGACAGTCAGGATGCGCTTCTGATGCTGGTAAGATACTCTCGCTGCTCTGCAGAAAACATGGCTTGTACCCTGTCTAACCAATTGCAAACTCCAGTTTCGACTATCCGTTCCTGTACCGATCTTTTCCCTTTGTGCATCTTCTACACCGTCTTCGGCCTCTTATTCGTTCTTTTCGTCTCTCCTCTTCGACTCTGCTCGTGCATCCCATACTTTCGACCAACCTCATTCCGTGCGCAGCTGTGCGACCTTTTGGTGCCGCAGTTGCACATCCACGAACGATTGGTCTGTTTACGAGCATCGTCCTCGTTCCGATCGGCGTCAACCCAGTCGATATACAATAATAATGATGCGGATCGATCATCGGGTTCCAATTCATGCGAATCCTATTCCGTTGGTGGTTTAGTCGCAGTCCTCATTCTGTCGTCTTTCCTTTCCGTTGCATTTCTCCTCCTTGTCTGGACGGCGGCCTTCTTTTGGGTCTTCGCGATGGTCCTGGGTAATCCGGATGGCACAGAACGCAAAGATGATGGCCGAGCTGCTGTTCTTGGTGTCTGCAAATGGTGGCATATGTGGCTTTGCAAGGCTCGAAAGCCGACCTTTTAATCGGCCCTCTATAATCAACGTCACATGATATTGGATCCCCACTTTTTAATACCTCTTTTTGTCAAGCGTGGCTTTCTTAGTTGAATGTTTCTTCTCGTTTTGTTTCTTTTCTTTTCTTTTTCTTTTTTTTTTTACGTTGGCATGATACCAATGTTTGGGATGCGTGGAATGATTTCAACCTTTTTTTTTTTTTTTTTTTTTTTTTTTTTTTTTTTTTTTAAATATTTTCATGTTGTATTCGAGTGTGGACAAGAGTTGGGAATGATCTTACCGGCGCCGGGCGTTGATTTTTCCCTGCTTGCTTGCTCGCATACTATCGATCTCTTCCGTCGATCAATCGTGAGAAAGGTCCAAAGCACGATCTTCCCGGAACGAAAGAAAGACGGGGCAAAAAAAGAAAAAAAGGAGTATCTCTAATTTGCAGGCCGACAGGCGTCATCGGCCTAGTCACGAAACGGGAACTTTCTGTGTGTACTGTACTTCTACTCTTCGAAGAATTGATACCCAGGCTGGACTTTTTTGTTCATGTCTCTCTTTTTATTATTTAGTTTTTATATTTATTTTGGAGGTTTTATTACCAAGAGACGATAGATCAACTTTGAACTCGGGAGAAAAGAGAACTTCATACTTAGATTGAATTCTTTTCTGATATATCATTTCTTGGCCATACCTAGATTACCTATAATCTCGACCATGCCTAATAAACTCCCGACTTTCTCATGCGGTGATTCTTCACACTACGCAAGGAGACTGGCTCCCAGTTCCAGAAAATTCAATTTGTTATTCTAATGTGATATCAGACTGGGCAGGCTCTGGCCACAGACAAGGTCCCTTTCCATCTCTACAGTGGAGGTCTGTATAGTGTGTGATAGCGTATTCAGTAGGTCCCTCACATTACAGGCGCTCGATAAATGAATATCCAGTGGGAAATCAACACCTTCAGTACAGAGTACTCCGTAGACAACCGGAGGTATCTAAGATCAGCCTTCTAGTTCCTATTACTGCTCCCTCAGTCTGCACCTGGATGTGGAATCCAAACTCGTCATTACTCTCAGTAGCCATGGCCATATGTCTTCTCATAATACTGGGTGATATACTCGAACAGTTGTGTTACCGGGTTCCCCCTTCTCTGTTGGACCGGTACGTTTTGCTCACAATGGATTCCTTCCAGAGCTCCTTATTCCATGCAAGGTACTCCGTACACCGGCCACACTTTCCATTCTCCTGCCATGCATTATAGTCCTATAAGTCATGGCATTGGGTCTTCCCCTCGAATTTCGCGGCTGTGTACAGTTCCAGAAGGTCGATTATGGCTCTGTTTTACTCATCGAGCAGGTGATCTCACAACTCGTAGTTATTAGGGATATGTTGCAGTCATTTGGTTAAACGTACGTGCCTGATTTTCCTGGGTACCCCAAATCATGACTGTTTCTCAGTTCTTGGGGGGTGCATATAGCGGCCAGCCCATACAAGGCGCCGTCGAAGGCATTGCTGAATTCCCTTACAGGTTCGAACAAAGTCATTCAGGCTGGAATATCGAGCCTATCACAAATTGCAAACAAAATCTCGTAGGGGTTCGCCCCTACTTACAGTTTGCTCAAGCTAATTACATAGCTATGGATATGTTCGATCGCCTTGTCGCTGAACCATGCGTCTGATTTAAAGTCGATGGCACAGAAGACCGGGCGCGCCAGATCCCCGAGTGATTTGATGGATACTTGTCCCTGGTCTTGCAGCGGATTGATAGTCGAGCATCGTTGTCTTGTCCTCCATCCTTATGAGTGTTCAGTCTTTCAGCCTAGGCAGGTACGGCCTGAGTTGGCTATATTCTGACTAGCACATTGTTAATGGTGTTGTATTATAGCCTATAGCCTTCTGGGCGTGAATTTACACGGAGACAGGTATCACCTGTGGAGTTTCCCCAGAGTATCGCTGTGGATCACCCAGTTGTTTTCGTCTAGCATCATATTTTGTACAAGCTGCCCCTGCCTCTTTCTCTTTGCTGCCAGCTTCTTTTTTTTCCTTTTCTATTTATTTTCCTTCGTGGATGGCACGATTGTAGAGCATGTTCGGCTTTTTGCTTAAAGCCACGAACGACCATGTGAGCTTCGTATGTGCTGTCATGCTGTATTTTCCAAAACCAACGTGCGGGTAGGGGCCGCATGTGCTTTTCATGATCCATCTGATCACACGAAAGGTGCCATTGCGGAGATGGTTGTGTATTTCAGTCTTTGCAGTTGCAAGCCATTTGTCTTTTATTGGTGTATAGTGGTGCGGCGAGATGATCAAAGGAAGCGTAGCGAATAAAAACTTCGCTGATGTCCAGGGGGACAATATTCACTAGCTGGCAATATTTACTTACTGGCCTGTATCTGCAGTAAACAGTATGTCCATTGTAATAAAGAGGTCTCTGAGCAATACAGACCTACGGACCGTATCTATATGAAATAGGAAAACAGTACCATCTGTGGTTTCTATTTTTAATAGTGAACTGCACGTAAATAGGCTAGCTAAGCGGAACACGGAGATGTCATCTTGCTAGTAATAGGGCCATAATTCAGTAAATACTATAAATCAGTAGTATCTGAGGATATTGATTCCATAAGACTCCATTTAAGTGAAAACTTCGAGGGTATAGAGATACCTAGGGAAAATAAATGTCAATCAATCAATCATATACCACATGAATTCCATCCTCCCCTGTCCATAATCACGCAAGTTGCAACTGATTCCACCCGTAAATACATTTTACCATGTAACTGTCAGCCTATCTTGGCGGTAGGTAAAGGAAATGAAATTAAATGCACGAGAACCTTTGTTCAATTCATCATCAATTGTCGTTCATTTCAATGGAACAAACATAAACAAAAATTAAAATGAACCAAAATAAATCCCAATGCTAAATCTCAGCGACTGGATTATCTCCTTTTTCCGGCCTTGAATCCTCCTCGTCCACCCTGCTTGCCTCGAAAGCTCGTGCGTTTCTGGATGCGACCGCCACTGGGGCCGTGGGCTTTAGGTGTTCCCAGACCGCGGCGCTGAGGACCATTGCCCGGCCGCTTTGAGGATGCGGCGGCGGCGGCGTCCTCGTCCTCGTCCAAGTCCATGTTATCTCCCTGGAACCTCTTCTTCTGTTGTGCCTGGCCCATCTTGATCTTACCGCGTTGGCCACGACGGATAGCGTCAGGCCCGCTGACGGCTGCGACGTAAGCGTTGACACCACTCTCGCCGCCCGCGTCGCCATCCAGACCACCGGACATTTCCATGTCTTCGCCATTGTTATCGCCCAGGATGAGACGACCTTGGGAATCGACCTTGGCAGAGCGCTTTCGGCGGGATCCGGGTCCGGTGTTGAGGAACCGGATACTAGGCTTGGTGGTTGAGATATTGGCCAGGGCATCCGGCGCCAAAAGATCCAGCGGGTTGTCCTCGGGGGACATCTCACGAATATATTGCTCGCTCTGCTTGGTCTTCTTGCCTCTGCGGCCCTTGTGGGCGTGGGTAGCTCCCTCTTCGTCGACGTCGATTTCGCTAGCGTCATCGTCCGAGTCGGAGAAGTCAGAATCATAAACAGCCTTGTCGAAAGCATTACTGTACGAACGACCTTCCTTGTTATTGTTTTTATCGGCGGCCTCGTCCTCCTCCTCATCGTCCTCACCGGTCTTGTCGCCGTCCTTCTTCTTCTTCTTAGATCGTTCACGTTGTTTCCGGATATTCACCACCAGCTTACGGTCTGCTTCGCCTACCAGCTCTTCCACTGGAGTAGCACCAAATCGGCGGATGAGGCGGTCCAGAATTCCCTTCACCTTGCTGCGAAGACGGCCCTTGTGCTCTTTGCTCCAGACCATCAGGCTCGGTACTAGGGAGTTCAGGCGTGCGCGCAAAATATCATCAGGGAGCACAACAACAGCCACCTTAACAAAACCCAATACAGACCGGACGATTTCGCGGTTGTTGCTGGTAAGGAACAGCTCAACTGTCTGTACTAAGTCATTCCGCACGGCGGGTTGGATCTGAGTATGGAAATCGAAGAACAGACGCGAGAGAGCCGTCACAGACGCAGCGACCATGTGTGGGGAGCTACCAGCGAGACCAGCAGACACCATGGTGAAGAATTCCTCAATTGTCGCCGGGGCATCTGGGGCGTCGTTAGGCATATGAGGCACCAGTGCATTACGGATTACGGTGCCGGATGGGTTGCGCTCGGTATCAGCAGTTCTCTTCGCAAGGTGAACAAGCAAGTCGAAAGAGGCCGTTCTGGCCTTCTCATTGCTTTCTTTGCAGCCCAGGACCACCTCTGAGAGGATGGAAGGAATGAAGTGCAAATCAGAGGTCGGCAAGTAGGTGACGAGTTCGTAGACAGCGAGCATCCGATCACGGCGAGCGGACGCGGGCGTCTTGTCGGCGCTCGAAAGAATCAGGGCCTGCAGCTCGGAGGTCCTCTCCCGAAGGGCAGCACTTCCGGTTTCCGTCAAGGCCAATCGGGGGATCAACTTGTAGGCTTTCTTAATCAATTGCTGATCACCGGTTTGTCCATTTAGGATAGCAGCAGCAAGGGCGAACAAGCTGGAGAAACTCGAGCGAGGGAGGTAGATAGACATGGCAATGACCAGATCGATCAGGGTATGGGAAGTCGGGGGCATCTTGTCACCTGCACCACCCTGCTGATTACCCTGTTTGGAAGCCTCCTGCTCTGAAGCCACAGATGACTCGAGCATTGAGGTAACGCGTGTGAACGTGTCGTTCAGCTCCTATCTCACATCAGTCAGGAAGGTCATAGCAACGGGGGGAACTAAGTAACTGACATTTTCGGGGGTAATGCTCAAATAGGCATTGATGCATTGCAGAATGTAGCCTCTGTAGTGCGGAAGCGTCTGGCTGTACACGTTGAACAATACAGCTAACAAGTTGCTGGCGAATCCAGCAAGATGGGCAATGTTCTTCTCCGCAGTGGCCATGGTGATTCTCCGCTGGAGAATGAGATCATCACCATCCGCCTCGACAGACAGGATAGCCTGATTTGACTCGACTAAGTTCTGTAGTGCCCTGCAGATATCTACACGTAGATCGGTTTGCTTGTAGAGAACATTGGAAAGAAGCTCTGCAAAGCTTTGATCGAAAGCTTCCACCAGATCTAAGGGAAGCTCGCAGTAGCCGGGGAGAATCGCCCAAGTTTGCTGGACGAGTGTTTCGAAGATCTTAGTCTCCACGGTCTTCTCCGCAGAACTGTACTCCATCACCTTCTGATACAGAGCTTCGCTCAGGGGAACAAGCTCGGAGCGGAAATGGGCGAGGTTGGTGTTGGTGACATGGTCGCGAAGTATGGGAAGAAACCAGACACGGCCTGGTTGGCCGGCCTTCTGCTCAGTGATGTTCAAAGGCAAGATCTCCAAGACTGCGGCGGGTCCCATAGCTTCAACGGCACTACCCAGGACCTGATCCGCTTCCTTCTTGCCATGGAATGATTCATTGCTCCGAAGCTCGCCAACTGTCTTCACGATGTCATCCAAAAACGGGCTCGAACGCCACTTGAAGCTGTCAAACATTGCCGAGCAGACATTGAACACTTCTGCCCATGCTGCTTGGTACTTGACCGAGAGCAGATCGGTCCCGGACCTTGCCAACTTCTCAAGCGTTTTTTCGTCGTAAATCGAGGGCTCAATGATCACGGTATTGGGGATGCAATTAGACATAAAAGAGACTAAACACTCTGACGCTGACACGCGGATGTTGCACGAAGGAGAGGCCATATAGCTAGAAACCATGTCAAACAAGGAGGGCAGTTTTTCAAACGTATCCTCAGGGCTAATCTGAGCAGACACATCATAGCCGCGAGACAGGACCGCAATCCATGGAGGGAGCAGCTGCGAGTCGTTCTGCGCAGGTCGGAGCTCTGATATCGCCTCCAGCAGACGAGGCAGCTTGGAGGACGAAAACTCGTCGGCCATGCTAGAGAAAATCACTTCGAACACCTCGAAAGCGCCCATGGTAATGTACTCGTTCGACGACCGGGACGCATTCATTAGCAGCTCGCACAGCTGCTCAATCTTCTTGCTCGGCCATCCACCTGACGCGGTCGCGACTGTCTTCACTAACTGCAAGGAGTGGATGACCAGAGGATCATGATTCTCCCGACCATGAGGATCATGGCGTCCCCGTCTCTGCTTGGCCGCGGCTGTTATGCTATCGCCCAGTGTTCGCATTGCAGTCTCTGCACACATATCTGCGGCGGGGTGGTCGAGCGAGGGGCTGGGGGGCGGGGTCTTAAGGACCTTGATCAAAGCATCCTGAGCCCTCTTGCGCACCTTTGGGCGGTGGTCCACGGCTAAACTCAGCAATCCCGCAATCGCACGTCGCGGACTGATTTGGGTGTGGGGGAGATTCCATGAGGCCGAATCTTGCGCGATGAGTAACGACTCGAGGCAGCCTATTGACGGTCTGAGGAGAGGAGCTTCGACTTCGGGCAGGGAAAGGGCGGGGGCAAGACTGGTGAGGATCTGTGAAAACTTGGAGCGAAGGATCGGGGCGGGGACATAGGCTGTGGTGATGTCGAGAAGGTAGACGACGGAGGTGGCCAGGTCCTTGTTAACAATGCCTTGGGCGGCGGACAGCGATTGGGATAGCAAAGCGAGGAGCGCAGCAAAATAAGCCGTAGCCGAGAAGTCTGCTTTTTGGTCACGTAGGGTATCCTCCACTGCAGAGAGCACCACAGCTGTCTTAAAGAGATTTTAGAACTGAGAGTCAATGGGATAGTGGGATAGTGGGATAGTAGGACTTACATGGTGCTGATTCTGCAGTTTGGGAGACTTAATCTTCTCGAGCTTCTCCGCCAGGGTCGCCATGACGGGCAGATCGACCAACAGGCAGTGGAGAAGGCGATTTCCAGAAGAGGGTGTAGTCTGTAAAAGAGAGAGAGAAGAAGTTTGGTGGGCGCGGAGAGTTTTTTTTTTTTGCCAAAGTTGATCCGAAAAAAAAAAAAAGGTACGGCGGGTCTTGGCAACGCTATCGATAGGAACTGAGAATCAAGTCTTGTCCCTCTGCACACTTTCAACACGGCATTCTACGTATGTTGAGATATTGAGAGGTGGCTAGTCTCTTGGGTGCATTTACTGTGATATAAACTCATATTTTTATCCTAAAGTGCGATGTCTAGACTTCTCGGACAGTAGCATCAAGCTACTAGTTCATGTCGATGGATTGGAATACAAGAAATAGAGAAAGAAATAGGGACAGTGGCATAATAAGACATAGTGATCATCAACCATAACCATCAACCTCCAGCTTATTGACGGGCTTCACAAACAGGCAGTATCTTCATGATTATCAACCTTTACCATCCTGTAGGGGCCGAATGACACTGCCAGAGCAATGACACGACCGGTTACTCGGCCCAAAAGAAATCGAATCTTCACCCAATGCATCCACACTTTGGGCTTTTAAAGTGTAAAGGGCTGAGGGCGAAACAAGTCTGGCATCAACGCGGGGGTCCAAAGAACGTTCTCATTTAGTCTCGGACCACCAATCACACTCGAGAGCCGGATGGCTCTCTATACACAGCCAGTTGGGTTGAACCAGCCCAATTAATCGTCTGGATCAATGATACAGACAAAAGGCGCCAGACGGAAAGCTTAGGTTCGACGCCTAAAACAGAATCTCTCCGCTGTGTTCGGGCTCGAACCCAAGACACTGTAATTTGTTTTGACGTTTCTTATCGCCCGTTTTCCGCTCTGCATCTTCTTTCTTTTTTTCAGCTCAAAAACTTCTTGGATTGTGGCTCTTTGAACACTCGCTGGGATATCGTCTTCCTTATCAAGGTCCTACATTCAAGTCAGCGCATGACGCCAAAAAAAAGAAAAGAAAAGAAAAAAACAACAAAAAAAAAAAAACGTCCAGAAATAAAACGAGAGCCAAACGATACATACAATTTCACCAAGTAGCAACACATTCTCTCCTCGGACAAGGAAGATGCCTCGCGGGATATCGGCATAAAGGTTCCCAGCATACATTCGCTCGATGGTATCTTGAAGAACAAGGTTCGCTATAGACATCGAAGGCGGGATCGCGTTAGATAGGCGACGTTAAACTGTATCAGATATCCCATACCGAATTGATCCCAACTTCTCAACACTCCGATCAATTTTCTCCCGTCGCGCAAAACCAGAACGAGTTTCTCTTTACGCCGGTTAGCCATGGAAACCCACAACCCGTTTCAGACGGGAGATATATAAATCTATAACATCGAGAAAAAAAAAAGAGAGAAAAATAAAAGAAAAACATACTATCTGTTAAATCCAACAACTGAGCAGCAGTGGTGAACATCTGCGGTGGCAATTGCGGCGGACCATGCGTCATCGATCCCAGCACATTGTTATTCTGCTGCGGGGGGAACCCCGGGGGCGCATTTCCTTGCTGCTGGGGACCAGCAGGAGGATCATTGATTGAATGTCGTTCCATGCTTTATAAGGCGCAAGAAAGCTAGTGCGGTTGGATTGTAGCAGACTGGTGAACAGGTAAGGGTTCCGTTATTTGACAATGGCGGGGGATATGGATCGAGAAACAAATTTTTGGTAATGAGGAATTTTTAAAGAATGGATTGAGCTTGATATGCTCTCATACTGCAATGATTGATATCAAAGCGCGGGTAATTCAAGGTTGATAATGCCGGTGATGGGAATGAGATGCGTTTGGATTGGACTTAAGGCTTGCTGCTTTGGGATAAGACGTGTTTGTTCTGTTTGTTAACTCCGAAATATGGTGCAGATGTAGAGCATCAATAGAGCGTTACTGCCGGATAATAGCGGTTGCTCCTGAGCAATTAGAATTATACTAAGCTTGGATTTATTCAAACTTGTTCGTTTTACAGATCAACTGAGTCTACAGTTGAGGTTCCAGTGGAGCCTGTATGGCCATACGCGGGGATTTTAGCATATTGGCTGATTGTGCATGTGACCAAAAAGACAATTTTTAATAAAAGCGAAGAGGAAGTAGAAGTAGGAGCAAACTATTCTACATAATTCACCCTAATTGAACCTATTCCTTGCGAATATGCTCTTAGAAAGCACCTACCAACGTACTCCCCTCAGGTATATAGGCAAGGGAATGAAATGTATTGAAAAATGAAGACTCAACGAGTGCCCGCACTGTAGATCAGTAGAACATCCTCCAAGGAAAAGAACGGTCATTTCCAGCTCCAGAAATCCCCAACGACTTACTGATGTACAGCAAGATATTTGTCCTCCTCATGGAAGTGCTCGATGAAAGCATGTGAAAAATATATCCCTTTTTCGGACTAATAACGTATCACCAAAACATATAATACTACAAAATTCATCGGAAGAAGTCCTATCTGCCACTTCAACAGCATGTCCCGCACCTGTTTACATCAACTGGTAACCTCCTTTCCAGATCATTCATAAAAACAAAAGCAGAGAAGGTCTCTGGGGATAACATGACAAAGAATGAATATGACCAAAATTTCGAAAGCGAGAGAGAGGTAGAGAAAGAGTAGATGAATAGGTAGTGTTCATGAGGATGTGTTGACATTTTGCAATGGCAGGTAAGGGATTGCTCAACCAAAGCCCCTGCAAGGGATACAATCGCTCGTTCATGCAACGCTGACCCCACGACGTTGGCCCCGCATTCTTTCCTCTCGTCGTCGACTGTACGGAGCGCAGTATGGTTCGTCTGAAGAGCCAATATTCGCCCGGACGGGTTCCTGTGATCGGTGGTATGCAGGACTAGATGGTGGTGGTGGCAATTGCATCACTTTAAACTGATCAACGCTGATGATGCGTAGGTGATAAAGATACTGCATCAATTCAAAATCTGGTCGGCTACCAGCGAGACTTTGGCCCTGCTGATAGTGGGCTAGAGCCACATGGTCGAGCATGAGATCCCAGGCCTTGTGGTCGGGAGTATCGCTGAATCGTACTTCTGGACACTGAGGGCAACGAGCTGTGGGGGGGGGCTCATGTGTTCGAAAGTGGCTGTAAACATGGGTCCTCCATTCATCAAAATCATCGAAGGTGCGGTGGCAGTCAAGGACATGAAAGAGGCAGATGTATACATGCTGAGAAAGACGAGTCTGATGGGAGGGAATGACAAGTGCTCCCGTACCATCATCCTCCAGAATATCATGGCCCGCGATACCTGATGCCCATCTTGTATCCAAGGACAAGCTCCTTGGTGAGACTTCGGATGCACTATTGCTCGATAGAGATGGGACGTCCGTTAATGGAGGCATATTTTCGTGGATATTCCCTCCCACACTACGATGAAATATCATACCTCGCTCTGGCTAGAGCGAGCCCTGACTGATAGGAGGAGTGTGCTAGAAGCTCCAAGAAGCGGTGCTATTCGATCCGAGAAACTTTTTATGGACCTGCTTCATATTCTTAGTCTGTGAGTGGCGAGTAAGAGGGTAGTCCAAGCCATAGTTGCTATCATAGTACTAGTACTCCCATGCGCAACTGGCCGTGTTCTGAGATGGGAAACAAAGGAGGGCTGGATCTCATCTTGTTACCTTTTTGCTTCTCGAAACCCCAGCGGCAAATGAACAGGTAATCTCTGTCTCAAGCTTAGAGTGGTCCTTGCCTTAGCAAACCAAAGTTGGCTACGGCAAGAAGAGAGAATCCATCTGGAGCACAATCTGAATCGGTCCCGTTGAGAGGGAGGGGAAGTTGGTCGACATATGGTGATTTAAGCCCCAGGAGCGAGCATGTGAGACTAAGAAGAAATCCGTAAGGTATCCAATGGCCAGAGACGAGATTGATATCCAGTTGAAAACCATCGCAGCAGGGATGTTGACCTTTTTTTGTCTTTTCTTTTTCTTTTCTTTTCTTTTCTTTTCTTTTTTTTTTAATTTTTTTTTATTTTTTTTTGGTTTGTTCACCCAAACGAAATCCTTTTGTTTGATTTGGGCCTCTCTGCCTTAAAGAGTGATGATGGTACAGTACGGATACAACAATACACTCGGACTTACCCATTTGAGCCAGCCGGGACTCTTGAAGATTTGTATTTAAACTCCGCACCTCCATCCACAAGGCAAATCTACTACTTGGTTAAGGTGACCACATGGTGCCTAGAGAATCGGTGTGAGTGACCTCGTCATGTGGTCTCATGAACCAAGCTCAATGATTGCCCATCACTCCGTTGATCACACTTCCGAGGCGGGAGATGGTGACATGCCCAAGTGATACGATTAGTACTACCTTAAGTACTAATAATGGCTTGTGACTACAAAAACATGAAGATGCGATCGAAACTTTTGGATTTTTGAAACCTTCGTCCTCTATAGTAGACAAAAGCATTATTGAAGGAAATAAATCTGTGAAAATTATCTAGCCCGCCATCTTGGGGAGGAGAACAAAATAGTAGAGGCTGAAGAGCAAGTTCTGATTGGAACAGTAGAGTGTAGTTTTCAAAATAAAAGACATAAGGAAAGATGGGAGAGAAGGTGATATATAAATATGAAAATGAAAACGAAATGTAGCCAGAATAAATAAGACGACTTAACAAGGTGCGTTTGGGGAAAAAAAAAAAAAAAAACGTCAAGGATACTCCATCCGTCTATCAGTGAGGACGCCTCGCAAAATGTATTTGAACAAAGAACCAAGTCACCCGACACCAATGATGCCCATGAACCACACTATAAATGCACAAGTCTATTCGTTTCGTAGCGCGTATGAATCTTTTGAATCCAAGTTTTTACACGTAAAGGGTAGTGTGGCAAATCAGTCTAGTAACGATCTGCCAGATCTCCACCTGCAACAGAATTGGCGGTGGATGAGGAAACCGAAGAGAATCCAGTGGAAGAATTCAACATGTCCTGTACAGCCACTTTAGGAACTTGGGGTACAGGAAGTTTGCGCTGCGTTCCATCAGGTTTGGACATGATATCGCTGATACTGGGACCAACATGAGCCTGGCTAGGGCTGTAATAGTTAGGTCCCTCCGGCTGTGGCTCCATTGGGGCCAAAGCAGGTGTGTGGTGAAGCGACAGATGACGGATCGATGGCAAATGCAGTTCGCTGGAGCCTAGGGGTCTCAACCGCGGGGAGTGAGCGGGAGTAGCCAGAGGCGTATGGTCCGGGGTAGGAGAGAGGGAATCATGAGAGAAAGTGGGCGAAGATGGTGCAGTTGAGTTGGGGGAGTTAGGTCTCGAGCGTTTGACACGATGAGAGTAAGTATCATCTTCTTCGTGCGAATGCGAGCGGCTCATGCTATGGGAAAGTGCATATGCAGACAGCGAAGGCAGGCGTCCATTGGTATGGTGACGTGAACCGAACATATGGTTTCGCGAGCCGGTGTGGAAGCCGAAATTCTCATCGCGCTCAACCTGAGACGCGGCCGTGGCAAGTAAGTTGATATCCATTCCAGACGATGCCCGTTCACTATTGCGAGCATAAGGTCCCAGATTCGAGCGCATATGAGCAGCATAGTTTGAGAACGAATGAGGTGGGGATACGTCGGGAGAGCCGACTTGCGAAACAGGGGCGGACCGAGTGATAGGTTTGCTCGGAGGAGGCATCATTGATCCCGAATTGTTAGTCATGGAATTATCTTGCCCGGCAGCAGCGGCAGCAGCAGCAGCTAGGTGTTGTGCCTTATTACTCCTCCGGGAGTTTGGATTGTTGTGGATTCTCGAATGGCGCGTGAGCTCATCGGATCGACTGAAGCGCTTGGTGCAGCCAGGGAATTGACAAGCGTGCGGTTTCTCGCCTGTATGAGTACGGATATGTCTGGTCTGATGCTCCAAGCGATGGAAAGCACGATCGCAAAGAGGGCATTTGTATGGCCGGGGAAGATCCTGGCGTACTTCTTCTGTCGCGGGACGAGCACCCTTCATCAGCGGAGGCAGTAGGCTCACAGACGACGCCATATTTGAATTAGATTTAGTACTCGACGGAGTGGAAGGAGATTTGGAACTGTCCACCGGTGTAGGTGGTGTGGAACTGGTTGCGTTGTTCTGGGGATTCAGCAGATTGGAAAAATCTACTGGAGCGGCCGGTGACGGCATGTGAAGCTCGTCCTAATTCAACTCCGTGGGAGACAGTCCAAGGTGAGACGACTAAATTTTGAAAGGATTGCACGTTCTGCAGGGATGAAGAGCCGAGGCAAGGTGACAGACACTCAAGACGTTCAAATCTTGGCAGATGAAGGAATGATACCTCAAGGAACCAAAACCCTCACAGCAAAGCGATAGTGGTGTGGCAAGAAGAATCCCAAGCAATCCAAGAAATGTGACGATGAGCAAGATTCCTCAGACGAGGGGAAGGGATAGACAGAATGGAGCAGGGATATAGAATCGGCGGCGGATAAGAGCCGGGATGGGGTGAATAGCGAGTCAGGGCGAACGATATCGAACAATGAACTTCGAGAGATGGGAGACAAGATGAAAAATCTGGAGAAGTTGATCTGGGGAGAGGAAGAAATAAAAGGAGAGTCGGAAAAGATAAAGTGAGGAATGGAGGGGAATAATAAAGAAACGGAACTCGGGGGAGGGGAGAAAGAAGAGTGTTAGGAGAGGGGGGAATATCGGAATCGGCGAACAGAAGGGAGGGAAGGGAAAAAAAAATTCATAAAAAAATCTAAATACTATGTGTGGGGAGGAATATTGGGGGGCAAAAAAAGAAAAAAAAAAAAAGAACGTGCTCATCCTAGATCGGCTGGAGATTCTCCCAAGAGGATTTTCAGTGGGGAAATATTCTTTCTTTTTGGTAATTTCTTTTTCTTCGTTTTAAATTCCTTGTCTACGCAGTACAAAGAAAATTTATCTTATTTTTATCTCACAATGCAAATATGGCATCCTACCTAATTTGCTACCTAGTAGCCTTGAGGGCGTCAACCACTCCAAATCGTCCATCAAATGTGCAGGGTGTGTATGATAAAAAAAAAAATAATTCGAGCCACTACGGAGCAACTACTGACCGGAAGACACCAAGAGAGTTAAAAAAAAAAAAAAAAAAACTGTGGGGCGTGCTAAAAATTGATGGGGATTACAGAGTAGAAACTGGAACTGCAGAAGTGGCTGTGTGGCCTGGAGAAGTGCGTGCCCCGTATCGCTCACTGACTGAGTGGTAAGGAATTATTCCTCATACCTCAAGTAATATTGGTAATGGTAACGAACATTCCGTACTAACAGTTTCGAACCGGGTATCGCGGATGATCTGGAGGAACAGATAGGCAGATATGGAGAAATTACATAATGGCCAAGAGCGGGAGATTTATGTAACTGTGGTGATTTTGGAGGGGAGTAATGTGAGGCATTTCTGGAATCAATGCGACGATGAATTCACCATATGAGGCCATCACTGTATTGGTAGGCAGGCATGATGCGGTCGAATGGAGAGAGGGTGGAAAAAACATGGAGGGTGGCCCCCTCAATACGGGGGATGATGATAACACTTTGAGTAGTGATGATGATGAAATGAGGTGATAGCAACTCCAAAACGAAAAAACCTTTTTAATCTGTTGTTCTTATCGGTCGTTTCCTGGGGCATAACCGGGGAAAGGTTATTCAACAGAATATCAAGATTCAAGACCACCGGTCTCGACCAGCTTGCTCGACCGTCGCAGGCTGTTTGTTGGTTGGATACGGAGATAAGTAGTATATTCAAGCAGGAAAAAGGGAAAAGGGTCCGTTGTCAAATGAAAGAAAATACTCGTAGGTGTGACGGATTGCGTCGATCATAGGTCGGTTGTCTGTTAATGCAGAGCAAGCAGCGCTTTGCATCCCCAGTCATACGATGGGGGAGATCCAATACTTCATCATTCATCATCGGTCGAGAATGTCCGATGAGGCTGCTCCTGCAACCACTGGTTGATTCGGAGTCCACGAAAATTATCCGGAACGGTTCCTATTGAGCGAAAACAAACATTGTAAAACCATGAAGCGGCATCGAAAATCTTATGATAGCGAGTCACATGTTTTCGCCCTAGACATCTGAGTATAATCGGATCACGGTTGCGATTATCTATTCAAGAACCACTCTATCCATGGCCGAGGGCCGATAAGAAGACCATATTGGGAAATATTAGGACGTGTTCTCAGTGTTGTGCAGCCGCACGACCGGGTTTTCCTATTCTCGGTTTTCCGGACCACATATCTCATTAGCCGCCCAGGTGATGCAAGCACATATTCTAGCAATAGTCTTAAACAATCCAAATTATTCGATACGGCAATTCTCTCAAGCACTGATTATCAAACCGTCCCCCTTTTTTTTATTTTTTATTTTTTTGAATAAGAGAAATTATGAAAACTAAATAAAATAATAAGGGAGAAGAGGGGAAAGGAAAAATCGCGGTTAATCAAGGAGAATCGGGAAATGAACTCCACAATCCCCAGATTCCACAGCCTACTAATGCATTGCTCGGAATGACTTCCCCCAGGTAGTGCTCATATCTTCAAACTCCGTACTTTAGCAACTATGGTGCAGTCCAATGAGCAATAGATACCTAATCAAGATAGTCGGTGCCATTTTTGATTCATAAACCGAGCAAACATTCGGACAACACCGATGACCGGCGCTGGCAGGATAACGAAAGATTCAGCCTCGGCAACGAATCTACCCAGCCTAAAAATATGTAATGAATATTGTGGACCGTACGGGGTACTGCCACGAATTCTCGCAAAAGATACTATTAATTATGCATTGATGAATTACGTTATGCTCTCGCATCTTCTCTTTGCTCTTAGGTAGTATAAACAACAGTCATGGAGAGTTCAGTGGTTTTTTTTTTTTTTTTTTTTATTTAAACTGAAAGGAGGGAAAGTACTATGCAAGGGTTGGATATCCAGTGGGTATCCCCGGCAATATGGAGATAGGATCACGTAAGTATTTCTCGGCTCTATAGAGAAAAGGGCAAAAGGGAGAAAATATGCACATCCCTACTTTGCCGTACGTATTGAGATCCAGGAAAATGGACAAAATGCACGCGGCCGTCTTGATTGACTTCTAGTGGCAGATCAGGATCGCGCCGACCGGGGGCAAGTACTAAGGTAACATGAATTGCTGAGCGATCGCGCCATTGAGAAGTCATTAAATTGGTAAAGATATTGCTGGTTATTGCGGTTATAAATTTTAAACTGGTCTTCTCTTCTATTGGCGGGGTTGCCTGCGAGTGCAATAGGATGCAACAACTGGAACAATGTGAGTGCTCATCCGTCCTCAGCTCGCCCCCCTGGAAATTGAGCTTCCCGGATGATGTTATCTCAGAAGTCAGAGCCCCAGGGAGGGCCCCCACCTGCGGACTGTCTAGGGACAGAGTACGTGATATCGTGACGGCTCCTCTTGCCCTGATAGGATAAAATCGGCTGACGGACGGTCCGATCAGCAGATGTCGCATTGTGACTTTGCTCCGCAGGCGCGTAGTAGTTCGCGCCCCCCTTTAGCCCAGAATAGATCCTTAGATGATGAGGAATGGGATGGCGTTAATTTCCCAAGAAATTCGAGGAGGGGGGAAGGCAGCTAATAAAATCTCCCAGATAAGACAAAACAAAAGTACTATACAGATTAACATATAGACCCAGATTTAAGATACGTACCTAACTAGTATGCTAATGATTCTACTTGGTAGTATTTCTGGTGAGGTCATGTAGATAACAAGCAGGCTACGAGCATCAAATTCATATATGATCACCCTTCACTCTAGGCATCATAACACACTGGAAGAATTTCAAAAGAAGAAGAAAAACAATTGAGTACGTGTCGTATGACAGTTGATGCGGGTTCGATTGCCGAGAAGCCACCAGGAATTCCGCCTCGGTAGGCCCCCAAGTCTGTAGTTAACACGCAGGTACCAGTACCCAAGTACGTAATTGGCACGCCTAGGGTATTGTTTGGCGTCTGTCCCTCACCCCGGGGGTTTCAGGCTAAAACATGAATGCTCCTGCCACGGGGGTACGAGCCAGGCGCCTTCGTGGTGTGAACTGAATAAGTAATTCCCACGGAGTGCGGCCCAAATATAGATAGGCAACTGTGAATGAATATGCTGTTACGCGTCAGGTTGGCTGATGGAGTTGAACCCCAATTTCTGATTTGTAATATTTATAGTTCATTGTTAGCAAGCCTAACTTACTAGAGATATTATATCATAATATTATATAAAGACAAAATAGAGGCACATCAGTATCGTTGTCATTACGTGGTTTAAAGCAGATCCTGTCCCGGGCTCCAGGTACATTGATCCAACCCAAGTAGAGGATCTACTATGATCCCAGTTATGCGATCATATTAATTATAGTAATATAATAATATGTAGTAATAATAATAATGACAATAATAATCTAACCCATATTCTTTCTTACCCCTCGCACAAAACACAAATCGATCGTACTTCCCTTTCCTTACATACCATTAAGCGGTTGGGATAGATAAGAAAATACAAGAAATCCGAATTTCTCTTTTTAATTTCTTGCCCGCTGCATGCTTTTCATCTCATCCCCCCAAGGTTACGGTTGCCAGAAGGGGCGCTACTGGGTAGATTTGGGGTAGGCTGAAGATCTTCCCCGCGATGATCTACACTCCGATCTAACAAGCCTACACACAGCAAATGGGCTATCCTCGGCGTCACAGAATTTATTTGCATTCCGCCTGGTAAAATTGGCGGTTTGCTTCGGTGGCAGGTTCGTCCCTTTCAATCTTCTGTCGCTCTCTTTGTCTTCTTGGCGCTAACATTCCTGTCCTGCAAGTTGTTAGCCGTGCACTTGGCGGAAAAAAAAAAGAGGGGGGGGGGGGAGGGAAGAAAGTTAGAGGATAAAAGCCGAAGAATGTATACACAATCAATATTTTCTTGAGTTTTTCAGTTGGCGATCACCTAGGCGCCAAGTCTTCCTGGAGCCGTTTATCCGTAACTGGCCACGAATGTTCCCTCTCGCTTAAGCAGTACATCCATACTCCCTGTTACCCCACTTTGGGATAATGGAATCATATCTCCTCTTACTAGCATTATTAGTATACGAATACTACTTGGGAACAGCGACGACTAGTTGATGGACGAAGGCTCGTTGCCTGCGTG